CTGCTTCCGATTGTCGAATTTGGCCGATGACTACCGATCGAGCAGGCAATGCCAGATAGCGCGTACGGCTGAGCGAGGCTTCAGTCATTCGTCCATTATGGTGCTCCCCGACCCTGCCAGATGTTGCCCTCTCGCAGCTCACTTGACGGGGGGGTTGCACCTGTCATTGTTTTGCTTTTTTCCTCCCCGAGATGGCCCCCTAGATAAGGCAATTTATCCCAAATGAGTGTGGGCTGATGCTACAGGGACCTCGACACCGAATCTCAGATCAACTAACTTTGTTGAAAACCGCCATGCCATGCCGCGCATATGTCAAGACCAGCATTGAAATGTGTCATGAAACCCGTTGGACACGTCGAGGGCGAATGGGTTGCGGATTGCCCTCGCCAACGCGAAGGGGCGAAAAGGCGGTGCCGTATGCAGAGAGGGCCAGCCCGCCTTTTCACCGCAAGACGCTTATTTTTCCCCTTAACAGAAGCTGGAAATTCTGTCGGCAACCTTACTGGCTTTCCCGCCTTAGAGCTCTCGTTCTAGAACCCCAGCTGAGACTGTCTAGCTGATGGAAGTATCTCCAAGGCACGACAGCCTAACGGGGGAGCGGAACTGAGCCATGGTGTCGCAGCCCCCTCTCCTATGTCATAGGTATACGGGCGGGTCGTATGCCGTCTGCGGCTGCGAAAACGTAGCGCTGACCACATAGCGGCCGTCGATGCCAGCGAGAGACCTTACTCCTCCTCGGTTCGGAGGTTTAGAGACGGAGCGAGACGGCATGTCTGTCTTATGCGGTATGCGTGGGAAGGTTTCCCGCAGATGCGTGTACATGTCGTCGAATCTATATGAGACCATAACGCAGCCAACAACAGCGCTCTCGTACCCTATCCCGGTATTCCCTTATTGTGCTCCACGCCCCTCCGCATTGTGTGCTAGAGCGGCGTGCGCATGCTACTAGCGGCCGGTCGAGAGGGAGAGGGAGAGCAGCGTGTGGTCTGCCCGCCTACCTGCCCGCCTGCCTGGCGTTGAGCGACTCCGTGGAGGGGAGCGTGGGAGCGAGGGCCTTGGGATGACTAGTGGATGGGGGTTATATCGCAGCCGTGTTATATGTGACAATGACAGCGCACACACCACACACACTGGCGCAACTTAACACGTTGTCAAGCCAATCCGGTGTCTTGGTGGCGAAGGTCGGAACCAACCCTCCCCTCCCCTATCCTCCCCCCCTACGCAGCAACAAGAGCCGGCGTGATTAGCGTGCAGCTCTCTCTGAAGGGTACTATGAATTGAAGCTCCCGGATTAGAGCGTATAGTACCGAGACGAGTGTATCGCGCACGTTTTCACCTTCGTTCTGGGTGTTCCCCCTCTCTCCCCTTCCCCTTCGGTCTCTCTCCCTCCTCCCTACGCCATCCTATCTTCCCCCCGTGTCCCCCGTCGCTGGGCGTCACCTCGTAGGCGTATCTACCGCTGCCGCTGCTGCTGCTGCCCGCGCTGCTGATATGATGTCTGGCTATAACCATGTACCAGGGCGTTTCCCCCTTCCCGGCCTATGGAGACCTTTCCCCTCTGGCTTCTGTTACTCATGTTCTACCACGCACGTACACATACATCTGTGCCTGTAGGTCCGGTACCTACGTACACGTACATATCTTAGGTACGTGCCTACCTCACAGAGACGCAGTACACACGCGTACAAAGTAAATTCTCGAGCGAAGCGGTGAATCGGGATCGGCCCATGGTGCCCATTCCTACACATATACGCTCTATCAGACTCAGGACTCGAGGCTACTGTATAACTACCTAGATGTGCGCGTGTCTATTCACAGCGTACTGCGTAGTACCTAGACGTGTACCCAGCGTGATCGCCTAGCCCTAGCCTGCCAGGGCCTCGCCGCGAGCCGAGCGCCTTGCTCCATCTCTTCGTCTCTCTGTCCCCTGTCCCCTCTCTTTCTCTCGCCATTTTCTTTTGCGCTCCGCTCACGTGTTGGACTAGATCGTCTACACAGGTTATCGGAGGCGAGTATATACATCGATTCGTACGATACGGCAGCGCGTATGTCGATGTACCCACGGAGCCATACATACGAACATGCACAGAACCCCTGCCAGGTACCTAGCGGAGCCTTTGCGTGGTAGCGGACGGGACGGGGTGGGTGGACAGACGGATATTAGGCACCTATCTCTGTTGGCGATAGCTGTTACATGTCTCCTCGGTCTTACTGCTCTCCACGCATGGCTCGACTCACATAGTGGTACCGCTCGCTCTTGCCGGAGGGTTGCCGGGTGTTATTGGATGGAGTTCTCTGTGTAGGTATGTAGGCACGTACATGACATTACATACAGAACTGTTCCCAGCTACAGCTGCTACCTACCTACCTACCTGACCTACATACACATGCAACATATACGCATGCCACGGACGCACGCGCATACATGAGAGAGAGAGAGAGAGAGGAGGGGGGGGAGGGGGAGAGGGGCGGCGGGGACAAGGGGAGGAGCCACAGCAGAGAATGGAGAGGAATGTTTCACCACCGACATGCTTCTTTTCTTTTCCCCTCGCAGAGAGACAGAGAGAGGGAAAGAGAAAGCAAGAGGGTGGAGAGAAGAGGAGGGGGGAGGGTTGTGTGTGTGTGTGTGTGTGGGAAGACACCATCATCCTGCTCCCCTGCACACAAATAAGTGGCTGGTATTATATACACACTACCACCCACACACGCACATACACATACACACATACGCACACACTGCTCGCACGCACTTCTCGCGCGCGCGCACACACACATACGCACAGAGACACGCGTTGCACATGGGCGCGCACCTACATCGTACATACCCATACCCACTCGCCTGCCTACCTACCTACCTGCCTACCTATATACCTACATACCTACATACTTACTCATACACATACCAACATACCCACCTACCTACCTACCTACATACATACGTCTGTACATGAGCACCCAGCCCGCTCTCGCCCGCGCCTTTCGTCCTTCTCGGCTTCTCGGCCACGCACGGGGGGGGGGAAGGGGGCGGGGAGCGATGGTGAGTGATGTTGCCGGCCTTGCTTCCACGGCCTTATCGAGGCTGCGAGACCTCGATACTCTCTGATAGAGAGAGAGCGGGGGGGGGGGGGGGGGGGGGGCCGGCCAGCCTTTCGCTGCTGCGGAATGTAACGCCTGAGAGCTTGGTAGGTAAGGTAGGTAGGTAGGTAGGTAGGTAGGTAGATCAGGTATTGTGCGATGGGGGCGGATAGGGTAGGCTGGGCAGAGTTTACTAGTAGGCTGGGGAGGTAAGGTTAGGTAGGTAGGTAGGTAGGTTAGGTGATCGCCTCGTCGCCGTCGTCAAGGTTTCTGTTACTATCTTTCTGTCTTATCTTTTTTTTTTTCTTTCCTTTTTCTCTCCTTTTTTCTTTTTCTTTTTTTAAAAAAAAAAGGAAATATGGGGGAAACCATAGGGAATAGAGAACCAAAGTTAAGAGAGGAAGAAGAAAAAAAAATTAACATGGGTTCGTCAACTCGTGCGCATAGATTAGATCCGAGTGCCTAAACGTGGTCGTCTCAGCACCACATATCCGCCCGTACATCTGCCCGTCAGCAAGCATATAACTATATATATATAGTGTACCCCAAGCAGGTACCTGACCATAGTTACACGTAAGGGTATTATCATTATTTGGGAAGCGCGGGGGGGGGGGAGGGGCCGGCTGAGAACCAGAAGGCTATTAGGGAACATCGCGCAAAGGCGCGACCGATTGGTAAGTATTATATATATATATATATATATAATTGGAACGGGGGGAGAGAGGGTTGGATGGAATGGTAAGTGAACGAGATCGAATAAGAACGATGGGAATGATGATGAATGAACAACAGGCTAGTCATGAAATGTCGTATACCAATGCCTTCCTAGAGAGAGAGAGAGAGAGAGAAAGCCAGCCGGTATTTGCTCATGAGACCCCTCCGCCATCGTCCCTAACCCACCGATTCCCGCCAATGCTACCAGGAAAAAAAAGGGAAAAAAAAGGAAAAACAGCTCTTGCTGCTTGGGGCTCCCTGTGACCGGGAAGCGGGAAGACCGTTGCAAATCCCTAGGAACTTCGAATCATGAATTCGCCCTGCCACCCTCCTGACCCTGCTTCCTTCCGTCAACGAGACTAGAAAGGGAAAGAAAAAAAAAGTATTACCTAGCGTGGCTAGGGTTGTCGGTCGAATGGTACGGGTCTAACGCACCTCGTCTGCGCCTCTGCGTGCCTCGTCCGGGGGGGGAGGGAGGGGGGGCGGACCGGGGGGTATCTCTGGTGAATCATTCCATCTCGAAACCAAGCCTGTTTTTTATCTCCTCTAGATCTCCGTTCCCAATCTACCCGAGCCTGAGCCCTACCGCGAAGTTGCGGTCAATCTTCAAAGGCCCTCCCCCCTCTCCCTATCGTCCGTACCCTCCCTATCTGATAAAAAGAGCATACTGCTAGTCCCATCGTAGGTGTAGCGGAGGCCGAGAAAAGAGACGGACGAATAGAGTGGCAAAAACGCGCTTCTCGTCTTTGAACGCGTATGTGTATGTATTGATCTGTGTGCAATATTGGGAATCGAAGAAGTCTTGAAGCATTGCTCCCCCCCCCCCCTCCCCCCTCCCCCATCCCCACCACCGCCCGCACTCCTCTCCTCATCCCGTCCCCTCCGACCTCTAAATTTTGTCGTAAACGAAGTAAAAATTACGAGAAAAGGAACATGACCGTCGTGGTTTTGTGGTATCTCTAGTATTAAGTAAATTACCCGCCCCGGAAACCGAAGAGCGGGAAAACGTAAACCCTGGCCCATTACTATTGTTGTACAGCGTATTCGACTGGTGGTAGAAGTGGACTAGTCATGACGGTAGCCAAATGGGTGTGATAATATATAATATGCTCGGTTCGTCGCTTGTCATAGGCATTTCCGGGAGGGCGATAATCGTGAGGGAGAAATCGACATTCCCCCTTCCACTCGTTATCTTGATCGAAGATCGATGCTGTCCACAAGCCAATTCCTAGCTCGTGGCTCCCGGTGCTCGCGCCGTATCCGCCTCGCTGCCCTCTCCGCTTTACGAGGCCGGCGACGGTAGCTCGTTCCTCGTTATTAGCTCCTCACTTCTGAAGCTGTTGTGGATATATGGTGTCCCCAGACCCAGGAGCTGACACTCCTGGCGGGGACGCTGATTGCTATAAGTTTTCCTCTCCGACCTCCCCGACCTCTCCTCCGAGTAGTTGCGCGGCCCGCTCTCGGCACGCTTGAGGGGTGAAACCGGGACCAACTTTATTGGACACAAAACGCCATTTCTCGTTCTCGTAGTCTTGGAGCGCCGTTCTGAGCTTTTGGTCCTGCGAGTCCCCTGTTAGCGTCTTCCTCGGCGGGAGCCCTTCGTGCTGCGAGGATTAGGCGTGGGCAACTTACTGTCTCGTCCGTCCACTGGGTCGTCTTCGCCTTGAGCTTCGTACAGTAGCGGACTTGTAGAGTGCCCGACGAACGACCAGGGAAGAAATCGGCGATCTGCTTCCACGTCAAGCTTTTGTTCTCCTTCAGGTCGATCAGCAGTGCGTCGTCCTCCGGTGTGAATTTCAATTTCGGCCCCCTTGGTCTCGGTGCTGGGGGCGGCATGCCCGCTTGGCCCACCACGCTTGGAGCGCCACCCCCAGCGGCCCCCATACTACCGTCGCCGTCACGCCTCATCATCTTCGAAGGGGGCCCTTGGTCCGGTAACCGGTGGTGGTGATGAGTCGGAGCCGCTCCCGCAGCTTGCGCGTACGCGGCGCTCATGGACGGGTGCTGCATATTGTCGAGTTCGCCTTGCTCGAGTTCGGGCATCCCAGGAACGGACAGGTCGAGGTCGTCCGGCCGGCTACGCTTCGTCCCGGCGCTGTGAGGCTGGGTAGGAGTCATCGCCGGATACAGCGGCGGACCGACGACGGCGTGAGGAGACGCGGCCGGGCCATAGTGGGAAGGCTGATGGAGGTGCCGGGCGGGGTGGGCGCTTAGGTGTCCGGGGTCCATCAGAATCTGGTGGTGATGGGCGGGATGATGCTGCGACATGGCGTGATGGGACTGCGACTGCGTCTGTTCATGTAAACTCCCGTGTCCGGCGTGCTGCATTGGATTTCCTCGGTGGTGATGTGTGTCGTATGCGTGTTGAGTCTGGTTCTGCTCGCCCGGATGCGATTCTTGGGGGGAGTAATCGACATTGTAGTCCGGTCCCACTCGATAGTTGCCCGCCAGTGTGCCGTCGATACATGGGTTCCGCCAGAGCGAACCGCTCTGGACGGTCGCCGGAGTCTGTAGGGAAAGAATTTGATGGACTGGAGCCCCTCGGGGCTGCTGCTGCGCCGGCGGCTTTGGGATGGGGATGCGGTTCTCGCGCGTGGAATCGATGATACCCGTCCTGTCTGATTGCCCTCGAGTAATTAGTCGGCCGAGCACTTACTTGCCCAGCAACCGAGTACATGTGCTGGCGGAGCGGGAAGTCGTCGGTGAGCTTTTTAGGCGCGGGACGTTGCGGGAGCGTGTGGTGGAGTGCTGGTGGCAGTAGTAGTAGTAGTAGTAGTAGTAGTAGTAGTGGTGGTGGTGGTGGTTGTGCTGATGGTGGTGGTGGCGGTGGTAGCAGCGGCGGCGGTGGTGTCCAGGTAAGATCGTGTCGTAGGCCGACAAAATTCCCGTAAGCTAATGGGATTAAAAATCAAGTTTGGGGCTATCCGTGCAGTCTTTAACAACTCATTGCCACATAAGCCTGTCGAATCTGGGGGTCCGGTTCCCTTTTCTTGGTTTCCTCGGCTGGTCTATTATATGGTGACAAAACGTCAAAATAGAAAATGAAGAATGAGCGGGCAAGGGATGCATTATATCGTCTGATCTTCTCTCTCGATTCTGTCCAGGCAGGGACAGGCTTGGGATGACCCGCAAGTACCTAGCTAGACGGCAAGTACCTCGACAACCTGGACTACTTCTCTTTTCATCCACAGGTTAAAGCACTTGGCCTGATTTGCCATGTGCGAGACAAATATCGTTCCTGAGCGGGTGTGGAGATTCGGTTACCTCGCCCGGCGATGACGGCAGCGTAATTTGACTGCTCTTATGCCATGGTCAGCTTGCCGGATATAGACGATACCCCGGCTGGTGGTTATGATGCAACTGGGGCAGCGATAGCCCACCGCGGGCGACGAGCATACTGGGGGGGGGGGAGGAGAGCTGGCAAGGTGAGAGGTACACGGCTGACTTGGGGGGACCCGAACGAGCCATGCCCCAAACGAGATTGTGGAAAGCCAATGCCATCTCAGGAGAGAAGACAGACAGCGAGGAACCGTCTGGAACCCGGCATAGAAGGATACCAAACAGGACGACCCGAATGGAGAAATACAATGCTGAAACGGGCCCTACCAGGCCGTTGGGCAGTGTCTACACACACACAGAGAGAGAGAGAGCATGACAAGCGAATAATCGAGGTGGGCCACACCCAGACTCATGACAGACCGGCCCCCCTGCTCAACCTTTTCACCCAAGAGAAGCCAAGGCAATGGCAAGTCAGAATGCCGGTCAACTGGGTGGACTGTACGGGTGGCGCGCCCACGCTCGGCTGCTAGGGCAGTTGGTCACTCTATCGCCCTCGCCCGCTTGGAGGGGGATATATCCGAGCCGGGGTGGGCTATAACAGGGAATTAAAGAGCTGTGATCCCGGACACGCCATAGGGCGAGCGGAATCGGTAAGGTTGCCAGCAGCCACAGAACACGCTGGACAGATTGCCGAGCCAGAAAAAAAACAAGGGGAATATGACACTTAACCCACTTCACGGAGTGCCTAGGAGACGAAAGATCCAACGGCGGTACGGCTCACGGCTGGGTGGCCGCAACAGTCGAGGGTACCAGAACCTGGTTTCTGTGTAAGCGACAGTCTCAAGTGTTACTGGTACATGTAAGGGGGGTTACATAATAGCACGAGGCGGGAGAGCGGGTAACAGATGCACGCGCGCATGTAGGTACACGAAAAGGAAAAAAAAAAAGCCGCCACCAGGCGTGTGTGACCCGGGGGGGGGGATGAGCAGACTCACGTTTCGGGAGACATGGCGATGATGCTGGGATGCCTGGATCACCAAGCGGGAGCGAGCTGGGGATGGAGCTAGAGGAGATAGGTAGAGAAACCGCGGGCGCGCACGCGAGGATAGAGAGAGAGGACGCTTGGCGGGATGGCCGGACAGGGACCACTCCTGGACAGCTCGTGGACTGGAATGGGGCCATGCGATGCTGCGATGCTGCGATGCTGCGGCGCCCGTCTGTCGGTCTGCCTGTTCGTCCGCTCGCCTTGCCTGCCACGCCCCGGCCTGCCCATCGACCGACTAACTGGAAGTCGTCATCGTATCGTTAATCTCAACTAGCATATACATAGTCTGCCAGCGAATGAGCCGGATACGGAGGGGGGGAAGGGAGAGGGACGAGTGGTCCCAATTCTCTGGATCCCGGCTCCAGGGCATCGTAATATTGCGCGATTCAATGCGACGGAGACGGGAGCACCAATAGAGGGTGGGACCGGCCGAGGCTGGTCGAGCTAGGCCACGACAGCGGACGCAGAGCTGAAAGAAAAAGGAGCAGTTCGGCGATGGAGCTCACGCATGAACGAAACGCGTTTCGACGGTTCCAAGCAATTAAAAGACCAATTATGCAATTTGACCGTGATCTCGGCTTCTAGAAGAATGGAAATTGCTTCTAGGGCGTGACCGGGGGGGTTTTTTGAGACGGCTGAGCCACCGTCCGGGAGGGTCTGAGGGGGGGACGATGTTGACGTTCGGACAGGAGGGGGGAGGGGGGGGGAGAAGTGGGCGGCGCTTGGGCACGGAAGAGGTTGAAGGAGAGAAGATGGAAGACGAGCCAAGGAGGGAAGAAGGAGAAGAAGGTGTTCTAGAAAAGAGAGCTGCAAGATCGGAAATTGCGAACGATCTGGGGGAGGCAGGTGGTGGGCATGTAGGCAGGTCGGGTTTAGGTAGGCGCGGAGGAGGACGAGGAGGCATCAGGTGGTTTAGCTGCCTAGGTATGCATGTATCGAGCATTGCCTACCTGGGCAGGTAGGTACCTAACCCGCCTACCTGCTTACCTTGGGTACCTATTTACCCGCCTATCTACCTACCTAGGTACCAACCTAGACCTACCGACAATTACATACATACACATATACATACGTGCATACGTGCATACCTACATACCTCCTATACACATACCTCCTACCTGCCTTACGCAGAACATGCAAAATAGTGCCGACCTACGTGCATATCCGCTGCCGGCCTGACCTGAACCGACTGACCTGACCTCGAGTGACCTACCCGCTACGTGCATACACACCCGCACACCTCCCGCACAACCCCATCCCACACACACCTGCCGTTGTGGCTGCCAACCAGCCTGCCTGCCTACCTACCTACTCTTTAAGGTACCTTACCTCCGGACGTCCATCCCACCGTCGCCTACCCGTCCAGGCAGACACACTGCACCGCTTCCCTCTCGAGCCTCGGTATCGCGAGAGGGTGCTGCCCGCCCCGGGTGCGGCGCCTGGGGGCCTACGGGGTAGGGGTACGTGCACCCGCTGCCTCAGGTACGCAGGGGCGTGCGTGTGCGTGTGTGTGTGTGTGTGTGCGTGTGTGCGTGTGTGTGTGTGTGCGTGTGTGCGTGTATACGTACGATTAAACGTGGCTGGAGCTAGGCAAGGTAGGTAAAGAGGAGAAGAGAGGTCCTCTTCTCTCACCCATGGCAGGAAAACCCGCCCACCCAGACCCAGAGCTGGCCGGGCTCACCTTAATCTTGAGGCTAAAATTAGAACGCCTGCTGGCTCAGCTCGGGCCCCAGGTGCCCCACGCTCCCCCTGGCCGCGAGAGAGGCCATTGTTATCTGCCTGTCTATCTGCCCGCGTTACGTACCTACGTGCCTTGCCCCCCTCCGGTACGCGCACGGCGTCGATTATGCTTCTGTCTGTGACCCGGTCGTATTGCCCGTCTTGGGTATGTCTAATGTCTAACAGGTCCATCTCGAGGTTTTTATTTTTATTTGTTTTTAATCTTTTAGGTGTTTTGGGGTTTCTGGATTCCCTTCTCCTCCCCTCTCTCTCTGCTAATGTGCGTACCTGCTGGGTGAAGTTGGCTCGCTCGCCTCGAAACCCATCATCCCCTCCCGATCTGTGATGATACGACTAATGGAATCCCCTTCTCGTCCGTGGCGGGAAGAAGGGGTTAGCGGGTCGATGCGACTATACTGCTATGTTAAGCGCTTGCATTAGGTATTTTCGGCATGAGAGCTTCTTCTTCTTCTTCTTCTTCTTCTTCTTCTCCACCCTCCCTCCGGCCCCGTCTCCTCCCTCTCCCCTTTTCGTCCCCCTCTCGCGTCTGCATCTGAGATTTCGTCGCTATGCGTAGGTAGGCAGGTGTCGTAGACAGCCCATGGGAAATTGGCGCATCGTCTGTTCGTCCGCGTATATGTACATGCGCACACCTGAACCGAACCGGCAACGTCGCGTAACCAACCCAATCCACCTCCTGATCATCTGCCGTGGACGCACCGGCGTAGCACGAGACGGGTTGCATGCTACGTAGGTGGGAGATGGCACGGCGGGTAGGTCTGTCAATGCAGCCCGCGTGGTGTGACCTCACCCATTCTTCCCTTCTTCGGATGCAGCGCAGCTATGCGATTGGCCGAGCAACCCGTCTAACCGCAGCGGGCTTGGAGGCATGGATCGCGCCGTTAATTTCCCCTGCCTGCGTGCGAGACGGCTTTTCCTTCTAGAATGCTTCTGTCCAACAAGCCTTGCCCTGTCCACCCTTTTTTTTTTTTGTAAATTTATATATATTTGTATTTACCTACATTTATATATATGTATATATATATATTTAATTGTTATTCCCATTCTGTCTCTCTTCTGCTTGGTCTCTTCCCCCTGCACCCGACCGGCTGGGTGGACCGTTGCAGTCCAACCCGCTATCCGGTTCGGCCGCTGCATGCGCGCGCGCGCCCGCCCAGGGACGATGCAGCCCATTTTCATGCCCAGATTCGGTCGCGGCGACGCTTGTCGAATTGCTGCGTGCTATGCGCATATATGTAGCGCCGCGTGGCGCATCGGGGAGGTTAAAATCTGACGTTTGTGGATTCTCATCCATCGCCTATCGACGGTCGCATGAAGACATCGTCAGCTAGACTTGCCAGCCTAACTCGGCTTGGGTAGTAGTGTTCTACTCTCTTCCCCACAGAGCCAATTCACCGCCTGAGACCTGTTTATACGTTGGGTGGTGTGCACAACCTACCATTCTCTCTCGCTGTCACCTCTCTTTTTCTTCTTCCTTTTCGGTTATCACAGCTCGCTCTAGTTTGGTTCCATTCCGCTGTGTTTTATTTGCCATCTGGCGACTTCATGCCTACTCTCATATTTTTCTCCACGGGCTTGCCGTGACAAGACGAGCTGTCCTTTTTTGTTTTCCTCTCCTTTTCTTGGCGCTCAGCCCTTGAACAGGACGATGACTTGCTGGGGAAATGATGGCTTCGCTTATCAACGTTGATGGACAGACGTATCCCACTCCCACTCCCACTCCCACACATCCACACACACACACACTCTCTCTCTCTCTCCATCTCCTCCGACGCCTGCCAACGACTTCCCGCCAGCATCCGGGTTCCCCTGATCCGCGCAGCCGGCCCCCCTTCGACGTAACCATCAGGCAACCCCTCTCCGAACGGTATCTTACGAGTGCTGACCGAAACTTTGGCTTCACGACCCCGATACGCGTCAAGATGAAGTCGCTTTGTCGCACTGGCAGGTGATTTTTTTACGGATATCGTAGCATTTTCTCGTTTGAGATGTGATGGGCGCCTGTTCTCTCCTTCTCCTGCATGTTTCGGGTCGTTTCAAGCTCCGTGCCCACATAGACCTCCTCGCGTACCCGCCGTCTCCACTCCCGCTGTCGCCTCGATTCTCCTGTACCATCACCGAGCTTCACCGTCGTAGACGTCGCTCTGGATCGGATGCTTTTTGTACGAAGCCGTGAACCGTCTTCTGATACTTCGTCTATCTCTCTCTTCCCCTCCTAGGCGTCGCTCTCTGTGTCTCTCTTCGTTCTTCTCGGCGTTCGCAGCACCTCCCCTCCCCCTCGCCCTCCCCCACCTTTTCCTCCTTAATTGAGGATGATTGGCATCTCGTAACGTGATGTGCGAGTTTGCGACCGCCATCTCGGTCGAAGTTGGATCCATCGTGCGTGCGGGGCGCGGCGCCGAGACTTTCGCGGAAGCCGAGGAGCCCACACGCTACCCCAAGACGGCGGGTGGGCACGTATCATGGTATTATGGTAGGTATGTATGTATGTATGTATGTATGTGCGTATGCACGTACGAGAGCAGGGGGGCGCAACGCCCAGAAGGGTCAGCCTCACCTCCAGGTGTCGCGTACATATCCGAACGACCCTGTCGATAATGGTGCACATCTTACTGGGGAAGGTTCCTTGACAGGTTGGGGTGGGGATGGCTAGGGCCCTCCTCATACCGCTCGCCCACCGCCTCCCGCCCTCGACCCGAGTTATCGTTGTGTTGCGTTGCGTTGCGTTGCGTTGCGTTGCGTTGCGTTGTGTCGCGTTACGTCGCGCAGCGTCGCATCGTGCTGCTGTGTATCTGAGTTCGCAGGTGCCATGTGTGTGTAGATGGCATAATATCTCCTCGTCTATGTCTACATCTAGGTATCTACACCTCGCACACACATATATACACATATACACACATATTAGGCGCCTGCGTACATACCTGGAGGAGGTAGGTAGTATAAGGATGTACGTATAGAGATTTGTGCTAGCCCGTCCGCCCATCCCATCCCATCCCACCCCCCCCCTCTGGCCCTGGCGGCGAGCCAAAAAAAAAAGAAAAAACAAAAACAAAAAAGACTCCGCATCGAGACCCTCGTCCGCCCAGAGATCCAGACAGATGGGAGGGGGGAAGGGGGGCGGTAGTAGTACTATGTACTATACGAGCCTCCCTCTCTGCGTACCTCTACCCACCTATTCACAGGCGACAGAGCGATCGCCGTGTCCCGAAGCCAGAACCACAGGAGCGCTCGCCGTGGGCCACGTATTTATTTCTAGACGCGGCCCCCCGAGAAGCGCATCGAGCCAACGCTGGACCGGCGCGCGATCAGTCTGAGCGGGCTTGGTGGACCGAAGAGGGCGCGCGCGGGCTCTGGTGCCAGCGCGAGATCCTCCCCCCTCCTGGCGGATCTGCAACTCGATCTCGCCCAGGCGCCCGCGCATGAACGCATGAAGAAGGCCAATTTGCTTTTCCCATCCCGCCGCAGCGAGAGAAACAAAAAACACCCTTTTTCAGCCGGGCTATCTCGGCAGCGCCATTACTTCGGCACCACCACGCGCCTGGCAGAATTCCCCTGCCCGCAGCGACGCTGATCGTCTCCAACGTACCGCACCGCACGTACGAGTAGGTTATTTACCCACGAGATTCGCCGCCGCCTCGCGCCCCAACTGACCTTCGCATCCCTCCCCTCGTGACCCGTCGCAACCCGAGCCGGATTCGTGCATGGATGTTATCTCTGTATGAGTATGTGCATACGTACCTCGTACGTGTGCTTGTGTGTGTGTGTGTGTGTGTGTGTGTCTCTATCTGGCCCCCAGATCGCAGAGAGCGCGCCCTTATCGTGTCTCATCTCGGCCCTCCCCCTCCTGGAAATCTGCCTGCCCCAATGCCTTCGCTGCAATGCCGGCGTGCGTGCACGCATACACCCACCGCCGCACTCGTGCGATACAGGTGGGCGGCATGCAATGCCTCTGTTCGGTGGAGGCATGTCCCCAACGAGAGGCAGGTTACCTACGTGCCACTGTGGTGTAGGTAGGTATACACCTCCTCGACGTCCCTACGCATAAACCCGGGATGCCCCCACCCCTTTTTAGGTTCCCGCCGACGACCTGCGATGATGACACGACGGCGATGGTCGTGAGGGTTGCAAGGTCAGATGCTGGTGCCTGTCTGGCCCGCGCCATGTACTGTACATTTACGTGTACGTCTTCCCTCCTCCCTCCCGCACCACGCGGAGGCGTTAGCGCATAACGTCGACCTGGGTCGCCGCTCGTGACCTCCCCTTGGCAGGATTGCGTTGCGCTCCCACGCCGGCGGGCAGAGGCAGAGACAGAGTCTTACTTCGTAGGGCAAGGTCGGGTTGGGTTCCTCTTCGCTCTGCTCGCTCCGCTTTTCGCGTCGGTTGGGACCCTCCACCCATGTTGTCGTCGCCAGGGGGAGGGAGGGGGGGGAAACGTGTTGGAATTGGGTTCTGTCTGGTTAGCTTAGGTACGCTGTGTACATGCGGGCTAACCCGACTGGACTGGGTCCGACCCCAGGCTCTTATGGGTACACGCGAGCCGCGTACCTCCGTACCTGCGTAGGTACCTGCGCCTGCGACTTGCCTGTGCCCGTGGATGTGCGTTGTCTGGGTGTCTTAGGCAGGTATAGGAGGTACCTATCTAGGCACCTCTAGGGTACCTAGGTACCTATGTTGGGTACTTGAGTAAAGTACCTTACCTGACAACGGGTACCTGTCCAGAGGTACCTGACCTACCTCCAAGATGCCCGCTACCGATCGGGACCCCCCCCCCCCCCTCGGCCGGCCTGCGAGACCTATCGATGGGTTCTCTCCCCATTCCTCTTCTTCATAATATCGCTACCGTCGTCTCGTCAATGCATCGGCATCAAGCCTGGCCCAGCTCCGGGAAACGTGCGCATGCAGAGAGTGCCTGCATGGCCTATACATAGAGCCAGCCCGGTCGAGCCGCTGCTGGCTGGCCGCGCGGTGGGGACGGACCCGACATGCGGCCCTCGACCGCTACACACCACCAGCTTACACACCACCACCACCACCATCCCTCACCACCACCCATCCACCACCACCACGGCCGCTTGCTAGCTTGGGCACGCTCCCTACATACCTCCTCTCGAGGCATGTAGGCACATCTGACCAGTCAAGACCGCGCCGCGGCTGTCCGTGTTATGCGTGTACGTGCTTCCCTTACGTGCTCTATCTGCCTCCTGCTCGAGCTGCCGTGCTATCGCTCGTGCCCTGCTAGCCGTACCTACGTACGTCGCCGTCGCTGTCGCCGTCGCTGTCGACGCCCAGGTACTTTGCGCGGCGCGGTTAGTTCCGTGTTGGCTGCCCGCTTCTGTGCATCCGCCCGCCTTGCCCATCCCTTTCTGGCGCCTGTCCGGCCCCCCGACGGGTCACCACCACCTACGCAACCCTACTTATCTTGGTGGATGGATGGGGGTTGCTTCTTCCTCTCTTCTTCCGCGTCACCACAACTCCCTAGCCTCGTCCTCCCCCCCCCGGTCCCCACCCCATTCCTATCCCATCCCGCTGGATCCGCCTAGTTTACTGCCCTGCTACGCACATAGCCATGTATCCGTATCTAATCTGACGGTAGGATGCAGCCACGGACGGGTGCATAAAGAACAATACATTAGCCGGGTCCGTACTGCTCGCTCTCGCCTCTCTCTTCGCGATCCTCCCATGCCTTAGCTGCCTACCTACCTCGCTACCTACTTACGTCCTACGTCTTACGAGGTGCACACCTACACCTATGTTAAGTGTAGGTAGGTATCTAGGCAGGCAAGATGTAGGTATGCATACTCGCCTACATGCCTGATCCCCGCTGGACCTGATCTACATGCTGGAACGAAATTGTACGTGCGCACGCATGTATATAGCTAGACACGGTATAGACAAGGTATAGAACCTTGGACGCTGTCGTATACATATGCCTCATTAGGTACCCACCAGCCTGCCTACCTCCTATAGTATACTTAACATCTGTGCGCTGTGCTGTGCCGTACTATACCGACAGATAAGGAGAATCCAGATCAACCTGTCAGGATCGTGCAAGCCCGTCAGCTTGACAACTCCACATCCGCCTCGTTTGATATTTGACGGGCGGACACGCACGCGCGCTCGCACACACGCCGCGCCCACCCAGCACCGTAGCATCGGCCAAGTCTGTCAGAGTCCTGCCTTGCCCTGCTCGGCCGGGGGGGGGGGGTTGCCAGGCGAGGGGAGGCGTGGGAAAGGATGGGGAGACCCAAGCTTTCCCCCTTTCGACGCACTATCATGTACTATTATAGGTATATCCAGGTACGGAACATGGTGATCATGATGAGAAGAAAAAAACCAGTTGCCTACTTTCGGTTCCGAGTCCATGGTTGCGTGGGGGGGAAGGGGGGGAGGTTATGATAGTCTCGTATACAGAGCATACAGGGCATACACGGCCGATATTATCTTACAGTAAGGTACGTACCAACGGCATAACGCCAGTATTAAGGATGAGAAAAAAGAGCGAAAAATAAAAACAGACCCTCGGGTCGATGAGCGCTGCTTTCCCCTGACGTCCGTAATTCGAGTCCCTCCCGCCTTGAAAACGCCTGCTGATCTGCCTGCAAACTACCCGGGCGCGTACACCGTCATCTTCACCGAGTTTTTGAAATGCCATTCCCGATGCATGGACCCATCTCCCATCACACGCGCTCCTCTTCGGTGCGTCCCCGATCATCCGAGTCTCCTCGTCTTCCACGCCTAGACCAAGAAAAAAAAAAAAGCTTAGGCGAAGTTGTCGTTCCTGTCCACGCCAATGTCCTCCAGCTCCGCAAAGTTCTGGAAGTGGAGCGGGCGATGTTGATCGCTGTAGAACAGCACTGGCGTGTCTAATTTGACGTGCACCGGCTTCTTTTCGATCCCCGCAAACCCGCTACCCATGAAGCTGTAGTTCCATTTGCCGTTCTCCGGCACCAGGAAGTATCCCCGGTACCTCGGGCTGAGCAGAAGCTTGCGCTTCACCCCCATCGTCGTAGTGAATCCTTGCGGCTGGTCGCTGCCGATGTCCTTGTTTTCCGCACCCCATCGGTACCCAGCAGGGGTCAGTGCCCAGGCGGACAAGGAGACCGATCCGGGCGTAAATGCTACGTCGATCGTCACCGTGTTCTCCTTGTCCCACTTGGAATGGGCGTCGAGAAGCCGAGCGTGTTCGGTGACGTCGGCCGCAGACATGTACGGTAGCTCATTTCCAGCCATCGTGTGGATCACGCCCAGGGGCTCCATGTCGGAGAGGTACTCGTGCTGCGGAAGCTGCTGGGGCAGTTGGACGTTGCGCAACCCGCCGATCTGAGGCACCATGACGATACACCGGATTTCCTTGACCTGGTCGTTATCTGGCGCCGAGATACCATACAAGTACCCTGCAACTTGTACACGAAGATCGGCTATCGTAATGAACTTCTTCAAGATGTTGTTGGGCATGACATACGTAATGTCGTCCAGGTCGTTATCGACCGAGGAGACGTAGATATTGCTAGACCGGGTTCGCAGGTTAGACGTGGCGATGGCCCGAGTGCGCCATTCCGTCTTGGAAGCAAACGTCTGCTGCTCGAACTGTGACGTCGTGGTAACGATAATCTCTTCGCCGTGGACGTTCTGTGTCTTCGTCGTGACGGCGGTCAGCTGCTGCTGCTCCTGCTGCTGCTTCTCGATTTCCGCAGCTTGCTGTCTTTGCATCGACGGCGCAGATATTTCCATACCCAAGATGATATCCCGAACCTCGCTGCTCGTCAGACTAGACACGTTGACGTTGTTCTTCTTGCCGTAGTCGTGGAGAATCAAATCGCGCAGTTGCGTTTCGACCTTGATCCAATCTTCGTCTGACAGAGTGGGCCAGATATGATGCATTTGGGTGATGACAGTCTTGTCAGGTCGAAGGATGAGCTTCGTCTTGTCGGGGTTGACGTGCAAGGCGCGGAGTATGAGGACTAGACGCGAGAATGCCGTATACGAGGAAATGCTCTTGAGCCACTCGTCGTAGAGATTGAAGAGGACCATCTGAGGTTCAGTGGCGCGGAGGATCATATCTCCCAGTTTCTCGACTTTCATTGCGGCTTGGAACGGCAGCTGCAGCTCCGAGGCTCGGATGGAAATATTGGGGAAATCGAGCAGATGGACTTCAAGGGGGTCCAGCAGGCCCTTGCGAGTCACGATGAGCTCCTTTGGCTGTTCCTCGATGGGTAGAGATCGGATGAGAGCTGCGACTTCTTCGGCCGTCTTCCACTTGGCTAACTGACCAAGACGCTTTTGTCCGGCCCAGACGCTCGTATGGATAATTTTCAGGAACAGCTGGCCGGTTCGCGGATTGAAGATGAATATCGCACCATTGATGGGCTTCGTGGTTAAGTTGCCCTCGAAGGTCTTGTGGATGGTGACGCGGTAGACGTTGGTATCGTCGATGAAGAGCTTTGTCTGATTACTGAACAACTCGGAGTAATTTTGGGAGTTTAGGAACTCCTGGTTGCTCTCTGAGGCGTATAGTTGGAGACCCTTCCTGATACGCTCACGCAGAACGTAAAGTGCCGGGTTGGCCTTCATGACCTTGGCCATAGCCTGCTGCACCAAAACCTTCAGACCTGGGAAATATTGTCCGTAAGCAGAGTAGAGATTGTACGCGAGATCGATGCCGATCATAAGACCGGTTGCCGAGGGGTATATGCTCATGCTATCGTTTGTGTAATCCAGATACTTCGCACGAGTATAACGCTCGATATCATGAGAATCGTAGTCGCCATACCGAAGCTGGATGTCTAGCCAGAACTTATTGGTAGTTGTGGGCTCGATGGTGTCTTTAGTGTCGTATAATAGAGACGGTCGGGTAACATTCCACTTATTGCTTGCGAAGAGGAGAATATCGGCACAGGAGCTGTTCATCTTGTATGATTTTCGAGGGTGTATTGTCTCCTTCTGTACCGCTTCGATTCCAAGTGACTCCAGTTCTTGATCGAACACCTGACAGAAATCCATGACTACAGATTCGTGTATCTTTTGCCACAAATGTGCGCGGAAAATCTGGATCAACGAAATTTTGAGGGTGGGAATCTTGCCGTGGAGGAAAATGCCCGTTAGATCAAGTTGGACCTGGAAACCGACGTAAACGTTTGCTCGGTTGATCGTCGGGGACCACCAGAGTGTGAATCGACGGTTGGGAATCTGGTTTAGACCGGACCTTTGCGCATTGGTAAGCTTTTTGAACTTCATGGACTCCTCGAAACCGCTATTGTGAAGCACGAGATAGTCGTGTCGCAGGTAGAGCTGATCTGCATCAACCCTGAAGCCTGCCCACTCTGTGGCCTCTTGCTCCAGAACGATATCTTCAACAGCAAAGCTGTAGGTGTGGGGGTGGAAACGCTCAGCTTTGAAGAGTTTGTATTGTGACCTGTCTTTGGGCCCGAGAGCAGCAAATTGGGCAGCCGTCATTTCAGCGCTGTTGCATCGCTCACTCGCTGAGACTGCTTCCGTATCACGTCTCCCGTGGGTTTGCTTGTAGAACACCAGAATGTGGTTTGGCGTAACGACGAGATCCTCTTGGCGACCGGCGATCTTAATGCGATAGAGGCGATCTTTACCGCTGACCACATTGAACGCACGGCGGGGTCCTCCATCGGGACCCAGGAGCAGATCTCCATCCCTTACGTCTTCGACCGCAACGCGAGTGTGATTGTACCGCAGCAACATTGTCCCATTGGCAAGGCAAGCTTTCTCCCAGAACAAGCCTTCCCAAGAGGGGAAGCCTGTCGCTTTGAACAGGGTATGCTCAAGGATGGTCTCAACACCGCCCAGAGCCTGGATAACATCGGTACGGTATGCGTTCAAATTCCAAAGCTTGCCATCGTGGCGCTGGCTCGTCCACCAGAAGGGATTGCTCTTCATGAGCTGATAAACTTTGAACTCGCTTCTAGTTCGAAATCCTTTATCGAAGCTAAGCGTGCTCCGATCCTTCTGAAATAGGGTATTGATACGAGGCAACCCTCGATCCCAACTATCTTCGAGGTCTTCCAACGTGAGACGTCTATTCTGCTGGTTGGCTTCCAGTCGCTTTTGCGAGTACTCCGTCCAAACTCTCTGCGAGTCGATGAACTCGGCCTCCCAAGGAATGATGTATCGGAAAATGTTGGGGATGAGCGTCTCCTCGTCGTGGGTCATACCGGCCCTATAATGGGTGACGCCAACATCCGTCTGCTTCGACCATCGTTTATCGCTCGCAGGGATGAGAATGTGAGAGCCCGAAATCATTCCTAGACCACCCAGCTCCTTCGGCGTATAGAAGACGGCGGGAGGGAAACGTGATGGCATCTTGGAATTCAGCCCGATTTTCACCCGAGTCTGGATCTTGGTCTCGCACTTGACGATGGTATCCAGCAAATTGACTGTGGATACAGCAGCTTCACGGTAGTAGGTAAAGAGCGCGATGAGGGCAGTATTCCACTTGTTGGCGATCTTGGTAAATGTGGTTGACCCCGATGACATCAGGATCTGACGGATCCTGTTGTTGAACTTTTGGATGTCTTCTTCCGTAACCTGAAGGAAAGCGTGTGCTGTTCTTTCTTTGGTGGTGTTATCCACCAGAGACCATACGCTGTCCTTGATGGGGAACTCGTCATTTTGATTTCTGCTCTTCGGAAGGATGCGAACCTCGAATCCGCACATGGAGAACAGCAAGTTGGGGTTGTCGCGGCTATAGACGCTAGCGAAAGTGTCGTCCCATTCAATCGTAGTAACAGACCGAGGGAGACGGTTCTTCAAGTCCCAGAAGACAGCACGCCCGAGGTTGACGTCGTGTCTCATCAGCCGCATACGGGAGTCCCTCGGCCAGCACTTCTTGCTCTTGTACCCGATGACATTTTCGAAGTTCGGGTCAGGCTGTTCTGTAAGGAAACGCTGGATAAGATCTCGGGACTCTTCCGCGCTGAACCTCAAGAAGACCCAGATTTTGTCGATATACCTTGTATACAGGCGAATTGGGTGCTTTGTTTCTGTCTCGCGATCCCGGAATTGAAGGAAATCGTTCGGACTTGAAGGCGGGCCAGCAATCTCGCTAGCACGATTCAACCCGAGGAGCAGAAGATCCAGGACGAGGCCATAGTACTGGAAGACGAAGCCTGAGAATTGGAGACCGCGGATCATGCCGTAGCTGTTGACATGATTCATATCTTTATAGGTCAACTGTACGTTATTCTTCGAGCTGATGTAGTCCGCCAGGTTATGATCCATGATTAATCTCAGAAGCCGGTTCAAGAGGGTAAGGTCGATCTTTTCATAGACCTTAGAGAGCTCGGTCTCGATCATGACATTGCACTCCCCGTCGGCAGTTTGCCAGACCTTCTCAAGATTGTTGATACCTTGGGCCCACTTGTATACAAGCAATGGCGGCACTTCGGAGTCTGACGGCTTAATCCAAGCCGGGAAGAGATGTCGCTGGTCAGCCTGGTACCAGAGATACTGGTCAAGGTATGCGTCGCTAATTTTCTCAATAGGTTCTATGTCGTAGACAGGGTTGATGGTACTGTAATTGTCGTTCATATCGATCTGCACTTCTTTGAAGGCTCGCTGAGTAAGTAGGAATCGTTTGATTCTCTCAAGCGTCGTGCCAGGACTATCATAGGCTTGTTCGATGAGCGCTAGCTCCTCCCGCTGGCTTTGGTTGAGACGACCCTTCACGGAATATGCCTCCCGTAGTCTTTCGAGAGCAAGGATCAGAATCTTCGTGTCGTGTTTATACGATACGCTCGGAAATGGGATCGGCGTGAATTTTCGAGATTCTAACCAGTGCACCGTTGTTGTGTAGATCGCCACAGCTTCCTCAGAGGATACATAGGGGCCGTCCTTCATATAATTATGTTGCCGCTCTTGCTCGGCTTTCAGCCAGAGACGAGTCAAACGGCCGACATTCTTCTTCGCCACCGTTTTGTCGACGGTCGCGCCTCGCCGAATACGCTCACGGTTGTAATGAGCCACGGAAATCCACCAGTCCGCCTTCGACTTGACGTAACGAAGAATGATGTTTTCGATGGGCGCGGGGAGGCCGGGGACCTTCCACGGTATATTGCTCTTCCAACACCTCCAGGCTTCAGACAGGTGCTGAAGAACTGTATTCACCTTATTCTGCTTGATGCCCTCGGGCATCATATCCATGAGGTCGGCCATCACGGAAGCCCGAAGTTCAAGGTCAAAATGAGATTCGACACGCTGCTTAGTGACAGTCTTAGCCACCCCTTTGCTGTGGCGGCCCTCAAATTGACGGGACAGCAAATTTCCCAGCCACCGCTCAAGAAGGGGGATGATGCCGCGCATGAAGAAGAGCCAGACTCTCCAGGCTGGCGCCCAGAACCCGCAACCGGGTCCTTTGCCAACAGGCCCACTATTGAATCGGTAGTATATGAGGTGCTTTAGATCCTTGCATGACCGAATCTGATGCATGAGCTTATACTTGTATCGGTACATACCAGTTAGCTGACCAACGTGGTTGAATGCGTAGAGAATGCCATCGGCTAGCTGGAAAGCATCGATGTTACCGAGGCGGTACTGCACTTGCGCATCAACAATGAGCTTTGTAAGTCTCAGTATCTCACGCATCAGATGGAACGCGTTGCCAAACCGGGACTTCTTTCGCTCTTTCGTTGTCAACGTCTTGACCGGTTTAAGGTTGAAGTTGTAGTCGAGGTGAAGGTATGTGAGGTTTTTTCGGTGGATAAGGAGGTTCAACATGTTGAATCCCTGCCGGCAAACCTGAAGGCCAGCCTCGACCCAGTCGATCGTTGTCTGCTGGAAAAATTTGGTCTGCTTTAAGCTTCTCAGAAGATTTTGCCGATTGAGCGCCTTGGGCTTCTTCTTGTGTAGCTCGTTGAGGACAAATGTCTTTAGGAGCTTTTGATACGAAACTCGGACTTTGACCGGTTGCTTTGGAGGGCAATGTTCGAGATACCACTGCTTTACGAGCGGGACGTCCTGCGCCCGAACCATTCTACCAGATCGACGGTTGAACGGGAAAGGAGCCCACCAAAGCCCAATAGCAGACGACGTATTATCGGTGTAGAGTTCCTCGTCAGCCAAGAACGGCTCAACGCCAGGTGGTAGCTGAAAAGCATCGTCCTCGAGCTCTTGAAGATTTCCGGCACCAAAAATCTCGTCCTCGTGGCTGACAGTAACGTTCTTCGGCGCGACCGAACGGGAAGAGATGGGGTTGATCATAGGGTCGAAATGGAACGCCGGTAGGTTGGGGTCGTCCGATTTCGTATATACTATTTGTGGATGAGAGTACCAGTTGAATTGTACGCTCCTCGGGAGGGAATTATAAAGGTACGGATAAGCGACTCGGTACTCGGTCCGGATCGGGAAACGAAAGATGATTCTGTCGATAGCGTTGAACTCGCCGAAATCCTCGTCGTTTGGATCGATATCTTTGTACAAAGGTTCGAATCGGGGACCGCCGGGTAATGCGACGTTCAGGGCCTTCGCAGTGAGAAAACTCTTCAAATCGAAGAGGTAGAAGTAATTCTGGTCGACAGTCTCGCTCAGTAACGGGCGGCTGAGCCGATGAAGGGCGGCCATTTGTGGTAGCGTGAGATTCCACTGCTTGTAGCTCGGGCCGTTTACATGCTCGGTATCAACCAAGGGCCGATGGTCATAAAACCATTCATACACGGCGGCATCCTCGTCGTCGTCAAGCTCCATCTGGATGGGTTCGAGCGGCTCCACGTCCTCAATATTCTCCGACCAAGACAACGGCGGTTCTTCGTCGTCAAACGGCGGAAATCTCATCCTCTTGAAAAGTCTCCTGTCGCTCTTCTCCTTCCTCATGGTTAACCACATTGTAGCCCACTGGGCATGGAAGACAGGTGGAATGACCCGAGGAGTCTCATTCACGAGGGTTAGACACCCGTTCACATGATACAAGACCTTGACTTCTCTCGATGATTCCCACGGCATTGGCATATTCTCTAGCAGCTTCATGACCGCATGTGGCATGAATTTCAGAGCGCCGAGATAACTCCGTTTGTCGCTGGTGTACTTTTTCTGGGAAACGTCACCAATATCCTTCACGATCTTACGCAGATGTTCAGGGGGCATATCCGCCTTCTGAGTCTCGACGAAGCCGCCCTTGCGTTTCTCGCCGAAACGATTCCGTTGGTTCCGAAGCCATTCCTTCTTTTTTTGTGCAAATTTCGCGGTCTGCAGGTCGGTAGGGGGTCGGTACCCAGGCGGGGGAGGAGCCGGTGCTCCCGGCGGCGGTGGAAGGAAGTCTGATGGAGGGCCTGGAGGTGGAGGAGGCGGCGGCGGCGGTCCCCATCCAGGAGGGGGTGGAGGCGGTGGAAAGGACGACATCCTCGAGCCTTTGGAGTCCGAAGCCTCGTGATTGTTGATGTTGTCTATCGCGCCGCGATCCGTCGCGCGATGTCAAGTACGGCCGATGCAGCCAGACGAGTTGGTTGGCTCTTGGAAATCCCCTAAGAATAAGACACGCAACGGGATGGATTTCTGATTCAATGGGATGCCTTTTGGACCGACAATCGCGAAAAGCTGGTGGAAATGCTCGAAGTTGACAAGATGAATGGCCGAGTCCGCCTCCAGGACTGATCGGGGCAAATTTCCTATGGCCCACTTTGAGGAAAGGACCCGCTTGGATCAAGCTCGAGATCACGTGATGTCAAGACATGGTGCGGCTTGCGGCTTGTGGCGAGGCAGCTTGATTAGTAGCTCAGTGGCTGCGCAGCGCCACTCCCATCGGTCTTGTTCATTGGTTCAAATCGATAAGCGGGCTTGAGATCCCACACATCTTTTTCCGCAAAGCCGCCAAAATTCCTCTCTTGACCAAAAAAGTTGCAACCAGGAAGAAGCCAACCCATTCCAGAACAACACAACAACAATCACAATGGCGAACCACCGAGTAACCTACCGCCGTCGCAACCCGTACGTCTCACATATTTACCAATGGAAGACCCATCGAGCCCGAATTCTCCTATTACTAGCAACCGCGAAGCTAACAGATTCCTGCAAGATACAACACCACCTCGAACAAGACTCGAGTCATCAAGACCCCCGGCGGTGAACTGCGGGCTCTGCACATCAAGAAGCGAGGAACCGCGCCAAAATGTGGTGACTGCGGTATCAAGCTGCCTGGCGTAAGTTGACCCGGCTACCCCACGACACGCATCTGGTTGTAGGGAAGGAAGGGAGAGGAGACGAACCGACTTGCATTTGCGCTATTACGAAACTACACCCTGTCTGTCCCCAGAAGAGAAGTACGCGCGTAACGAGCGGGCACCGCCATGGCGTCACTTTTTCAGATTTATGGGAAGCCAGCTCCGCGGCTCTCCAGGAGGATTGTTCACCAGGCGCACCAGGATCACCTAAACCAACGCGCGTCACATCGGACCGCCGCTAACCCTCGTATTTTTGGTGTAGGTCCCCGCCCTCCGACCCCGCGAATACGCCCAGATCTCCCGCCCCAAGAAGACGGTCCAACGAGCGTATGGTGGTTCAAGATGCGGCAACTGCGTCCGGGATAGAATCGTACGGGCGTTCTTGATCGAGGAGCAAAAGATTGTCAAGAAGGTATTGAAGGAGCAGAGCGAAGGCTCTAAGAAGAAATAGACCACCGTCGCCGTCTAATGACTCTGGGATGGAACGGTTCGGGCGGTCATTGCTTTGGGTGTTCAGAGGGACAGGGCTGCATGTTACGCGAACGGCGAAAAAAGCTGTTTCTATTTCTAAGGCTTCTTCTCATCGTCTAGGTGATCGGAATGATACATGCTACATAAGGACACGACTGACAAGACTGTTGTGCCGACATGACCCCTCGAAATTGCGCGTTTGTGACAGGGGAGAATTCGCTCATCGCGGCCCCGATCTCGGGGAACGGATGTCTCCTTTGTGTCATTAGATTGACGTAAGAATGTGAATCCCAAGTTCAGCCCCGGGGGAGGTGATTAGAGATGGAAGTGAAGTCCACTTAGGTGCTCCCAGGAGACTCTAGGAATAAGAGAGGGCCTAAGTGGCTATATAGGCCCCTGGAGCGCCCTGTATACATGCGTGCTCTCAGCACATTGTGGGTTATCCGTATATCTCGGATAAAGTAATTTAGGTAATTTGAATCTGGATGTACCCAAGTATCTGCTGTGCCTACCTACGTGTTGGTTACCACGGGTATTATGACGTAGGGTGGGTACGATTTTTTTCCTCCGTCCAAGATAACCTACCTCCAAGACACACTGCTAACTCCAAGTGGACATGCGTGCCAACTACAATTAAAGCGCAATGAGACTCTATACAAAACGGTAGCATATACAAATAGCGGGCATGGCCCTCTCCGCACGAGTTCGTCGGCCTCTAGGCCAAATCGCTTCTTGTGTACGGTGGCAAGCGACCCGGAACTGCCAGTCACTATCCGCAACGGCGAAGAGGCCTTCTCCAATCCACATCGCAACGGCAAATCATAGGACACCTAAATTCCCCATAGTAGGCCTCCACACGACCGCCTCACGCCATGCCGATGAGGAATCACGCCCAGCCGATTTCGATGCTTTGGATGTGCTAGGCAACATGCCAGTGCCGTCTACTTCGATCGAGGCCTGCATGCCAGACGGCTTCCACCTCAACAGCGGGGCGAAGATCTTCGGCGGCTCTGGCGTGTTATTAGTCGGCGGCGAGGCTTTCGGCTGGCGGCCGTGGCTAGCTCGCGGAGAGAAGCGGCTACTCAACAAGAAGGGGCAATGGGAGGTGCCTAACGATACATTCGGCCTTCTCGGGCTGGTCTGGCCTCGACCAGGTTATACACGCCCACTCTCGCATGCGTCTTTTTGATCGGTCATCCGCTATACAATTTGCTAATCAAAATCGAACAGATCTATTGATACTTGGCCTAGGCCCAGAAATCCGCCCTTTGAGTCCAGAATTAAGGTGGCATATAAGCAATCTGGGGATGCGGGTCGAGATTTTGGACACGCGTAACGCTGCGGCACAGTTCAACCTGCTAGCCACCGAGAGAGGTGTCGACGATGTTGCGGCCGCGTTAATACCCATTGGTTGGAAAGAGGGAGTTGGGGCGATTTGATGGGCGGCGCACTCGGCTCTCGGGAGTGCTTGGGACTTTCAAATTTTGGCGGCGACGAATAAGCCGAAGGCACAGACACCGGCTGTTGAGGCAGCGGTTCTGAACCATGACGGCCGAGACACGGGACGTGACGATGGACGAGCCTATGAAAAGCTCCTGTGATATGTTACCCAACACATCCCATATCTACCTATATCGCTCAGGTTGGAGACGACCTCACTTACCAAATTGTAAATCCACATGCGACTTTTGGTGTCTCTCACTCTGGAAACCACCAACATAAGAAGGGGAGATAAGGCCAGACCGAAGATTCAACGACGAAAATTCCCATCGCAACGTCTCTTGTCACAGGCTAGGTGATTCTCGTCGCTGAAGCGATGGAAACTTCCATGTAGTGTGTATCAGACGAGGTACTATCCGGCCCCGGTGTAATCTAACACGGGCTCAAAGTAGGTACCTAGGTATGTGATCGGATACCTATATAGGGACATAAAAAAACCGGCTCCAATTTGGAGTTGGATTTGATTCACCGGAACCATTCAAGACTAGTCGTGATAGGTTGTGGATAGGCGTGCCTTGGAATATCAACGAAGGTAGGTAGGTAAATAGGTAAATACCTCTACGGGCTTGAACCCATCGACGGAACTCATGAGACATCGGTCAGTGCCTAGAGGTGGGCTACCCGGTACGTACCTACCCCAGTCGTGTCAGGTACCGATGGAGGCACCTTAGGTACCTACCTAGGCTCGGCACCTCCTGCCTTAGGTAACCCGACAGGATGCTACTCATACATACCTCGAGGTACCTACTTTGTGCCGAGCCTTTATGAGCACAGGCGCGGGATGCACACGGAGGCGCACTGCACCCCTCCGGCGGTAGGTATTGGCGGAACCTGGAATCGATCTGGTCAGTGTGCATCGGAAGGTACCTAGGTACATATGTTCCTGAGGTGGTCCGTCGGTGGCATCCATTGCAACGCTGATGGGACGTGAGCGTTACGCGCACCCAAGTCGGTACCTACTTTTCCTTGGCGAGAACGGCCTGGAATGGCTTGCGGGCCGCGGGCGCCTGGGCCATCGTGTCAGCCTTGCGCAATGTGGCTGGAGACGCGGGCTTCGATTGGCTCTGACGTACCAGTCCAATGGCAGCCTCCTCGGACGACACGTTCGGGGACGATGACGACTCAGTGGCTGAAGGCGAAAAAAGCTGTGGGCATGCTCCCGCTTTTTTTCTCTCTCCCATCCCGCCATCAATTGGACCGATGGCAAAGTCGTCTCTCTCTCTCTCAGGAACAACGTCGACGCAGTGCGTAGAGGTACCTGGCAATTGATTCGCCTTCCCGCAGCTAAGAACTCAACACCACCTGCTGTGCACTCACGATACGACCTTACCAGGACATCCAATCGATCGGCTGTCGGACCTCATCCACCCTATTGTCGTTGTTGTCCATTGCTGTTAGATCTCCCCGGCATCGACCCAGTCCGACTCGATCAGCTCACGAATTCCCTCTGCCTGCCTCCGTCCGTCATATCGCTCATATTTTAAGGCGACGTAGCTCTCTGTCTTCTTCTCGTCTGCCCCCCTATTCTCTCTTTCTTTCCTTCCTTTTTCCCCCTCCCTCCCTCTTTTTCTCCTGTTCCTTTTTCCCCGTCTGTCGAGGTCCGACTGAGTCATCGAGAGACATAGACGCATCCGCAATCACGAACATTCCATTCCGTCCATGAGACTTGCATGACACTCGCCTAACTTGGGGGAGGTGGGATTACCTCTCTGTCTAAGACCTAGCCCAACCGTACTTATAATCTGGTATGCAGGTCCGTCGCCCGTTTCTGCAAGCTGCCCTGCTGTGCTGCGCAGTTGCACCGTTGTATTTTGCCCTCTCTGCCTCTGCCCTCCGCCTCCCATCGTCCCTGTAATTTATTCTGTACCTGAAACCAAAAAAAATTAAAATAAAAAAGGGAACCCTCGCGCCTCATCATCGTCATCCTTATCGGAGCTGCCGTAGCGCATCGCCAGGTAAGCGCGTTGAGCTTGCTCATTCCTCTGTTCGCCTCGTTCTCTCACGCGCCCTCTCGCTTCCCCTTCTCTATCTCGTCTATCGGTCGATGGGTGTTTCCTTTGCACAATCCTCATCCGCCTTGTTGACGTCGAGACGTACTCTGCTCTCGATCTCGTCGAGGTTCGGATCCCGTGTCGCTATGGTACTCCGTGCTCGGCCATTTGTGATATGGCTTGAGACTTTTGCGACTGTCTTCGTCGCCGAATCCCGTCAACCTGCAGTGCAGCCACATCTCCTTTCTCAATCCTTTCCCCTGCATGATCGACCGTCCCATTCACCATGACTTCTTCCTCTGCAGCCGTATTCCCGTTCCTGGCTGGACTCGTCGCCTTTCTTTCGAGTGCATGGTATCTATATCGCCGAATGGCTAAGACCCGAGCCAACGGGCCCGGTTCGAAGGATGCGGACGCCACCGATCCCGCACTTCTCCGGAATAACTCCCAGATAGCTCCGTACACCGCCGCCCGGAGCGGAATCACCTACCCTGCCATCCGAGTCTTCTATCGCCGCCATCCGAAAGCGGATGAGCTGCCCCGGGACCCTACCCCCCTGCCGCTGTTGGTTTTTATCCACGGCCTGGGGGGCTCCGTCGCCCAATTCCACCCTCTTTTAACGAGTCTCGTGAACTCTGCCTCCTGTCTTGCCATCGACTTTCCCGGTTGTGGTCGCTCCCGATTCGCGCCGACTTCATGGGACGCATATACCACGGACGCATTGACCGACCTGCTCGAGACCGTCATCGAAGGTTATCGGGAGAGGAACCAAGGGCTCGTCCTCATCGCCCATAGCATGGGAACTGCCATTGCGGCCCGTATTGCGAATAGGCAGTCGGCTTATTATTTGCAACCACCTTCCCACGTTATGGGGCTCATCGCCATATGCCCCGTATCTGGGCCTCTCCCGGCGAAGACCGTGCGCAATGTTCGCATTCTCCTCCGGCTCCCGGAACTTATTTTTAATGTGTGGAGGGCGTGGGATAGATGGGGCGGTCCGGAGAGCGCTAGTGTCAAGCGCTTTGTCGGTCCCGGCGCGGATCTCGAGGCCCGGCAGCTTCAGGACAGATTTAATCACCAGAGCCGGACGCCAGTCTTCCGTCGAATGGCCTGGGGATCGCTACCTACTCATTATATCGACGGAAAGCCCACCGGCGGGCTCTTTGGTGAGCCTACTTGGACAGGCCTCGACGTCCCCGTTTATCTCGTCGGTGGTGAGCACGACACAGTAACGTCGCCGAAGGAAATAGAGAAGATTCGGGCACTTCTTCAATTGGCGGCGGGAACTCCTACCGTCTCTAAAGAATCTAGTCTAGGTGACGGCTGCTCAATTCCTTCTACGGAAAGGAATGCAGTTGTAGACGCGGCAACCCCCCCTGTGAACACCGTAGCGGCGCCTCGGGAGAACATTCCACAGTCGATCGATGCTATTACCGATGAAGATTTCTTGCGAAAACAACAGGCGATGGCACACGTGGAGGAGAGCTTTGAGGACCCTACGACGCCTAGGGATCAAGAGTCTATCGGTGGCGTCCCACCGGAACCGCAGCACCCAGTCAAGTTTGTCGACACCACGCTGCTACCCGCCGGGCATGCCATGCTTTACATGCCCACCACGGTCCGCACTTTGGCGGGCCTCATAGGCGACTTCATGAACGACCACATCACTGGCCGGTTTTCGCTGTAAGTTTGCTCCCAAGAAACCGATGGCGTCTCTGTTGGCTAACACCCCCCTTCCATATAGTGGTTGGCAGCTACAGTATCTCTCGCGCGAAGGCAAGTGGGACGTCAAGAATCTCGTCAAGTGGAAAGGGGTCCGCCCTGTTTCCGCACCCATTGGTGGTGTGTTCCGAGCGATGAAGACTCTTCGCGAGGTTGACGAGCAGCATTGCCCCAAGGTGTTCACAGCCAACTGGTGCGTTGCTACTCCCCCCTCCCGATGTGGTAACCGACGTGTTATTGACAGGATATTACCCGGCGCTAGGGGAACAATCATCAAAGACATCATCGATATCAGTCATGACGACCCAGTCTACGACCCGAAGAGCTTCGGAAGGGGGATCAAGTACCACAAGTTCCCGACGGTGTCGAAGATCCCGCCCACCGACACCGAGGTGGCGAACTTCATCAGCCTCGTCGACAAGATCCGCGAGGACCAAAAGATCCGGTCGACCACCGAGCCAGGCTGGAGCCGGGACCACGCCATCGGCGTCCACTGCCACTATGGTTTCAACCGCACGGGTTACTTCGTGGTGTGCTACCTCGTCGAGCGCTGCGGGTACGGCGTCCAGGAGGCGATTGACGCCTTCGCGAAGGCGCGGCCGAACGGGATCCGCCACTCGCACTTCCTGGATCGCCTGTTCGTCCGTTACTCGACCGTGCACAGATGACGGCGAGTGCAACTCTCGGGGCAACGCGCTTTTATTTTTGTTTTTGTTTCTTTTTTCATCCCTACATCTGGTGTTATCACAGGGTCATTATCTTGGACCAACCAATCGGATTGCGAAGACTTAAGGGTAGCCGGGGTTTACGTGTTGACTTTTCTGGGTGACTGGCATCGGACGGTCGTTTGGCGCTCGCTTAATAGAGGTGTTATTACCGGTTTTGTCTTCCCCACGGCTTATCTTTGTCTCGGTATCGGTCGAGGAGTTTCCTGCCTCATGTAGTCTAGCCTATTATTCCCTATCAATTCGGCTTTCGGAGTCATGTATACGCGGAGACGGGGAAAGTCGATGAACCCGTCAACTGAGTTAACACACTTCCCGGGCATGATTAGATTACTTGGGTTCACTGCTTGCTCCCTTACTCTGGGAGGCTAAGCAGATCGCTGATATTTATTTACTTTCCCACAGAAATCCTCAATGCAACAAAAACACGTCTCCCGTCCATGCCAATTCCAACCTCCGATGCGAGACCTTCGCTTCTCTTCTGCATTTCAAGCGCCGTGGTGGTTCCGTCAGTTTCCACATCCACGTTGGTGTTAGTATCGACATAAGAACAAATCCGAACGAGCCTGTCGGCTGTTCGAGGTTTATCTGGACGCTCTCCTGCTATTCTGAGCGGCTCCCCCTATTTGAGCCTTCGTCACGTGACTGGGTAATTACTGAGAACCTTCCCACTGACAACAATGCAAGTGGGCTCCCCTGTTTGCTGCCCAGGATTCGGTTATCCGCGTTGTTTGACTCCTCGTCTTCGTCGTCGTCGATAGCCATGTTGTGCTTAACCACGGATTCGTGGTCTGCGATGATTTTGCCCCTCTTCGGACCATCGCGCGGTTGTCGACTACCCCTTAGTTTTCCCATCGGCATTGGCACCTATCACCGCTGAGCCCTGGTCCCCGTGTCTGGCTACCGCCCTCGATCCAAGCCCAGCTCGCGAACCTACCGTGGAAAAAAGACAACGGAATTGTTCATCGGGATTTTCGTGGTTGATGATAGATACGTCGGTTAGGTCACGTACTGCACATAATATGGGAGGCAATAGGCCTTCTCGTGTCTGGCCGACTCAGGCTAGGCACAAAGACTGAAGCTTCTCGTGGAGGAGGTGGCCGTCCGAGGCTAGTTGATGTGGGAGTGGTTGTCCTAATATCCATCCCGTGGTGCTGAAGGCCATATGTAGACTAACCTAATCGAAACATTCCCATCGGACTTATTAAATACAAGTACTACTCCCATTGCTCTTCCGCATGCTATGGGGGTCTCCGATTAAGGGAATAAGACTTGGCACCCCTCTCGTCTTACATGGCTCCCCTTTTCGGCTGCCGGTCTTTTAAGGTTCTATGCATATTAGGTACTGGGGTCTCCAGTGGGAGAAAAGGGGTCATCACTACCCCGTACAATAACGGAGCTGACTAGTTATACCCTTAGCATAACAGTGAAGAAATTATGAGCGCGATAGACAGTGGATGTTTGATAGGGAGTAAGAGCGAGACAGGTCACTGGGCTTGTTGCGTAACCTCGCTGGCGCCCGTCTTGGCTTCATGCTCCTGATCAGTCGCGTCATGCCGCTTCTCCGGCAGAGCCTGATGATCGTCTGCAACTTCCACCTCGGATTTCTCGACTGCGCTGTCCTTCTTCATGGAGGTCCACCTCACACCCACGCCCACCACCGACAACGCGCTCATCGCCAACGATACATAGAACGTCTTGATAATCGACGTGCTAATCGCGCGCAAGGCCTGCTCTCGCCTGTCAGACGGCAGCGCCTCCAGGATTCTGGCTAGGCCGTTGCCTAGGATGTCGGACGCATCCTCGGCGGGGACGAGCGGCGCGAGGTGGGTGCGCATCTCGCCGTTGAATATGGTCTGCGCGACGGCGACGAAGACGGACGCGCTAAGGTTCTGGACGAGCGTGATGAGCGTTACGCCGATAGGCACATCGTCGGTGGGCAGGAGTGTCTGGACAACGTAACTCGGCTGGCCGAAGCCCATGCCGACGCCGAATCCGTATACGAGCTGGTATCCGACGATACGAGCGGTAGATCTGAAGATCGTCTTTAGTGTTAGTATAATCTCATCATCGATGATCGCAGTGTAGATATTTTCTGATGCGCAGGGGGAGCAGGCAGCGACAATTAGATGACCTACGTCTGTAGATTGATGGTGGTAAGTAGGGCAGATCCAGCTACCGTGAGCGCGGTACCGAGAATCATAGCGGGATTATAGTATCCCGTGCCGCTGGTGATTCCACCCGCAACGATAGAAGACACAACGTAGCCGGCAATTATGGGTGTCAGTAGCACACCGGATGAGAGTGGCGAGTGGCCGCGTATGTCCTGGAACCAGATCGGCAAGTACAGGATGGCAACGTAAACGCCTCCCGTCATAGTCATGGAATAGATCGAAGAAAGCCAAATGTCGCGATTCCGGGCGATGCTGCGCGGGATGGTGTTCGCCGTCCCGCTCCAAGTCGTCTTTTGGATAACTACAAAAGAGATAGCTAGGACGCCCGATATAACAAACAGCGCGATGATCCGCCCGTTGTTCCAGGGGTACATGGAACCGCCCCATTGTAGAGCCAGCAGTAGACATACCACCGACGCCACCATGCACACTGTCCCGGGGAGATCGAGGTCCATTATCTTCTGAGCGGCAGTCAGGCGTTGGCCGTCCCCGGAGGCCTTAACCAAGATGGTGCACAAGACGACGGTCACGGCACCCAAGGGCAAGTTGATGCCGAAACACCATCTCCATGTCGAAGACTGAATCAAAGCCGCGCCGAGAAACGGGCCGACGATAGCAGCTAGCCCGAATACAGCCGACATAATGCCCAAGTAAGCGGCGCGCTGGGCCAGCGGAACTAAGCAGCCGAATTAGGGAATGACGCGGTAGGGGAGACGCGACCACCAGGAGGCCCCCGTCTTACCCAACTTTGCTAGTATCAGAACACTGCCTGAAAAGATGCCGGAGGCTCCCAGGCCGGCGACCGCCCGGCCCGCTACTAGCGCGTTCGCATTCGGAGCCGTAGTGCAGACCAACGATCCCACCTCGAACAGGACGATGGCGATGAGGTATATAAATTTCACGGGGAATAGCGAGTACAGTTTGCCGTAAAACAGCTGGAAGCTGCTCAGGGTGAGAAAGTAGGCGTTGGACCACCAGCCGAAGTCCTGGGACGTGTTGAACTCGTTGCTGATGACAGGAGTGGCGGTCGCGAGGATGGTTTGATCCTACAAGGGAAGGCTTCAGGTCAGCTCCGGGTGTCTCCTGTCCTCCTTTCGCGACGAAGCTTGGTCCCGATAATCGTGGGGGGCGCACATACCATGCCGGTGAGAAGCACGGCTAGACAGATACCGATCATGACGAGGGCCAGGCGAGCAGCGCCTGGCTTCGCGGACCCCTCGCCATCACCAGGTTGTGATGCCATGTCTGGAAGGCTGAATTCGCCCCTCCCCTCTCTGGTTTACGGCTCCAAGATGTTCTGTAGCGGAATAAGAGAAGGATTTCAATAATATGCAGCGGGTAGAACGGGACTAGTTAGGGAGAGGAGCCCAACAGCAGGTCAGTTGTCCAGGCGACTGCAGCCTCCAGACTTCTGGCGGGGGGTTTGCCGAAGAACCCTTTATTTGACAAGCATCGGAGCCGAGGGGTACCGCCGACGCGTTCCAACTGGCCTTTGTTAACTACAAACACTCTGGGTGTTTGGATATCACGAGGAGCGTTGCATCAGCCCGTCTGTACGTGCATGGGTATCATATCACAGCCGTTAAGTCTCACGTTACACATAGGTAGGCTACAAATAAGGCAAGGGTGAGAATTCGTCGCTAGGCTGAGAGGTAGGCTGTAAGTCATATTCCCGCTCTCATTTACGCTACTTGTCCCAGATCAGTGCCGAAGGGAGACGCCACCCAACGGCGCGTAGAATCCTGTAAACCCCAAGCCATAATTTCTGTGTGCGAAGTGACCGCCCCTCCCTTTACCGCCTGGCCCCCATTCGACGGCACCATGACGCCTCCCTTGAGCCGCAGGTGGTGACCGGCCCTAGGAATCTAGGTGAGCTGCCCATCGTTATGTTGGTTTAGAAGATCACCGGGCTACTCCCCATACCTTAGAGGCAACATGCGGCGGGGTCGATGATATCAAGAAAAATTTCGAGCGTGGAGTACGGTTCAGGCTCGGGGTGGGCCTTTGGCTGTGCAATAGGCGCCGCGATAGCGAAAGAGGCGAATACGGCAGCGGAAAAGGTAGTGAAGCGCATGTTGAGAAATGGTATGTTCTGAGACTATCTGGAGGGAGTTCAGATGGTGGTCTTTAGCTTGGACAGGCCGTCAGTAGCTATCAGGGTTCAGGAGCTTTAGCATCGACAATGTCGGAAGTAATTAGGGAAAAAAAGCACGTCAGCATTGCTGCTTTTATTTCCGTCTTCTTCCTCTTTATTTTTGAGATAAGCTCTGGGTATCACCTCTGATCCGCGACGTGCCATCAGGCAATTTCTCTAGACACATGCATACGTTGTCTAGGGTCGGCTGCCATATTAACTCTCCCACGTACAGAAATTCCAAATCACAATTTACTGCCTGTGCTTTTGAGCGCCTGCATACCGTTAGGAAAAAGATTTGCCGCAGACAGGCAGGAAAGGTCCTTCGGATATTGTCCAGCAGAAACAGCTGTTGGTCCGGAATGCAGACGTTACTAATGCCATCCTAAAGGATCAGACAATGATTATAAGTCCGATACGGTATACCATTAGTACGTATCCGATAAAACGATTTTCGGAAATTCGGAATTTCGATTTCCCCCCCCTAAAAAATAAGGCTACTACCATAAGGCTATAATAAAAATTCTACCCCTCTTTTAAATTAAATTAAGCTTCTACTAAAGTATTAATATAATTCGTCCGAGGTCTTCGATTAATAATTTTAAGCAGGAGATTATTAATCGCTAGTTAATTAATAAATCGATTAATTCTATTTATACCTACTTAACTAGCTATATTAATATAACTCGTCGTATATTAAAAAGAAGATTAAAAGAATAGGAACTATATCGACGGCTTCGGACGATTATTACTAATAAAGTTATCCAATTAATTCGATACCTTATCTTCCATTATAGATATAAAGATGCTTCCATTATACGAAACCTATATCGAAATAGCATTAAATTAAGTCCGCGAGGATTATAGATTATACGACTAAAGCATAGTATAAAACGACGATACCGTACCGACGAAGAGAGGGATATTATATTATAATAGGCCCGAGAGTTCATCTAAAACCATACTACCTATAATACTTCGATAAAAAACTATAAACGGTTATACTTCTATAAGTTTATACGATTCCAAGCCGGTATCCTTATAGGAAAGAACCGCATTTATAGGATATATAAAGAACTATATCCCGACTAAGTTAACTACCGACGCTATATTAATTAAACCTTTCGTATAGACTTTAAGGTTCCCGGTCTAAATTAGCTATGGTCCTTAAATAGCTATGCTAAGTTAATAAACTTTAGATTTTAGGTATGCCCTCGTACGTATTAAATATATTTAACCTAACTTTAATTTTAAATATATATATATATAAATACATACTCTCGTCTCATTATCTAGATATATATTAAACGTTCTATAACTACGGCTATTAGTATATTAAAGTAATACCTACGTACGATTATTACTAGCGAGGTTCGGCTATGCTTTACTCGCGCCGATCATAGTATCGAAACACTACTTTTTACCGGTACCTAAGCTACTTTAACTAAAGCTAGTAAAACTATAATCCCGTATAAAGATAAAGAAGGTATTTAGCGGTTTTATCGATAAGAAAATCGTTTATCTTTAGTATATATATAAGGGCTTAGTATCTATAATATTAAGATCGAGTCCTAGTTTCGGCGATTCCGTAAAAGTAATACTAATAAATGAATTATAAGTTATATTTATATATCTCTTCGTCCGAAATTAATATATACCTAAGCATTTAAAATAGAACTCATTAATAATGATTTATTTATCTCGTCCGACCCTATCGACCTTATTACGGTATATATAATCTATAGCCTAATACTTTAAAAAAAATTCGCAGAATTTATTAAAGTATAAAATAGCCATTAAATTCGAACGCAAAAGAACCGACCATACGTACGACCAGGTATTCCATATAACCTCTATAATATAAATAAGGTTCCGAATTATAAAATCCCTATTAAATAAGGCTCGGCTACGTACGAAACCGTATAGGTTATATATATACCTTTAAAGGATATCGAAATCGACGAATTTATAACGGCAGAAACTATGAAATAATATAAAGCTATATTAAATAAATTAGGTTTCGATAGATAGCTTCGGACGAAAGAGGATATAATTCGGCTACATTTAAAAACCTATATCCGGCTTCGAGAACGCGTACGAGCCTATATATTATCTAGTATCGAGCCTTATCTTTAACTTATTAAACCTCCTATAAGTAATATAGAACTTTATATAAATTAAAGTCTTTATTTATACGACCTCTTTAATAATAATTAGGTTTCTTTACTTTAATTACTTTAATAAAACCATCCATTATTTACGGACGATAATTTACGTAAAGATATAATACCATCGACTATTCTTTAGTAAGTTTCGTAAATATAAAATAAGGATATAAATAAAAAGGAGTTATAATTATACGAAATAAAAATAATAAAAATAAATAAATAAAATACTTTAAGCCTCGTTTAATTACTAATACCCTTATAGGTTACTTTTTAAATGCCCTACGAATATTAAATACTAAACCATTATCGTACGTATACCTACTAGATATAAATTAAGGCATATCCTTCTACTTCTCTTTCTACTTCTCCTTTTACTTCTCCTTCTACTTTTCTCTTTATTTCTCTTTCTCCTTTTTCTTTTGCCTTTCCCGTACTTAGTTTTCATATTCCCGAGCTATATCCTCTATAAAAGGCATATCTAATTCGCTATTAAAGCTAAAGAGCTATAGTCGGGATTTCTTAATTATACGAAGCGTCGGGATAGAATTTATTCTTAAACGTTTAGAGTTAGGTAAAGTAGTTAACTTTCGAATCAGGGATTCTTATCGTTACTACTACTAAAATACCTCGTCTTTAAATTCGTTTTTATATCTATCGTTCGCTTCGTCGCTTTATTCTTCGTCGCTTTATCCTCCGTCTTTAAATCCTTCTTCTTCGACGTATAAAGAGAATAATTCCATAAAATTCGTAATAATAATAGTAAATAGTCGATTAGATTTTTCTATCTTAATCTTTATACCATTACTTACGGTAAGGGGTTATACGATAATAAAGTCTTCGTTAAATCGTTCTACCGTAGCTTCTCGTTTTATTTTAGGTACCGTACGACCGCTTTTAATCTCTAGAAAACGTAGGAGCGGGTAGAAGTAAAAAGCGATAGGAATTCGTTTATATTCTATCGATAGAAATAAGGCTATCGGCGGATAAAAGAGGTCTCGGATCGTCCGAATAAGGCCGCTAGGAAATAAGAGGTCTACTAGTCCTTTCTTAGTATAACTCCGAGCTAATATAAATTTCTATTACTCTCTAAATACTTAAGGAATCGGCTCTTTATTTAAGTACGGTCGTATAAAGTATCGGACCTAATGTTCTTTAGTTTAATCGGGGCTATCTCGAAAATAAAAGACGAAAAGTTCGATAAATTCTAAATAGAAATATTAATATAAGATAATATAAGAATAAAAACTTTTTTTAATACGTACGAATAAATCGGACTTTAGACGTCTCGGGCCATCCGTATTTATTATTTTATATCCAAATAATCTAGATCTCCATTTTTAAAGAGATAGTATATTTATTACTAAATCCTAATTTCCTATATCTTTTCGCCGCTTTAGCGAGGTCTTATATAGACCTTCGTACGTTATTAGAAATATTCTTTATAAGATTCTATAATCGGTCGCGAGAATACTATTAACTTATCGGACGAGGTATAAGAAGACCTAAAAGCAAATTACTAATCTATCGGTATTTCTAAATATTAATTATTTAGGTAGCTATATTAAACTACGTACGATATAAAGAGAACGTAAATACATTCGAATTCGTATCTCTAAGTCTATTATTCTCGAAAGAATCGTATCTAAAGGGATCTTCGACTTTATTATTAATAATAATAGGAATAGGCTAATAATATCTATAGAATAAATACCTCGTTCCTCTAAATAATTAACGGATTTAAGAATACGTACGAAAAGGCCGACCATCTTAATAAGATTAAAGGCATATAGCCTCTTAAATATATATTCGTATCGCGTACGATAATCTATAAATGAAATATCGGTATATAAAGAAAAGAGGTATTTTTTAAATGAGAAATAAGGAGAAATAAAGTTTTACTTACGCTATATTAAGAAATAAGTATAGCGTAGAATTATCTATACTAAGCTATATTTATTCTAAAAACTTAAGATATATAAGAGCGGTAAGACTAGGTAGAAATATTTAGTAAATAATATAATAAAATTATCGTACGTATATTAATCGGGGCGAATTCTCGGGACCGCTATCTTATATAAAGTACCATATAGCGTAATTCTAAAACTTATAATAAGTATATAAGCTATTAAAGTAGCCGCGTAACTTAATATAAACCGGGAACGGCTAGTTATATCTATCTAAATATCGTACGGCTTATTTATAATAAGTACGATATATTATTAGGACGGCTATACCTTTATTAATAATAAGTAAAGCATTAATATAACTCGGCCGGTATAATAATACTTACGTTAATATTAGCGATTATCGTACGATAATTATAAGGAGATTAAATAAGGCTAATATAGAACGCTATAGGTTATTATAATAAAACTATACTAACTCTTATCTCTTAATAGGTATAAAGATTAAAGAGAATCCGCTTAAATATTAGTAGGAGCCGGCGGAGCGGGCTAATTATTCTTAGTTATCGTACGTATATTAAACATTAGATATCTTACTATAATAATTACGTTTAAGAAAGGGATTAAGGCTTAGTTATTATTATTCTAGTTCTTCTAGTTATTCTAGTTATTCTAGTTTCTATATAGAAGAGATATTAGAAATACTTTATAATAAAGGGATTATAGATACGTACGAAGATATAATAACAATAAAGATAAATAATATTAAGAAAGGAAAAAAATAATAATCGAACGAAATAAAAAAAGAAAAAAGAAAATAAAGAAAAAGAAAAAGGAAAGAAAAAGAGAAAGAGAAAAGAAAAGATATATAATAAAAGAATATAAAGATAGCTATATAAAATTTAATTTAAATAATAATTATTCCTCATACGAGGATATATTTCTATAACCTTATTAATATTTCCTTTTTCTTCTTTCTTTTCTTTTCGTTTTTTTCTTTTCTTTCCTTCTACCTCGTTTAATTATTATTCTTTTTCTCTTTTAATATTATCTTTATTTCTATTAATATTATATCTTCGTACGTATTTATAATTCTTATAATACTAAATATATAAAATAAAGGTTATTATTATATTAAACGATATAATAAGAAGGTAGAATAATAAAAAGGTATAGGAATAACTATATAGAGTTTAATTTAAATAATAATTACGCGAATAACTATATAGAATTTAATTTAAATGGTAGTTAATTACGTAAAGAACTATATAGAATTTAATTCAAATAGTAGTTACGTCTCGTATAAAGATAATCTAAATAATAATTACGTAAATAACTATATAGAATTTAATTCAAATAATAATTACGTCTCGTATAAAGATAATCTAAATAATAGTTACGTAAATAACTACATAAAATTTAATTCAAATAATAATTACGTCTCGTATAAGGATAATTTAAATAGTAATTACGTCTCGTATAAGGATACATTTCCATAACCTTATTAATATTCCTTCTCTCCTTTCTCTTCCTTCCTCTTTTCTCTCTCCTTCTACTACGTCCGATCATCTCTCTCCCTCTCTTAATATCGTTTCTCTCCCTCTCTCTTAATATTATCTCTCCCTCTCGCCATTATATCTTCATACGTATTTATAATCCCTTCATTACGAAGTATTACTAACATCTCTTCTATATAAAAACTAAAATAACTAAAATAACTAAAATAACTAAAATAATAATAACTAAGCCTTAATTCCCCTCCCGAGCGTAACTATTATAGTAAGATATTTAATATCTAATATACGTACGATAACTAAGAATAATTAACGCGCTCCGCCGGCTCCTACTAATACCTAGGCGGATTCTCGGGTCGCTATTCGTTAGAACTTACTAACCTTAATCCTCCTACTTATTAAGGAATAGGAGTTAATATAATTCTACCATAATAACCTATAACGTATTATATTAACCTTACTTAATCGCTTTATAATTATCGTACGATAATCGTTAATACTAGCGTAGGTATTATTATACCGGCCGAGCTATATTAATACTTTACTTATTATAAGTAAAGGCACGGCCGTTCCGGTACCGTATCGTACCTATCGAAAATAAGCCGTACGATATCCGGACGAATATAACCGGCCGTTCCCGGTCTATATTAAGTTACGCGGTTACTTCGGTAATTCGTATGCTTATTATAAGTTCCGGGATTACGCTATACGGTACTCCGTACGCAACGGCGGTCCCGAGGATCCGCCCCTAAATAACGCCCTTCCGCCGCCGCCGCCCGTATAACTAGCTAATTAAATAATAAAACTAACCTCGTCCGACGAAAAAGGAACGGTAAATTACCTAATAGTAATAAATTAACGTAAGTATATATTTCCTTCATACGAATCCTTCATATAAGCCCTTTTTATAAGATTTCTAATTTAGTTTTATAGTTTAAACCTTACTTTATTTTCATTTTAAACGGCGAATTTAATTTTAAAAGGGAAAAGAAATTAATTTAACGTTATAAAGTTCTAGTGGTTTTTTTTTTTTCGAGGTAAATATTTCCGAAAATCGTTTTATCGGATACGCACTAATGGTACACCGTAGTCCGAAGCCAGCCTTGTACGGTGGCACCGTAGCCTTATGTGGTTGGCCATATATTATACTAGGCGGTCAAGAGACCTTCGGATGTTCGGATAGAGAAGGAAGTATTACAAGCCGTTGATGGGCGTCCAATTAGATAGGTAACTAGGGGTTGCTCGACCGTCTTTTAGCGAGGCTCGCGTTTCGTTCTACGCTTCTTCGGCGTTTCGCGTAGTAAGCAAGAGAGTCGTGTAACATATCAGGGAAAGAGAAAATGGCGAGAAGGGATGCGAGGGTGCGGCGGCAACGATTTGGGGCGGATTGCTAACGATTACACGATATTAGGGGGGGGAAGGGGGACGGGGGTTTCCTTCGGTATCGTCGGGATACCTACCTGGGCTGCACGGCTTGTAACAAGCTCGTCCCATTCCACCAGGACATAATCAAAGCCACGGTTTTGCAAAGAGGCACAGCGAGGCTCGAGAGACAGACACAGAGCAACGTCAGAGGGCAGGCTTATGGCTAGTTGATTTACGTGGTATTAACTAACTATCTCAGACCCTCCTAACCACCAAAGTTGGCCCCAGCCAAGAAATATAGTAGTCGTAACCTCCTAGCCTTGCTTAGAGCAGAGCCGGAATGCCATACTTTTCAGCTTGTAGTTGTGCAATTGCCGCCACAGCTGCGTTGCATCCGCTGGAGATGGCAGCATTGGCCGCTTTGTACGGGTTGACAGCGTCGCCGGCGGCGAAGACTCCGCGGACGCTTGTCTGAAAAAAGGGGCCGGCGGCCTGGATATCGCCTATAGGCGAAAGCGCGAGGCCGAGCTGCTCGACGAAACTACCATTAACGCCGGTCTTGGGGTTGTGGACGAGGAATGTCTCGTGGTTTGTAGAACCATCGGCGAACTCGATGGTCAGTGAGCTCCCGGTATCTACGAAGCGCTTTATCGGGCGCGAATCAACCTTGAACTTGGCCTTGGCCGCTGCGGCAAGCGGGGTGAGCTTCGCGGCGAACTCGTCGTTGCCGTGGGTGTACAGCGTGACCTCCTCGCTGAGTTGAGCTGCGTTGCCGGCCATGTAGATGCCCATTCCGGGATCGATGGGCGGTACGACCAGCACGCCCGTCGACTTGGCACCGCGGTCCTCGTAACCGAAGCAGAACAGGCAGTGGAAGCTTCACGGCGCAGTATTGCTATCAGCATCGGGAAGTTACAGGCACGGATGGGGGATTGCCTATGTCGCATTTCCACTTACATGCGCCGAGCCCAGGCCTCCTGGTAACCTTCGATGTCCGGGAAGGCATCGGCCGTGCCGACAGCGAGGATGATCTTGCGGAAGTCATATTCGTTGCCGGACTCGTCAACCACACGGAAGTGGGCGTCGCTCTTCTTCTCGATCTTGGAGACCCCCAGATCGACGAAGCGGACGGTCGAGTAGCGAGCTAGGATGTCCTCCTTGATCGTGTTGCGGAATGCGCTGGGGTCCTTGTGATCCCAGGTGGGAACCATGTGCATGTGAGAGGACTTAGCATTGCGATATTTGCCGTTGTCGAAGACCACGGCGGTGTGGAGCTGGCGCACTATGGTAGCCGCAGCAGTCAGTCCTGCCGGGCCACCTCCGATGATGGCAACGTCAACGAACGCCATGACGGCCAGAAGCTGTCCGTGAGCAGGGTGAAGTCGAGAGAAGCAGAGCGTGATGGGCGCGTTGCTTCCGAGGGACGAGAGAAACGAGTGTGTCTAGCGCTTCCCACACCACATTCCGGCGGTTCCTAGGAGCGTTATTGTATCGTAGACCACGGCGGGTTGGCTGGCGGGAGCTCGGGAATATACCTAGGTATGCCGTGAGATGGCACCGCAGGGAGGAAGATTTGGACTACTCGTTGGAGCTGTGTAACGCATGGACAGCACATTAATAATACTACGCAGTACCGTAGCAGTAGACTACGGAGACATCACCCGTGCCTCAATATCGCTAGCGAACCAACACGTCGTCTATCATCACCTATCGTGTTCCACAGTCCTGTTTCGTGTTGGCGATTCTCCTTTGAGACCCCCTCCCTTCCGAGATATAGCAAACAAACCAACCAACCTGTCGTAGTGGCTGTGCCGTCTTAGGGCATGGCGTTACGGGGCAATTTCGGCTGAGTCTCTTGCGTGTCGAAAACAACCCCAGTCATCGAGTCTCTGGTCTCAGCAAGCCTCTGATAATTCTGCCCGCCGTCTGGTCTTACCTTCCAGCCAGGCGCCTGGGTGCGCCGTGTGTGTGCAGGCTGCGCTAGCATGGCGTATTAATAGTATATTTCCTCTTCTCTTTCTTTCTTTTTCATACTATCAGATGGTGGCACCAGGCGGCTCTTTGCTCCCGGCATCCCGAATGCGTTGAACATGATGGACCACCGTGTTAGAGAGGCGGAATCATTTTTAGAAATCGTGCCTCTCGACGCGTTTGCCCTTAAATAGGTATCTAGCTATTCATGCGCTTATACTCGTGGACGTGTTGAGTAACAATTGTTGCCCTTCATAGCCTGGCTTCCCTAGGTCTGCCTACCCACGGCAGCACAGTTTTCCCCTCGTCATAATCCCCCCTCACCGGCCGCCACATGATCGCGATAGGCTCCGCATGCAGCCCTCGGACAAGGCGTATCCATTCCTCACTAGGGATCTTCTCTTTGTCACTCCGCGCGAAGTACCGGAACACCATAACCGGGCGCTCGAGTAGGACGAAGCCCTTTTGCAGGTACAGGGGGGTGCCGATGGCGCTACCTTCAAGAAAGCACTCGACGGAAAGTGCGTCGGCTTTCTCTGTGAAGTAATCCATCACAACCGCAGCAGCACCGAGATGTCGGAAAGCAGGGAGGACCCAGAGCGCTTGGCCATCTAGGATATGTAAAGAGGCGCGGTTAGCCTATGTAGCCAGTAAGGAAGCTCGAGAGCCTACTCTTATGGTAGGTGTGTCGTGACATAGGGGGCCATCGCGACGAGAAGGCGTTGGACGACCACTTACATAGATGCGGCCTGTCTGTCATGATTCGCGGGTGCCAACTCCTCATCTGCAGATAAAACTGGCGCATCAAGATGTCACGCTCCGAATTGGCCGGGTACCCCAATCCCGGAAGCTTTATTTCGGGTAAGCCGCTGTCACCATTATTAGCACTGGGGTTGGGTTTGGGGGCGCCCTCTCGGACTATCGTGAAGGCCCCTCCTCCGACGATGGAGGTGCGGCCAGTCACGCTACGATCCTCGATCTTGAGCCAGCATTGGTCGGGATTCTGACGGGCTTGTTCCAGATAAGCTTCCTTGGCGGCGTGGTATGAGGCCTTCTCGCGGGGGCTGTCCTCCCCGAGCCAGGGGAACGTCAGCATGCCTGTTACCTGCAGAGGATCCTTCCAGGACTCCCAATATGTAGCGAACAGGTCATCCCAATCTGTTTGTCGGCCGAGGTCGACAGGCTCGGCGTGGAACTTGGGCGTGCCGTGCATGGCGCCCCGATCGCGTGGGGTGTATGAGGCTAGAATGATACGGTCAAGGTTGGACGCGAGGAGGGTCGAGCGTGAGAGTTGAGCGATGAGAACCTACTGAGTGTTTTGTCGATTCTTCCTCGGGCGTATGTTGTGACCTTTATATAGATATAGCAAATACTGGCTCTTAGTATCGGGTTTGTATACTATACAAGCCATGCTATCTCCCTACCTCAGCGGCCTGCTTTAGCGAATGCCACTACATTATTATCTCATCGCTTACGCGCCCACTTTCCACGGTGGTTAAAAGCGAGTCGCTAGGGTGCTAAACTCGTTTTCTCGGGGGAGACTTCAATGAAGCTAAGCTATAAGAGACAATTACCCGGGGGAAGCCACCTGTAGGTAGGTATAGTTACATATACCCTTAGTTCCAATATAATGCCATATTCTTATTCAGGCCGGAGAACTATTTGGCCCTGGCTCCATTACATCGACAAAATAATGATGCTCCTTCGCCGGGTGACTGCCGTGATACCCTTCCCCGAATGACGGCAACGGTTCCAAGGGATGGAAACTGTTGTCCTGGCCCATATTTATATGCTTTCTGCCCCCCGTGCCTCCGCTGGAGACGGTTTCGCGAGTTCTAGAAGAGAATGGTCGGACCAGATTTGACCAACTAATTCCTTTAGTCAGTCTCGGCCAGAGTTTGGGATCGTGAAGCAGGAAGCTCATAGTCGGAAGGTTGATGGCTATAGTGGCAAGCCCGCACTCGACCTGGGTCCAGAAGTACAACGTGGTAACGACTTCTATGTGTGAAAGAATAATAATGAGTTCATGGGGATGCTAAACGGTGATGGTAGTGGTAACCAAGATGGCGTCAGATAGAAAAGAGGAAACGTACGATCGGGATCATATCCTGCTCCGTATCCCATGTCTAGCACGATTATATGTATTGCTAGACGTGTTACGCTGGCTGCGAGGGTCATGGTGCCAACAAGAAAAACGCCGGTAACTGCAATCCTTTTCCCCAGAGACATATTCAAGCGCCAAATCTAATGCGGCTGTCAGCAAGTTTAGACAGAGGAGGCTGTTTCGAGAATGGTCAAACCCACCGAGGGGATAGGGAACACTAGAATAAAAAAGTCCAAGATGGGATCCGAGATAAGGTTGGCCTTCTCAGGGGTAATCCCATCGCAGCCGGAGGCCTCGAGCTGCTGAAGCGGGCCCCAGTGAAGGGCAACGTTCTTCCCGCAACCGAAGATGAGCGCCATCAGGAAGGAGATAGACCACAGGTTAATGATCACAAGGAGAACGGCAGACGACCAGTCGAAGACAGTCCCCCGGTGGCCGATGAAGACGCGCCGGAAAAAAAAGACGGCACTAGACTTGACGAAAGCAAACTGGAAACATTGCAGAAATTGGAAGGCGAACTCGATTTTTGCTATGGTAATGTAGGCCGCGTTGAAAAGGGAGTAGGCCTCGCTCGCTTCGGTGCCGTCCGGGACGGGCATCGGATAACCCATGACGCCTAACCGCTCGCCGGTCATCAAGCTGGCGCCCGTACCGATGAGGAAGAAAACTGCGAAAACGGCCGTCCAGTCGTCTGGGCCGAGTTGTTGCTTCTTGTGCCGGCGGACATAAAGACGGCCACTGACCAACGCGATGCAGACGAGTGGGAAGACTAGGCCTGCCGCAAACACCTCACCAGGTGTCACATATCGAAACGGTACCGGGGTCCACTGAGTGGCCATTTTTATTACCACTGTTAAGAGATATGAAGGGCAGGTTTGAAGGGAAAGATTTGGCTGGTGTCTTGCTCATTCGTGTCTGATTGATTTTTCGCGGCGTCCCCTAGTCTGTTAGGAGCTTAGATATATCCAAGCCAACGCCAGTTCCATAGGGGGCGGTGGCCCGAGCAGATCAAGAGACGAAGACTACGCCGTATTACCAGAAATACAACTACTCGACTCTTAGCTCGAGTTTAAGCAGGATAGGTCCGTGGAACAAGAAGCAAGGCTATGGCTACGGCACAGCAAGCTACTAAATCTGAACATGGGTATATGCCCTCAAGCCGCCTCCATCTCTCGCATTCGGGTACGAGTTGATTGGGAGCCTTGTTCTCATCTGATAAAAACGGCACCGTTACCATGTAAGCTGTAACCAAGCCAACAACACCACCTTCCGAGCCAGCGACACTCACTTTCAGGCAGACTGAAACTTCTGTCACGGCCTGGCTATGGTTCGGCGTTTAATTTATTCTACCCTACCTAGGTGATCCTTCTGCACTGCGCTTACCACTGGTAGCTGTCGCCTGAAAGTTGGCGAGACTATCATTTAGTGGTATTGAACATGCTCGCGTAGGAAGGTTGTCCAACGAGAAGCACGTTTACGCCTTATCATAGGATGATTTTAACTCCAAAAGCTACCGTAAGTCTCATGAATGCATGTAAGACGTTGCGGCCCTTATTCGGCCGTCACCATAAGCTGTGGATTTGGGGGCATGTAAGCCTCCATGCAGATCATATATTGATGGCGGTGGCTCATGGGCGGCTCTTACAGAAGACCCGGGGGGTGTGGAGGTAGTAATATCGACTTTGTTCCCTATTCACCACGTACTAGATAGGAGGCCCGGGCCTGCTGAGGCGGAAGAGAAGTGCGTGTAACCTAGCTGCATCTTTCCGTGAACAAAACGTAGAGGGGTTACATCCACGAGGGGTGCGAGGTGGTAGGGAACTCGGGTGGCCAGTGTACATAGACTCTTGGCTTGGTTAAAGGCTTCTTCGACTTCTTTTCGTGAACTATAGCCTCTCACCCTCCCCCATCGATCCAACCTAGCCAAGCGGAGCTTTCGGGGGGCCAAGAAGAAAACCCGCTTTAGCTCATCCATTCTAACACCCTGAATTTCTACGGACCAGGCGCTATCCCTCTTTAATAATGGAAACTCTTGAGTCCAAATACCATCTTCTCAGCCACGAGGATGATGAAAACGAATATCTGCCGTCGCAAGTGGCAGAGGGTAACCGCTGCAAGCCAACTAGGACGTCAAACCGCTTTATCAAATATCGTAAGCGATGGCTATGGCATGGCGTGACAGTACTTATCGCGGTTGTCTGTACAGGTGTGAGTTTTTGGGGGGGGCTCGAAGTTGGAAAGAAATTAACAACGACGCCGCCTTGCGAAACTCCTTACTGTAAGTCTAAACTTGAACGGACCTTAGTATTCTAGGGCGCAACTGGGACACAGGACCGGGAGCTAATCGCGTGTAAACCTCGTACTCTTAGTGAAACTCACCTATAACCAGCCACATACCATCTGGTGGAACACCGAGTTCAGCAACGCTTCCCACACAGCTACTGACGCTGAGATCGATGCCCTCTGGGACACTCAGATCCCGTGGGAACGCGGCATCATCGCAATTCGCTTCGAGGAGGCACACGCCATGGGGCTACCCAGGTCACAGCCTTGGCCCTGGGACGGTCGCAACAAGGGCATTTACATTATGAACGCTCACCACCTGCTGCATTGTGTGCGTATCCTGTATATCTCCATCCAGCAATTCCGTCGCGGCACCCAGCAGACTATCGCCTACACCCACGTCCTGCACTGCCTGGATAGCCTGCGCGTCGAGGTGATGTGCCACGCAGACGACACCCTGCGATACGTGCCCGTCAATGGCGACCCGCCTGACGGAAGGTACCCCGGTGATGGCCAGGAGCGAGCGTGCAGAGATTGGAAGGTTGTGTCGGACTTTGTCGAGTCTCACGACCCCTGTTATCGCTACGAGAACCCAGGCGACGAGGACTACCCGAACCTCGAGCGCTTTAAGTTCTGTCCGCCAAACTCGGAGTATTTGCCCCTAATCCGGCAATATTTTGGCTACCCGGACGACTGGACGCCTGCGGATCGAGAGGGTCCTAGGGAGTTAGACTGGTGAGAATCCGACTGCTTTGGCTCAGTCTTACTCCTACTCTGATGGTCACAAACGTTATCAGCGAACCATTCCCACAAGCGACACCTCGATCTTTCTATTTGTTCGGCCTGGTTATGAAACTTCCTCGGTCACCATCGTAGCGGGTTGCTTCGCTTGGGCAAGTGGTCTGTGGCTGCGCAGGGTTTGGGCGAATATTGGTCGGTATTCTAGTTCACTACGGCCAAATACGGAAGAACGGCAAGAGGTGATGGTGCTTTAGTTACTCTTTCATTCCCCAATGCACGGGACGAATCCTGAAGATCAGGTACCCAAGGTAGTCTTATTAACTAAGATATGTCGAAGCACTTCGCTACGATCTGCGCTGCTCCGTTACGTTTTTATCGTAAGTGCCCTCCCGAAGGTTAAGGAAAAGGGGGTGCGAAGAAAGCATAAGTAATTTTCAGCAACTCATAAGTAAAGCTAGGTGGTAATTTTATTAGTAAATCCGTGTTTAAATTTGTATTGAAGATTGCGTAACTAGGTAAATAAGAATTTACTACGTCCTCGTAATTCTCCTTTAATAAATAAAATGAACGAAGGTTTTTTTTTCAACCGCTATTATCGTCGCTTTATTCAAGTTAAAACTTTTGTCACTTAGAGAGCCACCTATACTTAGCTCTCTACCTCTTCACTGGTTGGTCACTTACCTAACCGAGCTCGCAGCAGCTCGTTTATTTAACATAGCTCGTAGCTCGGTATTGTGTATATATAATAGGTAGCTCGCATCTCCTTTGTTCATTTCCTTCCTAGTTAGCTAGTTAGTCAATTCAACTTCTTCATCCCACATTCCGTTGCTCCCATAGCAGAGCAACCTCAGCCCCATACGTAGCTCTCCCGATCTATGTAATAACCTTTCTTTATATATGTGCTCTTACGTTAATACCGGAAAAGGCTGTCTCCTTCCGGTTATATAACTGCTTGCTATTCCTATCACTACAGTCTAGATATCTGTCACGTGGCAATTGAACCAGCCCTTATATGCCTACATACCGCAAAGCGTAAATGTAGGCGTCTACGTTTTACGCGACAATATCATATACCTAACTATGCCATGATACGATTCAAGTAGGATGTATAACGAGGAACAAGTTTAGCATCTCGTAGCGGATTACTGGCAGCAGATTGGTGTATTGGTGACCTTATCTAGAAGACATACCTACCTACCTACCTACCATATTCGAAACGTCTTCAAAGGGGAGGGGGGAGGGGGGCTGTCGAGTATGCAGTCTTTGGTTCCGAAGCTCCCGACGACAAAGCCGGAATAAGACTACAGGTGAGAGAGTAGCAAACCGGGTAAAGGCTAATCCGTCCGATTTATAGCTACCCACCAAGAGATGATTTCGCATCTCCAAGCTATTCCGATAGACTAGACGCCGCAGTTGAGAACAAGCCTACTCTACGGAATGGGCGGCGAACCGGAAATAATTAGGCTAAAGGCCACCCGGGAGGACCAGTAAAACAAGAAATAAACCGGAGTGCCCAAGGACAGGGGGAATTATCCTAGAAGGGGCCCACCCATTCTTAGCAGTCCCAACGCCACTAGTGTCCATCCGTGTCCCTTTCCTCCCAGAACGGGTTCGCTTCTTTGTCTCATCAAGTCAATACTAGATCCTGCAGGGTCCGGATGTCGTAGACATCGGCCTCCTGCTCCAGCACACAGACACTCTCGCGAGTCACTGCTCTGTCTCGAGGGGATCGTACCCGGGGCCGTCGTCCTCGACGAAGCGCCAGACCCGGCCGTCGGCGCCAGTGCCGCGGAACACGACCCGCACGTTCCGGGCGCGGCGCTGGAGCTCGTCGCGGCTCTCGATGGCGGTGGCGGGACTCTCGGTGCCCGGGCCGCCGAGCCGGTGGTACAGCAGCGCGAGCGGCGACGACTTGTAGTCCTGCGCGCTGCCGGGGGCACGGCGCGTGCGGCCTACGGTCCAGGCCAGGAAGGCGATGGTGCCGGCGACGAGGCCGAGCGGGTAGGCGAGCCAGCCCCAGCGCGCGCTGACGCAGGTGTCGGCGCAGAAGACGAGGCCGGGCACGCCGGCGCCGCGCGTGCTGGTCTCGCGCGTGTGGACGGTGAGCGCGTGCGCGAGGCGCGCGAACGCGTCGTCGACGCTCGCCAGGGTGACGTTGCCCTCGGCGAAGATGGTCTGGAGCAGCGGCGGCCCGCCGACGGCGCTGGTCGCGAACCCGACGACCCCGGCGAACATGGCGCCGAGGTACGACGTCAGGCTGTACAACTGCGACCGCCTCGTCTGGTAGATGCACTCGGGGCGCACGGTGGTCTTGGTCCCGTTGAGGATGCCGGCGGCGGCGTCGAAGGCCTCGGACGCCTGCGACGACAGGTTGTACGTGAGCCACGGCGTGCTGCCGTCGTCGGCGAACTGGTAGCCGGCGCGGCGCAGCGCCGCCTTCTCCTCGGCGTTGGTGCACGACATGTCGACCGCGTTGAGCCAGAACTGGTCCCCGTACCAGCTCTGGAAGGACGACACGACCGTCTCGGTCAGCCGGCCGTTACTCACGGCGGCGGTGTAGCTCCGCACGCACGGGTCGACGGTACACTGCGCGGCGCCGTACCCGCGGACCCCCCACGGCGTATCGGCTAGCTTAGGGCCCGTGCCGTTAACCGACCACCCGAGAACGAGCTGGATCGCGGGGCCGTCCTGGTCTACGACGAAGGTCCGGTAGCCGGGGATCGCGGTAAGCCCCGAAGGCAGGGTAAAGTTAAGGCCGGGCCCCGGAGATCGCCCGGGCAGGATTCTCAGCTGACTTGAGATGTCCTCGCAGCGGCTGCACCATCCCATGGAGTGGTATACCCCATCGAACGTACAGTTCCCCGTCGGACATAAGTAGTACAGCGGCCTCGGATCGGTGTTGTATATCCCGCCGTTCATTACGGCCTGCACGCGCGGGTCGATGCTATTCAGGCCCGGGCCGATATATATCGAGGTACCGGCGTTGCCTAGATTCGTCTTCGGGATAAACGCGCTAGCAGAAAGATCTGGAATCGTGCACGAATAGAATCTAACGATCTACTGCCTGTACAGCTTGCAAGTCAGTAACAGTCCCCCCCCCCTTCTGCCCCCTCGGTACATACGGATACTGGTTGCACTCACGCAAACGGAACCATGGGAAGTGTTAATATCATCAGTACTGCTCCGAGACACGGCAACACCGCGCTAGAAAATGACATGCCGTTAGAACTACGTACCGTAGCATAGTAATCGTATGGAGGACGAGGTAAATCTCACCTCAGGCGCAAAGCCCACAAGAGCCTAAACGCGCCCCAGGGTCCGCGGGACGCGTCATCATAACGGTCCATATACTCTAGGGACCGCGGTTTCAAGAACCAGCTCCATTTCAGCTAGCTAAGGCCTGGTTGCGGGATATCCTCGTCAGCTGGCTTCGATCGTCTGCTTGGTGGGCTGGGGAGGCCTTATAGTCGGCCGTCTTCTTACCTTCGGCGATTATTAAGACGACGGCCTTCGGTGTTGGCTTTTGCGACGGATGCAGAAAAGAGCCCCGGGAGTCGTCATCCTGGGTGCTAAGTATAGTACTGCCCAGAGGCGGCGCGTGCTCTATCCATACTTACAGTTAGCTAAACCGACCCCATAGAGTATAGGGACGGGCTGCGAGGCGTGGTGGGCCAGCACTCAATATCAAAGAACACATCGCTTACTCGGAGCCAGTCCTATCTTAGCTAGAGTCCTCCCTGTCCAGGCGGTAGCCGTAGATCTTGGCCGACCTACTAGCTTCTGATTGTGACCTTCCATTCCGCGACCCGAGAGGTTTTGAGGCTAGTTATGCAGAGATCGCGAAGGTGGAAAGAAGATGTTGGGAGGGTTCGGTGAGACATGTTGGGTTTTTAGCACGTACCTACTGCCTGGCCGTCCTTGAAATCTATTCAGAGCTTGACCAAGTGTCTACAGGGGTGCCGCTGATGAGGCGTATCACCGGCCACTCAAGAATCGCTATATACGTAGCACAGTTACGTTTTCGGCCCCCAAGGCCCAGCACGGGGGCGAACTGCTACGCGGTCAGCCAGAGAGACACCGCTTCCTATACGCAGGCCCCATATTCGTTGCTAGGACGCCACGAGAACATCCAGTCCAATCAGATGCCTACGCCGTATTGCGACTCTCGCTCAGACAGCGTCCGTAGCCCTGCTGCGTCAGCTGGACAAATCCTAGAACTTGATGCTCCATAACGGCTGTCTCACAAGTGCTACGTTGTGAAGGCTCTGCTGCATAGGTACTTATGGAAAACGCCAGGGCTCGGGGCGATCTTCAGCCCTAACCCCAGTTTCATAACCGGCGATCCTCATGTAGCGCTACCTTGGTGTCAAGAGCGTGAGAAGGGTCACCGACAGATCCTTGTCTAGGCATCTCAAATCGAATGTCATATAGATCTTCCACTTCCCCACCTATGTATTAGGAGACCGTCAACCCCGAAGCAAATCCTCCGCCACGGCAGCGCTCTCAAACACAACTAGCAAGTGGAATAAAGGATCATTGGCTCCCCTGCTAGATCGTTCTAAGTCCTTGGCGGTCCCGATGACATGGGACACGATATGCGCTTGCAAGCCTCCGGCTCTTGGTCCTTGGCCGCCAAGACAGGTAGGTGCTAATTTACCCAGCAGTAGGCAAGCAAATCAGTCTTAAGCGTAGGCATGTTGCCCAAAATACCAAGTTATCACAGGTTACAAGAAACCCGATTCGCACATTAAAGGGAAGTCTCAATTCCTGTCAAAATAGGGCTGAGGACCTCCGAGGACACGCAGGGATTAATGGATCTCCATGTATAACTTAGGAATAGGCTACGAATTTTTAATAAATTCAGCTGCTCTCTCGGCAACGGCGTAAAGGGTAGCGGTCAAATGACCACTAATTTGCATAGGTAGCACGGAGGCATCGACGACACGGACATTCGATGTGCCGTATACTTTGAGCCTCGAGTCGACTACCCCCCAAAGCTCGCGAGACATCATCGACGCTGATCCGATAGGGTGGTGATTGGGAACTACTACAGACAGGGTCAGACTTTACCGCATCGAACGCTTTATCCAGTGTCGCCATAGAACATACCGGTATTGGCGAAAAAGGCCTCCCACTGCGTATCAGTAGCGTTGCGAGGCAGATCTGCCTCCCCGGGGACTACATTGCCGGTCACCAAGTCGCTAATCGGGATGGTGTGCCATAACGTCTGCGAAATACGCCCGACGCCTTTTTGGACGGCAACGTCAAAATCGACCAAGAAATAGCGCGGATCGATTATGGGATGGTCAATCTCCTCGGCCGATTTAATATGCACACTCCCCCATGAAAAAGGTAAGAGGGCCCAGAAGGCGGAGCCAACTGCGTTACCGGAGGCTGCTGTCAGAGTCTCGGCGATGGTGACGTTCCTCTTAAAAATCAGGTCGTGCTGTACGCGAAAGATCTTCTCGAGTTTGCTAGCGCCGACGGCCTCACCGCTCGCCTCCGAGACTATACGTGCCCATTCGGATAGATTAGCCTTTGTTTTCGCTGCCACCGTAGATGTTTGGTCTCCGAATACGTCACGGGCGGTAACAAAACTTGCGTACGGCGCGAGGCCTGTCACGTTGCTCTTGGATGAATACTGGATGGATGTGTTTGGCTGGTCTTGTAAGTGTTCCCCTACGCCAGGAAGATCTATCTTGGTTTCTATGCCGTACTTATGGAGGATTCTGTACGTGTCAACATATAGTCAAGCCACTCGATGCTATTACTCACCTCGGATTCCCGATTCCAGAATATTCGAGTATCAGTGGGCTTCTCAGAGACCCAGCCGAGAGCAAGACTTCCTTTGCCGCGGTGACGGTGGCCGTTTGCCCATCGGGGGTCCGGTATTCGATCCCGGCAGCTGAGAGAGCACCAGAGTCGGCCAACGAGTCCCTCCATATCAACCTAATCGCGGTTCCCTTAATAATCTTGAGATTTTGTCTCTGCTCAACCGGGTAGTAATATGCTCGAGCGGCGTCTTCCCGAACACTCGCGTCTCTATCGAGAGTCTGCGGCCAGATGCCGAATCCACGCGTGTCTCCGCCGTTCACGTCCTTATTCAAAGGATAGCCTATGTTCTCCCAAGCCTGCCGAGCCAGCTCGTGGAAAGATCCATTGTCAAGCTGCAACGGAAATCCCGTTTTAACCGCTCCAACCTCTCCGTGATATTCGGGGATGAAAGTAGCACCGGCTGCCCTTTGGGCGGCTGTAGGCGGCGAGAACAGTTCGACCTGTTTCAAGTAGGGATACAACGCATCCCAATTCCAGCCCGCGTTTCCGAGAGACTCCCAGGCGTCGAACTCTGCCTTGTCACCTCGGATATAAGTCATACCATTGATTGTGCTCGTCCCGCCAATCGCCTTCCCAGCATGAAAGGGGATGGACCTGTTGTTGGCTCCTAGCTGCACCGTCGTAGCGTACTCCCAGTCGATCTCGGTTCCAAAATTACGAGTAAACGCAAACGTGCCAATGTCCGTAACATTGGGGTTGTCGCGGACGTCACCGCCTGGCTCAATGATTGCAACGCTGACGTTCGGGTCCTCAGAAAGCCGGTTTGCTAGCACGAGTCCACAGGTGCCGGCGCCGGCAATTATGTATGTGTAGTCGAACGACTCACTCCTTGACCGGACACCTAGCGTGAGAAATACCAGAAGCATATAAAGGTAAATCGACCTCATCGTCTATCGCCAGCTTAAACGCGGCAATACACACAACAGAGACCTTGAGAGGCCATCAAAGACGTGAAGAACAAGACACATATAGGAGGACGAGAGGAGGAGATGATCCAACGTCAGCATTCCTGTCCGGACCTGCCGACCCGAACCGCGATGACGGGCCGAGTCGGTGCATATCGATTACCGATTCGAGATGTCGCAAGGATTGTGCCGGCTTATCGAAATTTTGTGCGCAGAAGCCTCAGAGTAGGGGTATTATGTAAAATCATCCTTCTCGCCCACTCGTCAACTTCCATGCGTACAGGCTGTTCTTCGGCCATCGTCGACCCCAGCACACCTCGGCCGACACAATTCGTGGGCGGTCACGACGGTTACGGGCTAGAATCTAGGGTGCCGGTTATTCTTGCAGTCTTTCACCCGCCACGGTGATGCATTGCCCTGGCGTGCTCTGATTTGGTGACAATCGGTAAACACCGCCCACCGCTGACTGTCGTGAGGCGCTCATATTAAGATGGCGGCGCATGTGACTAGAGGAAAGAAGGAATGCGTATCCCGCCGCAGTGATCGGAACTACTCCATGCTTCCTTTATTCCCGGCCTTCGCCTCCGTCTTACGCTATCGAGACTTACGCTGAAGGAGATCGATGCTGATCGAGTCAGAACTCCAAACTCAACCAGGAACATAATTAATTCGTTGAGATACTCTAGACCATTAACTCGTCGGTATTCACCGACACGGACTGGATTGCACACGGGAAATGTTGGGTTGGTTAAACAGCTAGAGTTTGGCGAGAGGAGGGCTCAACAAAGACCCCTTCCCGGCCCTGTCAACGCGGATCGTTCAGGATCCGTCCCAACTGATGATTGGTCCAGGAATCAAGGTTAAGAGATCGAGCGTCTAGGGGTTAATCGAGATGGGCATAGATTGAGTCGACTTACTACGAAATGGTGGCGTACGGACCTCTTCACACCGAGGATTGGATCAATAAGAAAGAGGGGCTGCTGCGCAATATGAAGGAGTCCTTTATCACGAGTGCACAAATTAAATAGGTACTGCGAGGTAAATTGCCTGCCGAACCATGTGCTCTTGTATTATATTACGCAGATAGGTCTGGATCAACGTGCTGGGGTAGAGGCGCGCGAAGATAGCAAGCGGACGTAGTGCCATACGGGACGCACCCCAATGCCAACTTATAGGTCAGGAGGACAATACTAGGTAGGCATTCTACGAGTTAAGCAGCGAGGTCGCCAATACGGCGACCTATTAAAGGAAGTCCTAAATACGAGCGGATATCCGCGGGAAATATATAGGCATATAATACTTAGGTATAAGGCACGAAGGTATATTAGGAATAGATATAGTTTCCGCTGGACGATCCTTCGAAAGAGAACGAAATTAAGGATTTAAAAGATTTCCTATAAAATCATTAATTAAATTCAAAACAGGGAGCGAACTACCTGCGTATAGATGTGCTCGATGGCTGGGGTAAGCTAGGTTGATCTCTACTAGAGGTGCATGCCTACGTGACGTATTATACGGTAAGAGAATGAGAAGCACCAGACGCCCCAGCAAACGGATGGCTCTCAGCAATCCTTGGTTTTTGTTGAGGGGTTTGAAGTAGCGGAAAGGGGTTTGAAGACAACAGATTAGATATTAAGGAGGCCATGGGATTACTCTGATTCTTGCTTATATTACCAACTACTTCGTTTATTTACTCAGTAGATATCCATTTACCACGGTTTTGCTTCCGCCCAACCTCATTCATCCATAACCCAAACACTTCAACTTCATTTTGCATCTTCGTCTCTTAGCTCTGAGGATGTCTCAGATAAACGTGTCTAAAGCTCTTGCCGAGACCAAGGCTCTCGTTACCGCCCTTGAAGCCTTTGACGGTACGGACGCCCAGCATCTATCCCTCTTGGGTCGCACGGACTCGGTGCGCCGGGCGCTTGAGCAGCCGTACGATGCAGTCACTCGGTGGATCGAAAACATGAGCGTTGCCGCCTCAGTCTACACCCTGATACGAATCAAGACGCTTGAAAATATCCCGTATAAGGGGAGCGTCTCAGCTATTGAGCTAGCAAAGAGATGCAACACCGACGTATCCATAATCACACGGGCCATGCGGATCCTTATCGCCAACGGAATCGCTGTGGAAACAGCCGCGAATGAATACAGACAAAACTCCTTGTCCGCGGCATTCAAGCCTAATGATCTTGCAGGATATGTGTGGCTCTGGGTGGAATACATGAAATCTTGGGTAGCACTTCCCGATTACATCAGTAGTCATGCTCCTGACGATTTGTATGATCTGGGGAAAAGTCCCTACGCGTTTGCTACTGGTCATGAGGGGAAGACATACTATGAAGTGGTCGGCTTGGACCCGGAACAGAGGCATCTATGGAACATGGGTGTGGCAAAGATGGACAAGAACTTCCCTGTTCTTGGCATGTTTCCATTTTCGTCTTTGGAATCCAGCGTGAAGCAGGACTTGGGAAGGCCATTCATTGTCAATATCAGTGGCGGCCGAGGCCAAGAACTTCGTGAAATCCAGAAAGAGTGTGATGGCGGATGGGGTGGCAAGCTAATCCTGCAAGACCTACCAATTGTGATCGACTCACTGAGGGATGAAGACTTGCATGGGATTGAGCGAATGGCCTATAACTTCTACGACCCTCAACCCGTCAAGAGTACGTGCCTCTAGCTTCCGCGAAGGGGGAGGGGGGGTGAGGTGCTAACTTCACAGATGCCCACGTCTACCTCATACGTCGAATTATCCACGATCACTTAGACCCGGTGTGCATCAAGCTCCTCAAAAACACGGCTTCCGCTATGGGACCCACCTCAAGACTGATCATCTGCGACATGATTCTCCCTGATCGTGTGGAGGATGGCTTGATGCAGCTGTATTGGCTCGACCTATGCCTTGTTTCAATGAGCGGCAAAATAAGGACCGTGGGAGAGTTCCAGAATTTATTCCAGCGGTCAGGCCTAGAGTTGGTGCAAGTTTACCGGTCCAACCTCAATAATGTCGCGATGCTTGAGGCTCGACGGAAATTTTAGAGCGAGTATCTCTAGTCTCACGGTGACGGGTGTGAGATGCGATATTGGGGTAGAGCCAATCAAGCCGGGATCTTAACTATCCTGTTTAGTAGTCTATAGACGATAGATTCAACATCTGTCATGTAGTAGCAGGTGTTACCGGAAATATAAGCCTCACGTGGCTACCTTGACATTATCCCAATTCATGTTAGGAATCGACGATACATATAACTAGCTTTTACGAGTATTACGTTTGTTCTCTCTATTCTGGAATGATTAATACATATGCAATCAGTGGCCGTAGGCTAACGTCTCCCACTTTGCGGTTCCTATCTTCAGCACTATCACAATTGCGGCTCACCTCGGTGACAATGTCCTAGTCACCATATATCTAAATACCACGTTTTCAACCTCATTCCTGATTGGAATAATCAAGAGGTATTTTATTCGTAGCCCAGTTATTCATTATGAAGAATTGGGCCTAAAGAACGGCTATGGCTCCTGGCGATGCAACGAGAGTCGTGCTATATCATTATGCGGAAGTCTCCGAGATTTGCGTTTCTTCGGCGTCTACACAGCCTAAGCAATTAGCAATGCAGGATGATAGGAGGCGGAAAATCGACATTTATAGTACTAATATTAGACTAAAAGGGCAGATATTATGGCGTGGATTCTCCAGAAAGCTCCGCATAATATTGCATAGAACTGGGGGGGCTTAGCGGGATCATGTATTAGCTTGGAGACACAACAAGCCACGCTCACAGCTAAGCATTATATAAATATGGAAATCCTAGAGTCATTAGGTCGCTGGTGACTCCTATCTATTTTCGCAGTGATAGAAAAAACGCATAATTCGCTAAAAATAAGAGCATTCTTCATCTCGGGTCATCTTCCAGTGTAGCGTTTTACAGGAGTTGAAGAAACGACACTAATGGGCCAGATGACTAAAGAGACTCATGGCAACTGCAGGTAGTTAAACACAGTGATGCCTCCCTTTCAGGATCGCCTGTTGGCTTACTTTTTAGCCACTGCTTGCTTAATTAATAACAGTATGTGGATTTCTTTATGTCTAAGTATCGGATGCCAGCTAGCAAACGTCCATAACGGTTCTTTTCGCAGTCACATAATTAACAACTATTATTAATACTTATCCCAGGTAGATTGACAAAGTAACCTGCATATGTGTAGTAGGATAACAAGTTCTCGCCTGGCCCACCAGTAACCGTTGTTTACGACAGCAAGTCGCACTGTCGCAAAAGCTACCTTCAAGGTTATGCTTGAAGGAAAGGCTGCTTGGCACACTACAACCGAGGCTGCATCATATGCACTGCTCCCACCACAGTTTCAACGGTACCCTGTGCCAGCTGCATTCAATATAAATAGCAACCCCGTGCCAAGTGAGAGAGATCTTTTAGAGGGGGGAGGAGTGATATGATTTGTACGGCATAGCTGGGCTGGAGACCTTCCTAACTGTGTAGTAAGTATACAGTAACACGTAAGTGAAGGCGTAGCAGACAGAAAGCAAACAGGCGAATGCGACCAAGCCTGTTCCGGCCAGAGAAGGCGTTCCGTACAGTGCCGTTAATACTAGGGGTTGTTATGTTTACACGATTGCTCTTCGCGGGTGCTGGCCTCGCGTACAGCGGTAGATTTGCTGAAATTCCCCGTGGCGCTCGTGGAGCAAACCGGAGTGTTTGCCATCGTCTCTGGAATTGGGTTAGAAATCCCCGACGTGGCTGGCTGTGCGATGCGCAGAGCAGATTCATACCTACCTAGTTACACGCGGTCGAGCTATCAACCGCCTCTCGAAAAAGACGCGAGTCGATCTACCCACACGCCGCCAACCGCCGCGGCGGGTCCGAGAGGCAGGCCCAAAATAGCAGGCGGGGTTCAAGGTCAAGCTGAGGTGCCCGAGGTGGGTGTTCTCATATGAATATCCTAGGTAGGTGTACATACTCATGCACCTGTGCATAGGTATGCCTCCTCAGTTGGATGTTGGCGCTGGGGGCGGGGAACGTATATAGCCCCACGATCCGGTATGAAACATGGGCCATCCTTCCTCTCCTTTTCCCCTGACCCTTTTTTTTTTCGTCTTCTTTTCTCTCCCCAGCACCCCCAATCCAGGGAACAGACAGGGGAGGGCATGGGCGGCATGGGTAATTAAGATGATGGTTTCGAAACGCAGGCCTAATTCATCATGCGACAGCCGCTTCTGTCGTGCCGGAACTGGTATAGGTACGCCTCTCGACTACCGGATCCTAATTGGCCGCGAGCGCCCATCGAGCCGGGGATGCCCTACGGAACGCGCGCGGCGCTCGAAAGGGGTGGAGGTATGAATCAGATTAATTAGAACCACGACATGGGCTTGCGTGTCGAGATTAACGACGGCCGACATATCGACATCGCTACCTATCTATAAGTACATACTGTCTACTCACACATACATACTTATATACCTACGTAGGGTGATGCAGCATCGCGATAACCTGGTTGTTTTCCAGGTGGATGGCGGGGATTAGGTAAGCTGCCACAGCCCCTGTCTGTTTCCCACCAATCGGGCGATCTTTTTGGTCGCATTGCGCATCGTTTCATATATCGTTAGCTTGACCAAGTTGGTTGGATCGTTCTGAACATCTTGTATCTCTTGGTCGCGTCGACATGAGTTGGCTAAGAGGATGCCGGAACACGACCTTCTGGGCTTTGGACCGTCGTGGAAATCCGGCAAGCACAGGCAGGTGACAGGCGGGAGAGCGAGCAGAAATGCTCGCCATGGATGCCGAGGTTTCGGGGTGAGCCCTTTCGAGTGACATGCTGCGTAGTACAGGCCAAGTAGCAGAGACGCTTCGGGAGGTAGTAGGCAGGTAGTTGATGGATAGATAGGTAAGGCGAGGCAAGGTAGGCGTGTATCGATATCACACGCGCGCACATACATTGGCGTGCCCAGCACTATTACATAGAGGTAAATATTGTCGCACGCTTGCATTTTGGTTGCATGGCGAGAAAGGCATTTCCGAGAAGAGAAGAGCGCTCGGATCGAGCCGAGATTGGCCAATGACAACCCTCACGCAAGGCCGCATGTTCAGCTAACGAAACAAGTAAGCGTGAGTAAGGGCGTCACACCATAGGATAGGTAGAACGAGGTGGCTTGATTTCCGGCGATGCGGCAGATCCAGCGGAAATCCTTCGGTTTCGCTGCTGCTGCCTTTCCATACCAGCAAATCGTCGACGGGGTGGAGAGACGTCAATCACCTATGAGTATATCTACAAAACATGTCGACCTGAGGACCGGTCATCTCTATCCGGTGTCAGCCGGCGCTGTATGACGAACGCACGCGGGCGCATCCGGGACAGGGACGGGGAGATGTCGAGATGCAGCGAGCAGGGAGGACGTTGATTGCCAGTCGATCCTCACCCTAGGTATCGATAACGATAACGTGCGCTCCCTGGCACACGCGCTGATCCGAAACCTGCTCTCATCTCGAGAGGCTCTGGTGGTGAACGTCAGCTCCCTTTTCTTTTCTCTTTTGTCGTTGGGGGCACACACGCAATGTGATCTGGATTTCGCGGAAGACTAGATCACGATACCCGTCGAGAGGGAGGTGAGGCTTATATTATCAAGTGGCGTACCTATCTGCGAACAGGGCACGAATGATATATATACCTTTCTCCAAGAGATGCAGATCATCCGCCTGGGATCCGCGTGATCCCTGCACAAATGCAGGAACAGCAACCGCCAGCCACACTGCGGTGACGATGCGGGCGAAGGGGATGGGGTGTGCTACCCGCCGAGTCCCAGCGCCTCCACGTACCTAAAGCCGGCGTCCGTCAGCCGGGCCAAAAAGCCCCATATTGGGGCTAGCAGTGGCTCCTGCGCACGCGGAACTCCCTACGTATGCATGTAATATAGGTATATATACGTACGTACGTAGGAGTAGACGATTTAGATGGTCGACCGATCGGATCTGCTGGTAAATGACGAGCGATCCGCCTCGGGATATTACCAACACCTGCTCCTTTCCCAACCATGGGAGCGCATCGATACTTGCAAGAGGTTCCTGGAGTATCGAGAGTGTTCCGTAGAGAGGCCTCATGTGTATTTATGGAAGTACAGGGCAAGGTTGCTGCCGATCCGTCGGACTGCGCAGTGACTCGCAACCCACATGCGCAAAATAACATTATTGAGGGTTGGCGGTTTGAGCGAAGCTTGCGGCCTCGTCTGGCCCGCCGCTGCGAGGGGCTTCTACCATCCCAATCACACATGCTACGTACCTAGGTAGGTACAGACTATGCGAGCAGTAGGTAGGTAGGTACCTAGGTAGGTAGGAGGTAGGTGCCTACCTGCAGGAGGTATGACACGCTGGGGAGATCGCGCAAGCCGCGTTGGTGGGGCATGCAATGTATCTGAGGGTGTTCCTTCCGGTCTTGGTGTTCCCGCGGCGCAAGGAAACTGCCGTAAGTACATACATATGAGTATGAGTATACAATAATACAATACCGGACAGCCAACGGCCCTGCGCACGCTGGAACGATCCTACACAATGCGCGAGGCGTTGCCGGGGACGGACTGGAAGGGAAGCTCGACAGCTTCTAAAGCAGCACCGATCCGGTACAGCGCAGAAATAATCGCCGAAGCTTGTGCTAAGTTCTAACGGGAATGGGGTAAGGTAGAGGCGCCTTGTGTCTCGCCAACCTGACCTCTGGGTAATGGTACTTGGGAAGTAGGTAACTAGGAGGTAGCCGGGCGCGTACGTGTGGCACCTACGTGCCCGGCAGGTAAGCAGCACCGATACACCAGAGATACCTGCTGTCGAGGGCACGCAACCCACCGTTACGGCAACATACAAATGTATCTGGCGAGAACCTTCGGCACTAACAGGTACCTAACCTTAGGTAGGTTGTCTCCTAGCAAGCAGCAACCTGTCATTTGTTGGAGCTTCTACTTTTCTGCTTGCTTTGCTGCCGAGCAACGCCACACAATAACCGCACTGCACAGTATACCAAGCCGTGCGTCTAGCCAGAAGTGAGAGGTGATATCTGCGCTTGGTTGGGTGGGCAGGGCCAGCATTGGCTGGGCACCTTAGTTCCGAGCCACATGTGCCTATGGATCATTCGTTCCAACCCGTTTTTAGCAGATGAGAGTGCCGGGGGACCCTGCATGTGGAGAGAAGTCCTCTCGGAGGCGTGCCATCGACGGCTGTCCACTCGACGAACTCCTTATGCGCAGATGTGAGGCAGGCCGCCAGGTACCCGTGTTAGGAGGTATACATAGAATAACTGTAACGTACTGCGTCCATACGTCGGCTATGTTACTCCGTACTTGCCCTGGCTTGCTGGGTTGTTTGGGCATGTGGTACCGAGTTGGACGTGGAAGGCACAAGGGAGGTGGTCCCACTCCCAGCACCCAACTTGCTCCTGCTCGATTCGACGGGATGGCAGGTGCTATACACACCCACACAGACGCACATACATATAAACGTCGTGACTGGCTTTGCCGACCTATTTGGCCTTTTTCTGGTCAATTTTCGTTGCCAGTGTAGCTCGTCGGCTTTTTCGTTTCTTCCTTCGTCTCCTCCCCTCCCCCTTTCACCACCAGCTTTTCCTCTCGTCGTCTTCTTCTTCACCTCTTCTCATCTGCGTCTCGATCCCTCTTTTGTCACTCCTTTTTCCCTTGCCACCTACAGTTTCCCTCGACTCTAGTCATTCATTCCGTCTAGTCGTTCATTGTTACAGCAGACCGCAAGGCTCTATCAACACAACCTCAGCCCATTGCTCTGCCTAGTTGACTAGGCCAGAGGAGTCAACCGACACAAAAAAAAAACAACCCTATCTGTGGCCGTAAGTCTTTGTTTCGAACATATTGTCACTGCTTTGCGTTTGTTCCAAGTGAGAGCAACCCCATTCACATCACGTACCTGTGCTGCGCCGCACAAAGGCTGCCTCTCGAGTCATATCTTTATCCTAGATATCAGCAGGCTATTCATGGACAATCTGTATTGTTCACAGCTTCCCTCTTATAGATAGGGGGGACAAGGGCGGCTAGTCACAGCTCGATGCCTCGATGTGGCCGGGCCATTTAATCGACCTGAAGCACTGAACTGGGCGTTCTCTTCTGCACCCTCCCCTCTATTTCCCCATCGCTTCCCTACCTCATCTTTCCATCAGGGGCTTTCGTAATCGAGGCCTCGTTCAACTTTCATTCAGCCACCAAAAATTCTATAATCACCCTCCAGACGGGACTGTTGCTGATTCTGATTAGTACCAGCCGCAGCATATTTTATTTCTGTAGTAAGAGCCTCAAGTCCGTCCACGTGTAGCTGGCACTATCGTCAAGATGGGACTGGTCAAGCTCCTTACGGCGTCTTTCTTGGCCTTACGCCTACTTTCTGCCCCTGTGGGAGCTGCCTCGACAACGGCGCTTCAGCAGCGGCAAGATGCTGCCTCCAGCTACTGGGTTGCCAATATCCAGCGCCAGGGTGTGGCGGCATTTGGCGAACCGGGTCATACCGTCTTCCGAAATGTCAAGGACTTTGGTGCCAAGGGAGACGGCACAACCGACGACACCGATGCCATAAACAAGGCCGTCCAGGATGGTCCGAACCGATGCATCGAGAAGTGCGACTCCCGCACCAACGCCCCCGCTCTTGTGTATTTCCCCCCCGGCACCTACTTGGTCAGCAAGCCTATCATTCAGACCTACTACACCCAGTTCGTCGGCGACGCGGTGAATCTGCCCACGATTAAGGCCACCCCGAACTTCGATGGCATGGGTGTCATCGATGCTAACCCATACGACTATACCACCGACCCGGCCAAAAACTGGTACATTAACCAGAATAACTTCTTCCGCCAGGTTCGCAACTTCATCATCGACATCAAGGATATGCCGATCAACAAGGGTGCCGGTATTCACTGGCAGGTTGCCCAAGCTACCAGCATCCAGAACGTCGTCTTCGAGATGAACCCCGACACCAGCGAGGAGAATGTGCAGAAGGGCTTGTTCATCGAAAATGGATCGGGCGGTTTCATGGCCGACCTCGTGTTCAACGGCGGCGGTATCGGGGCTGACATAGGTAGCCAGCAATACACGACCCGCAACCTGACCTTCAACAACTGCAACACCGCCATCCATATGATTTGGAACTGGCTCTGGTTTATGCAAGACGTCAAGATAAATGGCGGCAAGATTGGCATTGACATGACCAGCGATACTCTGGATCTTATCAAGGTTGGCTCGTTGGTCCTTGTCGATAGCAAGATCTCCAATGTCCAGGTTGGCGTCAGCACTCTTTACAAGCCTGACCTTCCCGACACCAACAACACCCTCATCCTGGACAACGTGGATATGAGCGAGGGCGTCCCCACTGCCATTCAGTACGCCAAAGACAAGACTGCCGTGCTCGAGGGAAATCAGAAGATCCCCGGGTTCACACAGGGCCGACAGTACGTTGGAAGTTCGGGTAATGCGGTCCAGACCGCCAAAGAAGCCACGCGCAAGCCTGAGGTCCTCCTGAATAGCGAGGGCAAGATCTTCACGCGTGTGAAGCCCCAATACGAGGATGTCCCGTCTAGCAAGTTCGTCAGCGTGAAGACGGCCGGCGCCAAGGGTGATGGAAAAACCGACGATACCGCGGCGATTCAGAAGATCTTCGACGATGCTAAGGAAGGAGACATTATCTACTTCGACCACGGCGCGTACCTCATCTTCGACACGGTCAAGGTCCCCAAGAACATCAAGATCACGGGAGAAATGTGGCCGCTTCTCATGGCAGCGGGCGAGAAGTTTGCGGATCAAGCCAAGCCCGTACCTGTCTTCCAGGTTGGCGAGGCAGGTGACGTTGGCAATGTCGAGATGTCTGACCTCATTATCGAGACCAAGGGATCTCTACCTGGTGCTATCCTCATGCAATGGAACTTGGCTGGTTCTGAGAACGGCGCGGCCGGGTTGTGGGATGTGCACTTCCGCATTGGCGGCACTTCCGGAACCGAACTGCAATCCGACAAATGCACCAAGAACCCGAACGCCACGACGACCCCGAACCCTGAATGCATGGGCGCCTTTATGCTTCTCCACGTCACTCAGACGGGCTCGGCCTACATCGAGAACTGCTGGTTCTGGGTCGCCGACCACGAGCTCGACCTCGAAGACTACAACCAGATTAACATTTACAACGGTCGCGGTGTGCTTATCGAATCTCATAACCCCGTCTGGCTTTGGGGTACCGCTTCGGAGCACAGCGTTCTGTACAACTACCAGATCTCGAACGCGCAAAACGTCTTCATCGGCGTGGCTCAATCCGAGACGGCCTACTTCCAAGGCAACCCCGCTGCTCCCCAAGGCGCCACAGTTCTTGAAGGCTTCATTGACCCAGATTTCGAGAAGTTTTGTGCTGGACAACCCGAGACCTGTGCTCGTACCTGGGGCCTGCGTGTGACGAACTCGTCGTCGGTGTATGTGTACGGCGCTGGCCTGTACAGCTTCTTCAACAATTACGCTCAGGAGTGCGTCGGCTTGCAAAATTGCCAGGACCACATGATCAGCATTGAGGATTCGACCGAAATTCACCTCTTCGGTTTGAGCACGAAAGCCTCGGTTAACATGGTCACTCTAGATGGTCAGTCGGCGGCTCTCGATAAAGACAACAGGAACAACTTCTGCGCTGCCATCGCCAAATTCGAGGTTGGTGCCGGAGAGGGGCCCCAGGCGGGGCCAAGCAGCTCTGCAGCTACTTCGCCGGTAACCCGAACCGCGACGGCGACGACGACGACGGTTGGCAGCTCAACTGCTGTAATCAGGACTCAAACCACACCTGTTACGGCCACTGTACCAACAAGCAGTCCCAGCCAACCCAGCGGGGATTCGTCAGCCCAGGCACCGACCCCAACGCCATCTACTCCTGGCAACACCCCTGTCATCGGGGCACCGGAGGGTACTTCAGCCGTTGAGACGCCGGTAGATGCGCCGACGGCGTCTCCAACCGTCCCAGCGACGCCTTCGGGAACCGCCGGCAGCGGTGATAACTCCGCTGTCACGGTGACAGTTACCGAAACCATTACGACACAGGGTGTCTGTTCTCAGACGCCCTGAGCCGTGGCGTGGCGTCCGAGGTTCTCTGCTGTTCAACGAGCAACCGGACCGGCCACAGGTCTTGGAGGATGCGGCTTTAAAGGCCGACATGAGAGGAGTCTGTGCGTTGGGTACAGTAGCGCCTCTTATTCCGTCTCGTTGAATGAAGCAAGGCCTTGAATACGCTCTATGCTTCATTTTCGCTTCTTTTCTGGCCTTAGGGGCATTATAACACACTTGATTTTTCTTTCTTACATCTTTCAACGTTGGGTTCGTGGAGGATCGATACCCACGGTACCCATCATAAGAGCATGATTGGAGTTCGGGCGGATCACGGAAAGTAGGTGTTCAAGATACCACTTACGGCTATCAAGATGTCAAGGAGGGTGACGGCCAATAGGGCCCAAGTAGAGTCGCTCGGTACCGTAGGCATCAATGTCAAACATGGACCTTATATGCTGTCTGTGTCCTCTTAACGTGACTTGTGAACTACAAATAGGGTTAAAAATTCGTCGTAGGCACACGGTGTAGATGTTAACCATATCGGTTAAGTACAAGGACCACTTTGCCCGCGCTGTGGTTATGTAGGTAGGTATATATATGTATTTAATAGAGGTGCAGATGACCCCAGGTCGTCAAGGTACCTGTGTACATGGGTACGGCACCCTTGCGTCAACGTCATCGGTGAATGTGGCTTCGGTTCATGACACCATTGACAGGAATTCCCATGATCTCGAAGGTACTCGAACTTGCCCACACATATACTGCATCAGCAAATGCCTACGGTCAGCAGATCTCCCCCCTTTCCTTGCTAGCCTACAAGCTTTCTCTAATCTGTGGGACGATAGACGATAGATACCCGATAGACCCCTGCCTCGCCTGAAAGCCGTCCTCACATATCTTTCCTTGCCGAACAACCAGAAAAAAAAAACAGTAAACAGACGCGAGGTCCGAGTCACCGCTCCCCTCAAAGACCTTTAATGCCCCACCCGTCTTTATGATATGGCCGACACCGCATACTCGTCGCTAAGACCACGACGACAAGCCAACAGCAACACGATGGCCGAACACGATAACAACGCCTACTCTTCTCCCCCTTCCTCCTCGTCCTTCTCCCCGGCAACGACGACAACGACGACGAAACGCAACTCTCCATATCTCCCTACGCCGCTCGAGACGGCTGGCCTGCTCGCGTACCCGGCGCTGCTGGTGTTCGGCGCAGTGTTCTCGGCCGTGAGCCCGCAGACGCGCGGCGCGGCGTACGACGCGGCGACGGCGGGCTACGCGACGGGGGCCGGGGCGGGCGCGCCGAGCTACTTCGCGCGCAAGGACAACGTGTTCAACACGCTGTTCGTGAAGCGCGGGTGGGGCTGGATCAGCGTCGCGTTCGCGGCGTTCGCGCTGACGCACGCGTCGTTCCGAAGCGGCGGCGGCGGCGGCGGCGGGAGGCGGGCGCGGGCGGCGGTCGCGCGGTGGGCGCTGATCACGGGGTGGTGGGTGCTGGTGACGCAGTGGTGCTTCGGCGCGCCGCTGATCGACCGCGGCTTCCGGTTCACCGGCGGCCGGTGCGAGATGGCGGACGCGGCGGTGGCGGCCGAGGGCGCGAGCGCCGGCGCGGCCGAGGTGCTGACGGCGGCCGCGTGCCGCGCCGCGAGGGGCCGCTGGAGCGGCGGCCACGACATCAGCGGCCACGTCTTCCTGCTCGTGCTCGGCAGCTGGTTCCTGCTGCAGGAGGTCGGGCGGGCCGCGTTCGGCGGCGGCGGCGCCGCCGCCGAGGACCGGTGCGTGGTAATGCACGACGGCGCGGTTAAGAGCGCGGCTGTCGAGGCGGAGACGCGCGGCACCGCCGGCGGCGACGGGGGCGAAAGCGGGCGGAGGACGCTCGGGTTCGGGGGCAGGTTCGCGCTGGTGGTCGTCGCGCTGTGCTTGTGGATGCTGCTCATGACGGCTATCTACTTCCATACCTGGTTCGAAAAGGTGAGCTCGCCCGCCCCTCCCATTATCCCTACCTTTCTACCACCACTTGCCCCGTTTGAGTAGATGCGCTCGCCTGCGCGACCGGCCTACCCGTTGGCGTACTCGTTCGCCTGTTTATATTATACTCATGGCTTGCTAACCCTCGGGTTCAGTTCACCGGCTTGCTGGTGGCTTTCATGGGTATCTACCCCGTCTATATTCTCCCACGATGGATACCCGCGTTGAGGCCGTTTGTGGGACTGCCTGGTATATAAGCCGATCGATGACTGACGACGGCCGAAGAAGCCAGAGAGGGCGAGAGCCACGCAACCAGTCGGCATGAGCAGTATGGACATAGAGGCTATAGATGAGATGGATTAACGAGTTACGCACGAATGGGAAAATTAATATAGTAATGGAGCGATGTTGTCGATAATAAGTAGTCTATCCTCACTCAAAATGGACACGCCAACATACACATCCGGTCGCAAAAGACTAATGAGGAATTAATCAATCCGCCAGGCTTCTCGTCACTGCTAGTATCTGCCGCGCCTCTTCTTGCGTCTACCTAAGACGGATCGCTCCCCCCGACCTGGTGATTCCTAGGGATACGCACACATTCCTCTTGGTTCGAAGCCGATGCTACCATTACCGCTCCGAATATCCCTGGGATCCGGCGCATTCTCGCTGCTAGAGGGCACATGAAATACGGACGAGTGCCTCTATTCCTGCGATTAGCCTAGACATCATTAGGCGAAAATATCGCCGATGTACCCCAACAGGCGATCAATGCCTCCACCATCGCACTCCTTGCCCAGATGCTTGGGCGCTTCCGCGGGCGTTGGCCAGCCCTTCGTATGCCTTCCACTCGGAGCAGCATACAGGACCGCAGACTCTGCTAAAATTCCCTTCGCAGACACGAGGATCGCCACTTACAGTCGGTCCGTTGTGACAGGGTAACGATCGGCACCTGTGTGGCGGCGGCATTGCGAATAGCGAATAGCGATGGCTGGCTGCGACTCGCGGTATATAGATATATCCTAAGACAGATCGTAGCACGGCAGCGTCAGACCCGTCTGACAACCAAGACATGGGCTACGGCCTCGAGTAAAGCCCAGCTACACACCCTCATTTATCAGAAGGGGATTGGAATCCTTCGCGTGAGGCCCAATGAGAAATCTACCCAGTGGAGGATGCCTTCCTACTATAGGTCTAACGCGGTAGCATCCAAGCATGGATTCTAAACGCCATTTGCTGATCCCAAGGCATACGTCCTTATCCCTTCGTACACGGCGCAACGCCGCAGGATTCCTTATAGGCACCGATCCATCGCTCGCCCTGATGAGAAGCAAATGTGCCCCAGCTCGAGAACTCGACCCTGATAAGTGAAGGGTATAAGCATCAGTGACATCGCAGGGTCGTCGCCACCTTCTCCCTGTGCTAACCATCAACAAGAAGCCTAATCGCATTGATTGCGGGTTGGACCTCTGAAGGTCTTCATAAGAAGTACGCGCCCTCTGAACGAGCTATGTGCAATATACCGTGGTGATCGAGCCGAACCCGGTCGCAGTAAGCGAGCGTCATACCGAATCTCGCTCAAATCCTTCCCCCTCATCGACCCGTTCTCTTCGGTGCTTGGTGCCCGCAGTATAGGCGTCGTCAACATAGGCTGCACAAGCCATCACGGCATGTCATACCTCTCGGCACTCGTCGACCGCGCATCACCTTCGGGAACCTTCAGCGGAACACCTCCCGACCATCTACCTGCCGAAAATGGGATACACGTATGGCGCACAGCGGTCATCATGCCCTTCATCACGTTTACCTTTGTCGCGTTGAGGTTCTACACGCGAATCCACCTGGTGAAGATGAAGATTGCCATCGACGACTGTACGTTACCGTCCCGCGACGATCGCAAGTCATAATGCTGAACAGCGAATAATAGATCTCGTAGCCGCGACCATGGCCGCCTGCATCGCCCACGCCGTACTCATGGCCCAGGCGACATACAACGGAATGGGCCTGCACGTGTGGCAATTCAACGAGGAACTCAACTCGCGCTACTATCTGTGGATCGGCATCACGTCCGAGTTCTACGTGCTCGGGCTGTGCGGCTTCAAGTGCACGCTGCTGCTCCTCTATCTCCAGGTCTTCGGCGTGCACACCAAGTTCAGGTGGGCGTGCTTCGGCACCATGTTCTTCTGCGTGGCCTACCTGCTGTGCAACATGTTCACCGAGTTCTTCGGCTGCCATCCGATCAGGAAGAAGTGGGAGCCGGCGCTGCCGGGCCACTGCATCAATAGCTTCGCGACGGCCACCTTCTACGGGGCCTGCAACATGGCTACCGACCTGGCTATCGCCATACTGCCCCTGACCATGATATGGAGCTTGCCGCTGTCGACGCGGCGGCGGAAAATCGGCCTTAGTATCGTGCTGAGCTCTGGGTTTATGTTAGTGGTGCCCTTTTACCCCTGCTTCCACATCATATGGTGCACTCTCGCTAACGTCAGACTGTAGTGCCTGGGCGGTGGCCGTCGTCCGGTGGTCTATTTCGACATATAACCGTACGTATCGTTTTCTTGTATCTCCCCCTATATGCGCTCCCGGCCTCCGATACAAGACGGCACACGTTCTTCGAGCCTCAAGCGGCCAGGGGTCCCATAAACGAATAAGAAGCAGGCTCAATGGCCCTTCGGACCCGCTCGCTGCTACATCTAGAAGCCATCCGCAAGGGACTGCTGCTGACACTCAGTCTGGCAGAGGTCGGGACATCGGATCGGCCGTGGTGGGCCGGGATCAGCTTCGCGCTGTCCATCCTCGAAATCAACACGGGGCTCATCTGCGCGTGCGTCGCGAGCCTGGGGCCGCTGTGGAAGTTGGCGTACGCGCGCGTCAAGGGCTGGTCGAGCCATGGCAGCGCCGGGTCGAGCCAGGCCTGGGCGCGGCCGGCCCCGTGGCCGAGCCAGCTCTCCGACGACACCGGCAAGCCCGGGCACCGCCACGCGAGCGCCCAGTGGGCCTCCCCAGACGCAGGCGCCCGCGGTCCCGCCGATCGGCCGAACGCTAGCCGCGAGGACGAGTACGGCCTGCTCGACATGCCGAGCATCCGCATGTTTCCCTCCGCGGAAAACAGGTCCCAGAGAAGCGCCGAGGAGCACGTGTGAAGGGGATCGCGGCTGTGTAAATAGTTGGGCGGCTCTTGAGCTGTCGCTTTTGTTTTGTTGTTGCTGCTGTTGTTGCTTGTTAGTCCTAACGCCGATGATACCCCCAAGAGTAGTTTGTGAGAGACGCAATCTACGCCCGCCTCGCCCGCGGTCTCTTTCCGTTGGTCTGCGGACGACCAAGCCGTGCGTTCGAGGCAGCATATGTATGCGTGTGTGTACCTAGCCACACACTGCCCAATCCTGCAGCCCTGCTGGAGGCTGCTCTCCTCTGGACGGAAGCCCACGTGGGTTGAGCACGCGATGCCGTTCGGTCCCAGCGGGCACCCACGACGTCGCCGTAGTGTTTTTTACCTGACGGCTTACGGGGGCTGAACAGACGGTGCTAGTTAGGTATCCTAACTGGGCCAGTCATCTTCGCCACATCGGTGCTGCTCCCCCGCCGTGGCCCTTCGGCAATAACCGGCGACAATGACGATGTTGGCGCGACCCCCACTTGCGGCCTCGGCCAGGCGTCGGCATGTGTCTCGCCCAGGTTTGTTTCGCGAATGCGTCACCTCCCGGTTTCTCGGCGCCCGGTACGCGCCGCGGCCGAGGCGGTGTGGTTTACGCATCCCGTCCCGTACGTCGGCAACGGCTCCGAAGTGCCTGCGCACAGAGGACGGCTCTCCATGTGTCCGAGCGGGTGACGCTGGACCCGAAAAGACTGTGTCTGGTTCTAAACATGTAGATTTGCCTCACCTAGCAGACCCCGGGTGATGGCCAGCCTAGCGGCGCAGGCGCGCGGTCCCGCTCGCCGGCGGGAGCGGTGCGAGGCGCTGAGGCTAGGACCCGATTATTTACTGTCCTAGATAGGGGCAGGCGGGTGTGCATCTGTATATCTAAGCTAGATGTTGAAGGGTAGCCAAGGCGAAGAATCAGGGGCTCTTCGGATGTAGGTATTACTGAGCCACAGCTTGCCATTCAATGCCTTCTTTGTTGGACATAAGCCTATTGTCAGAACGCGAGGAGTTAAGATGAGGCATCTCAGCCCCTTCGCAAGGAACTCGGGCCATTATGTCCAGCAAGACAATGTTTTATTCATGCCGGGACCCTTCGTTCGGGATTGACTGGATGATTCTTGTGAGAGGATTGACCCACAGCAGAAAATTCTCCCCAGCTCAGCAGTCGTTGCTATTCACATATATGACGACCCCATATCACAGCCCTCATAGGTACACCTCTAGGGCGACTAAGCCATATAATAACAATCACAGCCCTTCCATAACCTCTAGGACTTTGATGCACAGTCTTGCCCAGTGGTACCGGCGTTAACCCCTTTTCTGAAAGACAACCTAAGCGGTGTCTTTATTTCGTTTAGGTAACTCAATGAACTCTTGTTCTTTAGTCTAACCCAACTTCACGAAGGACGGAAGATAGCCCATTCACTGCAGTACCCCAGTCCTAGAACTCCCACAACAATTATATGTACCCAATATCACTAGTTTTTCAACACGTATTCAATGCCGTACCAGGCTTAGTTATCTGTCCCAAGTCCTAGCTCTGTAGGTAATGTGCGTCAACAATTAGCTTTACGGCCCTTATACTGCCCATTCTCTTATGGACAAAGTCCATCGCATCAACAGTGAGCACCAACAACAACCATGTTGCTCCATAGACATCTCCTTGTTTTGGTGCCTCTGTCGCCCTCGACGATGGCATGAACACGTAGGGCAACAGCAACGCTTACTTCTCCTGTTGGCCCTCGGGTTGCCATGTTTCCATCTGAGATCTCCTCCAGCCCATCTCTGATCTCACCATGTCCTCCTTCCTCCCCACCCCCCATCCATCACCCTCCCATACCTCCATCTCCCTATCTATCCACACATACACACAGCCCTCCCTCGGCTGCGTATGCGAGTCGGAGACTCTCATCTGCTCCTTGCAAGCCCTGCTGCCCTTCAGTTCTCCTCCAATATACGTCCCCGATCAACGCTCCGACATTGTTTACCCCAGACCCTTAACCTCGGAAGCCGTGATTTTTTGCAATTGACTGGAGAGAGGCCGCCCCCAGCACACAAAAGGGGTCGGGACCTAAGCTGTCCGCTTCGCCCAGATCCTGCGTGTCCTTAACTTACATCTTACACGTGAGTTGCAATTATTCCTTGACGAGCTCCGCGAACTCTGCCCGGCAATGCCATCACACACATGCCCTTCCCATCCTTTCCTCTCGCCTGGCGACGGTGATAGTCTCACACCCAATGGTCTTCTTCCTGGTCACCCGCCCTCAACGCCGAATTGCCGTGGTATCTAACATGGGGTCCTACAGCAGTTTCAGTCGGTAGTAGTGTGGCGTCTCTTTGGCAGCTACCCTCATCCTTACGCTCCTACAGGAACGTTTGGCAGAGTTGAAGATCTACCTACACGCCACCCGTGTGCGAGACGGCGCCGATGTGGCTCCCGACACGCTCCGAGCCTCCCGCGGGGCGTATCGAACCTAGGGACACGGCCGTCGTCACGGGGACGACAACCGAGCTTAACGGACTGCTGGCATTCATAGTGATAATCTGCCTGCTCCACCTCACAAGCATCGTCCTGCTCGCCGTAGTTCTGTACAAATACAGAAAGGAGACCAAAAAACTCCGCCAGCAGTGCCACGACCTGCGGGGCCGCGTCATGGAGCAGCGCCGCGAGATGGCGCGGCTCGTCTACAGCGGACGCGGGTCTAAGTACGAGGCGGGACCCGACGGGATGCTCGAGCTCGACAACAACGACATCGGTACGTCCCTCCTGCAACTGGCGCTTGGAAAAAAAAAAGAACTGGCCAAAGGCCCCCCCTTTTCCCCTTTTCCCCTTTTCCCCTTTCTTTTATCCCCACCATACGCAGCTGACGTCCAGTCTCAGACGACGAGTGGGAAACGGTCCCGATCGAGGAAAGATCGCGGCCCAAGCAGCGCCCCGTGCGGCAGAAGTACTACCTCCACGGGCTGGCGCGGCGCTCCAGCAGCAGCAAGCCGTCGCCCCCGCGTCCGCGGCGCGTCCGGCACGCTCGCGTGGTGCCCCTACGGCGCCACACTGCTCCCGACCGCGACCAGGCGCAGCCTGCCGGCCCGCCGCCGCGCCCGCAGCGCGTGTCCGCCGGCCCTCCGGTCCTGCCGCCCCTGCCGCTCGCGCACGTCCGCGACCAGCCCCCGGCCGACGACCTGGACTTCTACGGGCTGTCGCCGTCGCCGCCGCCCCAGCCGCGCAGCTGCTGCATCCCGCGCTCCGACGCGATGAACTTCGATCCCCCGGGTGCCGCCCACAGCAGCCAGCCGGACGCGCCGCCGCCGCCGCCGCCGCCGCCGCCGCTCGCGGGCGGGCGGGTCCGGGGCCTTTCCCGGTCCGGCTTCGCCGCCAGCGCCGCGCTCGCCGGCCTCGTCAACCCCAGGAAGAAGGCCGCCGACGTCGAGCTGCGTACGCCTCTCTCTCTCTTGCCTTCTTCTTCGCCGCCTTCTTCTCCCTCCCGCGCTGACACCCCCCCGCCCCTCGCAGACCCCATCACGCCGTCCAAGCCGCGCGCCCAGAACCCGCAGTACGCGCCGCCGCCCACGACGCCGCCGTCGCGGCCGCTGCCGCCGCTGCCGCCACGACCGCAGCGGAAGCAGGAGCCCCCCGTCCGCCGCGGACGCTCGCGCGCTGCCCGCCCGCCGCTCACGCCCGTCAGCGAGGGCAGCTCGCCCCGCCGCCCCGTCGTGCCGCTCCCTGCCACCGTCGCCGACGACGACGACGAGGAGAGCAAGCCCGTGACCCGCGCTGCCGCTGCCGCGGGCGACGACGACGACGTCCAGACCCTCCTGCGCTCCGTCACCTCCGACGACGAGGACGATGACGCCCGCCGCCCCGGCGCCGCGTGATTCTGCGCGCAGTGCCTGCGCGGCCGCAGGTATTCGAAGGCCTGCCACGTACGGCGTTGGTCGGCGCGGCGTTCCGGTTGCTCCCCGTGTCCGTTCTTGGCCTTCTCCGGCTCTCCCCGTTGTCTCTCGGCCGTCGCGTCGTTGCGGGCCTTTCGCGTCGACGCCGCATTTCGCACGCTCCCTCTGTCTTCCTACAGTTTCCGATGTGCACCGCACGCAGACGATTCCGGCCCCAGATCGCATACTTTCTCGTCGCGCAAAAACTTACACGACTGTTGGAAATTCACTACTTGGTAGATACCCCCTTGTCTCCTTGTCTGTCTCGTTTACATGTCTGTCTATCCCGCGTTTTTTGTACACTCGGCGTCGGGCGGCCCCCAGGTCACCCGCCCCCGTCGAGGCATGAGAGGATTTACGTTTCTTGCAGCTACGAGGTTATCGCTCTCTCGCATACGGATAGGCCCGGTAGGGTACCGTATGGGATAAGGAGGCGTTGTCTATAGCTTGGTGACAGTTCCACCTCTTGTGTTGTGTGAGGCTACGATGACCCCCCGACGGGCTGGGGATAATCGTGGTTTGTATACGAAGTTAACTCATAGGCAATACGCCACGGTACTACGAAATATGAGAATGGGGAGTGTTATATCACCACCACCGGTCGAATTCGAAAGGGTTGCTCCCCCCCCTTTTTGTTCGCGGGGCAAGGCGAAGAGGCCCGTAAACCCGTGGGCTAACAGACGGGGGAGACTCTAGGGTGCAAACGAAGGCGGTTGACCCCCTGATCACGTCTCCTGCTGTCTTCCAGTAACAAGACAACTGCTACGAAGGTTTTACTACGTTTGAATGATAAATTAGCTAGTTCTTAAAGCACAGGGTCGCACGTTTTCCGCCATGGCAATCCGAAGCTGCTCCCTGTCCCTGCCGACGCCAACTTTCAGTACACTGCTGCCGCGACCGTTTCACAAAAGTACGCCGTGCCCGAGATCCTTTTAACTACAATGCTGTAGGTAACGTGCAAAGAAATGTGGTGAGTGATGTAGGGCGCAGTGTGCCATTTCATGCTCTAGAGCCGGTGGGCTTCGCCGGAGCGGGCGGCATGCTCTCGAAGATCCACTGCTCTTGGTTGAAGCGGCTTGTATCCCTCGGCTTGCTCGTGAATTTAGGGCCACTCGTGAATTTGGGGCCACTCGTGAATTTAGGGCCACTCGTGAATTTAGGGCCAAATGGTCGGTATATCTGCGGTATCAGTTTGGGCTGCGAAGTGTATGGAAATATCTTGCTCGGCTTAGGCTTCTTTGCGGCTTCTGCGCCCGACGCGCTAGAATTCGCCTTCCTTTGTGCTTTCAGAATCTCGTTTAGCTCATCTTCGCTATCCGTAATCTGGGCCTTCAGGAACCAGAGGTCCTTGGGGTTGAAAGGTCCGTTGAGGGTTTCCATCACGGGTGTCCTGGGTGTATAATCAATACCCTCGAAGTTCGGTGGGTACTTGGCGGGTATCGTTTTCGGATCAAGGTACGCCTCATCTCCTTTCTCGAGTAGCTGCATCATGTCCAAGCTCTCGCCAGGCGGTATAGGCGTCGGGTGGCTAGGCGTCACACAATTTAGGTCCACTTCCTTGCGGAGAACGTGATCGATATCCACCGCGGAGAAGTAGGCACACGATTGCGGGAGATCCTCGATGCCAACCTGCTGGCAGAACATTGCTCGGGTCCAGAGATTGGAGACTTGGAGAGCCATAGCAGCTCGGTATTTGTCTTCGTCCTTGACGAGGTAGCGAATCTCGTCATGGACGCTGATGGCGAGGCGAGCGTTGATATTAAACCGCCGGACTAGGTAGTCCATGGAAACGATTAGGAGATGGAGATAGTCCACGCCGGACGACTGAATCGCCCAATTGATGCGGGAAGTAAGGTAGCCGCCCTTTCTAACATATTTGCCCATCAACGCCTCGGTTATGCCGGCTCCGAGCACCGGGGTTCGTGGGTGTTCATTTTCTGCGAATTCCTCGAGCTTGTTGAAGACGAACGATTCGGTCCCGCCTCTCCAGAACAGTCGCTTGCAGAGCGATTTCCGGTTCGTCCTCGTGCCTTTCGTCTTCGTGTACAACTTTCCGGCGATATTCAGAGTTTCCTCCTCGGAAAGGCTAGGGTTGAACTGCCTGAGTAGCGTAGCGGCATATTTGAGCCCGGCACCGTAGATTCGGCCATAATTGAAGATCTTGGCGTTATTGCGCGTGATTCCTAGGATGGAGGCAGTGCGAGAATGCAGGTCGGTGCCTGCCGCCTTGGTGCCTTCTAGGGTCATGAAGCCGATCGCGTTACCGCCGTGGAGCTTGAAGGTGGCGTCCCCCACAACGCTAGCGATCCAGAGCTCTTCAGAATCAACATCGGCACCGACGAAACAGTAACCCGGCGGAGCCTTGACCATCGCTTTCAACTCTGAGCCGACCCTATTCTTCTTCGCATTGCTCGCCGTCAGCCATGTATTTTCCACCGCCCTCCTCGTGACAGTTCCCATCGGAATAATCTGAGGCAAAATGATGCCCAGCTCGTTTTCGGGCCTTTCCGCGGGCACCCCGTCCTGGGCCTTATCGCCTTCGTATACGACCATTTGCGACACGATCCTGTCCTGAGCGCTGATCCAATAGGAGCACGACGAGTTCATATCGAGCGCCTCCTTCGCTAGCGGAAATTCGGATGATAATATTCCAGTTTCGAAGTAGTTAAGGTAGCTCTTGGCCAACGGGTTCACACATCTCGACGACGGGCCGTCCTTGTGAGGGAGTTTGAAGTAGACGCCGTCCGAGTCTTGGTGGAGTGGTTCCTCCGGTTCGTCCGAAAAGTCGCATCGGACAAGTTGCGTCGAGTTGTATTTCGCCATGTCCGAACAGGGTACTCGGAGAGTCCAGCCGTACTTGTTGGTCCATACCAAAGGGTATCCATCCCACGTAAGCCTCAGCAGAAGCGGTGCGATTCGAGATCTGACCGTCACGTTCATGGGGCCGTCCCTCTTTGGAAACAAATCTTTATACCACTTAGGCATACCCGGCTTCTTCTGTCGCAAAACCGGCCTCGGGGGATCGCCCTTCTTCTTTCCTTTGGCCATCTTGATCTCCTGGCCGGACCAGTCCAATTGCTTCAGCCAGGGATCGTTGCCCCATTTATCAGCGTCGTCCTTGATTTCCGTTGCCTTCTCCGCAAGCGAAACCAGGCGGTCCCGTACACTGTTGGACAGTTTGTCGTACGTCGCTTTCGCGTTGTCAACATACGCATCCCACGACCGGTCGACCGGGAGGATGACGGAGGACAGATGTCGTAACGCGGCAAAGCTGACAGGGTGGGGACAGACGTTGAGGAAGAGCGGAAACACGGTCCGATATACTCGGTGGGCGATCGCCACGTCCGCCGCGCAGTAATTCAGCAAGTCGTCCAACTTTTCTCTGACACCCTGGCGATCCAGTTCCCCAAACTGCTCTCGGGCCGCCTTGTCAATTGCGGTTTTCACGTGGAACTGGGCGACGTCACGAAGAGAATTGGCCGAGCTATGCCCAACCCAAAGCTCTTCTTCGTCCTCGTAGCCAGAGGAGAGCAGCCTCACCAAATCGATGTTGTCCGTCTCCTTGGAGATCTTCTCGCGAAGCTCCCTGTTCTTCTTGTGCCTCATCCACGTGGGTCGCTGCTGCGAACACATGCCGTTGACGGCCACATGTAACGACATGGTATCTATAAACGCGTTCCTGGTTTGCTTGAGGTCGTATTCTTCGAGGACCCTCGCCCTGTCGTACCCGATATTGTGGCCGACGATGATACGATCCTTGGTGGGATCGCCCAGGGGGATGAGATGCTTGCCTGATTCGCTCTCTCCCAGCAACCAAGGCGACAGCCAAGCGTACCAGTGGGTCGGGCTCATGGCGCAGGCCATGACGGCGAAGGGATGTTCTTTCCACATAACCTCTACGTCGAAGCAGAGCATATTCGCATCCGGGACGTCGACTGGCTCCGGCGGCTTATCCACGTTGGGGTAATACTTTGTCCAACCGCTTCGCCTCACCCATTCCCTCGGCCGGCAGGGGTCAGTATGCCTCACGAACTCCTTGGCATACGAGAGGAAGGGCTCGGCGCAATCGAGCCCGAGTTTGTGGAAGTGCTCGTCCATCGTTTGCCCCTGCAGCGGAGGTACCTCGAAGGCAATCGGCGGGTTGTTGTCGGTGTTTTTGCCGTAGAGGTCGTGGCGTCGCAGGTGGCCAATGGACAATTCCACCAGCTCCTTCGGCGCGGGTTTAGCACCACCCGGGAAAATCTGTTTGAAGATATAGTCGCTGACATGTTGGACGTTTATCTCGTTAAACCGAGACGCGGACTCGACTGCACCACAAGTCAGCAAGCCACAGCACAAGCATCGGGAGGATCGGCGACTAACTGGCAAGGCTCTTTTTGCGCGGGACTGGAGGGGGAGGAGATGCGGGCTCGTGAGGCGGCGCTTGGACGGCTGCGGAGGTGGTCTGCCATCTCGAATGCGACAGGGACGGCAGGCGATAAGGGTGGTGGCTCTGCGCTCGATGCTTGGCCAGGCGGACGAAGCTGGCAGTCGACGCGCCCCTCATGCGAGCATTCGTAGAGTGAAGCATCACCGCCGTATCCTGAAGGTCATTGCTATCGGGGTTGTTGTTGTCGTCTGGTTGCTGGTGGCGGGATTTGTGGCGAGAATGATTATGAACCATGACGGAAGGCGATGTTGCCTCGGATTAAAAATTGAGAGAAAAAGACCAGGGCAGGCTTCGGGCGAGGTGGGGCGGTATGCTACCAGCTGACTAACCCAGTATAGACACGGGCAGTTACCGTAGGCAGTTAGGACCGTCCGGAGGGGCTCCTAGGTCGGGAAGTAGGTAGATAGGTAGGCAGGTACCTTGAGTCAGTAAAGAAGCAGGCAAGTTACTTTGCCTTCTACCTTGGGTGCTGCGTGCTGCGCAGGACCGCGGGGTTGTAGAGGACGAGGGCACCCGGCAGACCGACTCGCTCTCAGGTATGTAGCCCCTACAGCTCCGGCACGGAGTCGCAGAAATCAGAGATTGGCTGCTCCTTATAGCCGTCCAGGCTCTCTCTGGCCCCCGCCGAGATATCCCCATACGGGTAGGTATTCCTATATCCTGCTCGATCCCACCAATCTAGCTTACATAACCCCCCAATTCCCTTCTCCACTTACGACGTTTTTTTCCCCCTCGTTCCTGCTGCGCCGGTGGGTCGTTGAAGAATTCTACAGACCCAGCGGACGACCCCCCGCCGCTGATTGGACAATGGGGTTATGCTATCTGTTATGCCCATATCCCTCTTAGATACATAAATGCTACCTACCTACTACCTACCTACCTAAATATTACCTGCTCGTCCAGCTGTCTCCATTCCCGATCTGATAGGCACGGCGGCAGGGCACCACGGGTAGAACAAGCTGTACCTAAGTGCCTGCTTCTTAATAACGACAAATACTTCCAGACAGGTTACATCAATATCAATGTGAGGTTGTGCCGCATGCTTACCTACCTTACAGGTACTACTTACTTATCCGTGGGCAGGTACGTCAGGTAGGCAGGTAGCCTACATACCTGGCATCTAAGGAAGTGCTCATCCCATCTAGCAGCGTGCTTCCCTCGCCGGCTCACAAGTGTTACCCAATATCACCTGCTACCAAGCTCTCATCTAGTTGTGCAAGGGATTGAACCTGTCTATTTCGTCGTGCCACCTCTCGCCCGCCGTCCCGCCGTCGCTAGAGAACGGACGTCGGTCTGAAGGAGAAAGGAGAGAAGGCTAAAACAACTGCATACGCGGGTATCACAGAGGGCGGGAACCTCGACGGGGAAGATTGCCCTCGCATCCACCTAGGGGTATCGGTCACCTCTGCACCAAGGGGCGAATAGAGTAGGGAGCAGGTCCTAGCTACGGCTCGGAAAAGTACCTATCGTGGGCGTGACCAGTCCTGCCCAAGCATACGGGTGGCATGCCCCTCCCACTAAAGCAAAGCCTCGAGTAGCTGGAAGTTCCTCGAGACGATATTTTCTTCGAAAAAATGGAGGCGTGCGAATAGGCTTCGGTCTCACCTGCCGGGAGGAGGCAAGGACGGGAGCGCGGGGGCCGGATCAGAGCTCAACGCCCTGGCACAAGTAGGTGACGCTGTCTTAGTATTGGATGTGACATCCGACGATGAACCCATGGTTCCCCCAGAAGCTATAGCTACGTGTTATTGCCGCTTAAGCATATTGTGTCTCGCGGTCTTATGGGTGGACGGTTGGGTTCGGATACCATAACACGATGACACCCCGACAAGGCGCCCGCCATTTTGGTTGGGGCGTAGACGGGGGAATACGGGCGATGGAGGAATGGTTACTTCGGTATCATCGTGGATCCCATGCAGGACACATCTTCGGGGGCCAGCTCCACCGTGACTGTACGTGTACGCGACGATGGAGCAACGGTGGGTTGTTATCCGACGTCCGCGATGAGTAAACCTGCCAGCCTGCTGGCAGGTGCAGATCGAAGTGATACTGCAGGTAGCGACGGGCAGGGAAAACTAAACACCAGGATGAAAGGTCCGCTGACTAGGCGTCGACGGACAGCAATGACGAACCCCCCCCCCCCCTTCTTGCACGACAGCGACATAGCGGTGGTCTCGGTGTCGATTATAACCGTCGTCGTCGTCGTCGCTAGCTAGTCTGGAACAGCCCAGCACACCAACGCACAACTTTACAACGTGTCGTGATAAGACATATACCACGAGCGCCGCCACTCGGTGTCGCCACCCACGAATCGAATATTTACGTACAGCCTTCCCCTGTTGAGGTGTTCCAAGAGAGGTCTCGGGCCAATTTGGGCGCCGGTCGAAGCGAGTCAAGTCTGCTGGCTCAGAAGGTCCTGGATCAAGACACTTATGATTACGATCCTTCCCGTTCCCGAAACTTTATCTCGAAAAGGGGGGGAGACTGTGCTGGTAGCAAACTTCCCCCCTTTCGAGGAGCACCCCTGGATCCGACACTCTTCCTCTCTCTCTCCATCCCCACCTCACCGTGCCAAAGTGCCATGTATCCGTGAAGGTCGATACGCACGTAAGGGGGACTCGACGTTGAGGATAAACTAATCTTTCCGAACACCCTGTTGACAAGGGTGTAGAAAAAGAGAGGAAATCTCCGTCGTGATTCCTCACCAGGATTCTCGAGGACATGCTAGAACCCGAGGAGACGGCCGCGACGCCGGGACCGTAGCTCTCCACAGGCCAGGTACTCGGTCGACTAGTAAATATCGACACTAAAAGGTCGCACAGGGCGGCAGAAGAGGCAGGATGAAGACAGAGGGGAGGGGGTGCGAGCGAGAACCCAATAATACATAGCCCCAACCGTATAGACCTAGCACAGAGGAGTCAGGGAAAAGGGTGATCGTGTAGTATCGGCAGTTGAGGGATTTAGATAGTCGCGTGCTACAGAGATCCTCGACAGCGCTTCCACCGCAGTCTCAGCTCTCACCGAGACCGTCTGTCGAGACTTAATAGAGAGTCTCGACGGGGCGCTGACCTACATACAGGTCGGCTCGATAGTCTCGTGGACTCTGGCTGCGGAGACGCCCGTCGGCGTCGAGTATATACCCGTCTCTGCATCGTACGTGTATCTACATTATAAGAAGTCATTTGACGCCAGGCCCCTTGCTGGCCGATCGTGCGACTGTTAGGACGACGAGTCCGACTGTGCTAAACATCGCCGATCCCGCGAACCAGGAGGCCACATGGATTCGAGTTTCTCACCCGTGGTTCCCGATCGCGGTGTTAATGGGCACGCGCTGTTGCCGTTAGATCGTGGAAACGACATCGACGATACAGTTTGTAACCATAACACGCCGGCACTGTCTATCCACCGCTTCGTTGGGGAGCCCAGCGCGAGAGAAAATGACTGCCGAAATCAATCGAGCCTCGTCAGCGACTTGGAAATGAAGGGGGGCCAGGGAGACCCGAGGGCGCATATTTTTCTCACTGAGCCCATGACAGTTATCCACGAGGTAGCGTTCTTCGTCGTCGTGTCGACGGCTAACTTCACGCCACGTAAGTCGGCATGCTTGCTCTCTGCATCACCCCGCTGTTATTCATCTCGTTTTTTCCCTTTCCCTTTTTTCCTATTTTGGGTTCGCACCAACTAACGAATGCCCGGTAGACTGCGGTTTCCATCAAGCGCTCTCTATCCTGAACATCATAGGCTCCGATCTAGGCGTCACGAGCCCAGGGCAACTCGTCTGGCTCGTCGCGGGCTTCGGCCTAACCGGAACGCTGATTCTCTTGGCGGGTCGACTCGGAGACCTGTACGGGCATAAACTCATCTTCCTCGTCGGAAATGCTTGGTTTGCGGGTTTTTCGCTCGTGGCCGGGTTGTCCATCTACGCGCCCCAACCCTATGCAGTCTTCCTCTTCGCGCGCCTCATGCAGGGCATCGGCCCTGCGCTGCTGGTGCCGAATGCAGTGGCGCTCTTGGGGGTCACCTATGTCCCTGGACAGCGGAAGGCTATGCTGTTCGCCATCTTCGGCGCGATGGCGCCGACCTCTGCTGTCATCTCGCCGGCCTTCACCAGCCTGTTGGCGTTGGCGTGGTGGCCGTATGCATTTTTTGCCTTAGCCGCCTTTTTAACTCTGGTTGCGCTTGCTGGCGTGTTCGTCATCCCTGGCGGGCTCTCCCCGGAGAGAAGAAGAATCCCCTTCAAGGCGTCGTGTGCCGAACTAGATATCCTCGGCGCCGTGTCCGGGGTCGGCGGCCTCGCCTTCGTTAGCATCGCTTGGAACCAAGCATTGATCGACGGGTGGCGGAAGCCCTACGTCTCCGGGTTCCTGATAGTCGGAACCCTACTATGCGTGAGCTTCATCTTTGTTGAGAAGCACGCCCGCAAACCCCTGATACCCGTCCAGGCCATCAATTCAGGGGTCACTTTTGTCCTCGCCGCAGTCTTCTGCGGCTGGGGTTGCTTCGGGATTTATATCTATTACATATGGCGGTTTTATGAAATATTGCGGGGCGCGTCACCTCTACTAGCTACCGCGATGCACAGCCCAATTCTAGTTAGTGGCATCGCAGCAGCCATCACTACGGGGATGATCATTCACCGTGTTGGCCCTGCGATCGTGATGGCCCTCGCGCTGTTAGCATTTACTGTTGGCACCACTCTCATAGCAACGGCACCCATTACTCAGACGTATTGGACGCAGACTTTCTTTTGTAATGTGATCGTCACGTGGGGGATGGATTTGAGCTTCCCGGCGGCGACACTGATGCTTTCAGACCTCGTCTCCAGCGAGCACCAAGGCATCGCAGCCAGCCTAGTCACCACGGTGGTTAACTACAGCGGCGCACTCGCGTTAGGCATTGCCGGGACCGTCGAGCTTCAGGTAAACGATGGGGGGAGGACTGCCGATGATGTTCTCAAGGGTTACAGGGGGGCTTGGTACGTGGCCATCGGTCTAGGCGTGCTCGGCCTTATTTTGTGCCTGGTATTTACCTGGAAGTTCTCGAGACGCCAGAGAGAAGCGGCTGGAAGTTGATTTCGAACATGGGGGACCGGCCAGTAGGGACACAGGGGGCGTGACGGCGTCCGGCTTGTCCAGGGCAATAATATGAGAAGGCCTACCGTCCAGCAGTCGTCACGGCCCCCATCTTTGAAGTCTCGTGTTCCGAACAAGCCATCAGAACCGGAGAGAGTCGAGGCGAGCGCGACGGGGCACCTTAAGACCAAGTCAAATCGTCAAATGGTGGCCACTTGGGAGTAAGAAATGGCGCCGGGGAATTGTCCGCGCTGGAGAGCAGTATTGCGAATCCTGTGTGTGGTACCTAAGACCAGGGTACCCAGCACACACAGCCAATGTACAGAAGATCTCGGGCTTGCCCTCAGGCCTGTCTCCGGTGTAGAAGGTTGTTGCTCCTTGTCTCAGGGAAACGTTATGGCTCGTTGATCCCATTGCGGGCAGCGGCGGATGTGGGTGGTGGAGAGGACGGATATAGGTACGTAGACGTGTTGTTAGATGGCTACGTAGCTATCCACTATCGTTTGAGATCGGCTTCGTATTTACGGACATGCTCCGTTGGTAACGCAGATCGCAAGGCTCCGGAGAGCGGCCGGACTAGAAATAGTCAGACTGCGTGGTGCACGGCGTGTGGCGACTCTGGGTAGATACTGTGCCAGCATTACATTCGAGGGGAGGCGTCCAGGTAGCATATGCGGATGAGTTGGTAGCTACTTACCTATGCCTCTCCATCCCCGTCGACGTGCTGACGCTGGCAGCGATAGTCTGAGTGCGCACCGACGGAAGGGGAATGCAACCCCGTTCTAGAGGATCAAACATCACGGTAGCATACGCACCTCAGCAGTTCGGCGTCAGGAGATGACTCTCCGTTGGCAGATTGGCAGCGCAGCCCGAAGGGCATCCTTGGCCAGAATCCAGATGTGTGGATACACATCCAGGTAAGCAGCCACGATTGACCGAGGCTCGATGATCTGCCCGGCTATAGTAAGGGAGAGTTGTCCGACGTGATACGACTACGTCGGACTCTCGTGATGGTTCGAGCATCGGGCTCGATGGGTTTGTCGGTAAGGTGGGAGAAAGACAGGTGGGAGGGTTGACCCATATTAGTGTCCGAAAGGCAGCCGAGAGGTATATTATAGGGAGTTCCATCCAGCCCACTCACTACTGGCAGGCACCGACAGGTACCTACGCCTTCGTCGCTCGTCTAGGGTACGATTCGGTAGGCGAGGTTATGAGGGTCGGTTACGGAAACAGGTACCCGTTAGGTATACAGGTACCTGTAATATCGAGGTACTCTTGAGACAACGCCTATTTCCACGTATAACTGAGCGAAATGGCGGGCACACCTCCTACCCGGCAGTTCTGTTGGGAGGACGACCTAAGGTTCTGCGAATTATATACATACGAAATATATGATATAGATGATATATGTGATAATATATGATACTATGATCTAGAATATGTGTATCAGACATCAGGTCGCAGAGCATCCCGGCGTCCAGCCCACATATTTATTCGGTCGACGGATGGGCGTACATATAAACCCCCAGGACAGCATACGGCACACGTAGTTGGCATCGAGAAAGAAGGCGAATAATAATAAAAATTTCTTGGCCCTGTGCGACGGCTCCCTGTATTCCTTGGATCAAAGGAATCCAGTTGCAGATATACCTAAGGGACGGATATTTTTTAAAAAAGTGGCATTTCCATCGGGAACTTCGCCTTTTCTTTTTTATCCCTTCTCCATTTCGTTCCCTGCCATCCTGGCTCCGTTACCGTCGTCCGCACGGCAGCGTCTCCGTACAGAAATACACCTACCGTCCGTTCATCGACCAACCGAAACGAAAAGGCGATGCCCGAGTAGCGACGAAGAAATGTGGGAATATATTAACCAGAGTCCAGGGAGAGGAAGATTCTTGAATTGCCATTGCTCCCACCCCCCCTATCTGCCTTATCTGCGCAGCTACAGTCGATCTACCTCTGCCGAGCGCGTGCGTGCGTCGGTCCATTTCCTCGGGTAGCCTCTAGAGGGGTCCGCGAGTCGACATCGCAATTTGATTGCGCCTCGCCGATGTACTGAAGGGAGAATCAGAATCACGGCGTACCTGGGCAGGGAAGCCCGGCCATAAGCTCATCCGATAATACCGACAAACAGTCCCTTGTCGCTGTCGCTTGTCAGAAGCCGCAGCTCGTCGACGTCGCTGGTATCTTGGCTTTGAATTTGTTTTCTTTTTGTTTTATCGTCGAGCTTTTAACTCTTTTATTCCCCTCCCTCTTCACACCAGCACGCCAGACCAAGCCGGACGGGCAGACAGACGGACAAGCTGGTGTCTGCACCCTACATCCATACTTCTTCAACCGAGAGAGAGAGAGAGAGGGAGAAAGAGAAGTCAGTCCGGAAAGGCAAAAAAAAAAAAAAATTTACGACTCACTGGAAGCAAGATTAGCAGGGAGAAGAAAGCGAAAGGCGGAAAAAGAAAAGAAGCGATGGCCAACAGAGGTATTCACCATTCCACTCCCACTATTTCATCTTGCGATTAAAAATATATTTACCTTTTCCCTTATTCCTCTTCGTTTCGCAGCACTTCCACCTGTTCTCCCACCACACTCTCTACATCCGACCGGTACTGGTACTCTCTCTCTCTTTCTACCACTTTCATCACCACCACCACCACCACCACCACCACCACCACCACCGCTGCTGCTGCTTCCGCCGCTGCAGCTACTCCCGTTGCTGCAGCGTACCGCGCTGTCTGCTCCCATCGACCCCAGGTAGATGCCCGCACAGCCAGGCCATCCTATTCTTCCCCTGCCCGTTCGTAAATGCTGAGCTCGCAAACTAAACCGGCTGCGTGCACCCTCTAGTCTCCGTTGCCGACCTAGACTCTGCCCTTCCTAGCGACGGCCCCGAATCCCTCTTTGATCTCGACCCTACCGGCGTCTTCAGCAGCAGCCCTTTCGCGCCTCCACCCGCTCCTCCTTATCCTCCTCCTCAGCTTCAGCCTCAACCTCGACCACAGCCTCAACCCGCTCCTCCCAACTTCAACCCCGACCTGGCAAACCTCCGGCGCTATTCAGGTCAGCACCTGACCCTGCCTCCCTTACCCGACCTCCTCACGCAAAGGCGGCAATTTCCCGATACTACCGAGCCCTTGCAACTCGACTCCCTCCCGCCCTATCACCGACTATTTGGCGAAGTCCGCCAATCTCCGCCTGCTAGTAACAGCAACAACCACGGTCACAGTCACGGTACAGAAGGTTCCAGTTGGCTCTCAGCCAGTCTGGACTTCTCGTCCACCAGCCCCGACGCAAACTCACGTCGGCCGGAATCCCATCACTACGCCGTCTGTTTTGAGTTCCCCACCACTCCTCACACCCAGCACACGGTGCCATCTGCGCCATCGTCCCACAGCATACCCACGCAACCGCTTCAGCCAAGCAGATTGCCCCAAGAGCCGAACAGCGACGATTACTACCTTGCCGCCATCGCTGACGGCGATTTTTCCTCACCCTCACTCCCCCCCGCCAACAGCAGTCCTCTCCCCCCCATCCGGCCACAACCTTTGAACCTGCCTAGGCCTCTAGAAATCGGCGGGAGGGTGCCAATCACCGGCCCCTCGAGACAAAGAGCAAGCAAGACAGGGGTGGTGGATCTGACGAAGGAGGAGCCCGATCTCGAGTCGTCCGGTGTCGACCCCACGACACCCGCAATGCCTATCAGTAGGAAGCGAAACGCAGCCGCCGCTGGGCTGGGAGGATCAGCCACTCCTCTCGTCAAACGACGACAATCGGGGTCCTCGCCATCTACTTCGGGCCGAGCAGCCAAGTCGAGGCGAAAACAGACAGTTAAGAGTGAAGAGATCCCTTCGCCGTTCGGCGACGACGACCTTGTTTGTCAGAATGGTCCGGACACTATCGATCTTTCCAATGCTACCGAAGTCCCAAAAGAGCTCATGGCCGCAAAGGTCGACAACAGAATGAAACTGGGCAAGTTTCAATGCGTCATCTGTATAGACGACGCCGCTGCCTTAACTGTCACACATTGTGGTATGTCCCAGATCGTCTACTATGTTTTTGCCTACACATCTCGGTAATGGACCATTGTTTACTAACTGGATGTTTCTACTAGGACATCTTTTCTGCTCCGAATGCCTACACTCGGCACTGCACATAGATGGCGTGAAGAAGTCGTGCCCGGTTTGCCGCACGAAAGTAGACACCAAAGACAAGAAGGGCAAAAACCTCAAGTCATACTACCACCTCGAGCTGAAGATCATGACCGCTAACAAGAAAGGAAAGCGACCCGCCGGCCACCCTTAACGAAGCAAGGAGTATGCTGGTATCATTAGGCTGCCCTAACTGACGTGGTGTAGACGCCGAACGGGTAGGAGGTTGATAATTCACACGACATCCGCATCTGCGCAGGATATTCGAAAATCACCGCGTATGATGACGGTTCAAACTCAGGAATCAAACATCGCCACTAATGCATATGATCCATTTCACTCAGAGGAGAGGCTCTCTCTACTACGCAACAATGGCGGGGACGTCGATATATACAAGTAATCCTACGGAAAAAGACGCCCATCCATTACTGCATGACGGAGGAAGAGAAAGAGGGAAAGGGGACTACGGGTATAACATGATTCTGCATGGACAGGGGAGTTCAATGATCATCATCTGCGGCGTGATACCCCAATGATTTCTTTTTCTCGAACTCGCCCGGGCGAGATTAGACGGTAGAGCCGACAACGACCTCTACGAGACCTCTCTTCTTTTTTTCCTCTCTTCCTCCCTAGGCATCTCCCAGCTCTCCACCTCCCGCGCACATGCACATGCACATGTACATACATAGACACACCAACACACGCGCTCCCCCCCGCTCCCACCTTTTTTTTTTTTTTTTTTGATACGGTTGGTCTGGGATATTGTACGGTAGAGAGGAGATGAAGTGAAGATAGGAGAAAGGGTGGAGGGGGCTGATTGGGTTGCCGGGCCTCTTCTCCTTTCATCGTGTATAAAAAGAAAAGGAGGGGAGAAAAAAAATGACTAGGGAAACAGACACCCTGTTATTCGCGATGACCGGCCTTGCACTGACTGCCTGCGTGCTACTTGTTTATTTTTTTGTCTCGCCTGCGTGTTCGCGGGAAATTAGGCCGTGGCTGGCGCACGCGGATAAGACACGGAGCGGCCAGGGAACCGCCTTGTGGGACAGCGTATGCACATTCGCGACAGGCAGGTTCGGTAGGGAATCGGTGAACACACATGCGGATGCCCCCGTCGTGGTATTGACGCTTCTGAGAACACCCCCCCCCCTCGTGGTGTGGTGTGGTGTGTATTCGGACTGAGGGCGCGGTCGCAGAGTGAGGCCAGGGCAGCCTGTGCGTGAGACGGACTGTGTAGCTATGTTCGGTACGAGCTTACTGCCCCGTCGGCGCAGCTGAGCTGAGATACTTTAGCTTCTACGTAACAGAGGTCACGTCACGGGTTAGTGACCACGTGGAGTGTCGCTTTCGTAAAGGATTACTATCGACGAAGCGCCAAGATAGAAAAGATAGACCCGACAGGGGGCGTAGCTGCGCAGACAGCATGGCTTATGCGCTCTTCGCCAGTGCGGCACGCACTACCTACGTGCTCTACACGTACGGCATCACAGCATCGCGTAGGACATTACGTTATCCGTCTACTGCGAGCCCGACCGCTCGAGCTCGTTCGAAATTGCCTCTTCTCTTACTTGACCTATTTAAGCTAGCCCTCCGCGCGCCCGGATGGAGACCCTCCCTCTACAGCATCCCGCCGCTCCGCTCGCCCAGCGGCGTCCTCTGCCCCATCGAGAAGTCGTCGTCGTCGTCCGCTAGCAGGCCCCCGCGCTCGCCGGCCACATCGCTGTCGTCGCCTTCTTCGTCGTCGCGCGCACTGCCACTGGCGCCGCCGCTGCCGCCCGCCCCTCTCGCGGCCCCCAGCACGCGCGGCGACGAGACGCCGTTGAGCACGTACCAGCAGTCCTTCTTAGTCAGGAGCCCCTGTAGGACGCCGCGGTCGCTGAAGAGCACGTAGCGCACGCCTAGCTTCTGGAAGTACGACAGCGCGAGGTGTAGGCTGCTGCGGCTCGGCAGCGTCAGCGGTGTCTGGTCCATCCACGGCCGCAGGTCCAGCGTCGCTCGGGGGTCCGCCAGCGGTTGGTGCGAGAAGAAGGTCTCCGTCTCCGGAGGCAGGTTGCGCGGCGGCTTCGACCCCGCCGCCAGGTTGTACGCGAGCTCCGCCCGGCTGATATAGCCGAGCAGGATCGCGTCGCGCGGGTCGCTGACAACGGGGAACCCGCGGTAATCGCAGCTCTCGAGCACGCCGCGCAGGCTGGCGATCGTATGGCCCGTCGCCGTCAGCACCACCAGGTCCTCAATGCGTGTCATGATCTGCGACGCAGGTATGTCGGGCACATTCTGCGCCCCGCCGCCGTCGTCGCCCGAGTCTAGGAACGGATATTCGTTGAAATGGATCCAGCTGTCGTAGATCCCCCGCCGCGAGAAGGCATCCCCAACCCACTTCGAGAGCATCACGGCCACCATGATAGGAAGCACGTAGGTCAGCGCACCGGTCAACTCGAACATGATGACTACGATAGAGACCGTCATGCGCGTGACGCCCGCGAGCGTGGCCGCTGCACCAATCATGGCATACACGCCCGGCGTCACACACGGACTGTTGGGCTCGCAGGTACTAAACATGATAAAATTCGGATAATTCCGCTGCCAGATCTCCATGGCGATGCCCACCGCCCGGCCAGAGAGGGCACCGATAGCCATAGAGGGCAATATGATACCTGCCGGGATCTGCAGGCCGAAGGTAACGGCCGCTAGGAAAAAACCAAGCACGGCGGCAAATAACAGCAGGATAACGGTGCCGGCAGTGGCCACACCTGTCTTGCAGAGGCCAAACGGGTCGTCGAGGACGAGGGCGCAGTCGGAGAACAGCGAAGACACGATCTCTGAAGTCTGCGCTCGCATATAGAAATTAGGGTAGTTTATAAGGGCCGACAAGAGTGCCACAATGCCGACCTGAGTCAAAGCCCCTGGGAGCCACGCGTTAGATTTCCTCCATTGAGCCACACGCATGTTGGCTTTGATGAAGAGACCTCCGTAGAGGCCGCCAAGAATACCGAGAAGTGCGAAAGGGATAACTTCAAAGTCGTGCCAGCCGGTGCTGAACTTGACCTGGAACAGCACGAGCTTGCCGGATCGGAACGGATCGAAGGCTTGCAACACGACCGCGGCGGTCATGGCGCAGACGAAGCTCTGCCACATCGTCTTGTCGGCGAAATAGTAGGAGAGCTGCTCGAGACTAAACAAGACGCCTCCTATAGGCGATCCAAACGCGACGGAGATTCCTGACGCTGCCGCCGCGGACAAAACCTCTCGTTTCCGTGCTGGTCTAGTCAGTTGCATTCTTTCGTGGGGTGTGGTCATAATACATGCCTTCATTATTATTTATATTGGGGAACAGTTTGATGAAAATGCTGGAGCAACAACAGGCAACATGTACCAAGGGGCCTTCCTTGCCTAGCCACATGCCCGATGCGACAGCGAAGCACTGTTACCAGTTAGCGGAGGTTCACTTGACAGTACGTTCGTAACGTAACGCATACCAATCCTAGCGACTTTGTGACTAGCGTCCAGGGACCCAGGAAACGCCGGATCACGAACCCCCCCAACATCGTCTTCACCTCGGGTATACCACTGTGCCTAGCATATATCGCGTACTCCTTGACCAAAAATCCGGCGCAGAGCGCAAATGTTACCTGCCACGGGTTAGAAAAAGTTGAAAAGGGATGCACATAACACGATGCTAGGAAACTCACAGAGAACAACAGATAAAACAAGTATTCTATAGCCCATTTCCCACCCACAGATCCTATCCCCAGAGCCGCGGCCCACGGCTTCCACCCCAAACATTTATCACCTTGGTCGTAACCGTAGCAGCAGAACTGCTTGTTGAGATAGAACGCGCCTCCCTCCGGCCCCGAGGAGCAGTATCCCGCCTTGATATCCCCCAGCCAGTCCGAGGCAACATCTATACTGGCTGCCAGCGCTCCCACGGCGACACCCGTCAAGACGAGGACGACCCATGCCTGGCTGGAGTCGAGGAGCTGTTGTATGTATCCGATTATGCCTGTCGCGCTCGAATACAAGACCCGTAGACGTTGTCGCTCTTTCGTGTACTCGAAAATCCAGTCGATAGCCGTCAGGTCCTCGTATCCTACTCGCCGGCCGGGCCCTTCGACATACCAGTCCAGCGGCGCGCCCTCCTTATGGCCGGCCAGCGTGGCAGAGGCACCCTCGACCCGATCCGAGCCGGAGCCCTGTCGTCCGGGGGGCATCTCGGCCTCAGAACGTGGCGAGCGCGGCGAAGTAGAACCCAGGCGGTTGCCGGTCAGAGAGGAGAGGAACCGACTGGACTGTGAGAGGACGGACTGCTTCTGCTTCCTCTTGAAGCTAACTGGCTCGGCCAGTTCCTCGGCTAGGGGATCGTCGTCTAGAATGTCGTCATCATTGATATCGAACAGATCGTCGATCTCGTCTCTTCGGTCGCGGCTCGGGGCGTTCGATTCGTGGGGCGATCGCGAGGAAGACGACGAGCCCTCCCCGTCGTGGGTGTTCATCAAATTCCTACTGCTCGTCGCCATCTCGGAGGCCTAGTCATGCAACCTGCCATATTCCAACGGGAGGTGTTGCTCCACTCGATTCTTTCGATTCTCTCCAATAACGGTGGAAGCTAGATAGGTTTCGGGGACGGACATGACGTTGCGGGTTTGCAATGGAGAAGGGAGACGGGCAGCACTAGGGTCGCTGTTGGTCGGTTAGTCACCAGAATAACCAGAGAAGCCCCAACGAAGTACATAAGTACTATGTACGTGTAGATGCATACAGGAAGGACCTGCGTTTATACATGGTGCTATGTATCGTATACCTAGGATAGCGTCTACCTGCGCGCGGCTGGCGTACGGTCCCCGGCACGGGTATGCGTTCCCCACGTACCCAGGTACAAAGTGCGTAAGTTACGATAACGATAAGCCCGAAATTGTGGAGGGCAGCTTGATGAATGAACAGAGCGACTGCAAGGCATTGTTCTTAACCAAGAGCTCAGCAGACGAACATGTAAGGGGACACCTTCGGTTCATATGCCCTGTCCCACGCTGCAAGGATGCCGTAATGGGTCGAGCAAAGAGGTCGCTCGTCATTTCACATAATACCTCACAGCAGCATCGAGAATCAGATCAATTCTCTAATTTGATCAACATCCCGGATCCCACGGAGATCGTTGTTTCCGCAAGACCTGCGGATGAGCATGACGAGGATGAAAGCGACCCTGTGCTTGACGATGACACCATCGACGACTTTGAAGAAGACGACGACTCCTTTTCCGAAGACTTCAATCATGGAGTGAGCGCAATATTCCCACTGGCGCGAGTTACTGCCGCAGTTGAAACAGTCGGAGAGCAGAGGTGCTGCTTGCTAAAATGAAATCAGAAGCTCCTGACAGGTGAGTACGGACATCTGCAGTGCATTTTGTAACGCCTATTCAGTGACTTAACTCAAATTCCGGCTTGCCAGCCTCTGTGTCTGGACCCCCTCGTAACCTGGGTCTGAAGTGCTTAGTACCGTCCCGAGTTGTTGACAACATAGTAAGCCGGCTCTGCCCTGCGTCAGCAACCCTAGGCTACGATATCACCCTGCTCAAATTCCAACGCGCCTCTTCAATAACGGCCATGCCTAGCAGATGTATCGCATATCAAGCGGAGTGTCTCTCCGAATGCCAGCTTAAGAAGTACGGCCTCAAGGCAACTAATCTCGACCAAATATGCGAGAAGAACGGGTGTTTCAAAGCTGGATTCGGCGGCTCAAAATTTTGCAAAGCCCACCTATCTGGATGGACTCAAACCCAAGAAGATACGGATTTCCAGCAACTTTAAATGCTACGCAACCATCATTTACCGGCCTTGCAAGTGGTGTGGACCGACAGACCCGCTATGAAGAGTATCCTCGCCCTCGTCGATTCCATCCAGGCTGAAGAATCGCCTGTTTCGGCATTGAGATTTATCGACCTTGAGTATAACTCCTCCACGCGGAGGGTATTCGAAATTGGCATGTGCGATGCCAACGGAACTGTGACCATGGATTGCTTGACTTCATACGGATCCAAGGCCCTCCACGCTGTGACCAACGACGACACTGTTGTTGAAAGACGCATAGATGGCATAATCGAGACTTCTGTTAAACAACATCACTGCGCCCATGGCTCCATAACTGCAAAGCAGGTCGCAGATGAGCTCAGGCTGCAGGGCATTTCACAGGAGACTATTTTCGTGTCATGGCACAGCAACGCATTTAGCCTGTCTCTATCGCGCGAGTGGTTGGAGTCTGAGGGGGAGTATGGGGTACTACCCCCCGGCCCCCACTGTATCCCAACCATCCCGTATTTCCGGCGAAACCTTGGGGATGTCAAATCGAAGAATGGCCGGGACTTTCCTCTGTCCCTGCCCACCATGTCCCCAACCATGATGACCCCACGCCACGAGCTGTACGGGAGGAATCGCCACGCCATTATAGACGCTCAGCAGCTGAAATGCATGACGGACGTCTTCGGGACACTATGTCGGCTTCAAGATCGCCGGGATGGTTGGTTAGAGCATCTCCGACACACTGCAGGCCGACCAAGCCTCCATCAGGCTAGATTGGAGCCGTTCTGGGCGCAGTAACTTTGGACGATCATTTGCGGGCTGTATTGTATGGGAGTTCACTGAGATATGACGAGATCCCGGGGGAAGGGTGGCAGTGAGTGAATCTTATGGGAAGGGAAAGTCAGTGGTCGCGTCTATTTTGGACGACAGTCAGGTTCTAGGCTGATACCTAGTTGGTGGCTGGACAGTGCGCAAGCTGAACAAGAGGCCACCAGCAATTCCATGGCTGGATCAAAAGCGACTATGAGAGGGCGCAAGGGACTCCCTCACTACGCTCAGCCAGCTCACGTCTTGCCCAGCGCTACTCAGTCATTTATCAGCCCCCAAAAGCAGGGGTTTAGCTTGAGATCTGGAGATATATTTTAGTACTCTTGAGTTTTGCCTATACATCTGACAACATCTGCGTTCAGTTAAAACGATTCATTACCTATGAGAATTACCAAAGTGCAAAATGAATCAGGAAAGATATAGAAGCAGTATTTGCTCGCCGTGATCTATATTAATCTTTCAGCCCACAAGGGCGACTTGACGCAAGCTTGCTTCCATGTGACACCATCATCAGAACACAATTTCAAGCTCGATCATTACATGCAATTCCTCCCTTTTTCGATGGACATGAAGCGCCGTTGCCCCTCGTGTCCTGTATATACCAAATTAAATTCTCTGCAAGGAAACTGTCCGTCAAGGCGGGCCAGTAGGGTGAGGTTTGCTAGTGACCGCCTACCGTAATAGGAAAAGGTGCCCCTCCCCCGAAGATCGGAGTGAGGCAGAATTCTTTTGCGGTGACAAATCTTCAAGCCGTCATTCTCGAGCCCGTAGTTATGTTCTACCTTTCTCAATAGACGCGACTCTTTTCAGGATATCAGCTTGGACTATGCTCCAGGGACACATTCGCTACGAGGCGCCTTCCCACTCAGGGTAAATATCGCCATATTGCTGCCGCCATGGGGCTTCCCGATCCCACCATCGACCTCGACTGGAGCGGCTACATAGGCGCCATCCACGAGATATTCCACAAGAATGCTTTGAAGAATCCCGACGCGCCGTGCGTCACGGAAACAGCCTCCTCCACCACGCCCGAGAGGAGATTCAACTACAAGCAGATTTATGAGGCGTCCAACATCTTGGCCAACCAGCTCCATGAAGCTGGCATCACCAATGGCGATGTCGTTATGATCTTTGCCTACCGTTCCGTCGAACTCGTCATCGCCTTCATGGGAATCCTTGCTGCCGGTGCCACTATTACTGTCCTAGACCCCGCGTACCCGCCGGCGAGACAACAGATCTACCTTGAAGTCTCACAACCAAAGGCCCTGATCACGATTGGCAGAGCCAGGGACGAGAATGGTACTTTTGCGCCGCGTGTCCAGAAGTACATTGACGAGGAACTATCTCTCAAAATACGAGTACCCGAGCTACGGATGAGCGGTGATGGCCACCTTACCGGTGGCGAGGTTGATGGAAAGGAAGTCTTTACCGACACGGAAAGCAAAGCATCGGCGCCTCCAGATGTTCTGGTGGGTCCGGACTCAACAAGTATCCTGAGCTTTACCAGTGGCACGACATCCACACCCAAGTACGAGATCCAGCAACTCTTAAAGTTCGGACATTAGCTGACTATTTCCAGGGGCGTGTTGGGCAGACATTACAGCTTAGCCAAGTACTTCCCGTGGATGGCCAAAACTTTCAACTGGACCTCGGACACAAAGTTCGCTTGTCTAAGGTAAAACCTATCAAAGATGATGCCCGTCACAGCTCTGCTAACCAATGGTAGTGGCATAAGCCATGATCCTATCCAGCGAGACATTTTCAGTCCGATTTTCGTGGGCGGGGAGCTAATTTGCCCTGCTCGCGAGAATATCGCCCACGAAAGGTTAGCTGAGTGGTTCCGCGATCACAAACCTAACGCGGTCCATTTGACGCCCGCGATGGGTCAAATCTTGTGCGGCGGTGCCAAGGTGGAGTTCCCTTCATTGAAGTGGGTTCTCTACGTTGGTGATATTCTGACCAAGAAGGATTGCGCTGCGCTCCGCAAGCTGGCGCCTAACGCGGAGATCTGCGCTGCATATGGTACCACTGAGACGAGCCGCAGCGTGTCATACTACCACATCAAGAGCCACGCTGAGGATCCGAATGCATTAGATAAATTTGGCGATATTGTTCCTGTCGGAAAGGGCATCGAGAACGTCCAGCTCCTCGTAGTCAACCGGGAGGATCCGACCAAGCTTTGCGGCGTCGGTGAGGTCGGTGAGATTATGTTGAGAGCAGCAGGCTTAGCCGAGATAAGTCTCCCCTTTCTTTTTCTGATAGAGTCCTGCTAATATTCGACTTTACGGATATCTGAATGACCTGGAGAAAACCAAGGAAAAATTTCTCGACAACTGGTTCGTCGACAACCAGAAGTGGGTTGAGGCTGACAACAAAGTTGCCGATCACGCCAACGAGCCCTGGAGAAAGTATTACAAAGGCCCACGAGACAGAATCTACAGGAGCGGCGACTTGGGGTATTTTTTGGACGATTCTGGTAATTGCGCAATTACAGGCAGAGCTGATGATCAAGCCAAAGTTCGTGGCTTTCGCATCGAGCTCAATGAGATCGATAGCAACTTGAGAGGACACCATTTGGTCCGCGAGTGCAAGACGCTGCTTCGAAGAGATCGGAACGAAGAGCCAACACTGGTCAGCTACATTGTGCCTGAACACCAAGAGTGGCTCAAGTGGCTAGCAGAACGCAGCCTGGAAGACACGGAGGAGCAAGGTACCGAGATCGGACCCGTCATCGTGTATTCTAAGCGCTACAGGCCAATGCAAACGGAGGTTCGGGACCATCTCAAGTCTCGATTGCCAGCTCACGCTGTCCCGACTTATTTCATCTTCCTGAAGAAGCTGCCCTTGAACCCCAACGGCAAGGTTGACAGCCCAAACCTGCCGTTCCCGGATGCGGCCCTGATCTCGGAAGAGGCTTCGGAGGAGGATCTGAAGAGATGGGAAACGCTCAGCAACACCGAAAAGGAACTGGCGGAGCAGTGGGCAACACTGATCAATGGTTTGAATGCCAAGACCCTGCAGCCCGAGTCTGATTTCTTTGAAAGCGGTGGGCACAGTCTGCTGGCCCAGCAGCTTCTCCTCAATACCCGCAAGAACCTGGGGGTCAACGTGTCCATCAGCTCACTGTACTCGAACTCATCCCTCAGGGCTCTTAGCACACAGATTGACCGCCAGCGTGAGGGCAAGGACGATTCGGGCGCGACAGAGGACGGCGAGGCTGCATATGCCCAGTCACTCGACAAGCTGCTCGGTAGCCTCGATGCCAAGTATCAGACGGCGGACCCTGCGGCACTCTCACCGGCAGGCAAGACGACCGTCTTTGTGACTGGCGCCACGGGCTTCCTGGGCTCTTACATCGTCAGGAACTTGCTTGAGCGTGAGAATGTACACGTGATCGCCCATGTCCGCGGAACGAAGGACGTCCCGGCCGCCCTCGAGCGGCTCCAGAGGTCACTCCGCGGATACAGCGTATGGCAGGATTCTTGGGCCACTAGGCTCAGTGCAGTCATCGGTGACCTGACACAGCCGCGTCTTGGACTTGATGACGGCACATGGGAGATGCTTGGCGACGCTGTAGATGTGGTTATCCATAACGGCGCCCTCGTCCACTGGGTAAAGCAGTATAAGCATCTCGAGCGTAGCAATGTTCTATCAACAATCGATGCCCTGCGGCTTTGCAACCAGGGCAAGCCTAAGCTTTTCTCATTCATTAGCTCGACAAGCATTCTAGACACGGATCACTATATTAACCTGTCACACCAGCGGACCAGCACTGGACAAGGCGCTGTCATGGAAGCAGATGACACGATGGGCAGTCGCACCGGTCTCGGCACCGGATACGGCCAGTCCAAATGGGTAAGTAGCCTCCACAGACCCCTTTCTGCATGAGTAGCACCCATTCTGATGGACCACAGGTATCTGAACAGCTCGTCCGCGAGGCTGGCAGACGCGGCCTCCTCGGATCTGTCGTCCGACCTGGCTATATCCTCGGAGACGCTGCCACCGGTGTCTGCAACAACGACGACTTTCTTATCCGCATGCTCAAGGGCTGTATCCAGCTGTCTAGCCGGCCGCACATTATCAACACAATCAACGCCGTGCCTGTAGGTCACGTCTCTACTGTCGTCGTCGCAGCTAGCTTGAACCCCGTCCCGGCCGAAACTGCAAACAGCAACAGCGGCAGCGACGACGTTGGTGTCCACGTCATCCACGTCACTGCCCATCCCCGCCTGCGCATGAACGAGTATCTCTCCATCCTGAGCTACTACGGCTACCACGTTCCCGAGGTGGATTACGACCACTGGAAGGCCCAGCTCGAGACCTTTGTCTCGGCAGGTTCTGTCCAGAAAGACGAGGAACAGAGTGCTCTCATGCCTCTCTTCCACATGGCGACGAACAACCTCCCCACAACCACTCGCGCGCCGGAACTTGATGATCGCAATGCTGTGGCTGTCCTCAAGACTGATGCAGACCGGTGGACGGGTGTCGATGAGAGTGCTGGAGAGGGCATCAGTAGGGAAGCTGTTGGCCGCTTCTTAAGGTACCTCGCCGAAACCAATTTCCTGGCATGGCCAACTGGACGGGGTAGGGAGCTGCCGGCTATCAAGGCTGGTGCTGTCGAGGCGCAGGCGAAATGGGGTGTCGGAGGGCGTGGTGGTGTAGCGTGAGGGAGAGGGAACGGGGACAAAATTCAAAGTCTGGATAGCGAAAAACAAGTGCTGATAGATCGGAGAGCCTAGACAAAAGTAAAATGGTGGGCATTAGAGACCCTTTGGATTCACAAGTAAGGTATATCTCATTCGCGTCTATACTGCTTTGTTGCAAGCGATAGATGAAATCTTGAGACGCCCCTTTTCCCCTCAACGATCAAGGTCAGATCCTTTGTGAGATGTGACTTATCACCGTAACGGGTCCCTTTCGGGGGATGACCCGTCAACTTGGTATGTTATCAAAGTGTCCAGTACCCTGTCTCATGAATGACCTGTGTTGAGGACCACTCGGCTCACGTCCTTCATCTCTCCATCACCGAATCTAATATCATCTAAGAGCAGGTACCTTTAGCTGAGAAGGTACCTAGCTGAGAAAGTACCTAGGTAGTTCCGTCAGCAGATAGGTACATCTGATGGGGCAGGATGGGTACGTGCGCACAGACCAGTTGAGCAAATCAAAGGCGGCAGCCCCAAACCGCGAACAGCGACACACAGATTTCAAACATAGCTACCTACCAAACAACAATCTCAACACAGCAGAGAGGCACAAAAATAATTAAGCAAATAGCTCATCGCCCATCCAGGCCCAGCTTAATTCGCCTGGGGGGATACGGACTACCTGTATTATTTAATTCTAGTCGTCAGCGCGACAACCGAAGTCCACATCGATGCCCCCATCTCGTGCCAGTGAGGTGAGCGAGATCCGGCAGGGGACAAGATGGAGGATGTCCCCGATGTCTCCCGACTGCAAGTGCACGACGGCGAAGACGGAGCCGAACCGAGCGCCCCTCAGCCCCCGACCGTAGAAAAGATTCGGGAGCTCCTCATGACCAAAGACGACACTACCCGATTTGTCGGCTTAGCCCTCCTCAAGTCCGTCTTGGACAACACACCCGAGCTACGAGACGAAAAGGGGGTCATCATCTCGCTATGGGATGCCATGCCGCCCAAGTTCCTCGACCGCCTGCTCCGCACCGGCTCACGGTCGGGCTCGGAGCGGAAGGACGCCAAGGACATGCTCGACCTCGCAGTAGCTGTCATCCACACATTCGCCATCTTGCTGCCCGACGACGCAAAGCAGGATGAGAAGCTCGTCGGCCGAATCCCGAGATTAGCCAAGGCCGTCCTCTACAGGTGGGCAGACAGCCACCTCTCCCCGTTGACGGCACAAGTAAACACACGCTGACCTCACGCAAGCTCCAAGGAGACAACTCAGGTTATTGTGCAGACGCTGTTTACTCTTGTCGTTGTGCCGGGCGGTGCCAGGCGCTTCGCCGACCTGGAGATCGACGATTGGACGCCGCTCATCGAGATTGCCCCGGAGCACCCGCACGTCATGCCGATATTTATCTGGGCCTGGGAAAAGGGAACGTCTGGCCTCGAGGATGGTCTGCCGAAGGAGGCGATGAGGGCTAAGATCGACGAGGCTATTCAGTCTTTTATCTCTTCGTTTCTCGGCACCGACGGAGCGAGCCTCCTCTTATTTATCTCTCACATTCTACGAAACCTCGACGAGCAGGTAAGCTTTGCCCGTTTTTAGGACCAGTGGTAAACACGCTCTCATCAAATTCTAGCTCATACCACCGAATCCGAGATGGCTCGGCTCGCTCACCAAGCTCATACGCAGCTTGTCGACCAACCGGCCGACAGCAGATAGCCGGACGGCGTACACCAACTGCGCGGGCGCGCTGCTGCTCCTCTACCCGACGGCGGCCCCCCCGATGCTGTTCCAGGACGAGAAGGACGCGGCGAAGCCGTTCTCGTACCACTTCGTCAACCTGATCCTGGTCGACCTGCGCGTGACCCTGCCGACGCTCCTCGAGAAGCTCAACGACGCGGAGTACCCGCAGATCTCGCAGCGCATGACATCGGCGCTCGACATCCTGACGGCGTTCATCAGCCAGCTCATCGCGTGGATGGAGGAACTCGACGACGGGGCGGGGCCGGGGCCGGAGCCGGACGCGCCAAGCCGGCCCCAGCTCCAGCTCCGGATGCCGCCCGACCTCGTCCTCAGGCTGAGCCGGTCCATCGCCGAGACCCTGTCCGTCGTCATGGAGCACCTCCGCGACCGCTGGGACGCGGCGGTGGCGGGCGCGGCGGGCCTGCACCCGGACGCGCGCGCCGGCCGCGCGCACTCGGACCTCGGGGCGCGGCGGACGCTCGCATGGGACGCCGGCGAGGCGCGCGCCGCGGCCGACGCGCTCGTGCTCGCGGCCGTGCGCGCGGTCGCGCTGTGGATCCGCGACGACGACGGCGACGCCCTGCGCAAGGAGGCGGCCGGCCTCGTCGACATGTTTGTCGAGCTGTACCGCGAGAGCGGCGGCGGCGGCGGCGGAGAAGGAGGAGGAGGAGGAGAGGGGGGAGGGGCCGAGAGCCTCGACTTCCGGCTGCCCGTGCTCGCCGCGCTCGAGGGCGTCCTCCGCACGCCCGAGGGCGTCGCCGCGTCGGCCGCCCACGACGGCTGGAAGGTCCTGGCCGAGGACCTGCTCGCGATCCTCGCGCGGAGCGAGACGGCTGCCGCTCACGACCGGAGGAGGGAGAAGGGGAAGGGGAAGGAAAAGGAGAGCGGGGACGACGGCGAGAAGGTGGAAGAGCAGGAGAAAGAGAAAGAGAAAGAGAAAGAGATGCAGGCAGAGCTGATCCGCGGAGACCGCATCGCCCTCGTGCTGCAGATCCTGGCCGAGGCCGAGGACAGCACGCCCGAGGACTGGATGGCCGTGGTGACCGCCGTGGCGGCGTACGACGTCCCCGCGGCAGAGGGCGGGCCCGGGGCGCTCCTGCTCGAGTTCGCGACGGACACGGTGCAGCTGGCGGCGACGCTGCTCGCGCACGCGAACCCCGGCATGCGGCGGCGGTACGTCCACTCGGCCGCCGCCGTGCGCGGCGTCGCGGAGCAGCTGAGGGAGCAGGCCGAGGAGGAGAGCGGCTTCGCGCGCGATTTGGACGCGGCGATTTCTACGCTACTGGACATACAGTAGCACACGGTTCTAGAAGGCAGGAGGCAGCGTATGGCAAATCACGTTCACGACATATGCTCTCGCTATTGTGCTTGTGTATCTCCGTGGGCTCCCCTCGTTTTGGTTTCCTAAGCGTGCTCTTCTGCCATTCTTGAACTTGGTGGACGCCTTCACCTTAGCGAGGATCGCTCTGGAGAACGGTAGGTATTTCCAGCAACCGCACATGTCGCAACCTAGTCGCGCTCGGTCGCGCCGTTCTTGATAGGTACGTTGGCTGGTGACAGCGGTGGCGGCCACAGCCCATTCCGGTGAGTACTACTCCTCCTCCTACGAACAAACACGCATTTCTAAGCATTCACACCGTTCGGGTTCCACGTTGGCGTAGGTAGTTGCGACATCGGTTCGGTCGCCTCCCGGGTGGGAGCAATTTCAAATACCTGATCCCCAGTTCGTCGAGCCGGGAGGGGAAGGGGGGGGGGGGGAGAGAGGAAACACGGATGCATGCTCGGGAACGCAAACAGGTCTCGACGATACGGGCGGACAAGATGGATTGCCTACGTTGTACCCGGTAGGGACGCACGGAGGGGGTCGTCTTCTCGTCTCGTCATCGTACGCGTCTGCATCGAGATGGTGTTCCCGCGAGCAAACACATCTCGTCCCCGTGTGAACCTATGCCCAGTAATCTCTCTCTCTCTATATTATTGTGTGTGAGCGTGTGCGTGTGTGTCTACAGCATCGAAGGGAGGGAGGAGTTGGTCAACGGCATATGAATGCTTATCACCGCCCACCCTTTCCGGTACCGTGGAACCCCCCTCCTCTCTCTCCCTCCTAGCTCTCCCGTGCCGTTGGAGACAAAGCCTTAGTGCTAGGACAGCATATATTAATATTTAATTGCATGATTGCACCAATTTATGCGGCTTGCCGCCTCCCCCCCCCCCCTCGTCCCCTTACCTTCCGGTCTCGAAAGGGTTCGACGTCCAACCCGAGGGTCTGGCCTGGCCCGTAGACAGGGGCGTTCTGGGAGGGAATGTATTGGTTTCTTATCGAGCTCGGACGCCGCCCTGCCGACCGCCTACCGATCGATCTTGGAGAAGCGTAGCCGTCCGCGGTAAGAGACGCGGTGTGGCACGGGGTAGACGGACACTCGATTTGTGGGAGCGGAGTTGCGCAAATCGCTTTGTTTTCCTCTAGAAACGTCTTTTTTATCCTACCGCTATGTAGGGAGATAGTCACATTAAGCGGGTAAAGAGGATTGATATGCGTCTTGTTACATTATGACGATTGATTCATTGATTTATGCCGCGTCGTGATCGCAGCCGATACCCTCAGGCGACGAGAGCGAATGAAAAAAGAGTTCTCCTGTGTAGAACGAAGCCTGATCCGTCTATATACCTACGTTTATACATAAACAACATCGGCTATCCTTCTATCACCCACCTCCCCTCTCTTTTCCCCATTTCAGCTCGACGTCTCGACGTATCTATATCTCCGCTGCGTGTCACGACGCCTTCTCTCCTCCCAGAGCGACTTGTCCCCGATTAGAACAGCCACGAGACGAACCGCTTGTAGAAGACGGCCGACGCCTTCTGGGGGTCGCTGGCGCGCTTGGCGGCCTTGGCGGCGAGGAACTCCTCCTCCTCGCGGTCGATGATGTCCTTGCCGGTGTAGAAGTCGCACTCGTGGGCGCGCACGCCCTTGCTCTTGGTGCGCAGCTTGTGGCCGAAGATGAGCAGCAGGTAGACGGGGATGCCGAGGTAGCCGGTGATGAAGTTGGGGTACTTCTCGCTCCAGTCGCCGATGAAGACGTCGAAGTTCTTGGTGAGCGCGATCAGGCAGCACATGAAGAGCGCCGCGTACGACCCCCACGCGCCGAGCGGCGCCACGTACGGCATCGCCTCGTTCGGCAGGCCCTGCGCCTTGCGCGCCCGCACGAAGTAGATGTGCGTCACGAGGATCGAGATCCACGTCATGAGGCCGAAGATGGTCGTCAGGTTGACGAAGTACGAGAACACCTTCTTCGAGTCGTCCGACACGTTCATGAAGGCGAGCAGCCCGAACAGCGCCGACACGCCGAGCGAGTACAGCGGCACGCCGCTGTCGTTCGTCTTGCGGAAGATCGACGGCGCCGCGCCGTCCGACGACAGGCCGTAGAGCGTCCGGCTGGCGATGTACAGATCCGAGTTGGCGGCGGAGAAGACGAACCCGAGGATGCAGGCGTTGAGGATGTGGTCGAGAACGGGGATGTGGACGGCCTTGATGGCGGCGACGAACGGGGAGGCGTTCGCGGTGCTCGCCGTGGTCCCGGATTGGTAGTTGATGAGGTCCTCCGAGTTGTACGGGACGCACATGCCGACCAGCAGGATGCTGATGCAGTAGAAGAAGACGATTCGGTAGAAGGTGAGTCTGATGGCGCGGGGGATGGTTCTGCGCGGGTTCTGGGCCTCGCCGACCGTCACGCCGACCAGCTCAGTGCCCAGGTAGGCGAACGTAGCCGTGACCATCGTCGACCAGAAACCGAGGAACTGGCCGAGGGCCCCCTCGGCGAGGTACGGGCGGAATGCCCTGCTTCAGTTAGCATCACGCGCCACAGCCAAACCACCCCCGCCTAGCGATGCAGCGGTGCTGGGAGGGAAGAGCTGTTAATGCACATACCCAGGATCATTCCAGTACCGGAAACCCTTCGGGTCGCCGTCAACACCACCGGTGGCGATGATGAGAGTCAGCAAGATGACGCCGACAATGACGACGACCTTGAAGCTTGACAGCCAGAATTCGAACTCGCCAAAGAACCGAATGCCGAAGTAATTAATGCAGATGATGGCGACGAGGAATATGGCGATGAATACGCCTGGATTGACTCGGTCTCGCGGCACCCAGAACTGTATCACCAGAGACGCGGCGGTAAGCTGGTTAGGTGTGACGATGATGTATTTAAACCAGTACCTAGTGGAATCGGACGAGTTAGTTGGCTTCCTGCCGCAGCGCTTTCGTAATGCTGTAACCCTCGATTTTTCGAGCAGGCCGTCGTCGTCGGGATGAGCAGCCTGGGAGGGGGGGCGGGGGGACGGGGGTTTGAGACTTACGTCCAACCTAGGGCGAAGCCGAGCGAAGGATCACAGAACCGGGACGCATAAGCCGTGAAACCAGCAGACATCGGCAACCAAGCAGCCATCTCGCCGAGGGCGGCCATGACGAGGAAGACGACCATACCGAGAATCGAATACGAGATAAAGATGGAGCCGGGGCCGGCTTGCGTGAGAGCTTTGCCGGTACCGATGATGAGACCCGTCCCGATCGCGCCGCCAATGGCTATCATAGTAATGTGACGGGCTTGAAGACCGCGATGTAACGAAGTCTCAGCCGAAGTCTCGAGACCGCGAATGCGCGGAGCGTCAGCTTCCATGTCAGAGTAGTGCATCTTCTCCTTGTCCCCCACGGGGGACGAGGACGACGTCCTGTGGATCACGCCTTCGCGGTCCATGGTGGCCTCTCTCTCTCTGTCTCTCTCTCTATTTCTTTTCTCTTGATCTATTTCCCCCTCTTTCTCTCTTTCCACTCTGTCCCGATGTTTTCCTCGGTGGTGGTGGTGGGGAATCGACCGATTAGAAGAACGCGCGGGAAAATAGGCGACGATGCCCCGTCCTCAGTGCGAAAAAGAGCCTGGAACAATCGGAAGGGGGAAGAAAGAGAGAGAGAAGAGGCAAACGGCAGGGCGGCGACCGGCTAATAAATATATGTTAATCGGAGAAAGGGAAAAGACGAAAAAGGCTGCAAGGTTGGCACAACGAGATATCTCGTCATCCCGTCGGCCAATCCAGGCTCGTCCCACGAGATATGCTCGTTGTCACGTAGTAGCATCCTATCGCCACCCGTACCACGAGAGGCACAGGCAGAGACAGGAGACACAGGCATTAGCGACCGGGTATACGATCCCAGGGATCTCGCCGCTGATGAGCGAGCGGCGCGGGTCCGGGGGGAGGAAAGGGAGGATCCCTGGCCCTGCTTATCTCTCCAACGCCCCGTTCCAGCGACAAAGGCCCGCATCCATACTACATAGTAGACATCATACTGCGTACACCGAGCGCTGCAACGGGTTAGGGACGGCCACCCGACTTCTCGAGGCTTTAGATGGCTGGCCCGGCCCTCGTTTCCCCACCCCAGCAACCTCTGTCGAGAAGGTGGATGCGGGTAGGGATTTACGTTATAGGCAGCACCTCCGCTGATCGGCGTCGTATTATGTGCGAGTATACTTACTTACCTAGGCAAGGAGTATCATCAGCAGGTAGGTAGGGACAGCGGCAGGGTGGTTAGTGTTTATTATGCGTATATGTACACGCAAATCTATACCTACATGCAGGCTGGATCGAAGGGTGTCGCGTGCTCCCCTGGGCGTTCCTCGGTGCCTCGCCGCCACGCTGACCGCGACAAGTAAGCACGAACGGGCGCCACTGGCTAGCGGCCGGCTAGGTACGGCGCCAACGAGCTTGTTAGACGCCCAGTAAGGCGTTAGAATCGCCAGACCGCATAAATTACGCCGAGTTGCTGTCGTCGACAGCCAGAGGCCGGGCGGTCTCCGCGCCCGTCGTTGGACGATACCCCGAAACCGTGCCCGCCCATCGAAATTACCACAACGGCGGACAGGACAGGGGGGCGGCCAGAGAGAGAAGAGAGAGGGTCTCCGTCTGCCCGTAGTTCGGTTCGTCCCCGTCAGACGTGCTGTGATGTACATCCATACGCAGAGGCTACGTAGTAAGTACGTAGTCACGTATGCGTGTAGGCATTTACTTGCATGCGTATGGTACGAGGCACCAGCCGAACCGGCCAGGGAAGAGAGTCCCTTGCCGAGGACAGCCGGGCCTGCACAGACGGGGGAGACGAGGGAGGGAGAGAGAGAGCTTAGAACTTCCTGGGGGGACAGTGGGGGGAGCGAACGTTGCGAGCTGCTGGATTGGGCATCGAGTTTGGGGTAGAGGCGAGACAGACGGGGCGGTCGATAGGCCCATCGGTCCAACAATGCTACGCCAAGGGCCATACCAAGGCCGAAGAGCAACGCGAGCTAAGCACCCGGAAGCCACCAGGCCTAGCCCGTTGCGGCTGTCTTATCAACATGTCGTGCCCATCGCCAACGTCGCTGGCCAATCGTCGTCGTCGTGGATATCGTCAGCTAATACACACTATACGGTACTACGTAGCAGCAGGCTAGGGCGGGCCAGGGCTGCTACTCCTCGCAGGCTTCTAGATGAATTCCGCCCCTCAGAGTGGGAGGACGGCTCGTCGCATCGCCCGTATCATGCGGTGGCACGAGAGAGAGGGACACTAGCCTGTTGGTATGCCTACATATACATGGTCGTCTACACGTAGGGCCATGAAGTACATATGTAGGCGGATGCTGGGCCCTTGCTTCATGACTTGCGCAGATAGCTTCACGCATCATTACCTGGCTTGGTGAAGCTGAGGGCGAGTCTGCCTCGCGCCGGCTAGATTCTCCACGGACGGCTCGCCCAGCGCCGCCACATCGATTTCGTCTACATACACCCGCACAGCGATTGCCTGCATTAGTTCTGAGAACTAACAGCTACCGTAAGCCCTACCTACACAAGCATTGTTCTCGTGGTGCACGATATAGCACAAGCTTTTGCCTCGACGCCTTGACACCTAGCCAAGGAGAATCAGAGGGGGACCCCAAATACCAAGGCAGATAAGAAATTGCTGCCATTCCTTCATCGTCGTTATCCGATCCTCCGCTAGTAAGTTTGTCGTAGGTCTACCCACGTCTTCCGTGCCATCGTGGCCTCTAATGAAATAATACCGGCGTGGGTCTATTCTCTTCGCTGAGGCTATCGCTTTCGAACTGCACGTGGGTAGATAACGGGAAGTCCATATTAGCCGGGGTGCTGTTTTGCCACGCAGCGGATCGTACGTGGGATCGAGGAGGGGAATCGCCGAAAAGGGAGCTTACCTCGAGGAACCCGGTCGCGGTGATAACGACCATAAACGCCTCCGCCAGCTCCCCGACGCGTTCCGAGAGCGCCTCGTCCGCCTTGCCACCTGCGCCTATTCCGGCGGATCGCTTAAGGACGTGCATCACTAACATCCTATGCTCGGTCAAGAAACGTCTGCCCTGTAGCACGTTATGCGACCCCCGGCTGACTATCGCAGCCCCAATGATGCGAGCCACCTTGACTAGGAGCGTGTAGTGCCTCTCGAGGGCCTTGCTGTCTGACGAGTCAACCTGCAGTTCGGGATCTACTGAAAATAAGCCCGACTGCTCTACCGTCCGGAATAGATTCGCGTGCAGCACGTTCTTCGCGCCCTCGCGTGTCTGGCACAGCTGTAGCAGGAGAGCGAGCTTCGCGTTCAGGTAGTGCTGTTGGTCGGAACCGCCTGCAAGAGAGTAGTACGTCGTGTTAGAGCAACCTGTCCGGAGCAATCGCGGACCGACGCCGGCGCGAGGCTTACCTGTCTTATTGACGTCCTCCCACTCCGCCAGCACGCCGCGAAGAGAGTCGACAAGGACACCGATGAAGTTGAGCCGGTTAAGCGTCTCCACCACGTAGTTGTCGTTCTCCTGCTTGCCAAGCTGGACTAGGGTTCCCAAGAGGATCAGCGCAGCCGATTGACAGGTCGCATCCCCGCCAAACGCATCGTCACAGACCACGTTTAGCAGCTTCTCACCGAACGACTGAATCGTCCTAGCCGTCTTCCGCAAACTCGACGACACGCCCTGCCCGTGGTCCACGAGACCGGTAAGGTGGCGATAGCAGATGCTATAGTAGACCGCGCGCAATTCCTGATTACCAACCCACTTTGCGATTGCGCTCAGACAGATCTGCAGAAGCTGGAACAGCTTGTCGCTGACCAGGTTCTCCGCCGCCCGACTCTGTTTGTCTGCCGAAGCCATCGTCGCGAAATCCAGTTCGAAGAGCAGTACTCTAGCAAGTTGCGCTAGCTCGTACGCCGCGCCAGGGTTTTCCGAACCGTACATCTCGAGGCTAGGCAGCGTCGCCTGCAGCGTTTGTAGTATGAACGAGACTTTGCTCGCGCCTTTGAAGTCGTTGCAATCGGTCATCATTATCAGGAGCTTCGTCCACGCCTTCAGGACTTTGTGACTGTACGACTTGACTCGTCCGAAGTAGTTGAGATAGCACAAGTATAGCAACAAGGTCCCTTCTTCTCCATCCACCTGTGCCCCTTCTTGCTGCAGCACGAGTTGGCCAGAGTTGCGAGCTGCTTCGTTGCGTTTTAACCGCACTATTTGTTCAACCTTTTCTATGCTGTACACCGGGTTCGAGTCGTCGTCTTCCTCCACGCACGATCGGAGGTCGAATCCCCCGTAGGTCGGTAAGTCGGGTAGAGTGGTTGCGAACAAGCTCTCCTGGGGCAGGGAATCGTGAAATTCGAATACCGAAGGAACTTGGATCACCTCCAAGCCGTCCACCTTGATTTGGCCACCCAGGGCGTCGAAGATCCGCCGCTTGAGTGCAGGTGCGTGGCCCTGGGAGACGCTGCAGAGCTCACGGGTGACATACTCCAGGGCCATCGCCCTCATCGAGAGGTAATCGACATAACCTTCGGCAGCGGTGGTTGTGAGAAAGTCAGGGCCAGCGGCTTCCTGTCCGTCCCATATGGGGCTTTGCTGGGTTACGAGGCCTTGCAGCAGAATATGAAAGAGGAAATCGTTCTCCCGAAGCTCATCGAGGATAATACCGGCTGACAGCGGAGAACTCCAGAGTATCTTGAGAATTCGCAAGACCTTATACTTTAGGCTCACGGTCCACGTCTGCATAGACCCCTCTTCGTCTCTCGAGGGTATTTCTAAAACCACAGGCAGCAAGGCGTGGAATAGAGACGATCTCCGATCAAACGGGCTACCCGGTTCGATTTCCAGCACGTTGGCTCCGCAGCGAAACCCGAGCAGTAGGTGAGCGATCGTGGGTCGATTTGGGCTTGCTTGCATGCACGAGTAGAGGAAATCGAGGACATATACCTTGATGAGGTATTCCGACGATTCGCCTCGTCTGTGGAAATCTAGAGGGGTTTTAAACTCCCCGATAAATGAGCCGGCTATAACGGCCGCGTCACCGTGTTCCTCCAGCGCGATTATGGCCTTGTTGCGATGCGACTGTCTTGTAGGTCCGGAATGCCAAGCCGAAATCACCCTGGGTGATGCTGAGATCCTCTTGAGGAGCTGTAAGCTCGCCAGGGTTAAGTTCGGATGGCCTATGCCGCAGAAGCTCCCAAGATCCGACATTAATGACATGCTCGTCATTAGGCCATCTTCTATCGAGGCAAATGCTCTGTTGGGCGCTGGTATATATTGGGACCGGCTCTGTGCCCGACCCTGAGGTTTTGTCATCGGCCGAACGAGATCAAGGTAGGTGGCTTGGAGTTCTAGGGCTTTCGACACGAGTTCAACGCCACGCAGAACGCTTAAAATTAAAGGTGAGTCTGGCTCGGCCTTCCCGAGGTCTGCTGAGCTTTGGTGTATCGTGCTTAGGAGGCTCTTCATGAACTTGCTGTCGAACATCCACTCCATGACTCGAGCGAATGGGTGGAGGGTAACATAACTGTGTAGATCTCCGCATTGGATAGCGGAATCCACGTTGACATGGGTCTCGTTGCTGAACACGATCAAGTCTTCGTTGAAATTGGAAAGGCAGGTAAAAGCGAGGTCCAGGCAGCACCTCCGCAGAATTCTCTGCTGCATGATTTCTGTAGAGTCGAGAGTCCGGACGGAGAACATATGTCCCAGGGCAAAGTCGATGTAGGGGTCGATCCCAGGGCGCATCCGAGCGGACGCACCCAAATCCTCAGGATATGAAAGTACATCATTCAAAGGACGATATTCTTCCGGGAGAGACGTCAGAGCGTCCAGGAATTGGATGAAGGCACTGGCATCGTCGATATGTGGGCTCATGTCTTGGAAGAGGGCCTCCATATAGAAGGACGGGGAATGAGAGCTTGCTGAAGAGGCCAGAGTCCTGTTAGACGTAGGCGAAAGGAAAAACCCTGTCAGGCACGACTCGAGATACTGCCACATCATGTAGTTCTGTGTGAGGGTTTTCCGATCAATGAGGGAGGTCAACGCCCTAAATGTGCATGCCCTGATCCGAGGCGACACGAAGCCGCTTATCACTTGGAAAAGGACATCGGGGAGCCCGGGCTTCGTCTGCTCGAGCAGGTAAATACGCGCAGACTCGCTCTGCTTGGCAAGCTTGGCCATCAACCTCAGATACGATTCCAGCATTGCCGTGAACTCTGGTTCGGTTTCCGCCTGCTCGTTGCCGAATTTCCCGGGTCTGTGGGTGCTGACCTGGGTTGGCGCGGATTTGTCCTTGACCTTGTTGGCGAAGTATTCTAATTCGTTGACGATGTGAGCCCATGTAATGGTCAACGGCTTCCGAATTTGATGTGCTTCGTCCAAAAGGAATTCGTGGGCGGATGTAGCAGACTCGGAATCCTCGGATAGCGACTGGAGCATTTCACAGAACGCGGCCTGCACCGGCGTCGTTGCCCTCCGAGACGCCCACTGCAGAAAGCCGGCTAGGTTGTTCTCGGGATCGCCCCAGAATCCGTCCGCGGCGTCCGCACGGCCCTCGAAAGAATAAGCGATGATGAGGAGGAATCTCTCCAAGTTGTAATCCTGCTCCTGGATTTGACTGGTCTGGCGTTGCTCATCCTCCTCTATCTTTAGCCTTCGTAGCACATCGGGCATATTGGATATGAAGGCGTCCACGAAAGTCTCGAGCTTTGCTGCTATGATGTTCTGAAAGGGTAAGGAAAATGAAGCGTTGTCTGGGGGGAGTGGTGGCGTCCTTTTCCGAAGCCATTGCCGTAAAGACCTCCGGGCCGCGTCCTCCCACTCCGATGCCCTGGCATCGGCAACAACTGCCAATATGAAATCAAATGCCCCGTCTCCCAACGCCTCGGTGAAATGTTTAGATCTTTGCTTGTCCTCTGTCAACTTTGTTAGCTAGCGCGCTCATAAGTAGTTTGGCAAATGGATAATTCCTACCTTCGTCGATGTCAATATTGGGGAGGCCAGAGCCCGCGGCATCTTCCATGTACCAGCCGCTGTATTCGGCAATCCACCAGGCCCTGATAGTAGCATTCAGGAAAGGCAGCGTCCGTACGTCATCGTCCAACTGTTGGTATACTAGAGCATCCAGCTTCCTCGCTTGTTCTACACTTCCACTACCTTCCGTCGAGCCGAAGATGGTGATGTAGGTGCCGAGCACCGGTACCAGATGCACTAACGAGGTTAGCTAGGAAAGCAGACAGCTATCGGCAGGCATTTGTATCACTACTTTCATCTCCCCTTTTGTTGAGAGCGACGGAATGTGGAGGGGGGAGGGAGGTTAGACTCACCGATCGTGGCATCGTATCGGGTGACTTGCTTCAGGACTCGGATAAAGTCGAGGAAGTCTTGCTCGAGCGCCGCGTGTTTCTCGATGGCATAGCAAAGTATAACGGCAAGGAGCTCATGCTGCTGGATGAGGCTTATGTGGGTGAACTCTATAGTCTCCTGGAACTGGGCCTCGTTCGCACGACCTAGGACCGTCGCGCTTGTAACCTGCTCGACGAGCTTCTGGAGCCATATTCTGATGTCGCGCATTGTAGCCATACATGTTGGCACGAATCTCGGCTGGGAAGGGGTCGCCGCGACGCCGGGAAGATTCGCTCGAAGGATATTCTCGTTGACATATTGACCAAGGAAACCCAGCTCGTCACCAAGCCCTCCAGCAACCAGGTCATCCTCTTCTTTTGACAGCTCCAGAAGCAGCAAGATGCAGCTGAGCAAGAATTTCCTATGTTGGTGGAAGTGGATTATGGCACATTCCTTTCTCGGACGTCCTAGCGTGGTCTCGTCGTCTTCGACTAGCAGTGACAACTTGGCAGCTTCGATTTCGTCCAAGTCGAGCTCATCGGCAACCTGTAAAACAAGGTCCTGGTAGTCTTTATTCAGAGAATACTCGTCGTCGAAAACGGTGACTTTTCCTATAGGCAAATGGCCAGTCAGCAAGACAGCCAGCAAGACCAGCAAGAGTCCAAACGTAGCGAGAACCAACCCGACATCACAGCATCTCGGCTCTCCTTCTTCCTCCCGGGCCGGGACAACAACCCTCCCAACTTGCCGGCCACTTTCTCGAGCAAAGGCAATTGCGACAGCTGGGACAGCAAGAGACAACCGCGCGACTCGCGATCATCTCTCAAGGCCTCGGAGACCGTGGTTAATTCTCTATGCAGGGCCTGGAAATCTTCCAGGCTGCCATCGTCTGCCATGGTTCGCGGTCTCGGCCTATCGCATTGTCGCGCGGCGTTTCGACGGAAGGAGGCTCGCAATGCAACAGGTATGCACGCTAGCCTGTCGATAGATTGGTGTTATGAGCGACACATGGAACGCGGGAAACGGTGTTGCTGCCACGATGCAGAGGCGGGCGAGGGCACGGGAGAGTACTGGACGGAGGGAGTTGAGTTACTCAGAAATTCCACGAGAAAATGATGCTGGACGTGTCAAGGTAGGTAAGGCAAAAGGTACCTGCGCCGGGCACACCAGCCAGGTCCACCCTGCTACTATGTACCTGGAGGAACTTGTATCTGCCTACCCAAACTCAGCATGCAGGTACATTCCTAAGAGCCCCTAGAGCCATCTACGGTACACCACCTTAGGTACCTGCCCACACCTAGGTTGGGAAGGCGGTCTCGTACGGTGGGTGTTCTGCCGGCAGATGAAATAAGCTGAAAAGATAAGATACGACGATTCCAGGTAAACAAAAGCTCAGACGGCTACCTAGCACACTATGCAGGTCATAGGCAGGTCGCTCACGACCGCGAGGCAGAAGCTCACGCCAATGCGCGTAAGCCTGGGAGAAAACAACCCCCAAATGAAAAAGAAGACAAGCCACCGAGGACAGGAGAGACCGGCTGCCTAGGAAACGGACCGATCTCGCCGTTCCCAGCACCAACGGTTCCTACTCTACGGTAGGTACTTGCTTGTGGCATGCGCTTGAGGCATAGTATATATAGCCTTATAGCCAGGCCGAAGTCCATCGCGATGGGGGACCGTTCACGCCCACGACGGAGATAAGCCCACCCTTCAACCACGTCGAAACCCCTGAGAGAGCAATATCATGAGTAGTTCTGAACCTTTATATATCCCACTCGTCCTCGTGGCCACACCACATCGGATATCTACATTAACATAGCAAGATGCCGCCTCGGTCTAAGGCTCGGCACATCACCCTGGACGGTGCTCGAGGTGAGGCGCAACCGCCTACGAATAATATGAGGTGGAGAGCGCTAAAACGGGAACAGTTGCTATTGAAAGCAATTCCAGCACCAGCCGTTCTTCTGGTTTAGATGGTAAAGCCAACATCCCTGCGTTTTCCGCTTCTGATGGGGACCATCATGTTGACCTGTCTAGACCTGATCCATATATTCAAGGAACAGGGGAAAGTACCGAATTTGTAAGTAGCTGTCGACAACCGATGGGACGCCTTGTGTTGATGATCCCTAGGTCTGCGCTCGACGACAAGAACTACCACGTAATATTCGAGTCGCTGTTCCGGTGTGTGGTCTCTGAGAAGAAGGCTTACTACGGAAGTAAGACTACTGCTGCCAGCAGACTCACCAAGTGCGCCGAGGCGCTCCGTCTGGGCGTCGAACTGAGCGCCCATGCGATCAAGAAGAAGACGGTCCTTGCCATCGTCGACCACATTACCCAGACCTTGCCACATCCCGAGGACGATCTAGTCCCGCCGCTTGTTCAGGATTACATTAAAGCGCTGTCTGCTCTACTGAACCCTCCCGCCAATGTGGAACTCCTCGCTACGAACGAGGGCCAGGGCTGGTTCACATGCGTTGATTTCGCCGTTAACGCCTTGGCCCTGTACCTAGCCGCTACCGACAGAGATCCGAGCCTATCACGAGCATCGCCGGCGCCCGGGACGGCGCAGTCGTCGTCTTTAACCCGCTCCGCCCCTAGATCCACAACCACATCTCAGCGCTCCGCCCGGGTTTCGCGTAGCCACCTACCGGACCTTTTGCAATGTCTCCTCCACCTCGCCTCTACTCCCACGGCGCCCCTCTTGGAGCGCTCGAGGGAGATGTCCTCCGTGGTCATCCAAATCCTTCAACTCCGCTCTCTAGGAATAAGCCAGCTGCATCAGCTGGCATTCGCTTTGATCAACAAGCTGTTTGTAGCCGCGCAAACAGACGATTCTAGCCACGCCAGCTCTTTGGCTCTGGACACACTCCCGTTGGTGGGCCAGTGGTGGCAGACGAAGACCACGTCTGCGCACGATGCACTTTTGAATGGCGTTCGAATCGAGATGCTAAAGCTTCTCTTCAACCTCTATCTGCAGCTTGAGTTCTTGGTCAAGCGGGGCGATAAACCTTCACTCCTCGGCGACATAGAGAACCTCGCAGAATTATTCTGGGGCGAATATTCGAGGCGAGAAGAACGCTCCCAGCTTCAACAGGACGACTTGTCCTATTCCGTCGCAGTGCGTGGTGGCGCGATTTTTCAAGTCCAGTCGTTTTCTTTGCGGCCATTCAATGTCGAGGGGGAGAAACAGTGGGCGGTGGTGCACATCCTAGCCCTTCTCGAGTGTTTGATATGGAAATGCTCTCGGGCATCGCACACACTCTCTGCTAACGACGAGCAGCCGCGCAAGAAGCAACGGACGGCGATGGGTTTCAGCCGGCTTCGCCAGAAGCTACGCTCTCCTGATCATTCCATACAATATACAGCTTTGCAAATTGTGCCCTTTTTCGTCTCCAATCTCAAAGTCGATATCGATGAGATGTCGGAACTCGTGTCCTTCTTAGCAAGCCAAGTTACGAGTAAAAACAGCAAGGTCTCTACGTGGGCTATGATCGCGTGTACAAGGTAGGTCTGACAACTCGTCCGGATACGGCTTCGATCTCGCGCTGACCCTTTCTATTAGTCTGACACCCCAGGCCAGTGCCGCCGACGGCACTCTGACCACGCTCTGGAAGCAAGTATGGCAGATCGCTGTTCGATCTGTTAGCATGACTGCAAATTGCCGTGCTTCGAGCATCCTGCTACATTCGATCATCACTCATGAACTAGTGTCATATCGCGACATCGCCGACGATATTAATAGTATAATTACAACTGCCGACGTGAACGGTCCAGCTGTTGTAGTAGACTCTTCTCTCACGCTCATGACAACGCTTCTTAACCTTCGAAACGTCCAGCTTCCGAGCGCCAGTTACGCGACTTGTAATAGCGTAGTCCGCTGGATGTTTTTCAGATGGGATCCTGGTACGTGAACAAAGTCGATATCGCAAACGTGGTGATACTAACGATGCCCCAATCATAGCCGATACCATTTTCATATCATCATATTCTAGCCACGTCATACCGTTAGATGTTGCTAACCTAATGCAGTCCGCTTGTGGTGACCAGAATTTGGTGCTCTCTCGGCCCTCTCAGACGATCTCTGGAGCAATCGGGGAGACGCTGAGCCTGCTCCGAGATCGCGAGAGCCTCACCAGGTATCTACTGCTGTTGGACCCTGCTACGCCTGGATCCCCCGAAGATCCGGAGCCACAGCGTATACCCGTGGCTGCGACCACGCAACTAAGCGATACCACTAATGCTCACGTCACGAAGAAGCTCATCACAGAACTTCTGTCTCCGAAGCTTGAAGAACTGGGAACCCTCTGTGAGACTTGGGATAAGCAGGCGGATGGCTTTACCCAGATCACGCCCGAAAAACTTAAGAGTGTCATTTCAACCTTAATCATCAGTGCCCTTATTCTTCCCATTTTAATCGAGGTCAACTCGAGACAGCTACAAGAGGTCGAGCATTCCTTGTTTGCAGTACTCCGGATTGCCCTCGCTGCTGTATCCCGCTCGCCCGAGAGTCAAACACTCTACAATTACCTTTTCATGTCAGTTCGGCCTTACATGCCAGCATTGTCGAATGCCGAGTTGAGCAAGTTGACGAAAGAATGGCTTTATCTTCACCAATTATTCCACGAATTGTCCGACGCCTTCCGAAAACGAGACAGGAATCAACCATCTAACGATGATGTCGACTTGATGGATCTTGACGACGAATTCGAGAAGGAGCGGTGGTCGAAGGCGTCGACAAGCCCCCTCGAAATATCTCGACACGAGTCCTCTATCGTCCTACAAGCAGCAACCTTCCACGCCGACACCATCCAAAGGTTGTGCCTCTTTGATATTTTGTATGAAGACAACGGCCAGATCGGCCTCGTACCCGCACTGTTTCTTGACGGTTTCTTAGAGCTGCCCGATACGGAGTTGCTCTCGTGCCGATGTTTAACTCGAGAATTGCTCGAGAACGACCTCATCATCAACCCCGACGACGCCCATAGATTGATAAACAGAATGGGCAAGTTGATAGGCAGTGCGGAGTTTTCCCGCTGTGAGGTCGCCTTGAATATCTGCCTCGACGTGATGGAAGGCCTCATGCCGATATGGTCTGATAGTGACGGCGAAATATCTTCGCATGCGGGCGACCTATACTATCACTTTCTCAATTCGGGACTCTCGAGCAATATCCTCTCTCCAAGCGTCCAGATGTCGCTGGCCCGGCTTCTCCTCCGTCTAACTCAAGTTAACGAGAAATACCCGAAGTCGATCAAGATGCCTCATCCAAGCACATCTCTATTTAGCATTCTTGAAACCGCGTCGATACCTGTCAAATTCTACATTGGGGCACGTTTGCCAGCCTTGTTCGGTCGATATATCTTAAAAGCGCACGACGAAGTTTTGGTTGACGTTTTAAAAGTCCTTCCCAGCAATACTGATTTCCCTGAGGGCATCGCCCTGCGGCTTTTCGTGCTCGCCGAATTAGCACGGGAATGGCCTACCCTTTTACGGCGTGCTATCTACCATATATTCGAGATCCCCGGGAATATTGCGAGTTCGAAAAATCACGCTGCGCGTTGTCTTGATAACATATCCGCTTCCCTACACCTAGACAACGCGCAGCAGCTCTTCGACCTGTTTGCCCCCCAGTTGCTTTACACCTGGCTCGAAGGAAACAGTATTGAAGACATCCCATTCGAGATCTTTGGCTTCTCCACTCTCAAGGGGCTGCTTCAACGAGCGCAGTCTGAAGTAGTAGCTCTGATGGTGATGCGTGGACAAGATACAGCCGTGGAAAATCTCGCAGTGACGCTCGGGTGTAGCCTCGCAGAGCTTATCCGGCGCAATTTCTCCAAGACCATAGCATACAGCATGGCTCATGACATTAGCATGCCTAAGGCGTCACAGTCGAGCGGTGAGAGTAGACTACGCAAGATCCTTACCCGAGAAGCTTTCCTTGAAGCCATATATATACACTTCGCCGATATCCTTGGCATATTCTTCAGCCTCATCGACCAAGAGAACCCGATCGAGAAATCATGGGCCAAGGATCAAGATTTTACATACGCCGCCGAGGCGATGGCGGCGATAAAGAAATGCGGGCATTCTGAAATCGTCCTGTCACCGAATCAACAACCCATGTTCCGCGCCAGGTATCTAACCAGGGAGATATCATTATTGTGCAGCCGAACAGAGTACGATATTTCCGCGCTATGGACGCCTACATTGGTAGTTAGCGTCGCCAGGAGGCTTCTCAACGGAATTCATGTAGCGTTAGGACCTCTACACACGTGTTCCGTCCTCCGGAAGGTCCGGGTGCTCATCTGCCTAGCCGGCCGGGATGCTTTGCAATCATACCCGTTGGAGATGCTGCTGCAATCTATACGCCCTCTCATCGTCGATACCGAATGCGCAGACGACGCGCTCGGGGTCAGCCAGTATCTGTTGGAGAGGGGCTCGGAATCCCTGTCGCAATCGCCCTCATTCCTCTCGGGATACGCCCTGTCTACTCTTGCCTCCCTCCGCATATTCTTGGAAACTAGCCAATCCAGTACGACGCAGGAAAGCCAGTTCAAGGCTACAATGAGCAAAGCCCAAAGATTCCATTCCTGGTTCACCAAATACCTTGACGGTTATAGGTCGTCTCTGCTCCAAGACGGCCAACAACGAAGTGCTTTCGAAGCGATTACGCTGTCTGCCGCCCACATTCGATCGTCGGGAAATGCGGAGCGAGGCACACATGAGAGTAGGCTGTTGCTAGAAATCCTTCAAGATGGGTTGCATGGACCCCCGTTGTTGAATGAGCCCTCACGCAAACTGGCGCTGGAGATGCTGTGTGGCCACTTCACAGTCCCGACTTCGCCCAGCACAGACGTGATCTGTTCTGATGAAGAGGCGCAGGCTTGGGTGTCTGTTGTCTGGAAGAGCTGTCAGACACAGACGCTGAGCAATGAATACCTTGCCTGGGCGGGTCGAGTCGTTGGCAGAGGGTTTGCCGCGTCTGGCCACGTTGACCAGGACTTGCTACAAGAATCCGAACTGTCACAATACTGTGATATGCCTATAGACGCTTCCGGGTCAGAGTACGGCCTCCTAAGCCTTCTTCAGTCTCTGACGTCCGACAGTGATTGCTTCAAGGCTGGGCTCGCAGAATCAGCTTTACGAACAGTTGTCTCGGATGCCGTAGCTCAAGGCGATAACGACTTACTAGCGGCTTGTCAGAAAGTCTTGTCCGATCAACTTTTTTCAACGTCGAATTGGACGCCGTACAGAACCCCGCCGTCGGATAACATCCCCGTTGACTCCGTTTCCGAAGACCAAGCCCTCTCCAGCGGAGCATTCGAGAGCGCCAAGTGGGCTCAGAATGTCACTGTGTATCTAGCACAATCCTATCCCGAGAACATCATTCTGAATTCTCTGTCCCTGATACTTACTAGTGTGAAAGGCTTCGCCCGGCAGGCATTCCCATATATCGTCCATCTGGTCCTCTTGTTTGAGCGGGAGAAACAACAATCCACTAGACGGGGTCTTTCAACCGCTCTCAAAACGTGGCTTGGGCTAGACACGCCTGCAGCGAAAGAAAACATGAGTCTTCTAATCAATGCCATCCTATACTTAAGGACGCAAAAGTTACCGGGGGAGAATTCTATAGCCGACCGAGCACAGTGGCTTGAGCTCGACCTCTTGTCCGCTGCGTCAGCTGCTGCAACATGTGCAATGTTCAAAACAGCGCTGCTTTTCGTTGAAATGGTGTCCGCCGACGGATCACGAAGTTCTCGACGTTCTTCTGTTGTCCGGACCCAGGAGTCCACGGACGTCCTGTTGGACATCTTTGAGAACATTGATGATCCAGACGCGTATTACGGTCTTGCCCATACGTCGGATCTTAGCAATGTTCTAGCTCGACTTGAATACGAAAAGAATGGCAGTATGAGCCTAGCCTTCCGCGGCGCGCAATACGATAGCCACATCCGGAGAGGAGACCCAGCCGCCGATTCTGATAGCCGATCACTGGTGGGGACACTCAGCAACCTGGGATTGTCTGGTCTATCACACTCTTTACTTCAAACCCAGCAGGGTGTCGACGGGTCTTCTGCAACTGTGGAAAGCACTTTCAGCACAGCGAGGCGTCTCGAGATGTGGAATCTCCCAGCTCCCGCATCAACTCGAAATCCCTCTGTCACTCTCTACAAGGCGTACCAAGCTTGGCACCAGGCCACCGAATTGGATACGGCGAGGAAGGCTATTCACGCCGGGTTTAGCCAAACTATGAGGAGCGTAGCCGCTAAGGAGCTTGGCCCTGCTCATCTTCGCCGTCATCTGAGTGCCCTCGCTGTTCTGACAGAGCTAAACGATGCTATTGAGATTGCCGACTCTGCAGAGTTCGACAAGATGTTAACAGTATTCACAGACAGGTCCCGATGGATGAAGAGCGGGCGGTGCGTACCCATGCAGTCTTAGACCATTGCTATACTGACAGCCTCCAGGTACGAAGACGTCAGCCAGATATTGTCTTGCAGAGAAACGACATTGGGCGTGCTCGCACAGACTTCTCAGCGCCGGGGAATGTCAAAGATAAATCCGCCAGAAGCAACACTGGCGCAAATTAGGTCGATGCTCGTATCGTCCAGCGTGTATAGGTACCATAGAGCTACCCAGGAGTCTTTGAACATTGCGACGTCGTTGAAAGACCTCGTATTGCCAAGCGCGGAGCTCGGGTTGCACCTCGATTCCGTAGCGAAAATCGAGGCCGCCGATTCCCTATGGGATCATGGCGAGATGATATCTTCTATTCGTGTTCTCCAAAGCATCAACGAAGACCCAAACCTCAAGAAGCAGACGATTCCCGTCAGCAGACCCGATCTACTCGCTAAAACGGGTTATCAAATCTCTGTGGCCAAACTCGAAAAGCCCGAAAGTATTCAGAAAAACTACTTGCAACCTGCATTAAAGGAGCTCAGAGGCAAGACGGACGGGCAGGAGGCCGGGAAAGTTTACCACCAGTTCGCCATGTTTTGCGATGAGCAGCTACAGAACCCAGACGGCCTCGAAGACTTTGCCCGCCTCCAGCACCTCAGGAAGGGGAAGAGCGATGAGGTTTCCCAGCTGAGAGAACTAATATCTAGCACAAAGGACTCGCAGACCAAGAGCAAATATCAAAACTACCTCGCCAAAGCGAGGCAATGGCTCGAGCTAGACGAGCAGGAGCTACGCCGAGTCGAACAAAGCCGAACCGAGTTTATCAGGCTGAGTTTGGAGAATTACCTCCTGTCGCTCGTGGCCAGTGACGAACACAACAACGATGCCTTGCGATTCACGGCCCTGTGGCTCGAGAGGTCCTCCGAAGACTTCACGAACGAGGCCGTCCGGAAATACATCGATAAAGTGGCCACTCGGAAATTTGCACCGTTGATGAATCAACTCACGTCACGCTTGCTCGATCAGAACCACCTTTTTCAAAAGCTTCTCATCGAACTTGTTTACCGCATCTGCGTCGACCACCCCTATCACGGGATGTATCAGATTTGGTCGGGGACGAGGTCCCGGACGAACTCGAAAGATGACGTGGCCGTCCTCCGGCAGAAAGCTACGGAGAAAGTCGGCAAGAGGCTGGCCCAGACCAACTCGGTCACGACGATATGGACCGCCATTGAAAAGACGAGCAAGGCTTACCACATGCTGGCCATCGAACGGGATTCTTCGCGCTATAAGGCGGGGCAGAAGGTCGCCGTTAAGGATTCCAGCGCCGGTTCAGGCCTCGCAAGCGCTCTCGCTAAATGGCGCATACCACCCCCCACGATGCAAATGGAGCTCTCGCCTAGCCTAGATTACAGCCACATACCGCACATTTCCAAGCTCGAGCCCAACATGTCTATCGCCTCGGGCGTCAGCGCGCCCAAGATCATCACAGTGGTGGGTTCCAACGGGGAGCGGTTCAAGCAGCTCGTGAAAGGAGGAAACGATGATCTTCGCCAAGACGCGATCATGGAACAGGTTTTTGCTGCCGTATCGTCCGTCTTGAAGCTTCATCGATCTACCCAGCAGCGCAACCTCGGGATCCGGACGTACAAGGTCCTGCCCTTGACCTCCGCCTCTGGGCTGATCGAATTCGTCTCCAACACCATCCCGCTCCACGAGTATCTCATGCCGGCTCACGAGCGATACCACCCAAAGGACCTCACAGGATCGCAATGCAGGAAGGAGATTTCCCAAGTGCAGGGGAAGTCTTCGGAGGCGCGCGTGACGACCTATAAGAAAGTCACGGATCGATTCCAGCCCGTGATGCGCTACTTCTTCATGGAACACTTTGTCGATCCGGACGAATGGTTTGCCAAGCGTACGGCCTACACGCGAACCACGGCGGCGGTCTCGATACTCGGCCACGTCCTCGGGCTCGGCGACCGTCACGGCCACAACATCCTCCTCGACTCCAAAAGCGGCGAGGCGGTGCACATCGACCTAGGCGTGGCCTTCGAGATGGGTCGCGTGCTCCCGGTGCCGGAGCTTGTGCCGTTCCGGCTTACGCGGGACGTCGTCGACGGCATGGGGATCACCAAGACGGAAGGCGTGTTCAGGAGGTGCTGCGAGTTTACGCTGGACGCGCTGCGCGAGGAGACGTACTCGATCATGACCATCCTGGACGTGCTGCGCTACGACCCGCTGTACTCGTGGTCCATCAGCCCCGTGCGCATGGCCAAGCTGCAGGACACGCGCCGGGAGGGGGAGCCGGAGGACGGGACGGACGCCGAGGTCAACCCGGCGAAGAAGAAGAAGGCGGCGACGGCGGCGTCAACCGGGCCCGTCGGCGTCGCGAACGAGCCCAGCGAGGCCGACCGCGCGCTCGAGGTCGTGCGCAAGAAGCTCAGCAAGACGCTCAGCGTGACCGCGACGGTCAACGACCTCATCAACCAGGCGACCGACGAGAGGAACCTGGCGCTTTTGTATTGTGGTAAGTTGCCAAAAGCCTCTGTTTGAAAGTATCGACCTAACCATGTCGGACTTAGGCTGGGCCGCTTATGCCTGAGAGCGTGGAGAACCGCAACTTGATACCCGTATAGATATCGTCGTTGCGCTGATGTGGTGTAGCGTGTACCACCGTCGTAAAAGTATTACTATATAGAGGAAGGCGACGTAAGTGAATATTGGTGGCACTGAGGTTAATTTGTAAAAGTAAAGCAAGGGATATGAAGTCGATATTCAAGTATATGTGCTACTCAATAGATCCTCCTATATCTCCACCTAAACGTGCATGGTCCGCGAATCGCGATGGCGCCTCCGTCCTCGCAACCCGGCATCCCGACTCCAGCCCTCGGGCATAAAAGGGCCAACTCGGCTGCCAACTGCCCACTCCACCAGTCCCATTTCCGATCGTGTTCTCAGTTACACGGGCGTACCAACGGGACTGGACTAAGATGTCGCGTCGCCTAGTAATAGATACGCATCCCGGTGGAACTCCACGTCGTCGCTATCTCCGCACGCGCACGCCCCGACAGCACCGCCACCGGCCGGAGCCCAGCCTAGCCCGGTCTTGTGCCCCGGGGTACGCCGCCGACGGCCCGGCGGAGGGAGCCGAATGCGGGAAGAGGCGCGGCGGGGCCGCAGCCAGACAGCCCAGAGGGCGAGGCGTTGTTGCGAGCGCGAGCGCGAGCGTGCTGCCGTCCTCCACACGTGTACGGGGTGCGTGCGCGGCCGCGGCCCCTCTCCTCAACCCCCCCCCCCACGTAGAACAGCTACTACCTACCGCCGATACCCTTTCCCCCGTTATCCCTGCGCCTGCTCTCCAGTAGCGGCGGCGGCGGCGGCGGCGGCGGCGTCGGTTTTGGCGCGGCGCTTGCGCGCGCGGCGCACCTCGATCTCGAGGCGCTGCATCTGGGCGCCGACGGAGACGAGCTGCGGGACGACGCGCTCGACGGCCTCGACGGCGCGGGCCTGGGCGCGGCGCAGCGGCGGCGGGGCGAGCAGGCCGTACCAGCGCAGGGGGTCGGCGGCGGCGGCGGCGGTGGTGGCGAGGACGACAGCGACGCGCGGCACGGCGTCGTCGGAGCCGGGGTCGGGGTCGGGGTCGGGGGTGACGGCGACCCGCCGCGCGGCCTGCATGCGCGCGTCGTAGTGGTCGCGGCCGAAGCGCGCGCCGCGCTCGCCGGCGAAGTTGGCCCGCGCCAGGTCCTGGTACATGCCGGCCTGCAGGCGGCCGAGCTGCGCCCGCAGGCCCGCGTACTCGTCCACCAGGCCGAGGTAGCGCTCGAGCAGCGCGTCGACGGGGTCGGTCTCCGCGGGGGAGGGTGGGAGGAGGGGAGGGGAGGGGACGGGCATGCCGTGCTGGCGCGGGGTGTTTCTCAGAGCGCTTCCTGCCTGCACGGTTCGCTTCTCCCCCGATCGGTCGGCGTTGGTCGAGGTCGAGGTTGGTGGGAAAGATTGCGCCGCGCTTGCGTGGCCGCGGAATGCGTATCCCGAGGAACCCGTGCTATCGTGTGCGCGTGTGCCTCTAACGGCGAGACTGTGAGAGTACAGCTAGCGGAATGCTGTCGATTTCAGTTGGCTGTGGCCCACGCTTACAGGGCTCGTTACGCCGTATTTCCGCTGTGGCTTAGTGCATCCTTTACACCGTCTCTCTCTCCGCACACAACATAACCTACACGTCGGGCAGGTAGATACATAGGACGGTATTTTATGCTTGTGGACAGGAAATGCACCAAAGGAAATGCAATGCACAAGCAGGCGAGATGGGCAGAGGTGGGAAGATGGGATTTCTCCTGTCTCCTTTTGTGCCCCCTTCGCCTCCTCCGCCCGAGCTCGCCCGCCCGCCCGCCGTGGGGCACCAACGAGAGGCATCTTCACCGTCCCGTACATGTCGTCCTGTACGTGCTCCTCTACGTTCTCCTGCATTCCAATATTGCGCTGAGCAACCGCATCGCGAATAGGAAGCGATCCCAAGTAGAGCATTGGCATATGCACACTATCTTAATCCTATCGTTCATGTTGCTGCTGGCGTGCAGAAGACGCAGACTTATCGCCCAACCGCCCAGCCCAATTTCTCCAATTCGACGATGGGGCCGGGGAGGGGAGAGGAGGCCGTATCTGACATCTGACGTAGCTAAGCGCGAGAAGGAACCCTTCGAGAATCTCCCCCTCTCCCCCCCCCCTCCCCTCCCCTCCCGGCCCCTTGTCCCCCTTTATTAATCTCTGTCCCTCTCTCCTGTCTGGGAAAAGACGAGGAAGAGGAGGAGGAAGAGAAAAGAAGAAGAAGAAGAAGAAGAAGGGAAAAAAAGGGACAACACTTCCTCTCCCCTCCCCACATTTACCACGTTGTCATCTGGTCGATCCCGACGACATTTACGGAGCCGCCATACGCGTGGGCCAAGTTGCGCCCTCGGGGGGGGGGGGGCGCTTGACGATGGTCTCTGCATTTCCAAGAACTGCCGAAAAGGGGTCTTCACAGGGGAGCGAGGCCGAAAGAGAAGGAGGGAGCAGGAAGGGAGAGAGGGAGCGAGCGAGCGAGCGAGCCACCCGCCTCCTCATACGACGAGGGCCCGTCGAAAAGGTCGTACTCATCTTGCCTTCTGCGGCCCCCTTGGTGTGCGTGCGTGCGCGGCGTGCGTGCCCGCGCGCGTATACATACGACAGCACGCATATGACGGCATACGTATGTGTGCGTGTATGTGTGTGCGAGTGTGCGTGTTGCGTAAGGGTGTCACCCAACTAACACCATGCGCTGCGGTGACGGAAGACTTCTTGGGTCTACAGAAACTAGAGAAGCTCGCCTGATGGTTGCCTCGCATGACTGCCACGTAGTACTACGGACTTTCTGGCTAGGGCGCGTACGGGCGTGGAGGAAAATTTCTTCAGGGCGGCCTGGACGAAGAAGCGCTGCCAGCTGGAGCTGCAGATGCCCTTCATCCTTCCCCTGGACGATGATCGCCGGGGGGGAAAGGGGGGGGGGGGGGGGGTTTGTTTTATTAATTACTATTACCGCTCACTGGTTGTGATCACACGCATATTATACCTACCTCCCTCCCTCCCTATCTATCTACACACACGTTTTACGCACATTGACGCACACGCCACACGCGCCGCACGCGCTCGAGAATAGGTATACGGGATAACCCCTTTCCCTCTGGCTCGCTACGCTGCCTTAGGTACGCATCCCTCCCCGCTACCTCCGTTACCCCCTAGCTCTGGGCGTCGTGTCCTCGATCCGGGACAGCGGACGGGGAGGGCGAGAGGGGCGGGAAGGGGCGCGTTGGCCAATTTACGACCGGTGAGACACGGCTACGTGAACGAGAACCTCGTGTCGGGGCTGCAAGTCTCGCTCCGAGCATAGATTGCAGGCGTTGGACGCGTTGACGACATGCGAGTCTGCTCTGCGACGACGCTTGCGCACCAGTCGTACCGTGCCACCGCAGCCTCTTCCGAGTCGCATCCCATCTGGTTCCGCCTTGGCTATTATTCGACCTGGGCGCCGTGCAGGCCCTGTCCATATGTAGGTAGGTAGGCAGGTAGGCAGGTAGGCAGGTCAATGGGTGCTGCTACCTATATCTCAGCTCACCCAAGGTAAGGCTGGCCTGGCCGAGCCCTAGGCCGACTGGCGAAGCGAGTTTGCTTCTGTTGTCTCGGCTTGGTTCTCGCCTAGTTATCCGTCTTCCTACCTGATTCTGCCCATTGCCGCCGCCATCGTCAGCTCTCTCTCTCTCTCTCCTCTCCCTTTGTCTCGCTCTCTCTCGCTGAGGATCCTCGCTTGCTTGCTTGCCACATTCGTTTGATTGCCCCGTCCACGACTGCGTGCGTCTACCTACCATTTGCGATTCACCAGGAGTCGCGTCGAGGGTTGTGGCATACGGCGGCAAGGCAGGTATCCTTCTCCCTGCTCCCCCTCGTCTTCTCTCTCTGCACCTCTCTCCCCTTACCTCGTCAGCCAGACCACCCTGGTCCAGCCCGCCCCGGTGACTGGCGGGTTGCCTGGAATGGGCGAGCAGGGCAAGACGCACTGATTCATCATGGAAACCGATCTAACCCAAACAATACGGCGCCGTCATGCCTGCCTGGGAGGCTATCCGTGCAGCGTCGACGTAGTACGCAGCACTATGCCATATATGTATATAGGTAGTATACCCAACCCTTCCCGTCTTTATGCCTAGGTAGAGAGGTATGTATTCGTGCCGCCGTTGAGGTGGGAGGTAGGTAGGCAGGTATACACATACTTTAGGTACATATGTTTGGTCGTGCACCAGTGCCTCTACCGTTCCTACGGAATAGTCCCCCTGGTCGCCCGGCTTCTGGTTGATTTCCCGGATCTCGTCGAGGCGCCGATGGAAGCTTCAAACCCATTGCGCATTGTGCATAATTTGGTCAGAGCACCGTTTTTCCCCTTCTTTTTTCCTTTCCCTTTTCTCTTTTTTTTTCTTCCCCTCCGCCTCTTGTTTGGTCTTCCTCTCTCCTACTCCGATACCTGCCTAATCCAGAGCAGTTATAAGAGCCACGGATGATAGTAAAATCTATTATAGCCCGAGATTCAGGCGATTAAATTCCATGCCGCCATCCCTTCTCTCTTTTCTGTACAGGGCAGGTAAAACGCGGTTATTTAATTCCCATGCGCCGCTACCATTACTAATTGCTCGATCTTCCCCGACATGCATGGGGAATCGCCAACCAACATCATCCAGGGTGCGGGAGAAGTTGATCGAGTCTCAGTCTGCCCTATCACTTGTGGTGTGATGGGTGACGGAAAGATGCGAGTGTATGTAGGTAATCCGGTGCATTGCTCCTTATTTGCATATCCCCCTTTATACCTACACATACACTATGCACACACAGACAGGCCTAGGCAATGCATCCCCGTCATCTACGTAAATAGGGAACTAGCAACATAAGCATGTACCTAGGTACCTTGACACCGGAGGGTTGGTGTGGGGCTTCTGCCCTAAATAGGTGCGATTGATGCCCTGTTGCATGCAGTACATGGGTATCTATGTGTATTAGTCGGTGCCTGAGGCAGCTATCGAAGGCAGCGCTGAGAGGAACCTCGAGTACTCAACCTGCAATGTCCACAGAGACCTTCCCTGAACCCTTTCCATACCTCACTCAGTGCATACCTACCTAAGAGGTACCTAGGTATATCCACCGGTACCTATAAGTACTTTCTCTCTCCGGGCCCATGCTCGGGATATGGGGCGAAGTTACCTTAGGAGATTTCTGCTCGGGTTGTACCTGTGAGTTTGGGAGGTGAGGTATATCCCAGCACTGCTGGGGAGCGCCTTGGTACCTCTACACGTCTACTGAGGGTAGGTCTTTGTTGCGCCGTACATCCGGATTGGTGAGATCTTTGAGGTCAAAAGCGGTTGCACCAACTTACCGACCTCTTAGGAGGCACAACATGTACCTGTGAGTGTAGACGAAGTACCTCTAGCTGTGAGGTACCTGCAAAGCAGGCTAGAAGGTTAGCATTAGTAGCCCCCCTGCCACCGCTAGCATAGGCTCCTACTGCCTACCAAAGTACCTGCCTACATTAAGAGGCACCTCCCAGGTAAGAACGCACCCTAACTGCCCGTAAGGAGATTCTCTGCTTTTATAGGTACCTTAGGTAGGTAGGAGGTACCTAGGTAGGTATGTGCCTCTGTCCTCGAGGACCCGGTGGGGAGAACTTGACCCTTGGACACCTGAGGCAGGCCTGTAGAGGTGCTGTACTCATAGAGGATCGGGGGCATATTTCATAGATAGGTATGCATTAGGTGTAAAGTCTGCATTGAAGGTTCCATTGATCCAACCTAGTCCCAGCCAGGACAGACATACCCACCTATCAGGTATATGCCTCTAGGAGGTATTCGTACCTGTGTCGAAATGATGTGCCCCACATCAGGTACTCGTCCCGGGCTCTGGGTGCCGGGGTGTGGATGCCCAGCAGGCAGGCAGAGGTATGTACTCTACGTGCAAGGTACCTTATTTAACTCACCAGCGCAGTGCTGCGGTCTCTTGCCCATTTCCCCTGCCTGCTTGTACCTCCCCAAGGCTACGTACCTCCCTAACCTTTTAATGTCAGGTTGTGTTGTGTTGTGCTGTGTCATGTTATGTTATGTAGGTACCTACTTACCTCCTCCTTACCTTAGGTACTTACTACGCTAGGTACGCTGGGCTTATTATGCAATCCTCCGAGAGCCTGTTAGGAGGGACTTCCCAATGTATGTAAAACTGGCACAGCATTCAATAGGCAGCGCACCATAGGCGCCTCCTATCATGAGAACCTCTCCTTTTTAAGGTACCTCTTAACCCGCCCGACCCCCTATACGAACCCATACTACAGTACCTGCCTCCTACCTACGTTACTCGTCGGAGGTACATACCTCCCAACATACCGCAGCAGGCGTATGCAATTAGGTAACCTGCCTCTCCGCCTCTTGCGCTGCCGCTGCCGCTGCCAGCTGCCAGCGACCTCGCCGATCCGCTGTCTGAGTCCACTCGTCCAGCCAACCATGCAGACAACCTGGAGCCCTTTTTTTCCCGCCCAGCTACCTGCCCTGGCTACATGCGGTACCACCGACGAGCACACATACAGCACCTGCCTATGTGCATAACGCCGGTCAGTACATACATAGGTGCATATCTTGGCGCTGTTAGGTAGCTGATACCTGCGTATTACACATATCCATAGACACCACCTCGACCTTCCATCGACTAATCCATCCATCAATCTCTCTAATCTCTCTCTCTACACACAATCTGCGTAATCAACCTACGATCTCTGTCCACTACATACATTGCTACCTACGCCCTAATATCCTGCCTCTCCTTCTCCCTCCTTCTCCCTCTGGATGGTCTCTGCCAATCCCGTCAAGCTCTAGTCCCTTGTCTCCCCTGTCCCGTCGCCTTTCACTCTTCCGCTCATCTCACATACAAACCGCCACAACTACCCATAAGACTACCTTACTTTTTTTCCTTCTCCCTCTTCAACCTCATCTCGCACTCGCCCGGCTCCTCTTCAACCCCCATACACCTCCCAGTTCTCCTTTGTGATAGTGTTGCACCTCTCTTCCGCCGAGTCGCTATAGTCTTGTCCACCTTCACCGCCGCTGCCCACCTACCGAGGAGAGACATTGTCCCATTGTCCCTCTACGGCCCCAGTAACCCCTCTGCCTTCTTTTTTCTTTTTCTTGTTTTTAATTCTTATTATTATTTATTATTGTCCTTTTTTTTCCTTTCCCTCTCTCTATTCTCTGCTTGGCCTTGCGAGGCAGACCGGCCGATACCTGCCGACTTTTACAAGCCTCCTGCTTGCGATAAGGGGAAAAAAACAGAGAGGTGGTCTAATCGGAGAGCATCACCATTTCGCATCCGCTCCTACGAAGGAGCACTTTAAGCCAGTCAACATGGTGGTCGCCACGATCAAGTCAGTCTCTCTCTCAGTCTTCCAGTTGCCACCGTCTCTCTCCTCCCCTCCCTTTGTCTGCTGCAAACTTGCATCATTCTCCGTTCTAATCCCAGTCTCCTCCCCTATCTATCGATATATCTGCCACCTAACCTACCCATCCACACCCCCCCCCCCCCCCCCCCCCAATCCACCCTCTAGCTACGATAGTATGCGCGCCATTGCATGATATGTCTCCAAGCCATGCAGTCCACCATGTTTCATGGACACCCCCATTTCACGCTACTGTGAAGCGTCAATCACGCGTCATTTCCTACCTTCTCCCGTCAAACAGCGTGCAATGATCGTATGCGGGTAGATCCAGTGCTAATGCCGTTCTTTAATAACGTATAGGTGCGTGGTCGTCGGAGACGGTGCTGTTGGCAAGACGTGTTTACTCATTAGCTACACGACCAACAAATTCCCCTCTGAATACGTACCTACGGTCTTTGATAACTATGCCGTTACGGTTATGTGAGTCTCGATGCAGCCCCGGCCGAAATAGACATAATACTCTCCCAATGCCTTCATCGTCTGCGTCTCCGACGAGCTCTGCCTGGACCGATGATCGATTAGACGTCCCCGTCTTGGCATTCCGAGTTGAGGTCGATGTTCCAGGGGGAGGAGGACTGACATGATCGCCCGTATAGGATAGGAGACGAGCCTTACACGCTTGGGTTGTTCGATACCGCCGGTCAGGAGGATTACGACCGTTTACGCCCCCTTTCATACCCGCAAACCGACGTCTTCCTAGTCTGCTTCAGTGTCACGTCGCCCGCCTCGTTTGAGAACGTCCGAGAGAAGTGGTTCCCCGAAGTCCACCATCACTGTCCCGGTGTACCCTGCCTCATCGTCGGCACGCAGACAGATTTAAGAGACGATCCCAGCGTCCGGGAGAAACTTTCTAAGCAGAAGATGCAACCGGTGCGCAAAGAGGACGGGGAACGGATGGCTAAGGAGCTCGGCGCTGTCAAATACGTCGAATGCAGCGCCCTGACCCAGTACAAGCTTAAGGACGTATTCGATGAGGTTCGCAACCCTCCACTCTTCCCCTAATACGGGGTCGGTTGTCGATACGCGAGCTCTAACTATCTCCCAGGCCATCGTCGCCGCGCTAGAGCCGCCTCCGCAGAAGAAGAAACGCGACCATAAGTGCTTGGTGCTCTGAGCCGAACCCGGCCGTGGCGGGTAACAACAGTACACAACACACCCTCGTTCATCGAGCGCTGTCACGGATTCCCGCAAGATTGAGAGGTATATGGGCCTGTCATTCTCGGACCTCTTCCACATCTGCACTGTTGTAACGGACGAACATTTTTAAGACATCTACGCTTGTGACGGCCGCAAGTGGGATGGGATTCAGAATGAATCGAGACGCGGAAGCCTACCGCAGCAGGGAAGCGATCATTGGGGCGGCCAGAGAAATGCTCCCGCGAGGCTGCGCGCGTATCAAGTTTGTTTGGGCACGGCGCCCCTTACTTTACGGCCCAGGAGGAAGTTCTCGAGGTCGGGCGGCACGGACAGAAATACACCAACGTGGGCGATGGGGGGGGGGGGGGGGCAGATTCAATACCCGATTGAGAGTTGGTGTTCCGAAACTGGTTTTTTTTTTTTTTTTCCCGGACGTGAAGAACCTTCAAGCCAAATTCACCCTCCAATTCGGATTTCTCTTTTTCGTACTACTTTCTAGCAGCCGGGGTTTGGAAGGGAATTCGCGAATGCTGGCAGGATTCTCTGACAGGATTGTTTGGCGATCAGAGAGTGCACCGGAATTGATTTGATCGTCTTCCCGTTCTCATCGTCATGTGACCGACCGCTTAGAAGGGGGCCCCTCGTGCGTGGTTTAATCTCGTGCCTGGACCCGGTTGTAAGTGGTCGTTATCCCATCCCGTCTCGTGGGCTTCTCCATGTGCGTTTGTTGGAGCGTCCCAGTCTCGTGGTGTTTTTTTTTCCCACCACGCTTCTGCAGAACTCCGGATGAGGAAGGAAACATTGGCGATGGATAACATATGTCCCTCTTCCTCCCCCACTCCGGGCCCTTCCGATGCCGTAGCCGCCGAGTCTCGAGTATGTATGTAGGTTCCGATGGCAAACCCAGCATACTACCTAGGTAATTACTAGACGAGCCAACAAGTCTACGCAATATATCCTGTCCCGTACACATGGAGCGCGCGAAGAGTCGGCGAGCAAGCAAAGCTGGCTGCGTGACGGGTGCAAACACGTCCAGTAATAATGCTACTTGAGCTTCCCGAAAGAGGGGGGGGGGGGAGGTGCCGTGCCGTCCCCCAAAGCCAGGTGCGGCGGTTAAGGACGGGCGCCTTTTTTTAGGGACCCCCTTCAGTTGCCGGATATAAAGACCACGACGTCCCCTCTAATTTGATAGGCATTTACTAGGTCGGTCAGCAGACGCTGCAGCTAGCTTAGCCTTCTCCCGGTCGACATACACGAGATGTCTAGGGTGCGTATGTATAAGGTAGGTAGGCAAGTTGAGTGGACGAGTCAGGTACATATAGACATGCATGCCCACCTACCTCTGCCTAACCTACATACATACAGACTGCCGCATGACATATCTTGGGAGGTATGTACATAGGTATGTATGTAGGTAGGTACCTGTAGGTTAGGTACCTAAGGTAGCTATCGTGTTTACATCGTAGGCGTCCGGGGCCAATTACCGCGGGAGGCACGTATGCTAGGTCCCCCATAAGCTATAGGTAGGTTGCTGGAGCTAGGTGGTCACATACATGCACATTGCATGCCTCCTACATACCGCAGCGCCTACATTGGGCAGATCCGGACATCCAGACACACACACATGCGTCCGGGCGTGTCTACTTTCAGTCAGCCCAACTTACCTCTTCCCTATTTGTGTTGTCTGGCCGGCCGCCTCGGCTAAATACTACCTAGGTACCGACCTACCTTACCTACTACCTCTCCTAACCTACCTACCTCCTACCTAAGTATGTTATGTAAGGCGGGTAAGCGGGAAACGTGGAGAAGCCCGAGTCCGCGAGGGGAACACGCGTAAACCGGGCTGGGTTCGCCAGATTGGCCGGCTGGGACAGCTGGCTGAAGAGTGGCTGGTGGGATCGGCCGGCTTCGACGGAGAGGAGCCGTGGGTGCGGTGGCGGGCAGTGACGCCAGTGGCGGGTAGGATAAGTACCAACCTTTGGTAGGCACGACGGCACTGTGCCGTCGAGCTAAGAGGAGGGCGAGGACGAGGACGGACGAGGGGTGCGGAACGCCGACGGGCAACGGGAGGGAGCCCATCAAGAAGCTATGGGAAACAGCTACAATAGGTTATATATATATATATATATATATAGGTATATACATACGAATCTATAGGGTGTTGGGCTGCGGCATGCAGGGAGGTATTTGCCGAGTGCTACTGAGTCAAGTCGTCCACACTCTCGTCGCCCGGGTTGTGTACTCGCCGCGCCGTGCGCTCTATGCGGCAACGTAGGTATGCATGTATGTACCTAGGCATGCATGCATGTATGCATATACGTATGCACATACGAATGCATACTCATATATAACATGTATGCGCCTACGTACTCACAGAGTGGTCTGACCTACCTAGGTAGGCAATCTATCCAAGGCTCAGATGTCTCTGTCGGATCTGATCTGTAGCGGATTAGGAGTTGGGAGGACGCAGATAGGCACGGCGCCGTGTCGGATGTACCTCTACCGGCAGGGGAGGGTGCCTAGGTACCTAGGTACCAACCTGTAGGTCCGAAGATGTAGGTAAAGATTATATCATTATTACACCTCTATTGCTATCCTTCTTATTCTCCGCCTTCTTCCTTCTTCCTCCTTCCCCCTCCCATCTCACGGCCTCAGTGAATAAACCTCTAGGTGCCCGTCCACCGCTCCCTCTCGCTCCCCTCCGTTCCGCGCCCATCCACCGTGCCTATCCGTCCTAGTTCCGGCCAACTACCTAGGTATATTAGAGAGAGGCGGGGGCAGTGCGGAGCTCGGCGCCGCCACGCTACGCCTACGCGCAGAGAGAGATCCAGCAGCAGCCCTAGGTCGGGATCGGGGTCGAGGGTCGAGACAGCTGGCCACGCACTCGTTAATATGAGAGGTAGCTCGGTCGCAAGTAAGGTGAGAGAAAGACGCCATGATCCCAGGCCCTGCAGATGGCGCCTCGTTTATCAGGCGATGCGCGCCCTCACCACATGGTGAGGCGTCGAAAGTTGAGACGTGGGGGCTTGCCATGTTGAATGATTTCTTCTTCTCGTCTTCTTACTTTTGCTCTCCCGTCTCTACTCTCCCCTCCATTCCCTCTTGTCTCTCACCCTCGTTAGGGCGGCTTCGTTTCTGACCCGTTTCCCCCCTCGCTCACTCCCTGCCTCGCTCGCTCATTCGTCCATCCTCCCGCGCCTTCGCGTATTACTCTATGGATATATCGACGAGCCATTATAGAGGGTATCGGGGAGCGAGAGGGAGCAAGGTAAGGTCACCCTGGCCAATCGACTGCTGAGAGGCGCTGCGTCGGTTCGGTGATTGGAGGGCTAGGGCGGATATGCACATATAGTACGCACATGGATAGGGACGCGTAGAAGGTGAGTATGTGCTCGATAGACGCAAGACTCCCAGAGAGCGCGGGTATCCAGGCAAGCAGGCCGTCGCGGAAACACATGAATATCGCCAGATCGGCGAACACACAGGCTGCTGCAAGAGAAACCTGAACTGCTCTCCCCCGGAGCCGGGGTTCATGTCACTACGCATGCACATATATGCGGACATACAGACAGACCTACATTGCATATGTACGCACATGGGACCGATGTCTTTCAACTGGTCTGGAATGGCAACGAATCAACTCGCTCGGAGTGATGGTGCTGGGGGGGGGGGGGCGGTCTCGAGTGCATTTCTTCGCTTCTGGTTCGCTCTCTGTCCCCCTTCCCACAGCCCGCCGGCGCCGGAACGGGCCTATCTATCGAATTCACTCAGCATCTCCACTACTCAGCACTACACTCCGCTCCGGTGTGGGGTATGAGGACAACTACATTGGTTGAGATAAGGTGGATATAGCCGGATCGTTCCGGCCATGACTCGAGTCGCCTCTAATAGCGCGGACGGGGGAGACGAGGGGGGTTTGCTATCTATCAGCCGGTCTAACCTATGATACAAAACCTGCTGTTCAACTTATCATTCGTCTTCGGCTTCATACTGTTTATTGGTTCTCTTTCTCTCTCTTCTTTTACCTACAAATAGTCGAGCGAGAAAGAGACCTCCGAGAAGCGAAGATATACCGAGCCGTCCAACCCCGTAGATAACCGTCCTACGATCCTTGCCGATCCATACCCCGCATCCACGTCGTGTCTCGCCGGACAAACCGACTCCTCCGTCCGGCGCCACAAAATCGCCCCTCTCCCTTCCCTCTATACGTACAAGATAAGGAACGGTTTTATTCACTCCGGAAGGGCCCTGAAACTCCTTTCGACGGGGCAATGCGGACGAATGGGTTTATCTGGCTCGCTTTGAGCTGCGGCCCGGCACTCGTTCGAGCCTGTGGTGGCCATGATCACGACCACCCGGTTCGGAAATGGAGCCAGGAGGAACTCGACGAACTAGAGAGGAAGTGGGGGGCCGAAGTAAGTCGTCGAGGCCCAGATCGTCATCCTCACAATGCCCCTGTGTTGGCGTAGCTACGTGGCCAAGGCAACAACCCCTCCAAATAAGGGGTACTCCGGCAATGAGCCACTCGCTGCCAGACCACTCTACACACATGTGTAGACCAACGGCTAAACATGTTCGCACACGCAGTTTGGTTTTACCGGCATCACCACGTTCGCCCATCTACAGTACTATAAGTGCCTCACGACCCCGAGCGAGCCGTTCGACATCGGCATCATAGGCGCCCCATTCGACACCGCCGTCAGCTATCGTCCTGGTGAGTCGGTCTCCTTATCCGCCAGCTCGCCTATCCCTTATTTTCTTAGACACCCCTGCCCTGCATATGTTTCGTATACTACTTGCCACCCAGCCATCCGCCGCGCTAACGAGGGACTCCTGCCTCTCTTCCCTAAATGCAGGCGCCCGCTTCGGGCCCCGCGCGATCCGCGCAGCCTCGGCGCGGCAGACGTCCTTCCGGGGCTTCAACGCGCGGGCCGGGTTCAACCCGTACCAGAGCTGGGCGCGGATCCTCGACTGCGGCGACATACCGGTCTCACCGTTCGACAACGCGGTGGCGATTCAGCAGATGACGGCGGCACTCACGGAGCTGGGAGGCCGGGCGCCCGCCGTCGCATCCGACGACGGGGGGGAGGGGTCCGCACCATCACCGCCGCCTGCGTGGTGGCCGAAGCCGAAGCTCATCACGCTTGGCGGCGACCACAGCCTATCGCTGCCGGCACTGCGCGCGCTCAACGCCGTGTACGGGCAGCCCATCCGCGTGCTGCATTTCGACGCCCACCTCGACACCTGGCACCCGAACAAGTACCCGAGCCACTGGGCCTCGGAGCAGGCCAGCTTCAACCACGGGTCCATGTTCTGGCTCGCGGGGCGCGAGGGCCTGATCGTGGGCGGCACTGGGCCCAACGCCACCCGCGGGAGCGGTACCAAGGAGGACACGCGGCCGAGCGTGCACGCGGGCCTGCGCACGCGGCTCTCGGGCAGCGACTTTGGGGACTACGAGGACGACACGGCGCAGAACTGGGTGCGGATCGAGGCGGACGAGGTAGACGACCCGGACGCGGCGGCGGGGCGCGGCGGGGTGCGGGGCGTGACGGCGCGGATCCTGGAGGCGCTCGGGACCGAGGACCCGGTGTACCTGTCGGTGGACATCGACGTGCTGGACCCGGCGTTCGCTCCCGGAACGGGGACGCCGGAGCCGGGCGGGTGGACGACGCGCGAGCTGATCCGGGTGCTGCGCGGCCTCGAGGGGCTGAACGTGGTGGGCGCCGACGTGGTCGAGGTCGCGCCGGCCTACCAGGGCCCCGGCGAGGAGACCGCGCTCGCCGCCGCCCAGGTCGTCTACGAGCTGCTCACCAGCATGGTCAAGCGCGGCGTGCGGGATCGCGAGAGGGCCCCCGCGGCGCTAGGGGCCGGGGAGAAGATCGGAAAGGGCGGGCGAGACGAGCTATGAGATATGTCTGTCTGGCTATATGGGGCGAGAATAGGGGGTGCGTTGGCGGGTTAAAGAGCCGGCCGGCTGTGTCGTAATTTACTTGTAGTTATAAAAGGAGACTGAACTATGCACGATTGAAAGCTGGATGGGCTAACCTTCCCCCTTAAGCCATGATTCCCCACCGTTCCATATCAGCCTTGATTCCGCGTCGGCCTCTTAAGTGTGACTCTAGTTCAGCTTTTGACCCGGTAAGTCCCCCGTCGGGGGGGTTATACAAAAAGCCGGCCGGATCCTATACTGCGATCCCGTTCCTGTTCCTCAGAGTTGCTGGCTTCTCTTCGCCAACTGTTTTGTGACCCTTTACCTCGGACTCCGTACCATTCGAGAGACCCGGGTCAGTGAATAGCTCCCTGATCCGACAAGCCGACCCGATCAAACGTCGGCGCAGTCGCCCTCTCCACGACGTCCTCAACGATTCGCTAGACCGACATATCCGCTTGCATGGCTGACGCCGTCCGCCTCTTCTCTATCGCCCTCGGAGTGCGGGGCCGCAGTTTTTCGGCGGTTGCGAAACTGGCCGGGTATGTGGCGGACGAGGACGGATAGACCCGGTGGGCCGGCCGGGGCTGTACCGCCTGGTCCCGGTCCCTGGGTGCTTGCTGCGATCTTGCTGCGCACCGACCTACATCTAAGGCTTCCTCGCGTCTTTCGACGGACCGGACGCGGATTGCACGTCCTGCTCAAGTCGTGTAGGCAAGGGACGTGGGCGATACAAAGGTCAAGGTATCAATTGGGGTGGGCAATCCTGAGTTCATTATTATCATCATTAATACCTATCTTATCAATAACATCTAACAATAGAAAGTGCTGAAGTTGGGAGGTTCGATTTCGGGAGGGAGCCGAGTGCGCCGACGACAGAGACGAGATAAGTCAATGCCGGGTAATATGCTGATAAGGGGGGTTTTCCTTAGGTAAGGAAAGATAAGAGAGGCATTGTCGTATAATTACACAGGAGCAGGTGAGTCAACGAGTCAAACAGTCAGTTTCAGATTCCATTCGGGTTCGACGTTTCCCGCAGCAATCTGGAAATGCCCACAACCTATACGTATATATTTGCTACCTCTCGCTATCGGTCGGCTGTCAGAGGAACAGGACGAAGAAGAAGAAGCTAGCATTGTGAGGGATCCTACACGAGCCAGCCGGTAGCTAAGTCGTTTCGCCGGTGACTTTTCTGGTTGATAAGGGAGAAAACCCCACCAACCAGTCACCTTTCCCCCACCATCAATTCCACCCCAATCGAGACCAGCTTCCTTTTCTCTCGCCCACATTCATACAACCGACCTGCCCACGCCTACGCGACATTCCGCCTTCGGAGACGCAGCCTCGCCCTTATCCCGCGTAGCGCCACCATGGCTGCCGTCGAGGAGTTGGCCCAGAGGGTCAAGAACGACGAAAAGTGCTACATCGACACCGACGCAGGCAAGGACGACGACACCGCCGACGGCTCTGAACTCAAGCCCTACAAGTCCCTGCCTTACGCCTACATCCAGAACTTCGAGAAGCCCACCCCCCACTACCTGTCTCGAGCCTCTGTCACCGGCCCTATCGGCCCCGACGACGACCCTTCCGCCCGCCTGCTGTGGAAGGAGCCTGCCAAGAGCGCCGCAAAGAAGGCCCAGAACGCCCTGGACGCGCACAAGAAGAAGGTCCAGAAGCAGCTGCAGGCGGCTGCTGTCGAGGAGGAGCAGAAGAAGCAGAGGCAGCAGAACCTCGAGGCGGCCAAGAAGGTGGTGCTGAAGCAGGATGCGTCGCTACCCGAGGCCGTCAGGATCAAGATCAACCGCAAGGATATCGAGCTCGGGGACGGCGACAAGAAGGGCACCCGAGTCAAGGTCTTCGGGAGGATTCACCGCCTGCGACCCCAGAAGCAGGCTACCTTCATCACCCTGGTCGATGGCTACGGCCAGCTGCAGTGCATCCTGGCCGCTGGCGACCTCACAAAGACCTACGACGCCCTAACCTTCGCCCAGGGCACCTCGCTCGCCTTGTACGGCGAGATGCGCAAGGTGCCTCCCGGCCAGACGGCCCCCGACGACCGCGAGCTGCACGTCGACTATTACGAGGTCCTCGGCGCGTCCCCGAGCGACGAGGATGCCATCACCAACAAGGTTTCGGCGTCCCAGAACCAGTGGGATGCGCTGATGCTCGACAACCGACACCTGGTCCTGCGAGGCGAGAACGCGTCCGCCATCATGAAGATCCGGGCCGCGGTAGAACGCGCGTTCCAGAAGGTCTACGACGACCTGCAGCTCACCAAGGTCTCGCCGCCCGCCCTGGTGCAGACCCAGGTCGAGGGCGGGGCCACGCTTTTCAGCGCCCCTTACTACGACGAGACCGCCTATCTCACCCAGTCGTCCCAGCTCTATCTCGAGACCGTCCTGCCTAGCCTAGGAGACGTCTACTGCATCGAGAAGTCCTTCCGCGCGGAGAAGAGCTTGACGCGCCGCCACCTTTCCGAGTACACCCATATCGAGGCCGAGTTGGATTACATCAACTTCGGCGAGCTGCTGGATCACCTGGAGGAGGTCATCTGCCGTGTTATCGACATCGTCCTGGCCGACCCAGCCACCGCAGCACACCTCAAGGACCTCAACCCTACGTTCGAGAAGCCGTCTCGGCCGTTCCTGCGCATGAAGTACTCGGACGCGATCGACTGGCTCAACGCCCAGGACCCCCCGATCCCCAACGAGGAGGGCAACCCGCACGTGTTCGGGGACGACATCGCCGAGGCGGCCGAGCGCCGGATGACCGACATCATCAACCGGCCTATCTTCCTGACGCACTTCCCCGTCGAGATCAAGGCGTTCTACATGAAGAAGGACCCGTCGGACCTGCGCGTGACCGAGAGCGTGGACTGCCTAATGCCGGGTGTCGGCGAGATCGTCGGCGGCAGCATGAGGATGGAGGGCTACCAGGAGCTGCTCGACGCGTACAAGAGGCAGGGCATCGACGCCAAGGATTACTACTGGTACACCGATCAGCGCAAGTAAGTCTAGAAAGATCCCCCGCCCCCCAATGGTGATGACGACGGCCGTGATCCATCACGAGGGCAAGAAACTAACTCTCGGCAAGGTACGGCACCTCGCCTCACGGCGGATACGGCCTCGGCCTCGAGCGCTTCCTCGCCTGGATCGCCAACCAGCATACCGTCCGCACCACCTGCTTGTACCCCCGCTTCATGGGACGCTGCAAACCGTGAGTCCCGCGGCTGCCGGCACAGATGGGCGCGGGCGTGGGCCGTTTGCCGTGACGTCACGCACGAGGCCGATGGGAAGACGGAAGCGGCGTGGGATGTCGGGGTGGCGTGTTGAGAGGGGATATATGGGCACGGAGAAGACGAGGAGAAGGGTAGAGAGGAAGAGAGAGAGAGAGAGAGAGAGAGAGGAGTGGGGAGGGGGGGTTGTTTCACGGACGGAACCGGATCGGCAAGCGGCCGAAGTTATACCTATGTACCTAACGCGCGTAGATCTTGCTCAGGTGCCTCCCGTAACGTCGCCCAGGCAGCCGGGGCAGCTCGCGGCTACTCCGTAGAAAGGCAGCCAACGAAACGGGGTTTCCGAAGGACGCTATCGACGGGCGGCGTGTGTTGATGTCGCCTCTCGACGGGACTTGCTTCACGGGCTAGGCCGGAGGCGAGCCGGCCGGCGCGTCTCTTCCCTCTCGTCTCTTACCCCCCCCTCCCCCAATTTCTTCTCGAGCTGTCTCCTGCTGTCTACGTAGACGCTCTGCCCCCGCCCTCCCCCCTCTACCTACCTACGTAGGTGCGTAGCTCAACACACGCTCGTCTCGCTGACCCGACTCCAGTACATGTGCAAGTGTGCAGGTGTGTATGTGCCGCGTATACGTCTATGCAAACGTAGGCCCACGCGGCCATCTAAGATCCTCGAGCGGACTGGGCCTGGGCCTGGGCCGGGGGGCAGGCGCCGGGCAAGGCGTGCAGATCCGTACAGTACCTACCTACCTACCTACTTGCTGCCCCTTCCCCTTCCCCTCGCCTCGCCTTGCCTGTTTCTCTTTTCCTTCTTTCCTTCTTCTTCTTCTTCTTCTTCTCCTGTTTCGTCTCGCCCCTCGTTTCCCTCTCTCTCTCTCTCTCGGCGGGGGAGGGGGGAAGAAGGGGGGTTTCCTTCGCGAAGGAGGTGAAACGGCGCGCGCGCTGCATGATTCATGCGGCCCCGGGTCGCTGGGGGCGGCTCTGCGCAAGGGGAGATGGAAGAATGGAAGGACGCATCGATGCTTCTGCGCCCCCCCCCCCCCCCTACCCCTACCGTCGGCTGGTAAGCTGGTTAGTTTAGGGCTGGGGCTGCGGCGCGTGCGACGCCCGAGAGAGGAAGGCCTCCGCGGAACGCGCGATAGGGGCGGCGCGGCTGGGCTGGACTGGCTGGTTGGGTCCGGCCGCGTAAGCGAGCGAGGGGAAGAGAGGCATCCGGTGAGATTTAGAATGAGTACAGAGAGGCTCAAGCGTGGTCAGGTGTGTGGTTTGGGGATTGCGACGGCCGTGAGGATAGGCTGGCATGTGGGCAGGCAGGCTACAGGTTACGTAGGCGGGTAGGCAGGCAGGCAAGATGGCGCTGTGTCTGCTGATACTAGTATGTCTAATTATACCGGACTAACCGCCAAGATCCAATCTTAATAAAAAAAACGAAAATAAAATAGAAAACGTATTTGCAGGTCCGGGTTTAGGGTGGGCTTGGTTCGGACCGGTTCTGCGGTCCAGGTCCGAGGTGTACTATACTTACCTATATAGCCCGCTGAGTCCACCCGCGGCGAAGAGGTGCCTGTATACATGGGCGTGGACAGAGACATCTGTGGATAGGTGGACATGCCTACGTTCGCGTGTAGGTAGAAGCAGGTAGTGTAGGTAGGTATTAGAGAGTAGAGCAGAGGAGGCGGGCAGATGCAACCAACCGAGAGTAAATAGAGGAAGAGGAAAAGAGAGAAGGGCCCCGATGAAAGAGTTCAAGCCCGTGACGACTTCTGTTGATTCCCTTCGCTTCGATTTTCTGCCCCCTCTGTCTCTATTTTATTTATTTTTCGGCCCCCTCTCCTTTCCTTTTTAAAAAAAAAAAAGGATCGTCTTCGCTCTCTTGGTGTTTTTTTGGTTCTCTTTCTGTTCTTCGTTCCCGAATCTCTCATCCCATCTCTTCCCTCTTTCGTACCCCTAATCACACGCACGATAAATGAGAGCGGTTGTACGGCGTCCGCGCCAACCACCTGATCGCGCGCCTCGGGTACCTTGCCGTAGCGCCGCAGGGACCGCGTCGTCGGGTGGGGCGCCTGTCCCGTCCCCAGCGCTTGCCCTCGGGCGCTGCGTTCCCGAGCCTCTCAGTATGCAAAGTGGGAGGAGTTGTAGGGTGGGAGGCGACACGAGTGCATCGGCGAGGGCTTCGTTTTTATTTTAAATTCCTGTCAGGAGATATCTATTTTTCGTCTTCTTCCTCGCGGCGGAGAAGGGGGGGGGGGGGATGGTTTCGTCTGGGCCGCATTGGCGGTAGGTAGGTATAAATATATATATCCTCCCCCCCTTTTGCCTGACGGGCTGGGCGAGTCCACTGCAGAGAGTGGTGGCACCGGGTTAAATGAAGAGAGCGAAATGGAAGAGGGACGGAACGCCTAAGTTGGGATGGAGGCTGTCGTGGTAGGCAAATGTTGGGCATTTATTTCAAATTAGGTATGGAGCCTACACGCGGGAGAGACACATACCTGTCCGTTCCGAGGAACCTCACATGAGATGATGGTCGGCATGAAGGGCAATTAATATTCTTGTACCTGCCTACATTAGGTACCTACCTACCTCTCTGGATCCCTCATGCGAATCTTACATTCATATATACATACGTACATACATACGGTGGTGGGTGGTTGGACAGCCACTCGAGGCGTGACAGCATATGCAAGGGGAAAAAGCTGCAAGGGGCACTCGCGATAGATAGGTAGAGATATAGATTAGATAGGTTACGTGCTATGTGGTGATAGCACCGCGACGGTTCGACGTTCCGTCCCCGCCTCCACTCCCAGCAGGAAGCATAAGCGTAAGCGTAAGCGTCTGCGACAACGTGTAATATAGCGTCTATGAGTATTACCTGACGTAAATATTCTAGGGGTAGGAAGAGAACCTTAGGCACCTGTATACCGCCAAACATGGTACAATCAATCGCTAGCCCGGGTCCCCTAACGAGGCGACCGGCGGATTGCACGAGATCACGAGGACAGGCGCAGCCGTCATTCCAGGGCGAACTACCTGATGTATCTATGTGTGTATTTATCTACCTATCATCCACGCACGTATTCCTTCCCCCCCCCCCCCCCAATGCACGTATGTCTGGGCTATCAGATGGCTTCGCAGCCCCCCGAACGCGGAGAATACGCACATCGTGTCGAGGTCACGTTAGCTTAGCGCCGTCGCCGAACGACAACGTGCCATCGTCGTCGTCGTCTCGTCGGTTGAGCAAGCCGCGCCGGGGGGGTCTGAGCGAGTTCGACGAAATGGTAAGTCAGGCCTTAGGCCCTGTTCCCTGGATGCGCGTGTTTTGTGCTACCACGTACTCATAGGTAAGTAGGTAGGTAGGTAGGTAGATACCTACTAGGTGTTCCTGCTGCTGGGAAATCGAAACGACCGCTGTTTATGTGCAATGGTTCACGGCATGGCTAGACCCCACGAGGCCCTTGTCGACCCCTGGCCGGGGGGGGGGAGGGGGGGAGACCGTGGGCGAAATCTACGATACGCACACGTATTCCGTAAGCAATGCGGAATACATGCACACATAGGTATTAGTATATGAACACATATATAATATGTGTGTATTTGCATTCATGCTCGTATGTACGTGCACGTTCATCTTGGAAGAACCTATATATGGAAGGACGGGTCAGCAACGGCGCTCTCAATTCGATCGTCGTCCCCGCCCGCCCCGTGTATAGCGCGAGGGGCTCATAGCGCACACCCAGATCCGCGAGTTGTTCGTTCCTCTTGCGCGCAAACGACGGTCAGCAAAGGCTAGACCGAGAGGGATCTCCGTGCATTGGTGGTGGTGGTGGGTGGTGCCGCAGGGCGCGTCTCCTTCCCCTGATCTCAATGTGCCGCTATGCATTGAGTCTGACCTTTTTTTCTTCGCTTCTGTCTCTTCTTGACCGCAGTCGTCTCTGTAGCTCGTGCCCGGACCCGCGCAGGCTCCCCCGTCTATCGGGCCGCCGTCGCATTCCCACTGGCAATGCCATCAGCGGCGTTCTCCTAGCACTTACAGGCCACCGTCGTTGAGCCGGGAGGTCATTGTGCATGTGTGCATGTGTGCATGTGTGCATGTGTGTGTGTGTGTGTGTGTGCATATAGGGAGGTAGGTATGGGTGCGGACAGGGTAAAAATAGAAATCATAAAAAAAGGCGTGGGCAGCGATTGGAGGGAATTCCATTGGCTCGTCTCCTTGGCCGTCATCCTCCGTAGGGCAGGCCGAGATCGTGAGATATCATGTATGAGTATATGCATCTGAGAGACAACGAGGATCAGATGGCCCACGGAGCAATGGCGGAATAAGGCTTCGTCTCTCCTCTCCCCCCCCTCCTCTTCTTCCTCTTCGGCAGACCGAGTCTCTCCCAGGGCAGCGTCGAGCGAGAGGCAACCGAATTGAGATGTCTCGCAAGCTTGACTTTTCCTCTCCTTTTTCTTTTTTTGGGGATTTCCTCTTTGGGCATGTGCCTGTACTCTTGGCCAAGCGCAAATGAATAATAACCATGGGACATCCGCACCCGTCTTCCTCTCACTGTCGAAGGTCGATTGATGCACACGTAATACTTACTGCCTTGGGCGTAGGTTGAAGGGCGTCGCAGGTGTTATGCGTTGCGTAGCTTGGTGTATTTTACCGCTGGGAGGCGCCCAGAGGCACGAGACAAGCCCCTAGGCCCGAAACTATGGGCATTCTGGGATAAGTCGCGTGAGGAGTTCGAAGCTGGGCCTCGACCTGGGAGCGAGAGGCTGTTACCGCGACGTGTACCTCGACGCGCATGGTCGCGGCGCGGCGGTACGTGTCTGGCTAACTCCGCCGACAGCAGGCCCCTGGCGCAAAAGCAGGCTAGCCGGGCGCTCAGGTGCCTGCCTGGGCAGGGAGGGATGAGTGGCATACGTACCGATGTATCCGACCGAATGGAGTGGGCCGAGCGAGCTTTGACCTTACCCCGGCCGCTGCCAGGTTCTGCCTTCTGCCAGGCCTGCGACGAACGTACGGGATTCTTTCCATCGGGTCTGCGTCTCTCTCTCTCACCTCCTATGTTGCGTGTGCACACACATGCCTACCTATCTACCTCTATATATATGGACGGATCCGTGTATTATTATTGTTGTTGTTGTACGTCCATGGACCTGCATGATCTGTACGCTGAGAAGGTAGGTACCTAGGTAGGTAGACATGTGCGTAAGTACCTACCTGCACAACTATTGCGGACTATCATGAGGTACCTAATGTGTTTATATTATTCAAAATAAAATGAGCTGCCTGGCTTCCCCGTCGACGTGCCTCGGCGCCTTGTATTGCACGCTATGCCTATATGCTAGGGCCTGCCTCCTACAGGTAGGTATATGCTGTGCCTATATGCCACAGGTATCTTACATTACCTACGTAGACCTACCTCCTACCTACCTAACTAGGTACCTATATGCCTGCCTTAAGCTGAGCAGGTACTAGGAATACAGCGAATTGCTCCATGAACAGCCTAGGCATGGATGAACGGTAGGTACCCTCGGGACGTGCCCCCCTTGGGCTACAGGCACCCCGAAGGTACGGCATAATCTGAGCTCGAGTTGGGCGGTAGGTACATGCAATAGCATAGGTACCTGCCCTGGTGGTCGCCTTCCTCCGGGATGGAAAGGAGGTGCAGGTGCAAAACGGGATTAGCAGCTGCAGTCAATTCATTAAAAAAAAAATTGAAGAAGAAAAAAAAAAAACTAGCGCCCCCCGTTTTTGGCCATTCTTTGCAATCTGCACTCAGCCCGGTCTCGTCCAATAGGTGTCTTCCGTTTTCCCCCTGCTCCGTCGCCTTCACTTCCTCCACCCTCTTCCGCTTCCTCTCTCTCATTTTAATTCTTCATACGGAGTAGCAGTCTGGTCTATTTCCCTTTTTTTTTCCCCTTCCTTTCCCCCCCCCCCTTACCTGCCCTACCTCTTACTCTCTCTCCCTCTCCCTCTACCTACTCTCCTCTTCCTCTTATCCCTATTCTACTGCCTCCTCTTCTATCTTACCTATCCAATCCTTCTTTACCCTCTCGTTTCTCAAGCCCCCTAGGATCCGTCTCTGGGTCCTTGCCGGCTTTCCTTCGCCAAACACTCTTTACCTATAGCTTTCTTAATATTCTTCTAGCTTTCACCGCTGCCAAGATTGCCTCCTTTTTTCTCTTCGACTGCGAGAGATAGCTTTCACCACTCGGCCCTCTCTCCCTCTCTCTCTCTCTGCACCAGCTCCCGGCAGCGGATCTACTTGCTAGGCCTGGTCGTGTAGGAACCCGTCCACCCAGAGCCTCGTCGTCTCCGTATCGCTTCTCGACGCTCATTTCCATCGCATCCCGGTTCACTCACTTTGGAGGATAATCTACGCCCGCCGTCTTTGTTCGACGTAGCTGGGACGACAACCGACTCCCAGGTCAAAGGGCCACGCTAGAGAGTACCGACCCCGGTCTCGTCGAGACGCGCCCTACGCAGAGCCCATCTCGTCTCTTCTCCTCCTGGCCAGCCCTAGGTAATAGCACGCACCTATTCGGATTCTGCACTCTCTTCGATACTTTTAGCGACAGCCGATTCGAGCATTGCGCGTATTCTGCACAGGACACCACCGATCTATTGCATATAGTCTATGTCCTTATTCCTCGGTGGTGCCTCCTTGCCTTCGATTAGAGATACCCCTATTATCTTTCCATCTGAACTATTGCTTGGATATATTCGAGGTTATTCGGTGTCCCCCTTATCCCCCCCTTGATCGCAACGCCTATTGTAATTTCCAACGTTACTTGTTACGCTAGGATCTGCGCAACCCGGGCCCTATATCTTCGTTGTGCCTCTGTGCCTGCATCGGGGCACGTATAATTCAAGACGGCGGTGCTATTGCACACCTCGCGGGACAACCGTGTTCCCCTTCATATTCTCGGGATGCAGGACCTCTCCGCATCCGGCGGCATCCCCACCGGCCCTGCCAACTCGGCGGGCCGCTTCGGTCATGCTTCGAAGCCTTCGAACAGCGATACCGGTTTCTCTCACGGCGCCTTCACTTCCAACATCACCGGGTTCGCTGACAGGCATCCCCGTCGTGGCAACATTCCGTCGATCAACACCCAGCAGCAGCTCTCCCAGCCCGCTCCCACCAACCTTCATGATATGACCACCCCTGGCACCGGATTCGATATGCAGTTCACGCCTCTGCTCCCGTCGCAGTTGCTTCTCGGCAGCCCCTTCCAGCCCGGAACGCCAGCTGCCTTTGCTAGTCCTCAGTTTCAGAGTTTGTCTGCCTTCCAGCATAGCCAGCAGCACAATGGTCAGCAGCAGAACGGCCTGTCGAGCCCCGTCCAGCAGGGTTTGTCGTCCCAGGCTTACCAGTCGATGGTGTCTCCCTCGACCTACGGCGCGCCTCAGTTCTTCCAGCCTCAGTCCCCTACCGGTACATTCAATAGCATGGGCGGCCAGCTCCAGATGCAGCCTCAGTCGCCCACTTTAAGTCCCGGTATCGTCACGGGAACCAGCAGGACGGTGTATCTCGGCAACATTCCTCCGGACACGTCCGCCGAGGAAATCCTCGGCCACGTCAGGAGCGGCCAGATAGAATCGGTTCGGCTGCTCCCCGATAAGAACTGCGCCTTCATCTCCTTCCTGGACGCTAACGCCGCCACCCACTTCCACTCGGATGCCATCTTGAAGAAGCTCTGCATCAAGGGGCAGGATATCAAGATTGGTTGGGGCAAGCCGTCTCAGGTACCAACCTCTGTCGCCCTGGCTGTTCAGCAGTCCGGCGCATCCCGGAACGTTTACCTCGGGAATTTGCCCGAGGAGCTCGCGGAGGAGGAGCTCCGCGAAGACCTCGGAAAATTTGGCGCCATCGACACGATCAAGATCGTTCGAGAGAAGAATATTGCCTTCATTCATTTCCTATCCATCGCTAATGCGATGAAGGCTGTTCAGCAGCTGCCCCAGGAGGCCAAGTGGCAGTCGCCTCGCCGCGTATACTACGGCAAGGATCGTTGCGCCTACGTGTCGAAGACCCAGCAGCAGAACGCGGCTCAGTATCTCGGCATCGCCCCCGGGTACGCCCACATGCTAACCGGCCAGGACCGCGAAGTCATTTCCAGCGCTCTCGCTCAGCAGTCTGTTGCCGCCGCTGCCGTGGCCACGACGGCGGGCGGCATCAACAATCTCGGGAACCGCACGATCTATCTGGGTAATATCCACCCGGAGACTACCATTGAAGAGATCTGCAACGTGGTGCGAGGCGGCCTGCTCCATCATATTCGATACATCCCGGACAAGCACATATGCTTCGTGACCTTCATCGACCCCACTGCGGCCGCCTCTTTCTATGCTCTGAGCAACCTGCAGGGCTTGATGATTCACAACCGTCGTCTCAAGATCGGCTGGGGAAAGCACTCTGGTGCCCTGCCGCCGGCTATTGCGTTGGCCGTCAGCGGTGGTGCCTCCCGAAATGTCTACATTGGCAATTTAGACGAGACCTGGACTGAAGAGCGACTGAGACAGGATTTCTCTGAGTTCGGCGAGATCGAACTGGTCAATACCCTACGCGAGAAGAGCTGTGCCTTCGTCAACTTCACCAACATTGCCAACGCCATCAAGGCCATCGAGGCGGTTCGGAGCAAGGAAGAGTACAAGAAGTTCAAGGTCAATTTTGGCAAGGATCGCTGCGGAAATCAGCCTCGACAGCTCCAGCCTCAGCAGCAGGCGCCGCAGGGCCAGTCCCCTCGCGGAGATGGCGTAACATCACCTCCGCCAGCCGGTAGCGGAAGCAACAACTCGCCCACCAACCCGACCTCGCCGCAGTCTGCGAACAGCGTCAGCCTATTTGCCAACGGGAACAATCCCCTCACCATGTACCTGAGCCAAGTGTCTCACCAGGCCCAGCAGCATCAGCATCAGCAGCACCAGCTGCTGGCTAGTCAACAGGCAGCTCTCTTTGGCACTGCTGCGTCTTCGCCCAACGAGCTTTCGCTCGACGTCTCCCAACCGCCATCCGGCGGTGCCGCTCACGGGCAGTCGGCTAGCATCTCTAACGGATATGCGAATGGCACCTCTGGCGCTACTACCATCGGCGGCCTCCTAGCGCCCGGCAACCAGCGAGGACAACACAACCGTGCCGTGAGCCTGCCCGTTTTTGCCCCCGGTTTCGAGAACGGCGGCAACAGCCCGGTGAGCGCGATGGGAGGCCCCGGCGAGGGGGAACGCAGAGGACACCAATACCAGGCCAGCTTCGGTGGTATGGGCTCCGGTCTGGGCCTCGCGATCCAGGGAGGACTGAACGGCTGGGTTGAAGAGGAGGTCGCCAACTGATTTGACAAAACCTCACTCGGAAAAGGCGACCGCTAGGGAAAGATAATATGTTGTAATCGCTGCGTTGATTTTCTCAGGCGTTCTCTCTTCGACTTCAACCGCTTCAGTTATCATTTCCTGTATGATTTTGTAAAAACCTCTTGGACCCAACTTTCCCGGTCGATCGACCTCCCAAGAACAAATTTGGTCTTCATTGACCCGTTACCGACAAAGGATGAAAGCCGTACCCGAGGGCCTCGCCAGCCTAGGACGAGTAGAGACGAGGTGGAGGTGGAGGGCGGGTGTGTCTCGTCTCTGAAAACGAGATCTGAGGCGCGTGGTTGGGGGGGGGGGGGGGGGGATATTCCGTCGAGGGGTATGTAAAGAGGAGGACGCAGGTAGGCGGGGGATGTGTACGGGGGGCGGATGTAGATGTGCCCGAATGCAATCTGGGAAAAGCGACTGGTATTTTGCCGTCTGGTAACTCGTTCGGCCGGTACGTGTAACTATCATAGTCTCTGAAGGGTATAATATGACAGCGTAAAAGCGGCTTCTGCTCACGTGTTGCGGTGAATCGTGTATGTGTACTACGATGGCATCACTACGTCGATTCGTAACCGCCGATATTGCCTACCTCATGATCCCCCCCCCTACTGTAGTCTAGGACGTGAGGGTTGTATAGATGTACGTAGGTACAGTGTCTATCTGTCTAATATGCGATACTAGGGGCTACGTAGGAAATGAGGTAGCAAGGGGGTTATGTACACCATTGCACTACTCTTTTTTTTTTCTCCTGCTTCTTCTCGGTAGTTTTCCTTCTCACATTACCCTCTCCTCTCTATAATACACGCCACACACGCACGGAAGGAGGACGGGTGTGGAGTAGGGAAAGGAAGCGAGGGCCGAGGGAGAGAGAGTCTAGTAGAAGAAAAAAAGGAAAAAGGAAAAAAAACTCCTAGAGGCATCATGTGAGCGTGCTGCCTCCTATCCCGCCGCATCCCGGGAGAGAGGAGGGTAGTTGGCATAGCCGAGCTGAGAGCGCGGCTGAGCAGAGCTGAGCTAAGGTAAGCTAAGGTAAGCTAAGGGGGGCCGGTCGGGTATGTACATAGGCCTGTGTGTGTGTGTGTGTGTGTGTGTGTGTGTGTGTGTGTGTCCTCCCCCAGCAAAGAAGAAGAACGGGCGGTTGGTTAGGCGGGTAGATAGATGGATGCTAAGAACGCCTCGGGGCGTGGCCAAAAGGGGGGGTTTGCAGCAGGGCGTAGGGTAGCTAGCTGCCTCGTCGTCTCACGATGGCTCGCACGCGCTAGCCGTGCGCCGCGCCTCTCTTCCTGTCCTTGCTTCTCCGACGTCGGCCGGGCAGCACCCGCGTGCGTATATACCTATAATATATGGGGTTCGTTTTTCTTCCCCGTCCTGCCCCGCCCGTTCCCGCCTCCTCTCAGTAGCCGGCGGGCTCGGGCTCGGCCGGGAACGCGGGCGCCCGCGCGTTGGCGCGGCACTCCTGCCGCCAGTTGCGGGGCACGAACCGGTCGACGACGGCCTTGAACGCGTCCTGTGTGTCGCGCGCGGGACAGGCCCCCCCCTTCCCCCGGCCGGGAAGGGGGACCGCTGCTGGTTAGCAGGGAAGTGTGCGAACGCGCGCGGGAGGAGAGGGTATCAGGAGTGGGGGGGGTGTGGATCTTGCGCTTTCTGCGGCTTCTCTCTACGTGAAGGGGGCACGGAGTGGGAAGAAGAAGAAAAAGAAAACGAAGGAGGAGAGCAGGGCTGGACTCACAAGCGTGCAGAAGCTCTCGTCGCCTTCGAGGTGCTTTCCCGCGGCCTTGCAGCCCGGCACCGTCACCACCTCGTCGTTGTACCGTATCCGTACGTAGTAGTTCTCTATCTTGGCTCGCTCCTCCGGGGACAGCTCCTCGCTTCGTTTGCGGCCGATCCCCGAGGCCTGGCTGCCGGATTTCGCGCCGCCGGAGGGTGAAGCCCACGAAAATAGGGAACCGAACCAACTGGCATTGCCGTTGTTGCTTCCCGTTGGCGGGGTCGCCGTCTTGCCCTGAGGGGGTAAGGTGGCCGGCTGAGAGGCGGCGGCATCGGCTTTTCGGAACATCTCGATTGCAATGTGACTCGTGTAAGGCGGCCACTCCCGGTTCTCGTACGCACCTAAACTAGCTAGAATCGCCGCGAGCGTCGTATCGTGACACCCGCTCAGTCCGAACCGGACGGGTGTAACCCCCTCGGCCCCTTTAGGCGCCCCGTGCTCGGCACTGCCCACCATCCGACCCACGATGTCCCCCAGCAGCCCGCCGATTCCGAGCGTCCGGTACTCCCGGCTCTCCTTGTAGCCAGCGAACCACTCCTCGACGCCGATCTTGTCGACGATCTCGCGCGCCTTGGGGTCGTAGAACTCGCTCGGCAGCCGCGTCCCCGGGCCGTGGGCCAGCGTCGAGTTGATGGTGTCCATGATACCGCTCAGGCGGGGCCGAGAGTCGACGGCGACGCGGGGCGACTCCTCGGGCATCCACTTGCCCCAGAGCTTCGTCAGGTAGGCCATCTCGTCGGTGCCGTTCCAGCGGTCGGCGGCGCGCTGGGCGAAGGCCCGCGACAGGGCGGCGAACCGGCGGCAGTTGCTGTCGTTCGGAAACAAGGTCTCGTCGCCGGGGGCGCGCGTCACGATGGCCGGGACGTGGGAGGTGGGCGCGCGCGCCTCGACCGGGTACAGGCCGGTGAAGACCTCCTGGACGGACTCGAGGGCGCGGGGGATCGGGGTGGCGCGCAGGTAGAGGGCGTCGGCGTCGGCCTCGGTGAGGAGGCGGGGCAGGAAGCGCAGGCGGTTGACGTAGAGGGCGCGCAGGCGCACGCCGAGCTCGAAGGTGGTCTCGCGGCCGCGGTCGGTCAGCATGCCCATCTCGCAGATGTCGTCGAGCTCGCCGCGGGGGCCGGCGGCGAGGACGGGCTCGTCGGCGGGGCCGAAGGTCTCGAGGCGGCGCTTCCACTCGAAGGTGGAGAAGCGGCCGGCGCCGGGGTCGAGCACGGCGGACTTGAGCTGGCGCACGGCATTGCAGTACGGCCAGAAGGCGGGCAGGCCGGCGTTCTGGAAACGGGCCGACACCGGGGTGCGCTCGCCGTGGCGCAGCAGCACCTGCACGAGCTGCAGCCGCAGGCCGGCGGGGTAGAGCGCCTTGAGCTCGTCGTCGGTGTACGGCGGCCGAGGCGCGAGGGAGGTCATCGCTGCGGCGAGGGGCTCGGTCTTGGGATGGGGGTGGGTAGGTAGGTAGGGCAGGGTGGAGGAGGCCGGCTACGGGTTGTGCTGGCGGGAGATCCGGGGTAAAGGGGTGGCAGAGAAAAAGAGAGAGGAAAATGAAGGCTTCCAGGATCTGGGTCCGTTGCCTGAGCAGGCCCAGTAAGGGGGTATACCAGATGCAGCGGTACCTTGAATTGTGGCAGGCTGTTGTACTTGCATACATTAGGAGGTACCTAGAGGTAGGAGGTAGTATGCCTCTAATAGGTGCTCGTCACAAAGGAACTGGTCAAGCTATGCTTACAGCGGTAACGGGATGATATTCTCGAGGTTTGGATTTTTTTTATACAAGTCACCTCTTTGTTATTTTCCCTATATCTAGTCTCAAGCCTCTTTTCCCCTCCGTTTCTGATTTTGTGCTCTCGCTGGACACTGGTAGGCGGATACCTGTATATTATATCGTGGGTACATACCTAGGTGCGATGCAGGTCCAGTTCGGTACTTTGCATGCCCCTCTGGGTATGTACCTGGTAGGTACGTGCAGGAGCCTCAGATCTTGTAGGTTGGTCGGCACGATTTCCTCCGACGTGGCCGGTCACGGAATGCGCCCCACGCCCCGGACGGACCCCCGCTGCAAATTGAGCGATGCCCGGAGAAGCAGAAGCACGGGCTCCGATGCACCTGTTCTCCAAGGAGGTATCTAGGTACCTGCAACACTCGCCACGGAGGGGCGGATTACGTAACATTGGCCCAAGGCGGCGCTGATCTTATCTCCAGCTGCATTTTTAATTACCGACCTACCTACTTGCTGCCGACTTCTTCCACCCCCCGACTGGTCACCCCGCCTAATATAGGTATATTTAGTCCGCGACCTCGCAAGGCTTGTCCTTTCGGGTCCTCCAAGACCGTGAGCATGAGAGGCATCAGCAGCTCAAACGCCGCCGACCTACTCCGCCGACACCTCGTAGCCACTTCACGCCCATTCCAACTGCAAGTTCCTGGCCGCCCCAGCTTCTTCTCCACAGCGACCACGAGACAGAATAGCGCGAGCGCTGCCGCCACCACATCATCAGCCCCCGATCGCCCCTTGAAGGCCTCCAGCGGAGGCCGAGGCTCGGCCAATGTAGACTGGCTCCAGACTCCACCGAGAAAGGTGCCACCCAGCGATCCCGCCCACACCGACGCCGCGTTCCGACAGATAGTCCAAGACCAGACAGAACGAAACTATGCCCCGGCCGCTCCCGCTCCAGCAAGCGCCGCTGCCGACCCGAAACTTGCGGCGGCCGCCATGAAGCTGAGGGAGATGGTCAAGAACGACAGCCCCGATGCGCAGATGGATTCGTACCGCTACCTCACCTCCGAAATATACCCGCTCGTTGTAAACCGAAACGTCGATATGCCCGAGGGCCTTGCTAGTTCTGTGTCTATACTGATGAGGGGGATCGCAAGGAGCAAATGGGACTTTATGCGGTCTCCCGATCTCCCTACCGTCGGCCAGATATACAAGGTTTTGGCCGAGTTTGGCGAGCTCCGGCTCGAGGGGTGGGCCATGCTCGTGGAGAACCTGATAACCACCATTGTCGAGATGGACCCTCCCCGCGCTGACGGAAGGAGCTTGAGCGCCGTGGCAGTCGGCCGGTTAAGCTCCGAACTCCTCATGAGAGATCTCGTAGACTCTTGGAAGGTCCTCTCCTCGGTCAAGGCTGCGGCTGACCAGACCGACCCCGATGGCTTCAACTTCCCGGTCCTTGATGAGGCTTTGCTTGAGAGATTCTCGCAAAGTCGCAACTTCATTGCGGCTTTCATGATGCTCTTCCCCCAGCATTCGCCCGCCGAAATCGGTCCTCGGGTAGCCATGTTGGGCGTAGCCACGTATGCCCTGATGTTCGACTCCCAGCGTAGCAACGCCAGTGCCAGACGGGACGCCACAAGCTTCGTCGGCATGATAACACGGCTCCTGAGGACTATGGACTACGATGCAAACCTGGTTCAAGAACACACCGCGAAATATTTACCAGGACTTACAGACTACGTCGTGGCCCAGTGGCCGAATGTAAGCAACCGGCTACAGGCGCTCTCTTGGTTGACAGATCCTGAGACGCAATTCGTCAAAGACCTACCACGGACTGCTTCGGGAGACATCGATATCGGTAAATTCCAAACCCTCCTCGAAGACGCGGTTAAAACAAAGCGTCGGGACCACATCGATTCGCTCTGGAAGAGTTTCGTGGGACCGGACGAAGCCATCAGCGGGGAGAAGGCCGCAGAACTTCGGGACTACCCCGAGCTGTTTGATTCATTTATCCGTGCTTGGATGAGCTTAAATCTAGCGGGGCGGGCGGCGGCGGGGTGGAAGACCATACCTAGGATCGGTCTCTATCCGACGGCTAGAACCTGGAATGCCATGCTGACTGGCTGCAAGGAAGCCCGTAATCTCAACGGCATCAGGAACGTGTGGGCAAAACTGATGACGTCCGGAATGCAGCTTGACACAGGCTTATGGACGACTCTAATATCCGGACTTATCCAATCCGGTGATATCGAAGGTGGAATCCAGGCGTTAAAGGAGATGGCGAGTTTGTGGACGGAGAGCTTGGAGAAAGGTACAAAAACTGCCGTCAAGCCGACCATCGAGCCTGTCAACGCTGCTATCGTTGCCCTCGTGTTCCAGAGAAGGCTGGACCTTGCCGAAGATGTTTTAGCTTGGGCCGGCAAGCGAGACATCGCCCCCGACATATTCACATTCAATACTCTGTTGGGTAGCCTCATTCGTATGAAGCGGGATAAAGAGACACGGCGCTTATTTAAACTCATGCAGACCCAGGGTGTACAAGCGGACGAAAAAACGTTCACGATTGTTCTCGACGCCGCCTTTGCTGCCGTACCACCTGACAACCAAGACGAACAGGTGAAGGCGCTAACGAGTGTGCTCGACGGGATGAAATCGGTCGGCTTGGAACCGAACATGCATACCTACGGCAAAGTGATCTTCAACCTGCTCGGATTAGGTCGTAAAGGCGTCGAGGTTGTCGACGTCATGCTCAACTACCTAAAGGCCGAGGGCCACACGTTGTCACCATATATTCTTACGATGCTAGTAGATCACTACTCCAATCAGGTCCCACCGGATTTGGATTCCATCACCGCGCTACTCGCGATGTGGAAACCGCCCATCGCTAGTATGGACATCATCTTCTGGGAGCGCCTCATAAGGGGTTACCTGAGGGTGTCCTCCCCGAGCGCCCTAGACGCCGCCTACGAGATATACCTTGCGGTTAGCCGTAGTGGCGTCTTCCTCGGCCTCGACACGCATATAGACCTGTTGAACCAATTGCTCCGGGAAGAGCGTATTGGGGACGCGCAAGACCTCGTGTGGTTAGCGGAGTCGGAGGTAGAGAAGCGAGAATCGCGGTACGGGGGCAAGCTTGAGAAGGTCTGGGGCCACCGCTTCTGGAAACTGGCGCGGCAGAACAACCTTCTCCGTCCCGATAACGACGCCCCCGCTGCCGCCCCGGGGCATCAGCCCGACTCGGTGAGAGATCCTAGGGTCGTCGCGTAGAGGATATATGCGCACACTCGAGGTATCGCGGGGATGGTTGTAGTAGTATGGCGTATGTAACACCTGTAAATCGACCCCCACGACCTCAACCTCTATTAGAAACCTATTGTAAGACACGTCCGATGTGGCATCAATGTGTAGATAGCGATGGAGCATCTTCCCTAGGGTAAAGAAAAACGAAACACGCTCCTGCAAGGGCACAAGTTCTAACGGCTGCAGTTCTTCCTCTGCTCTTCTCCCCTCCCGCCTCCCCTTTCTCTTCCTCTTTCCCCTTCCCCCATCTCAAAATTTCCCAGGGTGATGCAACACGTAATGTAGCGCATGTACGCATGCGTATATGCCTGCCCGCGAAGCCCATCGTGCGAACTCCCCCCCAAGGAACAAACACCAGCCTTCATCCGTTTTTTTAGCTTCTACTCTCTCGTCGGCGGGAGTCGCGGCGGGACCCTGCTTGCCGTAGCAGTGCGGACGCCGGCGGTAGGCGGACAAAGCAGTTAGCAGCGACAGCAGCGACGCCCGCGAATATGCTTGCAGGAGCCGGTCGGAATCGGCTATGGCACGCCGTCATGCCGGGCCGCGCCATCACGACTCGTCCATCCGATCGTCGCCTCTCGCGGCAGCAGCGTTATTAGCAGCGGCAGCACCGCCACCACCGACAGAAGCGGAAGCAGGCCCCGCGTCGTCGGCTCCGCCGCCCAGGATCGCGACCACGCCCTCGAGGCCCTCGGCCTCGCCGCGCGGGGGCCCGGCCCCGGCGCCGACCCACTCGCCGCCGTCGCGCAGCTCGCCCTGGCGGCCGAGCTCGAGGCCCTCGACGCGCTCGAGGTAGCGGCGGGCGGCGCCCTCGACGTACTCGAGGCGCTCGCGGCGCCAGCTCTTCTTGGCGGCGGCGGCGGCCTTGCCCTCGGCGGGGGGGCGGGGGTTGTCTTCTTCGTCGTCGTCGTCGTCGGCGGCCGCGGTGGGGGACGAGGGCAGCAGGTCCGGGCCCAGGTTCCGCAGGGAGACGGAGAGCGCGCGCAGGGCCTGCACCTGCGACAGCGCGAACGCCGTCGTCGTGCTGAGCGGGCTGTCGGACCCGCTGTCGGCGAGGTCGCCCTTGTGGTGCAGGAAGGCGAAGGGGCTGCTGGTGGTGGTGGTGGGGGAGGGAGCGGGAGCGGCGGCGGCGGCAGGCCCCGCCTGCGCCCCCGGCGACGTCTTCTCGCTCTTGACCCGCGACGGCTCCGCTGGTAGGCCGACGACGGCGCGCAGCTCGTCGAGCAGCTTCTCGTTGCGCGCGCGCTCGGCGGTCAGCAGCGCGTTGAGGCGCATGCTCTCGCGCAGCTTGCGCCGCAGGTGGTTGATGGTGTCGAGGTTGGGGAGGGAGGCGTCTGCAGCGGGCTCGCGTTAGCTTTTCTTCTCTGCGTTCTCTCTCTCTCGTCGCCGCCGCCCTCTTGTCTTTATTCTCCCCCCCCCCCCCCCTGGCTACCTCTCGGCTTACGAAACGCGGGCCACGTACTCGAAGGGGAATCGGGCGAGGAGAAGTCGAGGCCCTCGTAGTGGGAGAGGCGCATCCACTGGCGCACGTCGGCCGGGCGGACGCACAGGATGTTGCGCAGCACGTAGATCTCGAACTTGTCGAAGTTGCGGTCGATGCTGGCGCACAGCAGGGTCTCGAGCTGGTGCGTGCCGGACTCGATCTCCATCTTGGCGGCCTCGGCCGGAGGGAGCTGCTGTTGCTGTTCCTGCGCATCGCGGGCCCGGCTAGAGGAGGAGGAGGACTGCTTGAAGCCGAGGCTCGCGGGCGGCGCGTTCAGGAGCCCCTGCTCGACGCTGTTGAGGGCGCGCTCGGCGAGGATGTTGATGCTGTTGATGATGTCGTCGATGAGACTCTGTTACGTCGCGCGCGGCGCGGCAGAACGTTAGTAGAGAGAACGCCGGCGCGTTCGGGAGCGGTGCGGATGACGAGGCCAAGGGGGAAGAGGAAGGGGGGGGGAGCAACTGACAACGGGGGGGTATCCGAAGTGCTCGGTCAAGAGCTCGGTATCTGAGTTGGCGGACGTGGTCATGATGGCGCATCGTAGATATCATGGCCCTCCGTCGTTCTCGCCGTGTCGTATGCGGTGCAGGGTCGGGAGCGATCGAGTTCCGCTGTTTAGCCACACATGACGAGTCGCACCGCGATGACGACGCGACGGATGCATCGAGAAGTCGATGTCAATATTTAGTTGATTGGAACGGAAGGTGGGGGGGATCAATTGCAGGGGAACCAGCCAACTTCTCGTTAATTGCATCTGCCGAGTTGGCAGGTCTGCCAGCTGAGGGGAGCGGCGGGAGTGGCTGAAATCAGCTGTCAGACATCCGCTCACCGATTGGCCAATCATGGCGGGTCACTCTTCAGTAGCATAAACCACGCCGTATATACACGGTATGCGGCACACGGTATACACGTACCTAAGGCACCACAAGAGTAGGTACCTTTGTACATGGGTATAACGTCATCCCAACCTCCCGACCTGTCCAGCTTGGAGGTACGATGTACAAGAGCGTGTGCACCTCCCAGAGTCCATAAATACTCTCGACCTACAACTGCGACCTGTCCCGTAGACAAAACAGAAGATGTCGACGCTTCGTAACGGCAACCCGGAGCCATCTGGCCATACGCAACACACGGTGAAACACTCACCCGCACGAGGCCACGCTCCAACACCCAGACCTGCCCCGTAGGTAACGAGGAATCGACGTCAGGATGACCGATTGGAAGGACCTCGTCAAGCATGGCTGGCACCCCGAGAAAGAAGGGACCACTCTCAAGGGCCAGGTGGTAGGATCACCCCCTTCCTATTTATCCTGCGCATCTACGCGTGCGCCCCATCTACATGTCTATCCGTCGAAGGCTGACGCCGCGAGCAGAAGAGCCTCGTCAGCCGAGGAGACAAGTCGCCTGCCCGCTCGGCCAGTGCTCACTCCGCCGCTCCCGTCTCCGCCCTGCGCGACCCTTCGTCCTTCGGCCCACCCCCGAAGCACATCAGACAGGCCGGTAGCCGTGGTGTAAGCCCGAGCTCAGCAACGCCACAGCAACAGGAAATTTACCAGCCGCAAGCCAGCCCGGCGGTCTCGCCAGCACCAGCATCGGGACAGGCATACGACACCTATCGCGGACCGCAGAGCGGGGAGCCCGCGGCCGAGCCAGAACCGAAACCAAGGCCGTATCAAGTCGATACGACGGGCCTATCTACGTCCCACCTACCTCCACCGCCCGTACGACGAGATGGTGCAGATAGACCAGCGGGCCAGGGTCCCCCTCCCTCCCTGCCACCGAAGCCGAAACCGAGCAACCCGGGCACTGCCCCGACGCTACCTCCCAGACTTCCTCCGCGAACTGGAAGTACCTCCCCCGCCCACGCCCAGAGTCCAGTCTCGACAGGTGGCAGCAACGGCCCATCTAGTGGGCACATGAACCAAGGCGCGCTCGACCGGTTAGGAGCAGCAGGGATCTCGGTGCCGGGGTTAGGTATCGGAGGAGGGGCGGGAGCAGGAGCAGGAGCAGGAGGGAAAACACGCGTCGCACCTCCTCCCCCTTTATACCTACCGTCCCGGACAGGCTCGCCTGCTTCCGGGTCATCGACAAGGACGCCGCCGCCACTACCGTCACCGTCGCCATCCCGCGGGCAGCTCGGCGAACTCCAGAGCCGGCTCTCTCGCCTCGGCACTTCCTCGTCTCCTGCCTCCCCTCTCCCCGCCCCCTCCTCTTCCGGACCAAACGAACCGCCACAGCAACGCAAGTCTACACCGCCTGCGCAGGGTACCACGTGGGCGGAGAAGCAGGCCGCCCTCCGTACGGCGGCCAGCTTCCACCGGGACCCGACTTCGGTATCGCTAGCAGACGCCCGCGCCGCCGCCGGCACGGCGCGCAACTTCCAGCAGCGGCACGGCGACCAGGTCGCGGCGGGGTTGCGGACGGCGGATGGGCTAGGCCGGCGGTTCGGCGCGCAGGAGGTGGTGCTAGGTACCGGCGGCGGCAGCGCCGAGAATAACGGTGGGCAGCAGCAGCAAGGCGGCAGTAATGGGCTGTCTATGGGCCAGCTCGCGGGGGCGCTAGCCAAGAAGAAGCCTCCGCCTCCGCCGAAGAAGGCAGAGTTATCTAGGGCCGGCGAGGGCCATCGAGGAACATCACCACCTCCGGTGCCGACGGCTACGAGGCCTCAGTTTTAAATGGAGTGGAGGATAGACGTGACGGGTATGTACGCATCTAGCTACGGTCCGGGAAAGGTAGACCAGTATCTACTAGAACTACTAGAAGGCGCTTCGGAGCACGAATAATAAGAAAGGGATAGAAGAAAGCTTAGCCGGGAAACTCCAAGTAGGCTCAGTATTTATTCATTTTGTGGGGGGGTTCGCGTTGCTTTTCAACCCGGGAATCGAGTTACCCGGGAGGGGAGACGAGACTGCGGTAGTGGGCAGTGCGAGAGAGGTTGCTATGGCATTCGTGGTAAGAAAAGAAAAAGACGGGCAAGAAATCTCCGGATTCGGCCGGGGATCCTGCGGTTGATAGATATAGAAGAAAGTAAAGCGTCAAATCGTCTGGATAGTATAATTCGGATGCGTCTGTGTGTGGTCTGTACACCCCGCAATACCTCGCCGATAACTCTGCGTCTCGCTCTATATGCGACATGGCCCCATCGGCGGTGGACATAAATTTACACCTTCATCTCCTCGAGACCGTGCTTCCAGAGGACGACATAGGGCGTGACGCCGTCTTCGCGGTAGTTGAGGAGGACGACCCTGCGAGGTTCGGCCGTGGTAAGCAGGCCAGGTTCACCGGTGTGGAGGGAGGGGAGACGGGGGGAGGGCACTCACATTCCGTCGACCTCCATGCTCTCGCCGGTGTAGAACTCGTAGTCCTTGAAGTTGGCTACGATCTTCTTCGCGTAGGCCTGGGCCTTGGTCTGGAAGCTCTTGACGTCCTCCTCGGTGACGCCGGGCTTTTCGGCGTAGTGCTTCGAGACGCGCTTTAGGTAGCCTGCTCTCGGGTGGTTAGTGACTGCTGGATTTTCTACCCTTCCGTCTTTTTTGTGGATGTCTCTCTCTCCCTCTTCTTCTTCTTCTTCTTCTTCTTCTTCTTCTTCTTCTTCTTCTTCTTCTTCTTCTTCTCCTCCTCCTCCGCTCCCGTTCCTCTTGCCGCCTGTCCCCCTTCACGACATCGCCGACAGGGGGGGTGAGAGGAGGAAAGGGGGTTTGGGGGCGGGAATCTTACCCTTGAGGTACGTCAAATACGACGACTTGTCGAAGCTGGTGGGTTGGAGACGGAAGGAGTGGAGGATGTTGTTGACCTTCTGGGCCGAGTCTTCGAGGCCCTCATCGGCCTCCTCGGCGGAGGCGTTGGCACCGGTGTCTGCGCGCGGCTCCCGTCAGCGATCCCAGCCCAGACGCAGATCCGCCCGCACCTCTCGAAGCCGCGGGGACGGGGGGAAGGCGACGTACCGACATCGACGGCGCCGATCTCAATCATGGCACAGTCGGCCTCGTAGATGATGCCATCGATCTCCTTGACATCGTAGGAATCGGACAGGAGCTCGTCCTTCCCATCGATAAGAGCGTCCTACGTATCCACGAAGAGGGGAGGAGATCAGCACCGCCTACGCGACACGGTCCGGGACAACTCGACTCAACTCACCCTGAAGATGATCATCTTGGCGGCTGAAGAGCGGAGGAAGCGGTGAGATGGGGAAGGGCGAGGGGGAGGGGGAGATGGTAGGCGGATGGATGGTTGGCGATGAGGAGAAAACCCGGGGAGGAGAGGCGTCGAGGAAGGGGAAGGGCAAAGGTGACCTTTTGCGACCAGGATGAGGGGCAGGATCTCGGCTGGCGGAGAGGGTCAAAATTTTGGGCAGGAGAAAAAACAGTGGACGTGAGATGGAATGGCGGGGCGAGCCAGGCTAGTCTCGATTGGGCCGTAGCGTGTCTTGATTAGATCTAGATCCGTGTGGCTCCGTTCGGGCAGGTACCCAGGTATCCCCTTCCCGGTCAGTGGTTACGTAAGGCAAGACTCCCGAGGTACTTATCGATACACAACACATTGTCTACAGTACTCATATAGTACTTCATAGGGCGAGCGAGCCAGCATGGATAATAGGGTCTGAGGGCAGGATATGTCATGGTGGGGCTTCGTAGGAGGTACCGGGATTTCATATACCCATTATGTATAGGTAAGGTCCGTAGTACATGCATATTCTCAGGTATACGCACACGTAAGCAGCACGATTCAATTACAAAGTAGAATTATACAGGCTACGGGGTGTGGCAAAGTGCTCTTCGATGGCGGTTGACCTTGGAAGAGTCCCACCCAGATGTCTGGATCCGAGTAGAAGAGTAGAAATGCGATAGAACCCGGGTTTACGACGGGCTTGCGCTTACACGGTTATGCGTACCGACACTAAGCTGGTAAGCTAGCTTGACGCATGAAGGGTCGAGGTCGCTGGCATTTATATTATAGCAGATTTTCGTTATGTCGTATCCACTACCAGCTCGCTACCCTTAGGGATGCATGTCCCATAAAGTGGCTACCATGACATGACTTGAACAGAATTCTTTACGGCCCAGTAGACAAGTACCCCCTCATCTGCTTTGCAAGGCGAGGTTAAATTCCTATGTAGGTACATATGAATATTCCGTCAGGTGGCTTAGGGTGTGTATGAGTAGCTTAGGTACCTCTCTCAACTTCCTATTTGCGGTATACCTACTAGGCCCCTAGCAGGTCGGTAGGTATATCGGTTTCTTCCACGCGCATAGGTACATACACCGTATAGCAATGCCAGCCCACTTCTCTCATCTCTCGACCCCCCTAATCAGATGTTTGCGAGTCGTTCGTATGACGGGGATAAGAACCGGTGAATATGGCTGGGGTGCCGAAAAGACGGTCGGAGGCAGATTAGCCATATACATAGAGAGGTAGCTGGGTAGGTAGGGCGGGTAGGTAAGGCGAGGGTCAGCTAACCTAACCTGCTTCCTCCTACGTACTCATACAATCTGCATTCGATGCGATCAGATACGATTGCGCGCGCGTTGGGCAAGGCGACAGAGGAACAACAGGTGATCTCGGACATTCGCGGGTGGCCCGTTGCCGAGAGCGATGAAATTGATATAAAAAAAAGGGGGGGGATGGGTCTCCGAGAGCGCCGGACGCGCTCGATTCTACCAACAGATGATTTATATACTTACCAGGGACATCGGCCTAACGCGTACGTGCCGGTCGCGACTAGGTACCTAAAGGTATAGTATGACATAGGAACCCACCCCCAAACGTGCCTCGACCATGCCCTTCGGGGACTAGGACGCGGCCGGGTACCTGCTGGTACCTGACCTGTGCCGTTGGCGACCGGCCCCAGGCACGTACACACGCCGTACCAGCTCGCGTCCTCTCCTTCTTTTATGCCTCACCAGCACAAGCCTTATAACCATGCCCTGGACAACCCGACCTGGGCTTCCCATCTTGACTCCCTCATCGCCCACCCTCCTTACTAATTGACTGCCGCCTCCCACCCGTGGCATCGCCCATGCATGGCGTCCTCGACATACTAATATAACCAGCAGTCCGCCACACCTGAGTCTCCTCACACTCCTTTCTGCCGATCTTTTTTTCCTTCTTTTTTTTCCCTCGTCTATCTAATCTACCTAATACCCAGCTTACTCGGCGGCCCGGACCCCCTACCTACTCATACTCATACACGCTCGCGTACACGCGACCCCGTTGTGTTATCCGAGCTTCGATCTTCCCCTTCATCCTGATAGCATTAATTCCCCCCCCCCCCCGTTGCCCTTGCGAGCCTGGCAACACGCAGTCATGGCTACCAATATGACCTCCGCCACAGATCTCCCGCCGCTACCGTCCTATTCGGTTGTCGTCGCCCCTGATCTGCTGCCCTGGCTCCCGGACTTCTACCTGTCCATCATCGCGCCCACCGCCGCCTACTGGGCCATCTCCATCTTCTTCCACATCATTGACGTCTATGACCTCTTCCCCCAGTACCGCCTGCACACCCCCGCCGAGATCGCCCAGCGCAACAAAGCGACACGATACGAGGTGTTTCGCGATGTCATCTTCCAGCAGATCATCCAGGCCGTCATGAGCTTCGTTCTGGGCATGACCGACCCGCCGCAGTACACGGGCATGGAGGAATACGACGTTGCCGTCTGGGCCACGAGGGTCCGTCTCGCCCAGAGGGCGCTTCCCACCTTGCTCGGCGTGCTCGGCGTTAACGCCGCCACCGTGTCTAAGAACATGGCCCTGTCGCACCCGCTGCTAGCCGGCGCCCTGGCCGGCGGACACTACCCCTTCCTCACCACCGAGCTTGCCGGCCCCGACGGCATCGTCGTGCCGGCTTTCGCCACCTGGGAGCTCCTTGTCGCCAAATTCATCTACTACCTGCTCATCCCGGGCTTCCAGCTGTTCGCTGCCGTCACCGTCCTCGACACCTGGCAGTACTTCCTCCACCGCTTGATGCACCAGAACAAGTGGCTCTACGGTCCGTATCCCTGACATCTGCACGTCCATAGTAGGCAGCTTGTAACTGACCAGTCTATAGCTACGTTCCACTCGCGACACCACCGGCTGTACGTGCCCTACGCCTACGGAGCTCTGTATAACCACCCGTTCGAGGGCTTCCTTCTCGACACGGCCGGTGCCGGGCTCGCGTACAAGGTCGCGTGCATGACGCCGAGGCAGGGAATCTTTTTCTGGGTCATGTCCTCGATCAAGACCGTCGACGACCACTGCGGATACGCCTTGCCTTGGGACCCTCTCCAGCATATCACCTCGAACAACGCAGCCTACCACGACATCCACCACCAGAGCTGGGGTATCAAGACGAACTTCGCGCAACCCTTCTTCACCTTCTGGGACCGCCTGCTGGGCACCATGTGGCACGGCGATACTTCGCTAAAATACGAACGGTCGAGGGTCAAGGCCCAGGAGTTCGTGGATGCCGAAACCAAGAAGGCGTCCGCCAAGGCTCAATAGACGTCCCGACGCGCCCGCACAGACTTGGCGCGTACATTCGCTGTAATATCTTTGGGAAGTTCGGGATCCCTTTCCTTGTTTCATTTTGCTTTTGAGGCGTGACCGGGATATTCAGGATCGTATTCGGCTGAGGAGACACGAGGTCTACACATCCGAGGAGCATGGGATGGGCGTTTCTTTTTTTTTTTTTCCCACCCTCTTCACTTCGATTCGACAGTAATTCTTGAAGGGCAACGGGCTTTGCTATTTGTCTCCGTGTCTTGTAAAAACATTCGGCACGCGTGCACGTCTTTGAAATGCCGCATCAGGCTGTCTACACGACCGGGTACGACGAAGGGAGCAGAGGGACAGCCAGCCAGTATTGGTGGGTGCCAAAAGGAGGGGATGGTGGCGTTGGATTTCCGGCAGAGCAGAGGGTTCGGGTTCGGACAAGCTCGATTCTGAGACAAGGGTCACGGCCGTTACAATTAATGATAATATAACTGAACTTCCATCGCTCGAAAGCCTCGCCTTACGTGATGCGTATGACGCATTCCGAGTATAGCCTGTCATCGATAGGCCACAATAGGGCATGTCGCAAGACGCCTCAACCCTCTACAGGCGTAACTAATCGCATGCTGGTAGGTATGCGTCCAGGGAGGACGTACCACGTATACAGACATTCGAGCTCCCTACCTTCCCTACCTACCGCCAGAGCCACTTAACCCGACAGAGTGCGTAAGAGACGGTCGACTACCTAACGTATTCCCACCACGGTACAGGCACAGCACGACGGACCCGTTGGTATCGTTGGGTAGGGGGGCTACCCGAAGCCGATCACCCCACTGCGCGCGCGCGGATCGATAGCAACCCATCCCCCTTCTCCCCTGAAAGGAAAAAATTTAGACAAAGACCAGTGCGATGACGACCGCCAAGCGAGCGGTCCCAGGGGGCCTGGGGGGCGAGTCGTTAGTCAAACATGCGCGCCAGGTCGAACGATGGGGAGACGACCTCGCGCCACCCCCCCCCCCCCCCCCCCGGTTCGTCGATTATCCCACGCGTGTCTCGCCGCCGCCACTTCGAGCGCGCAGACACCGCGCCGCAGCACGCGCCGCACCGCGGTCCCAATCTCGGGGGGGCGCGACCCGCGGGGCCCGGCGCCCGTCCGAGGGCGCCGACGCCGTCCTGGCGCGCGCGTGCGCGTGTCTGCAGGGGCGGTCTGGCGTTGCGCAGGTGGGTGGGGGGGGGAGCGAGCGCTGGCAGGGCCCCCCCCGGACGAGACGCCGCTCGAGCGCGCCGGCGCTGCGCCCCTGGCCGGCCCGGCCCGGCCGGCTAGCCGAGCGGGTTGCCGGCCGCGAACGCGGCACACGGCATACAGCCTAGTACCTCTCGAAATCTCCGGCCGGGGGGGGGGGGGTGTGGGCAGGCGCACCGGCCGTCTCCTCTCGCTTGCTTGCCCGCTGGCGGCGCGAGGTCTGCGCAACGGGTCCGAGGCGTAATAGTTCGACGGAGCGGTGCTCCCGGCCGGGGCCCGGCGCGGGAGAGGGCCATGTCGGTGGTATGCGTGCTGCTGCTGGCTGCTACGGCAGAGGGCGGTTGAGTTAGAGAAAGGGGGGGGTCGGGGCCCGTAGAGGTGTCTTTAGGAGGGAGGAGATACGGAGAGGGTTCTGGAGATGGGTGAGATTCGCCTACTGTTTTAGCGAGTTCTGAGTCGGTTCCAGGTCCACGAGTCTGTCTGGTATTAATATGCGCGTAGGAATCTAGCGCGGGCATCTGGCCACGCATAGGAGGTTGCGGCCGCGGGCGTCTGGTCCGGACATACTGGATCTCTTCGAGGTTTCGGCACATTATAGCGCCTATCCCTAGAATGATCTATGCGCGGCTTTAATGAGCCTGCGTCCGGATATACGGAGGGGTGCCTAGTTTGGCGGGACTACCGGAGGTGGCGAGAGGGGACGAGGGCGTCTTGATGGGTTGCGTAGAGAGAGAACCGGTTGGGGACGGTGGAATGAGTATAAAGGGGGTTGTTGGCAAGACGATGCCGCCTGCCTGGTTGCTTGCGCCTCTCCCCCGTGTTGAGTATTGCAAGCCAATTGGCACTCGACTGTGCTTCCGCTTGCTGCTTCTTATCGAAGTAGAACACCCGATTCCATGAGCTGGTCGATTCCAGCCCGGTAAAGTATATGCTGCCATCGTGTGTATGAGGACCAAGTGCCTTTCGCGGATGGTGTAATTTTCTATACTCGAGCTCGGTTTTGGCCTCGGCCGCCTAAGTTTCCTGCTTCGTCGGGCCATCCCAAGGTTCATATCATAAGTCAACTGGTATAAACGTATTAGCTGCCAAGAGGGGGTGCCATAGCTAGGTAGACCTATAAAACCAACATACCTAGCGTAGGATGTCGTCTAGATATGAGCAAGAGTGCCCCTAGTGAGAATCAGGTGTAATAGCGGTTAATTAGAAAACATGTGCTTCAGCGTCGAGACGAAGGGGAAGACGAGTCACCTCCTGCAAAACTCCCATAGTGCCCAGTTATGCACGGCTCCCCATCGACCCCGTGGCTTTCTACCAAGCCCTGGCCGGCCGCCCCTAGACTAACTTTGAGTGACGAGGAACGGAGACGAGATGCTACCTCGGAAACTACACCACTGCGTTCCACAGCAAGTCCGTTGACAAGCCACAGTGAAGTGTACAACTCTGCCAGACCCCGAATGTGCACGGCGTCCTTACATCGAACAGCATGATGATATGTCTTTTAGGGCACACGACGTGCCCACTGGGACCGCGTAGGGTTCGACATACACGAAACACAACCGTCGCGGACGTCCGTAGTCTCTGGGGGCCGAACACGTAGCCGTGGCTCAAAGGGGGCTTGCCTTGGCGGTATTGTTAGCCCCCCTTCCGTTGGAGGAATCTCGCTGTTTGTGGACGGGCTAGTGTCACTTATCCCGACTCTCGAAGCGAGTACTATCGAGGGTAGAGGCGCTCGTCCCGATCAGCTTCCCCTTTTTCCCGCCCCTAATGGCTAGGTAGTAGGGGTGAGCTGGGTGTCTCCGAGCACCCGGAGTCTAAGACGACACACTACTTCGCTGGTCCTATAATATGCTGGCTCCCCACAACCCGACGACTCCTCCCCGAGGCGTCCACGGAGGCTCCCCTCGGGACAGCGTAGATGTGCGTGGCTGCTCTAGAACACCCTATCCAGATACACGTGTCCTCGCCGCGGTCTCGCCACCACGAGTGGCAGCCTCGGCTACCAGAATCTGTGCGCGTAGCACACACACCTTCAGACGCCCGTAGTTAGAGGACACGCTTACACTCGGCGCCACACAACGTCTACTACAGCTGTTCGGAAGAACGGGGTGGCCGGACGAGAAGCCAGGATTTAGGCGAGGAAAGGACTTGGTTAGGGCGCCGCGGTGGTGTTTGGCATTATCGACGCCGCTTTGTCCGCGTGTATAGCAAGCGTTCGCACGTCCCGCCTCGTTGGCTGCGCCTTGCGCTCCGTAAGTGGGATCGAGGCTCTCGCTCCCTGATATGACTACCTAGAACGATCCCGTACTCGTCTACTTCTGCGATTATCATTTCACACGAGCCAAATAGAGGGTGGGGGGGCTAAATAGTTGTGTGGGCTCGATTAGGGATTTCTAGTTAGACTTGGAGGATCGATGGACATGGCGATTAAGGATTACACGGGGAGGGTAGGGTAGGGTAGGGGAGAGCAACCTAAGCAGCCCGCCCCTCGGGGTGTCTACCTCCTCAGCTAGATAATATCCGTACCTGGCGCTGATATGATCGAATGCCTTTAGTCTGCCGAAGCGAGGCGGTCAAGCAACACTGGCTATTGTCGGAGTTGGACGTCCACTCCTGTCAGCCTCCTACGGACGAAGTTTACTCAGTAGGTGGTAAAAGTAGGATCACCGAGCCGTGGATCTCCTCTCACGGGGCCATCTGCTGTGTACAGGTTTGTCATCACCAATCCCTAGACACCGAGCATAGCTAGCTTGCGTCCCACAGGGCCGCTGAAGACGGAATTATCTACAGGCGCGGGCTCGAATCGACGGACCGTATCCCCACAGGTCGGGCAAAGGTGCTCTAGCGGCATCGCACAAGTGGACGCTCGGTGTCAATCCTAAACAGTAGACCCCATCTCGAGGCTCTCCTACGTGCAGGGCGATGATTACAGCATAGCCTTGGGAGCAAGCCGCCCCCGTGGAGGATCTGGCGTCGGCTGCATGGTTGCTTGTATGTTGGAGCATGTCTCGACACGCGGCAAGAAGGCGGGAGTCATACTCCCAGACACGTTGGCGTGACTCATGTGCTATATGTGAGCGAGACTAGTATATGGCATTGTGTAGGCGCATAGAGATAGGCTGTCTCTCTCTCTCTCTCGACGCTCGCCCCCCTGAGAATAGAGGGGGGGGAGTGGCAAGAAGCAGGGGCAACAGGCAACTCGAGGGCCCCGTGCTGCGTTGAATTTTGATAGGTCTGTTCTTCCAAAAAGACAAGGCGCCCGTCACGTCCTACATGAATAATGGCCTTTGGAGGATTCTCCGGAGACCCAACCGTAAGACGGAAAGGAACCTATAGAGTCCCGAATGGGCAGGATTTACGACAGCTGGCCATGCCTACACGCCTACACACAACGTCAGGCTCTGCCCCGGCTATGCGAAGAGACCCAACTCGACTCTCCCGTTCATCCTCCCGAGGTCTCCCACCCAGGGCTCCCACGCCTCCACTGCTTACTAGATGTCAGAGCCACGCCCTCAGCCCGGGGAAGCGGGAAGCTGGCGGGGGGGTGTGTCCTATAGGATTCGGTGAGCGGGTATTCCTTGGGCGTACCGACGGCACGACGCGGACCTAAGATTCGAGAGTAGCACACCTGCGGGGCGGCCCTAGGGCGGATAAACGATATCCATCTCGGGAACGCTGGCAGGATGAGGGAGGAATCGCGGGCGCGATACGGTTCCGCGCGAAGGGGAAGCCCGGCTCCCGCTGTGGGATGGACTTTTGGGGGGGGTATCCCTAATTGCCTACCTAGGTAATTCATGAATGAAGTCTTCGATCTGAAGCTAGCGGACCTAATACATACCTATAGACATAGGCTTCACTGGGACGGCTTCACGCACCTAGCACACAGACGCCGACGCACAGGTACGGACTGGCCTGGCTCGCGGGCGATCACGCGTAGCCTACGCCCCCCCCCTCCGGGAGGGAAGCCCCCGCACGAGCCCGAGACGTGACTAGAGGCAAAAGTCCCTAAGGACAGTGCGTATGTGGTCTGGTATCCCGGAGGGGGGGGAGGGGGAGGGAGGCCCCAAGCCGATACCATCGAGCCCAGGCGCTCGTGTCCCCCAGCTGCGGGTGGATCTATGTCAGACTATATGTTGGTTATCGTCGACGCTAACACCGATGGTTGCTAGGCTGGTTTCGCTGGCCGATGGGATTCGAGATGGGGCCCGGCTCTGCATGATGTCGACAGCGGCTCTGGACCAATACTCGGCACTCTGAGCCACAAGCCTCATACGCACCCCCCCGGACAGCAGGCAAGGTACACGATCCCGTTGACGCTCGATCCCGAGTGTGTTGGCATAGCTACGGACCTGTCGAGGTGAGAGCTGCGTGTTTCGAAGCTTGGTCGCAACTGGGCCTAGCGCGCCGTCAGCTGAAGTCCTTTTGAAGCTGAAGGTGCGCAGAGCACCAGGATGGTCAGAATGGTCCACCAAATACCACATACGGTAAGAATATCCAGAGCAGGTTGCTTTTTCCCATCTCTTTTCCTAACAGGGCTATCGAGGCTTGGAAAAGGCACCCCCCCCCCCTACGCCAAGGACACCGTTCATCTGCGAGAGCCTCTCTGTATTGACCTCGCTATTTACAGCGGCAGCTCGGTTGCTAGGAGGAGACTCGCTCCCGTAAGCTAGAGAAAGGCCCGGTCCGGAAAATGACTATTGCGCCTTGGTCTCAGGCGATATGTAGCTTGTGCCACAAATTGTGACGAGACGGGCAAGGAAAAGCGAGAGACAGAAAGAGAGATAAAGATAGAAATAGTAAAAAAGAATATCTGTACCTACGCGATATGATGAGTGATCACAAATATGCCGCGGTCATCGGGGGAGAGGACCCCTGCCGTAGCAGACTTTTTGGATATCATAATATTTTGTGATCGATCACGATCGGAAGCCTCGTAGGGTCCGTCGGGGTGCGTCCCCACGGCCCGGCACGTTTGGAATTCGCACGTCCTCGCAGCCTTCTCCCCCCCCGTCCCGTTGCGTACCGCAGAGGCTTATACGCTACGTAAAGATAGGAAAGCCTGGCTGCGCCATCGTCGCCGATCGTGATGTCGCGCCGAGGCGGTTAAGAATTGGTATTTCTACCGGGTGACGGGGTCTCGATTGCTAGACCATGCTCTCGTCGCTCCTAAGAGGAAGGTATCGTCGTTCAGCTCGGCTCATCCTATCACGATCGCTCAGCTGCCGTTGCTCTCTCTCTCTCTCTGTGTGTCTCTGTCCTCGCTTCTTCTTTCCCCCATTTACTTCTTTATTGACGGAATTGCCACCCCTCTGTCGGCTCGTCGCCCGTCATCGTCGTCGCCGTCGCCGCTCTCTTCCTCCTCGTCCTCACCCCTACCCTCCCCCCCGGTCGGCGCGCCTCCATTCAGCTCCTGACCGAAGCTAGATGCAAGCCACATCTGTCACTCTTTGGGCGATCTACATATGCCTGCTGCCCTATCCCGAAAACCCGGGAACCCCGTACGCCTGTAGGTAATTCCGCTAGTGTCTTCCCCCCCTCCCCTCCCCTCTGCCCTGCCGGCAACGCGCGCGTGATGCTGCCACCACCGCCTTCTGCGTTTCCCTTTCTCGCTGACTTTCTCGCCAAGAATTCGGTGCAACGCGCGAAATTGCGCTCGCGAACTTCGCCCGCTAACCCGCTTTCTCATTTGCCGAGGACTGCAGGCGTACCACCTGTACGTATATGCACGCAACATGTATATCTGTGGGAGAAGAAGATGGAAGGGAGAGAGAAAGAAGCAATGCCGCGCACACATTCTCGGGACCCCGTTTAATTGCCCCCTACCGTGCCATGTACGCACGTACGTAGTATGTATATGAGTGAGCCTACGAGGCTAGTAGACGAACAGCCCGCACGGGGGGGAAGGGAGGGCAGACAGTAGTGAGAGAGATAGAGGCGGGAGGGCCAATTAAACGGAGACAACGCATTTCCACCAGGGTCGTCGCGAAGGCCGGGGCCCGTCAAGGGAGCCGACCGTCGTCGGGTTGGGTTTATTGGGGGTAGTCTGGCCCGGTTATCGAGGGGAAACTCGAACCTGTCTGGGAGGTATTTGGCTGGCGGCGACCGAGTGGCCGGGACAGGGTGAAACCTGACGAATTTCCAGACCCGGGAAGGCGAACGCACACGCGATCGTGTCTGGACTCGAGCCGACCGCGACCTGGGGTTCAGCCAGCTAACCGTGTACGTGGTAGCCGTAGCGAGAAATCGCTAGCCCGCACCCGCTGTGCTGTGTCTGGATCTCTCTCTCTCTCTCGCCGTGGTTGTCGTCGAGGCCGGCTATCCGATTCCATCCGTCCACGTACCTAGCCTAGGTTAATCTCCCAATGTCGAAACACGCATCTCCATGCATGGCTACCTACATCTTACCATACTGTGCATGTGCCTATATGCCCGCACATCCGGTCTAGGTAGGTAGGTAGGTAGGTAGGTTATGTGTGTGCATTAGATGCCGTTGGATATGTGCACAGGTGTCTGGAGATATCCGTGTGGCACGCAGGTATACCTAGCATTTTTCTGATGTCGACGAGCGCCAAGACGAGACAAGACAAGATATGCATGTCCACGTAGCTCTAGAGCTCCAGAGCTCCATAGCTCCAGAGCTCTCCTCCGGCATGTGTGGACGGAGCGGAAGCTCACGGACGTCTCCCAGGTCGTGGGTGAAACGGCGGAATGGAGCTTCTTGAAGGTGTTGAAACCGGTGGTAAGTGAGGGTCGTACGGTTTCGGACAGGTTAAGGGTCGACTCGAGTCCAGGTCGGCAACAGGCGGACATGAGGATGGACATTATCGCAATGTCCACCATATGAGTACATCTGCATACCACGCGCAGGCACCACACCCACCCTATGCACACACGCCTCCTGCCACTTTTACGCTGCGGAGGTGGCATCATCGTCGTCGTCGTCGGCTTTTTCTTGTGTGTGTGTGTGTGTGTATGTATGTGTGGGTGTGTGTGTGGGCTGTAATGTTGTGGGTTGTGTGGGTTGTGTGGTGTGGGTCGTAAATTGGAAAATAGGGCGTGCCGTGTGCCGTGTACATACATTCATAAGTGCGAGTGTATGCATATGCCTCTACTACCGCAGGTATCTAGGTACCTTTCAGGCCTACAAAGCCTCTCCTCTAGTTCGCATGTGGTGAGCCAGGATGCTCGCGGTTAGCTGCGTGCATAATTAGAGGTAGTTGTGTAGAAGGCAGGTATCGCGCCAGGGCTTGTGGCGTGTGCGGTACCTACGGGTACGTATCACGCCCATGTATATCCCCCGTATGCAGGATGTAATGCAGGGCGCACGCGCGACGCAGGCACGTATCCGTTGTGCGCGCAGGCAGTGGAGGGAAAATACACCCAGGATACGGCGACGGTACCTGGATAATTTCGGAAATCCCCGCGCTTCCAGCGTACTCGCATCGTAACTCGACGCCGACGTGACGCTAGCAGGGGTGCGTGTCTCCGAAGCCGGCCAATGACGCGCCGTTGCCGGGACACCCCTTTTCCCCTTTCGTCTCGATTAATGCGCCGCGCCCTCGTGGGTCTGCGATGCGTCGGGCAACGATCATCAGCCTCCCTTCTCGGCAGCCTCCACACGTACTCTTCATTTATCCATCGATGTATGAATACTCAAATATCCATACCCATACGTGTGCCTCATCTTATGTATGCCTCCTCTCATCTATGCTTCATCTTATAATATACTCATATATGTATACATCTGTGCATGGATAATATACGTAGGCAGGTAGCTAATGCAATGGGAAATTTCCTCGAAGCCGGCACCCTTCCAATTCCTTCGGTGTCTTTTCCAGCTGTCCGTATAAATGCAAATACCCAGCATCGAATGGCACATGATAATCAGAATCAAATTAATAACCACCTCAACCATCAATGAGAATAATAATACGACTGCAATTGTGGTCGCTCGAAGGTGTGTTAGATGCTAATTAGATGCTAATAGATGACAATGCTGCACGTGAATCCGCCCTTGTCTATACCTTGTGCTGGGCAGAGGCTAGCCACCTCTCCGATCCATACCTCAGATGGGGGGGTTCCTTGATCCCCTGCTAGTTCCCCTCCCCAGGCAGCCTCTGCTTCTCTCACCACCTTTTCCTACGTTAGGAGGAGGTAGGTATTTACCTAACGGAATCCCTCAGGTGTCTATATCGTGCACAGTTACGGATATACACACCTCTATACCCTCCAAAAAAACCACCGGGGTTCGTTCTGTTGGCTCGGGAATGGCCATCGGTTTCAGCCCTCGAGTTCCCCTCACCCTTCGCGCAGCAGCTCGCTACGGCTCGCCTGCGTCAGGCCTGCGTAGATGTGTACATCTACCTCGTTAGGTAGCAGGGCATATATGTGCGTGGCATGTATCTGTACCTGACGTAGCGCCTGACATAGTATAGTGCCCAGCAGAGTAGGCGAGTGAGGCTTTTCGGGCTTGTCAGCGCTCGTCCCCCTTTCCTCTTGCGTCCTTCCCGCTCGTCTGCCATCCTACGCATACCACCTTTCTTCCTTAACACATTCTTATTATTATAATGCCTCTCGTCGTCTGAACCCTCGCCGCACCTAGTTCTTCATCTTGCATCTTTATTGTTTTTATGGCTGTCGTAAGTCGCTAGTTCGCTGCGGAGGGATCTGCCGTCGCAAGTGGCCCCCGAAAGCTGCTGCATCGCGAAATCTCGCTTGCCAATTCCTCTAAGCGCCGCCCCCCTACACAACCCTACAGCACCACGCAACCCACGGCGCTTCCGCGAAGGCCGTCCACCAATACCACCAGTACTCTGCTCGCCCCAGGCTCGCTGCTCTGTTCCTGCGTCGATGGTGACATTGTGCTCGGAAAAAGAAAAAGTTGGCAGCCGGTTGCGTCGAGACTATCTTAAGAATCCCTGAGCCGGCCGGCGGTAAACAAGACATACATCGCAGCCAGACGGCACTGCGGAGAACGGCATTGCAGTTATAACTGACGAGAGCCCACTCCTCTTATCCTCCGATTCGATTCTGTTTTTATCTACCATGGATCCGACTACCACGCTCTTTACCTTCATGCTGTAAGTCCTGGTCTGTCTGGGTTTTTAATTGTCATTCTTTACTCCGTACATTACTGCCTAATTATCCCAACTGTCCTTATTCTTAATATTATCGTAATTATACCTGCCCGCCTTACATACCAATACGCACACAGCCTGGCGCCCTGTCTCTCCCTCTCCCTCTCTCCCTCTCTCTCGATACCACGTCCGATACCACCCGCCCCGCTCTGTCTTCAGCTCCGTGCATCTCTCCTCGTACGGCTCGCTATACATTTCCGCATTTTCTCTGGACTTCCCCCCCGGGGCTCCATTCGGTATTTTCCGAGTCCGATTCAGATTTCAAGCATAAAGAGGAGACTCGAGGGAGGTACGGCATAAAACATCATAACATTCGATATTCTAGAAGCTCCCTATAGACAGGGGGAGGCAGTCGGGTTTCTCCACGATTGACAACACATAACTCACTCACACTCACACTCACACTCACACACACACACCCTCCACTTACACACCACCCTCACTTACACCACTACTCGCACTGGCAAACTCACACTGGCACTTCGCCCTCACACCCAGCCAATATTTTGACGCAGGGGTTTCCACGTACAACAGAAGGTTAGATAACCCGTCGTCTTGCCAGGAACCAACTCTGGCCGGACACGCACCCCCTGTCAGCCCTGCCAACCCGGCTTCCCTACCCCATCGGCGGTGAGGTTCTGTTCCAGGTACCCGCATAGCCTGATGGGCGAGGATAGCCACGGCTCCTGTCAGCTCACCCACCAGCAAGTGCTTCTAGCGTCTGGTAGACCGCTTCCACCCCTGCCCAGTCCCAAAAGAACCGGGGCGATCATTTCACACACCCTGGATTTGTCACGTCACTGGTCACCGGTTGTCCTGCTCTTCTCGCCCAGTGGGTGGCAGGTATCCCGGCCATTGGCCGGACCAGGCTTATGAGTACACCTCTTCCCGCATTTATTATGTGCTGCCCGCCCTGCCATCTCGACGGAGTAAGAAGGAAGGGAGAAGGAGAAGAAACGAGAAGCCTACGCATGCGAAGAGAAGCTTACCAGTCTCCGTACCTAGTGAAACGCATCCTTCCGTGTCGTCAGTCCGGCTCCTCGGGTCGTGGGACAACTTCTCCAACCATCACACAATGGAGCGTGACGTTCGACGGGATCGAAGCCAATGGCGAGGCTGCCACACCTTCAACAACATCATCTGCGACGGAGACCAAGTTGGGAATCCAAAACGTAGCGGTGGGTTGAAGATGGGTCAAACGTACTATTACTATGTAAGTCTATCATATGAACGCGCCGGTCCTTATATATATGCACACACACACATATATATATATATAGGCTACCTCGCCCGTTACTGACCAGCCCCTCCCTCGCTCCCAGTACGAAGTAGACGGCATCACAGAAATGCACGATCCTTCCAAGCCTACGACCAACGCGTGCCCATACCTCCCCGGCCAGACCGTCAACGCCCTCGAGGTCCCTCTCGAGCACCCCCTCTCGCGGCTCAGGAGCGCGTCGATGAACTCCCTACGCATCACCGACTACAAGACGATGAACCCCGGCGACAAGTTCGTGACGCCGCGGCCGGCGCCGCCGGTGCCCAGCCTCCCCGACCTGCGGGTGGGTTCCTCGCCGGTGATGTCGACGCTGGCGTACTCGCGGTCGGCCCGCTCGCTGTCGCCCGCGCCGCGGTGGACGCGGCGCTTCTTCGGGCGGCGGAGGGCCGGCCACGGCCACGGCGCTGCCGACGCCGACGCGAGCAGCGAGACCGAGGGCGAGAGCGCCTGCGGCGAGGACAGCCGGCGCAGCGCGACGCCGTCTGGCAGCGTCCGGTCCCGCGACATGTCGCCCGAGTCGCTGCGCCGGTTCCTCTCCGACGACCGCCCGCTGACGCCGCCTACCGCCGTCGCCGTCGACCCGGCCCCGAAGCTGTCGATACCCGACGAGATCGCGGAGGAGAACGAGGACGACGACAACTTCGCGTCGCTCGTGTCGGCCGCGTCCGAGAACGCGCCCGTCACGCAGCTGTCGCCGCCGCCCTTCCAGCGCAGCGCGCCCGCGCCCGCGGTGCCGCGCTGCCCTACCAGGCCGCCGCCGACCCCGCGCGCGTCCGACGGCGCGCTGCCCGAGTCGTTCGAGCCGCGCCCGCGCGCGGCGACAATCGAGGTGGACATCCCGCGGTCGCGCTTCTCGCTGTCGACGGCGGCGTCGCCGACGTCGCCGCAGTCGGCCGAGTCGCGGGACCGCAGCCAGTACTCGTTCTTCGACGACTCGGAGGACTCGGACGATGACGACGACGACGAGGTCCTGTCCAACGCTGACGAGTCCTTCGTCATCCAGGGCACCCGCGAGGAGCCCTCCACCGACGCCAACGCCGACGCCCGCCGCTCCGTCCCCAAGAAGCACGCCTACGCCCCCTTCACCGGCTGCTACCGCCTGCCCTCGCACCCCGCCCACCTGCAGGGCGAGAAGCCGCTCGACGCGACCCGCGGCAACGCCCCCGCCGCGCTCGGCTCGCCCGACCTCCTCGCTCGCATCGACGGCGACGGGCCCCTCGGCAACGCGGGCCTGCTCAGCCGCCCCGGCCTCGACGCAGGCCTCGACGACCTCGTCAACGACATGGGCTGGATGGCCGACGTCATCCAGCCCAAGTACGTTTGAATTTCACACACTGTCGTCTCTCTTTTTCCTTTGGTCTGGGGGTTTTTACGGGGGTAGGGGAAGGGGGGGCCGGCCGGAGAGGGGGGGATCCGCGGATCTAATAGAATGGGCATAGAATTTCCTCTTGTTTAAGGGGCTACGCACGTGTTGTCACCGACAGATTGGGACCTGGCTTCTGGGTTTGCGCACTTTTTTTTATTTGAAAATCGCGAAGCAAAAAAAAGCCTGGCGTTTTTAGCAGCAGCATTTCGGCGCGAGGGATCTCAGCAAGAGACGGAGTTTTTTTTCCTTGTCTCCATTTTCTATTCTTTACTCTTTATACCCTTGATTTTATTTGTACGCAGAACACGGCATCGATCCAGCCTTCGAGGGCACTGGCTGCTGTGTTCGGGGCTTGCTATATAGTAGCGCGTTGTCGTCTCCATCATCATCACCATCGTCTCCTTACGGACGGGGAAACGCGGTATCTACAGGATCTAATGCGTTGGATTGAGAAGGATGTCGGGACACGAGATGGAGTTGCGCGTGGGTTGGCGATGCCAGTACGGGCTATGCATGTGTACGATGCGATGCGACGCGACGTAACTTGACGGGAGAGACGAGAGAAGAAAGACCACGTTAGCATAGGAATAGGTTAGGTTAAGCTAGGCGAGCGAAGAGAAACGAAACGAATTGTCCGCATCCGCACATTGATGGGCATCCATCTCTTTTTTTTTCTCCGAACGTGCCGCCCGCTCCGCGACTCGGGTGAGCCAACCAGCCCACCCAAACCGCCTTACGACGGACGATCCCTACCGCCACGGTCGTCTCGGGATGACACCTGCAAACACCATCGCGGCAGCATCGTCTTCCTGTTCATGCAAGGTACCGGAGGGCCGGGTATGGACGTCGACGAGGCCCCATCTGAGTCAGACAGCCCATCGGTCTGTCCATCCATCCATCCATCCCTCCCATCGCCGCGACGGGTTCCTGAATCCGTAACCCTCTCTCTCTGCTCACCCGCACCCACACTTGATTACGCGCTTACACGAGCGCAAGCTGCACCCCGGACTCTCTCCCCCCTCCTGACACAGCATCAGCCCAAACCGGACGGCCGGGTATATTCTACGAGTTCCGTATGTCTGCGTGCGTGTGACGCCCGCACCTTGCGCTACGCCGTCCAAGACATCTCGTCACATCCTCTCGTCACATCGCGATGGGCGCGCGCAAACAAATAGAGAGAGAGAGAGAAGCCAAGCCTGTCTCCCCTCACCCCCCCCGGCCGGCGCTATCCATGGCCGTACGCCTCTACCGTAATATCACGATCGGCCCCCCGGTCAGTCACTAGCCAGCGTCCTGTGATAGGTTTGTTTGTTTTATTGCCCGCGCTATGCACATCTCGTCCCCGGGCGCTTTTTTCTTCAAACTAAAAAGATTCATCCTCCACTCCCCTCTCTTCCCTTCGTTTCGCTCTCCCTGTCGACGTGGCTTAGCGCGGCCGATCTCTCGCTCTCTGCGCCTACTGCCAACAACCCGCGCCCTAGGAGCGCAAACGAGGGAGAGAGGGGGGTCATACGTAAGTACATACATACGACGCAGAGAGACGCAGCGAGCGAGGACTAACACCGCACCACGTCGCGCGACGGGGGGGTCAGACGCCAGCCAGCGGGGGAGAGAGAAGCGCTCGCACGGATGCTGCCCTTCGCTGGGATCGGCGCGCGATGTCACTCACGTGGCTCGACGACCCCGGGGCCGGTCGATGGGGCCATGCTTAGTCCTCGCCGCTGCCTGCCCTTAGCTACACGCGGACAAGTCCCAAGTCCCCCCCCACGGGCTGTGCAGCCAGCGTTGTTGGTGACGGAAATAGACGGGTGGATGTACAATGGAGATGGGTACGTGCCTGCGTAGGTACGTGCCTAGAGCTGCCATCTTCTGTGCGTTCGCGCGTGCCGGCGATGCCATCACATGCGGATCCCATCGCGTGGCTCGCGCATTGCCTGCCTGCCTGCCCACGCGGCCGCCACCACCTTGCCTCGCGGGGAGCAGAGTCATCGCTGGGTCCCGCGGCGCCGAGGCAGGCGAGGGCGGCTCGCAGCCAGGCCTCGGCACGGCACCGCTAGGCATCAGGACTGGAATACGCGTAGGCCTGCACAACACCTACACGTATGCCTGGGGCGTCGAGTTGGCCACCGCGCACTATCTCGGGATCGTAGGCTGATATCGGACGACGGGTTACATCCACGTACGTAGGGATAGTAGGTACCTTCATGCCATGCGCACCCTCGAGCTGATCACCGAACGGATCCGGAATCGCCTTTCTCGCCGTTGCAACGTCATGACATGCCTACCTCCGTCCGATGTACCTGCGTGTGTGTGGCTGCATGAATACCAATTCGACGGTAACCATGGGTCCGCCTCGGAGACATGGGTAGGTATATAAATATATATACATATACCTATATTGCGTATGTGCTATATCCTATATACATATACCTATATAGACCTATGGACACGGTAAGTATTACCTAGATCAGACATGCACCATGGGCCACCTCACCTCTCCAAGCCTTCCTGGCAATATACGGCGTAGAACCCGCCGTCGTAGCCAGCTCGACAAATAGGCCGCGGCTCTACACTACGCAAAGGGCTCTGTCACTCCGGACGCGGCAACACTGTCCTATCTTGGCGTTTACTTCTAGCCATACGCCGTGGGCGCTCTCTCGAAGAGGTAGGGCGCGTTCCCAAGGCGAACTGTCCCCTTTTGTACGTATCTATGTATAGTTCCTACCTCAAACTTAGGAGACGCTTCTTCACCCTCCCCCCCAAGCCGAAAGTTCCCACGTCTCGGGGTATCTCCTATATACACATACGCACGCCCGCACGCACATACACGCTTGAAGTCAATAAAAGCAGGGAAAGACATGGTCCCATCCGTCGCTCCGTTTACTCCGACTACCGGGACGCCGCTTCTCGCCTTGCCTCCCATGCACTTCAGGCATCTATGTTACTCAAGCCCAGCATGTAACCCCTGTGAGCCATTATTCGTAGGTTGGCAAAAGAAAGACGAAAACAGAAAAAGAAAGAGACGGCGAAATCGCTTCGTTATCGCGGAGGGGCAGCCAGAGGCGAGACCTCCTTCATTTGGCAGCAGGTAAGGCTGAGTAGGAGGGGGTGAGCGCGTTCGCGACGACAGATTATCATCATACCGCAGTAGACACCCCCTCGCTCGCCTCGTGAGATTTCAGCTCCCGCGCCCGCGCCCGCGCCCGCGCCAGCGCAGCGGGGAGGCTCGGATCGTCCCAGGCGTCCAGGTACGCCCGCGGCAGCTCGAGGTCGAGCGCGCGGATTTCCGGGTTGCGGTCCCTGTTACGCTCGATGATCTCGCGCGCCCGGTCGGCCTCGGTATCCCAATGCTTCTCGACCCACCTTAGTAGACCTTCGAGGCGAGTTTCGACTGCCGCCGCCGCCGACGCCTTGAGGATCTTCGCCGGGAAGGACTTTTCCGGTCGTGTCTGGTGTTTGAGGAATAGCGACCTCTCTTTCTGCACCGCGCTCTCCCGGTCCGCCGCCGCGAGCGGGAACGACACGATCCGCCGGTTTGCGCTCAACGCCTGCACGAGCTTCGCGAATTGGTGATGGTTGAAGTTGTTGTTCTGGCAGTCGAACATCGCAAGCCCCTTGTTGGCCGCGAGTACACGGCACAGCTCGCTGACGTCTTCGCCGGCGCCGATGTCATGGTTTCGGACGCGGAGTTGACGTAGCGTGGTATTCTGCTTTAGTCCGCCCATGGCGCCAGCCAGCCCCCAACCGAGATGTACATCTTCTAGTTTGCCGCTGTATCCGGATAGATCGAGGAATCGTAAGGTGTCGTTTGACCCGAAAAGGCGGGACAGCAGCTCGGAAGTTTTGGCGCTCGCGCGATTCGGCGGCCCAGTCCCTACCATGCTTAAGAACTCGATAGTTTTGTTGTTGGTAAGTGCCCTGAGAAGCCGGTTGAAATTTGACTCGTGTTGGAATTGGATCATGTCGAGATGGACCATCTTCGGCGCCTCGTTGCCATGGATCAGGTCTATCCAATCGGTCGAAACCGACTCGAGGGGGTTTTCGCCGAGCAACAGATGAACATCCCGGCCGCCGCCCAGTCGGCAGAGAATACCGGTTGCCATTTCGCCCGAGAGTCCGCAGTTGGTCAGCGCAAGACGGCGCAGATTTCGTGACTCGTCGAGCTCGACAAACTTCATTATCCCGCAGAGGGTGTCAAAGTTAACCTGCCGTACCCTGTTAGCGAAAGTCCTTTGGTGCAAACGTCCACGTATAACTATGTAATACCTTCCACCCAGAAAGATCTAGCTCCTCCAGGAGCCACGGCTCGAAGCCCGAGGCCACACTCCACGGCTTGAATAGGGGTCCGCTTAAATTTCCCTTAATCGAGTAGGCTAGATTTAAACGCCGCAACCTAGAGGCACCAGAGAGTGTCTCTGCGGCCCTTCTCGCGTCTATACGACCCGAGTTATGCGACACGTCAAATATTTCGATAGTAGAGCGTTGCTCGTGTAATGCTTCCCATAACAAGATAAGAGCGTTCTCATCGAGGCGACAGCGTGCCACGGATAACGTCTTCAAGAAGTCCGTTCTGGTTTGTAGAATTCGACCTGCGCAGCAGTTAGCTATTACCTGTACACTGCTAGCCCGGACTCTATCAAGCTTACAGAGACCAGCAACATCGGACGTGCTCAGCGGATTTCCGCTGAGATTAACCGAATTACACCGGGTTTGCAACGATTTCCAGAGGAGTACAATGGGCGGGACGATCTCGCATACCGAGCTTGTCGGAGCTGAAATGGATAGGCCGTTTTCTGAGGACGGGGTCGAGGCTTTACTACCGAGGACGTAGGAAAGATCTATGTGTCGAATCGACTCCGACCCCAGGAGGAGAGCTACAATTTCTTGGAACAGTACGGGCGAGTTTTCCACAACCTCGAATTCGTTTCGAGTGAGGCTACATTTCCCTTGAACGACGTCAGCTCGCAAGTCCGTATAGCTGTTGCCTGTGATCAACGAACCTGTCCGAGAGAGCCATACGGTAGACCCGAGTCGCGCGGCATTGTCGAAGATACCGCCTAGGTTAGTAAAATCAATACCGCAAAATGACAACGATTTGAAGAAATCATTGAAGCGCAAGGCACGGAAGACAGCTAGGAGTTGAAGCGCGGTATATCTGGAATGTTCCTTTGGCGCCAGGAGACAGAATTGAGGGGGATACTGCACATCCTTCCACTGGACAGTCCAATGCACCGGGGCACAGTGATAGCCCTGAATAAACGCATCCAGGGTTGTCTTGAAGCCACCGTAATCTTCTCCGTTGGGGAGGGGCGTCTGCTGCGCTTCTCCATTAACGAAGAACACCTCGCGTCGAGTCCATAGAGGCCAAGCTGGTTTTAAATAGGCGTCCGCCTTGTAGAATTTAAGCAGGATATTCCGGTGGTGGCGGCTAGAAAGCTCGAGCTTTCTCGGTTGGTCTAGAGGCAACCTGCATGTCGTCAGCAACGTCCAAAGCGGCAGTGTGCAGAATGAGAGGGCCTCACCGAAACACGAGATCAAACCTCTCTTCGTTAAGGGCAACGTTGACTTTAGAGAGCGTTACCAGCCCGAATTGAACGAGGCTATTGAGGCTGGCTTTGTGACTCGGCGAGGGTCTCATGAAGTGGGCGACTATACAGAAATTCTTGGTGAACGCCACGTAGAAAGACGAGTTCTCTCGCCAACCCTTTTTCGCTTCCCCGGAATTCGTCCCAAGCCTCGTGTACGGCCGTCGAGGCACGACAGGGAATATCTCGACCCCCGCATCGTCCCTTCGAGCTTGTTGGGCCTCTATCATTTGCTTCAGCTCCAGCTCTACATCGCACGGGACTAGCTCTTCACGAAGAGACCTGGCACGTAGCTTAACAGCATGTCGAATCTGCTTCAACCACTCGGCCCGGTCGTCTGCTTGGCTGAATTCTAGCTGGAGGCACGAGAAAACCGCCCCTTTCGGATCACTCCACCATACCTCGATGCCAAATGACGAAGGGCGACCCCCGCCATCATCCAATATGGATACAATCCTCTCCAACGGGATGCCTAAGTCCCCCCCAGCACCGAGGCCTTTGAAAGAGCTTGTCGAGTCGGTAGGCGATGTGATTTCGACAGCACTGCTCGATGCCGAGATTTGTGGGAACCGCTCAACTGCCAGCGAGCGGCTCTTGAACTTGGTTAAGGCCGCCGACGTCAGCACCAAATACTCATTCTTGGATTTCAGAACGGATGTCTCCGGCTGGAGAGGGCCGGACTTGATAACGGCCAAGAAATCGCCTGAAATACTGGCAGACCGGCTGTTAGTCGCAGAGGGGCTCGTAGGTCTAGTCGAAGTAGATCCGCGGTCAGTATAGTCCTCCACGGAGGACTTGGAGTACCTCCGGATGAGGAGATCTCCCCTCAGCGCATCAAATGTGCGATTTCTAGTCAGAGCTTTCTTCCGACTCGGGGCCGACGACGGGGAGTCCGGCTCCGAAGAACTTGAGACCTGCGAGCTAATGCTGAGAGAGGATCGCAAAGCTTTCATCGCCAGGAAAGATGAGCGCCTCTGGGTTTTCAGGGGCTCCCTCCCTTCCGGCCTCAGGTCCATATTCGGGCCCACGGGAGCCGAGAGTGAACCGGGATGCCACGCGCTGCGGAACTATCATCCGCATCAAGGTCCGGCTTCGGCGTTCAGTGTCGGAGGCTCATAGCAAGCTGACCCTCCTCTGGGAGCTACGCACTACCCTCCCTGGCGAGGCCAAACAATGGGATGGCTCGGGCAGAAAGCCGTGTGAGTCTCGGGTCTAGGGACGACGAGGGCTTCGAATGGAACGTGAGGGCGACGAGCATTGGATTTAGGCGAATTTTACATCCATTGTTCCGTAGCTCGGCGGCTCCGCAGCTCGACAGCGCAGCTTAGCTTGGCTTAGCTTCCATAGCTCGCGGATATTACCAGTCGGTCGGCTTTGTCCTGCGGGCAGCTCTCACCTGAGGGGGCACAGCGGTCAAGCATGCTGGCGTCCACAACTAGGTAGGTGGACAAAGAAATGAAAGGAAAACGACTACGATGCGGCCTACAGAGTGGGTTGAATATCGCAGGCAGGCCCCCGATGGCGTCGACGTTAGCGTCGCTGGGCTGGATCGAAGACGGACAAAGCCAAGGCCCAGGTACCCAAGTACCCACCCGATAGTTGCAAATTAACGCGGAGCACGCATGTTACGCCTGGTGAAAACCGCATTATGCCGTGCGGTCGGCGGGTGGCCTGCCGCGGTCTCAACCCCGCTAACTGCCAACTAACGCATAGGTCCAAATTTCGATGATGCCACAAGCCGGCGTGTGAGGGAGCCGCTGGTCCAATGACAGGACCGCAGTGACTGTCTCGGCACGTCTACTATTCTCGTCGTGACGCGCTGTCGCATCTGTCGCGCCCGTATGCATCTGCCTTGGGTTAGGAATCTGCCGGCCTAGATACCTGGTACACGCCTAAGTCGAGGCGTGCGGTGGCGGATGTGCGTAGATGAGGCGGCGAAAAGACGCTCTCGACGTCTGGTTGCTTCAGGTTACCTTAAATATTTACCTAGGGCAACCCCTCCTAATCTTAGGAGGCAAGTAGGTGCCTCTACTTAAAGGTTCCTCTACCCTGAACTTGACGTACCTATACCAAGGTACCCGTAACCTGCCTAACGTAACGACTCGAGGACGCCGACAAGGCCAGCATTTAGGAGACAGACACGTTGTAGATACGATGCATAATATATCACAATGTTGCGGTGCGCATTAGTCTGTGGGAACCTCGTTCCCATGTCGTCCCTGCGAGGATATACGTGGATATGTGTAGGTAATATGGGAATAGAGATACCTGCACCTGGGCAGACAATGCCAAAGCCCATCTCTATTGTTCTTAGCTGCATACCCCAGATAGGAACCAGGAAGTAGGTTAGGTAATGTATGGGCCAACTCGATGGAGACGCTATACATCCCATGATGGGGCACCGGATCACTGCAAAGAATAGAAGACCTTCGCGGAGCAGGCCAGCGGAAACGGAAGAGGTAGGCGGCTACCTTAGCCACTACATGACATAATCCCTACAGAGTAGAGGCGTCAGATCCGCGCAATGCCACTCATGCATGCGCCTACACTCGAGGCGTGCGATGGCCTCGGCACCGACTAAGGGGAGATTCGCACACACGACACCACGGACGGACAGGGAAGCGGGCGCCTCGTCGTGTTACCGCGTTAGAGTCTACGTTTGGTGGCTTGCGTGCCCTGTGATCGGACCGTCTGTGTAGGTACACGCGTAGCAGATAGATACCATAGGTATGTGTATGTCCCTGTCCCTCAAGCCGGGAGGAAATGCTCGCGGGGTCACAGGCAAAGTCACCGTCGAGCCTCGCGCTCTCGGGCTTCATGGGATCGATATTTTCTGGGGGGGTCGGGGACCCGATGCTTGTTTGCTAGGGCACGAAGCTCATTTGATATGCACTCGGGTGACGCATATGGAACGCAGAATGGCTCGAATGGCTCGAATGGCACCCACCCACGTGGAGTTGCTATGTATGAGTATGTGCGTATAAGACATGCAAATGACGGTTCGCCCACGCAGCCATAGATGGGAACAGGACATTGGGTGTCTGCAGGCGCCGTGGGCTTGCTCGTTGCGATCGAATACACACCTTTGTTCCCTCTGGGCGTATTCCGTGGCATCCTACTACTCCTTGCCGGTAGGACGCGGTACCGAGCCGGGGGCCACCATGCAATATCCGGCCTATCTGACGAAATCGGAGTCGGAGGACCCCATCATCATCTCTCCAGGGCACAAGTTTCGACGAGAGTAAACAGTGAATAATCAATCCCTTGCCCAACAGCGGCACACCGCCCCTCTAAGTGGGATATATCCTCGACTACCTGATGTACATACGTACCTACATGGTGGATGGTGTACAATGGCGTTTAGGTACCTAAGGTAGGTAGGTAGATTAGGCATGTGTGTACTCATACTAATACATACTCACGACTCGCGAGTAATGTCGGGCTAGGTTCCTAGCCTCGTGAAGCTCCGCTGCGGCGAGCCTGGAATTAATGATAAGGATAGGATGGCTTGACGCTGAGCGCATAACATGACATTGAGTGTTTTATCTTTAACTATGCTCCCTGGATGTACGCGTATCTCGTGATGTACTTGTCGACCTTACCGACCTCGACCCCGAGCGGAGTCACAAGAGGCCTCGGGCCAGCTTATCCAAGGGATGAGATGGGGAAGAGGGAGAGAGGAGAGGGGAAAAAAAAAAACCTACCCCCGGGCACACATCCTCGAGGATCTGGTCGGGATTTGCCCAAGAGCATTATGCAATTTAGATGAACCGCTTATTACTTTGTCCTACTATGCGAGGGAGGTCATGTTGATTACAGCCGCAAGATAACCGGGCAACGGCATAATACGACTCTCTGTGTCCGCGGTCGAGATGAGGGCGTGTTGGTAAATCCTTTGGATCCCACGTTAGTGAGGACTCGGTCCTAGATCTGCACCAGGGCCACCTCGAAAGCTTCCAGACGATGATGCATGTACTGTACATACGCACATACCATGGGACGCCGGCCCAACCCACCGTGTGGGAGGAGCCGGCGAAGATATCTATCCAATGAGCCCGATGTGTAATGATGATCAATCCACCCATCCATGGTAGTGATACCGACCTCGCGGAGAAACAGTATGGCGGGAGGCTGAAGCTGGCGAATCAGTCCTGCTCGCCAAACCCATGTTTATCTAGGTTGGCTGCGAATCTCACTCGTAATTGGCGTTATTAATTTTGTTTCCCCCTTTGGCGTTGGGCGACCCGGCGAGGCCCGGAGGATCGTGTGCCAGTACGCGCCCACGAGGCGACTTGGAGAGAGGGGGGGATAAAAAGGCTCACGAGGCATCGCCGAAACCGCGGCCGGACTGGCTTCTCCGAAGAGGACCCGCCTAACGCACCATTATAGCTATATAGGAGCTATACGCTACGGCATCGCGGTCAGGCGTACATAGCACAGGCGGTTGACGGAGCAGATGCGAACGAGCCGAGAGGAAGAGAGAGCCGCGTCATGTGAAGAATGTTGTTCGCTGCAGTTCGAAGCGGTCGAAATATGTGCGTACAGGTATACACATATGTGCGTACATGGGTGGCTCCATCGGTAGGGTAGGAAGCGGCAGGGAGATACCACGTAGCAGCAGCAGCAGTAGCGCCTTTTGCTTCTAGCGACAATACAAGAATAGCAGCTGCAAACACAGATTACATCGGCCCTGCACGTAAACCACTCAGCCGGTACGGCACAGACGACCTTGGCCTGGTCAAAAAAAAGGGCTCCTGAACCGCTGGCTAGGGCCGACGACATCCCGGCCCACGCTTATCTTATCCTGGCTGGTCGAAACTCGGGGGGGTTTCAGGTTGGAGATCGTGGCCGGGACCCCCGGCTAGCTCCTGGGATGGGCGAGTAGGCACATGCGTATTGTACGTGTAGATAATAACAACAGAGGCGGACGGAGCTGGGAACCATCTTGAATAGTGGGAGCGGCCGGTGACGTGTGTATGTATATGTGCTACAGACAGCAGCATTGCCTCTACACTACCTGGGCAACCTCCCCAACTACACACTGCCTGGCGGTGCGTACATTCACGCTCATGCAACCCGACCAGGCCCGGAGGCTATGTGATACCTCTGAGCCGGTGTGATGTATATGTGCCTGCCGTTCGTGACTCGTTGTCTTAATCCCCCATTCACTTCGTGGGCGGTACGGGTGCTACGTAGTAATGCCTGCGATAGGGGCATGCGGGTTGTCCACCTCAGGTATGTCTACGATCTGTGTATGTGCCTAACATCCCTTGGGTACCTCGCCGGGGCAGCGTGTGCGCGCGGGTACATGCCTCCTCTCCGACACAGGGAGATACCTACGTGTGTATGACTTGCCGAAGCGGCGAGAGCGAAGCTGAGGAACGGGCTATGTAGGGGCCCCCGTCGTCACCACCAAGCCAACCAGTGCCGGGCCAATCGTGGTAGCGCCATCACGGAGTCCTTGGACATCTCTTTCTCGTGTCGACTGGTTCGTTCGCTCGTTCGTCCACCACCATGTACCTGCCCACTCTGGTCTTCTCTTCAGCTGATGGGCCCGCTGATTCCCACTGACTGACGCTGGTGATTTCCTCGAGCCGTTTCCGCCACGTCATATGGATCCATTCGCGGCATTCACAAGCCCGGCCTCGGCCTCGCGAGGGATCAGAACCTCTTGGTTTGCGTCCATGGTACGAGCCACCTGTCGCCCGCCCCCGAGACTCCCTCGCTCACGAAGGGCGGTGCTACGTGCATGGCATACGAACAGGTAGCATTCTCGAGTTATCGCCACAGATACGGATTCCAGAGAGGCACCCTGCGCCGTGCTAAAAAAAGGGCGACACGGACGCTGACCTGCGGACGGATAATGGCTCACCACATATCGACGCGCGACACGAAGGTGTTAACAACCGACATACGTAGAGGCAGGATGGGATATGAGTAGAAGAGGTATATAGGCGGACCGATATAGAGGGGACTTGTCCGAAGTTGGGCTGGCGCCCGGAAGGAGTCAAAGTAGTAATTTTCCCTCTCGGCACCCTGCCCACCGCGGGCATCATGGAGTAATCATCGGAAACGCCCAGCATGTCGTAGGACGCGCCAGGAAGTAGGAGCGCACGGTAGCAATCAACATCCGAGCAGGCTTCCATATCGGCGCCATCGCCGTCGCATCTCGTCCGATACACGATCAGGCGTGGTATAGGACGACGACGGGGGCCCTTTTTTTCTTTCTTTCTTCTTTTCTTTCGCTCTCTCCTCTCCGCCTCTCTCCGTTGGCTCACTTGCCTTGGCCCCTTTCCTCTGTACTGACATACCTCACAGACATCCATGTCTGTGCGATGCCTTACTGGCCGTGCGCTTTCTGGCGAGTTTCACAAATCAACGTCAGCTACCGCCGTCCATTTCCATTTCGAGCCAATCATAATTCGAGGAACGCATACAGTTCGAACACGGCCCATGCATGTACAGACGGCTTTGTACCTCCCTCCTCCGCAGCCCCCCCCTTTGCGGCCTCCTTCTGCATACCTGTGTACACGTTATTCTTTAACAGGGCACTGGTCTGCTTGCCTAAGGTACCTACCTAGGTAGGCACATGCCTCGTAATTACAACGTACATTCATTATGCACCTGTGTAGACATGTACACGTTGGCATTAGCCGCTCGGGGTCATCGGTGTCTCGAAGCACAATACATGCTCATAGGTAAGTAAGGACATGCGTGCCCTAGGGACCCGATGATGTATCGAGGCAGCCCTCAGCAGGAAGTTCGCATACGTATGGACGTATGGGAGCTGCATATCTACCCTCTGTGCCGCTTCCATTGGGTCCTTGTCGGCCAGAATAAGGTGAGTTATACGTGCAGCTTATGGGAGACCTCCCTGCCATAATTAGAGTAGCCCTGGGGTTTATGCAGGCTACGTATAGTATACTGATGGCTCCTTCAGAGATTACGGTAGGGAGGTTAGGTACCTAAGGCAGGTAGGTAGGAGGTAGGTAGGTACCTAATGTAGCAGCACAAACAGCATTAGCAACCACCCAAGGTACCTACCTATCTCCCTAGGCAACGGGCAGGCACTGGTTTGAGGTTGATAGGTACCTAAGGTATTGTACTTTGCCGTAGGGGAGGTAGGTGGTGGGGTAGGAGTTATGTACCTACGTGCAGGTGCCTAACGTTAGGTGTACGTAGGTAAGTGGGATAAAGGTTAGAGGCCGGTTGGTACCTGAGGTACCTGCTGTAACCTTTTGGCCACCCAAGGCGCGTGGGGTATGTACACTCCTATATTAGGTACTCGATGTACCTCTCGATGCCGTCCTGGCAGAGGAGGGAGGAGGGTGGGTCTGTGAATAGAATCAGCCTGCAACTAAAGAAAAAGAGAGACGACGACCTCACCTCAACCCCTTGTCAGTTACACCAACACCAACGCCGATACCAGCGAACGTCAACCTGCGACCCCTCGAGGTACCTGGGGACTTCGAAATCCTCTCCTGCAATTAATTCCCACCCTCAACCCCCCCCCAATCCCTCAAGGCTCCTAAACCCCATACTTTTTCTTCCCATACCATGCCTGGTTGACACACCTATCTCATATCTCTCTCAACTTGCGAAACCTCCCCTGATAATCTCTTCCCTGGCCTCTCCGTCGTTGGTATTTCGACCTTCGCCTTCGCCTCCTCGGGATTCTCCATATCAGCCCGCCAGCTTGCCAATTCATTCTTTGTCTGGCCCTCTGGGGGAAAGGGACGAGAGACGAAGACGAAGACGAACCGGCGAATAAAGAAACAGTCCTCGCCCTCTCTCTCTCCACTCCTCGTTCCGTCTCCTCCTCCGCCTATGCATACCTGACTTGATCTTTTTTTTTTTTTTCATTGTCACCCCTTTCCACACACCATGGCAATGCTTGCCTCGAAGTCCTTCCAGGCTTCGTTAGCTTCGTCGAGCGCCGCATTGGTCTCGAGCGCACAATCGTCCAACATGCCGCCCACGAGGAGAGCTCCCGCCGTCCACGCTGCGGGCCAATCCTTTGCCAGCCCGACCGAGTCCGAGTTTTCAGACGTCGATGGCCCGGATGCAGTTAAGAACTGGACTGAGGACCAGGTCTGCGAGTACCTGCGGAGTGTCAAGTGCGGCGAGTATGAGAAGCTGTTTAGGAAAAACCACATCAACGGCGAGAATCTGCTGGAGATGGACAAGGAAGTCCTCAAGGAGATGGGCATCGACAAGGTCGGCGATCGGGTCCGCCTATTCCTCGGCATCAAGAAATTGAGGACGAAGGCGTACGCGAACCAGAAGAAGCGCAATCGGGTGAGTAGGCGAAAAGACCCCTGAAGCCTCCCAGACCCCTACGACGGTCGGGTGTAGAGGTGGTTCTAACGTGGACGTGCTCTAGGACTCCTTCGGAGGACTGGATCCTCAGTACACGCCTTCCTCGACCGGTTCGCCGCGGCCGCTAAACTCGACCAACCGTGCCGCGCCTGTGTCGTCTAGCAGACGGTATTCCCGGCAGATTGATATGTCGAGCCTTCCCGTGAACCCCGTGTCCGAACTCGCCAAGTCCGCGTCGCGACCCAATTCACCCCTCCCCAGTGCCGATGCCCGAAGCGCCCGACAGCAGAGATACCAACCGTACATGGGCAACGCGGCCGGCCGAGCTCCTGGCTCACCGACTATGTCGGCTCGTCTGGTAATGACCCACACAAGAAACACATCCAGTCAAGAAGGTTCGCTGATGGCCGCTTTACCACAGGGCCAAGACGTCATCCGCGTCATCTCTACCGGCGGTGTTACCAAGGTTGTCAAGATTGCCGACTGCAATACCTGTGAGGAGGTCATGCGAGTGACGTTGCGGAAATTCGCCCTGCGGGAGGATCACGACCGCAACTACTGTTTCTGGGTCCTGACCGGCGTCGACCCGGACCCTAAGCAATGCCGCCGTCTTGGCGATACCGAGTTGTGGCGCATCGTGAAGGACCAGAAACGACCAGAGAGAAATCGACTCATCCTCCGGCGAGTGCCTGCCGGCGAACCCGGCGACCCCGAGCTGCAGCGGGCCGCTTCCATCGCGATGGAGGAGGCGCAGCAGTCTCACGCGCGGGCTCTCGAAAGCGTGCAGGACAAGAGGAGTCAGTTAAAGATCCAGCGGCTGCTGGGTGAGAGCTGGAACGAAGGTCTGCAGCAGCCGCTATCGCCGATATCGTACCAGGACCGGGAGAGGAACGTAAGCAATGCGGCGAGGGACTTGGAACGTCCCGCCTCCAACGATTCTAAATCTACTCCTAGACGCAAGGGCACGCTTAGGCAGTTTGGTGGCCTGCGACCGCCTAGCGAGTTGATCACATCCGACCTTACTTCCTACTTCCCCGACCACCCTAGAGAGGACATTGATCGGACTGCCCGTCTGTCTATGCGCAGGTCTACCCGCTTGAGCAAGGTCAACAGCCGGCTCAGCGTCGCCAGCAACTTCAGCTTCGCCTCCAGCATCCAGGATGCGCCGCCTATCCCGACCATCGCCGATTCCTGGCTGAACAGCGGCCAGCTTGCCAAAATCAAGACGCGCGAGAACCAAGGCCGCATACCCCACTCGTACCGAGACTCCGTCGCCTCGTCGGTTCTCCATACCCTGCAGGAGGAATCGCCCATCGAGCCCAATCGCAAGTCGTATGTCTCGTTTGCGGATAGCGGATCCGACGGCAATCCAATTAGCATCACGGACCCGGAAGGCAACGTTCGTCAGAGCTACTTTGACGAATCCAGCACGCAGGGCTCTGGCTCGTTGAAAGATCTCACCCAAGCGCTGGACCAGGATGGCGAGGATGCCGACGAGGAGTTGCAGAGCTTCTTGGCTGGAGAGTCGTGGGACGACAACAAGTGGATGAAGGGTGCCTTGATTGGCCAAGGTTCGTTCGGTAGCGTGTACTTGGCTCTGCACGCTGTCACTGGTGAGCTTCTCGCTGTCAAGCAGGTCGAGGCTCCTTCGCCTGGTGCCAACAGCCAGATTGACGCTCGCAAGAAGAGCATGATCGAGGCGCTCAAGCGCGAGATCGGCCTGCTCCGGGATCTCCGACACGCGAACATTGTGCAGTACCTGGGCTGTAGTTCCTCGGCCGAGCACCTCAACATTTTTCTCGAGTACGTCCCGGGCGGTTCCGTGCAGACGATGCTCAACTCGTACGGCGCTCTACCCGAACCCCTCGTCCGCAGCTTTGTCCGGCAGATCTTGAACGGGCTCTCCTACTTGCACAATCGGGATATCATCCATCGCGACATCAAGGGCGCTAATATCCTGGTCGACAACAAGGGCACGATCAAGATTTCCGATTTCGGCATCAGCAAGAAGCTCGAGGCCTCGAACATTCTTAGCGGTGCTAACAACAACAAGAACCGGCCTTCCCTCCAGGGCTCCGTGTTTTGGATGGCGCCCGAAGTGGTCAAGCAGACCTCGTACACGCGCAAGGCCGACATTTGGTCCCTCGGGTGCTTGGTCGTGGAGATGATGACGGGCACGCACCCTTTCCCCGACTGCAGCCAGCTGCAGGCTATCTTCAAGATCGGCGGTGGCAAGGCCGCCCCTACGATTCCGGATAGTGCCAGCCCCGAGGCTGTGACGTTTCTGAGTCAGACCTTCGAGATAGACCACAATCTGCGACCTAGTGCGGATGATCTCATGCTTAGTCCCTTTCTAGCTCCCGTTGCTTAGCGGGCAGGGAGCCCCGTGATTTCACCTTGTCACTTGGACCCGTCTTTTCTCGATACCCCTTTACACACAAGAGTCTTAGCATAGCCAGTTCTGTCTAGGATGCTTTCGATTCGTGGCCTGGAGGCGGAGGCTTTGGACCTGAGGTTCTAGGGACGGACATGCGGAAATTTGGTATCTAGTGGAGAGTGATGGCTCCAGACTTGTCCCATGGTCTCCGGCAGGCACACGAGGAAATTTGCACGAATGCATGGACGCGGCGAAACGAGAGCGGGCGACTGGATTTCTCTCTTTTTTTTTTTTTTTGCTCATCTGTCTAGCTTCTACTTTCGGGCTTTGTGTTAACGGGTATCTTCCGAGCCGCATCAGAAACGTGACGGACCGGGTTTCGTACGGCAAATGCATGAATGGACAAACGAAGTGGCACGATTTCTCATGACACGTCCCCCGGGTTTCCGTTTCCGAGGACAATGTACATATAGCAAATAATGGCCCCGCGCGAGGTTGCGGAATATAAAGATAAGTGGCCATTGGCAACCTTCATGTACATTCGCTGCGGTAGTGGCAAAGGGGCATGGTTTAAAATTTTTCAAGGAGAAAGAGAAAAAGACCTCAGCAGGTGCCCTTCCGTTCTCTTTCCCCTCCATCAATCCGTAGGTCGTAGACTTGTAGCCGTGCCTCTGACGCTGAGGCCACCATCCTCATCCTCAACCCATACCTCCCACCGCCTGGGCCGACCGCCGTCGCCGCCGTCGCCGTCGTTGCCATCACCGACAAGCCTAACACAGACGCGCAGGGGTTCGCCGACATAAAGAGGCGCGAGGTTGCGGTACTCGATGGCGCGGACGCGTTCGCCGGGGGCGAGGCGGGAGCCGAGGACGGCGAGAGAGAGGGTAAGCGAGAGCGGGCCGTGGACGAGCAGGCCGCGGCGGCCCTCGACGGTACGGCAGTACTCCGGGTCGAGGTGGATCGCGTGGGCGTTGAAGGTAAGGGCGCTGTAGTGAAAGAGGAGCGTCGGCGTCGGCGTGAGGGTCACGGAGAAGTCGGGGGGGTTGGGGGCTAAGAGAGGATCGTCAGCGTCGCGCGGTCACGGGGAGGGCGCAGCAACAGCATCGGGGACGGGATCACGGCGTGCGTCGAAAGTGCGTACCCTTCACGATGCGGCTGCGCTTGGTGGCGGCCCTCGCGAGATCGTCGCGGGCCTCGTCGGCGGTCACGCCGCGCAGGAAGACGAGGCCGCGGTGCTCGCGGATGCCGCGGGGGGCGGGGGCGTCGCCGGGGGCGCGCTCGAAGTCGGGCGCGCACATGTACTCGCGCAGGACGTCGACGAAGACCTTCTCGCGGCCGGGGGGCCCCTTGGCGGCGACGCCGACGATACGCTCGCGGCAGACGGCGGCGCGCGAGTCGAGGCGGAAGCCGGGCTCGCGGCCGCGGGGGCCGGCGACGTCGAGGAACTCGACCGACCCGCCGGCCCACATGCGGCGGGCGAAGGGCGCGCCGGGGCTGTGGAAGGGGTCGGTGCCGTCGGCGAGGAGCTCGGCGGCCGTCTTCTGCAGGGGGAAGTAGACGAGGTGGTGGGCGGGCGGCAGCGCGCGGGGCTCGGCGGCGGCGGCGGCGGCGGCGCCCGCGATGCCCGCCCCCGCCGCGTACCCGGCCGTGCGGCAGCTCGCGGGCAGGAAGTCGGCCAGCGCGACGTCGAGCAGCGCCGAGTGCGTCGGCGACAGCACGTCCCAGCTCAGCTGCGGCGGGCGCGCCAGCATCTCGGCGCGCAGCGCGTCGACGTCGACGGCCGGGGGGGCGTCGCGGGCCGACGCGGAGCTGGAGGCGCCGCGGCGGCACCGGCCCAGGACGAGCGCGAGAGCAGGGCGAGCGGAGCCGAGCTTCGGGAGCTGGCGCAGCGGGGCTGCGCGGGGAAGTCTCATGGCTTCGTCGTCTCTCTCAATCGGATGGGGCTTCGAGGCGGCGAAGCTTAGTGCTTACTTTCCGTAGCTGGCTGCCGGAGAGCATCTTGATCGGTCCGGGGAGCGGGCCTTGGGAATGGCTCGCATCCGGGGGACTATAGTAGGCAGGCCACCCAGCTAGGTCGGTAGGAGGTAGGTAGTACTTGACGGAGGTACCTACCTCGAACTGCCTCTCGGGTAAGTCTCGGCTAGGCGGTGTATGCCTATCGATAAGATACGGCGCGATACGGTATGCCTGCTTAGGAAGTACCTCAAGTACTGTTTTCTTGAATTTTTTTTTGGAGGCGTTCTCGTCGCAGCACGTCGCAGCACGTCGCAGCTTGTCGCGTCACGTCACTGGCCCTACCTACACGAACCCGCCTATTTAACGCGGCCAGACTTGGAATCGCGTCACGTCCAAAGCAGAAAGCGACAGGCCCTCGAATATTGGCATTGGCTACCTGGCTGCCTGTCGACCACCTACGCCACAGCGACCATAGCATCTGCCGCACAAGCGCCCTCCCCCTGTCTCCCCCGGGAATTCGCACCAACGTAGCAACGCAGCGCCCAGCACGAGCCCGCGTCCCTTTTAAATTATCCCCCTCCGTCTGTCTCTCTCCCCCCCAATAACCATCTCCCCAGTTGCCCAATCTGGCCTCACATCGTCTCTGCCTGCGCATCGCCCTGAGTACGTCGACGCGACTACTCAGAATGGCGCCCAAGCAGGCTACCTTGGGGTATGTAAGATCTTCGCAGACCACTCTAGGGTCTGTTACCGCTTTTCCTTCTTATCCTGCTCTACTTGGCCATCGCACTTCTCTGTTGCTCGCGATGCTCCTGTCGCTAGCTCTCACTCACCGTGTCATACCCATGTCGTGCCCGGATGTCTGCTCACGGTTATCTTAGGAGGTTCTTCGGCCAGCCCAATGGTTCCAAGCCCGCACCCAAGCAGACGACTCTTTCCTTCAGCACCAAAACCTCCAAGAAGGTAAAAGAGGAGTCGGAGCCTGCCGCCGAGCAGGAAGCGTCATCGGGCGGGGCAGAGTCCGCCACCGATGCTGCTACAGAGTCCACCGCCGATGCCTCTACAGAGTCCGCCGCCGATGCTGCTACAGAGAACACCGTACCTGTCAAAGGTGGGATTCCCTCCTCCTCCATTCCTGGGTTGGCTAGAGTACGGAGCTGACGTGAATGCGAATAGACACGAGAAAGCGGTCCCGCTCCACCTCCCCTCGCCTGAGCGCCTCGAAAAAAGCATCTACCAAGGTCAAGGTCGAAGCCGAAGAGGACCTAGAGGAGCTTGAAGAAGAAGAAGAAGCACCGACGGTGAAACGACGACGACGAACTCGTCGCCGAGTCGAAGAGGACGAGGACGAGGACGAGGACGAGGACGATGTATCCATGTCTGGTGCAGAGCCCGTGAAGCCCAGGAAGCGGTCCAGCAGTAGGGCAAGGTCGCCCAAAAAGGCCGCTGCTACGTCTCCAGCGGCAAAAAAACGGGGGCGGCCGCCTAAGAGGGAAGCGTCGGAGTCGGCGTCCGAGGTCGAGGACGACGAGGTAGAGAAGCCCGAAGCCGCAGCAAAGACCCGGAAAAAGCTGCAGAAAAAGCTTGCGATTCCGGCCGAGGACCCATATCCAGATTGGGAGGCCGGCACGCCGGTACCATATGCTGCGTTGTGCGCCACATTCTCTCTCATCGAGCTTACGTCGGGCCGGCTTGCTATAACTGAGTACTGCTCTCGGTTCCTCCGACAAGTCTTACGTCTGACTCCCGATGACTTTCTACCTACGGTGCTGTTGATGATCAACAAACTCGCCCCCGATTACGCCGGCATCGAGCTCGGCATCGGCGAGTCCCTAATCATGAAGTCCATAGGCGAGACGACGGGCCGCAGTCTCCAGATCATCAAAGCAGACCAGAAAGAGATTGGCGACCTGGGCCTTGTCGCCATCAAGAGCAAATCAACGCAACCTACCATGTTCAAGCTCAAGCCGCTGACCGTAAGGGGCGTGCACCAGGGCCTGATGGAGATTGCTACTGCCATGTCTGGGACCGGTGCCCAAACCAGGAAAGTGGACGGGATCAAGAAACTGCTCTCGGCCGCCGACGCCCACTCGACCGTCAAGGCCGACATCCACAAAGACAAAGGCGGCCCGAGCGAGGCCAAGTATCTGGTCCGATTCCTCGAGGGAAAACTGCGGCTGGGCTTGGCAGACAAGACAGTCATCGTAGCGATAGCGCAAGCCATGGCTTTCCACGAGGCGGCGCAGAAAGGAACGGAGCCTAGCCCCCAGGAAATCGAAGCAGCAGAGACCATGCTGAAGACGGCATACAGGTGAGTGTGGATTTCCGACCTCGTAGTAGTAGCTGTGCTGATGAGAGGTAGTGAAATACCGAGTTGGAATGTGATCATCCCGGCCATGATCCAGAACGGCATCATGAAGCTGAGGGAGAGCTGTAGACTCCGTCCCGGGCTTCCCCTCAAGCCCATGCTTGCCAAGCCGACGAAGGCAATCACGGAGGTTCTAGATCGGTTCGAGAATCAAACCTTCACGTGCGAATACAAATACGACGGTGAAAGGACGCAGATCCACTATGTCGCCAAGGACCATACCGACGAATATATAGAGGCTTTGCCCGGCGCCACCAAGGAATCCACCAACGGTGTCTCGTCCATATTCTCCCGAAATTCCGAGGATCTGTCCAAGAAATATCCTGACGTCCTCGCGAAGCTGCCCACCTGGGTTAAGGAGAGCACGAAGAGCTTCGTGATCGACTGCGAGGCCGTCGCCTGGGACGCGGTGGAGAAGAAAATCATGCCCTTCCAGACGCTGATGACGAGGAAGAGAAAGGATGTCAAGATAGAGGACGTCAAAATCAAGGTCTGCATCTTCGCCTTCGACCTGCTGTACCTGAACGGCGAGGCGGTGGTCCAGAAGTCCCTCCGAGAACGCCGAGAGTTGCTGTGCGGCGCCTTCCAACCGACCGAAAACGAATTCGCCTTTGCCAGCCACATGGACGGCCAAGATCTCGAGGAAATCCAGACGTTCCTCGACGAGAGCGTCAAGGCGTCTTGCGAAGGGCTCATGGTGAAGATGCTCGACGGCGCCGAGAGCGGATACGAACCCAGCAAACGAAGTCGCAACTGGCTCAAGGCAAGTACTTTACCGCGTCCGGGTCACGGTCACGGCTAACAGGAGACAGATCAAAAAAGATTACCTCGCAGGCGTCGGCGATTCCCTCGATCTCGTGGTGCTCGGCGCCTATCACGGCAAAGGCAAGCGTACCTCTGTTTACGGCTCGTTCCTCCTCGGGTGCTACAACGCCGCCTTGGACATTTACGAGACGGTATGCAACATCGGCACCGGCTTCTCAGAGCAGCTCCTGGAAGAGCTTCACGCACAGCTTTTCGAGCTGGTGATCGACCGGCCCAAGCCGTTCTACGCGCACTCTGCGGGCGGGCAGCACCAGCCAGACGTCTGGTTCGAGCCGCGCTACGTGTGGGAAGTCAGGACGGCGGACCTGACGCTGAGCCCGAGATATCAGGCCGGGTTGAAGGACGGCGCCGATCCGGCGGGCGAGAAAGGGATCAGCTTGCGATTCCCGAGATTCATCAAGATCCGAGAGGACAAGAAGCCCGACGAAGCGACGAGCAGCCGCCAGATCGTAGAGATGTACAGGAAGCAGGAGAGCGTGGCGAAGAACAAGGGCCCGTCCGTCGACGACGATTTTGAGTACTGAAAAGGGCGGCCTACAAATCTAGGTGCGCAACCCATTATTTACTCTACGCGTCTTAGTATAGACGACGGAGGGCCGTGACGCGAGTTGACGTTGCAGCACGCAGCACGTCCTCCAACTGGACATGGTCAACCCCTCTCCCCCCCCTCTCTCTGTCTCCTCTCCCCTCTGTGATAGATAGTGTATGCCAAGGTCCATCGCCGCGCTTAGCTCTCGCGGAAAGTGACATCGTGGGCATGTATTAAACGAGCAAGAATAGATATCCCCCCGCCTTCCCGGGCTGCATCCTACCGCCTCGACTCCCAACCATCCCATATAATAATACCCTGCCCTGATCGTGGGGTGGAGAGGCGATCGACGCCGATACTAGGTCGCCGCAGAATTGAATCGTGCAGTAGCTGGCCCAGGAGGTGAATTCCAAAAAGTCATACGTCGCAAAGTTCTGCCAGTAAGCAGCCGGGACAACCGGCTCAAGTCTCCGGGGTGTCCCGCCCGCACCGGATATTCTCCCACCGCCCGCGGAAGCCGTCCATCTGCACTTGTCCATCCGACGGCCGCGCTATCTAGGCGATTGCGCGGGTGCCGGGACGTAGAGCAGGGCGGGCAAAGGTAGCAGCAGGCGGCTCCTAATGCGTAGGTTCAAAGACTCTCCAACGCGGGTGAGAAGCTGAGAGCGGTGGGAATCTCCCCGTCCCTAGCGATTCCCCTGGCAGCCCCCCGGCCCTGAACAGTCTAGATAGCGCCCGCGCCGAGACCCTGCCCGCCCAAAGGTCCCAGACACCGTCCTACACGTGAGGAACCCCGGGCCCCCGCGCAGGCGCCGTCCAGCGATCTTCGTGCCACGGTGACGCGCACCTCGTGACTCTCGCGCCCGCGCATCGCGCCAGCTTTTTCTCCCTTTTATTTTTCTTTCCCTTGCTAGCTCGCTCGAGGTGGTGCCGCCGCCTGTACGCACGCCTTAGACGCGCGTGTGTCCGCGTCTGCGTATCTATCTATGTGTATCCGCGCCAGACTGACGGCCGGCAGTCGTCGCACAGCAGCTTCGCTTTGGAGTGCTTAACCTGAACGACCTGCCCCCGTCTGCCTCACCTGCTGGGCCGGCCGCGAGCCGAGCCCGAGCCCAGCCGATTCGAGTCGAGTCATGGGCGGAGGAGACCGCACTTGTGCTAGAGAGGGACAGGGACAGCGAGAGGGCTGGGCTGGCTGGCGCTTGCTGTTGCGGTTGTGGCCGCGCTCTCCCTCCCTCCCTCCCTCCCTCCCTCCTTCCTTCCTTCCCTCCTCCCTCTCCTACCCGTACGTCTCTCTTCCTCTCCCTCCCCTCCTCTCCCCGTTAACCTCCGTTCTCCTCTCCCATAGCTTTTCACCACCCACCGCAGACTCTATCCGTCCAAGCACGCAGTTAGCTTACCCAGGCATCGCGTATACACCCAGCCTCTCCAGCATACCAGCATCACAGCCGAGAAAGCAAGGGGAGGAAAGGGGCAGCGAGCACCATGTCCCCGAGCGACGCCGCGCCGACGCGCCCCCCCGCGCCGACCAAACCCCCGGACGAAGCCGCCCGTCCGCAGGAGCGCGCCGGCGGCGACAGCACCCCGGCAGCCGACCTCTCGCCGCAGACGCCCGCTCCGGCACCGCACGCGCCCCCGCCAGCCCAGCGACCACCTCTCTCGCCGCCACCGCGGCGCCACCGCCACCTCTCGCCCCACGACGCCGCGGCCGCCGCGGCCGCCGCGCTCGCCGCGCTGCCGCCCGTGCCCGACGGCCCCTCGTGCCCGTGCCCGTGCCACGAGGACACGGCGGCGCGCGAGGGCCGGCCCTGGCTCGCCTTCCTCAACGAGGCGTACGTGGCCTGCCCGCTGTGCTGGATCGACGCGTACGTGCACGCGCACGGCGCCGGCGAGCGCGAGCGCGGCCACGACTGCGACCCCTTCCTGCGCCGCTGCGGTTTCGACCCCCGCGTCCCCGTCTCGCGCCAGCTTGACGGACCTAGTCGTCGGACGAAAGGGGAGCAAGGGGGGAGGGAGGGAGGGAAAGGGAAAGGGCAGGGGATAGGGGAAGAAGGGAGTAGGGGAATAGGGGAATAGGGGAGTAGGGGAATAGAAAGATGCGGCGGGTAAGGAGATAAAAGAGTACTTCCCAGTTCGACGGCGCCTCGCGAGAGCTCCGCCTCGATTCGTCGCTGGTCGGTATGGGCGTTCCTCGTACCTGAGACGAACTGGGAGAGGGAGGCCAGTCAGCCTCGTCGACGTTTTCACGTACCGAGCATACATTTACATGCACGTGTAGCGCTATCGGATGGGCCACTGAGACAGCGAGCATAGCAAGCGGTAATATATTTCTTGCGTTATTACTCTCCCCGGCTGCGTACGTGCTCGGATCGGTCCCCCGGTTGCGGCCTTGATGTACACACGACATCCCATTGCCCACATAGGCAGATGTAAGATGGTGGGCTATATAGGTATATATATATGTAGTCCTTATCCCCTTCTCACATCCGTAGTCTGCCGTTTGTATCGGTTAGTGAAGAAAAAAAAATCGAATCGACCATGCCCATAATGAAGCTCGACTCATAAGGTCCCCCTGCCTCCCGTAACGCCTTGCAATGCTTTAGGTAAAACCATCCACGCCGCCCTAATAACACTGAACAATTGGTACAAAACTCGATGACAACGACGAACGCTATTTTTGTATCTTTTTGGGGGGGCTCTCCCGTTCGAGATTACATCATAATCAACGTGACAGCCCCAAACGCCAGCGCGGACAGAATAGCAGCAGCGGGCGCTGCCATATTCGCGCCGGGGGCGCCGCTTCCAGTGCCGCTACCGACCCCAGCGTTGCCGTTGCCAGTGCCGCGGCTGAGGCCCTCGGTGGCGGCGACGGGATTCTCAACAGGAGTGGCGCCGGGAACGCCGCCGTCGGTGGGGACCTCCTGGATGTTGGACTCGGTCGTGTTGAACCGGGTTTGTGCGATGGAGATCTCGTTGCGGTCGAGGTCGTAGACGGCGTAGGCTGAGCGGAGGAAGGTGTCGCCGAGGACATTGGTGCCGGTGCCGGCGGGGGCGATACCGAAGAGGCAGGCGGAGACGCCGTTGGCAAAGGTAGGGCGGCGGCCACTGGCCGTGATGAGGTCAAGGACGAGCTCGTTCATCTCGACGGCGATGCGCGGCCCGCCGAAGTCGAAGTCAAGGGTGTCGGTACGGTCCTCGAGCGCGCAGGGCACGTAGGCTGCGCCGGCCGAAGAGTCGTACTGCGCCCCAACCTCCTGGTAGATGCGTTCGACTACGTCGTCGGGCAGGTACGTCAGCGAGGAGCCGGTGTCAAGCAGGACGGCGAGAGCGCGGTTGTCAGTGATGGTGATGTTGCCAAGAACGAGAGAAGTCAGCGTGATGAGGAACTCGGCGAAGATGCCACCGTTGGCCTGAACAGGCAGGGTCAGGAGGGCGCCAGTGTAGTGGGCCGAGTCAACGCCGCCGAAGAGGATGCTGCCAGTGCTCGAGTCGAGGTCGTTGAGCCAGAGACTGTAGACGTTGCGAGGAATCTGGCCGGAGGAGACCATTTTCAGGGGGAGGTTCTCGTAGGGATCGAGGCGCGCGCGGCCGACCTGGACCTCGTTCGCAGCGTAGCCGATGCCGAGGATACCCTGCTCCGAGGTGCTGCGGTAGCCGACGCCAAACTGGAAGTCGGTGAGTGTCGAGCTGCCGATCGTGATAGTGTCTGTCACATAGTCTCCCGATGCGCCCGACCCGTCGACATAAGAGATGTTGAACCAGCTGCCGACATAGCCGTATGTGGACGATTCGTTTGCGTTGTACGTGCCCCCGTATGCGCAAGGCCTCGACGTCTGGGCGCAGAGGCGCGACCCATCCGTGTTCACCCATAAATCGCTGCTGCCTGTGTCGAGGTGCATCCGTATGGCCTGCGGTGGTGTTCCCACCGTGCCGTTCACGAAATACAGCGTCTCCTGCCCGGACGTTAGCTTAACCGACCGACGTACATACAATATATAACCAAAAATAGGAGAAACAATGCTGCCGCCAGCCCCCAGTTTAAGATAGATATATATCCATTAGATAGCACGCGCACTTACCTCATTGTCCAACTCTGCCCTGACGGTGTCCCTCCGCCGTATACGATCCCGTTTGACCGGATTTGTCACAACCTTCCGCTCCGTCGTCAAGCTCACTACTTTGGGCGCGCTGAGCCCACTTGGTAGATTACGTGCATTCGCCGGTACGGATAATAGGCTGGATGCGAGGGCGAGGGTCGTGACTACCGATCTCATGGTGAAAAGCGAGGCGTGCTCCCTCGGCATGTCTTCCCGATAGATGGATGCTGTATACTCGCTTATGTGTATATATAACTTTGATATCCCACTCCGGCGTGTACTAGATAATGACGGCGCGATGAAGACGTTATATTCCCAAACACATCGATTTCAGAAAAAGACATTCAACTTATTCGACAAGCGTCCCGTTCAGGCTGTCCCTGGTCTTTATATCGGACGCAAGAAGCAGCTAGGGTAGGACAACACTCGGCGCAGGGCGGAGCAGTCCTCGTCAGTTCCTACGTGGCCGGCCGGGGCTAAGGGGGGGGGAGCAAAATCCGGGGGTGGATGGGGTGGCAATAGAAAGGGGCAACGGAGAGACAGAGTACAAACGGCGGCGAGAGTGACTATCAAAGTCGGAGATAAGGGGAGTAAGAAGGAGAAGAAGAAAAAGAGAGAGAAAGTGAAAGAGTGAACAGTAATAAGGAAAGGATGAGGCAATCCAGTTGCGCCAATGTCCAAGGTCGTGTAAATGGGAGTGGCCGAGAGGCATTAGTCGACCCCAAGTGTGGTGAGCTGGTTGATTGATGATATCCGAGCCACCTGCTCCTCTACCCATGCTGGATCCGCCAAGGGCCAAGATACTTGGGAGGGTCTCAAAAGGCGTTGCTGCGGCCGCTCTGTGGACATTGCCCTACACTGTCATCATGGGGACCAGGGACCAAATCGCAGACGATCCTGGGCAGCCAAGCGAGCCCGCTCGGAACGATGGCGACAAGGGTAGAAGGGGTTTGAAGAGAAGACGAGAGAGGGACTGGTGGGGAGTCCGCGCGTTGGTTTATGGACTTGGCACAGAGTCGACGCGCGTCCATCGACGTCGTCTCGCTTGACCTCGGTGGACGGGCTTACTTATTAGCCCACTCCAGCAGGCTCGCGAAGGAGACAAGGAGAGCGGGAACGAGAGAGAGAATGCGAGAGGGAGAGAGAGAGAGAGAAAAAAAAAAATAAGGAGGGGTGGCCGAAGACGAGTCGAGGTAACAGTAGACAAAGACAATACCCATTCCTATGGCTTGAAGCCGAGCAGCAGGCGCGCGCCTCAACTTGGCGATGCCGGCGGCGGAGGAGAATTCATGGCATAATGATTTTGTTTCTCCTGGGAATTCGACGTGGTAGGGCGACGGAGATCTGACACGGCTGTGCGTATCAGGTGGCAGGGGATGGAGGGTGGGCGTATGCATTCCATTCCAGGGCCTCGGGGGCGTTTCGAAAGAGAAGCATCCGACCAGGTCGAGAGCACGGCAACTCGGCAAGCCGTCGAGGGTCAACGTTTCAATGAGCTGAAAACGTGTGTATACGTATGTCTATACTCATACATCTTCAGCTCTTGTCGGCGATACCACGTAGAAAACGGGAGAGAGAGGAGATGAGGGTTTCCACGCACCGGTCTTCTTAACTTCTTCTTCTTCTTCTTCTCAAGGCAGGTTGTGTGTACCTACGTACCTCTCAACCTAGGTAAGTACCTACCTACCTATTGCATCCACACCTTCCATCCACCTCTGAAGATACCTCCTAACTAGGCAATAGGTAGGCAGGTAGGTACCTACCTAGTAAGATGAAACCTGCCTAAGGTAGGCAGCTACTACGTCACCACCTCTTCTACTAAGGTAGTCACGGTACACGCTATGTATGTTGTATTACGTAGTACACTACTACCCCCCGTACCTGCCTACCTAGGTACCTACCGTGTCAGGTACCCGAGGTCCTTATAGGCGTAATTTGCACGCATTACGTACCTCCCGGTAGTACGTACCTCCCGGATGTGTGGGCGCAATCTCGGGAAACGAAGGGCTAATTTTGGCGGGCCAAGGGGGGGGGGGCTGTACAAGCCCAAATCCATCTGATCAATCCCTTTCGATGAAACCACAGAATGCATACCGCATACCTACAAATATGAGTGTGTGTACGTATATGGGTGCCCAGAATATGACTATTACGCGAATATCTATCTAGGTGGCACATTTAACTAAGGTAGCCTCCCACATGCTCTACGCCTCTTTCCGTTTCCCTACTTACCCGCCCACCCATCCACCCTCCCGACGACGGCTCTCTGGATCTTGACCGACCGACCCACGGGGAAAATCCATCCCAAATTACTCCGGCCGATTGGACGCTGCCGGGGGGACGCGGCATTACTGAGCCAACCGCCAAGCGGGAGGGCCCACTGGGAGCGCCACGATCCGGGCGGTAAAGCGATCGCTGGCGAATGCGCGTCCGCGGCGCGAACGAGGCCACAGGCAAACTCGCCCTTCTTGGCCCGCGCTGCCCAGGGAGCTTGTGCGGCTCTACGCAAGCCGTAGTAAGTCGTACCTATGTGCACACTGCCCTCCCGCTTGCCGAGCGCATGCCTGACCTAGGGCGGGCAGGTCAGCCCGTCAGCAGGCCAGGAGGGGGCGTGGCCTTGCTGGGCTTGGCCCTATTCCGGATACCCGGGGGAACCCGCGCGACGACGGCGCGCGATGGTGACGAGCGAGGAGGGCAGGAGGGCAGGAGGAGGGGGATAGAATGCGTGGCTCGGCAGCGTAGGAGGAGTAGAGGAGAAGCGGAAGGAATAAGAGAGTGCGCTTCGAGCATCTCTAAACCCGACCGCTTATCTACACTTCTCCTAGGCCTACCCCTTTCCCCCCTGTCCACACACGCTCTACACCTCTCTCTGTATACCTCCACACCTCCTTACCAACACCCGCAACCTCTCCGACCTTCACCAACCTCTCTACTTATACTTGCAGGTGCCTAGCCTACTCACATACATACCTAGCACACACACCGCCGACGCCGCGAACCCGATCTGTTTCTTCCACGGCCAAGGATCCCGCCGGCCCTCGACACAAATACGTCCCCACCTGCCTACCAGGCCGTTGCCCTCGGGATAGGGATATCGTCATCGCATCCGGCCGCAACTTAACGTCGCCGTGGCGTGTGCGTACGCCGGTGAAGACGATCGCCCATAGGTGTACACGCAGACCTGCGCAGACCTACGCAGATTCGACGGTTCGCGGGTGGCTGGGCGCGCGGCGTCGTCCTTGGCCTCTCTTGCCTTGGGACTTGGCCTTCGCGTAATACGACAGGATCGCCGGTTCTTTTGACACATGTCCGAGGTAGGTACAGCAGCGAACTCTCGCGAACCACGTAGCGAGACGACTCGGCGCAGGTATATGTGCATATGTACGTATCTCTCTATGTATGTGCGTAGGCCGCACCGAGGGATCCGGCCAGCAGATATGTAACCCAAGCCTCCTCTCTGTCCCTCTCTCTAGGCGGAAGTAGGACGCGTATGAATGCGCGCGCCAGGCTCGTCCCTGGCGTGGCGGCGACACCATCAACCGCACTCACTGCCAGATAGGTTGTAGGACAGCGTGGGCATGGCGTAAGGGGGCCCACCAGCTGCCCCGATGCCCCGCCTACGATACGCAAGCAGATGCGCTGTCACGCAGAGACGAAGGGCAGTATCGTATCGCAGGTCATGTACCCGCCTAGGAATTCATGGGATTTAGCGTGGCCGTGAGAGGGGGGGACTAGAGCATCTCGATCTGCTTCTACCCGTCTACGTACATCTGTTCCCATTACCCCCTTCACTCAACGCATGCGCGTCTTTAACTGACGTCGTAATACTGCGAAATTTGTAGGTATTGTTTTGTGACCTATCTGTATATGTGGGTATAGCACACTCCAACGCCAAACTCCCCAGACTGCCCTGTATGGATTGAGACGTAGCACAGCCGCGCGTCTCGAGGTCACTCGCGAAGAAGAGAGCACCGGCTTCCGGGGAGGCGTGCCGGCCTGGCACAGCGCCTCTCGTAGCTCACCGGCCATGTTCGTCTTATTGGCAATCTGTCCCGGAGGATACAAATTGTAATGATAGGCAGGTATATAGTCACATGATACAATGCCTCCCCCCCCCCCCTCTTCCGTGGCGCCATCGCGGCATGGCCGCTACAAGTTGTCTGCACACCGACACGCTACGTCTCGTCGATCTTCTCGATCTCGACTCGTGCCTCTTCCCACGTTTCTTTATTCTTCTTGGCCCACTCGATTTGGCTCTTGGCATAGGCGAGCTTGTAATCGCCATTTGTCAGCTCGGCTGTCACGCATTGAGGCGACGTGAAAAGTGGACTTACCATGTAACGCTTCAGATCGTTCTCCTTCTCGTTCTGGAACCTCTTTAGATCGTGCAGAACGCTCGCGCTCGCGTCCTTCACGTCTTGTGCGGCCGCCACTTGAGCCTGCTCGAGTTGCTCGATGCTCTCTCTCGTTTTCCCTATGGCATCGCGCCGCGTTCTCTCCGGGTCGACGTCGGCAACGCCCTGGATCGCGTGGCGCAGCGGTCCAAAGATCTTGTTGGTGATGGAGTTGCTGCTGGGGACCTTCCTATGCATCGCGCTAGAAGCTGTCCGCTCCGGCGCTCCGACCCTCGCCGAGGGTACCGAGGAGACATCCCCATGAGTAGGCGGGAAATCCGAGTCAATGGAGGCGGTGTCTTCGCCACTGCCCTCCTTATGGTGTTGCGTCGACGTTTCTCTCATGCTGGACGATCTCCGAGGCGGGTGCACCGGATAACTTCCTCCGATCTGCTGGCTGTTGCTGAGGTACTGGTCGATGCGCTTCGCCTCGGCCTCGCTACTCTCCAACTGGTCCAAGAGGGCCTTCTTCTTGATAAGCTCATCATTGGCCATCTCCTGCTGGACCCTCTTCAGAACCCTATAACGTAGCACGTTGCGGACCACTCCAGCGAACTGTGCATTCTCCCGCATAGGCTCGGCGAAACTTGCGCCCAGAGATGTTGATAATTCCTCCGTCGCTATGTAGGACGAGTCCGCAGCTTGGCCGACTCGCTCGATGGCCGCGGCAAGGGACGGCGACGGTTCCGAGAGCGCGAAGGCATTGAATTTGGCACCGAGATCCGACAGGTCCGTAGACAGAGAGCTCAAGTGAGTTAGCGTGCGCCGGTTGACTTTCTCCATGGGTCCCATGAGCGCCTGCTCTAATTCCTTGATGGACGTCTCGTACGAGACAAAGTAGGGGTCCAATTCCTGCTCGTCCAGGTCGTGCGTATCAGGAGGGAATCGGCGGAGTATCTGCGACGGGATCGCGCTCGGGTTATCGAACACCGGTCCCGATGGGGGGTTGGGGGGTGCCCTGAGCTTCGCCGAAGACGCCGGCACGGGAAGAAATGCGTGTGCTGGCGTCGGGTTCGCGGTGTCCAGCGGTGGTGCTTTCATGATGGATTTGGGAATAGATGCAATGGGATGCGAATGTAGGACCTCGTTCTATCCCCAAGTTAGTAGGAAGAACGCACACCACGATGATGCTCCGTATACCCACCCAGCTAACATTCGGGTCGAGGAATTTTCGCAAGACACCGTCGTTTCGGACCTGCTCCATGTGTCGGCACCGATTCAGGAACACTGCCAGCATGCGCTTTCTTAGGTCGATAATTTGCTGGTCCTGCTTGGCGTTGGTTGGATTGGCGGCGTAATCGGCCATGGTATGCTTCTCCGGGATGGGGGGAATGATGAGGGTGGGATGAAGCCTGATCAGGGCATCGCGTAGCGAGGCAAATTCGGAATATCGGCGTCGGACTTCGAGGTCCTGTATTCCATGTAAGCCACGGGGGAAAGCACCGAGGTCACGGTGGGGGGGCATACTCCCGTTCTGATCGTATAGACGATGTATTTGCCACCATTCTCCAAGCTCTTCCCCGCGTCGGTGATCAAGATCGGAAGCTCCGGATTTTCGTAGAGTATCTGCTCAATGCGGCTGTCGTAGCCGCCCGGCTTCCTTCGAGGTTGAGACTGCGCGGCGAATTCCTCGTCGCTCTCGACTTCGCTGGTTTGGCGGCCGTAGGTCGGAGGAGGCGGCACATCTTCGCTGGTGGAAGACGGGGTGTTCGGGGTCTCAAAGCGATGCTGGTCTACATGCTCCCAGTCGGGATCAGCCTCGTCAGGAGAATCATCCAGCGCTATTGATTGCCACATTATTCCTCCTCATTCTATCCAGATGGAGAGGCTTGATCTAGGAAATGGACCAAACTTACAGTCGCGAGATTCCGGAGAAGCTGGGTTGGCGGATGATGAAGTAACAGAGTCACGACGATCAAAGCTGGTGCCGTAAGGATTATTGTCTTCTTCGTCGTTCCACATGTTGAATCACACTTGCGAGCACAGCAGTGCGCCGGACAAAGCTGTGTCTGTGAGTAGTGTCGGCGACAATGGCTCTCATGTGAATCAGGGTTTGTCTGGTTTCCCGATATTCCTGATGCTTCCGTGTGGTGGAGGAGGACGGAATGATGGAGACGGCAGTAGAAAAAGGCGGGGGAGGGGGTAGGGATTAAAGAGGAAGAGACGGGGGAGTTCGAATGAGCAACGCGATAACTTCACACTTTCAATTCAGAAGAACGGGGTGACCGTGTCAAGAATGGCTTCCATTCAGCGCCCTGTGTCGGATTCACTTGGTAGGTGTGTGAGGGAGCTGAGTAGGTAGGTAGGCAAAGACATGTAGGTACCGGAGACGGGTTGGTCGTCGGAGTTTGGAGCTGGATGCTGCTTACCTACACTGAAACGTAATGCAGGTATTGTAGGTACCTAGGGTACACAAAAAAACGGGCAGGTATATGTACCGAAGTACACGGCCATACAACAGGCGAGGGTTGGTTACATTAGGTAGGGTACATAGGTACATGCCTGTCTCTATAACCTGAACGTACTGTATGTGCTCGTCGCAGGCTGCGAGAGAAGTCGAGATCGCCCTGGTCAGCCTGGAGAGGGCAGCGAACTGCACTGTGAGGTCATGCGCTTCGATCGGGCGTCTGGAGCAGCTTCTAGGTATTATCTATAGTGTGTAGGCACTGTATGCCGGGTCCTTACAGGTAGGGATTAGGTGGCATGCTGCCAACGTACATACATATGAGTACAGCTCGAGGTCCCAACATGGCCTAGTGCCCACAGACCTGGAGATCGCTCAGCGCCGCACCGTAGCACTTCAGTGTTGCCTGATGGAGTTGGCCGCCCCCTGCTCCAACCGATAACTTTTCGCGACTGCTCCCAGATCTACGGTGTCAAACATACACGTACTGAACGGCGGCCGTACTGACTCGAGACATCGGGCCTGGGGCTGGCAAGTCTTCGAAGCTTGCGCTCCTCCCAGATTGGCAAGAATCGACCCATCGAGCAAAACGCAAGCTTTCGAGCGAAAGCCAGGCCGCTCACTGACCTATCCGTAGAAGCCAAGCTTATGTAGGCAAACCCTTCTTCACGCCCCTGGAGCACGCTAGAGACCGCAATGAAAAGAAGCGCGACAAGGCTCGCGTTGCCTGGAGGTAGTGCGGTACCAGGGACACGGTGAGGACGGCCATGCGCGAGCGCAGAGGACTCGGAACTCCTAGAATCCAAAAATTTGAGTAATCAGAGAGTAGGCCACGGTGTGACCGGTCCAGAGATTAGACTGAACAGAACAGATACTACGCTTGATCTAAGCCAATTGGCAAAGAGAGCTGAGGGGAAAGGGAAGAGAAGAGGCAAGATGGAGGGAAACGGGGGGTTTAAATAGTGAATGATCATTCGAAAGCGGCGAGGGCGGCAGAATTAGGTAATACCTAGGTAGGTAGGCTTCTAGGTAGGTTGTTACCTGGTACGTAAGATAGTAGGAGGTACTGTAGGAATACCTAATATCATCTCAACTGGCAAGACGCCCGTCACTAGGACCTCAATCTACAGATTCTAGAACCTCTTTGCGAAGGCACCTATATAAGAACGTGCTAGGTACCTCTAGGTAGCTTACCCAGGGAGATACTTAAGGAAGCAGGTAGGCAAATGTGTTGGAGGCACCGCCAGGGCGATCCGATCCATCCACCGTGAACAAAACCTCCATAAACTCCAACGAAGAGAGGCCGTCGTCGTTATTGACGGTACAGGAAACCCCATGAAAATAGAATGGTATCGCCTATATATACGTCCCACACATCTCAAGCCATTATCGGGTATTTTGTTATAGCTTGCCTCGAACCCACCAGCGCCACCACCCATTTCCTAAATCCGCAAACCATGCCCACGACGGGCGCTTTCGACGACGCCGACAACGCCTAGATCATGGATTTACCGAAACCCGGCTAGCCAAAGAGAGCTCTATCCCCTGGATGAAATGCCATACGAATCGCCGCGTCTACCGTATTGACTCCGCGAGAGAGAGAGAGAGAAAGAGAGAGAACGCCCCCCGCCATGGCTTGTCGGCTTTATCTACGACCTCGGACGGCCAGCCGAAGCATTATAATGGAATACCTGTAGATACTAGATTAGTTGGGTGAGCACCAGGGAAGATCCCGCCAACTCACGTAATGATGCCCCCTATCGCAACGAAGATACCGATGACCGATTTGTCGCCAACCGACCTCCCAGACGTTGCCCAACCGAGCGCCACGATAAGACACGTTTTCAAGTGACCAACAACCGTACTTGAAACCGGACCGGCCTGGCCGACGATGAAAAACTGGGACAGGTTGATCAACGCGGCGAATATGCCGGACTAGGCAGCGTTAGAGGCCAACACGCGGAATGGACCCCTTCTTCAGCTTTGGCTTACCATCAATATCATCAACCAACGGTTCACAGGGACCTCAGACCACGCAGGAAATACGTCGACAAACGGGATAGCGTAAAGGAGGAGACATGCCGAGACGGGCGCCTGGTTAAAGAGCAGTTGCATACTCGAGACTTGCAGCTTCCGCTGGTACCACTTGATCCATACGGTGTAGAGCGACGATGCGAATATGCCGCTGAAGGCAAACATCACGCCCAAGCTTGACGTGGTCTTTACCTTGGCGTCATCCGTCGGCAGCGAATCGTAGTAGGACACCATGCCTACCCCCAGGCAAGCCGGGACCAGAGCTAGTATCGCGTTCGGAGGTAAGACGGACTTGTATAATATAAAGTCCATGGTCGCAACGGTGGGGGTGAGCAGGATTCGTGCAACTTGATAGAAGGTGACGGTGGAAAAGGCCAGGGATAAATTCGGTAGGATCACGTTGAGAGACATGGCGATAGAGAGGGGGATGATTTCCCGCAGGGTGGTGCGACGAGGTGTGAAGTACGCGAGTCGCGGCCGCGACAACACGAACAGTAGCAGCCACGTCATGAAGAAGTGGAAGGCGGCAAATGTTAACTGCGCGAGCTTCAACGAAGGATCGGAAAATATAGCCTTATTTGTGAATACCTGGCAGGACACTGCGATCAGTTGCGCCCACGGGATAGAGACGACACGCGGCGTGAGGAAACCGACAAACGCACAATGGATATCGTGGCTAGAGTATTGACCATGATCCAGAAGACGGCCCAGGAAAAGCTACCTTGGGGGGTAGGAGAGCGCGGAGCTGGCTGATCGACCCTCTGCTGCTGCAATAAGCCCTCGCCCTTCTCGGCGTCCACGATATAGCCCTCGCCCACGACGGGGTGTTCGGAAGCGTAGTCCTTAACTATGCCGTCGAAGCTTCTCGGTCTATCTCTCTCATTTTGGCCTTCGGTGGACGACGAAGCGGCGGGGGAGAGCCGCCCAAGGCGGCCGCTCAAAGATGCCATGCTGGGTTGCGGAGTACATGTGACGGAGCGGCGACCTGTTTCCCGATCGCAATTCCTAGCCGGCGGACGGAGCAGACATGGAGAAAGGAAGGTCGGAGGTAGGGAGAGCTGGTTTCTTCATACATGAGAGCACCTTTGGTACTCCACATGGGTACATGGGCTGCGTCTTACCTACGTTCTTGGGGGATCACCCCGAAGGAGATCTTGGATCTAATATCTTGTATGCAGCTTAGAGTTGGAGTGGAGGGTAGGGAAGCGTAGAGTGGAAGTTAGGTCCATCTACGAATGCAGGCAAGGCGGTGGATGCGATTTTAGCCGATCAGCTAAGCGGGAACGAGACGCGGAGGCGACAATCTAGGCACGCAGAAACGCAACCTTGCAAGTCGTAAATGAGGTGCTCGCTTATTTATCGTTATTTTTGTATTTTCCAAGGGAGAAAAAAAAAATTGAAACGGAGGGTCGTGATGCAGGGAGTGCCGAGCCCCCGAATCCAGGAATCGCTGGGGGCGGGACGGGAGTGGACCAGAAGGGAAAAAACAGGTAGGTACCTAGGTACTTTAGCAAGAACGTGATGGGCATGGTTTAAATGTTCAACAAAACGGTACTCCCGGCACTGCAATTCTTGACTGCCTACCTAGGTACCTCTGTATCTGTGTGGTTCAGGCCGGTCAACTTCATCGTGCTTGATACGTCGGATACATCCCTACCTCGCGGATTCCATTCCTCGTGTTGGAGATCATGTAAACTTCATCATATGCCCATCTACGTGGGATTCCCTACGTGATGTGAGATATTGACCTCCGAGTAATGATGTACCACGTTAGAGAGGAGGGAGGTGGAATGGATCATAGTTTCGTCAGGAATACTCCCATCGATTTATTGTGGCATGAGGTACCTAAGGTATACTGACAAGACCTGTGGCATTTGCACGACGCCCAAGGTGACATTCTCTGATCCGCCATTCTGGATGAGTGGGAGAGTATGTACCTCCTAGTAGGATTATACATACCACCTCGCAACATTGCCTTTACTGCTTCGACTTTCCCATAGCTAACACAGGTAGTCCGCTAGGCACCTGTCTACGGACAATTTGTTCTGGATGCTGGAGCGACCTAAGACAAGTGTGCCGTAAGCGGCGTTACCTACATATACCGGACCCATCCCCACTTGGCCGGCGACTGGGAAGTTAGGGGTTCTATCTGGATGGCATATGAGTGCATGCCATATCAAACAAAAGAAGGGTAGCAAAGTGCATCGCGCCCCGTAAGCAAGCCGCCGTATGCATATATCCAGTGATCGGTCCATCCCCACTACCCCACGGGTCCAACAGGTATGTTGGGTGGTAGGTACTTGGTATATGCCCGATATATACCTGGTGTAGGCGTTGACTGGAGAGGTACCTGGGTAGAGGTAGGTAGGTGTGTACCTACAACGTAAGAATGGCAACGGTGCTGCCAAGTGCCGCCCTTGCTAGAGTCTCCCCGCGCTGTTCACCTTCGTCACGTTGACCAAAACAAGCCAAGTCCGGATTATACCAATAAGGTATGGTTGGGATCCGGTAACTTGCGATCATCAGGAGTCTCCCTGTTTAAGGGCGCCACCTATTATTATGAGGCACATCCAGGCACGCAATACGGTAAGGATCCCCGACTCCGGTCCCTACGAGATAAGACACCTAACGTACCTACATTATGGGTGTGTATGCGTAGAGGCATCGGGAAGCAGGATCCAAGCCATGAACCATGCATGAGCTCTGCAGCTTTACCTAGGTAGGTACCTACCTCGTACGAGCATCAGCTGCCTTGTACCCCGCCCCCCCCCTTCTCTCGCGGATACAGGATCGGAAGTGCCGCACTTGCGGCTCTGGCCTTGAATTGACCGGTAGGTTCTAGCCTTGTGGCCTGATAGAGAGATTGATGGACTCGTACATCGATAGGCACCATCGCCACAGGGGCCTAAAAGAGTGAGCAACTAGCAAGGCGAGGTCATAGCTAGAGGTAGGCCTAGGCGCATAGTAGTATATGAGGCTTAGGTATTGAATCACATAGAACAGAGATAAAGCAGAGAGGGGGATTCGAAGACAAAATCCTCCGGCCATAGGCATCTTCGTTAGTCCGGGGTTGGCCACCGGAACGCCAGGTGTTTATCGGTACACTGATAGGAATATGTACCTGTATGTGAGAAGCACAGCTGCCGAGTAGCCGTCCTCTCACAGAGATTTAACATCAGGCCTGCTTGGAGTATTGACCAGTCATGCCGGTTTAGCCCTCCGACACAGGGTAACTCGCCCCAACTTACCCATCTCACTGCATCGGCAGGGGGGGCAGGCAGTTATAAGGCATGACGTAGGGTTTCGGGTGCCTCGTAATACGGCCCGAGAGTATGCATGTGGTACCTAACCTTAGGAGGTACCTAAGGTAGGCCGTATCAACATTACGCTTAACAGGTATGAGTATACAAATATGATGGTGTATAGGTACCTACCTACCTGTATCTGATAGAGAGCCTACTTGAAGCACCTAACCTCTAGAGGTACCCAAGGTAATGCCTGTTGCTAGGTTAGGTACCTACCTCTACCGGAAACAGATGCGACGTTTGGGATGTACCTAGAGGTATGCGTCTATAATACTAGCATGCTGTTCTGTAGTGCCTTAGGTACCTACATACCTGTATTATAGGGCAGTAAACATACCTACCTACCTACCTACCTACCTTTAAGGTGCCTAGAAGGTGAGGCGTGTGTCTCCGCCTGCGGACGGACTGGCATCGGCCTGGTTACCTACATGACAGTGCGGAACCGTCACCGCCGATAAGTACCTAAGGTAGCTAAGGTGGTCTGCTAGGAGGTAGGTACCTAACAATATAGACTAATCCGGGTCGGAAGGTCAGGTTGCATGCCTCACCATGTGCATCTAAGATACCTACTGACTGGGCGAATTAATTTGAACCAACAACTAGACGAGCCATTCACAACAACCAACAACACGTTGCTGTCCGTTCCTCCAAGCCTGCTTACATGGCTGCATAGTCCGAAGTCTGAGATACAGACCCGTTCATACTCACGCGGTCCCCTTACGATCACGAGAGGAGGGCTGTTGGTCGCGAATTCGTCTTGTCTACACGTCACATCTGCCTACAGCTCAGGCATGCTCTCGCCTGTCCGCGTATGCATACACGCATATATCAGCTGCATTCTCGTCCGCCCATCCATCTGCTTTCTCTGCCTCCCGGCACCCACATGTTTTTACCTATTTCCCTACCGAGACGAGAACCGGACGCTCCCTCTCCCATTCGGCTGCCGGCGCGCATTATCACGGGCGGCCTACCTATATATGTAGATCAAGATCAAGATCGAGAAATAGCCCGGCCATCCTCGCCCTCCTTCCTCTCCTAAGCTATCCGCGACCTCGATGTCGGACAGGTCGAAATTTACCTGGCATAGAGTTGCAAACCGCAACGATCTCCTCTAAAGATCTGCGTCTAGACACTCACCCTGCAACGCTCCTCCGGCGCATGGGAAAGAAAAGAATGGACCTTGTTTCTCATCTCTCCTGAAATTTCCCCGCGAGCTACTACCGTTCTTTCACTTGCGCCTCCTCCCCCTTCCTCCCCTCCCTTCTACTTCTTATTCCTCGCCGAGTATCCGTCCGCCTCGCTTGTTCCCCCCTGTGCCTAGACTGGCAGTCCGATTGGTGAAATACCGAGATCTCCCCGGCCTGGGTATCATGGCCGCGCCGCCCATCGATGGCGCCAATGGGGTGAACAGTAAGTCTTGGACCATAACGCCGCCAAGTTTGGGCAAGCACTTACCTACGACATTATGCATGCAGCCTCCGCCAGGGTCCAGAAGCCCAGGTTCTTCGAGGACTACGGTATCTGGAAGCAGGCTCCTATCTTGGTCGGGTCGACGAAGTTCGATCCCTTGCCGGATGTGAAGAACATCATGATTACTGGTGGTGCTGGCTTCATGTGAGTTCTTGCGACCGGCCTCCGGGCTCGAGGGCATATAGCTAACAGCCACCCGAGCGCATGTTGGCTTGTTCGACACCTCACTCTGACCTACCCCCAAGCATACAACATCGTGTCCTTTGACAAGCTGGATTACTGTTCCTCGTTGAACAACACGCGCGTTCTTAACGACAAGCGGAATTTCACCTTCTATCACGGGGATATCACCAACCCTTCCGAGGTGCTCGACTGCATGGAACGCTTTAATATCGACACTATCTTCCACTTCGCCGCTCAGTCACATGTCGATCTGAGTTTCGGTAACTCCTATGGCTTTACCCATACAAATGTGTACGGGACGCATGTCATGTTAGAGAGTGCGAAGAAGGTCGGGGTCAAGCGATTCATCCACATTTCTACCGACGAGGTGTACGGTGAGGTAAAGGACGACGACGACGACCTGCTGGAATCCAGTATCCTCTCTCCCACCAACCCCTACGCTGCGAGCAAGGCTGCCGCCGAGATGCTTGTAAATTCGTATAAGAAGAGTTTCAAGCTTCCGGTTATTGTTGTCAGAAGCAACAATGTTTACGGGCCGCACCAATTCCCCGAGAGTAGGTGACAGGCCGGGATGCCGTTGTGAAAATCGCCTATCCGACTAACCGAAGAGCAGAGATCATCCCCAAATTCATATGCTTATTGAACCGACGAAGACCGACGGTGCTTCACGGGGACGGAAGCCCCACCCGGAGGTACCTCTATGCCGCCGATGCCGCCGATGCCTTTGACACCATTCTGCACAAAGGTGCGCTTGGCCAGATCTATAATGTGGGATCGCACGACGAGATTTCCAACATCGAGCTCTGTCGGATGTTGCTGAAGGAGATGAACATCCCTAACGAGAGTCAAGAGGACTTCAACAAGTGGGTGAAATATACCCATGATAGACCCTTCAACGATCATAGATATGCGGTTGATGCCACCAAACTTAGACATCTCGGCTGGGAACCAAGAGTTTCGTTCGACGAGGGCCTCAAGATCACGGTGGACTGGTATAGACGTTTCGGCGAGGAATGGTGGGGAAATATAAGTAAGGTCCTCAGCCCCTTTCCCATCGTCGTCGAGGCCGAGATCATGTCCGATAAAGAGGAAATTTGTGACGAGCCTCAGGTACCAAAGAAGCGAAAAACGGCTGGCACATAGGTGTCAAGACGGCCCCTGCCGCTACACGTGTCGATGCCCCCTTATGTATATCATAGTCCATTGTCAGAGTCGGGGGTCTGGGAGCAAACCTCTCCTAGCTTCAAGGACCCCAAGGCGTCGTTTTTTGGTCGCAGTCAATGCTGTGGCCGATGCAGGCGGCACGAGAAAACCAGATAGATACCTTTTGTTTAGCGGACTTGGCATCTACACGTTGCAATGTGAGCTCCCGTATGCACCGAGTACAGACAATATGGGATAAAGATGTGCGTGGGAACGTGTCGCTACAGTTCGCGACGGATCTCCCCGGCATCCAGATTGATCAGAGGACCTTGGCCATGATTCCGTTATAGATATATGTTGGATTGAGGCGTTTCGACCGCCCTGCTGAGGATGGGTTACGGTGGGAGGCTTCATATATAGAACTCGCGCTTGTATCAGCTTCAGACCTCACGGGTTGCTATCATCGCATTCAACGAACCGATCGTGGCGTAGGAACCCCAGCAGGATACACAGGCCTATCTGCCGAGCCTATCCGTAACGGGGAGGTGAGAACGTGTGGGTGGGATGGCGAAGATTACTACTCATCGTCGTAGCAGGTAAACTGGCTAAGACCCCTCGTTCCCGCGGCTGTTGCCTTTTCTGTGGCTAGGTGGCGTCAGATATGTCATTGTTAGCGGATGTAACGCGCGCGGACAGCGAAAGTAGCGGGTTGCCCCCCTCTCGTTATCGCCATTGCGTAGAACTGAACGGAATACTGCGCCTCATGGCAATATGCAAGTAAGACGTGATTGGCGATCCTTTGTACACGAGGCACCCGGGATCCGGAAGACCCCACGAATTCCTCCGGAGGCTCAGTAGCGATAATAAACCGGCATCTTCGTCGTCTTTTCTCCCGCGTTCTCGTTCTACGGGACGGACATCTCGACGACGGGAGGAGACCAGGCCATATATACTTTTACAAAGGCAGATGCTACATACACCCTACCTCGCCCATGCCGCACCCAGCGCTCGTCGTCGTCGTGCGACAGGAGCCCGGATTCGCATCCCGGGCCCCGCCAGGTCTGGACAGCGCCTCCGGACCGGCGGTTGGCGTGGGAATATTCTGCATGGCAGGCTAGCTCGAGGCGGATGCAGCGTCCCCGCAGCCGGGACTGGGGATCTGATTCGACGGACGTCGCCGTCAGGATTTCCTGACTGTCGGGTCGGTGGATGCAGTCGGCCCAATAGGGACCCCGTGGCCTGGAGACACGCACGCGCAAGCCCGTCCGCTTCGGTGAAAGTGGGTGGGATGACGCCTAGGTGAGAACGAAGAGCGGGGGGGAGAAAATAGAGGGAGGCGTGGGACGGGGGGATCCAAGGTGTATGGATTGCGGATTTTGGTGGACTCGTCATCATTTAGGTAAGGGTATCTTCCATTCAGTTGCCTTCATTTTTATGACACCCGGTAAGGTAAGCATACATACAATATTGTACATAGGTACTCATAGGAGGGTAGGCTACCTTAGGCAGGTAGAGGCACCTATATATCTACTACGTGCTAATATAAGAGGTAGACCTAGGTAGGTATAATACCTGAGGTATGCGTTATATTTGGTATTTCCCTTTCCCGGTTTTTTTCTTTCGTTTTTTTCGGTCTCTCTTCTTTTCTTCCTTGGACTGTCCCTTTTCGGGCTTCAGCCGAGCGTGGTGTATTCTATGTATTCTCCGTGCGTGCTGGGTGCAATCTACCTCGGACGCTCAGAACGATTTGGGTTAGCTACATGTGCCTAAGATTCCCAAGAAATATTAGGCGCCTGATGTATGGACTCGCGATGATACCTAGCGATGCACGCGTAGTATTACACGTGGACCGTAGATTGAATAGTACAGAACACCGGGTACCCCCTCTTTTCCCCCCCTCCTCGTTCCCTTCTCCCTTCTCCAACCCAACGCGGCGGAAACGAGGGTTCCAGGGGAAAAGAAAAAAGGAAGAAATAGACGGATCTGAAGAAGCAAATGAAGGAGGGAAGAAGAAAAAAGGAAGAAAAGAATTTCGCCGGAACATTAAGAGGTCACCCATGCAGCCACTCCAGGTGCCGAAGCCACCCAGCCGCTCAGCAGACACCTCTGACGGAAGCTGGAAGCTATATGACGCAGTACGTTAGGTAGGTATATGTAGATACAGGTACTTACATCCGCACATACGGGGTGATGGGTACCTTAAGTACCTGTACCATAGGTAGGAGGAGGTACCTACGCGGCGGGTGGCCCAAGCTCCCCTCCTCCTCCTCCCCGGAAAACCGCGAGGGAGGGTCAGCCCGTCCCTTCGGGCCCAATGAGAGCGCGGCTCTGGGCGGTCTTAGTCAGGCACAGTGTGCCAAGCCCAATCAGACCTCGTCCCCGTTCGCTTCGCGGCCGCGTTTGCAGGCTGCACAACCACGCCTAACAGAGGCGCACATGGGCGGTGGTGCTCGACGGTGCACACGTCTGCATAGCCACTGTGCACGATGAATAGGGGGCTGCATGGCGCCGGGGCGTGGCATGACATGTGGCCGGTCCCCTGTCTAGGCTGGCTAGGCTGGCTGGGCTGGCTGCCGGGTTCTGTCTAGCTAGTCGAGAACTCCACGTTTGTCCACCCATCAAATGATCCATCAAATGGCCCGTCCGTTGGGTCTGGCACCGCACCGCACTGTTGCACCCAGTGCACCCGGCGCACCCAGTCTCCCCCCTCCCAACTCTTTTTTTTTGTTCTATGAGTACCACTTCATTTGCGGGTGCTGGTGATCTCTTCGGTAGCCAATCGTCGTCATAATTATCTCTTATTTGTCGGCCCCTCGTGGTCGGCGTTCCTAATCTGCAGACGCCCATCCGCCCCGTGTCCTGGGCAGTCGGGCAGTCAAAGGTCGATTCCGGGGTCGTTTCTCTCTCTTTCTCTCTCTCGCTCTTGCTCTCTCGTCCCTCTCTCGTCCCTCCCTCCTCGCCTTCGCCTCCTCTCTTTTTGCACAGGTAATAGTAATAATCGGTCATGACTCTGTTCCCCATTTCCGACGGCAGCCCGGAACGTCAACTCCCCAGCCATCCGCCAGCAGTCCCGGGAACAAACTAGGCACGAAGAAGTCCCTTGCACCCGCTCGCTCATGTATCCGTTGTCCCCTCGTAATACGCCAAGGATAGGTAGCCTTTCGCACGTTCCGCATTCGCCCAACGCCACGGTCCAGGTAGAAAAACGCCGTCGCTTGAGAAGCTCACGCTAAGACGCTCCATCTTCGACACCAGCACGCCGCCTGATCTGTGACGGGGGCGGCGAGAGACGACCTGATCAGATGCCGTGCCGGTAACCAGGACAGAGAAACCCGATACCATTGTGATGAAGAGGAAGAAGCGGGCGCGGAAGTTAGGGCAGGCGAGAGTACCGCATGCGGTCGCCGCAACCATGTCGTCGCGAGCGACCGATGTCAACGACCCATCCACCCATCGACATAGCACCGAAACCACCGACTGCGAGCAAGACATCCCCGAGCTACCCGTGCCCGAACTAGACAACGACGTCTCAACCGACGATTACACGAGCGACTGTTTAAGTACGAGAACGACCAGCCTGATAGGATTAGATAACCAATTGCTGGAGCCAGACGACGATGTTGGACCCGGTCAATTCGACGCGGTGTCGGTCTACTCTCCGAGCCGCTATCCGGCGCCTTCCGTCGCCTATCGCGTGGAAAGACCGTTCGAACGACCGTTTGACGAGGAGGAGGAAGATGAGGAGGAGGACGCTGCTATGGAGGATCAAACGATGTAAGCCCGCCGTAGGGCTGCCGCCGAGAGCGACGGACCCTTGCTAATGTCGAGCAGAAATTCGACGCGGTCGATCAACGAGATGGACATCGACTACGTCATGGAGCATGGCCGGCGCTACTGCGGGTCATATTACATGCCGAACGACGACGACGAACAAGTCCGACTGCAGTTAATTAACCAGGTCTACCTGAAGGCATTCGACGGGGAGCTAACCAGCGTGCCTTTGGAGGCGCCGACGCACATCCTCGACATCGGCACCGCCGTGGGTGACTGGGCCATCGACATGGCGGAGCGCTACCCAGAATGCGAGGTGACCGGAACCGACATCTCCAACATATTTGAACGTCGCGCCCCGCAGAACGTGTTTTGGGAGATTGACGATGCCGAGCTGGAATGGGAACGGCCATCCGACCATTACGACCTAATACACCTACGCAACATGGCAGGATCGTTCGCCAACTGGGAATACATCTACAAATCTGCCTTGGCGTGCGTAAAACCGGGTGGATGGCTTGAGGTGTTGGACTTTGACGATCACAAAGGGATGAAGAGTTTCTACTCCTTCTTCCAGCCTGGCTCGTTAATACACAGGGTCGCACAGGACCTTCAAGAGGCCTCTATCCTCCACGGAAAGCCGCGCGGCGTCGGCCATCTCGAGCCTAGGCTCTTAGTCAACGCAGGCTACGTCGATGTTCAATTGACGGAGCATGCCATCCCGCTAAGGACGGAAGACGGCTCGACGGGAAAGTTTTGGCTCCTGGCCATGCTGAACGGGATGGAATCGACCTGCCTACGACTTCTCACCAAATACAAGGGGTGGGCTGCCGAGGACGTCCGTCTGGCTTGCGATATGATCGGCCAGGAGATGATGGCGCTGGCTCTCAACCCTAAGAGGGCCAAGGGGTTCGTCGTCAAAGTTCGGGTGTTGAAAGGGAGGAAGCCCGGCCCACAGAGCCACTGGCCGCGAAGACCGTCCGACGACATCGAAAATCTGATGCGGCATATAGAGCGCCAGATGATGGAGGACTCCGACGGCGAGGACTACAATCTGACAGACGGGGAAAGCGGATATTGTTCCTTCCCGTCTCGTAGGCCGACTAGTGCTGAACGTAACAAGCTGTTCCCTGCCGAGCCGGACCGAGGGCATCCGGGGGGCGCAGAGGCGACGTCGAAAATATCGAGCGAACGACAACAAGACGAGGCTGACGTATCAGACGTCGCCAACGAGGAGCAGAAGCAAGACCGCCATGATGATGCTCATCTCAAGGAATCCAACCCGGGATTTTCGACCTATTCTAAGCGGTATAGTCAAGGTGTGACAGCCGACACCTCTTTGCAACCGCCGACAACCGATATCCCGATGGAAACAAGTTAGAATGGCATTGCCGAGCCACGCGGATAGGCCTTGGGGCGCCACACTTCTGGGCCCCCTCGGCATAGAGACGACGAGAACTCCTAGGGCACGTCTACAATACACCGGAATTCCCTATGGGGAATATAAACTCGCGACATTCATAGCTTGAAATATGAACGGCTCCAACATATTTCAAATCATACCTATATACACGCACCTTCACTAAAACTTACTAGGGAGACAGGGAACACGGGCTGTGGAGTTCAAACTTGCCTTGGGTTCAGGGCGACCCACACATCATATATACCATACATACACTTATACTCTCTTCTTATTCATCATACACGGTATTATAATGAGGGCGCATTATATCCTGAGAATCGGTGCGAAGACTGGCCAGAGTGATGCTACTTGTACATAGGGCTGCCCCCCACAACCGGGACAGGCATTTGCATACAGAGGTTTGAGCTCATCTGCAGGGAGTGGTGAGGAAGCAAACTCGAGGGTCGAGATTCAGAGGAAGAGAAAGGAAGATAACCGCAGGTGCATAGCGTAAATATAAGTGTTTAACGAAAGACAAATACGTAGAGGTATTTCGGGGGCAGTTGCTCCATGCCGTGCAGAATAACCACATAAAAGGAACGCAAGAGAAAAACTAAATAATAAATTGAAGGAGACGGCAGCGTAACCTTGTAGCATGTAGGATGAACGCTAGATAAATGCAAGCTTGTGCTGCTGTTGATCCATAACATGGATAGAAGGATATCCTTCTGAGTCTAGACGGGTTATCTAAATATATCTGTATAAAAGGTACCTAGTACCTTCTATAAACGCAAATATGAGGTAAGTAGGTACAGCTAATGGATGTAACCTACCTAGGCACCTAATAATGTACGGCCCGACCAGTTCAAGTCAACCAGCTCCCGCAGTCCTACGTAAAACCGGTAGCAACCTCATCATCAACATCCCTCTCTTTCTCTCCCACTCTCTGCCCGAAAAGCGACAGGCCCGAGCCAGCTGAGCTTTGCGGCCGGTTCCTGTACAATTGGCCATCCCCTCCCCTCCACCATGACCAGATAGAAATCCAACATGGCGCTAGACGCAACCAACGGCTTTGCTGCCGCTGATAGCGTCCAAAACCTGACCGACGAGGGCCTGCCTATATTCGACGTCGAGCGAGTCCAGCTCCAGTTCTCCGTCGCCGCCGACTTTGTTGCCGCCCAGGTTGCCAACAACGTCCTTGTTCTCGCCCTGTCTAATGGCCGCATACTGCGCATCGACCTCAACCGACCGGAAGATATCGACGGTGAGTTGGCCCTACTACCACCGTCGCTCTCTCTCTTTAGAGGCGCAACCTTTAAAACTTAGAATGGGAGCTAATAGGCGAGTCGAACTCATAGATATCGACCTTCCCAAGCGAGTTTCCGAAGTAGGCGTTATCCGGCGCATGTTCCTCGACCCGACCGCCTCTCATCTGCTCATATGTACCTCGCTCGGCGAGAACTACTACCTGCATACACAGTCTCGCCAGCCGCGGCCCCTGAGCAGGTTACGCGGTGTGCCGGTCGAGTCCGTGGCTTGGAACCCGTCGCTGCCTACTGCCACCACCCGCGAGATTCTCATAGGCGCCTCCGACGGAAATATTTACGAGACCTTCATCGAAACCTCGACCGAGTTCTACAGGAAGGAGGAGAAGTTCCTGAAGGCGCTGACCAAACTCCCGGATGGCCCGATCACGGGGCTGTGGGTTGATATCATTGGTGGAAGCGTAGATACGAGGAGAGTGCTCATCACGACGCACAGCCGCGTGTTCCACCTGGCGGGTAAAGTTGGCCGGAGTGCTCACGAAGGCAGCGGATCGATCTACACGAGGCTGTTCGACTCGGAACAGCCAGTCATCCACGAGATTTCGCGGACTGCCGGCGCCGGCCCCTCCGCCCTCGCTATCTCACCCGACTCGCCCGACATTAAGACGTATGACAACGTGGCGTCGGATCGAGCTTTTGCCTGGCTTTCTTCCCATGGCGTCTACCACGGAAAGCTCTTAGCCACCCCCGGGAACAATGACCTAGGGAATCTAGTGTTTGCCGAATCAAAGCTGCTACCCAAGTCGCAGATACTCTCCTCGGAAGCTTCAGGACGGAAGAAGACCTCGTCCGAGTCGCTCGACGCGATCGCCTTGACCCAGTGGCATATAATCAGCTTAGTCGGTGGCCGCGTCGTAGTCGTCAACCGATTAACGGGCACGGTGGTGTACGATCAACTGATCCTAGATCAGGGGCAAAAGGCACTGGGTCTCTATGTTGACCAGCAAAAGAACACGTTCTGGTTCTTTACTGGCCAGGAGATATTCGAGATCGTTGTGAAGGACGAAGACCGAGACATATGGCGCATCATGCTACAGAGGCAGCAGTACGACATGGCAATGCAGTATGCCCATACACCGGCCCAGAAAGACGCGGTTTCGATGGCGTCCGGCGACTATCTAGTCGAGAAGGGCTTATTCGTCGAAGCCGCCGGTGTCTATGGCAAGAGCAGCAAACCATTCGAGGATGTTGCGCTCACATTCATCGACCGCGGCCAGAACGACGCCCTGCGGAAGTATCTCCTTACCAAACTCACCACTTATAAGAAGAACTCTACCATGCAGAGGATGATGATATCAACGTGGCTAGTGGAAATATTTATGGCGAAGCTAAATTCTCTCGAAGACTCGATCACGGTAGAAGTAGAGTCAGCTGAGAACGGGAACGGAAAGAAGCAGTCGCGGGACCAACTCGACGCTGTCCGGGACGAGTACCGCGAATTTGTCACCAAACACAAATCCGATCTAGACCCCAAGACGACTTACGACGTAATCAGTAGCCACGCTCGGGAAGACGAGCTTCTATTCTTCGCCAACGCCATCAGCGACTATAACTATGTCCTGTCATATTGGGTACGGAGAGAGCGGTGGGTAGAGACCCTGAACGTGCTCAAGAAGCAGACAGACCCAGGGGTCTTTTACCGCTACAGCAGCGTATTGATGACACATGTCGGGCAAGAGCTAGTCGAGATCATGATGCGACATCCGAAACTGGAGCCGCGTAAAGTCATACCGGCTCTCCTCGATTATAACAAGAATTTCAAGGGGCCGCTCATCCAGAACCAGGCTATACGGTATCTTCTATTTCTCGTCAACCAACTTCACACCGCAGACGCAGCTGTCCACAACACCCTTGTCTCCATCTACGCGTCTCACGAGTCGAAAGACGAAACAGGTCTGCTAGCATACCTCGAATCGCAAGGCGAGGAGCCTCATTTCGATCCCGACTTCGCCCTGCGCCTATGTATCCAGCATAAACGAACTCTCTCTTGCGTACACATCTACACGAACATGGGGCAATACGTCCAAGCTGTGGACCTTGCCCTCTCGCACAACGAGGTCGAGTATGCTTCCATTATCGCGGACCGCCCGATGTCCAACCCGGCCCTCCGCAAAAAGCTGTGGCTCGCGGTGGCCCGCAAAGTCATCTCGCAATCTAACGGCATCAAGACGGCGATCGAATTCCTGAAGCGGTGCGAGCTGCTGAAGATCGAGGACCTGATCCCGTTCTTCCCGGACTTCGTGGTGATCGACGACTTCAAGGACGAGATATGCAACGCGCTGGAGGACTACTCGCGCAACATCGACAGCCTGAAGAAGGAGATGGACGAGAGCTCGCAGACGGCGGCCAACATCAAGATCGACATCGCGGGGCTCGACCACCGCTACGCGATCGTGGAGCCGGGGGAGAAGTGCTACGTGTGTGCGCTGCCGCTGCTGAGCCGGCAGTTTTTTGTGTTTCCTTGCCAGCACGCCTTTCACTCGGACTGCCTCGGACGCAAGGTGCTCGAGCAGGCGGGCGTGGCCAAGAGCCGGCGCATCAAGGAGTGTCAGGTGCAGATCAGCAAAGGCCTCGTCAGCGGGGCCAAGAAGGATGCCATGGTCGCGGAGCTCGACGCGCTGGTGGCCTCGGCCTGGTAAGTCCCAGATGCTATATATATATATATACACACATATATATGAGGACACAAAGAGGCAATACTAACGAGTCTGGTAGCATATTGTGTAGCGACTACGCCATCAAGCGGATCGACGAGCCGTTCGTCGCGGCCGACGAGGACAAGGCCGAGTGGGCACTGTGACGACGTATGGACGGGAGTGTGTCACGACTTTATCGAATCAATTCACGCCTTCTCGCCATATTTTCTTCTTTTTTGAGCTACTAGTATGTCTATTACCGGGTAAAGGGGCGAGGGGACACGAGAGAGACAGCTTAGAGGCCATTTGCGCGCATGTTGATACGTATTATATGTCGGATAGGCACGAGCGGGCTGGGTCGGTACGATCCTGTTGAGGCCTGGTATAGCATGCTAGGTAAACCTCCCTAAGCTGCAGAGAAATTGATACCCACTAACTATGCCTACGGCGGGTACGAGTGCCGGCACGACGGCGGCTGGGACGAGGTCTCGAAGCTTGGTATAATATGCGTGCGTGTGAGTGCATATATACGTGCAGGTGCGTGTCGATGCTTAGCCAAGAGGCACACACACAGATCGCCGTCATCCGGCGGGCCGCGGGCCCCGGCCCTGGTGCTGGGCCTAGGCAGGCAGACAGGCCGGCGGGCGAGGCCCAGGACTGCGGCCCGGCGCGCGAAGGAGTTCCCGTCTCTGTTCGGCATCGTGGCTGACGAGGGCTCACGTATACCGCGCTGCGCCTCCTCCCTCCCCGCCCTCTACCTTCTCCGTTCACTGCTGCCGCTGTCTAGGTTTCCACCCGTACCTCGCTCTCCGCTCTCTCCCTCCCTCTCTCTCGTCTCCTCCCCCCTCCCCTCCCCTCCCTACGCATCTTATCTACCCATCCCAACCCCCCCAAGCAGCGTTTCAGTCTCGGGGGGTTCCCCAGGGGATATATATAGGTACACACGCGTCGGCGGGGCGGGCGGACGCGGCCAGACTCGGGGGTCGCGCAGGGCGAGAGAAACAAAAATAGGACAGGGCAGGACGAGCCGAGCGAGGCGAGGCTACTTAAGCCGGGCAAGGGCAAGGGCAGTCGAGAAGAGGGCAGGGCACAGCCCAAGGACCAGTGCGGATTTGTTATATGTAGGGTATGTAGGTACTCGTATGTATAGAGGCACACGTACTCATACTCACTTTACCTCTTATTTGTGTTCCCCCTCCCCCTCCCCCCAACCCAACCCCCCCCTCTTTACCAAAGCGGGCGTGAAACAGAGAGGAGATGCGTGCGTATCGAGATGCAGATATAAATAGAAGGCGCGAGAGCAGAAGCCAGAAACGGACCCCGGCGCGGGGCGGCGTGGGTCAGCCGGGGGCCAGGGCCGTCGGCGGCGCGTCTGAGGTAGGTAGGTAGGTAGGTTTGCATGGGTTTATTTGCGGTATACTACTACTACTACTACTACTACTACTACTACTACTACTACTACTACTACTACTACTACTACTACTACTACTACTACTACTACTACGTAGGCCAGAGCATACTCGTAAGTATTAGGTGTATATATGCCTGCGTGGAGGCGGGTAGCTTAGGTCGGTAGGTAGGTATAAGACGCCGGGCGGTTGCAGCGCCCGCTAGCGACGTTGGCGTGGCCTGCTCGCGTCGCGGGGGTAATCCAGGGAGAGGAGAGGGGGGAGTTAAACCCTTCTCGTCGCCATCTACTATACCTACTCGGTAGGTAGGTAGCTAGAGGCCGGCCGGCCGGGCTTCTCCCTGTGCGGCGGCGAAGCGCGCGGTTCCGGTCGAGTTCGTGGGCTGGCTGGCCGGCCCTGTCCATGCCTGCGTGTAGACGTTGTCGGTTGGGACGAGCGAGGCGGGACGCTATGTCTACCTATGCCTACCTATGCCTACCTAACTCCACGCACCTACCTACATATAGCTATATATATATATATCCTAGGCACGTCTCGCCTGCTGCTAGCTTCGCGCACGCCCTTGGGTGGGGAGGTTGATCGCAGACGATGACGACGACGACGGCGTCGGCGCAGTCGTGGCTACGTCTGGGAACATCGGCGTTACGTTCGCGGCCAAGCGCGGCGGGCTGGCTGGCTGGCTGGCCAGGGTCGCATTGGAGAGGGATTTCTCTGCGTAGGCAGGGAGGTATACATACAGGGTGCCAGGCGTGGGCAACGTACCTATGGATTCCGTTGTATCCTCTACCGTTGCTTACCCGAACGCACCGCATCCCCTCTCGCGAGTCTTCCGCCCGATTGGCCGAGTCGGCGCAATGTACGTAGTGTAGGTATATATATATAGAGAGAGAGAGAGAAAGAGAGAGAGGTAGTTGTCCCGCGAGGCTTGTCTTCGTTTGGTGCTTTTGTTTCTCCCTCGCGAAGCCAGCCCTCGTGTACAGGTCGATATGCAAGTACGTCTAAGCTGGAGCAACAAGGGAAAGCTGAAACGGTGTGGGCCTGTCGAGGTCGGGGGCGGGTTGTACGATGCATGTACCGGAGTGCGCGGGTAGTGTGTGGTGTGAGTGGTATATCTTATAAGTCGAGTATGGTTAGTTTCGACTAAGATGAGAGTTGTGTATGGTTGGCACAGTTGGTTTCGACGAGACAGGCCTGCCAGACAGAGGAAGAAAAAAAAATTATCCTCCTGTCTCTTCCTCATCCGTACCTACTTACCTCCTACCGACTTCACCGGTCGCCTCGCCTTGCAATCCAACTGTGTCACATATAGCGACACGCGGCCCTCCTGTATCCTGCTTTCCCCCTCAGCGAACCTATGTGTAGTAATCCTATGACAAACCCTCCCTGTGCGCGAATGCCATCCATCCTCCCTCGTCTACGCAGTGGGGTGGAAGCTCACGTGAGAGAGGGGCCGCCGCCGTCTAACGAGACGAGAAGAGTGCGGCAGGCTGTTAGACGGATAGATGCGTGTTCGGTGCTACTGCAACGATATATGTACGTTATGTGCGTGTTCCTAGAGAGGGGGCTGGCTGACATCGAGTGGTGAGTGTGAATAGAAAAGGGGGCGAACACGCCCGACGAACCAGAGCTTCCGCCCCCGCCTCCATATCTATCTCGTCTCTCTCCCTCTCTCTGTCCATCCTCGTCGCTCCCCGCTTCTTCTCCCGCGGCAGGGCAGACTTGGGCGGAAAAATAAAACCGTGTTTGTGTAAGTGTGAGTGGTTTTAGTGACATGGTCTACACGTACGTGGTAAGGGGTATCAGTCAGCCGCCCACGCCCAGGTCTTGCCGGTCTCGTCCAATGGTGGTGGCGAGGGCCATCGCGTGCGGGCGTGTGAGTCGAGCGGCAGGATGGCTTGCCGTCGGCCGCGATCGCGTCTGGCGAGGGTCCTGGGTCGGATTGGAGGGCAGCTGGGAGAGCTGCGTTTCAGATTCCATAGCAGATCCCCCTCTGACGCCCGGCCCGCCCTGGTGATTGGTGCTTCGGCTCCTCCAGACGAGCCCCCCGGCATGAATGATTAGCGGCAACGTCCTCTCGAGCCCGGTTACGCATCGCGTCGTGCACCCAGTACAACTGACCTGCCTCCGTGTACATGGCGAGGTATTACAGGTAGGCAGTAGGTTAGGGAGGTTGCTATGTATTAGCATGTATGATGCACTGTACATCCTACAGAGCTAAGGGACCCCACGAGCCACGAGAGCAACTCTGAAGAGAAGCCGGGGGTAGGCTGGTAGAGACTTCTATTAACAGGCCTCGTGGAAAGGCTGTTCGGCTATAATTGCAGGTATTGAGAGACGGACCGGGATTCGGCCCTCAGCTTGTTCAGACCAGCCCTATGTACGTATATGTATACACGTAGGTAGCGCCCCGGCGATACTACGCATATCGTTGCCCCCTGAATCCGAGATAACTAGAGGAAATATCGCCCCAGGTTCCGGTCTGACGAAGACAGGCTGACCTGTCGGACACACTGACTCAGGAGGGCGGCGTCCACAGCCAAGCTCGACCGAGCAGCGCCACGCTGGCGTGGGAAGCCATGAATACAAATCGACCCAGTCGAGCTTCCCACGTCAGGATCGCATGTCTGCCTACCTCACGATGGAATCCCGCCCGCGTCACCGCGCGAATCGAGCACGCTTGACCAGGGGGCCAAGTGGGAAGGGGTGGTGCCGCCTTCTTCCTCAAATGCCTCTCACTTACCTTATGCGTACATACATCGGTAGGCAATAGGAGGTTGGTGCTAACCTCCCGGGGGAAGAGTACGTGGTAGACAAGCGAAACCCTCCTAGCATCGGACGTTGCTCCCAGGCAGGGCACCGCTTCCCGCCGTAAAACATACCTATGCACGCGTGTTCCTATGTGGATGGAGGGCCTGGTGTCTTTGATCATCCGCGATCGTCGCATCTCGGGAGAAAGAGAGCGCGAACGGGCGAGAGAGGAAGACGGGAAGTGAGAGAGGAAGAGAGGCGTATATGTGTGTGTGCGTGCGTGGTGTGCGTGCGTGCGTGCGTGTGCTTGGGAGGATATCCGCGCCCTAACTGCCCTAAGCTCAAAGGGAGGGCTTCCACCTCATCTACTTGACGCCGCCTTTCCCATGCAATGTCAGGGAGATGGTGCCACATCTCCTTCCCGATGGGGGAAGACGCTCTGTGTTTCGTCCCGCCTGGAGCGCCCGTGGCGCAATTGTTAGTCAGTTTCAAGCAGTTCAACTCGGCCTTCGTGTTGGAGCTCGAGCTTAGTGTATGGGAGAACGCATCCGTCCTGAACCCTTCCTCCGGCTTGCTAGAGGGATGCCGAGTCCCAGTGACGGCAACACCAGACTTGACTTGCCCGCATCACGTTCGCCGAATACCTGCATACATACACACGGGTAGGTATGGGTGCATGCTGTAGCGTAAGGTCTGGTAGATAGGGACAAACTAACTGCCCGTGTCTTACCGCAGACGAACAGAACGGTAGGTGGTAAATGTGGACAGAAACGTACACGGCTTCATCCTCCCCCCTTCCTCCTCCAGCATCCCTCCCGGGCCAGATCTGTGCCCGGGGGGAGGAAGAGGGACCGAAAAAAGGGGGGAAGAGGAGGAGAAACATGACGGTGCGAGTGGTAGCTGGACACAACCGAGAATCGGATCTAGAGAGCCCTATCGTCTCTCTTCGGGTGGAATCCGACGTGACAGCTATCATGGATATGTCGTCATTTTTCTCCTCTGCCTGGTCAGCGCTGGGGCGCCGCCGCGTCTCCCGAAAAGCCTGCCCAGGTCACACATCAACCCTCGACGGCCGAATCAGCATCGACGCTGTCGAGTTGGTGATCGACTGCTCAGGTGAGGTCTGCCTTGACTGGCACTTGTGGAATTGCCCATGGCTTTGGTGCTCGCCAATCACTTGTTGCGTTGTCGACTACGGAGCCGACCCCTGTGGTTACTTTTCTTTTTGGGGGGGTTTTTTTGGCCTTTCGAGAAGATCCAGAGAAGAGGGAAGAGTGGAGGTGCCCGACGAGGAAACAAGTCAATTAATCCTCGCATGTTGGAATCAAGAATAATAATATGGGGAGATTAGTCCTATTATAGTATTATATGCATGCACTCATGTATATGTATGTATTATACAGATATGGTGTGTGTGGTGTTTTTTTTTTCTTCTCCTGACGGCGGGGAAAAGTCTATGCACCTTCGCTTCCGTCTCACCTCGAAGACAGATAGGTACCTAAGATGCTATATGTGCTTGTCGACGCCGACACATCGGTATACTATGTCGGTACACCATGTATGCTTCCCGTCGTGTGTGCCATGATGGTGTCGGTGGAAATCTACTAAGAATGCAGGACAGCCGGGACGAAAAAGAGGTATGGATCAGGGGAAACAGGGGGGGGGGAGCAGAAGAGAGAGGGAAAAAAGAAGACAGATAGGCTTACATGGGACACCGTTCCCAGGGTTGGGAGAGAAAACAAGAACAGAGAAGGGGAAGAAAAAAAAAGAGCCAGCCAGAGGCTTCCAATTGATGCGCAGGGTCAGCCACCTCAAAGCCCACCGCACGTTGTTGTCTTCGCCATCTGGGTTTCCAATTGGCCTCGACCCTCCCCGCCTCTTGGAATTGGCGCGGGTGGCAAGACAGCAACAGGTACCCTCCGCCCTAGGGCGATGCGCCTACAAGTACCTAGAGTGTAGGTACGTGGAAGTGAACGTGTTGTGCAAGTGGCTGCCTCTACCTACCGTACCCAGGTAATCCTGAGCCTGAGAGGTACCTCCTAATTGAGGGAAGAGGCAAGTAACAGGTCGGGTAGGTACCTACAGGCAGGTAGGTACCCACCTAGGGCAGGTTTCGTACGTCCCAACATGCCACCGAGGTGTCTTGGGAGGCTAGGTAGGTACCTAAGGGTTACCTGAGGTAGGTAGGTACCTGTATGGAACACCTGGGTAGGTAACTTCGAAGTCGTGAGGGCTGCGAAGCCCTTCTCAATATGCGATACTAGGTACTACTACCACTACTATTAGCATCATAGTGTAGGTGCGCAGTTCCTACGTAGGCTTAGGGGAGGATAGAAAAGCCGCGAACGTACGTAGGTACGGTACCTCAAACAGGTGAGAAAGGAAAGGAAAAAATTGATAATAGGGAAGGTCATGTACCTAATATAGCGGCAAGGCAGGTATAAGCGCGCATGTACCTCCCTACCTCCTCTCTAACGGCCTATGACTAGCCGATGGAGAATGGGGGGAGACACCGGCAGAGCTACCTCTAAGGTGCGGACGGGCGAGAGATAGAGTGGCCATCGCCCCCCCCGCTACTTAACGGGCATATCAACCATACGTTTCTATGGGGACAGGTACTGCGCAGTACATCTCACGCAGCAGGGTACCCGAGGCGGCATAACGTAGGTATGTACCCGTGCACGTATCTCTCCCCATTCGGCAGCGCAGTTATCTACATCGGGGTACCTGCTATTTCACGTTCTGTATGGAAGCCTGTACAGTGGTCCAGGTACCTCGGGAGTACATAGCCCATGTACCCAATCCTGCTTTTCCCACCGTACCCCGTTCTCGCACATCCGTCGTCCATCTGCTTTTTGAACCTCCTGAGAATTCCAGTCTCCAACCTTTTTCCAACCTTCCTCTTCTCTTTTTCATGCCCTTCTCCAGGCTCGAGTCCTCTTCATACCCCTCGTCGATTGATCATATGTAGATCTTTAATGGAGCCTGTATATTGATCCTGATCCGTTTGGTTCCCCCGTTTTCCCCATCGCCCTCGGACTACCACCTGTACCTGTTTTTCTTCTTTTTTTCTTTGATTTTTTCCCTCTCCTCCCAACCGATTCTATTTCCGCCCGGGGGTTTGCATCTAGGAAGGAAAAATCGAGAAGAGAAAAATAGGGAAAGAAAGGGGAAAAAAGTACAGTGAATCGAAACCATCCGTCTTGACCCTCAATTCTAATCTCAGTCGACTTGGAGATCGCCCTCAAATCAAAAAGACCACGACGCTCCTTGCATCTCCCGCCACCGGGCCTTGCTGTGCCCACCGCTCTACACATCTACCAAATCGACGCTGCCTCGGCCTTGTCCCGGTCGCTTGCTTCTTTGTAATAACACGCCCTCGAGAAGCCGAGACGAAAGGGAGGAGGAGAAGAAGAGAACGAGAAGCTTGCGGTTCGACTGTTCTCACTCCTTGAGCATACATCCTATCTCGCGGTGCCGCGTGCAACTCTCTCTAATCTACCAGGCAAGCCTGAAGGTCGTCGCTGGTTAAGCCGTCCTCTTGCTCCGTGCCGTCGAATTCTTCTAGGACGAGACGACGGGAAAGCCGCCGGCAAGCCCAACGCTGCACCGCCTCCCCCCGACCCTATTTCGATTTCGTAGCCCATTTACTACTACGCCGAGTGGGATTGCCCCCGTATAATCATCCGTGGAGAGCCGTTACTGTTGCTTCTCCTAATGAGGGTCGGATGAATAATCGATAATGTCAAGTGCTAGATCTGAACATTTGACCCTTGGCTACCCACCTAAGACTGTCAACGGTCATTCCACCTCACCAACCTCTAACCTACCTCCCGTCGACCCGCCTACCGCCGTCAGGCCCCCCTTCGGCATGTCTGGCGTCTTGAACCCACCTGGAAAGATGGCAGGTACCACGCGTTCCGGGGCCGGCTCTCCTTCGCACGACGCTGCCGGCTCGAGTAGGCTCTATTCGAAGAGGTAAGCTGCAGGAACCACTCGTCCTTCTCTCTCTCTCTCTCTCTCGCGTCCCTCTAACCGTCGGCTTTTCAGGGCGAGGGAAATCCAGGCTCAAGAAGGCGTCACCGGCCTATCAGGAAACCTCTGGGGCGGGCCGCCGACCAGCGGCAACTCGACCCCTCTGCGAGAGAATATCCCCGAGTCGCCTACCGATGGCTTTCCGGACTTTGCACAGCTACCCGCCCCTGAAATCTTGCCGTCGACGCGGCGTGCGCGAGCGGGTACCGTGCCATCCCGCTTCCCCGCCGGTGGCATCGGCAATGGACTGCTCAGTATACCCGCGGTCTCTTCTCAGTCTACCCGGCCGACGCCGTCCCAGAGCCCTTTCAAGTCTCCGTCGCCGGGGTTAAACGATGCCCCCGAGGCCTCCCGATCGTCAAACTTGCTATCGAGGCTTCGAGCCGGCTCCATGCCGCAACGCATCCCCTTCGCCCACGGCCCTGGTAATAGTTCGCCCTTTGGTCCTTCGGTCTTTAGCACGTGGAACCCGACCGGGCGCGAGAGGGGAAATACCCTAGCGAGTATAGCTAGCATTGGGTCCAACGGCCCGAGCTCGCCGGCTCAGTCTGCTTTCTCGAAGGAGGGACCCGGAGACAACGACGTTCATATGAGAACGCTTGATTATCTAGGCCTTGCCGAGACTCCCCAACCCGCCCGTGCTCAACTAGCTACCCCTTACCTGCCTGGTCTGGCCGATTTCACGAAGCAGGCCAACAACCGCTTCCGCTCCTACTCGGTCAACAACAAGGACAAGTATGCAGATGAGGAGGACGATGGTTACGACGAGGATAGCTTGGCGCTCGAGACCCAGTACGCCGTCCTCCAGGACCAATTGGCGGCCACCAATGCTGCCATCCACAATCATAACTTAGCAGTCCAAGGCCTCCAAGCCTTCGCTACTCAGGCATCTGCCACTCGGCCACGTGCCCGCACAGCCGGCGTTCTAGAGTTACAAGGGGCAGGCTCGAGGCTCATGCGGAACTACTATCCTACTCCCTCACGCCTGGAAAACTCGATCACGCCCGCCGACATTCGGTTACCGGAAGAGAAAGAATTCGATGATCTTCCGACGGCGGTGGCCGCCATGAGCCTCGGCAGATCGAACAGTCGTAATAACGGGTTGCTGACGGCGGAAGAGGCTGGCCTTGAAGGGCCTACAAGCGCTCTCTGGCTTGGTAGTATTCCTACGTCGACGACCACGTCAACCCTGACCGAGATGTTCAAGTCGTACGGTCCGATCCTCTCTGCGAGGGTATTGACGCACAAGAACTGCGGCTTCGTAAATTTCGAGAGGGTCGACAGTGCCATTTCGGCGAAAGCAAGCATGAACGGCAAGGAGATCTTCCCGGGGGCCGGTCCGATTCGTATCAATTTTGCCAAGCCCCCCTCCGCATCGAACACACCGGGCCACGACGGAGTCTTCCCCAGCCCAAGTCCGGATCCGTTCGCGAAGAGCCAAGAGGGGGCCGCCTCTAATACCACTGCCCCCGCGAGCGACAACGCCGCGGCCGCCTCTGGTAACACCACGAACGCGACACCAGTGATTCCGCCATTGCGTGACATGACTAGGGATATCCTTCAGATCGTGAAGTCCTTCGGCGCCACGGACGACGACACGTACCGGATTTCCCACAATCTTCAGCAGGCAATCCAGTACAACGCCTTTGTCGACGAGATCCCTCCGGTTCGCGAGCCCACCCACACCAGGGTTCACGACGCCCCGAAACTCAGGGACATCCGAAAGCGTATCGACAACCAAAGCCTCTCTCAGGGGGAGATAGAGCACATCGCGACTGAGATGCTTCCCGAGATAGCTGAATTGTCTTCCGACTACCTAGGCAACACCGTCGTTCAGAAGTTGTTCGAGCACTGCTCGGACAGCGTCCGGGATCTCATGTTGGCCAAGATCACCCCGCACATGGCGGAGATCGGCGTTCACAAGAACGGAACGTGGGCCGCGCAGAAGATCATCGACGTCTGCAAGACACCCCATCAGATGTCCTTGATTGTCCAGCACCTCCACCCTTACACCATCCCGCTATTCCTCGACCAGTACGGCAACTACGTCTTACAGGGCTGCCTCAAGTTCGGCGCCCCATTCAACGATTTCATCTTCGAAACCATGTTAAGCAAGATGTGGGACGTCGGACAGGGCCGGTACGGTGCGCGAGCGATGCGGGCGTGCCTCGAAAGTCACCACGCTACCAAGGAGCAGCAGAGGATGCTAGCCGCTGCCATCGCCCTCCACAGCGTACAGCTGGCTACCAATGCTAACGGCGCCCTTCTGCTTACTTGGTTCCTCGACACGTGCACCTTCCCCCAACGTCGTAGTGTTCTAGCCCCTCAGCTTGTCCCTTATCTCGTTCATCTCTGCACGCATAAGGTCGCGTACCTCACGGTCCTAAAGGTCATCAACCAAAAAGCCGAGCCGGACGCGCGAGACATCATCCTGAAGGCTCTGTTCTTCACGCCCAAGGACCAGGTTCTGGAGGCCATTCTGAGCGATCACTCGTGCGGTGCTACGCTCATCTTCAAGGTGCTCACGACCCCGTTCTTCGACGAAAGCATCAGAGGTCAGGTCGTGGAGAACGTCCGGAGCGTCCTCGTCCGCATCAAGGCGCAGCCTAATCAGGGCTACAAGCGGCTTATGGACGAGGTAGGACTATCTACTCGTGCTGGTGGTGGTGGTGGTGGTGGCGGTGGCGGCGGCGGCGGCGGTGGCAGCGGCGGATCCCGCGATCACTCTGTGGGTAATAACGGCTCGAATGAACGGCAACGACCTGCATCCCGCCAGGCCCAGGCGAACGCCGCGGCAGCGCAGCAGAACTCCCAATACAACAACCAGTACCTAAATCCCATGAACCCTGGCAGCGCCGGCTCGAATTTTGACATGAGCGGCTATGCCGTGCCTCGAAGCGAGAGCGTGGAGCCCGGCATGTCGGCCTTCCCACCGTACGGCCCCCAGGGGCCGATGTACAACGCGGCCGGCGGGCCGATGCCGCCGGTGAACATTTCGCAGTTGCAATACCCGCAAGGCATGCTCCCGCGCGGAACGCCGCCGGTGAACAACTACTTTCCTTCGATGCAGGCGGGCTACGGAGGCTACAACAACCCGAACCCTCCGATGGACCAGTATCGTGGTCAAGGCGGAGCAAACGGCAGCCCCATCCAACCTCAAGGGGCGCCGGCGGGGTTCGCGCCTCCGGGCTTCGGCATGGGGATGAACATGGGAGGCTACGCGTACGGCAACGCGATGCCCTACGTGCAGGAACAGCCAGTCAACGCCAGGCGCGGACGCGTAGGTCAACCCCCTCCACGGAAGAGGTCGCCTCGACCGTAACACGGCGATGGGTACTGACCGATCGTTTCAGAGATGATCGGAGAGGTCGTCTCGACTGGGTCTTGTTTCGCGGGGCGGGGCGGCGTGCTCGTCTACGCTTTGGCGCATATGCCTTACGGAAACTGTGAGGCTGTACGGATATGAGAGTTGGTTTGCTTGCTTGGCTTGGCACGTTTGATTTATGTTCACGAATTGGAGGTAGGGCCGTCGTCGACGATCCGCCCAGGTCCAAGGTCCAAGAAGCATATCGGGCTGGCACGCTGTGAGGGGCAGGAAACCGCACTGGCAGTACTTGGATCTCGGTTCAGTCTCTAACATCGTTTTAAGACTGGGGCCGCGGAGGCGACATCTGGACGTGGTCGATCTCCACTTACGATTCCGCTCTATCGCGGGCGACGGATTAAGAGAGGGCTTTGCCAAGTTCGCCCACGACGTTTCTACTGGGAAGAGACGTCCACGAATGCAGACCTGTTCCGCCATGTTTTGTCATATGTACAAAGTCAGCTGCTCCACGTGGCTGGATTGAAATTTAACGGGATTCCTGAATGACGGGGTTTTTTTTTGTCTCGACGCAGTTGTTGTGCTGTTAACGAGAGCTATAGAGAGAAGAAGAGCAGAATAAGTCTATTAAGATCGCAAGTGACAAATGATGCGTGTGCGATCCTCGTTAAATTTTCTTACGCAAGAATGTATAGAGGCCGACTCGCCCTCTCACCCCTCAAACCGCGTTGTCGGTTGCGGGGGCCGGTGCCGGCTCTCGGAACTCGCCTTATTAAAGCAAGGGGGGAGGGAGAGAAAAGGAGCGTGTGTCCTCGCGTCATCTGCCAATCCCGAGTAGGGCCCGGACTCGCATCACTAGGTTTGGATAGTAGATGGATAGGAGGAGAGAGAGGAGAGAGTAAGAAAAGTCTCTCGTCTCTTTTGCTCAGCTATGAAGGGATTTTTTTTTTATCTCTGGAAAATATCTCGAGGTTACTATTCTCTCTTCCTCTTGGCGTCCCCCTCTTCCGCGCTTGACGGCGCCCTTTTTCTTTCTTACTGACTTTCTTTTTTGCAGGAAACACAAGGCGAGGGAGGGCGGCAGGGAGAAAAAACAACTGACTACTGACTACGTCCTTGCCGACTTGCGGCGGCTGCTGCTAAATGGCGGTGAAGGGGGGGGAGGGGGGGGAGAGGGGGCTGAGATGGTTTTCCTCTTCTTTTTTTTTTCCCTCTCTCTCTCTCTCTCTCTCGCCCTCGCTCTTTCAACCCCGTTTTCCCCGCTCGTACGCCGGGTTCCGTGGACGCTTCGCTCTCGTCTACTACGTACTTACGTGCGCGCGTAACGTGTTCCCGCCCTTCCCGCCTTCGGTCTCTCTCCCTCCCTTTCTACCCCCCCCTCCCCCCTCCCCCCATCTCTCTCTCTCTCTCTCTCTCTGCGTGTGTGTGTGTATCTGTGTGTGCCCCCTCCCCGTATATCGTACCTATCTCGGGATTTCTCGGATTGGTCGTCCCCCGCTTCGGGAATAGGCGGGGTGAGGAGAGAGAGAGAGAGAGAGAGAGGAAGGCCGGATAGCGGCGGGTAGGGCAGCATAGTAGGCAAAGCCAGGCTAGGGAGGGGGGGGGGAGGCCGGAGAGGTTGCGCGGGAGGCGGGTGCCTCTTCGCCCGCCCGCCCGTCGACGCACATGTGTGCGCGGCTCTAGGCTCCTTCTCGGCCCCCCCCTCGTCGCGCCGGCGCGGGACAGAACGTCGTGGGGACGGGAGAGGGGGACTGGGGGGGGGGGAAACCCTGGCGTCTATAGGTAGGCAGGTAGGCAGGTAGGCAGGTATGTATGTATGTTATCTCCTCTACCTACCTACCTACCCACCTAGTCGCCCGCTCGATCGCGGCCTACCCGGCCGCCACCGCGCTCGCCGCGCATGCGTGCCTAGGCACCTACGTAGGAGGCAACATGCCCGCCCGCCCGCACCACCGCCCCCTGGCCTCGTCCCGCGCAGCGATGCTGACGCCGCCGCCACCGCCACCGCCGCCGCGGCTGGCCAGCTGGCTCGCCACGCAGTCGGCGCCCTGCGCTTGCCGCCGCCGCTCCCGAGGGCGGGCCCGGTCTGCCACAGGGGCCGGCACACCTAGGTACCTCTGCCTGTAGGCACACGCGCGCACGCGTCGAGACGGGGGGGGGGGAGCGAAGCTGCCGGGCGGTGGACGCGCACACGCGCAGACACTGACGTGCCTGAACCTACAATATGTATGTGCGTGACCTGCGCATGCCTGCCTGCCTGCCAGCTAAGTCAGCCCGTCGGGCTGGCCGACGTGGCGACGGGTGGGGAGGGACCGGGGGGAGGGGGACGACGCGCTTTTCCCGCCCTCGCTGCCTCGTCCCCTTGTCCTCGCGCGCACAATACTCGCTGGATGCGCGAGGCGCGCAGCTGCGGACGTATCCGTCCGCTGTCCCGACCGCCGGATGCTCCGGGTGGACCTGCCTCAGCCACTTGAGCTATCTCCCCCCCCCCCCCCCCCCCCCCCTCTCTGTCTCTGACCGTCGCCGTTTTGGGGGGGCTACTGATAGGCTCCCTTTCTGGCTCGTCTAGGTAAAGCGGCTGCCTAGCCGGCAAGTCGCTGTGTGCAACACACATGTATCACATGTCGAGCGGCGAGCGCACGCGACGAGTCGTGTTGAGGTATGTATGACGGAGGGCGGCCCAAGGTTGATGGAGGGGGATGGAGCCTCGGAGGGGCTTGGGAAGTTATCGACGAGTCCCCGTTAGTAACGAGTCGTCGATGGCCGTGACGGCTCGACCTTCCCTCGGGAGGCCGGCCGTGGGCCACGCGCGGTGTTACTGTTACTAGATGCCGGATACGTAGAGAGGATGCCATGTACCATCGCCAGTCGGAAGAATGTCTCTATCTTGTATTTCCCTTCTCCTACGTGGTGGTCAAGTTTAGGTGGATGCCCGGTCCTTGAGTCAAACGCGACGGCCGCGAATATCGCATACTAGCCATTCATTACTACTAGTTAGTCATTGGGAAGGTTACGATCTGCCACTGCGGCGTGCGCGCGGAACTGGTAAGAGAATAATTCATTCCTAGTATATGACTGGCGTCGGCTGCGAGCGCGTGACTCTGGCCGGCGCCGGATCCAGTCTCCCCTCCTCGACTCCCTCCTCTTCCCTCGTGCCGCGAGGAAAAAAAGATGTCAAAAAGGACACTGGTCGAATCTACACCAACGAACCACCAGGCCGCTCGCGTGGGCCTCTAGGTTAGTTCACTTGGGTCGTAGAAGGGAGCAGCAGTTCGCAGAGGAACAACACCAGGCCGGGAAAACAACGATGAGAGAGAAAGAAGATTTCGGCCAGCGTGATTCCCCTTGTCCCTTTCCGAACTTGGCAGCCTAGAGGCCCCCTGGGAAGGGAAATCCAGATCTATGTAAGGCCATGCAAATATGGACAGGGAGAAAAGAAGCCGGCGAGAAAATGAAAAGGAAACCTGGCTGGAACCACCTCTTTATAGAGACTGCGACGAAACAGGTGTCTGCTTCTCCAGTGTCGTCGTCGTCGGGTCTTCTCTTTCCCTAGCCTTGTAGTATGTCCATCTCCGCCGGTTTTCAAATACTCATACAACGAATTTGGGGAGGTCAAGGTCGAAAACACGACTTACTTCCTCTCTCGTCCGCATGGGAATGCGGAAGAGAGAAAAGGGCGGGGGGACACAGCGCACTATGGCCTGTGGCCGTGTCTGAAGCAACTATATTTCGCTGGACCAAGGGACGCCAGCCACTTTGTCCACATCCATCCGTCGACAGGGGATCAGGACTTATTTCGGCACCGATACCGCCTTCTTGAGTTCATTAGATCCCAGTTCACCCGGGAATTGAGATATCCGATGACCGTCAGTATCAAAGGCGAGTGAGTGCTGTACGGGCTTTATCATTCCATAGTATTTATGGAGCGTGAGAGAGGGGGATGGCATAAGAGGCGGATCTATCGACACGAGTCCGTAAATCGAGACGTAGTTGCCATGTACGTTGGGGGAACCGTGGGTCGGAAATAATAGTCGACAAATTTCTGTTGCCGCCGCGTCGGGGCAGACTAGTAGAGGGGTCGGTACGAGAGAGGTGGAGAAGGGAAATGGAAAAAGAAACCGATCATTAATAAGAGGGGGGCGGCGGAGAGTGTCGCGCCCGTATAGAGGATATGCTCACGTCTCAGTCGCTGTGCATGGCAGAATCGTCGACCGGAAGCTTCTCCTGAGCGACTTCGGAATCGGGGGCGTCGTCTCGCGCAACGAGGGCTCGCTGGCCGTCTTCGGAAATGGTCGTGTTATCAACCTTGGGGCAGTCACCTGCTGAGGGAGCTTTTGCCTTCGTCTCTCCGGGCACCGTATTGTCTGCAGCAGTACTCTCGGGCGTCGGCTGACTTCGACGTCCTTCGAGGATCTTGCGGATGCTTGCCGTGAGGGACTCGGCGTGAGTAAGTATGACTTCGAGGGATGTCAGATCGACGGAGGACAGATGGCCTGCAGCGAGGCGACGAGAATCCGCTGCCGCCATCATAGAAATCACGGAAGGGCTGGCTTGGGACTGCACGCGTTATATTGTTAGCAGGAGGACACCTGTACCCAAGTCATACGTTTACATACCACCAGCGCTTGAATTAATGTACCGGCACCTTCGCCTTCGCCTCGGGCTAGCTGCGCGAGGTTGAGAGCCGCCTGCTGTTCATCTAAGCTGCGAATCCTAGATGGTGTCGCCGGAGCGGGCCTCGCGGATGTGTCGCTAATCGGGGCACGACTGGCCGCCCTGCCCTTGCGGTTTTGGCGCACACTAGGCGATGGGTTAGCGCCCCGAACCTCTTCTTCTTTTCTAACTAGATTGCCATACCGAGAGATGAAGTCAGACTTGATGCCCTTCTCAGACAGTCGGTGAATGCGGCCGAAGCCTCTATGCCGTCGCCAAGCGTCCGCGTCGTCTTCGCTATCGTCGTTGTCGATTTCTATCCACCCATTGTTCGCCATCCCTCTACTGTAGCCTTGTTCGATGACCGGAGCATTCTTGATCTGGCGGTATCGATGAGCGGGTGCCAGTCGCGCGGGAAGCTCGCTCAACATCTCCTCGACGTGGCAGGGACAGCGCCAGGTTCGCGGCACGGGCGGGACCGCGAGCGGAGGGTCTAGGCACTCGAGGTGCCAGTTAAGGCCGCATACTGAGCAGGGGATGATGGGACGATTGTCCGAGGTTGCCTTCTGACAGTGATGGCACAAGACGGGGCCGTCGGCATTTCTGACACGGAAAAAGTCAAAGGGCTCTTCGGGCCCTTTCTTGTTGCCCCTAGACAGTCAAGGGCGTTAGAGGACCGACGATGCAGACGGAGGGGAGGGGGCGGTGAGCACTTACTTCGGCTTCGGGGGCGCTATATCTTCGTATTCGCCCTCGGGCCCGGTCCTGACGCCTTCAAATAGGTCTCTCACATCCTCGGGAAGGCGAAAAGAGCGAGTATTCTTCCTCTCCGAGGCAGTCAACAGCGAACGGAACACGCCCTGGTGCTCGGTAAAGGGCGGAGAATAGCGGTGCTTGCACTCGTTACAATACCACTCATCGGGCATGTGGCCCGGGTCCATTGGCGGGTCTATGCAAAGGAAATGGAAGGAATACGTGCATCCATCGCAGCAGACAAGATCACCGTTGCCGCCACAGGCGTAGCAGGAGTCGTCATTGTCGTCCTAGCGTATCTCGTCAGCACAGGAACATGGGGCTGTCGCGTCTGGTTGACGTGGGGTTTCGGGCAGGGCGGGAACTAGTAGGATTGCCACCGTTCTCGGGCTGGTGTTTTGCGATGCTGGGTAGGGCTAAGCCTCCCTTGGCCCACGAGAGAACGAAATCCGCGCAGGAGCACGCCGCGACGGACGGCCGGGTGTGCGATGTTTTCGCGTCTCTGAGCGCGCGAGAGAGAGAGAGGCGTTTTTTTTTCCCTCGTAATTTCTCTTGATGGGAGGGGAAGGGGAGGGGGCTTGTTGGCTTGTTCTCACCTGGCTGGTTGGTACTCCTCCATTGCCCACAGGGCTTGGTCGGTCACCACTACTACGAGGAATTCCCGCAGAGGTGCCCTTCTTTTTCATGGGCCTGTCACGTACGGTACGCGTGTTAGCTAGTATTCCCCCACGACACATAGGCGGCATAGGCCTCGAGGGGCGTAGGAGAAGATAATAAAAATGATCTTATCTAGGTGTTGATCCTGGCCCGACGTGAGATCCATGTGGTGCCACATCGCCACTTGGCTGGGCCTGGCTTTGTGACAGCACAGCATTTCGGTCGGACCCTCAGCCGTGTTACCAAATGCTGACATCGCTAGACTCGGCCGGTGTTTTGCGAGAAGAAGAAGGGAGAGATGATAACAAACAGAAAACAACAACAACAATAACAACAACAACAAAACCAAAGTTGGGCGGGCCCAGAAACTCACGATGTCTTTACGCGTAGTCCCGTCCGGGCCTTCTTGTTCGATCGTGGGTTCGATGGCGTCGCGGCACGCGAGTTGCGTGCAGAGGACGTCTCGAGGTCGGCCTTGAATGACGACGACACGGTAGGAGAGATGGGGTCGTCCAGATCCTCATGGTTTCGTTTGGCCGCCCTGGCCGCTCGCGAGCTCAGGATCGGCGTCCGAGACGAGCGATTCCGCTCCGCCGCGGGCGGGGGCGGTGCAGGCGGCACTGAGGCTGCGTCCTCGTCGTCGAATGACAGGACCGACCCGCGGATGAAGCTCTCTTCGACGAGGCCCTTGGTGGCTTTGCTCGTCTCGAGCTTCTTGGTCAGCTTTTGTTGGGACAGCTGGTGGGATTCGTCAAGGTCGCCGAATTTGCTGGGGAACTTGAAGGCGCCGGCGGGCGGGTGCCGGGGATGGTGAGGATGGGAGGCGCCGTTCGCGACGACAGCAGCGGGCATGCTCGAGTCGCGGGAGGGGTGACGGGATGGGTGTTGCGGGAGAGAATGCTTGGGCGCGCCGCCCTTCTTTTTGGCGGCGGGTTTCTTCTGCTGGCCGCTGATTGGCTGGTCTGGGCCTGCCGGGATTTGCGCATTATTTGGCTCGGCAGCGATGGGACGCGCGACACCCAGGTCATCATCCACCTGATCCATGTACTCCTCATAGTCATCCGGTACATCATCAGGCACCGACGAGAGCGACGAGCTGCTGCTCAGAGATCCCGAGCGCGTCTTCCTTCCCCGAGGCGATTTGTACGGCGACTTGTGCGGTGACTTGTGCGGTGACTTGTGCGATGACTTGTGATGTGGCGACTTGTGAGGTGATTTGTGCGGCGACTTGTGAGCTAACCTGCCTGACGGACTCCTGTTGCGTCCGCTGAGGCCATTTGCCTTGGCCGGACTGCCCCCGCCGCCGTTGTGAGTCTCGAGGTCGAGCTTGACCTTCTTGCTCACGTGAGCGTCCACCGGGTCGATGTCCCGGAAATGCTCGCGAATGCCAGCGTCCATCTCCGTCTTGATCAGGTCCCCGTAGGGCGCGGGCTTCGGCGTATGCGGTGCGAAGCGGCCGGCCGTCGTGGGGGGCACGAAGTAGTAGCAGCCTTTGTTGTCCTTCTTGCCGTCTTTCTTCTTATCGGAAAGGAGTCTGTTGAACTCTTTGAGGGTGGTTATGTCTGCCCGCTGGTAGTAGACGTCCTCGAGCATGGACACAAAGTGAGAATCCGACCCGTATTCGTCGTAGAGCAAACGAAGGGCGTAGGCAGTGGGGTAACGGTAATGGCGGAGAGCCTCGTCCACGGCTGCCTCGACGACCTTGTCTGCGAAGTCTTTGTCGGGGTCGTGGGAGAGGGTGGGGTGAGGCGGACGGAATTGCGGTTGCGAGGATGAAAATGATGATGGCGGCGGTGGTGGTGAAGAAGGCGATGCGGAATGACGACGGGTGCGGGTGGTATGGAGGGCGAGCGTTGGGTGAGCGGCACCAGCGGCAGCAGGAGTAGCAGTAGCAGCGGCAGCAGTGGCGGTATGGGTGGGAGAGGTGTCGACGGGGGTAGGGCTAGGCCGTGCACTTCGTCGCCGGGCAGAGTGGCGTCGGGTATTGGCGCCGGCGGAGGTGATGTGGATGTAGGAGGAGGACGGTCGCGCCTTTGTTTTCTGCGGCACATAATCCTCGTCCTCGCCGTCGTCCACCCTCGAGACAGGCTGCACCGGCTGCGGAGGCGGTGACGAGGGCGAGACAGCCGCTTCGACACCCTCGTCATGCGACTGCTCCCTCGCGCGTGGCGTAGTCTCGACCGGCGTAACCGCGTACGGCTTCTTCAGCACGATACGGGTCTTCACTGGCGCAGGAGCTGGCACGACCTCTCCGTTGGCTGGAGACCTCTTATGGGCCGCAGCCTTCGGCAAGGTACCCAGAGGAGCCATGTTTTCCACCACTCCGCCCCTGACGAGCCCAGCCTCTTGGAAGCTCGCTTTGTTCTGTACCGGCGGCTCGAGCCAGCGCTGCATGATTGACCTTTGACCTTCGCCAACAAGACCTCGATTATGGCTGGAGGGAGAGCTCGCGAGGTGCAGCGGGCTGGAGAAGCGCGATCGCACGGACTTGTTGTTGGTAGACATTCTTCTCTCTCGGTTGTCTGAGTGTGTTGCTCTCGGTAAGTTTTTTCTCCCTCTCCCTCTCTTTTTTTTTTTTCTCAAAAGGGGAGGGGGGTCAACACCCCTTTTGCCTTCGGTCTCGCTGCTGTGCTCAGCACTGCGCGCGATACCGTGTCAAATCAATTGCGCACCTAGGGAAACGCATTAGCTCGTATCGTTGCGATGCTGGCTCGTCCTCTACTCACCAGGCTCTGCGGTCGATCCATGGGTCGAGGGTATCTTGGGGTGTGTCGTCGCGCTTTTGCCGGTGATGGTGTTTTGTCGTAGGTACGCGGCAGGGCGAAAAAGGGAGGGTTATGCGAGATTCCAGAGCTCCCAAAAGTCCGAGTTGGGCGGTTCTCGCGCGGCGCGACCAGGGGAAGGAGAGTAGGAGGGAGGGGGGGGTACATGCTACCTCTCTGCTACCTTGGATATGATACCTGGCCGACCTGCTAACTTACGGGTGACTCGCCCTGCTGTGGTGCTCTGAGCGGGTGTTCTCGCCTCCCTATTCCTACCTACGCCCACGACGTCCAGGTACTTATCACCGCTATACCTACTACTACCGCCCCCCGCCCTTTCACCCTTTCGCCCTGCTACCTAATATTCACCAAACCTGCTCGTAATCGCCCTCGCCAGCATGCTCGTCCCTAACCTCCCTCTCTCTCTCTTGCTTACTCGGAACCTCCAGGTGATTACTCTCTCTCTGTTACGCACTCAACTCCTTTTTTTCCCAGCTTGACCTTGCGTTCCCTGGTTACTTACCTCTTACCCGCAACGGGCAGGTTGGCAATACCTAGGTATATTAGTATCCTGTATGCATCGATCAGACCTCGGGTATACCTACCTGAGGTACGCGCATAGCCGCATCGATTCTATTATTTCCACGTTGCCCATATTCGCAGGCGAACTCTCCGTACCTACACATACATAACACCCCTAACCTCCTCGACCACGTCGAATCACACAACTCAAGAGGCAGAATGGGTAGCATTGGATGTCCGTCTAGTCTCATCCGTTGCACAATAGGCCCATTGTCTCGTAGGATGTACTCATATGGATGTACACACATAGGTAGGTAGGTACCCATCTATGTCTGTACATGTGCTGTGTACCCTTTTTCCCCCTTCCCCTGGCCTCCCTCCCCCCTATTTTGTTAATCCCTCTGCTACCTACCTGTCAATGAGGTTGATAAGGTACATTCTCTCACCTCTTAATTACCTATACCTCCTGGACACGTATGTATATTTCCTCCCTTTTCCCAGCTCATGCACCTCGCTATCGCTATCGCCATATGCGTACGGTCTGCTACCTACCTGCCTACCTACCTCCAATGTGTGTATATGCCTATGCATTCAACCTCTCTCGCTCTCTTATCTCTCCGTCTTTCTGTTCCTCACCCTCGCCCTCTCACCCTCGCGCGCTCTCTCGCCTGATTTAAGATCACGACAGCACACCACATGTCCCCCCCCTCTCCCCCCAGCTGGCAAAGTGTCGAGACTCCCCGTGCTCGACCGCTCTTCTCCCCACCTTTTGCTGCCGCGTCTACTGTCTGTTGATTCTAGCTGCCGTTTTCCCACTCCAGGCTTATCACGCCACGTAGGACCCAGGGCCCTGCCACCCTAGAACCCTGACTCACATCCACTCTGTGTCCAGGTCCGAATACCACCAGTCTGTATCGATCATGGGTCTGTAGCATCTCCCTCTTCGCCGCGCTCGCTACCCTCGCCGCCACAATCCGCCACCATCACTAGGTTAAGGAACTCGGCCCCCAACGCTCCTGTGAGGGGGAAAAAAAGGGATCACTATGATTCTTGTAGGTGCTTTGTCACTTTGTTGGTCCAGACCGATGGTATGCCGTCGGCACACCAGCCTACGCCATCACCGTATATAATCTGACTCTCGAGACGGGAGGCAACTCTCTGGTTGGGGTATTTTTTTTTTCTCTTTCGCCTAGCCGGTCACTACATCTCCCCTTCACCTGCGAATGCTAATAACACAAGTATGCGAAGGCTACCATCCGTTTTTAGCGACCGACCTGTCGCCCTGTATGACCTGAACCGACCCCGTGCCGAAAATGCGGGGCTGGACAAGCGTAGGCCATGGGTACATCCATCGATAGACGCGGGATTTCAGAGTCGAAGCCGTCGGCCTCGTAATGTACCAAGTATGGACCCTATGGTCAGCTCCCAGAGCGTGACTCGTTGGGCGCATCCAGCCTAGGAAACCCCTATTCATCCTCGCTCTCCTCTTCGTCGTCACCCTCCTTCGCCTCGGTAGCCTTCTTAGCAGGCTTCTTCTTCTTCTTGTTCTTGCCTTTCGCCTTAGTCTTGCTCAAAGGTTGTTCTAATATCTTCAGAATCTCCTCGTCCACGATCTTCTTGTCCGACTGGAACTTGCTAAGATCTAACGCTGGTGGAGCCCCGAGTTTAGAAATTCCGTTCTTCGTGATGGCTACTTAACGTTAGCTTCGGGGGAAATAGGGGATATCGGTGAACCGAGAAAGGGAGCGGTCGGAGAGGGGGAACGCACCGACGGTAGTTAGGAGTCTAGCTACGGGGGCGCCGTCCTTGTCGCCGACCAACTCGTACTGACGCAGGACGTTTTGACGAACACCCTCGTGCACCCCAACCTTGTACTTGGTCTCACCTCCCTCTTCCTCAAGCTGTCTTAAGCTGAAGGGGAAGTGGCCAAATTTATTCTGGATGGTGGACAAGGTCTTCCGCGCCGTCTGTGACTTTAGGATATATGTATTGGTCGTTCGACGGTGTAGAGTTGATCGCTGCTCGGGCAGCGCCTTGACTTTCCCTGAGCCTAAACTCAGGCCTACCTCCACGCCCCAGACTTCGCTAACCTCGGGGGTGCCTTCTCCTTTGGTCCCTTCTGCCGGAGCGACCACAATCTTCTTCTTCCCCTCAATCTCATTACGGTCGAAAAGCCAGGAGGTGGTGCTTTCCACCAAATTGCAGTCGTAGGTCTTGGCAACCCTCTCCAGGAGAGACGTAATCTTGGATTGGGTGAGGGGTTTAACCGCAGCCGCCTTTGCCTTTTCCTCATCTGTTCCGCTCGCGAGGAGCCCAGGAGGGAGCAGGAGTCGCAGGAGAAGCTCGTTTGCGTAGTGTGTAGCGAGTATGAGATCGGCTGAGCGACCGGTGACAACTTCATCTTGCGGTTGGTCCTTGGATGGGACGAGGATTGTGTCGCAGACGATAGAGCCAAATCCATCGATTTGCGCACCGAGCTGGATCTTCACGGGCTCTCCGGCCTGGAGTTCCGTGTTCGCCTCGGAGTCGGATGCCAGCGGAGTGTAGGGTGTCACATAGGAAGCCGGGGACACGGTCGTAGGGTGGGAGAAACCTGCGCGTGTTCAAGATGAGCAACCTCTCGGGGATGGCAGCAAATGACCGGCCACTCACCCTTAAGCTTGGTGGTGCGGTAGACCTTGGAAACTTCATCCTCGATGAGCTTGTCTCCCTTCTGGCATATAGACACGATCTTCTCGCCTGCGACGCAGAGCTTGGAGACGGCGGCAAGGACCTTCTCCGAGATACCGGCGGCGACCCTGTACTTGGTAAGGGTGTCTGTGTTCGCTAGCGAGTAGTCTAGGGGTGGATGAATTAGCATCCGGTCGAGCTCGTCGAGCCTCGCGGGGTCGGGGACGGGACGAAAGACGAAGCAGCAATAGCTACGGGGGGGAGGGCAAGCCAAGCACGCAACACATTGGTGGGGTGTCTCGCAGGGCAGCTATGCTCGTGTGTGTGCGGTGTATGGGCGCGATACTGCGGGAGAAGATCCGAAAGAAAACTGCGAAAAATACACAATCGGGTTGGGAGCGGACGAACCAATTTCCTTGTCGTCGGACATGTTGGCTTGTAGATGGAGCCTATCTACTCGATCGTGCCGCACAGGCGAGAGTCCAGTTAAGCTGGTCAACGTAGGAGACTAAGGTAACGATGCAAGACGCAGAAGTGGGAGTGGGATCGAGGGAGACGTCGGGAGTCTGGCTGGAGAAATGTCGAGGTTAAGGTGCAGATGTATTCGGGTATTTTGGTATTTTGGTATTTTCGGCCGCTGCGGGGCTTTGTGCGGGAGAGGGGTAGCACCGGTCTGGCCTAGGAGCCGGCGAGCCTGCGCGACCCAGTGCGGGTTTGTTGGCTGACCGCGGCCGCAAAGCCGGCCAGCCAGATGCTGGGTTAGGCTACTACTATACGTAGAGTACCTACCTAGGTACCTACCTAGGTAGGCACCTAGCGAATTTTCCGCTGGGACCGGCTGCAGGCCCGATCCGCGCACACCAGTTATGAGGTTATCCCGTCCGCCCCGTGAGGGTTAAATGGATTAGTCTCATGGAATATTTATATACCCGCTTTCCAAAACGGTGAAGGTTAGATTACGACGCGCGTGTAAACGAGGAACATACAAACAGAATCCTGCTGGATCGAAAGAAAACCTCGAGGCTTCTCTCTTCGGAGGCCTTGACTACGTGGGAATCTCTCTCTCTCTTTTTTTTTCTTTTTTTTTTAAAAAAAAAAATCGATATGCGTTTAGATACATTAGACTGTCCAGGCGGGCTATCGCCGGGGGCTGAATTAACGTGAGAAGTATATGTAGAGTCTTCGCTCCCCGTTTCCCGATCCTCCGTATGGTATGGTCTGATGGGGGGCGCTATTACGACGTAAGAAACGGGGCTCCGAAACGGCCAGTTGCTTAGTTGCGGGCTGTGCTCGCTCCTGGCCGCTTCGGTCAGAGGTACTTCCCATTTCGCGGTGTCGCAAGCAAAATTTCATGTTCCTTTAGCTTATTCGATCGCGGTTCGTCGCGTGTCCCAGTCTTCTCCCAATCGCTCCTGTCTCTTCACTCTTCACTAGCCACGGTCAAAAAAGATATCCGACTTTGCATTTTCCTTCTCCCTTCTCCCCTCCCTCAACCTGAGCGCCCGTCGAAACAGCCATCGCGGCAGTACAACAACAGTATATCCGGCATCCTCGTATTGCGCGAGGGTAGTTTCTCTCCGCTATTCTGGGGACGCCTTTTAACGGCTGGGCTAATCAGCTACCCATAACAACTCACGCAACACGATCGATTCAACGCTACACCGTACACGATACTGCGCTGCATATACTGCGATATACATTATCGCGCAATACATACTGCATGGTCACCGAGGATTGATTGACGTGCTGAAGGGGCTCACATCGCTCTCCGTTCATCGAGACGCTCTCCATGTGAGGCTTCGCATTGGCAATGGCTACTCAACACGAGGCAGAACCCGCGCCGACGAATATCGCAGGTTCCGCTACCCTCTCGGCTTTACCGATTTCCAAGTCGGACCACTCATCGACGTCGACGCCCAAGAACAGGTCCGATGCGCCCGACGACTCGAATACCAGTGCCCTCCCGGGTCGCGACAAGGATGCCTTCAAGCAGATCCTGATCGGGCAGGCCGTCGCCCGAGACCACATACATTCCGCCGCCATGTTTAGCGACAAGGACCGCCAAAATGACCACAACAAATACCAATACAAGATGATTAACGATTACAAACTGTTACGGAACGAATACCGAGTCTGGTTTACTCCTAGCAGGCTCTTTGGCGAGGGCTATAATGGCTACGGCAATGGGACTACTGAGATTGGCGGCCCGTCGCGGGTCACGTATCCTCACCTCCGGCCCCGGCCGGGTCAGCGAAAGGCACCACGTCTGAAGTGGAAGAGGAAGGACATGAAGCAGCAGGCCGAGCAACATGAAGAACTGGTCCCCGTCAGGCTCGATGTGGATTGGGACAAGATCAAGCTGCGTGATACCTTCACTTGGAATCTCCACGAAAGAATTGTGGGCGCCGAGCTATTTGCGGCTTATTTGGTTGAGGACATGGGGTTGAAGCCGCCTGCTTTCCAGCCTGTTTTCGAGCAGGTCGTCCAGCAGATGCACGAGCAGCTCAACGACTTTTACCCGTTCGTATTCTCCGACGAGGATGCGCTAGACCCCGAGCTCCCGTATTCGGCTTGGAAGAACGACGAGATGAGGATTCTGGTAAAGCTGAACATCACCATCGGACAGCACACGCTGGTCGATCAATTCGAATGGGAGATCAACAACCCGCTCAACTCGCCCGAGGAGTTCGCCGCAAGCATGTCTAAAGACCTTGCGCTGTCGGGAGAATTTACCACCGCCATCGCCCACTGCATACGAGAGCAGACGCAACTGTTTACGCGCAGTTTATACAGCGTCGGACACCCCTTCGATGGCAGGCCCATTGAGGATCCAGACTTGGTCGCGGCCTTCCTCCCGTCGCCGCTACCCTCCGTATTTCGGCCGCAGCAGCAGGCTAAGGAATATGCCCCCTATCTATACGAGCTAAGCGAGACAGATCTCGAGAAGAATGAGATGGTATTTTCTCGAGAGCAACGGAGGCAGAAGAGGTCTATAAATAGGCGAGGAGGTCCCTCGCTACCTGACTTGAAGGAGAGACAGAGAACTATCCGGACTCTCGTCGTATCCAGTACATTACCCGGCGCGGCGAGCACGGTGGAGGAGAGTAGGCTCTACAAGCGAGTGGCGGGAGCGCCGGGCACCGGCCGGAGAAGAGGAGCAGGCGCACGCGACGGCGATATCTCCGACTCGGACGAGAGCGACGACTCGGGGCCGGACTCGCCGGCAGCTTCGCAGTTAGCTGGCACGGCGAGGACGAGAGGCATGAGAGGCGCTGCGACAGCTGCGCAACAGCGCATGGCGAATCTCGGCCGCTCCGAAACCCCCGAAGCCACTATACATCATCACGAAACCCGGACGTCGAGGAGATCTGGGCGTGAACTTACAAGAGAAGACACCGAAGAGCCCCAACACTACTTCGTCACCATGAAGGTCCCGAAAGAAAAGTTACGGAAATTCATCCGCGATCTGAAGCTGAAGCAGAGCACGCCAGGTCGGTCACAGACACCATCGCAACCCCAAGGCCGCGCACACAGCGCTTCCGTATCGAACGCCATGCCTCCCCCTTCCACCCCGAATACGTCGACATTGGCGGCGCCAGCGACAACGCCCACCGCCAGCATACCTCCAGGACAGATCGGTCGCGTTGAAGCCCCAGTTCCAGTAGCCGGGGCACCTCCCCCAGTACCCGTAAGATGTTTCTCACTCTCCCCCGCACCCCTGCCCCTCCGTCTTCCGATTCCCCAGCGGCCGCTATGATCTACAGTCGTGATCACGACGCGGCGGGAGCCTCTGCTTTTCACCTAACCATCCTGCGCTCATGCTCACCACCTTTTACAGCCCCCTCCTCCCACGTGGCTCGTCGCGGCGCTGGATAAGTTCAAGCAGGAACCAGCCTACGCGAACGATAATTTCGAAGGCGTCATGCGGTACAGCGCGGTCGACACCAACACGGGCGCGCCAGCCTCGGTCCCGCAACAGGGCCAACCGGTTTCCCCGCACATGCGGTTCTACTTTCTACCCCGTATTCGCTGTCTCGACTGCCCCGGCAAGCTGTACACCCCCGGCCCGGACATGTCAGCTTCTAATTTCGAAGTGCACCTCAAGAACAAGACCCATAAAGAGAGGGTCGAGGCCCGGTTAGTGGCAACCAACGGGAAACCCGGCGGCGGCGCCTGAGCGAGGGCGGTGAAATTTATACCCCGATTTACCTCGCTATTTTTCTTTGCTCTTTCTCTCCGCCGGTCCCCCCAGCTCTCTCACATCTCCTTTACTATTATCTCTTCTATAGCGGACTTGGAGCAGACGCCTTTCAGGAATGGGGACTATAAGACAGAGAGAGAGAGAGAGAGAGAGAGAGAGAGTTACGCAGTTAACTTATTTGAAGACATTTAGCCTCGGAGATGGACCCCTAGATGGACGCGGACGTGTCTCGGCCGGATAAATATTGTTAGTCGCGGGAGAGTTGAAATGTGGTGCGTTCCGATCGTCGGCAGGAAGCGCCGAGTTTGTATGAATAGGTACACCCGACCTACCCAACCAGCCTGCTTTCACGCCCCCTTCCTCCCCCCCCATCATCCATATAATAAGTAGCATTCTCTTTGTAGGAGCATACCTGGTAGCGAAGTCGGTTCGAGCCTCGCCGACGCGGAATTGGAGACGCATTCCCATATGTATGCTTACCCGGGACTTGCACCGGCTGCGCACCTAAGCACGGTGTACTGTGCCATGTTTCGACCAGAGCAGGAATGAATCGATAACAGGTAGGTACCCAATGTACATACTAAAGGTGTGGCTGGGCCACGATAATACATCATACTTCGTATATCTATCTTGCTACGCGATATATGCATATCTACCTAGAGTACCAGGTACGTCTTCTTAGATTTGTAGGCGCGTTACGTAGGTAGGTACCTACCTTGGGCACCTCCTGTGGGGCCTACGCGTGGCGGTACCTGGTACACAGCGTATGCGCCCTAGGTACCTAACTTAATACCGGATTCAGTGCCGAACCCCTGCTCGCCGCGCGCTCCTGATCTTGGCTCCTGGCCGCGCAGGGATTCGCTGGCTGATAATGGTGATAAGCCTATTAGGCAGGCCGACGGCGCAGATTCAATGGGAGAAGAGAAAGGTCCATTTCGCAGCCTCGTGCCGTCGGTCGGTGACGCGGAATGCATCTAGAATTTACGCCCTTGCGCCCGCCACCTTCCGCATCACAAGTCGGCCGGCGATGGACGACGCCTCTTGCGCGATTGCGACTTCCCCAGATTGCTTGTCTCCGTAAATGCCATAAATGCAATGCATCTCTCACCACGTGATTCCGGGCGCGTTCCAATCTTCTCCTTCTGCCACTGCCGTCACCACCAACACCGCTACCGCTACCGCCGACCGCAACATTGATTCTCATCCTCCATCTCGCCTGCTCCCCCCCCCTCTACTCGAGCACCCTTTGCGCCCTCCGAACCACCACCCTCTCCTCTGCGAGGATCCTAGCCGCCTTTTCTACCGCGAAGCCCGCGCGCCGATATCGACCAAGATGGATCCGGCGCCTCCTCCCACGCCCATACAGTCCATCGACGAGCCGGGCGTGAGGGTTCCGGACCACGTAGTCCACGCTTTTCGCCAGGAGGTAGCCAACCTCCTCCACCGGAACTCCACCGGATTCCCCGGCGCGCAACCCGTCAGCTTTACGAGGAAGCACCTCGACGAGCTGCTTCGTGAGGAGTGAGTAGACGAATGCCCCAGCCGCATTAGAGTTCGCCGTCCCGTCGTCGATCGAGGCTGACCTGTCCTTTCTTACGTCGCAGTTATTATGTCTGCGAAAAATCCGACGGGATTCGCTATCTCCTCTACATCACCGAAGACGAGAACCACACCGAGTCGCACTACCTGATCGATCGCAAAAACGATTACTGGTTCATCAATCCCGGCTCGTTGCATTTTCCTCTCCCGCAGAACCAACTCGCTTCCCACGTGGCCACGCTTCTGGATGGCGAGCTCGTCATGGACACCTTGCCTGACGGGCGCCGGGAACCGCGATATCTCGTCTTCGACTGCCTCGCGCTCGACGGCCAATTGCTGATGTCGCGAGAGCTCTCCAAGCGGCTCGGCTACTTCCAGGAGCAGCTGTACAAGCCGTACAAGAAGCTGCTCGAAGAATACCCCCAGGAGAAGCAGTACCAGCCCTTCTTCATGGACCTCAAGTCCATGCAGATGGCCTACGGCGTCCGCATGATCTTCGAGGACGTCATCAAGAACCTGAAGCACGACAACGACGGCCTCATCTTCACCGCCCTGCACACCGAGTACAAGCCGGGAACCGACCCGCACATCCTGAAGTGGAAGGAGGCGGAGGAGAACACGGTCGACTTCGTGTGGAAGCTGCGGTTCCCGCAGGTGGAGCCGGACGAGCAGGACCGGGCGGAGGGCGCGACGGGGCCGTTCGTCGACTACGAGGCCAAGCCGGCGGCGGAGCTGCTGGCGAACCACGGCGGCGGGTTCCCGGACGGGTACCGGCACTTCGGGGAGCTGCACCTGGAGGACGACGAGTGGGCGGTGCTCAGGGGCCTGGGGGACCCGCTGGACGAGCGCGTGGTGGAGGCGTACATGGACGGCCAGAAGCGGTGGCGCTTCTACAAGTTCCGCGACGACAAGACGGACGGCAACCACATCTCCGTCGTCAACAGCGTCATCGAGAGCATCCGCGACGGCGTCACCAGCGAGGAGCTCCTCAACCACAGCAAGAGCGTCCGCGACAACTGGAAGGCCCGCCAGAAGTTCCGCAAATAAGGAGCCGGCCGGCCGTCTCGATGCGCCGTCCCTCTCTCTCGCGCTCGGCCGACAAGGCGGACAAGGCGGGATCGGCTCCCCCCGAAATCGAGGCGCCCGAGAATCGTCGGCATGGGCACCCATTTATTTTCTTTTGTCTTGGTCGTTGGCTCCTCCTCCCCGTCGGAGCTAATGGGCGACGGATCGGCTTCATCCGATCGCAGCGGCGGGGAGGTGGGCACTAGTTGGTGCAACGAGGTTTCTTCGGCGGGCTGGGGACCAGGAGAGCGGAGTTCTAGGACGACGGCGCGCGCGGGGCGGCTCGCAGAGAAAACGGGTTTGGCTTACTTGTTAACTGTGGTTATGTTATTTGTTGCTGTGATGATTATTACTGCTATTACCATGATTGTCGCTGTTCCTGCTATTTTAGAGTCCTTACTTACATGCGTGGGCAGCTAGAATTTTTGTGAGGTCTGTCGCTGGCATCTTCGCGCTGCTGCTGTTGTTATTATTATTACTCTTTTCTTCCTCTTCTGCCCTCGCTGTCGTCTTCCCCCCCGGACCCTCCTGTGGGCACGGGACCGGCTTGTCTGGATGTGTGATGTTTTGGGGGGGGGGGGGGGGGGGGGGCTGGTTTGTATTGTATTGAGACGTACGTATTACATGACACCGACTGCGCGTAGAGGGACGCTCGTAATATATGTATATGTGGCGTATGGCTAACTCTCAGTACATGTAATGGTGCGCACAGGTGTACGGTTGCAGTGTCTTGTCTCTGGGCAGAGGCATGAGACCGACTATGTAGGTCTCCAGCAAGCTGCCCGGGGTTCCGACTGGATAAGATATTCAGCTGGGCAAATCATCGACTGCCTTACGCTCCTCTATCGCCGTCTACGACGAATAGAGGGGGTCGAGAGAGAGGAGCGAAGGGAGAGCAGACTGCTAGCAGGCCGCGCGAGACGGCGGGTCTGCGCAGTTCGGGGGGGCTCGTCATGGCAGATGGCAGGGTCATCGAAAACATCCATCCACCCGAAGGCTGTACCGTAGCGAAGCAACCTAACGTTAGGAGAGGCGAAATGCAGAAGCCAGACAGACGAATTAGGTACAGTAGAAGTAGCAGCTGTAGTAATTATACTACCACACCTATTCGCCCCCGTTCCCACGGTCGACCGATTCGGACTGAACCGACCGATCGATTAAACCAAACCCCAACCGATCAACTCGACTCGACTCAACCCGACCCGACTCTCGCGACTGTCTCGAGGCAGCTTCGAATGTGTGATAATAGAAAGGAAAGCCTGCTAACTCACGCAGAAGCTATTGGAATTCGTCTTATCGGATGTCTCGCCCTCGGCTACCATCCATCGTACTAATATACCCCGTCCTCCTGCTTGTCCCCCTTCCCCCTCTTTCGCCAACTAACTACGAATGCTGCCGAGCATGTCAAGGGGAAAAAAAAAAAGATACGAGTTAGGTCGTCTCCCGCGCGTCCTTCATCGATCTTATTCCTCGTCCTCCTCTTCGTCCTGCGTCTCTTCTGCTGCTGCGCTTCTTCTAGACCTCGTGGCGCGGGTGCTAGGAGCTCTCGTCTTCGGCGCCGGCTTCGGCTTGCTCTTGCTAGCGGCGGCAGTAGGCGATTTGCTCTTGGAAACGCTCGCTTTGACGGCTGGCCTCGAGACCAGGCTCTTAATCTTCGAACTGGGAGGCGAGGTTGCCGCTGCCCGACCTTTCCGCCCATTCGTTTTCGGTGGTGGGGGTGCCGGGGCTTCCTCTTCGTCTTCCTCGATGTCGCTCAACTCGTCTTCGTCTTCGTCTTCCTCTTCCTCGGGCGCTTCCATCTTGTCGTCATCGCTGGCAGCCTCGGGTTCTTCTTCCTCGGGTTCCGATAGCTCAGAGGAATCGTCATTTTCGTTCTCTATGATCTCTCCTTTGTCGTCGTAATATTCCCATTCTGCTACACCCTCTAGCATATCCTCATCATCTTCCGACGAATCTCGCTCAATATACGACGAGTTGTTCCTCGAGCGGCCGCTGCGTCTCCGGTCCGCAGAATCCGCAGCGGACGATGACGCGGCAGATTTCTTCTTCTCTGAAGATTTCGAAGATTTCGCGGATTTCTTCGAGGCTTTGGCGGCCTTCGGTGTTTTCGGTTTCGCGCTAGCCTTTGGCACGACACTTCTTACTTTCTTCTGGGCAGGCTGTCCGTCAGCCCGCTCGTCGATGCTCTTACGTTTCTGAACACCGGTCACGTTAGCTGGGGGTGGCACGTATGAGATGTGATACAAGATGTACCTTTTTCTTGTCTAATGACCTGAGTAGGTCATCTAGCTGCTCGTCCAGCCCTTCTGGAAGGTATTGTTTCTCCGCGATCTCCTGAGCCACGTCATGACTAGGAAGTGCTGTGTACAAGCCTATGGGTAAGCCAATTTTGCCTGAATAGGCCTGGAAACTCCAATTCTTCTTGTCTTGCCATTTTCTCAGTACACTCTGGGCCAAGTCGCTGACAACGTAGAGGTTCTCGCTCTGCTCTGGTGAGATGCCGTCCCTTGTTTGTTTTACGCGTTCGGCATACTTGACGATCATCCCAAGATTTGTCTCGGTGACGACGTTACTGACGTAGTATAGGAGATATCTGGCATGGTCTACCAAGTCTTCCACTTCTGTGCCATAATCCGGGTGGTGCGCCAACAGGGAGATTAGCCTGCCCATCGTTGCCTCCATGACATTCTGTTTAGCGTCCCGATAGAAGCGCGCCCTCGATCGTATCCAAGTTTCAATTTGGTTCTTGAAGCCGGTATCTGGTTCGAAAGCTGTCAAGAAGATTATTGTGTAGAACCGAGGCCGTAGTTTGTTTTGTACGAGATACTTCTGAAGCTTCTCGACGAAACGTCGACGGACCATGGCGCTCTGGTCCTGGGTCAGAAACGCCAGCAGATTGAAGTCGGCATGTGAAAAGAGCTCCTCAAAATGCTTCGAGATACAGAGCTTCAAGAAGAGTTGCCCGGCAAGCAACCGGAGACGTGCTTTATGATGCTTAGGCGTGTTTTTCGTCTTGCTTAGTTCGCCTTGCTGCTTAAGAAGACTGCGAAGAAGCTTGAACACCGGTTGCGCAAGCTCTCTCGCCTCTTCTAGGTCCCGGTTACCTCGCAGGCGATTCACCACCAATTTAAGCGCCCAGCTTTTGATTTGACATTCGTCGTCAAGCTCCGAATCGGCAATCCACTCAGGGTCCGAATCTTTAGCGTCGGTGCGGACCTTGAGGAGGACATTATCCAGCACAGTGTCGATGATCTGGTCGTTGGCATCGGCCGTCACCTTATGTGCTAGAAGTTCCAGTTGACTGACTGCTGCAAGTCTTGTGAGGAAATGAGGTGAATCGTAGTTCCAATCCTTCAAAACTCTCTGCAGTAGGTCCGTTGCCGTCACCATGCTCTTTTCATCTTTCCTCGCTACCATGACGTTGACGGCATATTTAGCAACCTTGGCCGGCTGTCCGTTTAGGGCGTAACTCATCAATGCCTGAACGAACTTGCGATCGTCCGGAAGCTCGTCGGGATACCTCTTCGAATACGAAGAGCAGGCCTTCAACGTTTCAACCATGGCAAGATCGTTTGCGTGATCCGAGGTTGGTGCGCCATCCACGAGATCTTTGCAGAGTTGCCCAACGTGTGTCTTAAACAGGTCTGGGTTAGTTTGAGAGATTTCAGTAGTGATCTCCTGAGCGGCCGCTCCTAGTCCGTCTTTGTCGCTCTTAGAAAAATCCATGTATGCCGAGAGGTGACTCTTGTTAAACATGATATAGGAGGAGCGGTAGAGGAGCGGCAATAAGGTGTCCAGCATGTGCGGCTTCGGGGAGCCCTGAACCCTCTTGACAAATTCTTTGACAGCTCTGTGCATCGTCTTAAAATCGCTCTCCGCCGAAACGGCAAATTTGATCAGTTGGTAGCAGCGACGATCGTGCCAGCTGGCAAAGCTGTGCAGATCAGCTTCGACCTTTACCGGGTCCGGGAGGAACTGGGACAGGTACTGGATCGTCTTCTTTAGGTTGTGCTTGATCCTGTCTTCGTTCTTTTCTGGATTTCCCCCGTTGAATGCGTCGCACTGGAGAACCAGATTTTCCAGCACCTTCGAAAACTGCGGTTGCCGTGCTTGTAGCGCATTGAATGCTCTCTTCGCATTGCTGTCGAGATCTTTCACCAGCAATAGTATCCTCTCGACACGGACCCTATCTTGGTCGTAAGCTGCCGCATCAGTAGCTGATTGGGATTGGGAGTTGCCATTCGATGACTTTGTCCCTTTGGCCTTGGGGGGCGGGGGGAAAGAAAGTGGCACTAGACATTCGAACACAACACGTTCTAGCAGGACGTTTAATTCTAAATCATTGGCATAAAACGTGTTGAATATCCGGGAGGGGATACCCGAGAGTGCCGAGGATACCGCTTCTTGCCCGGCTGCCAGTTCGCCGCTGCCCACGGCCCAGAGTTTCCCCAAGAGAGCCATGGCTTCGACGCGAACCGAAGGTCTCTTGTCTCGACACCTGTCCGTAAGTGTGGATAGCACCGAGCCTTCCTTATTCACGCCTCCCGTTGCGGCCAACTTGAGGACGATGTCGCGGAAGCTGAAGGTTTCGATGGCCTTCACGGCCGCCAACCTGACCTTCTCGTCGCTATCGTTGAGTTTGTCCCGCAGGCCATTGACAAATACCGACTCGTCCTCTCGGCTGAGTCCGATGTTGCCCGCTGATGTGGATATAATGTAACCGACGGCTGTCGTCCATGCGGCCCGAATCAGAGGGGACTTGTCGTTCCTCCTCCCGACGAAATTATGGAAGGCTTGAGAATGCGTCTGGGCGAAGGATAAGGGTGAAATCGGAGTGTTAAGAATACTGATTGCCGGGTGGTCTATAGTCTCGTCGTTTAATTTTAAGGGCGGATATGCCGTCGGGTCGAGCACCGGGGAGGGGGGTGGTCCCGCAGCGCCGATCCCAGATATCATGTCTCCCAGTGTCTCTGTGGCTAACAACCGCAACTGGACGTTATCGGTGGAAAGTTCAGTGTCAACCTGGGGTATAACATTAGGTAATACCGCTGGGGCGGCCCGCCAGAGTTCTCGCAGAAGTTGATGTGCCTTGCGTAACTCCTTGAAATCCGATTCCGATGGCCCGGCAGCGGTATTGTCCTCGTCATCTGAGTCATCGTCATCCTTCTGCCCGTTGGCATGCCCGCTATTCCCGGAAACATCCATAATCACTTCGCTGAAATACTGGCCCACGTAACGTGCCATCTTCTCCGGGCACGAATTGCACACAGTCTTGGCCATCACATATGCTTCTGGCTCTTCCTTGGGTAGCAGGGTTGTCTGCTTCCCATTCGAATCCGCCTTGTCCCTATGGCCTCCTGGGGGCGCAGCTCTCAGGAATTGGGCCATGATAACGTCCAGCACAGCGGGCGGGAGCGACGGGCTCTCCTCTACTAATGTGACGAGGATATCTGTCATGTGGAACTCGACGTCCTTAGCGACCTGCTCCCCCGATGTCGCTTTCGAGGACCCCGAGATGCCGTCGAAGAAGGAAGAAAATAGCTGAAGTAGGAGTTCCTCGGAATTCGAGACATCGTTGATCAAGAGGATACTCTTGACCTCGGCGAGGGATGTGAGGACGTATTTATGCTGGGTGTTGTATGCGTTGGTCGGGTCCCAGAGGGCTGGGAGGATGGTGTTGACGAAAAGAGAGAATATTTCCTAGATGGAGAATACCACGACGGTCAGAATACGCACAGTCGTCGCCGACTCGGAGGGGACGAACCTTCAATTGCTTCGGCGTGAAAGGCGCTTCGGGGGCACACAGCTTCAAGATGTCTACCAAGCATGCCGCCGAAAAAGCCTTGACTCCTCCCTCCCTGTGCGCTAGCAGGTTGTGCGAGGCTAGTTCCTTCGCAACACCAGCAAGGGACTCCTTGTCCACGGTTTCTTGATCCATATCCACCAGCTCCTTGGAGAGCTTTTCCAGGCGTCGCAGGAGTTCACCAGTGGCAATTGGTCTTCCGGCGCGCCATGACAAGGGCTCGTCGAATTGGAGGCTGACCAGGTCCTCCTCCATCTCCTGGTCCTCTTCCTCCGGGACCTCGTCCCTGCGGCGCGACATGTCGGATCTACGGCAGCGGCACCAAGAGACCCGTAGGTTTTATATGGACACGATGAGGTACACGATGCCGCGCGACGATTTTTCGCTGGAGGCGTGGGTGGTCCGAACGTGTTTCGCGAGGGCGGGGCGAGGCGACGGGACGGGCTAGTCGTGAGGAATCTTGTGGTGGCAGCCCTCGAGCGCAACGGCGGAAGATGAGACGGGAAAGAGAAAATTAATTAAACCGTCGGTGCAGCGAGACTAGGCCTAAATCACACAACGGACGAGAGGCTTCTAGTCGCAGTATGACAACATTAAGAGGATACGGAAGATGGAAGGGGAACAATGGTGGAACGAGATGCCGCGGAGAGAGAGAGAGAGGGAGGGAGAGGGAGCAACTTCGACGATGAGCGAGATGGTCTCTGTTCCGCAGTTGTTACGCTATGCTACGCGACGGGCTCTAGAGGTCCCAATCAACCTTCCTAGTGGCGTCGCGTGTGGCGTCCACGAGTACATTTGGAGGTACAGGTACAGTGTAGCCGCAGGAACACACGTATCTACCACTGCCAGGGTTGTACCCACGTTGTATACGCCTATAGCTACTCGAGTCGAGTAACCTTAAGAATACCTCTACCTGCTGAGTATAGGACCTATACATCGAGAGAGGTACCTGTATATATAAGGGTAAATTATGTTCCTATCATGTACCTAGCTACTTAGATGATAGGTACCTAGGTACCTAAGCAAGTACATGACCATACATTCTTAGGTACTTGATAAAATAAACCTGAGGTAGGTGGGTACTGGCAGAAAACCCGAAGCCAAGGGAGGCGCACTACCTTAGGTACCTAAGTATATACACACCTCTTACTGTTCCCATCCTGAGGCTCCAGGAGGAACCCCTTCGACCTCAACTTCACTTTAGAGGTAGATACCTAGGTAGATCGTGTACTAAGGCGCCCTCGCCGAGGCAAGCATACCTGTACATCCCTATGCTAAGAAAGGTAAAGTGTCTTATTCATACATACCTTTTATAGCCTCATCCAACTATATTAACAAATACATCCACCAACTATATTAGCAAATACATCCACCAGATTCTCCCCGTCCCCGATCGGGTAGTATCATCAGTAGTTAGTAGTAGCAGCAGCAGTAGTATCGTCTCTTTCCCCTGTATTTCCTAGGAGTTGCCTCGACGATACATATAGGCGCTCCTCTTATTGTGTATTTGTGTACTTATGTAGGTACTTGTTTACTTACTCTCCGTGTTTAGCCCTTCCCTATAGCTTCCTCGTTTCCACTAACTAATCCCATCAATACCATCTAATATCACAGGTACTTGTAAATAACTAGGTGTCTGCCTGGCACAACGGATATTGCAAAAAGAGGGAGAGCCAGGAATTCTTTAACCCCCCTTTGGCAAATCAAGTCTCGCCAAACTGTATTATACAAGACAAGACACAGTATAAATCAGCGGCAGCGGTTTGCTAGTTCCTGTGTTTGTCAGTGTTAGTACTACTTCGCGAAAGAGACTCATCTCATGTATCAATTTCAGATGAGATACATGGGAAGACGTTCATTTGATACAATGCTCTGGTGTTGATTTCGGGTTTTTTGCTGTGATGAATCTGCTGTATCAGGACTTACATCCCTTATATATGCATACGTACTTAGTTAACTGGGTACTTAGGGCTTTGCTATCGTTCCTATACCTCTGGTGACGCTTCGTCCGTTTTGGGGGGCAGGATACCAGGCCAACAGAATCAGCTGGGAAATAATATATATAAGTTAACACTTCTCCCGGTTTTCCCTCTGGAACTCTCCTCGGATTTCCTTCTCACAGGTCTCTTCTTCAACTCACCTCTCTTGGATCCGCCTTCATAACCTCAACCACGTCGCCCCGAGTGTCATCCCGAGATACTCTTAACCTACGAAACGTCTTCGTACGCGTTCACTTCGAGGCCTCGAGAAGAAACGAGCATCGAGTTCATCAGCATTGTATGTATCTCTCCCCAATACCTGCCTGCTCCTCCTGCTCCCACCCCGACTCCGGGGGCTGTGCTCCCGCTGCTTGCGGTGAATCTCCTCCCACTTGTTATCACACCCGTTGCCCTCCACCCAACTGTTACCCACCAGTTTCTCCAACGAAGCCCCTCCCCAGGCTTTTTCTCCTTGATTGCTCAAGAGTCCCTATTCACTTCCAAACATAAACACAGCATAACTTTCCACCTCCCTTCCCTTCCATCCTTTCTCTCCTTTCCTACCTTCGTCCACTCCTCCACCTGAACATCAACGTTTTCGTGACGGAATCTTTCTCAACACGCACGCGTTCCTTCAACCGAGTTAACATCTACACTCCCTAGGAATATCTCTGATCAATCTCGAGACACTTGGTGAGTACTTCTTTCTGCCTCAGAGTTCCTCCTGCGGCTGCCTATCCTGCCCGGCTCTCCACGACCTAATATCTCATCATTCCCATCACGTCCTAGCATCCCCTCAGATTCCCCAATCCACCGTTACTTCAATCATTTCCTAGCTTGATGATATCAACACCAACATACTGGGACTTCCACCTGCTGATCGTGTCTCGTTCAACCCAGATACTTGAGCACCGCAATGTCTATCCTTGGCAACAACATGGAGACTCAGCCTCAGACCTCGTATCTGGGCTCCTTCAAGGGATATATCAGCAAGGCCATGGAGCGTTTCTCCACCGGACCAGCTGTGGCCAAAGCTCAGCAGGGTGTTGTTGAACGTGGCCCTGTTCGAAGCGGACTCGCCCGGATTGGTAACAGTAAGACTCGTCCACCGTCCATGCCATCCCCGTGTTATAAAGCTAAGTGACGTCAACAGAGATCTACAAGCACCGATACAAGGTGATCCTTCTTGTTGGTATCGTGGGCGGTCTGGTCGCCTCCGAGCTTGGTAAGCACGATGCCGACTTTGTGCCAGCTTGAAAGTGGCTCCTCGTAACTAACTTGTACTTACAGCCACCGCAACTCAGAGCCCTCAGGGGGGTGGCCGTGCCGTCGAGCACCAGCATGATCGTCGACAGGCCTACACCTACGGCCAGCGTCCGACCTTCACGTTTACTAACTCATCTTCTACTGTCGATCCGGGTGTCACTGTTACTGCTTTCTCTATCTTGACGACTGCTCCCTCTGTTCCCGCTACTGAGACAACTACATCCAGCGTCAACGATACTACGTCTGCTACGTCTTCTGGTGTTACCAGCTCAGTCACCAATTACACCACTGTGGTTACCACTGTTTACGGCACGGCCACTATCACCGCGTTCGGAGGCTCGAACCAGTCTTCCCCCGCCGGCCCGATTGTGATCACGTCGACCAAATCTGTCTTCTTGAACGGCACGCTATCGGCAACCGCTAGCACAATCACCCGGACTGTGACAGGCAACGCTACTATGCCGACATCGACTACAGGTTCCATAGATGCCATGACTGCCACTAGTCTCACGGCTCTCTCGGGCGGCCTTCCCTTCTCGGCCGCGGGCCCTCAAGGCTCACGAAACACGTCTTATGTCACAGTTACCGCGACAGCCACATCCTTCGACAACTGTACCTTGGCAGCTTCGCAGACTCAGCAGCCTACCACCAACATTACAACCAGGTGGGCAATAACACACCCTCTTCTCCCATTGTAAGGAAATATACAACTAACGTGCCTTATCCAGCTCTGTCGTGACCTCTGAGAGTATTACCGGATCCATGGTTGTTGCTACGGCAAATTCTAGCACCCAGTCTGCTCCCGAGTCCACGTCCACCAAGACGACGACTACCGCTACGACGGCCAGCAGCTCTGAGGGCGACAGCTATTCGGTCATCGTGTTCACCACCACTGGCTTAGAGACATCTACACTTCAGTTCACGCCGAGCCCAGTGCCTACCTCGACCACGGATACGTGCGGCCTCAAGGAGACGGAGACCGTCACGGCCACCGTCTTCCAGACCGTGTATCCCGTCCCCACCTCGTCGTCCAGTGACGGGGGCTATCTATCGGTCCAGACCGTCTCCTCGGTCCAGACATCGGATACTACTACTACCCCGACGGCGTCGTCCTCGGTGCAAAGTGACCCATGCAGCGCGTCCACCGTTATCGCCACGCCGAGCACAGCCTCTACTGCTTCGTCCTCCGCTAGCACGTCCAGCATCTCGGTCTCTTCCTCCGGCATGAACTCCTCGCGGGCCTCGACCCCGTGCAGCTCCGCCAACATGTACACCGTGGTCGTGACGCCGAAGCTCGGCTCCTCGAGCGGCAGCGCAGCCAGCCAGACGTCTAGCAGCGAGGGCGGCGTCCTGACGGCGCAGAATTTCTCCGCCCACAGCACCAGCACCGCCGGCGCGGGCAGCACCTTGACCACGCGCACCGTCTCCGCGCTCGCGGCTAGCACTACTCTGGGCTTCAACGGCACCGCCACCAACACGACCGTCGCCGGCACCCTCTCCGCGTCCGAGGCCTCCTCGCAGACCCCGCAGCCGACCGAGAGCCCCCCCGCCGCCGACGTCCTGACCGGCGGCGCCGCGAGCTCGACGCGCGCCCACTTGTTCACCACCGTCGCCGTCGTGGCCGCCCTCTCCTGGCTCTTGTGCCAGTAGACCTGACGCGTCCGCGGACACGCCCTCTTTCCCCTTTCCGCCTTCCAGGGTTCGTTGGAAAAAGAAGGGAACATGCCGTTAGTTATGACGCGCACGACATGGTGACGAAGGAGGGGGAGTGAGAGTGAGCTGTAAAGGGGCCCACCGAGGAGAGACCGGATGGGTCGTCTGTTGCTCTTTCTTCGCTGGACGACTTTCATTTTTCCTCTTCCTCGTTTTTCTGATGTACACTATTCTCGCGCGGCGATGAGGGCGCCAGGACACGAGCACCGCTCGGTTTGTTTGTAATTACTTCCCCTCGCAATTGCTCGTTCTATCTTTCTCTTTCACCGCTGTTGTCTTTTCAAGATTAGCAACGGTTCGGTCAGAAAGGTGGAAATATCGTCGCGTGCCCGTCTCCCCCTTGTTGGGCTTGGCGGGGGGGCTGAAAAACCACACACCCCAAGGATGTTGTTTTGCTCGTTTCGCAGGTTATAGCTCCGACGACGAGTCGGCAACGAACGGATAAATAAATTTAATTAATGCCATGGCACGTTAATCCTGTCTGTCAAATATCTGCGTCGGTTTAATTAAACCTGCCACTTATATCGTCGCATATGTTAGGGACAGAAGACATTAGACGGGAGATCAGCCCAGAGTATCGTGAAATGTTATCCCAGAATAGGCTGGCGGGCTGATTTATGCAAGTACCTATGTTTTTGCTTTCGGTATATTATTCGATTTTATCCTATGCGCCTCACTGTAACATGGCATCCAGGCTCTCCCCCAGTACTCCCTCTATCCCTACAATCCAGCGGTTCGTTTCCCGCTCCACCTCGTCGTCGTCGTCGTCCTGCAGCTCGCTGATATAAGGGAGCATCTCCGGCAACATCGACAGCCACTCCTCGCCCAGCTTACCCGTGAGGGCCTGCTCGCACCTGACGGCCGCAAGCCGCACCGAGCTCTGCTCGGAACGCAAGTGCTTCAACAGACTGCTATTCAGCTCCTTCTGGTGCTCCTGAGAATCAGAGGCTGCGGCGAGCTCGACGATGGTGGGGATAAAATCATCCGCCAAGTTGACGTGGGGCGCATGGGAAAGCTGAGAGGCTAGTACAGATGCCACGGCGTCGAAATGGGCGGGAGCTTGCCAGAAGTCGTCTTGGTCATGCTCAAAACACTTGGCTAGGGTTTGGAGTACCTTCCGCCACAATTCGCGCTCCTCCGGTCTTCGCAGACTTGCCGTCTTCAGCACATCGACGGCGCTGTCGATGATATAGGATGCGTAGCTTGTGACGATGGACTTAAGATTGCCGAAGAAGGAGAATAGGAATCCGTAGACACTTACGATTCGGAGGTCCCTGCCATTGTCGCCTTCCTTCGGCAATGAAGTGGTCCAGTCCATCAGCTGTGAGAAGATAGGTCGGAAGGCAGCATCGTTCAGCTTGTAGATCATCTTCAACGCTACGTTATTGACATCCTCTTCAATACGAGGCAACTGCCTCGAGAGATCCTCGCTGGCATCCTTCTTGAAGTATTCCAGCCTTCGAAGATCGAACGCATTGATAAATATGGACGAAAGCGTAGTCACGTTCTTCGTGATATCTGCCTTCGAGTGTTTGTCAATTGCAATGCCTAGAGTCTCAAGATATTCTCGCGTAGCCTAATTTCACTGTTAGCACGGCTGGTTCCTTGTTGGCTGCGTTCTAGGCTTACCACGAAACCGGCGCCGGTGGCCGTAGCCCAGTTGTGTTCCAAGGCGGAAAACAATGGCTTGGCGTCGACCTGTTTAGCGAGCAAACGGAGGCACTGAAGTCTGGCGTTATTGGCTTCGCTGCCCGTAATGGATTGCGCAGAGGCGCTGGAAGTAGCCAGTAGCTGCCTTAGGTAGGATGTAGATAGCATGTATGGGAGGTGCTGTGCGAGTGCCGCCACGAAGGCGTATCCGGCATTGTGGAGCTCTACTCTCGGGGTTTCGCCTGCGACGCCTGAAGCTATATACGAGAGTGCTTTTGGTATAGCCGATGGCAGGATGGGGACAACTCCGTCCTGAAGCACGTCGACTAAGGAAGCTAGGCATAGCAATGCCATGACGCGGAGCTTATCGTCGTCCTGGCCCAAACATTGATCACTGGCAATGGTGGCGGCGGCAGCGGTTACTGCCTCCGGATCCTTCTTCCCGTATTTCTCGGATATCCTATCCACACAGCTTACAGCCACGTGCTTGTATGCCGTATCATCGGAGACCCTGATAATAGCTGTTAGGTGTGGTAAGAATGCCAGCAAGGCTGCCCTGGAATTGGCGTCCGACTGATTCTCGTCGTCGATCCGGACCTCCACGGCTCGTAGGACCTTCCGGCGCAGAACGACGTCAGGCCGGTCTAGGAGCGTCTCGACTGCTTTGATGAATTCTCCAATTGAAAGCAGGTTCAAAAGTTTCGAGAGTGTGTCGCCGCAGCGGTTGTAGAGGCTCTTATACTGCTTCAGCGAGTCCGCCAGGATCAGAAGATCCTCTAATAGGGTTGAGTAAAGCTCACGGACTTTCGAGGCTACCATGTCGTCTCGTTCGGTTAGTTTGCTGATATGCGTCGTCAACTTTCTGCTGGACAGGAGGTGAGAAACTAAGTGTAGCTGGTAAAGTCCAATCTTCTGGGGATCACGCTCATCTGGCTTTTCATTGGTACCCAGAAGGACGGAGGAAAGGCTTGGTCTCGGCTGGAAAATATCGCCAATGACATTGAGAAGCTTGGTCAAGGACTGGAGTTGGGTCTCAACTGGGAAGTGGTTGAAGAGCTCGGCAGCGAACGGCAATACTTGATCAGTTGCGCCGTACATGTTTACAAGCATAGACAGAAGAGCAAAGAGAAACTCTTCAGCTCCTAGCGTTTCTACTAGGGACAGAAACAGACCAAGCCTTCGGTGCGATGGTATATGCTCGTACGCGGTGACGAAACTCAGCAAAAGCTCCGACACCCCTGCCAGTGGACTTATTTTCCCCTTCCGGAGAGACTGGATAAGCGGCGGTACGACTTCCTTAATTGTTTGGTTGATCACATGTGCCGAGTAGTCGTCGCTCTGGCGTAGCACTGAGCCTCCCATGTGTGTAAAGATCGGCATCACGCTGTTCAAAATTAGGTCTGGGGCAACGCTTGCTAGACTTGCCACGAGTAGGAGCGCGGTGCCTTGGACCGTGGGGCTTGTAGACTTCTGGATACAGTTGACGAGAAGATCACCGTGCCCAGCTGTACTGTCAATTTTTAGGGCTGCGTTATTCTTGTATGCGGGAACCATGGCCAGCAAACTTCGCAACACGAGGTTTTGAAGATACCCGAGCTCCGAGCCGACGAGCACCCTGAAGTGTTGTAATTCGGAAAGGGCGCCAAATAAGGCATTGAGTAGTTCTGGGCGTTTCTCGGGATCAGATCCCTCGACGAGCTGTAGCACGAAGGTGACTTGCCTCAGGGTCGCACTTAACTCTGGTATCGGCTGTGTAGTAACCCCTCGGTGCGCGTCGGAGGAGCTAGTTTTCCTACGCTTGGTAGATGACGATTCGGTAGTTAGATCTGCTGCAGTCGGCAGCGACTCTAGAAAGAATAGGAGTATGTCTGTTGCCAGCTCGACGTTCCTGAGCAGATTAGCAGCCTCGTCAGACACAGAACTGTCGTCACTCAATGGATTCCTTTGTGATAGCTCGAGCATGCGCTCCGCGACTACATGTCTTGCTTCCGTTTTCATGGACGGCCACACGTCTTGAATACGCGAAAAAACAACACGCAGGAGGTTCGGTCTCGCAAGGATCTCTGGGGTCTCTGTGATGTGTAATAGAAATTCGAGGCCGGCACCATCGTTCGGAAGTACTATCTCGACGCTGCTCTGATCTAGAACTGGCTCCTCTATCTTCTCTTCAGCGCAAACTCGGGAGGCGCCTTCGGGGGACAACGAAGACCACCACTTGAGCAATGGAAGAAGTAGATGGGTGCGAGTGGTGCCGGATACGCCCTTGACCTGGTTTAATGGAGCGAGAAGGCGGACTTTGAGAGTGGCGAGCGGGGTCGAGATGGCGTGGGAAGCAAGGAAGACGAGGATAGACCGCCGCGTGCTATGAGAAAGATGACTCTTCTTATCTCCTGCCGTTGAGGCGTTCAAGGTGCCGTTTAGTGCGCTTTGAAGAGCCTCGACGATATAGTCAGCGTTTAGCACGCACTCTTCTAAACTGGGCGCAATGACGATTCGTAAGAGCTTGAGACAGACGTCCGCAGCCATCCACTCCGGTGTTTCCGCTGTATCATACAGGTGATTGCTGGCCCAGCGAGCGGGGGAGTCCGACCGCGCTTCAACCGAGACCAACATCTTCTTCAAGACCGCAGCGAGATCTGCAGCGGCGTGTCGTACTTTCTTTGACGGATCGTTGAGCGCCGCTAGAGTGTACGGCAAGAGGGCTTGGAAGTCTACGCCATTGCAATCGTCGGCTTTGAGGCGCTGCTTCGCCATGTCTAAAGCGGCAGCGCGAGCCAGTATTGGGTAGGGCCCACACCAAATTCTCATCAGGAATGAAAAGTAGAATGGTGTCTTGCTCGCTCGGCTGCGTTGTAGAGGCGCGAGGTCGTTGAGAGCCTTCACGTTCTTGGGCTCCGTTAGACTGGAGAGGAAAACGGAACATAGATCGGTGAACACGTCAGAAGAACCAGCTCGCAAGCAAGAGTCCGTTGACGAAGTCGAAACTTGGTCCAGTCGCCGCAGGGTGGATTCGAAATCCTCGACACGCGCCGTCGTATTTTCGGTGTCCTCTATTTCGACGTCTCGTGGAGGTGCCGCCAGCGTCTTCGGTCGGAGAGAGCTGCCTAGTTTCAGTTCTAGCGCATCGACATCGACCTCCACGTCGTTGATCGCTTTTATGAAAACCTTGCCCACGTCGGTATCTAGTTGCGAGAGTTTGACGATAACCGACCCGAGAGCCTCGCGCGCTTCACCCGCGGGGTCAACACTATCGTCAACCTTGTGGGCAGCTAATAGCAAGCTTTTGAAAACGACTGCCGTTTGCTGGTTATTGAGAATCGAGCCTAAGAGGAGCGACTCGACTATGGGTAGACCCTTCCAATCACCCTTCTTACGAACCCTTTCTACTAGTGCTAAGCAGAGGCCGTTTGCTAGTCTCCCAAGATTGTGGTCTCTGCCGATTTCGGCAAGGACACCAGAGAGGTTCGGAATTTTGAGTAGTGCCCTCGTTACCTTGCCTGAAATTTGCTTACTGGAGCGATACTGGGCAAGGATGGAGAGGCAGACGAGACCGGGGCGGAGAGACTCCGAGGTCCAGCCCAAGACGAGCTGCTCCATTAGAGCAGTGATTGCGGCATCGTCAAGGTCGCCCTTGGCGACGATAACCGAGACTACCATATAGGTAGCGATCTGAAGGCTAGGGACCTTCTGCATGACCAAGGCATCGCTGAGGGTTGGGCCCATCTGATGCAGGAAATCGGCATCATTGCTCTGCTGGATGCTGCGACGGCCGGATCGCATCCTGTCCAGCATGCCATTCACTGCTTCCGTCGTGACACCGCCCCAGAACGAGATCAGGGCGGGATGGTGCTGCTGAGCCCGGCATGCGTCCAAGGTATACATGGATATGGTAGCGAGAAAGTTGGGTTGGTGCGTGGCCTGGTGGACGAGGATAGCCCTCGGCGGTTGGGTCAGCGACCGTATGTACGGGTCTAAGAACCGGTATACTATCGGGATATCGCTGGGGAGGATGGACAGAAGCGTAGCGAATGCCGGTATCGTGTGGTACGGTAAGAAGGTCGTGATAACCATTTCTGTGTTATATTCGTGGATCCTGTCACGAGCTAAGAAACCGGTCCCGGCAACGACAGGTGAGGGGGCCTACCTGAACCTCCTGATGAGCCATTCTATGGCCTTGATGGCGGGCATCAGCCTTAGCCTCGCTCCGGCGAGGAGGAGGAAGGAGCCGATCTTCTTGTCAAGCTCGGCATTCTCGGCTGCGGCCATCTGGCTGCGGTCCTCATGTTGGCTTTGCTCGCTGAAGAGCGTGGCGCCGAAGGGGATGAAGCGCGAGTCCAGCTCGCACAGGTCGTCGTAGCCCTGGCGGCAGATGTTGTAGAGCGTCTGGAAGTTCTGCGAGGCGGCCACTCGCGGCTCGAAGATCAGCGACTTGGAATGGGCGGCTTTCTGCGCCTTGACGTCGAAGGTTGATTTCGAGTTCGCGGCGATCTGCGCTAGTTGCGCAGCTAGCGCTGTCGTCATCTCGGGCAATGCGGCGTCGACGGCAGTAAGTCCATGGACGGATCTCAGCCGGCGAACGTCTACGGGAGTTGGTTCGGTGGAATTGGCAGGCTGGGTATGCCGGAAGGACGCCGAGGACAGAAGAGAAGAAGACTGAAGTTCCTAAGGAATTGAACTTTTTCGGCCAAAGTTTTAGTGGAGAGTTGAGATTCTTGTGGCTAGCGTTGGCTGATAGGAACACCCGCGAATCACGAGCTTCCGATAAGAGACAGGTCCATCATTCTTCTCGAGCCTCCGAATTGGTAGTCTCCCAACCCGCCGGGCCTATCTGGTTACAGCTGACTGGTTGTTGGTTACCTGACGTCGCTTCAACGTTGCATAAGACGAAGGGGAGCGGTTTTTTTGTCAGATGTGTGCCCTTTGCTTTTTTCTCGCTTCGTTTTTCCTCTTCCTCTTCTTCTTCTTCTCCCCCCCCCCTCTTAGCTTTCCCCAACAGGTATTTCTTGCCATTGACGGACTATATTTACCCCCCGGCCACCTGGACTCCGCAGTACCTATACTTCCCTATCGAGATAGGCCGTCTCGGCACGAGTTAGCGCCTACCTGCGTTTAGGGGTGTGATAAAAAGCTGCTTGATCCATGCTATCTTACTCCGATATTGGAAAAGTAGAAGCTATGGGGATCGTTCCCCTCACGCCGTCCGTTGACGGCATCTAGCATCTAGAGCGTCAGTCACGGTATTATTCCTACCTAACCATACCTGACAATGGCAAAGGTGGAAATGCTACCTACCTCCGGTGTGCTTAGGTGGTAACGAAGGCAGCTACAGAACCGGTCAAATCGCGTGAACCGCGTGAGTGGTGTATGTGAGAAGACCGTGTCCGGTTTCTGGCAAGCCACCTGCACCTGATGGTAGGTGGCCGGTTATTAATCAAGAGGTATACTTCCAACACGGTATACATACCACGGCGGAAATCGTGAAGAGGGCAATATTTCCCAGCTCCGATTGGCGGCCGTGCCTAGGTCGAGGTTGAACCTTTCCCTTCGGTACAGATACCTCCATGGTTGGTATGGGATTAGTGACCAGGTTGGATCGGTGTGTGGTTAGGTAGGTTCGATATCGGTGGCCGGCTGCCCTCCCCTCCTGTTTACTATCCGCCGCTATTTTTTTTTTATAAAAAAAGTGCCTAACCTACCTGGTATTTTTTTTCTCATCTCACAGATTTTTGCCGGTGTGGCGTGCGTGACTTTCTTAAGAAACCGACATTGAGGTCGCCCCCCCTCCCCCTTCCCCGTGTTCTCTCCCTCCTTCTATGTAGATCTAGATCACCTTACGCTTGGGAAGATGGCCGTGAGTTGTCTCGACCAGAAACCAGTTTGAGCCAGGGACTTACCTATGTTCGAGCAGAGACCGTACAACCAGGTCGTCTTGTTCGGAGACTCGCTGATCCAGGGTGCTAGCGAGGTCCAAGATGGCTTCTCGTTTCAGGGTGCGCTGCAGAGTCGTATGCTTGTCCACTTCCCGGAATAACCAGTTATACTCGTCTCTAAGCCCATTGCAGATTGCATGCGATACCTGGACGTGATAAACAGGGGCTTCTCGGGTTACAACACCAAGAATGCCCTGGACCTGCTTCCCCAGGTGTTCCTGCCGCCGTCGCCCGCGAACCCGAAGATAGAGTACCTCGTAAGTGAAGACGAGACACTTCCGCAGCGCCTTCTGTTCCGCGCTCTTATTCACAGGTTGGGGCGACCAATAGTATTTTGAGGATTCTAATGGTTGTCTGTGGTTATAGCTGGTGCTCTTAGGTGCCAATGATGCTTGCCTGCCTATCCCGACCAACACTCAAGGGGTGCCGATCGACCAATACAAGGAGAACCTGATTCGGATCGTAACGCACGACCATGTCAAAGCCCACAACCCCAAGATCTTGCTGGTCACACCTCCCCCGGTCGATCAGATCCGGATTACCGAGCTCGACCTGGCCGTGGGCCACGCCCAGGCAACGCGAGAGGCGGCTGTCAGCGCTGCCTACTCCGAGACGGCTCGCGAGGTGGCCGCGGCGGTTCCGGGCGTGGTGGTTATCGATCTCGAGAGAGCGATCGTGGACAGAGCCCTCTCGCTGACGGTGGACTTCGACGCTGACGGACCTCCTTTGGGGCACCCTGGTGGCGTGCGGGGAGGCCTGGAGCAGCTCTTGCCAGACGGACTACACTTGAGTGGGGAGTCTTACCGGGTCTTCTTCGACATAGTCAAGCCACACATCGGCCCATTCGCGGAGGAACAGACTGTCTTCCCAAATTGGCGGGTGCTAAACCCCGGCACGCTGTAGCCGCTCACGCAAGAAAAACTCCCGCAGCTGGAGGACGTCTCTCTCTTCGCCGCTAGCCCCTTCCATTCCCGGCCGCCACCCGGACTGTGCATGGAATCTGTACGTGTACTGCGGCAGCCGAGACTATTCTCAGGTAGGCGACCCTTCTTGCAGGATATGGGACGGAGAGCACCTGTGGTCGCCAAGGTGGCTGGAGGCTAGCTGGCTTAATTAATAAGTATGTGCTGTCGGCGGACGGACGACCCTAGTTTTCTGCCTCAGGCACTTCGCCTAAGTAAGATGCATTTCATAAATCTACTAGTGCTGCTGGCGCCACTACTTGCCGTCTCGGGGGGCTTTTGCCCACTTACATCACACTACAGAAATAGAACGCCGATGGCGAGTTTTTGAATATAGCACGGACAGATCTGGATGTGGCCTGTCTCTTCCGGGGTACCTGATAAAGAACTTCTGGCTACGCCACAGCGCGTGTTCCCCTCATTGGCGACGTCTCAGACGAGAACATGCCCAGTACCTGACTGCCCACCTACCTAGGTACCTACGTACTCTCTATATATACATGCCTGCACCATAAGCGCTTCAACACCATAGAGGTACCTCCTAAGGATAAGTACCAGTCGCATTGCATCCCTAGATGTCGGGCGTTGAGTAACATCGAAGTACCTGCCAAGGTGCCTCTTGGAATACCTCTAGATGTTTACGCTAAACCTTATGTACCTTGAGTACTTCCACATGTAAAGCGGAATGAGGGAGGTACCTTGAATGCATAGGTACAGGTACCGAATGTGTGGAATGGATGTACCTGGTGAATGAGGCATGTCTAGGGGTAGGTACATACCGGATGTTAGGTGGTACCTAACGTACCTGGAGTACCTGGAAATTTCATGGATCCCTCCCTGGCAGCGAGGATGAAGACGGATCCAATGAGTGGAAATGTGCTGTAAACGTGATTCTCCGCTAGCTGGCTGCGAACCCCCAGCCAGGTTTCTGAGTACCGCACAGCATTGCTAACCTACCTAGGTACCCTTCGTACCACCGACCACATCTCTGGCGAGAATACCCTGCCTGGGAATTCCATCCGCACTTACACACCACCACCTACCTACCTCTATCAACCACCCTCTGCTCCCGCTGCCACGTCCGTCTGGAACTTCTACACGCTTACAACCGCATCCCTCCCCTGCTGCCACGCCTACGCGATCCCTCTATACACGCACGCACCCTAACACCCATCTACCGGTCTGTCTACGACTCTGTAGAGTGACTGATTGATTGTCCATCACCGTTGTCTCGATCCGTTCCAGCAGCCGTCTGTTACCGGCAACCGGTTTCTCCCTTCTGCTCCGGCTGCATCGTTCTGCTTTCTGCCTCTACTCTCCACCCTCTCTTTCTCTCTTCCTCCATCGCTTGCCAGGAAGACAAGACGCCAGATCGTCGGGGTGCCCTCCCCTCGACTAAGATTCGATCCCCCGTCACCACCCCTCATACGGTACACATAAGTTGACTCGCATGTGTGGCTCGCCCTCTTGAAACCAGCAACGCTCCTTGAAGTGTCCGCCTCCTTCCGGCTGTCGTCCTCCCTAATATCGAACTCTGTTCCTCCTGCTCTCCGCGCCCTGACCCGAGCCTCCCTGCAAAGTCAGCTGTTACCATCGCTGCCCTCGATCCCGCCAAGCGTAACAATCCCTGGTCCAGCAAACGTCAATTGGAGCCAGTCTCTACTTTGTCATTGTAACATACTGCTACTACAGGGTACGCCAATATTTTCCGGGCCCTGAAGAGAGAGAGAGAGAGAGAGAGAGAGAGAGAGAGAGAGAAATCCTATCATTTTCGACGGTCGAAGCTGTACAGATTACGGCCTTCTACGACAAAGCTACCTTCTCCGTCGACATTCCTCTCTACTCTGACGTCGCCTCTCCCGTCCTCATCTATTCCATTCGCCCGCCGGAAGCCTCCGTGTTTCGACCTCGAATAACTGTACGGTTACTCGGTATCAGTATCTATAAAATTCGGAGCCTATAGAAATATCGTCCTGCTCGGAAATTCGCAAGGAGGCCGCTCGGTCCTCTGCGATGAGGAGGTGGTGGTGGACCTCGTCTTTCAAACACTTAGGATAGAGGTCCTCCATACGTCAATACGCGGGACGACCGCCACGCTGCGAGACGTCGTCTTTGGCACTGAGAAACAAGTTGATGGGCAACGGCTTCCCACGTCGACCAGTCCGATGCTACGAGAAGGTTATTCAAGCCCCTCCGCGACCGTTCTTTCAGCCTAACCGCGTCCGAGCTGCACCCGACCCCCCTCGTGCTCCGCCTGCTTTCCGATCCTAGCTGTCTGCCCTGCTACCGATCTCGCCTATTTGGACTAGGGTGCTGTCGACTTGGGCTGGTATGGATCTCCGCATTCCGGCTTCTCGTGACGAACTTTTCAGTGTCCATATGGACGTCAAGCAGATGCAGATGATACAAAACAACCATGCTGAGAGACTTTCCCGGTTGGAGAAACGCCAGGCTGACGACGCCGCAATCAAGTCCGTTTGGAATTCGCCCTTTCCTAGCGCGCTGGGCGGCACACCGCAGCATGGTTGGTCTCCCGCCTTGTTCCCGAAGCCGCGCTCTAACAACATTTGTTTAGGGCCTCTGCAGATGCCTTCGAACGAATTGTTCGACGAGTTTGAGGAACAGGGCCAGAGCCTTCTAGGTAGCTTGCACCTCGATGCTGAGGATGAGCCCGCTCGGCGCGGCGCGGCCTCGAGGGCGAATAGTGTCCGCTTCGACGAGAGTGCTTTGCAGAGTTCGAGCTGGGCGCAGAATGGCCGACATTCTAGTGACTTTGGTCCAATCAGACCCGGCAGCGGCCTCGGCATGATGGAACGCTCCCTGTCCCACAAATCGGATGGTAGGCATAGTTCCGCTGGCCACTCGGTGCATTCGATCCACTCCCACCACTCCGTCGCCTCCGGCCGCGGGAGCAGCTTAGGCCTCGACACGACGTTCGCGCCTGGCGGCCAGGGAGAGGGGTCGCCGATCGGCGTTCCGGAGCCACCGCCGAGCTTGTTCGTGTTGGGCTCAGTACCTTCCATCATCCGGTGCTGGCTCACAGCCAGCTTCGCGCACGACACTCTCCTCTATGCCGACGTCTGCACCGGCTCGCAGAAGTCCATCATAGAGTTGTCCCTCGTCAAGGACTTGGATCTAGCCGGTGAGATCCACAGAGACCTGGATGGCGTCCATCGGATCCGCTTGCCCGTATACTTGACGGAGGCGACCATATCTCAACCAAGTCCCCCGAGAATCAACCCAGCGCCTCAGATGCCCAGCGTAGCATGTACGTTCGAAGTGGTGGGGATGGACCAGCCCGACAACGCCGAGGCTAGGAAGACTATCCGCGTTTTCATTGGCAGTGAAGTATTGAGAGAGCATTCTGCCGACATCTTGTTCTCGCAAAACCGCATGACGCTCTATAGCGGCGAGCGTGAGAAGTTATCGGTCCCTTTCGTTCGCCCCGAGGACAACACGGTTTTCAAAAATATTCGTACCATGGCTACATTCCCCGAAAAGCCCAAGCTTAATGCTACGGCTCGCCCATTTGTCCTGGGGGAACCCAAGCAACAGGTGCCTGCGGCTGCGCAATCAGACGGGGCACAGACGAAGGAATCATGTGATGATGAAGAAACCCGAGAGCTCGCATCGCCATCTTCAGAACAAACAAGCCAACAGGCTGCGACGGCCGGAGCCAGCACACTGTCGGAAAGTGGTGGTGAGAGCGAAAGACATTACCAAGAAGCCGGCCCCTTGGATCCTACAACGAGAGAGTTCCAAGTCCGGTCGAGTGACACTTCGAGCGACCACGCACGCCGAGCATCAGGTGCAGGGAGTATCTGGAATTCGTGGCGCCAGGGACCCACATCGAACGGTAGCGAGCAGAAGGAGAGCACCCCGTTAAGCGGCTACCAGCCCGCGCCGCGCAGCCGCAACATGAAGGTTCTGAAGCCGACGAAGCCGGGCACATCGTCCTCGGCGCGAACGGGAGCGGCTTACGAGCCGGCCTCAGCACCGAGAAACAGCAGTGAGGCACGGCGCAAGAGCCAGGCCGGCGTGGACAGTGCAAGCAACACGGCGATGCGATGGGAACCGAAGCGAGTGGCGACCGGTGGCGCGGAAACCAAGACGGTCCCAGCCACCCGCGAGGCTCGAAGCGTGTCGGGGACGCCTCGTACGTCGACGAACCCCGTCGGCGGGGCTTCGGCCTTCTCCTGGATGAACCCGTCGGCTAAGCCAAGAACGTCGACCGCGGCAGCCGAGTGAAGAATTTTCTGGGCCGGGCAGTCGTCCGTCTACATTTCTTTATGGCGGTGTTCTGAGCTCACGCGGCAGCCCTACCGCTAGGGTGGCGGCGGTTCTGCGCCCCAGGCAGGTAGGTAGATATGACTAGAAAAGAAGCAAAATGCGAAAAAAATATAAGCTGAATTAATAACACGACTTGGGGGGGGGGGGGTCTTGAGAAGCCCAGCTGCGCGCCGCAAGCTTGCTTGCTCGTGATTCCTTGCTCTTGACGCCGAGTGAATCGACGGCCACATTCGAGGTTGGACCAACACAGGCATGGGGACACACACGCTCGCACACATACATCCAGGTGTAGCATTGACGGCCAAGCATAGGGCGTCGAAGGGTATGCGTCATGTGCACCTTGACTTGACGCAACGGCTGATATATAGGTCTGGGTAGGTTTCTGTGCGAGGGGTAAGAACGGAGCATTGGGGCAGGCGAGTAAAGAGTCCGAGCTTGCGCCTCTCAACCCCGCCCCCAGTTCGTTGGCAAGGCGGGCAACAATATTAGGTACCTACAGAGAACCCCGGGTGCTAACAGGTACCTACATTATACAGGTACCTATTCCTCCCCAGGCCGGGTTATATATATACCTGTATATACCTACCTACCTAGAGGGGCATACGGGCTGGTATTCTACACGCACCCGCGTAGTACTACCTACCTAGGTAGGTAGGCATAATACCGGATACAGGTACCTAGGTAGGTTAGGTAGGAAGGTACCTGTATAGTGCATAGGGTAACCCGATAGGTAAATATATATTTGCCTGCGGCTACGAACTATCGGAGGAGGAAGCATAGGTACCGTAAGTACAGGCACATTTGGAGAGGGTGGGCGGGTACCTTGTGCACCTATGGGTTAGGCTTATATGTTTGGTATGTACATACCTCCTCCATCCACCTACCTAGAGGCTAGGGACAGTGAAAGTGATGGAACCTCTCAACAGTTTATCACGCAATTCGTGTGTCTCCTCTCTGCCTGGTCGCTTTTCTCCCTGCCGAAATAGGTGTACCAAGTTCACTTACACGCGCACCCCACCTCTCCGAAATCCTACAACACGCACTGGAAAATGCCGAAGCACAGGGTCGATTACTCGCTGTACCTGGTGACCGACTCGACGCCGGCAATTCTCGGCGACGCGGATATCTGCGAGGTCGTCGAAGCTGCCCTGAAGGGCGGCGTCACCTGCGTACAATACCGGGACAAGACCAGTGACACCCGCGTGCTCGTCTCGACGGCCCGCAAGCTACACCAAATCACCAAGAAGTACAACGTCCCACTTCTCGTCAACGACCGTGTCGACGTTGCGCTTGCCGTCGGCTGCGAGGGCGTACATATCGGCCAGGATGACCTCGGTAAGGCCCTCCCCGGCGAATGCCGCCGCTTCGTGGCCCGTCCTACTACGTAGCCGGTGGCACAGCTTACGTAGACCAGGGCGAGCGACACGGGGACAGGAGCGAGGCCATACGAGCTAGCTAACCAGAGAGCGAGGTAGATCTGCCTACGGCCAGAAGGCTCCTAGGGCAGGATGCTATCATCGGCATTACTGTGAGCAACGTCGATGAGGCGACGATTGCATCTCAGGGAGGGGCTGACTATCTGGGAATCGGGACTGTCTTCGCCACGGCCACGTAAGAGCTCCCCACGAGGGCGCTGGAAATGACGGACCCAGCTTTGACCAGGTTGCAGCAAGGAAAATACGAAGAGCATTATCGGGGTCCTCGGCCTCCAAGAGATCTTGTCCGCAATCGCTGCAGCAGAGTGGCCGGTGAAGACGGTATGCATAGGTGGCATCAATGCCTCCAACGTATCGCGGGTCGTGTGGCAGAGTACGGTTTCGGGGAAATCTCTCGATGGCGTCGCGGTTGTGAGCGCCATCGTGGCGGCCCGGGACCCGGAGGCGGCCTCGAAGGAACTCCTCCGGCTGGTGAAGACGCCGCCGGCGTTCGCGAGGACGGAGGTGACGCGCGGGCAGCAGACGCGACCGCTGCGCGAGATCATAGCTCTAGTGCCGGACGTTATCGCCGCCGTCGAGAGAAAGACGCCGCTCTCTCACAACATGACTAACCTGGTCGTGCAGAACTTCGCCGCCAACGTGGCCCTGAGCGTTGGCGCGAGCCCGATAATGGCTAATTACGGCAAGGAAGCCAAAGACCTAGCGAAGCTGGGGGGTGCCTTGGTGATTAATATGGGCTCCGTCACGCCGGACGGGCTGGCAAACTACCTCCAAGCGCTGAAAGCGTACAATGATGCTGGGCAGCCCGTCGTCTTTGATCCCGTCGGGTAAGCTCCGTAGTTCTTGTGCGGGGGGATTCGGGGTGGGTTAACAAGTTTGGGTAGTGCCGGGGCAACAGCTATAAGACGATCGGCTGCCAGGGCCATCCTCGACGGAGGGTATATCGACGTTATCAAGGGCAACCGGTCAGAAATCCTGTCTTGCCTGCCCGGGGAATCCCAGGTCCAACAACGGGGGGTCGACAGCGGACCGAGTAACGCTAGTCTCGAGGAGTTGGGGAGGGCAGCCAGGAGGTTGGCTCGCCTGCGTAGGTGCGTCGTAGTGATGACGGGGAAGACGGACCTGGTGACGGCGGGAGAGACGGTGTACGCGATAGACAACGGCCACGAATATCTGGGCATGGTGTCGGGCACGGGGTGCTGCCTCGGCACGACGATATCGGCCATGATCGCGGCGTACCCAGAGGACAAGCTCGCCGCCACGCTGACTGGCTTGCTGCTCTACACCATCGCGGCCGAATACGCAGCCCGGCGGCCTGACGTTCAGGGCCCCGGGACCTTCTCCCCGGCGTTTATCGACGAGCTCTACAACGTGAGGAAAGGCGCAGTCAAGGATCATCAACTATGGCCGTACAGAGTGGACACTCTGGGGCCGGAGGGAACGGTGTGAGGTACCTAGGTAGGCATCGGCAATAGATAAGAGAGAAGAGGCCTCTTCTTGCTTTGGATTTATCAGCCGTTTCTTCTCTTCTCTTCTCTTCTCGTCGATTAAGTGCCTGCCGGGGATGGCGAGCGAGCTGCCTGCCGGAGACGGAGAGCGAGCTGCCTGCCGGAGACGGAGAGCGGGCTGCCTGCCGGAGATGGAGAGCGGGCTGCCTCGGGTGTAAGGGGGCGGCCTAACATAGGTTGGACGATCTTACACACTGTACACAACCTAAGGAATTGGTACGTAGGGGTACATCAGTGGGGGGCTGGCCCTCGGATCTTTTACACCTGGAGCCATCCTAATCCAAGTACAGGTACCTGGATCGCGTCCCCGTCTCCGCACGATCCCCCGCATCCGGTTCCCCTTACTTGGCAGCAGGCTAGGGGTAAGAAGGCAACTAAGCTAGAGGCAAGGTACCTAAAAGTCAGCCCTCTTCTCCCCGTAAGCCCCGCCATAAGACAGTCCCCGGACCCCTCTATATCATCGGCTGTCTCTCGGGACTTCAGGTCGTTTTCCTCAACCTCCCATACTACCTACCACCCTACCTATCTGACCTCCCTTGCCTATATCGCCAATCCGCGCGCGGCTGTAACATCGGTTCCGAGTCGAGAATACGCTGCGTCCGCCCCAGATCGGCTCGCCCGCAGCACACGTCCATTGCCCGCCAGCGCGATTCTCGCTGATGCTACCTGCGATCTCGACGAGATCTACGCTTGTCCGAGGCCTGCTGTAACGTCCGCGTCCAATCACCTCCTCGTCTACCTGCCCTTTTTGTCCCCTTCCTCCATCCAGCCGGCGATTCTTACGCACAACTGCTCCCGCCTCTTCCACCATGGCATCCGCAACGGCTGGCCCCCAGCGACGGCTTGGTGAGTGGCCATCTGTCTTCTTTCCGTCTTTCCCTCTTATTTCTTTCCTCGGGGCGTTTTTAGGAGTGGAGCTGACGAATTCTTAGAAAACCCGGCCATCTTGTAAGTCTCTCTCTCTCTCTCTGGCGCCATTTCAGGCCGTTGTCACGCTGTCTACCTGGAGGTGGGTGGTTGCGGCCAACTCGGCAGCTGACTAACTCGAGGCGCCGCGTAGTATCTGCGATATCCAGGAAAAGTTCCGCAATGCTATCTGGGAGTTCGACAAGGTGTACGTTAATGACTATGTCCACACCGACACCCCTCTCGCCCGTCCCATTCCCCGTCTCCCCCTCCTCCCCCGGCCCTTGTTGGATCCGATACGTACTCAGGCCGAAACACGCACGTCATCCCGACGTGAGAATATGACGTGAGATCGCTATCACACCGCTAACCCGCTCGGCCGGCCTCTCCACCAGCGTCTTCACGACCCAGAAGGTGCTGCGGGCGGCGCAGACGCTCAAGATCCCGGTGTACGTGACGACGCAGAACGCGGCGAAGCTGGGGGCGACGGTGCCGGAGGTGCTGTCGCTGGCGAGCGCGGAGCTGACGGCGGTGAACGCGGACAAGACGGGGTTCAGCATGCTGGCGGCGGCGGAGCTGGCGGCGCACTTCGGGGCGGTGTCGGAGGCGCAGCCGCGGCGCGCCGTGGCCATCGTCGGCATCGAGAGCCACGTCTGCGTGACGCAGACGGCGCTGGACCTTCTCGCGCGCGGCCACCGCGTCTACGTGCTGGCCGACGGCGTCAGCAGCTGCAACGCCGGCGAGGTCGCCGTCGCGCTCGCCCGCCTCCGCGCCGAGGGCGCCCGCGTCACCACCAGCGAGTCCTGGCTCTACGAGTGCATGGGCGACGCCGCCATCCCCGAGTTCCGCGACGTCGCCCGCCTCGTCAAGGAGTCCGTCCCCGAGACCCGCGCGGCCGTCCAGGCCCTGCTGGGTAAGATCTGAGAGGAGGCGGGGAGAGAAAAAAAAAGGGGGGAGGGGGGGGCCAGGGGCGATGCCTTGATACGGGGCGGACTTGTGGCGGGAATGTAGGCAGAAGTATGGTGACGACGGAAGATTGGATAGATCACAATAAACTTTTTATCTGTCTATGATGGCCCCCCAGGGCATGTTTTCTTGGGCTCAGGCTGCTGTCGGTCCGCGTCGGCCACGACGGAGACCTTGGTTCCTTTCCCCGACTGCTAAAGGCTTGCCCTTTAACCCAGAGCAGTCGGTTCTTCGCGAGGGTATTCTGTAGATAATCCAGCCATGGGCACCGCGCTGCCAGCTGCTATCGTATGGGTTGGTTGCTAAAAGAACTAAATTAATTCTGCCTGTATTCGAAAAGAGATGGGGCGCAGGCGGGTGTTCCTAACTGGTTTGTTGAAGGATATTTTCCTCTCCCTCCCCCTTATTGGTAGGTATTACCGCTCCCACTTGGAGCCGGAGGCTCATATAGTCTCTTCCTTGCTGCGCGGCAGATCTCGCCTCGACGCGTGGACCCAAGCCACTTACTTCCTAGAGGCACACTATCCTTTGGGTCCTCCGATGCGCCGCCGTACTAGGCAAGTAGGCAGTTAGTAGTCCTATCCTTCGTCGCTGGGCGCCTGCCCCTCTGGGTGCTCTCCCGCGAAGCGTTCAGCGCCTCGCGCGGGAAACCCTCCGGGCACCCCTCGTCGGCCCCCAGAGCAGGCGATACACCCGAGGGCTGCGAACCCGCGCGGCAGCCAAAGCCTGACTCTCGCCATGACACCAAGGGAGAGGAGGTAGGTAGTTACCCTGGGGAAGGGGGGGGCATATGGCGAGATGCGCAAGATGGGTTGGGTCGTGGGGAGGGGCTGACTGCCTGCGTAGTGGTGGGCGCACAGCATATGGTCTCTCGTTTGTTGAGGGTTGGGGGAAGCCCGGCGTTCTTCTCTCTAACGGAGGCGAAACACGTCTTTATCGTACGGCCGACGGCGCTATCCTCAGCAGTACAGAGGAAGCTATGGGGTCGTACGTTTTCAAGATAGGGGGCATCAGCGTCTGCGTTTTCGAAGGCGTTGGCCTCACCCTGCGGAGTAAGGGATTTACCTCCGCACAACTCGACCTCGTTAGCAGGCGTGTATACCTCGTTCTAGCTTCCTCGGCCTCGAGACCGGATTCAAAGCTCGCCCGCCCCGTCTGCTTCTCACGCCGGTCAAGGCGAACGGCCTGCGGCTGCACTCCCGATCCCAACCAAGCAGCCTAGCCGACGCTGCTAGTGCCCTCCCGCTCCCACGCTCTTCAGCACAACAAGCTGTGGCCTCGGCCCCCGCACAGATGCCGCTGGGACCCGGCACGTAGTAAGCCAATATCAGGTACGGACGAGAGACCCAGGCTCCCCAACCTCTCTGCAGGCTAAACAGCAGCGCTGGTTCGCGCCGGATAGTGGCTGTTGTCGCAGCTACCTAGATATATTTTTGGACCGCGATGGGTAGTGGCCTCTGTGAGCGTCGTCGGGCGCGTGGTCGCTCCTCACCGCCGACTCCCATTCGCGCGCTTCTCCTCGTAGCGGGTAATGTGCGCCGCATATTGCTTCCGCGCACACCTCGCGCGCGCAAAGCCGCGAGTAGCGCCAACTCGGTCGAACGCGAGATACGACCGGGGTTTCCGGGATAGGGGAGGGAGAGGGAGAGGGAGAGAATACGTGTGGAAAGCCCCCAGGGCTTAGCAACATAAGGAAGGCTCCGAAGTTGAGGCTGTACACTGGTGATTCGTCACGAGACCCTCTGCTTACCGGCGATGTTGTTCTCTTATTAATGGAAATTTTCTTGGGGGGTTATCTCAGGCTAATTTGAGCGTTGATGATACTACCTACCTTGATCGACGACGGCTCTGAGACTAACACCTAGTAGTCAGCTCGTGGAATATACTTATGGTTTGGAAACATCGTTGGAGCGAATAGAGCACCTTTACTCTTAGACCACTTCGTGTACCTATGGAATGCAGGCATACCAGCCCGGTTTACTCTTAGGCCCTCAAATCTTCGAGGTCTTCAGGGAGTACTGCCCATTAGAGGATATCCATACCGGTAGCGTAACAGTAACAACATACGAAGCCTAGAGCGAAGCAATAGCCCGTAGACTACGTACGGTGATATAAAACAATAGACTATACGTATTAGCACCTCGGCGCAACGGTTCTTTCCTATAGGAACCTTTTCAACAAGCTGGGTGGGAACTGGGACGGCCCTCATCCACTGCCGAAGCTGGCGACGGCGAGTCGTTCGCGGGGGGAGAGATATTACGACTAGAGGACGGGACGGCCTGGCAGCATCCGGCCTAGATTGTCGAGGCACCTGCCGACCTGGCCCAACTCGGCTTATTCGAGCTGTCGATGAGATATCTCCGACGGGACCAAGTCATGCTAAGCCCCCTACGCAAACAGAGTCCTATGCGAGCAGCATCCACCCCAGACTGCCAGATGCTGGGGAGAGCTCGGGGAGGTGATTGGTAGGAGGTGCCATAGTCCACAGGGTTCCGGCACTATTTGAACGGTAATTCCCTGTATCTAGCAGAACGGGCAGAACGTCTTCGTCCCTACCGAGACGGCTAAATATGCCATATGTGTTCCACCTCCCCAGATCTTGGCGGGAAGGAGAGGGAGACCCTTCATCTATTTTAAGTAGTCTGACTGGTCACGTTGTGTTCGTGACTCGAGTGTTCTCGTAGCGTAGCATGGCGGGCTCCCCTTCCTTTCCAAAGCAAAGAGCCGAGCGATAACCGAGATGCGACTGCGTCTTAACATCGGTAGCGACGATATGCCGTGGGGAAACGAGTCGGGGCAAGGGAGCGCCCTACGCTCGCGAGATACGGCCTTAGGACGTCTATAAATACGGGGGGGGGGAGGTCGTCGACATACCTAGGTTCTGGCCAAGATCGACTCCCCACGCTAAGTTGCCCCGACGCGAACCTCTCGGCCGCTCCGCTGCCAGCACCTACCTGCCTCGTCCTACCCCCCCCCCCCCGGCAAACCCAAAGAGATGAAGACCGCGGCGCTGACGGCCCTACTGGCCGCCTCGCTGGCAGAGGGCCACTACATCTTCAGCCAGCTCATCGTCAACGGCAAGGCGGTCGGGCAGGACTACACGTACATCCGGAAGAACAGCAACACGTACATGCCGTCCTTCCCCAACGAGGTCATCGACTCGCCCGACCTGCGCTGCAACAAGGGCGCGAAGCCGGGCAGCACGCAGACCTACGACGTCAACGCCGGCGACAAGATCGGCTTCAAGCTCGCCTACAACGAGTTCATCGAGCACCCGGGCCCCGGGTTCGTGTACATGTCGCGGGCGCCGGACGGCACCGGCGTCGCCGCGTACGACGGGTCCGGCGACTGGTTCAAGGCGTACGAGATCGGGCTGTGCAACCCCGGCAGCCCCGGCAACGACGGCAGCTGGTGCTCGTGGCAGAAGGACCGCATCGAGTTCACCATCCCCAACGAGATCCCCGCCGGCGAGTACCTCGTCCGCGTCGAGCACATCGGCCTCCACGAGGCCTTCAAGGACCGCGCCCAGTTCTACATGGAGTGCGCCCAGCTCCGCGTCGCCAGCCAGGGCACCGGCACCCCGACCCCCCTGGTCAAGATCCCTGGCGTCTACAAGGCCGACGACCCCGGCATCAAGTTCGACAAGTGGAACAATCCCAAGGCTAACTCCTACGTCATGCCCGGCCCCGCCGTCTGGAAACCCTAGGCGAGCCGCGCGCGGACGCAAGCAGACCTCGTCTCCCCCTTCCCCCTCTCCGTCTCTCCCGGAGCTGGTTTCGCGACCTTGGTAGGGTGGAAGATGTCGCTCTCGGATGATTTGAGGACAACTGGTTCTTTATAGCAGGATGGCTAGGAGTCAAGACAAGTTGATGGTTAGGACGTGCGTGGCGTATAGCATCTGCATACATTCCGTCTCGGCCGTGCGCTGCGATTCGTTTGTGGCTCTTCTACCAACCATATGTAGACTAGATAGTGGTCCGAACGAATGCAACCCTGTTCAGATGGCTCGTTAAGGCGGCATACAGACAGCTTAGACTCGCTCGTGGGACTAGGAGTAGGTAGGTAAGCGGTATCATCAGCCCTGTAGATCTGATGTATTGGAGGTACGTAGCCGCCGCTGTTATATAAAGCTTTACCTGTTACGTTATCTCGGATCGATCGAGCGGGATCTGCATCGAGCCCGCGGCTTCTTACTCTATATGGAATACGATGCATTTCGGCTGTCGTATGTATGGTGTAAGATACGCACCCTCTCTTACCGTGTCAACCCGCACACCTTCTCCGGCCTGGCGCATATCCCGCCTTGCTTCATGCTGCGTACCCCTCAGGCGGCTCGGACGCGATGCCGCAGCGTCAATGCGGTAAACCGTGCGTATCCCGATCCTCGAGCGTGACTAATCGACTATCGCCATCAAGTCTAACGACAAGCTGAGGAAACACTTTGCGAGCGACTCGTGTTCTCCGAATCTGACCCTGCAGGCTTGCCCAACCCAGCTTACTGAGTTATATGATCTGTCGTGATTCTCGTATGTATAGCGTACTCTTCCTCGGATAGGAAGAAGATAGAAGGGAGAGAACGCATATTGTAAGTAGACGGGAATAAATATTCCGCACAGATTTGCAATACTTATCGGGGTGTACACGGGGAAACACCAATTACTAGAGCACATCTCTTTGTTCGTGCATATAAGGTAGATAGGTTTGATGGTAGGAGGCGCGAGGGAAGGGCGAAGACGAACCTTTGATATCCATTGATCGACCATGCACCGTTTCCTCAACTAAACATGTTAGTAGTCTACTCGTAGATATCACCTCCTGGAGCCCTGTCTGCCCTTCATGCCGCTTCCCGCGAAAGCAGCTGTTGGCCATGCACGGCTTCTGTCAGACTGCATTATCTGGGTTCTGCGACGGCTCGCGACGGGATCGGCACATGGCATGCGAGCGGGGTGAGGGCGGCTCAGGTCATCTCACTACTGCGTCGGGGTCGGCTACTAAGGGAGCAATATACCTGTAGATCGATTACCTAGTAATCCCCCCCCAAACCCGAACACCATTCTACTCAGTGCCGCGTCTTGGTGAGGTCTGGAATTCAGAGCATTAGCGACCCCCTCGTAGAAGCCCCAAAACGGGCACCGAAGGTAATGACACTACATGGCGGGTCCCACACCCACCGGTTCCGTAGTACGCGCAGTTTCATTCACACAGATCAGAACCCTTCGAAGTATAATGAGCAATATCCATCCGACTAGCGAGATGGTGCTGATTTGTATTGTGATGAATGTGCCAACATGGCGAAGTTAAAAATGGGCCTCGGCGCTCCTTTGAAAAAACAAACGCGCACGAGCTGATAGCTGAATTCAAAATCGGGTCATGCTTCGAGATCGCACGCTTTCCAAATCTTCCGGTACGCTCGAAAGAACGTGGGTTAGGTCGGATGAGCTCCCCTTAATGTGGACGTGTATTTCGTCTCTATATTGCGTAACCGAGACTACGGTTGCAGTTAGGCGGTGGTGCTCACGACACTAGCCGAGTTCTGGCTCTCGCGTTCGAGAAGGGTTTCCATGAAACCGTTGGCCGATGCGGATTCCCTGATTTCCTTGGCAACCCGATGGTCGATTCCAAGCTGATCATCCGTCCAGAGAGGCTCCTCAGCACCTGTTCCAGCGGCTTCACCTACACCGATAAAGCCGCCCTCAGCTGCCCATTCGGAGGTGCGCTTGATGCCGAGCTGAGACCAAATCTCGTCGATGGCTGCGACGAGCTGATCGCGATACTGCTTCGTATGGCCCGGGGTCGGCGTGATTCTTAGGCGCTCCTGGCCGACGGGCACGGTCGGGTAGTTGATGGACTGTACGTAAATTTGGTACTCGCTCAGGAGCATGTCGGACGCTTGCTTCGCAAGCTCAGCGTTCCCGACCAAAATCGGGATAATGTGCGACGGATTCGGGATGACCGGGATGTCCCTAGCGCCCAACGCCTCCTTGACGGCCCGGGTGTGGAGTTGCTGGAGCCGTCTGTCCCCGTTGTAGCTCATCTGATACTCGATGGCCGTCCTAGCGCCGGCCATGGTAGCTGGCGGAAGGGAGGTCGTGAAAATGAAACCAGGGGCCAGAGAGCGGATCATATCGACTAGTTTCGCAGTTCCTGCGATATACCCACCCACACACCCGTAGGCTTTGCCGAGGGTACCAGTTATGATATCTATACGGTCCATAATTGTCCCTTCGGGCCTGCCCTGTCGGTGGGCTTCAAAATCCAGGTGCTCGGCGACGCCGGCACCTCTCGGCCCGTACATACCAACGGCATGGACTTCGTCGAGAAAGGTTATGGCTCCGTATTTATCGGCGAGATCGCAGATGCCCTCGATGGGCCCGATAGAACCGCACATGCTGTAGACCGACTCGAATGCGATGATCTTAGGCACGTCGAGCGGGAGAGAAGCCAATTTGGCCTCGAGGTCAGCCAGGTCGTTGTGCTTGAAGACTAGCTTCTTTGTGCCAGAGTGGCGAATGCCCTGAATCATCGACGCGTGATTCAAGCTGTCAGACAAGATGACACAGTCCGGGAGCTTGCTGCCGAGGGTGGCCAGCGTCGCATCGTTGGCGACATAGCAGGAGCTGAAAACTAGGGCCGCCTCCTTGGCGTGCAGCTTTGCGATCGTGTCCTCAAGCTCGACGGCGTGCTTGTTGTGGCCCGATATGTTTCGCGTGCCTCCCGCACCGGCTCCGTACTCGTCGAGCGTCTCGTGCATCTGCTTTAGAACATGGCGGTTTCGGCCCATGCCGAGATAGTCGTTAGAGCACCACACGGTAACTCGCTCCTCTACGTTGGCACCGTGGGCCTGGGGGAATTCCTTGGCCAATCGGTTGATGTTGTTGAAGTAGCGATACGACTTGTCCTTGTGTTTTTTATCGAGCTCCCTCTGGTAAAATGCATCGTAATTGAATTTGGCATTGGCGTGCGGAGCGGGCTTCCCAACAGCAGCAGATGCATTGGCCTTGCGATTGGCGGCTACAGCGGGGGGGATCGGAACTGAAGAGAATTGTCAGTATTTTTGAAGCCGTCGTTTCCCTGTCCCCCACGACTCTACGCCCTCACAGCACCGCACACATACCGGACTCGCGGGAATTGAACACGGAGGCGTCGACAGTCCGCGCCTCGTGGCAGCGGCTCGTGTGAATCCTGGCTTTCCCCGGCTTCGCTGGACCCGAGAAGCCGCGAATGCCAGCAACGGCGGCCGGGCAGGTGACCGAGGTCCTGCCGACCCTCGCAGACTGGATGGCGAGCGCCTTACCCATGACGGGGCAGCGCTGGCCGAGCAGCTGTAGCTTGGAGATGGTGCCGCCGCAGGGCGAGACATGCGGACGAGTCGAGGTGGACAGGGCACGCAGGGTCGCAGGCGAGGCCTTCTTCAAGAATGGGCACATGGCCTTGGACTGGCGGAGCACAGCGTCCATAGTGACGGCGATGACGAGTGATACCGGGCTGACCTACCAACTGGGCCCGATAAGAGGGGGGTATGACAACTTGGTGAAAAGAGAGGATAAATGAAGTCGAGGGTGGTAAAAGAGGATTGGTTGGCAGGAGAGTCGGGGTTGTGTCGAGTTTTTGGGTACTGTGACAGAAGTTCGAACCCCCGGTCCGTCATTTATCGGTCAGTCCAGTCTGCGGTATAGGCAGGGCAAGTCAGCTACCGACAGGGTTTGCGGGGGGGGAGACTAGATGACAGATGGGCGAAATGTGATTGGGGACGACAAGACTGCGAAATGCAGGGCCTCGAGACAAAAGAAGCCGCTAGTCTGACCCGTTCCCACTTGTGTATGTACATAGCCCGAACGGAAGAACGAATACTCCCGTGAAGTAACCCTATAAGATAAAATAGGTAAAAGAACAGTAATGGTGGCTAGGGCGGGAACGAGAAAGAAGACAGAGCGGCCATGTGCCGGACTGTCGACTTGATATCGAGACTGGCCGTTACTAGGGAGAACTTACTACGGCTAAGATGCTATTACAGGCACTAAGCCCGGCCACTAAGCTCTACGGGGTATGTTCAGAGAGGGGGCGAGCTTCGAACGCGTTCTGTTGTCCGGTTAGGCAACCTGATTCCTGGCCGCGAGAGGAGCAGTGGTGGGATTAATAGATATGTGCCATTCCTGCTAGGCCGTTGGCTAGGTCGCCGCCGGCTCCTGCGGCTCCTGCGGCTTCTGCAACGGCATTCATTGGGAACAGCATCGGCCGACAATCCCTTGCCAGCGGCCACGCGGCCATGCATGTAACACGTAGACAGTATGCACGTAAAAGGGAAGACCAGCTGCCGCCGGGTCCATTCCTTATCCCGTCCGCGGAGATTCGGCGTCCCATCGACGTGCTCTTCTTCGCGCTCTCATCTCACCCTCGCTCGCGCGTCGATTGGCCCGACGCCGCCATCTCCTACCCAAATAGGCATCGGCCTTCGGCTCCACGTGTGCGAATCGACTATGCTCGCCATACGCGCTCCCGCCCCAAGCAGATCCTGTCTTAGCCTCGGACGTGTGCGGCATTGGCGGCATCGTGCGTCAGGGCTTGACTTCGCCTGCGAGACGTGCGTAATGTGTGTGTGCGCCACCTGCGGACGTGTAGAGGCCAGTGCGGGAGGGCCGTGGCATCGGCGTCAAGAATCAAGCAGAACCGCGAAGGGAGCTACTAGCCGTGTGATGTCTGGGGTGGCTGCACGTATGGTGGCTTTGAGGAAGTGATTACCGCTATATATAGGTATGTGGATGCGCGCGGTGTTGGGAAGCCGGAATTCTACGTGGTAGGTAGAGTAGAATGGGAAAAGAAAACAATGCTATACCCGCAGCTGGTCGTCGTGTGCCTACTGGTAGATGAGACCATTTGTCCACCGAACCTCGTCCGTGTAGGGGCTAGCATAGGATAGAAAGATGATGGGTATGCCATACCTACTACGTAGTATGCACCATAAAGCTCCAAAACAACCTCGTTTCCACCTCCAACATGCGTCACGAGGTACCTGCATGGCATTATCATATGCCTGTAGGTAGGCATATTATTTAGGTGTATGTAAGAGGTATAGTCTGTGGGTGCTGGCTTTCTTTGACTTGGGTATTGGAGGCCTTTAGGTACGTTGGCAGCGTAGAGTCTTAGTGTCTACCTAGATGGTGTCTAGATGAGTTTCGATTGTCTCTGCACCCCTGAAGTTGCATAGGAAATAAGACAACATACCGTAGGAAATGAGAACAGAGAACTCGTATTGGCTTCTTCTTACCCAGGTGGTTCGTAATACCTACCCACCTAAGGTTTGGGCGAAGGGGGTGTCGAACTCGGCGGCTGTCAGCCGGTAGTCGCATGCGCCAGCTGTGAACAGGTCCGTATAATATAGGCACCTAACCTACGAGGCACGGTCACATGGAGCGGTGTTCTACGAGGAGGTACCTACTCTTCCCGCACGTTTAACGCCGACAGATGACTGCGAGACAACGTCGGACTCTCTCTCGCGCACACCCGTAGGTACATGGCCGCCAAGTACTCAGGTACCTGACGGGTCCGTACCGGAAGGTTGGAGACGGGCGATGCGTGTGCCTCGGTACAGGTGCAGGCGGGTGCCCGTGCTGCCGTCGCCTGTACGTGCGCTGCGTTAGGTGCCTACATATAGCCTATATAGCGGATGGACGTACCTAGGCGAGTTGCGTTACTGCCCCTCCTCAACCCGTCCGCCCTCGTATCTCAGGTAGCCCAGCATTTCCTCCCGTCGGGCGCTAGAGGCGTACGTTGCCTCCCCCCCCCTCCCTCTCAACAAATCAACGATTTCCCAGCTGTCGGTGAGAGGTAGGGCGAGATTTAAAAAAAAAAAAAAAGGCAACGAGCCACACCCACCGACGGGGTCGCTCTGCCAGCTTAACAGCTTGTTCTGCCGAAAATCTCGCCCAGGATCCCCAAGTTCCCCAAATCCGCTCCAGCATGGGGACATCAGAGGTCCTATGACTGCGACTGTAACCGTGACGACGAATGCGTCCCGACCCGACCGCTATCACGAGCCTCTACCCCCTAAATATTCTTCCAGCGTACTGTCATCCCTCGTGTGCGCCTGACACTTCCTCCCGTCTCCCGTAGCTCAACCGCATTCTAGGTCAGCCTCGGGCCCTACCTACGCGCTCGTCCGTTCCGACGATAAACATCTCTCTTCCGCGAATCCGCCCCTCCCGGCCGATGCCCCGTGCAACATGTCCCTATCCTCGGTCGTAGCCTACTTCCTCGGGGGTTATACTGCCCTCGTCCTCGCCTTATACATGCTCGCTACCGTCGTTCCCTCCGCCGAGTTCGTGGGCCGTACGCTCGCCGCGTACATCTCCATGATAATATGCGCCATCTACGGTGTACTGGCGTCGATAGTCCTTAGAATCCTTGGCCGCGAACAGATAGCCCAATGGACGACCGGACGCGCCTTCAAGCATGTCATGGCCCTCACCACCGGCGTCGCCTTCGAGATCGACGACCCGAAGGAACACCTCGAGACCGTTCGGCCCGCCGTGTTCGTCGGGAACCACCAGACCGAGTTGGATGTTCTCATGCTCGGCACCTTGTTCCCCAAGTACTGCAGCGTGACGGCCAAGAAGTCTCTGAAAAGCATACCGCTCTTGGGGTGGTTCATGGCCTTGAGCGGCACCGTCTTCATTGACAGAAAGAATACGCGCGACGCGAGGGACGCAATGACCGGTGCCGCCAAGGAGATCCAGCAACGGAAGCAAAGTGTTTACATGTTCCCCGAGGGCACGCGCAGCTACTTGAAGGAACCCGGTCTTTTGCCCTTCAAGAAAGGCGCGTTCCACCTCGCTGTTCAGGCCGGCGTTCCTATCGTCCCGGTGGTAGTGGCCAACTATTCTTATGTCCTCTACATCAAGAACCGCGTCTTCAGATCGGGGAAGATTCCCGTCAAGGGTAATGCCCTTCCCTTCCCCTATCCCCCCCCCCTCCCTTCGCAATAGACGTTGCTAACAGCCCGCAGTCCTAGATCCAATTCCTACCGCTGGGTTAACCGCTGAGGACGTCGACGAGCTCACTCGAACTACGCGGGAACTCATGCTCAAGGAGTTGGTGGCGCTGAGCCAGAAGGCGCGGAACAGGCCCTTCGCTGTGCCGGAAACTGGTGGCGACGGCGTCGTCCATGCTAGCGGAGCCGACGTAACTCTGTCATGAAACGCCATGTGGCAACGCCTCAAGTAGCGTGTGCGAACCGGCCACGTGTACGGCGTGGACCTGACGAAAGAGTGTGCTGCCCCCCTACTTGGTGATGAAGGTATGGGGGTCTACGTACGGTGTTTTGTCTAACAAGGCACCCCTTAGACTATGAGGAGTACATTTGCTCGATACCCCTATAGATCTGGTCGTTCCGGGCCTCTATCCATATTCCGGTAGCTCGCTCGGCGGGATGACTCGAGGCTTTCTCCCATATTTATAGATATTTATATGCACCCTAGGGGCCACTTAAGCACATAATGCTCCGAGAGGGCCCCTACTGTTAAGCACGGGCCGTCGACAGCCAGCGACATCGACGATATAAAGCAGCGCGTGCGGCTTGCCCGTATGCCTCGGCACATACACTACCTACCTACACACATAGTATAGCATGTCTCGGGTCTGCGTGCGCAGCTCAATAATAAGACAATTCCAATTCAAGGGTTGGGTTTCTTGTCGGGTGGGAGAGCGGGCTGATGAAAACATGCACATTCTCACGTACCTCTTTCGGTGGCTACATGTTTAGGATGCCGTCGCCGTCCAATGAGTGAGCACCTATGTCGCGTTCTTTATCGGAGCACTCCTTACTCATAGTTACACCTCTCCTCTGCTCTCGACGGGAGCCCAGGGTGAGGGGGGGAGGGAGGGGACATGCAGCCCAAACCCGTATAAGCATCTGGGCGTAGACCTGGATCGTCCCGCTCTGCGGCCACATCCTGGAATGCGCGAGATTCCAACAGGGGCGTCAAGCCTCAGTTGCCTTGGCACGATACAGTCTAGCCTAGGCGGCGATGGCTAACAAATGGTCCAATCCCACACGGCCATTCGCGAGTCTATCGATTCGATCAAGCTGAACTCCCTCCCCCCGCTACGACCCGAAAACCGGATGCTCGAGGCTAAGCTTCGCCAAAAGAACCGTGTCTACATCATCCATGACGTTTCGATTAGCACGTTATGTAGTAGATGTCGGTATATACGGCCATGCGAGTAAGCACCAGCTGTGTAAGGAGAGGGCCGGCTTTCCCATGTTCTCTCTCCCTCGCTGATCCTCTGACGTACGTACCTCGCAGGACTCGCGCTTTTTCTTGCTTCTTGCTTCTTTTTTGTCCTCAGCGGCGGTCAAGGCATAGTTGCGGCATGTAGCAATTCTGGTACATCCCTGCCTATCGGTTGGGCGGGCAGTCGGTAATATACAGCCGTGAGTATGGCCGTGAGTATGAAAGAACCATCTTGCTTGGGTCGGAGGGGGTCAGTTATCAACGCGACCTAAAAAAAAGCCGGTGGAATTACATCTTCTTACAAATGGCCACACAGATGCTCTGAAGTGACTTGCTGGACGCCGCAAGACGACGAAGTGGCCGAGCTAACTAAGCTGCATCGTGTACAGCTACACCCACCACTCGACATGACTAGCCAATTCCCCTAGATCAAGACCATCGCACCCCGTCGTGCATAGCCTCAGCCGGAGAAGCCGCCTGCGGGGACGGATGGCGTGCCGGCAAGAAACTTGTATCGCGACGAGTGTACCTGGATTCTAGATTCATAAACCAGGACGCGGCCCACGCCCATGGCGTGCTTCGCCCTCGCCGAACTGGGACAATGGCTAGCTCTTTGAGCCATAGGGAGGCATCCGGTGACGTTGCCCTTCGTGGCGCCGGCATTAGCTCCCTCCGGATTTTCCCCTCACCGGGCTGAAGGATCTTGTTGTCCCAGAGCCCACGGCTTCATAGCTCGTGCTGTCATAGGTATATAACGCCTCCGCACTTGTCTTTGTTCCTCGCTGGTGCTTCCTCACCTATAACCACCCCCAGATCTTTCTCGGCACTTCTGACACGCTTCCCAACTCAGTTTACTATCAACCCACCTATCATCATCATCATGTCTTACAACGATAGCAACGATGTGAGCTGGTCGAACTCCCACTCCCATATTCGGCTACACGACTAACATATGATGTACACAGTCTAACTACGGCCGCAGTGACGACTACGTAAGCAGCAGCTCACAATCAATACCTTCTTATCTAACACCGGAGCAGTCGTCGTCCCGTACCCAGGGCGGGTTCGGCTCCAGCCGTGACAACGACAGCGGTTACGGCAAGGGAGACCGGTCTGACAAACCCTACGGCGGCTCGAGCGATTCATATGGGTCGTCAAACCGCCGGGGCGATTCCGGCAACGATTCGTATGGCTCGCGCTCCGGAAACGACAAGCCTTACGGCTCGAGCAACTCCGGCCGCGGCAACGAGAGCTCCTATGGATCCAGTGACAATACTAGCAGGGGCGGCTACGGGTCATCGGGGAATACCTATGGCTCAGACCGCACCCGCGCGGATAACAGGGACTCGTACGGCTCCAAGGACAACAGCAGCAGCACCTACGGGTCCGGAAACAACAAGTCCAGCAACTCCTACGGCTCGTCCAGGGATGACAACAACGATAACAAGTACGGCTCCTCCGGAGGGCATAGCTCTTCTAACCGCCGCGACAACGACAACGACAACAGCTACGGCGGGTCCTCTACCAACCGTCGCAGTGACAATGACAACAAGGCCTACGGATCCCAAACCACCAGCTCATCCGGCGGCTACGGCGCTAATTCCGGCTCCGACTCGTACGGGTCCGGCAACTCGGGACTCGGCAGCAGCGACAAAAAATACGGCGGTAACTCGACATCGTCGTCCTACGGGACCCAGAACCAGACGGGATCTGGGCGATACGGAAGTGGCCGGGATGATGATGATAACAAGAACAGCGGTTCGGGGGGCAGCCTGACGGACAGGCTGACGGGTCAGCTGCTGGAGAGTAAGTCCCTCCGTACCATTCACGCCACACTACACCCGGCTCTGGACTTGCCTCGGCCAGCGGGTCTCTTCCTACTCATGCCCACACACTCACCTGCCTCTCCCTCTCGCAACTTGACATCCGATTTCCGTTTTTATCCATTGCTAACCGCCAACTCTCACTACAGAGGCCGGGTCAGTGCTTGGCAACGACCGCCTGGAGGACAAGGGCCGCGAGAGGCATGATGGCGGCCGCGACAATTACTAGGCTGCCTAGCCCGTGATCCTCTAAATACCTCGGGGAAGAGATGAGGGACAGAGGAAGGGATAGAGGGGGAGGCTACTCTATGGAGGCGGTTATTTCGTCTATCTAGGTAAATTGTAACATGACGGTCCTTACGCGCTACGCGCTGTCTACCATGTACTCGGCGAAATTGGAAGCAGTATTTCTTGGGGGAACAAGACAATTCTGGGCTCTCGATTCGGCGTGCTAGATGTTGAAAGACAGGGAGGGTCTCGAAGCCCATGAACCACCACCTATCCTATCCAGTGTACGTCGAAATACTACAGTTATCGAGTCCTCCAACACCACCGTGCCTCTTCTCGCACCCATCCTACCCCGTAAGTAAAGCCAGGCAGTTCCAGCCCTCGCCACATACGCCACGCCTTTTATCGCTGCGAGCTCGCGTACAGTCCCTGACGGCAGTTCTTCCCTAGCGGCCCCCTCGCCGCACCCCGCCTGGGTTGGATAGGCGGGGCGCGTGAACCTCCCCACCGTGCGTCTCGCTGTCGCCGCCCGCCCACACCTAGGACTTGATGAAGGCTCCTCCCTTACGGGGCCCCCCACGCCCCGCGGGGATTGGCCGGGCGCTTGACCTTGACCATCCGTATGTCTCGCTATCGGCGTGAGCCCGCGTCTAGGAAGCTGATAGCAGCTGCGCCCTAACGCTGCCGCCCGCCACCCCGCCTGGGCAGGAGGGGATAGGCGGGGGCACATGAGCCCTCTCCAACCCCCGCCCCCGCCCCTCGCGGCTGGGGCAATCGCGGGGGAGAGGCCGGGCCAAGGCCGTGGCCCAGGTGGGACGGCAACGGCCGTCCCGCGGCCCCCCCTGTTCTTCGGAGGGGCCGCCTGGGGGGCACTACCTTGCCCTTGCCTCTCCCCGCCCCAGCGCGCAGCTGGGTAAGGTGGCCCAGCATGAAGGGGCGAGGGGGGGATGGCGTAGGGCCTCGAGGAGGAGCGTTAGGTTGGGCGCAAACGTAGTTGGTCGGATGGGGCGAAAAGCCCCCCCCCCCCCCGGTGGCGCACCGTTAAAGGCCCGCCCGCGTATCATATTGGCTGGCGGACCCTATACCGTAGGGATGCCCCGGGGGGGAGGCTAGGGTGAGGTCGCGGCCCCTCTTGGTGTTTGGAGGGGTCGAAGATGGAATACTCGTCGCATCAGGCCCAGGCCGCCGATGAGGCCGGCGCACATACCCGAGAGGATACCACCGTACAGGTTAGGCATTGCCGTGGACTTGTCGTTGCACAGCACAGGATCAGGGCGGCCTTCTCCAGGCCCCCCCCCCCCCGGGTGGATGCTGGCTAAGCTAGCCCAGCAAGGGGGGGTAGCCTGGATCGGGGAGATACATTGTCCGTTGCGCTGTGTGTAGAGACAGGCATTTAGCCTCTCGAAGGTGAACGCTATCCAGGGGGGAAGGTTGGGTTAAAGCTGTAGCCCCTCCTGGTCTTCGGAGAGGCCAACCCCCCCTTCCCCCCTGGTATGTGCTGGGTAAGGCAGCCCAGCAGGCAGGGTAGCCTGGATCGAGAAGGTATCCCATCCTCTGTATGTGTCCAGAGGTAAGTGTCCGGCGCCGGTACACACCCGCTAGTATTTTCTGTGAGTAGCCTCCGCAAAGCAGCCCTGGGGGAAAGGATAAGTTGAAGTCGAACCTCCTCCTGGTCGTCGGAGAGGTCCTCCCCCCCCTCCCCCCGGTGCGTGCTGGGTAGGGCGGCCCAGCAGGTAGGGTAGCCTGGATCGGGAAGGTATGTGATCCTCAGCGTTATGTATAGGTGTACGTTTAGCTCCGCTGAGCAGACGCCACCCAGGGGGAAAGGTTGGGTTAAAGTTATGGCCCCTCCTGGTCTTCGGAGAGGCCCCCCCCCCCCCTTTCCCCCCGGTACGTGCTGGGTGAGGTGGCCCAGCCGGGAGAGGCTCGGTTAGAGCGGCCCGTCGCCTGTGTGCGGACGAAGGCAGCTATGGGGTGCTTCTAAACCCGCTGGCATGTTGGTTGTCGGTCCCCGTCGGCCCCTTAGTTGGAAGCGGGCCATATAGTTTCCAGGAGGGGGCCGACGGGGGAACAGGCCATAGGCCTTCAGCTTTCCCTCTTCGTTTCGCTGTGGTAGCGAGATAGTCAAGAGGCTCTAGGTGGAGGGTATGTTACCCGGATATGCCTATGACATCCTAAGGATGGGTGTTTATGTTGTTCCCGAGACACGTGGGTATCTCGAAGGTGTGGATGGGTGGTTTATGGCCTCCCTCTCTCGGCCCCGTTGTTGATGCCCGCCGAGCTGATCCCTGGAGGCTGGCTTGGAGACCAGGTAACAGACAGTCTCTATGCAGCGGCTCATACTCCCCTTAGAGACTAAGGCTTTATGTCCTTTGGGGAGAGAGGGCAGCAGGGGGGGGGGATGTTATCATGAGGACCTACGCCGGGCAGTTAGCACTTTTGTGATTGAAGCGGATGCTGTCTAACTCACACCCAGAAACGCTAGATCCCTTGACGCGTCGTAGACGCGCGTAAGATGCCGTGAAGGCCTAAATGGTAAATGGTTAGTGGAGCAATGTAAAAGAAGAGATGCCTTAACTTACGAGTAGCGCGAAGCAGCATATCGTCACCGTTGCTGCGAAAGGGATAGTAACGGCATGTTGGAGGGATTAATATGTGTGATGTTCGACTCCGTCCAAGATGGAGCCACCAAAGAAGGCGAGGAGGGGAATATGAAGATCCTGTCTTAGGATCCTCCCGCCCCCTTGCCTTCCAGCTCCTTCTGAGTGCTTCCTCGTCCAAATATGCGAAGCTTGGCCTTCCCCGGCTCCCAACCAGACAAGGGTAATATGCAGTGCTGGCAAAATATATGATGAGGAGCCGTCATTGAAAGCTGTCATGGCAGATCTCCTGTAGATGAGTTGTGGAGGTTGAGCATTGTAACTTGAAGAAGGGTGTGTTTCTTCTCTGGGCAGAGAAGGGACTGGATGGGGATGGGTGACGAGGAGAAGCAAGGCAATGGAGGGAAAAAAATAAGAAGAAGGTGAAAAATTTCAGGGCCCAGGACAGCCAGAGGTGAAATATTTATAGTCTTTTCATGGGATCGCCGTGACGATAAAACTCGCATGATCATCTCCTTGTATCCCCCGACAACAACATTTTGAGGTTTGGGGAACATACTCCTACTGTGCCATTACAAAGGATCCCCTCTTTAGTATGCGTATAACATCCACAGTGTCAAGTTATATATGTAGTATCAAGGATCGTGAAGGGGAATCAAGGAATCTATGCTGCCCACTTCAATAGCTCGAGTCGACTGTGGTGGAAAGATCACACTGTGTCTGTGAACTCGAGTAAGTAATAACCTGATATTGATTCGAGAGTAATAAAGAAGATTGCTCGAAGGGCGAAAACAGGCGCTCAAAGGCATTACTTATGATGAATCAGGGAGGTGCTGAGCATTGATTACAGCTGCAGTCTTAAGGGTTGTAATAAGTAACGGCTGATTTAAAAATGTCCCCCAGGGGCTCTAATAGTGCGAATATCCAGCAGCAAGCATTGGAAGCCTATTCTATATTTCTGTATTAATAGCTCGAAGGATTAGGGTTGACCTATACTACGGGTAGTCTTTTTATTGCATCCTTCTGTTATGCTTGTTGGTATTGCTCTGCTTGGATCTCTCCAGCATGCATCTCCCGCTGGCGGGAACTAGAAAGAGAAAAGCTCCACGCTAGATTCCATGCTGACGAGGTTACCTACCTAGTTACATAGCCGAGTCTTTGGTGGCTTCAAGGTGGCCGCTTCAAGAGTTGAACTTGGGATCAACTGCTGGCTCCGGGCGGCGAATGCTTTGTTTCAGCCCACGTGGGTGTCTTAATTCCTATTTAAGATAGAATATTAATATCGTACGTATTGCGGAACACATCTTGATATAAGAGTTACCACTGCGGTATCGAGTTAGATTTACGTAGCTAACAATTATTTCACTGCCGAGACCAGTTTAGTTATGATGTCGCGTAAAACGTGGACGCCTACATCCTACGACTTGCGTACGTAGGCATATAGGGGCTGATCCCGTACGTGACATATGATGAACACAGACTAGGTGTAAACAGCCGGGCAACCTAGGCATCTCCACCAAGTTTAACAGCGCATAGACTTAAGAAAACGTCTTCGAGAGCTCAAGATCCCAATATTAATTTTACTAATTAGTACTAACGGATGTCAACCTATAATCTTATCCTGCCGTCCCCTCCAAACCACCGTCGTATATCAGAATCGCTTCGACCTGCTCTGGTACTGCTCTCTGCTACATCGTCACTACCACCCATCCATCTTGGCCTCTTCATGCCATCCCCGATGTCCCGGAACCACTTCGGGGGATCGATGGTGTCGAACGTGTTCTTAACCCTATGGCCCAGGTTTGTGAAGAAATTCTGCTCCTCCGGTTCCGAATCTACAACTTGGGACCGGGAGGACGGTGTTACTCTTGCGCTGGGGGGGTCTCGGTACGAAGGCGATGTAGCGAAGGGTGTCTGAGTGCCCCCGTTCCTGGCCGCCGGCACTGTCAAGATGGGAACAGCACGTGCATGAGAACTGTCGGTGCCCCTTGACCTTGACGCAGCTTGGTCTAACCGCCGGGAGATCGATGTCCCATTCAGTTCGCGCTCAATCAAGTCCCTGCCCTCACGCCAGGAGCCAGTACCGTAACTAGCCTGGTCTTCATCCTCGTCGACGACGTCGACGCCAAATCCGAAGAACCGCTTGACCTTGCCATATAGACCGAATAGTGTCGCGAACACGGGGACCAGGACGAAAGCGGGGAATAAATAGTCGAACCATTTCCCCAGCGAAGTAAAGTCGACGTACTGACCAAGGATGCCATAAAAGGTCGTCTCCTGATATATTTGACGAGACAGAAACGTGACGAAATTGTAAGAGAGCGGGACGGTTAATTTCGCGACCTGGCCGGCGTACCAGAAGGCAGATTCATGGGCGGTGTTTCGTCGAACTAGAGAGCGACCACGCCACACCTTTACCTCAGTTACCGAATAGAGAGCCGCAGCGCACATGTACATTATCCAGAGCGCGGCAGTAAGCTGACCGGCGAAACCAACACGACCACCCTCACCTGTCCAGTGGTGCACTACGGTGAATCGGATGACAGACAATGACGGTAGGGCCGCCTTAACCAACTCGGACCATATGATACACATCGACGCCAGCGCGAGAAAGCCTCCGAGGAAGACACGCAGATAGGGAATGACGTGGTAATGAAGGAGGTATCGCATATAGGGAGTGAGGACAGTCGCCTTCTCCCAAAGGGAGGAGTTCGGCGAGCTTGAACCTAGCTCGAGCTTCTTCGATGCCGCGGAATCTAGAACCGCTTGCGCCTTGGAAGCATCGCGAAGGAGACAATCCCATTCGTCGAGGTATCGTGACTTAGCATGTCTCGCCCGTGTAAGTTGGCGGGTGAGATCTGCCAAGTACTTCTCGGTAATAACTATGGGAACTATGCGGTTGTCGTTGTCGGCTCGAGGTAGGACGTTCCTCGGTCGGGATTCGGGGATATTGCATATCTCTGACAGCTCCTCGATCCAGTCCCGGAAATCCCGAGCGCTCCCCGTTTTACGCTTGCTCAGTTCCGATACTTGAACCTCTAGATCTTCAAGATTAAGGAGGGCATCCTCCATCTTCTCGTACAGTCTGGGCGCCTGACTCTGAAGCAGTCGCAGTCGATGACTTGCTCTAGCATTCCTGATTAAACCCCGGGGGATCGCGACGAGACCGTGGCCCATGAGGTAGATGGCTAAGGCTAATCCCCAACAGTATGAAAGGGCCATTATCAAGCCCTTGAGCGACATAAACGTAGGGCCGCGGGATATGAAGAAATACACGAGCCCGAGAGTGGCTGAACCGAACACGATGGCATAATATTGGGCGTTGGAGCGCAACGAATAAAGAATTCGGTCTTTGGACTCTCGGTAACCGGCATCGGAATACTCGGCAAGTATGGGCAATATGAACCTAACAAGACCAGCGTCAGTGGCGAGCATGCCGAGAAGAGGGTCATGCGCTCGAGATTACCAAGTCAGAACGAAGGTCAACCAGTATGAGATCCGCCACGACACCAACAACGCTCTCGGTGGGAGCCAGATGCCTTTCGTGGCCTCATCGTCGGTGCTCGCATTGGAGGCGAGATCGATAGGGACGAGCAGCACGATGGTTGCGGGTAGCCATAGCGCAAAGAAGACGGGCACCAACAAATAGGCTGGCGTCTTTCGCAGCGGGAGGTAATGGCGCAGAATTAGGAGGACGACCAGGGAGAGAACGAGGAGTGCGAGGACAGCGAAGATCTCCGAGAGGACCGGCGATGGACTACCCGACGCGAGTAACATCATGGACGAGTAAAGAATGGCCCATGAGGGAGACGGGTGGGAAGAGGAATGGAAGTTGAAGAAGCGAAATGCTGGAAATGACGGGGCGGCCTTCGTATGTAGATTTGATGGACCTGTGACGACCTGGGACAAGGCACAAGTTCCCGCGCCTCGTAGAGGTACCACCTACCTGTATGTAAGTTAGGTACAAAAGTATCTCTACCTAGGACAGGTACCTAACCTAAGAAATGGCTCGCAAAAGTAGGTACTCTCTACATGGATGTTTTCTAGGAATCTCATTGGGAACTGGATAGGTGCCTGTACCCGTGTACTTACCTACCTGCGGAAGATACCTTAGGTACTTCTTGCAAGTAAGGGGGACACCCACCCTGACTGCCCCCGCTGACGTCTTATTCCTGACTTGGAGGTACGTACCTAATCTTAGGCCACCATGAGCAAGATAACACGGATCTCCCTCGGCTTACATAAGGATACCAACGCAAGGTCACGTACAGATGTGCACATATCCCGACCGCGTCCCCAAGGTAGGTACCTCTTGCTATATGCATAAGGTACCAGTTCCGACGAATCGCGCAGGTAAGGGGGTCACTAAAAGCTGCGAAAAACAGGCTGGCCACTTGAGAAATCGACCCCGGATTTTTTTGCACGGCTGAGGAGAGGCCAGCTATCATTCCATGTCATATCGTGCCAGTTGACATCCCGTTGATGTTGGCTCCTCTCACGACCAATTCACCATCAGAGGGCCTCTTTGCGCCGCCTAAGGCCCACCGCGACTTCTCCTGACTGTCTACCCTTCTTCTTCGCTTCTGCTTATATATTTTTTCCGTTTTCTCTCTCTCCCTCTCCCCCCTGTCCTCCGACAGCCGAGTCCGACGAGATGCGATTTACTGCGCTGTCAGCCCTGTGGCTGGCGGCCACCACAGCTTGGGGCGCTGTGAACAGAGACGACGAGGGCAACATTCGGACGATTTCTGTGAGTCCTGCTCGTGCCAATTCGAACCTTCCGCGGGCTACTGCTGAACAGGTCCATCGTCTCCTAGCTGCGAACCCATACCTTAAAACAGCCCTACCTCGACTCTGACATGCAAAGTCGGTGGTACGATTTTGGAGGCGACACGATAATTCGAACAGATTCGTACGTTATCCTTTTTCTTTTCGCCATTCGAGCAAAGAGGAACCCTCCCGTTGATCGCAGAACCCTAGTTATATTCGCTTAACTTCGGATCGTCCGTCGCAAACCGGCTGGCTGTTCTCCCGAGTACCCCTGACAGCCACCAACTGGGAAATTACGGTCGAGTTCAAGATCCATGGTAAAAATCAGCTTTACGGTGACGGGTTCGCCATGTGGATCACCAAAGAGCGAGGGCAACGAGGCCCGGTCTTCGGGCACGCCGATAACTTCGAGGGCCTCGGCATTTTCGTCGATACCTACAAGAATAACCGGCCCGGTGTGGTCTTTCCGTATGTCATGGCCATGGTGGGAGATGGCAAGACGTCGTACAACAAGGACAACGACGGCAAGGACACGGAGTTTGCCGGGTGCTCTGCTCGCGGCATCCGACACTCGAACGTGCCCTCGAAATTGAGACTCACGTACTTCCAGGATAAATCTCTCAAGCTGGAGCTCCAGTACAAGAGCGAGGACGAATGGCAGCTATGCTTCGAGACGGGCGAGCCGCCGGCGATCCCCTCGGTGACCTATCTAGGATTCAGCGCCGAGACGGGCGAGCTGAGCGACAACCACGATATCATCTCCATCGACGCTAAGAATCTCTACGTGACGGGAAGCTCGTCTAGCAAGCCTACTCCTGGCAGAGGAAGTGTAAAATCAACTCCGCAAAAGGAGGCCAGCGGCGGCAGCTGGACTTGGTTCTTCTTGAAGATCATCTTCTTCGCGTTGGTCGTCGGCGGCTCATACGTAGGCTATACGGCCTGGAGGGCAAACAGCAAGAGGAGCCACAGGTTTTGAGGGGCGAAATAAAAATATTTGAGCTCTGCGAGCGAAGGAGCAGGGCCAAAAGCAGGGCTCAAACACATGTTTACAAAAACATGTGAAGTTCGAGGTGCGGCCACGTCATTTCCCACAGTCTCGAACGGTCAGTTCTCTCATATCATCACGAAGCCGGCGGGCACGAACTAGTAGTGTAAAACTAAGGAATAGTTCAAAATGTAGCGAAAATTACAAGTGCTTGTGAGGTTCACAGAACCAACTAGACGGAATCTGGCATGCGATATTGGGAGGCACAGATTCTCTAGTCTTCTTCTGAGAGGAGCATGTTCCGCGATCACCTACGAACATCATAGGTGCGGAGGCCGGATCGGTCGAGTGAGTGAACATGTAGGGTCGCAACGTGCGCCATCTGGCAGAATACTGTTATCTGCGTGTTACACTGGTGTCGAAGTGCCTGGCCGTAGGTAGATGCCACCTTCGTAAGGGTAGAGACTCGGGGAATATAAGCCGTTACCTAAATCTCGACAATGCCGACATTTGCGCCCCGATGCTGGCCCGGATACGGACAGGTACCTCTTCAAAGGTATCCATCCCTGTTGTCTGGATTCAAGGTATCGTACAGGTACGTGCGGAACCTAACCTAACCTCAGTAGGTACAGGTAGCTACGGGTAACTTACCCCTTACAAGGACGGTATCCAAGGTACCTACCTAGGTACCTAATCTAAGGCAACCTACATACAGTACCTAGGTACCTCCTAATCCACCTAACCTACTAGTGTCAAGTACCCGAGGTAGGAGGGAGGGAGGGAGGTATCTAAAGGTATGACATTAGAGCAGATACCTATGACGTCGACAGTGATGAAAACCACTGAGCTGCGGCCATGTGTATATCATGTGTGATACCTCAGGTATACTTGTGAGAGTGATGACGGTGCGGCATTGGATTCCGGACGGCTTCCGGTCGAGCCCCCGCTTTGCCTGGATGATGTGATAGCAGGCTTGGTGATAGCAGGCCTCGGGTACCTAGGTAGGTACTAAGGCAGGCATACTGATGATAGGTACCTGCTTGGGGTTGGAAGGTTTGGTAGAATCCGTAGGTGCATCACCGTAGGATCTGAATATCAGGGACTTATCCACCGAATACAGGCACATTCTGGGGGTGTTTTAGACAACAGATTACACATGTACGTGGGGTGGTCGGATTCTAAAAATAAGCTAGGTACCTACCTGTAGGTAAATACCTGCCTTGGGTATAGAGTAGGTATACGATTTGAAGAGAATGAAGCAATACGTGGATTGTTTCCAGGGAATAGGAGAATTAAGCATGCGACCAGTGAGCGATGGCCTGTTTCGCTTAGATTAGCCATGCCAGTAACAAGACTCGCTGGCGATCTTACCTTGGTGCTACCCAGTTCCGATCTTGGACGGCGTCCCATTACCTAGGTATGTGCTCGCCAGCTGTGCCCGACCCGTACGCAGACAGGCATGTGTGTTAAGTACGTGCGATCATCCCTACCGTGCGCACAGCTACTCATATGTCCTCGCAGCTCAGCAACCCAAAACGCCCGCGCTGACGTCCGTGTCGAGGCCAAGCTCGAACTGCGAGAGCGACGATGTGAGGCTTTTTCTCCACGGATAGAGCTTCGACCAGTGCTTGCCCTCGTCCTGGCTCTGCTCCTGGCTCCTTGGTCCTGGCTCCTTTTTCCCCTCCTGGCTCCTGGCTCCTGACCCGAAACGACTCTGGGCCAATAATCAAAACCCCTCTTCTAGCGCCGCCAACCTCTCAATACAGCCTCCCGCCGACCCGTCGACCCCGCCCTGCCGCTGGCGATTGGCGCAGAGGCGAGACAGCGATGCGAATAGGGAAACGCCCCCACCTGGTGATCCTCTCGGTTTCAATGGTTCAACTCTTCCTCCTCGTCTGAACAATCCCACAGCTCTGGCCGCCAGAGGGGGGGGGGGGACTCCCACCGCAAGCCACCCGGCTAACCTCGCTCGGAACTGGATCTGCTAGTCTCTCTTCTGCCCTCTATCTACCCCTACCCTCACCTACATTCGGTGCAATACATACACGCCTGGCCTGGGTTATAGCATTTATCCTGCTGCGTCGGCTTGGCTGCGGGATGCTAGCCGGGTAGGTAACCTAGCCGTGTTATTTATATAGCCGGCTACTTACACCACTAACCGACACTCACCTGTGTGCGCACACCTACCTCTGTGCACATCTCCAGGTGTGGTGAGTAAGTTCAATTCTGCGATCCTGCTCGGGACCTATTGTACATGGCGCATCCCTACCTCCCCATTACTCGGCCTTCCTTTTCCCTGCCTGACCGACCTCTCTTTGTTGTGCGAGGCTGTAGGTCTATGTGTAATGGCATGTCGTACGTAGACATATACTAGGCGCCAACCAGTTTAGCACCGAAAACTCGCTCCCTACCTGCCTACCTACCTACCTACTTACCTACCTCATGTCTGACCGATCTAGATACCAGACTTCCCCCGGCCCACCGTCATCGAATCGCCCACCCGCCGTCGTCGCCTCTCCGAGCTTCTCTTTGCTGCACAGGTCGAAGAGCTACCACCACTGAAGCCGCCACCCTATCACCGCCGTCGCTCTCCCGCCTGGAGCTATTTGCCCGCTGCATTGCATGCTCCCGCCGAGTTTGATCAAATCGGGTATTGCGTCTGTCCATGCCGTGATCCCGACCGCCGAAGCTGCCCAAGTCAATCGCATACCTCGGGTTGTTCTATATAGCCTCTGTGCGCTCTCTTACCTCTACCTCTACCTCTACCTCTCTAGGTCGCCTTGGGTCGAATCCTTCGGAGAAAGAGAAGCTCTACGGCGCAAAAGCAGGGTCGATCTAATTGGTCCAATTGGATTCCGTCTTTGTGCCCGGACAATTATCTCCCGGAACCACTGGGAAAGGAGTTCCATCGGGTTGGCTTGTGCTGTGCTGTGCTGTGCTGTTCTGTGGTGAGTAGAAAGGGTTGAATGACCTTGACTCTGAACATCGCCAATTGCCTGCCTTCCTGACAGAGCAACCTACGCCCACCCACCCACCTTTTACATGCTTACAACCTATACGACCTTAGACGCACGCACCTATACGCTCTCCCACATACCTACAGGCCTGTATCGATTATTATTCTTATTATTCTTATTCTTATTATACGCCTACCCGTTGGCTAACGGCTGCCACCAGCTATTTCGGACGCTCCCAGTCTGCCTCGACTACCTCTTTTTCCTCCCTGTCCCGACTACCCTGGGACCCCCCTGACCTCGTTGCGTTGCGAAGGAGTGTTGCATACATATTTACACATCTCTAAACGGTTCCTCCTCCCCCAGCTGCTTCCCCCTTACTCTGCCTGTTTTGGTATCTGCTCGACCCCAAAGTGGCTTATTAGGTATTTCCCTTCCCAATCCAAAGCTGTCGACCGTGTCGAAACTTGCGAATCGCAACCGCCACATCAGACGATACGGACAGGCTGGCCTACCTCCTCCCTCTTGCCTGCTCCTTCTGCCTCCTCCTCCTCCTTCTCCGCATCTTCTATCCAGTATTAACTACCTGTTGACGCGCCATCCGAGTCAGTCTTGCGTGCGGAAGCTCGAATCACACCTACCTACCTACATACCTACCTGCTCGCGCCAACGTCGACAACATCGACCTACCTCTATCAGCCCATCGCGGGGATTTAGGCCCCCCATATTCCACACGCGATATATCATATGCCGAGTCTAGGATTCCTCAAGAAAAAACGGACGAAGGAGGAGAAATCCGATCGTTCCTCCTCCAGCCAGCCCACAAGTCCAGTCACGCCCATCACGCCGGTCACTCCCACGTCCTTGAGGACCTTCGGCTCGAAAACCTCCCTCATCACCGCTGCGACGCGCAGTTCGGTCGCCAGAAGCACCGCTTCCCAATCGCAACCCACAAACCCACCCACCCAGGAGGTACCAGCTTCAGCTGGTGGAGGGTCGCAAATGAATACCCCGGCGACCCACCAAGCTGCTCCGTACGGGCTCCAGCCTCCCCCGAACCCCGCCCCGTCGGGGACCCCACAGAACGTTCCGAGCATCAACAACCTGATCAACCTACCGCAGAACGACGGTAAGAAATGCCCCGTGGCCTGTAGCCGGCGGCCCTCCCGCATCTGACTCGGAGTGCAGGCAACCATCACGAGGCAGCTTCGCCGCAGCCGCCGCCGCCGCAACCGCAGTCGCAACCGCAGTCGCAATCACAACCCTCGGAGGCTAGAGTGACGAAAGGCAAATACTCCCTCGGCGACTTCGATCTCCTCCGGACGCTCGGTACGGGCAGTTTTGGCCGCGTGCACTTGGTGCAGTCGAAACACAACCAGAGGTTTTACGCCATCAAAGTGCTGAAGAAGGCCCAGGTGGTGAAGATGAAGCAGGTTGAACATACCAACGACGAGCGGCGGATGCTCGGCGAAGTCAAACATCCTTTTCTCATAACGCTGTGGGGGACTTTCCAGGACCCGAGGAATCTCTACATGGTCATGGATTTTGTCGAGGGCGGCGAGTTATTCTCTCTGTTGAGGAAGTCGGGTGTGCGTCGCGAATTGACCCCTCTCCCGTTTTCCTTCTCCCTCCCCCCTTAGCTAACTCGGACCAGCGATTCCCGAACCCGGTGGCGAAATTCTACGCCGCCGAAGTCACCCTCGCCCTCGAATATCTGCATTTAAGAAACATCATCTATCGGGATCTGAAGCCCGAGAACCTGCTTCTGGACCGCCACGGGCACCTTAAGATAACGGATTTCGGTTTCGCAAAAAGGGTCCCGGATAAGACGTGGACGTTATGTGGGACCCCGGACTACCTCGCCCCCGAGGTCGTTTCGAATAAGGGTTACAATAAATCGGTTGACTGGTAAGCTCAATAGGGCACGTGTGAGGTCGGGGGCGAATGCGTTGCTCACGGGAGACTACATCTAGGTGGTCGCTGGGCATCCTGATCTACGAGATGCTCTGCGGATATACGCCATTCTGGGACAGCGGTTCGCCGATGAAAATCTACGAAAATATCCTGCGGGGTAAGGTCAAGTATCCGCCATACGTTCACCCCGACGCACAGGACCTCCTCGAGCGCCTCATAACGCCCGATCTGACGAAGCGATTGGGTAACCTGTACGGCGGGTCACAGGATGTGAAGAATCACCCGTGGTTCTCGGAGGTCACCTGGGATCGATTATCGAGGAAAGATATCGACGCTCCGTACACGCCACCGGTCAAGGCCGGCGCCGGCGACGCAAGCCAGTTCGACAGATATCCCGAGGAAACGGAGAAATACGGCCAGACCGGGAACGACGAGTAAGTCGAGCTTCATGCGTATTCGATACCCCGACGCGACGAGTGCTTGTATGCTAATAGTTGTAGATACGGGTACCTATTCCCCGACTTCTAATGTGACGACGATGATATGGGAGCTGCGCGCAACTGCGTGCGAAAGGGACGTGTGCGAGTACTCTTAGATCCGGGTACCACCGATTCGTCGAGGCCAACCCTGGGCGGAAAAGCAGCCGGGAAGTTTTTGGTCTGTCGAATCTCGGGAAAGAAACGAAGTTACGGATCGCGGGCCGCTTGCGAAGAGGGGGGGAGAAGACAAAAAGAGCCTCGTTGAATGGGAGGGGTTGGAAAAGGATGGACGAGGCCAGGATCTCGCAGCTGGTTAGGTAAACAGACGAGCAGGAGAGGACAGCCACTCGGACATTCCAGTACGGGTTGGTTACGGCATACATAGACGGGTCCACAGCCCGCCCCGGACAGTATCTTAGCACACAGTGTTACCAGTGCGTTTGGCGATTCAGGTGTTCTGTGCGGCCTGTCTGGGGTTTCCGAGACTGGTTGCCGCCCGAACGAGCACGGTGAGGCGTGGATTGGACAAAACTAGCCACTCCGGATTCTTATTGACGTATGTAGGCACCCAAGAGTGGTATCGGTGGCATCTGGCCATCCGCTGCGCAATAGACGCACACTTGCATCTCGGGGGCGCAGCGTCTTGTGTTTTAACACCACGTCTCCGCATCGCTTGGAAGGGTATCGGCGGACACAGGAGGGGGGGCGGGGAATGGATGGAGGAGAAAGGCCCGCATGCGGCTCTTCTCTCTTTAGCGATGGTGACGTGTAAGCCGAAGGTCCCAACCCCACTCCACCCTCGTGGATACGCACATGCATCCCATCCATTCATCCCGTACGCTTTGTACTCTATGCTATGCGTACGGGAAGGGTTGCGTATGTACTACACCTACACGCGATCTACACGCGCACAAAGCGTCTCTCCGTCGTCGGGTGCTTTCTCAGGTACCTACCTAAGCTACCTACCTAGGTCCACAATCCGTGCCGAGCGCCGCGCCCCGGCGACGACGCCCCGCGCACGTGTGCAGGTCCGCCGCGGCCCTGCTACCACCTACTTGGGTATAGACGGCGTCACTCATTCCTGAGGTAGTAGGGCAATGGGGCGGGCGCCGGAGCCTTCCCGGGCTCTAAGCAGGTTAGGTAGGTAGGTTGGTAGGTAGGATGTAGGCTGGTGTGCGCAACCACGCCCCCCTTCCCCCCCCCCGATGACCTCGGGCGCATAGGGCGTGGACGCGGACGTTATTCGGTGTGCGTGTTGGGTTAGTAGCGTGCGCAAGTTGCCTCAGGATGTGCGCGTGTATATGCGGGGGTGTGTGATGGGGGTTAGTTGGTAGATGATGCCTTATCTCACATCTACGGATGCGCCTCTGCCTGTCAGAATGAGATGTTGGCGTTCCGTTCCGTGTCGGGTTAGCAGCTAAGGCGCCCTTACGGTAGAGCTGCGGATGCGCACCAACAGCGTACCTAGCTGCATACAGATGCGCTGCATGATACCTAGGTATATCCATATTCGTCATGTAGCCGTGTTCCAACGACCTCAGCTAGGCACTACCTACCTCTAGGTACCTAGGTAGGTAGGTCAGGTCCAGGTATCTAAGGTACTCTTAGGACAGACCCTGGTGCGTACGAGGTAGGTATTTAGATAAGCTATGCAAATATGCTGGATCTGGATCTACACACATATTCATAGGTACCTACCTAGCTGCTAATATAGCTGCTAATGCAGTTGGAAACAAAAAAAAAACCCCTGGAGGGGACGGACAATTGCGGGACCGTGCCGTGGCCCACGTTGTCACTACCGCCCCATCCAATCCGTGCCCGTCTCTCGTCTCCATTTTCTCACGAGCCCGTCCCGTAATTTGCTTACCGTCTCTCGTCTGGGTGTGCGAAGCTTCTTCACACCGAACCTGGTCCTGACCCTAGGCTAGTCCTACCCGGGTGTGTAGTGCGTTGGCTGCTTTCTATCCTCCCCCCCCTTGTTCTGCCCTGTCTCTCCGTCGGTCTACCCGCCATCGACTTATTTCATCCTTAGCCTCGCGGGACTCCCCTTACCAAGATCATTTATCGGGTTGGCAACGCTAGAACCGCTCCTCCTCGCGCTCCCTCCCTCTCCCATTTTCCTCCCTCTTCTTTCTTGCCATTGCTGCAGCTCTGGCCTGTGATCCGAGAAAAAAAGGAACGAGTAGACGGGGTCGCGTTCGACCAGACCGAAGCACCGCCTCCTCCTTTCCAGCTGAGCTTCCCGGCACCACACCTGAAGCTGCCGCCTACGCCTGCGCCTCGATCTACGTACATACCTACACACACACGCACCACACGCACACACACACACACAAGCGTACATGCCTACATAATTACCTTGCTGCACATCCTTGCATCGCCGGGCGTATTGCGTATGCTTGATTGGAGGATGCTGTCTTGGGTATAGGACCTGAAGGACAGCCGCTTTGCCCATACATACATAGTTTGCCCAGTCTCCATTCGGTCTCGTCGCTTGCACCGCCCATTCCCTTCATAAATCCTTAGTTATCGTGTCGCCTATTCTCTGCAGTATCGCAGCATGGACGACTATCTGTTTCGTGAACTTCTCGCGCAATGCGAACCTATCCAAGAAAGAACCACCTACCTGGAGGTCTTCAACTACACGGTACGTCACCGCCACCGCCTACCTCAGTTCCCCGTGTCCGGGTCCGCCCGCCGACGGGCCGGCCAAACTGTATAGCTCGCCTCCGTGTGTAGGCCGCGGGGCGGCGGGGGGCGGCCCAGCATACGCTAACCCGGATGTGACCCCAGGACGCGAAATACAATACTCAGGAAGAGCATTCCCTTAAGGATGACGATGACTTTGAGAACTTCCTCCACCGCAGGGTAAGCCGTCTCCATTCTCACATCTTTCTCGCTAGGGCGTATCGTGTAAGCCGGCGTTGTGGGGCCTCACCTTTCAGCTGGCTGGGCTTTCCACCAGACCGCAGGCTTATCCCCGTCCCTTCCAAGCTCACCTTTCATTAACATGCATATTTCTACTCTAGGGCGTCTTTAATCCCCCGAATCTAAGAGAGGGTGTTGAGCTAGTAAATGGGATCCGTCTTGTGTATGTCAATGGATGAGAACCGGGCCCTCGGACGGCGAGGTCTCCGCCTAGGATCAAGCTGACCCGCCGCCAGAGTTCAGAAGAATGCGGCTCACAAGGACACATTTTCCCCCCTTCACATATCCCTGCCGCGAAATGCCTACGAGTCGATGATAAGGGTACGTGGCTATCGGTCCTGAAACTTCCTCTCCTGCTTCCCAACTCTCCAAATTACCGCTCTTCCTACCTTGGAGCCTGTAATGCTTGCTTCATGCCTCACTACCACCCCTCCGTACCCCGGCAACCGGCAACCGGCAACTATTAACTGACGGCCATAGAATTTGCGTCTGCCCCCCCGAGCTATCGAGGGATCCAGTCTTGTTGGGCCGTTTTTCTGGTGCTCCTATGAAGGGGAGGGAGATGACCGCCATCTGCGTAAGTAGACGTCTTCCCACGAACGAGTTAGCATGCGGCCAAACCAGTCGATAAGGGGGTTTTTCTTATTAAAAAGAAGTATGAAACTGATGTTATCATCTCTAGACATCATCTTCCGGAAATCGGATGTGCGGAAGAAGGGGAAGACTCGAGGTTGGGAGATAAGTAAGCGCTCCCCCCTCTCACGCCCCCGCGGAAAGGCCCCCCTCTCTTATCACTTGCATTGTTATCGGGCGATATCCGTGGCCAAGGGATAATGAGACCGATGGCTTGTCCCGAACATGAGAGGTTGCTGGAAGATTTTCAAGATAGACTCTAATTTAACTGGTCCTAGTGCTATCGTATTCCTTTAAGACTGGCATGACTACCGGCTTCGTCAAAGGAACGGAAACGTCAGATATCGCCGACTCCCTAGCGCACCTAGTCGCTTGCCATGCCGAAGTGGGTCACCCTTTTCTGCTCCCGGTCATCATCATCACTCGCGACCTATCAGCCAAGGGCGACGTGAGACAGCGTGATGCTCGGGATTGGCTGAGGCGGCTTGAGAACGCGATCACGATGCGTAATGAGATCGAGGAGAAAGAGGTCTACACCGACTTCGACGTCGACGGGATCAACCGAGATCTTGTCGAATGCCACTCCCAGGTTCTGTGGAAACGCCCACAGGCGTATAAGGAGATCGTCAACGAGATCAAGCAAGGGATGGATAAATTCGCACAGCACGTGCCGCAGGAGAAGTTTTCAGGGGAGTTCAGAGCCCTCCACGACCGCATGCTCTCTAGGTTGGACTTTTACCGGGCCAAGCTTCAAGGCATGGAGCATTACTGCCACACGACATTGGAGAGGCTACATATACAACGGCAAGCTGTGCGTCACCGTTGCTTTTTATTGCAGTTTGCCGCCCCGTTGCAAGACCGGTCTTTGCTGACAGATGGCAAACCAGTTATACAACATCATGACTCAGAAGGAGTCCAAGCTCAACCTCGAGATGGCGGCCCAGCAGAGACGGCTTGCACATGCCAGCAAGCGAGACGGCACTGCCATGAAAACTTTGTCTCTGCTCGGTGCTGTATTCCTCCCAGGGACGTTCATATCCTCAGTCTTCAGTATGACCTTTTTTGACTTCAACGTCGGTAAGTAATCCCCCCAACCATCCTCCTAGGATGTATATAGCGTTCAATTCGAGACTAAGCTATTTGTCCTCCCTTAGGACCAAACTACGGCGATCCAAGCGACTCATCAGGTGAAGGGGCGCAGGTATCGAACCTCCTGTGGGTATACTTCGCGGTGACGGTACCGCTAACGTTAGTGATCCTGTTGTGCTGGTACGTGATCGACATGCGGCGCGAGAAGCGGTACGCGAAGGAGGACGAGGATATCGAGCGGGGCATCAGCCTCATGGAGAAGGATATCCTCGCCATCATGCGTAAGAAGACCATCAACAAGGCCTCCACGTGGACCTCAGGCGGGCCTCGGACAGTACTTCCCCGCTCCGCAACCGGCATCAAAGAGCCGGACGAGAAGGCTTGACGACGACGACGAAATACAGAAAAGACCCATCGGGCACCGGGGAAAGAGAATTTATTTGTTTGGAACTATATTTCACGAACGGAACGGAGTCGAACCGAATCATTACATGATCGACCTTTGGGGTTTTTAGGGCCGGCGCTACTACCCAGCTTCTACATGAGCGAGAATACAATCCAGGGGACCCCCGTTGAAAGACAGGACGATATCACGACGCCATGCCATTCTTTTTTTTTTCTTTTTTAAACATCGTCTTCTCTTTACGACCATTGGACGACAGTACATAGATTAATGCGCCACGATTGTAATTACGTGACATAAATTTGGGTTAGAAAGCGAGATCTCATAGCTAGCTATTATTCCCGTACCTCTTGTCTGGGTAGTATATATAGGTATATAGTGATCAGACTGAATAGAACATGGCTTCGAGGCTACTGTCGCTCTTGTTTCGCTCCTACTCTTCTCTCTCTCCTTGTCTGTCCCCTCCACGCGTCGTTTTGGCCTCCTTAGTCCTAATCGGCAGCGCTCACGTTACCACGAGGCAGTGTGTCCTCGCCGGAAAACGGCAACATTCGCATATAGACCTATACGTACACCTGGACTCGCAAGTGCGACCGGGTAGCTAGACACTCAACACCGAACGGACAAACCTCAACCCACCAAACCCAACCCAAGCCCCCCCATCACAGCTTCGCCGCGCCCGACGGCGGAAGCAGCGCGAGCTCCTGGTACGGCAGGCGGAGGAACTCGTAGATGTGGGCCCAGCGGTCGCTGCCGAAGAAGGGCTCGGCAGCCTCGTCGTCGCCGCCGCCGGGGGGGCCGCGGCGCGTGACCCAGAACCAGGGGGCGCCGAAGGCGCCGCGGGCGAGGGCCTGCTCGGTGGTGCGGCGGAGGGCGGCCTTGAGGGCGGGGTCGGCGGCGGCGGCGGCGACGAGGGCGTCGACCTCGGGCTGGGGGAAGAGGGGGGCGGGGTCGTCGGGGCGGGGCGCGGCGTGCCAGTCGGCGGGCTCGGCGGCGGCGTCGTCTGTCAGCGACGGGTAGTAGGCCGGGTGGGCGGCGAGCCAGGCGGGGCGCGGGACGGCGGCGAGCGCGCGGCCCAGCGCGGCGGGCGTCGCCGGCGCCACGTGCCGCGTCCAGAAGGCGTCGAACAGGTGCCGCCACGCGGCGTGGTAGGCCGCGCGGCCGTGCCGCTCGCGCACCCGCGCCAGCGCCCGCAGCGCCAGCTGCGTCCGCCCCGCCTCCATCAGGTCCCCCGGCGGGCTGACGGCGCCGGCCGGCACGCCCACGGCGCGGAGCGACCGCGCCGAGTCGTAGCCCGCGTGCGCCGCTTTGGCGGGGAGGACCCACGGCGGCTGGTTGCCTATTGGGGGCGGAATTTTTTGGGGTTAGGAGGATTTCTCTGTTGGGGGGGGGGGGGAGAGGGAGAGAGGGGTGGATAGGGGCGGACCGGGGGGTTGGGGCAGAGAGGAGAGGAGAGGAGAGGGAAGAGGGAAGGGAGGGAAGGGAAAGGTGGGGGTCCGGGACGGGACGGGACGGGATGCTACGTCCAGGCTGTCGTGTCGCCTAGCACCACGTGTATGCGAGCGAGCGAGCGTACGTCCGTGGGGGGGGGGGGGGGAGGGGGTGAAGAGGCGGGTTGTGGGAGGTGGGAATGCTAAAGGGGAGGGGGCGTGGGCGAAGAGAGAATGCAAGGGGATGGGACCGTGGAGGTCGTACGGCAGTATGTGTATGCGTATGTATGCGTATGTATATGTAAGGGGATGTGTGTGTGCGTGTGGGCATGTCGGAGGCGAAGACGCGGCGAGTTGACCGCACACGTGGGTATACACCCGGGAGATGAAGGAAAAGGAGAGAGGGAGAGAGAAGGAAGCATACCTGAGCCGGCATTGATACCGGCGAGAAAGACTGGGTGGATCCTGCGGTGTTACGGAATCTCAGCGGGCGCGTCCAGAACAGACTCGCGACGAACGCGTCTAGGAACTGACTCTATGTCTACGTCGTGCTGCTTGAGGAGATCCTCCGTCTTCAGCACTTGCAGGAACGCGATGTAGCTGTATAGCGAAGCTGGGCGGACGCCGGAGAGTCAGTAGGCGACATGGATATGCGTCAATTATGTGTATGGGAAGGGAGAGATAGAGAGAGGTGTCGTAATAAGAGAGGGAGAGGAGGAGGAGGAGGAGGAGGAGGAGGAGGAGGAGGAGAAGAAGGCGACGGGGAAGAAGGGCGGGATTACAGATGTCAAGATATATCTCAATCAGGCCACCCATGATGGCGAGCGGACGTCTATTCCAAGGACGCAAATTAGACCTATGCTGTCCGACTTGCTCGAGGAGTTTTGCTGCTTGTTTTCTCTTTCCTGCTGGTTGTAAAGGTCTAGTAAAGTTGCAACACCGCCTCGCGGACTATACGGGGGCGGGAGCGATAACTCCTTAATAACTATAACTAGTCCGGGAATGGGGTATATAGAGCCGGGTATAATTATTACGAGCGGCCGGCCTTCGTGAGTGCAAGGTTTGGCTCTGGTTACGTGCAGAGGCAGAAGAAGAGAGACGGAAGCGAACCTCGGCTGTAACATCGATATGGTGACTAATCTGGGGAATCATGGCGTTATCTACCTAAACTAGCTAAATATACAACTCACTCCCCCAATCCGTCACCTCCTTACCTTCGGTAGGTGCATGGGTCAACCCGGATATTCAATTACGGGAGAATCGTCGATCGCAGCACCCGCACAAGCCACAGCACACCCCTATCCGAGAACCCGACTTCCATTTATGCGATATTTACTGGGGTTTCGTTGGTGTTGTTGTCGTAGTAATCCGTAGATGCGCCTATGCAAATGCCGTCTTGGCCTTTCGGCAGTATGAAAGGTGTCCCCCACAACCTCTCCCGTCTGTCGCCACACCGCCCTGATCCCACCTCCCGATGCCTTCGCCGCCACGTCCAACCCGGAGTCGGCAGCTTCGGCACCCGATACCTCCTCGTTCGACCACCGTCCGGTCCCGCGATCTGCTAGGATTCGATGGTCCCGTCCGTGCCCGGCCGCGGCTTGCCTGTGGCTAGCTTGCCCATGAACCCGCCGCTGACGAGGTTCATCGCCGTCTGGAAAGGGTCGATCGCGCCCTTATTCGCCTTCTCGAGGCCCGCGGCATTGAAGGCCTGCTCGAAATCGCGCTGGATGTCTTTGAAGTCCTCGATACCTAAGCTGACGCGTAGGAGGTCGGCTGAATTTTTATTTGTCTCATTGATTAGCTGGGTTCCTCGCAATCGCGCCCCTTAAAATGGCGTCAAGGGGCAAGTGTATAGGGAGTACGCACGTGTCACGCCGCCCTTTATCTTCTCTTCGTCGGGCATCTGCTGGTGTGTCGTGACCCACGGGTGGATGATGAGAGTTTTGCAGTCCCCCACGTTGGCCAGGTGGCTGGCCATCTTCAAGTTGTCGACGACGGCGCGGACTTGCTCGACTTTCCCGGCCTGCGACCCGCGTTAGTTGAGAACAGTGCTGACCACCATCGCATGTTCGCCAAGAACGCTTACCACCCCGAATGTCAAGACGCCGCCGGCTCCGTTGGGCATGATCTTCTTTGCTAGCTCGTAGTCTGGATGAGACTTCAAACCGGGGTACAGAACCCAGCTCACGTATGGATGCGCCTCGAGCCACTCGGCGAGCTTTTGTGTGTTTTCCACTGTCCTCTGTCCCCGGAGCGAGATGGTCTCCAGGCCCTGGAGGAACAGCCACGCGTTGAAGGGGCTCATGCAAGGACCGAGGTCGCGCATGCTGTCCATCCGCAACTTGGCCGCCAACGCCTTGTTTCCGTACGTTTCCCAGAACCGCATCCCGTGGTAGCCATCTGCCGGTTCCGTAAAGCCGGGGAATTTCCCTGACGCGCTCCAGTCGAAGTGCCCGCCATCTATCACGATGCCGCCCATGCTCGTCCCGTGGCCGCCGATCCATTTTGTCGCCGAGTGTGTAACAATATCGGCTTTGAGACGCAAGTTAGCTTCCGTGGAAAACCTACACACCTTCGCGCCATCGCGGTTCGCATACCTCCAAGTTTGATGGGCTGGCACAGATAGCCGCCCATGCCAAATGTATTGTCGACGATCAGAGGGATGCCGTGCTTGTGAGCTACGGCTGCAATCGCCGCGATGTCCGGGACGCTGTGCTTGGGGTTGCTGATCGTCTCGAGGTAAATGGCCCGCGTATTCTCGTCGACTGCTTCGTCAAACTTCTGAGGGTCGTTTCCGACTACCCACTTGACACTAATCTTGAACTTGTTCAAATATACCCGGAATTGGTTAAAGCTGCCACCGTATACTGGCGGGAGCGGGATATTCAGCGCAGCCCTTTGCAATCGCGTTCGAAGGGGCCTCGACACTTACACCAACTAGTGCTTATGAAATTGTGGCCCGGTTCGCAGCATTGGGTCAATGCCATAAACTGGACTTGCATTTAGCCCATCGGCAGCGGTGATACCCTGGCGAGAGAACTCACCTGGGCCGAGTGGCCGGATGCAGTGGCAACGGCCCCGACGCCGCCTTCTAACATAGCCATTCTGTTCTCGAACACGCTGACCGTGGGATTTCCCATGCGCGTATAGACATAGCCCTCCCGGGACCAGGCAAATTTGCTTGCCCCATCGGCCGCGTCTGAAAAGTTATATGCTGCGGTTTGAAAAAGGGGCACGGCTCGAGAGCCGTTGATCGGGTCTGGCTCCTGCCCGCCATGGACGGCAATGGTATCGAAACTGGGTTCCCTGTTGCGTATATCCTGTTAGAAGGCAAGTTCCCCTTTTTTCCTTTCACCAAGACATGGCGGCCTACCAGTCCAAGTTGCTGATTGACCCCGGTGGAGGCATCTTGACTTGATTAACTTTACTGATGTTGTTGTCGGTTAGTGTCTAGCGATATCGAATATCGATCTGTTGAAGACGCAGGTCAATTCCCCGACTCGGCTTGTATAGCGAGGCTCGACTTTATATATTTTGTCTGACTTGGCGTCGAGGCGCCCGGGATCCGGACTCGATAGAAACACATCCCCACCCCTCCTGGCCTCCTCGTCGTAGCCCCCATCTACGCACCCCCCCCCCCCTTCCAATGCGAGCATATAGACCTGCATCAGATAAGATACTTCGATACCCGGGTGCAGTTGGTCAACCGCATCACTGCGATGTAACGCCAGCAAAGCCCGATCGGCCCCCCATCGTCGTATGATGCATCCATAGCCCCAGATTTCGGCCATCGTGGAGATATCCCGTACATATATGGAGATGTGTACATATGTCACATACATATGCGAGGCACGGCGTTCCCCGCACGGCTATGGATAACGGCGGCTGTCAGAAAATCCATCTTTCCCGTCTACGGTGGACCGAGTTGTGGTGACCCGAGGGTCCGGTGCGCCGAATCTAGAGCCGCTCGAACTACTTGGCCGTTGGTTACGTCCCACGTGTCTCAGACGCCTTTCACGAAGAAACGACGTATCTGAAAACCAGGAATTCTTGCCAGGAGCCAGAGTTACAATGGGTCATCTAGCTCATCTCGCCGCCGTAGATCTGGGCGTTTTCTCTTTCACAATTTCCCTATATGGGCTACCTATCGGTCCAGCCGTGACCTTGCACTACATACATTCTACCACGTTTCTCGTCCCGATCCATCCATCACGGCTCCCCTGTCACACCTGCTACTGCAGCCCTCTACCTATTTTGTAAAGCTGACACTTGCCCCCGGCTTGGTGTTTACCGTCAAATGGCTGTTGATCGATGTGTCAGCGGAGGGGTCCCGAATGCGTCATAGACGTCCGACAGGGGTTAAACTCGTAAGGGGAACTTACAATATATCGGGACGGGAGTAACTACCAACCGGGTCGAAGTCGAGCTAGGAACGTGTTAGACCTTCGCGGATGCTTCGGTAAGGCTAGGGAGCTCACCCTTGACTCTGTCACTTCGGCCATTCTGAGATCTGCGTAGATGATTGCCTCCTTGTCCCACACTGGCTCGGTCAGGGGAATCCCTAGCGGCCCCACGATGAAGGACCCTCCGCGGTTTACCACGTCGTTGGGCTCCCACTTCGAACCGTCCGGTTTCCGGTCGTGATGCTCGGGCGTGAATGGCGGGTAATCTGGAGGGAAATCCGAGACTCTGGATACCTGGTTGACCGAGACAACGAAGCACCGTCCCTCCTTAGCGATGTGCTGCATCGACGCAATCCACGCGGGCAAGTCGTCTGCGGTTGGCGCGAGATAAATTCTGCCGTGGATTCCAATCAGCAAGACGTGGTCTCTTCTCGATCGAGAGGCTTCCTCACTCGACGCCTTGCTGGTACAGAGCCAATCTGGCAGCCGGCATATAATTCTCCCAACTGCAAGCTGTCAGTGGCCGAGCACCGCGAATTTCGTCTTCTCCGGAACCAATAAATCTCACCATATCAGCGTTCCAATCTTGCCGATATCAGTCTCTACGACCTGGAGCCCGTCTCCCGCCCCGTTGCCCCATACCAGGCGCTCTGCCGCTGTAGGGATCAACTGGGCTACGCTTAGCGTTTTGTGAACGTCACCAGACGGGCATTCTGACCGGCTTACTTTTCGATGCTTCAACAGCACGGAGCCTTCTCTGCCAACCAATAGCGCCGTGCAGTACAGCGTGCCCCCGTCCTTCTCAATAATTCCGACCTGGATATAAACACCGTGCGACTTGGCTGACTTCGAGATGATGTCAACCGCGGGGGAGGGCACAGCTACAGCTGACTCGTAATATTTCGCATACCACTCTCTGCCTATTCGAGGTTAGCTATGTGATGTGACCTCGTTTCCGTCCTGCGCGACGAGCCCCTACTTACCCCGTGGCTCTCGAGCACCAATTGTGGCATCAAACGCGTAACGCCATGCGTATCCAGACAAAAACGCTTCTCTGCAGAACAACACTCAATACGACGCTTCTAAGTGGGCTAGGCATGCAGCAACCTACGGAAAGACAATAAGATCAACCCCTGCTGCCGCTGCCTCCGCGACTAGCTTCTCTAGCTTCTCTAAGCTCTTGTTGAGGTTGAAGGATACGGTAGCTGCCTGCACAGCAGCCACTTTAACAACACGCGCAGGGGCCATGGCGATCAAACCGACAGGACCGACAAACAGGGAGGTTTTGGCTTATCGTCAGCCAGGGCCTGGAAAGTCGAGTGGGCATTCTTCGGGTAGAAGTAGTCAAGAGTGTTGACACCGTATTATTGGGCGCCTACCGTTTCCTCATCAGGCTCTTTTGGGGGGGGCGTTCGGGCTACGCTTCCGTCGAGACCAAGCTTGCGGGATGATCCGCAGCTAGAGGGTATCGATACATCTCACTCATGCTCGATGGCTCTACGATGCCAATCCCAGGCTATAGTATCTATAAGCCAAGACGACTGCAGGTGGATAATGGGCATCGTGGTCCTCGGTCAATGGGGCAAGCTGCACACAGTGGAGCAAAACCGCTGCATATGGTACTACCGCGTATGTCATACGACGCTGCGGCACGACGCAGATCCCGAGTGAAGCAAATCCCGGACCGCAGGGGAGTAATCCGAACACCGGCGGCGGAGAGATAGGCTCTCCCTGTCTTTCCCTCGGTCTAGGAAGGTCAAGCTAGAGCTCCCCTTGTAACGGCACCTACGGGGATAGCGACGATATGCATTGGATAGCCGGAGGCTCTCGAAAGGGACAGGCGTACGGGGAACCGCACACAACTACGTCTACCTGCCACTAGGATCATACTTAGCCATGTAGGCGGCTCTGGAACCGCGTCCTATCGCCCAATCTCTCTCTCTGGTCTCCCCTTGGGTATAGCCTAGCCTACTGCGTTGTGAAGCTGCGAGAAAATTTGGACGAAATGGCAACTCGTAAGTGGGCCTGCTCTAATCTAAGCTGGGGAGATGGGTGTTCTTACAGATGCTAGTTCTCGAACGCGACCCGAACCCTCAGAATTTCTACGCCAGCCTCATCCAGGGGCAGAAGTTTGCGGTCATCCCAGAGCTACGGCTGGACTCAGGTGATGTGTTAGAGTCGTGCCCGGTTGCATACAAGACATGGGGCCGGCTCAACGAAAGCCGCGATAACGTCCTGGTGATCTGCCACGCCCTGACCGGTAGCAGCGACGTCAGCGACTGGTGGAGTCCATTGCTCGGCGGCGGCAAGGCCTTCGATCCGGCACACTTTTTCATCTTCTGCGCGAATGTGCTCGGGTCGCCCTACGGAAGCGCCTCACCACTCACCACCGACCCGCGGACGGGAAGGCCCTATGCCAGCGAGTTCCCACAGACAACCGTCCGAGACGATGTGCGGTACGTCAGACACGATGCTACACTACAACACAGAGAAGACTGAAGATTTTGATTGGCTGCTAACGCCGTCTTTCGCGTGGAACAGGGCGCATAAGTATGTCCTCGACGCCCTAGGCGTCCAATCGGTTGCTGCCGTGATTGGGGGTTCGATGGGTGGTATGACGACTCTAGAGTGGCCGCTCTGCACCGCCACGGGATACGTTAGGAGCATCATACCCATCGCAACGGCGGCCGACCACAGCGCCTGGGGGATATCTTGGGCGGAGACGCAGCGCCAATGCATCTACTCGGACCCTAAATTCGACGACGGCTACTACGAGCCTCGGCCAGAGGGCCAGCCGTCGGCCGGGCTGGCTGCCGCGCGCATGGTTGCCATGCTCACCTACCGCTCGTGTGTGAGCTTCGACGCGCGGTTCGGGCGCAAGCCCCAGCGGCAGCAGAGGGCTAGGCATGTCCAGGAGCCGCCGCTCGACCTCCCGCGGACGGACGTCCCTATCGCGGCAGCCACAGTCGCGTCAGCCGCGGCCGTGGGTGGACGGTCGGAGAGGATGAAGGGCTGGGCCGCGAGGCGGGACCCTTCATTCTCCGCTCAGGGGTACCTGCACTATCAGGGCCAGAAATTCGTCCAGCGCTTCGACGCTAACTGCTATCTGCACATCACCAACAAGATGGACGCCCACGACGTTACGCTGGGCCGGACGCACGCCCAAGAGATCGAGGGCAGCACCGGAGACGGGGAAAGCATCCTGCGCGAAGTCCTAGCCGCCGCGCCGCCGGGAGCGCTCGTCGTCAGCGTCGAGACGGACGCACTGTTCCTGCCGGAGCAGCAGGAGCGTCTCGCGGCGTGCCTCGCGAACGCGACACTTGCCGTGTTAAAGTCCTCGGACGGCCACGACGGGTTTCTGCTCGAGTTCGAGCAGCTGGGGACGTTGATACTGGACAAGCTAAGGCGGGATTTCCCCCAGTACTACCTGTCCGTCCTCGACGGCGACGTCGGACTTCTCGACGACGTCGAAGGGCGCACGGCACAGCCTGGTAGTGGCAGCCTGACAGGAGAGGTGGAGGCATGGTGATAGAGGGCTTCAGAAGATTTCTCTTTTCGTGCTTCTGGTTGCTGGTGTTCCTGGTGTTGCGTACTAGTTGAGCGCATGGCATTTCCGATAGGGTCGGAGGTGTAATATTTTGGTGTTGTCTCTACCCTTTTAGTTCTATTCCTCTAATATCTACGCATAATGACTACGGATTGACAGCGCAAAAGGGGAATGTTTGTGTTATGGAGAACCCCCGGAATAACAGTACACCGCCCCCCCTTTTTGAAAAAAATTTCCCAAAAAAAAAACCGAAAAAAGAAGAATATATCGGCCTATCGTTATTCCCACACGCGTCTCACACACAACGTACACATACGAGCGCACATATGCGGAATACCCCTTTGCCTAGTAGACGGCCGGCATGGTAGAGTCACGTACACCCGCGCCGCTCGCAACAGGTCGCGGAATCGCGATACGGAGATCTCAACCCCGGATTTCTTCGCGACAACCCTGGCCATGATGACGAGGAAAACCAGGTAACTCGCACCCGGAGCACCGCTCCGCCGCGGCAGCTGGGACAGGAGAAATCCCGATGCGATATACATAGGTACTCGTGCTTACCGCCATGCTACCTACCGACATACATTCCTACCTCCCTCGGCCCAACCGAACCCGGCCCGGTTCGCACTCCTCCCCTCCCTCCCTCTTCTCCTCTCCTCTCTCTCTCTCCCGCTCCCACTCGCTCACTGCTCAACCCCCCATCTCCTGACGACATCTCCACCGCGGCCGGGAGGGGCAAAGCAAATAAAGTGCTTAGAATAGCCTCTGACGTTGTAATATGCTCGATGTACACATACACGACAAGCACCCAACGCACGCACTACGCACGCACGCACGCACGCGTACAGAAATTGATAAGCGACCGGCCACCCCGGGTGATCGAGGCCTGCCCGACTTGGAGGATGGGAGGGGGTACCCAGCCAAGCGACCCGACCGGTTACTCGGCTACGTACGTGTTATACGGGCTACTGTGCGACGAGAGAACGAGCGAGTGAGCGAAGTAGAATGACAGGCGATAGTCAGCGAGACAGAGGGGACAGGTGATAGTGGGCGAGGGAGAGGAGTAGAGAGAAGAGACAGAGAGAGGGGCAAAGATACACGCATACGCGGAGCAAAGACAGGAGAGCAGGGAAGGGGGAGGGGGGCGAAAGAGAGAGAAGATGAGAGATACACATACGCACGCGCACACGCGAAAGGAGGGAATAAGCCAAGCTGTGAAGTCACCTTCGGCGGGTGCCGGTCACCGAAAACCCACAGCTCGTGATTTGGCAGCGTCCCGAAGGAGCGGACAAGAAGTAGAACAGAGCAGCGAAGCATCACACCCCCCCCCCCTCTCTCCACTCTCTCCATCCATCTGTCCCATCCGTTCCATTCATTCCAGTCCCACTCCTGCGGCCCAAGAAAAAGAGCCCCCCAAAGCTTGGACTGCCCAGAGTAATCTTGGTACGACTGCGAAGGATCGCGGAGCGGGCGCTCAAGACGGCTATTCAAACGCCGCGTTGATTATTGCACATACGACGGGGCTAGTTATCCCCCCAACCTTGCCTTGTGTATCTGCTTCTCGCTCTCCCGCCTTTCCCATCCTCCCGCCCACCTAGGTATAGACCAGGGGGCCTGCTCTTCTTTTGGTCGAGACCGCTTGGGAGGAAGACGATCTGCTCAAAAACGCACAATACCTACATCCCGTGTGGCATGGTGCTGTCGTAAATGCCGGCCGGGATTTGGGACGTCTTCTTTCTTGCCTCCCCTCCCCTCTCCCGTCTCTTTCTCCTTGCAATTTCCGCTCCCGCTTCCTGTTTTCATTTGCCTGTCCCCTACCCCATTGTACCACCTGCTAACTGCATCACCTTCCGGGTAGGTGGTAGTGATAGGGTAAGGCGCGTGGATTTGCAACCCCCCACTCCTCGAGGTGCCCGTACGCCGGAGGGAGACCCGGGGACTTCTCCTTCGTCCGGTTTATTTCAGGACTCGGCGGCCCGCGTGATTAGCAGCTTCTCGTCGCACCATCCCGGCACATGAGTCGGCACGCTCTCCTTAGTTTTCTCCCTTCTTCTCGAATGAATCTTTCGGGCAGGTCATCCCGAACTGGTGCAATCCCGCGGAGCTACAGCGTACGGCCCATCGCCGGAATCTCGCTCGCCGTCGCGAGCACGCCCCTCTTCCACTCCCCGTTCGTCACCGCCTGCCGAGTTTTTCGTCTTGGCGATGGGACTCTCGTATCCCGCCTAAAGAAGAAGTTAGGGGGGCCCATTAAAACAGAATCTTGGTTGACCTAGCTAGACTGTCAATATCTATCGGGGCCGAGGCCATAACACCGCTGTTCTTCTCCGTTATCCTCCACCCCAAACCCTTTCCTGCTTGAACACCAACTAGAGAGGCTTCTGACAGCCGTACCCATCATCATAATGGTAACCGCGTCTGCGAGTAAGCCTTGGCTGGTCCAGAAGTACGGAGGCACCAGCCTAGGAAAGCTGCTCAATACCATCTGCACTGGTATCATCCCTCAGTACAACGCGGAGCACAATCTCATCGTCGTCTGCTCTGCCCTCTCTGGCACCATCAAGGCTGGCGGGACTACGAGTCTCCTGCTGCAGTGCATCGCGTACGCCGAATTGGGTGCCGATTCCCGTAGACGGCTCGTCGACTTAGTAGATGTGATCAAGGAGAACCACCTGAGAGTTCTCGGCTCGTTCGCGAGCTCACCTGCGTGCCCGGGGATCGCAAGCTCGCAGGCGTACAACGACACAGTTTCTGCCATCAAGGAAGAGTGCGAGAGCCTCAAGAATTTTTTGCTCGCCGCCCAGGTGAGTAAGATCCGTCATTTATCTATCTCTCAGATAGATAGATAGAGGGAGAGGCAGAGGAACACGATGCTGACTCAGCTGACTAGATTGTCGGCGAGTTATCACCACGATCGAAAGATCGCGTTATCTCGCTCGGCGAGAAGCTCGCATCCATGATCGTCGCCGCGTGTCTAACAAGCATAGTGAGTTTTATTTTTTTTTTCCTTTCTTCTTCGAAGGCCGAGATCAGGGCAATTGTATATTAGAGAAAACTAATCTTTGCGCTAGGGTATTTCCTCAAAACCAATATTCCTTGATAATATTATTTCTTCGGCTTTCGGTCGTTGTATCCAGGACCAAGCAGCAGCGCTCGAACGTCTTGGCCCAAAATTCTATCATGTATTGGCGGATCAAATAGCAGAGAGAATTCAGGAATGCAGAGACGCGATTCCCGTCGTAACGGGTACGTATATCACGTCGATAGCTTGACTCGGCGACTCGTGCTGACGACGGTAGGCTTCTTCGGCATCATGCCTGACTCGTTGCTCCAGACGGTCGGAAGGGGGTACTCGGACCTCTGCGCAGCCATGTGCGCGGTGGCGGTAGGGGCGGAAGAGCTACAGATCTGGAAAGAAGTCGACGGCATCTTCACCGCCGACCCTAGAAAAGTACCTTCGGCAAGATTGTTATCAACCGTCACGCCCGAAGAGGCGGCGGAATTGACATACTACGGGAGCGAGGTAAGTCGATCTGCTTTAGGGCAGATGAAGGTATGCTGATCAGGGGTCTGCAGGTCATCCACCCTCTAACAATGGACCAAATCCGGGATGCTCGCATCCCGCTACGCCTTAAAAACGTCTTCAAGCCATCCGGACAGGGCACTATCATCTATCCATCATCCGGCTCTCTTACCCCTGAGAGCCCAACGAACAGCCCTCCCATCTCTCCTATTAGCGCAGGAAGCTCTCCTCGATCAACTCCCCCCCTGTCGAGCTTCATGCTCCAGAACGGCTATTACGGGGCCCAGCAGGAACGCAGGCGGCCAACCGCGGTGACGGTCAAAGACGACATCGCCCTCCTCAACGTCATTTGCAACCGCAACACCAAGTCACAGGGCTTTCTCACTCAAGTGTTCGACTGCCTCGAGAGGCACAAGATTCCGGTAGACCTAGTCGCGACGAGCGAGAGGCACGTCACCCTCGCGGTCCAGTCGCCGAGCGATCCTGGCTCGCTGCTGCGGCTCAAGGACGAGCTCGAGCGGTTTGGACAGGTCGCCATCTCGCCAAATATGTCCATCGTGACGGTGGTGGGTCACAAGATGCGTAACATGGTGGGCGTATCCAGTAAGTTCTCAGCCACGCGTGCGGCCCGGATGCGTGCGGGAGCGCAGGACTAACGGCCCGCAGACGAGATCCTGTCCGCGCTGGCCTCGGCGCAGATCAGCATCTACCTGATAAGCCAGGGCGCGAGCGAGATCAATATATCGTGAGTGAATTGCGGGCGATGGTGCTGGGCTATTGCTGACCACGCATCCGGGCAGGCTGGTCGTGGGTGCAGACCACGCCCTGGCAGCGATGAACGCGATCCATAGCGAAGTGCTCAAGATTCCGACACAGCGGGAGCAAGAAAATCGGTTTATTCCTGGTAAGGCAGACGCAGATCCCCCTCTTAACCCTGTGGACAGTCAACTGTCATTCAATTGTTCGCTCTCGGCTAACTACGAGATCGCAGGGCCGTGGCTATACTGAAGAGCTGGCATACATCAGGCCACCCACTCGAGCAGAGGCTTGTATGACTAGGTACATGAAGGCAACGGCGGGCAAGTCGGCTCCTAATCTTGGAGCCTAGGCGACGACGATAGACCTGGCAAAGAGTAGGGACCGTAGCCGGGAGCCAGCTTGGGCCGATGGAACGTCGTCCGAGCGCGCGCGTGCATGTGTCGAAGACCAGCAGATGGTCAGTGACGAAGAACGGGAAAGGGGGAGAAAGGATTGCGAAGGGCAGAGAGGGATTGCCAAATGGGAGAGGAAGGAAGATGGAAAAGGTGGGTCCAGAAACGAGCCTCGGCCCCGCTCAAGATAGGTGCTATATCTCATTATAGACGATACCCTCGATGTATGAATATTTGCCATTACATAGTTGAATATTTGGCGCATAGCTGCATACTATATCGCACACATCCCCGGTTACCTGAATATGTAGCATCGCGGTCAATTCATGCCATGAGGATTAGTGATCTCGGCCAAACCGCCTGTAAGTCACAGCGTGGAGTTGATGCCGACTTACATCACTACGCGGTCCGCTATCTCTCGTATATAGCTAAACTTCCTGTCTTTATCTATTATTATCGAATCCCTCGACAAACATCTACTTAGGGGCGACGGTATTTGTACCTCCTGGTTGAGCCAAAACCTCCCCAGTCAAGTGCACCACCCTTTGCAAGACCTTAAGGTAGCGGGATCGCGCACCCAGCGGAGCTGCTTAGTAAATCCCACTCCCCTTCGCCTACACCTACATACCTACCCTCGCAATGGACGGCAGCGGCCAAGTCGCCGTCGTCATCGGCGCGTCGAGGGGCATCGGGAGGCAGATCGCCGTCGACCTCGCCAAAAACGGGTACACTGGTAAGTCTGACGAGGAGGGGCCTGGTTGCAACTTGCAGCTCCCTCCCCTCTCTACCGCTTAAGCAATAGCAATAAGGAAAACGAAAAAAAAAAAAAGAGTGAATAGGCGGAAAGACGAGAAAGGGGAAGATGGGAAATAACACCGACGATGAAGGCGAATAAAGAAGGCACTGAAATACCATCTGGAATATATACCTACTGCCTAAAGGTATAGGTATATCCCCTATTCTAACGCTCTTCGCCCCGTCTCGTAGTAGTCGTGGCCGCCAAGTCGACGAGCGACGCCCGGAGCGCGACGCCGTTCCCGCCGGACCCCAACTCGCCCGAGTCCACGATCAGCACGGTGGAGCGGGAGATCGTCGAGGCCGGGGGGCGCGCCACCGCCATCCCTGTCGACGTGCGGGACTTTGCCAGCGTGCAGGCGCTAGTCGACAAGACCATCGAGGTGTGTATGTTTGGGTGTTTCCACTTCTCATCTTTCCCTCTTTCTTTCTTTCTATCCCTTAACCCCCCCCCCCCCAACCCCGACCCCTTGTCCGGCACCGACCGACGCTAACCGCCCCCCCCCCCCCCTCCCCCGGGCAGACGTACGGCCGGCTCGACGTGCTCGTCTACAATTCGGGCGCCGTGTGGTGGGCCTCGGTCGAGGACACGCCGATGCGGCGCTTCCAGCTGCTGCAGCGCGTCAACCCCGAGGGCCTGTACGGCGCCGTGCAGGCCGCCCTGCCCCACCTCAAGAAGTCCCCCCGCCCCGGCGGCCGCGTCGTCGTCGTCAGCCCGCCCATCTACAGCCGCTTCTTCCGCGGCAAGACCGCCTACGCCGTCGGCAAGGTCGGCATGAGCGTGCTCACCGTCGGCCTCGCCATGGACTTCCGGCGCCAGGGCCGAGCCGACATGGCCATCACGAGCCTCTGGCCCGCGGCGGTACGTATTTTCTCTCTCTTTCTCTCTCTCTTTCTCTCCCCCCCCCCCTCTTCCCCTCCACCACCACCACCACCTTATACTCACGTGGGAACCAACCGTCTAGGCGATCCAATCAGCCGCGACGCGCGCGATGGAGGCGTCCTCGCCGGCGGCGGCGGCGGCGCTGCGCAAGGCGACCGTCTTCTCGGACGCGGTGCTGGCGGTGCTGCGGGCGCCGGCGGGCGCGGTCAACGGCCGGCTGCTCCTCGACGAGGACTTCCTGCGCTCGGCGGCCGGCGGCGGCGTCGCCGACTTCGCCCCCTACGCGCTCGTCCCCGGCGCTACCCCCCGCCGCATCATGCCCGCCGTCCTGCCCGACCTCGCCGTCGCCGAGCAGGACGACGAGGGCGACCGCGTCGACAGCGCTGCGCTGCGCCGCGCCGCCGCCAAGGACAAGGACAAGGACAAGGGCAAGGGCAAGGACGAGGACGAGAGGCACAGGGATAGGGATAGGAATAGGGACAGGGAGGGCCACCTCCCGGCGAAGCTGTGAGAGGGGCGGGTGCTGCTGCAGGGAGGGAGTGGGAATGGAGGAGAGAGGAAGGGAGGGAAGAGAGGAAAGAAGGTAGAGAGCGTGGCTGCGGGCGCTGACGCGCTCGAAATGCCAGCGGATGGACCCGGGCCGGCAAAGTGCGGAGGGGCAAGCGAGTCCACCCTGTCTTGTTCTGCGCCACTCTCCGCGGACCAGACAGCTCGCGAAGGGGCTCTCGCATCGGAGGCTCCCGTCCGATGATCGCCTACGGCCTACACCTGTATCTTGTACGAACAACGAACGCCGCGGCCATTGCGGCCAGGACCTACGGTAGCGTGCCCAGCAGATATGTATATACATACGCCATTGACGGCCGCTCCGCGCGCGTAGGCCGCGCATCCGTACGTGAGAACAGGCTGTTGTACAAAGAGTAGAAGTAAAGGGGAGAGAGAGAAAACTACCTCTGGGTAGTTCTTCTCGCCCGTTTGTCCTTTCGGGAGTCCGGTGTTATCTACTAGGTATCTAGGCGAGCACGTTGTTGCACCTACCCGGCCGATACGAGCTGCCTGGGAATTTGCAGTCCTACCCATCGACCTGTTAAGACAGGTTACCTCCTCTGAGGTATTACCTATATAGACCTGGGTACCTATATATGTATGTAGGTACCCGGGAGCCGGGGACGAATGGTGCGGATAGACACCTACGAGCTAAACTCGCGTTGTCGTTATCCAGCGACCTGATCGATGTACGCCCGTGTGCAACGTTGTTACAACTTAGTTAGTATGCTGGTAACCGAAACACCGGAATCTTGGAAACATGCCAGCCAGGTCAGAAAGCTGCCGTGAGCCCTGCCCCCCCCCCACCAAAAAAACCGAAAAGGCTCAATCTTCGCAGTCACGAATGTCGGCGATTGATAGCATTATTAGACGGCTACTGCCTGATTACACAGGGTTTCCTTCATATGAGAAACTCCGAAAGCCAATGCCGAAGCCAGCAGGTAAGTGCCAAGTCTGGAAATCCCCTTTTTTGGTCTCTCTCCTCTACATTACCCCTTTTTAGTCACCCGCGATCCAGCCATCGGCGTTTACTGCATGCAGCTATGCAACACAAACGGTCCCCTTATTTTATTTCAGCATTACGAGACCGTCTCCGCCATCAATCATCCAGGAATCGCGAAAGCAGTACCGGCCAAGGCTATGTACCTGTCTGCTGAACAGAACAAGAATTAAAAGGAGAGTAGGTGGCCCGTGTGGGGGAGAGGGAAATCCCTCCGCCACTTAGATGCTGAGGACAGCCGCGAGCAGAGCACCGCCGAGGCCGAGGGCGCTAAGAGCCAGAGATTTAGCACCAGAGGTGGGGGGGGCGCTGGTCTCCGAGGGGCCAGGGGCGGTCTCAGTGCCGGTCTGGGACTCGCTGGCCGGCTGCGAAGTGATGGACTCGGCGACGCTGCCGCTGGTAGAGATGGCGACGGTAGAAGAACCGGGAACGGAACCAGTGGCGGTAGTCTCGTAGACGGGCCGGCTGTGAGTGGTACCGGTGCCGGTGCCAGTTCCGGTCTCAGTCGGGAGGGGAACAGTCTCGGTTCCAGAGCCAATGGTGGGGATAGAGGTAACGCCGGCGGGAACGGTGGGCGAGGAGGCAGTAAACAGGCCAGAAGAAGGGGTGGAACCGGCGTAGGGAGGGGTGGTAGGGGCGGTAGGGGCGGTAGTCTCGCCGACGGAGCCAGGGACACCAGCCGTGACGGTGGTGGTGACGGCCTCGCAGGCGCAGGTGGTGCCGTACTCCTCGACTGCCTGAGGTGCGGCCTGAGGAGGGAGGGGTGATACGGTTAGTCGTGGACGAGACGCGGGTGACACGGGGGACTTGGGGACTCGTGACGGAGGCACAGCAGAGACAAGTGGGATGGAGGAGAGCAACGGAGGAACAGGCTGGGCGGAGAGGCACACTTACCATGCCGCCAGCGACCACGGCCAAGATGGCAAGAGTCTTGACGAACTGCATCGTGACGGATGTGGCTCTCGGCTTCTAGGAATCCGGCTTGCGTGCTTGGAGTCTGGTAGGTGCCGTTGAGGGTAGCAGGGATGGTCGCAACGGGCGGGAGGACGAACCGAGGACGGTATGCCAGTAGGAGAGGCAGGCAGAATTCAACGAGCGTAGTAGATGGAGAGACGGGGCGACGGGAAGAGACGTGAGAGGAGGGAAAGAAGACGGTGACGAGGTGGGAAGAAGAAAGAAGAAAGAAGGAAGAGGGAGGAGGGAGGAGAGAGGAGAGAAGGAAGCGGGGAGGGGAGGTCCTGACAACTTATGGGTGTGTTTGCTGTGGTGTGGCAGGTGCGTCCTCTAGCTGACGGGGAGACGACGAAGGAAAGCACCCCGGGATCGGCACAGGCAGAGAGAGAGAGAGAGAGGCACAGCAGGCAAGCAGACAAGCCAGGCAATCGGGAAAGGCGGTAGGTCTAGGTACGGGAGCTACGTCGTTCAACAACGGCGCGCCTTCTATCGTGTTGCTGTCGTGCCCGCCTCAGGGTGATCTGGGAGACGACGGCCACGGCAGCCAATGAGGTGGGCGCATACCCGGGTACATCTCGAGGTATAAAGGTACCTCACTGGGTTTAGGTAACTGATGTATACCTGTGTATAGGGGAATGCTGTGTCCGTTCCTTCCCCGGATCGACATATTCGAACACGAGGGTGCCCACGCAGAGTGCGACCTACAAATCGGGACGGACAGCGATACCTGCCTTGGTTGGGGACCTGACGTGCCTACGTCAGGTACACAATTAGATAACCAGGAGGTGCTGATCTTAGGTAGGAGGTTGGCAGGTGTGTGATCTGTTGGTTAGGCGGACGAGGTCCGTCGTGATGCGTTGTCATGCCTCTCGTCACCATCTTTTACGACGCGGGTAACAGGCGTGCCTGAGCCAACCTCCCAGCTATAAGTATGGGTGAGCGGGACGTGAGAGATATCTCTCCTCCGAATCCCCTTCGAAAGCACGGTACGATGCCTCCCCTCCAATCTCCCTGCAGCCACCCGGTCCCCTTATCTGCAGCGTTAGATTCGCTGGCCCAGCCAACTTCGTCTGCCCGCTACCCGCCACCCAGCAACCTCCCAATTTCCCTTCTTGCCTTTTTTTCTTTTGTTTTTCCCGCAACCTTGCCCCAGCCTGATTGGTGCCCTTCTCCCCTCTCTCGTGGAACCGCCCTCGATCTGGCCGTCTTATCGCGCCGCCTTGTCCATCTACTTGCGACAATATCCACGGCCTATCCGCCGCTTGCAAGAACACCTCTTCCGGCGCCGTCTCCCGGCTCGTAGCTGGGGCCTCCCCGTTTTCGCACACGTAGGTGACATGCTTCGTAGTATGTCTGGCAGCATGTCTGGCAGCATGTCTTGCTGACTGGATGGCCCTGAGCTGCTGCTTCACTCTCTTGAGACCCCTTCCTCCCCGTCTCGTTCGACCTGAGCGAAACCCGGCCCACAAACCGGGCCGATGCAGCCACCACACATCTCATATAAACCCGTTCTGGACGTCGCACATCGACTCCCAGACCAGGGACTGGTCGCTGAACGCCTAGCCAACCATACGACCCAGGTCGGTGCCAATTCGAGAGGCAAATCGTCTGAGCTGCGTCGTAACAGGTCGCTTTTTGCCGAAGCCACTGACGCGTTCCAGGCGGGATCGAGGACGCCATCTGGCCGTTGCCGGGGACGATATCAACGTACGGGGTAGATCCATGACGTCTCTCTCGGGGTCGCTGTAATGGACCGATGATACGCCGTGCGAGAACTACCGTCGCGATCGCGTCTGAACCCCTGAGATGTGCGTAAAAATCGACTCCGTACTCCATCCGCAACCGCATCCCCCAGGCCAGCATTTTCTCACTAGCTGCGACGAAAACACGCCGACCGGGGTGGCTGCAGGATGCGTCATGTCCGAATATGCTGAGTGACGGACTTATTGGTGCTGCAAGGCTCCGGCTGGCCAGTCGCCCATGTCGTCGCTGAGTCTGCCCATCACACAATAGTCTCGGTCAAATACGTCGCAGAAGTAGCCCTCTCCCTCTGGGAGCTTGTATACTTACGACCCAGGGAAAGCCAATGAATTCTTCCAAGTTTTATAGATTCCGTCCATGATCCCGGTGGTTCGTGGGACGGGCCGTGAAAGACGTCGTAAATATCCTCTTTTTCGCAGTTGAAAAAAGGGTGCATCACGTACAGTCGTAACGTTGAACCGAAGGAACCTGTTAAATTCCACTCCTAGCTATATAAAGTACTGTTGCACATCTGCCGGACGGACCTAAAAACAACACAAGGAGACGGGCGAGAAAGGCGGCCCGTCGTCGCGTGCGTGGGGCACAGCTAACACTACTATAGTGATGTACGAAAAATAGGGGACGGAACGGCCCATCGTCTTACAATTCATTGCATGGTATGGCCAGTTATTCTTTCGGGCCGTTCAACGCAAGATCGGCGTACTTCCATATACCCTGAGGGGATAGCATCGCGGCGTGGAGTCGGTACACGCCGCATATCCGGCAAGCCTAGATGCCGGGAGTCATAAAACCACATATACAGTAGGTTGTACCGGAAATTCGCTGGCTGAGTTCTGCATACTAGCCACGGTTCAATGGTAGGGGCCTGCAGCTTACCGTCACGGAAATCTCTTAAGCATCCCTATTGTAGGGCGAGATTCCCTTCTTGAGTTCGCGGACAATCTCTTGCGCCTCTTGCGTATTTCTGGCTTCGAAATCATACCTCTTACTCTCGGTCGCTTTGTACACCAGCAGCTACATCGGGTCTTAGCGGTCATGCCGGGCAGGGAGGCGAGCCGGGCGGGGATCAGCTTACCTTGAAATTGGTCGGGTGGCGGCGCGAGACGCTGCACCCGATTATGTTGCTGAAGTGGACCGTCGTGGTCTTGCCGCCTTCGCGGGTCGCCTTGCCCCCGGAGGAGGGCATGATGTACACGTACTCGCCGTCGATGGCGAGGATGCGCTCGTTCATCCCGAATCTCATCGGTTGCTTGCGCCAGACGGTATACTTCTTGTACTTCACGTCGCCGCTGCCGACTTCGTCCTGCATCATCGTCTCCTGCGCGAGCGGGTGAGTCGTCATGAGCTTCTTCTTCCCCTTCTGCGGCTCGTTCCAGACGTGCGGCTTGAGCGAAGAGCTGCTGGGCGATCCCGTGATCGTCAGGGGACCGTCGGTGGCAAACCGGCGACGGTGGAGCTCCAAATCCATGGCGTTGCCGATAGATGAGACTGCGCGGTCCAGGTAGACTACCGCGCCGGACCCGGGAAGCTTGAGGACGTGGGTGCTCTTTTCCAGCTGCCTCTTACGGCACACTAGGTCGAGAACCTCGGCGAGGTACATGTCCGTCGTAACATCGAGCGTGACCATCTGGCCGGGAGCAACGTCTGAGGACAACATACGGACCCGTAGAAGTTTGTGCTGTCCCCTACTGGCAGCCGGAGCGGAAGCTGGAGCTACCGGCTTATCGGCAGCGCCGGCGCGGTAAGTGGTGGTGACGATAGGATTGGTCCGTGGTTGCGACGCCGTTAGCGGAGAAGTTTGCGGTTGGGGCGTGCTCCTCGGGGTTGTCTCCTCTCCAGCTGCATCCTCTACTACGTCCTGCTGCTCGTATTGAGGTGTTTGAGCTTGGTTATCTTCGAAGCCTTCCTCTGAGGCCTGCACCAGGGCAAAATCGTCGTAGGTCTTGGAAGCCGACCGCGATCTCGCTGCCCTGTTGTTCGCCGTAGTAAAGGCGTTCACGGGCTCAGTGCGATCTAGCGGCTCGAAATCGTCGTCAACCTCGCCGCCTTCTTCGACCATTCTTAGCGTCCACCAGTTTACGTTTAGCTTATCAGCAGGCACCGACGGCTGAAGTTTCTCCGCGTGATACCTCCACAGACTCAGGCCAATCAACTCTGCGACGGTTACCGGTCTAAAGGTGCCATCGGCTTCTTGGATGTTGCGTCGAATGAGGACCTCGAACGGCGTCTCCGGGTCGCTGGAGAACGGCGCGTAGATTCTTATTCTAAGCGGGTCGGGATCTCCTTGGCCGGATAGGGTCGCGAACGTATCAAACGGCATCGCCGGCTTGGTCTTTTTCGCCTTCAAGGCATCCGAAAGTAGACTGCGGGGCTGAAGCATACTAAGGGGGCGAATGGTACTCATGGGCCGGGGCGGCGGGAGGGCTTGGAGTAACCGAGGCTGCGATTGCGACGGCAGTCTCCTCACGGTAGATTGTCGCAGCAATTGCTTCGGTACGGTGCCAACGACTTGCTGACCCGGAGAAGTGCCGACGGTAGAGTTCTCGACGGCATCCAAGATAGAGGCGGAATCGACGCTTTCGATGAAAGCCGAGGAGGCATCGGACATGTCCGAGTCGTCGTCCTCCTCCTCTATGAGCAGGTCGCTTTCATTTCGTTTGATGCCCTGACTTTGTTCGGCAGCACCCCTGGATCGTGACATCGCCCTAGCTCTCTCCTCCTCTCTGTGCTTGTGGAAGCCCGAGGCGTCGAACTCATTGTCGGAGGAAATCTCGCTACTCGTAACTGTATCGCGCCGCGGCCGCTCCTTTACCGTCTCCAATGTGGGTTGGGATCCCCGTCGAGGGGCCGGGGTGGCGCGCGGAGAGGACATGGTAGTAGCTTGACGTAGATTGGATGACTGGATCGGGGATGACCCCGCGCGGCTCCTAAGAGGCATCTTGGCGAATCGTATCTGCTGGGCGGCCCTCGGGTCGGCATCATCGTCGCTCTCGTCGCTCAGGTCACTGCTATCGTCGTCCTCCATCTGTTCCCGGCGCCGTTCTCTCCGACGCTTCACGGCACTGGCCGGTCCTAGGGTGTCCCCGCCGCCGCCTGTCAACATGCCGCCCTCTTCAGCCTCATCTTCGAGCGTCAGGCCGGTCAGCCGAGGCGCAGCCTGGAAATACTCAGAGGCAACAGCGGTGGGGATCGGAGGGGAATGCGTTCGCTTGATGTGTGAGGGGTTCAATCGCCAGCCAGCGGCTTTAAAAGGGGCAGTGTTGAGGAAACTATCGTTGATGGTGAGAAGGCGCTCCCCAACACCGTCGGCCACCTCATTGAGGTAGCTGGTGCGGAGTTGGTAGGATACCAATCTAGGGAAGCATCCAAGTTAGCACACTCCAAGTTGTGAAAAGGTGACGAGAATGGGGGGGGGGGGGGGGGGGGGTTGTAGAGAGTCCGGCATACTCCTCCACTTGGATCAGCGACATGCTGGTACAAAAGTGGTTAAATTTAACGAACAGTATATGGTAGCGAGGATAGCAGCCAGGAGAAAGTATAGGGAATATTCACGATACGTCCATCGTATTCGAAGTAGATACGGCACAACGGTCCCGTACGCCGGGTACGACAGTGGTAGAAGAGAGGTGGGTATGTGGTTGGCAGGTTACGGTCGATCCTGATCATTGCGGAGAGGAGAGGTTGGAGAACGACGGGTTACCTAAGGTACCCAGGTACGTCCTCATGCGTGCAGTCTAGGCGCATTCCCGGCCTGCCCCTACAGGGAGAATGCGGGGCACACAGAGCTCCCTCTTTACAATACTCACAATAATCCCTGGGTATAACAACAAGGGCAATAATAGCTTGGTCCTCATTTTCATACTGCGATGAAGATGGTATCGCTCGAGTTTTAAATCTATTTTTACCAGGCTGCGCTTGTTGTGTGGTTGAGATAATAGGTACCTGTCACAAGGTCATCATCCCCTAGAGGCTGTTGAGGTCGTACACAGGAGACATGCGTCTCCTCTTTTCGCTATGGACTGACAGTACTACCAGGGACGATAAGCGAGTATGTATAACTTCCATGGTCACGCAGAATAAAGGAAAATTACAAGACATCTGGAGCCTCGTGTTGGTTTGTCTAATTGTCATTCTGGGCTTATCGCCAACCATAACAACCCACCTTAGCCCATATCCCTATAGGTACCTACACGAAAATGGACATACGGCATCGTGTTTTCCTCGGAACCTTACGGAGCTGGAGATACCTCTCTTAAGATGTGATAAAACATAGTCATGTCTCAATCCTATAGTGTGAGCGTATTTACCTAGTAGCGGAGTGCGACATAAGATAGATATGTTTAACCTAATTGACACAAGTACAACCAAACAACTTGTGAGTCACAAAGGGTAACAATACCGATTGTCACGTAGCAGTTGAACCAGCCCTTATATACCTACATACCGCACAGCGTAGATGTAGGCGTCTACGTTTTACGCAACATATTTAAATGGCTATAGCTATCCGATAGCCCTCAGTAGTGCGGGGAGGTACCATCATTATATAAGTCTTCGTACTTAAGCAGACATAGAGCCTAAAGAAACGCGCTCGGTTTCTGTTTGTTATTTTACTTCAGCTCGGAGCTCCCAGTGGTGGAAGCTCTAGCTTAACCTGTATCCTATATAGGATCATATCCTGTTTTCAGCTGTTAATGGACGATAGCTATTCGCCCATTCGCACTTGTTTTAGTAAAATAATAAAACAGCTTTACCCTGCTCGGCTCAATAGTGTTTTCCTCTGTGGACCATATTTTAACATTTATCGCCCACTTAAGAGGTCTACTAAAAGAGAGTTAGCTTCCGGATTCTTTCGGATGTTAGGGATCGCTTACCTTTACTATACTGTTACATCCCAAAATTAAACCAGCCCTTATATGCCTACGTAGGCGTCTACGTTTTACGCGATACATACCTATTCTCCGAATCCCTTCAATTCACCTTCCCACTACATCATATACCGACATCAGAGAAGAATGACCTCTCCTCCTTCGTTTCCCAGGAGCGACTAAGTTCGGCTGATCCTTCTCGTTTAGAAGAGCTTCCAAACGCCTTCCTTACCACCGACTACTTTCATCTTGCAAGAGCCGCTTGGTTTTTACTATCCGCGGGCAATTTCGAGCAAGGCTCCTTCTTAAGAAACCTAGAAGCATTGGACAAACTCCCTAGAGGCCTCCCTCTCCGTAATCTTTGTCTACTATTGTTTAGTCAGTCAGTCCGTGTGGTTCGTCAGCTTCGTATCCGTCATTAAGAAACGTTCCTCTCCCCCCTTTGCTTTCTAGCAATTCGAACCTATGGTTTCCTCCCGTGCTTTCGCGCAGTCCGAATCTTTCGTATTTGCCCCTACCTTCCCATTTACCTACCATGGCCGAATCCTTAGCTCCTGGGGGCCCTCAGCCACCTAACCAACTGTCACACGGGGATGGAACCCTGCGCCAATAGATTAGGCTATAAAGGTTAGGAGGGTAATATCGGGCATTAAGGCCGTTACCTCGGCGACTTATTAAGGAAAGTCTTAAATAAGCTTCGGATAGCTTCGGTATTAAGGTATAAAGGTATAAAGGTATAAAGGGTACTTCCGGGTTATATTAGGACGAGAAGGGAACGTAGAACTTAGAAGAAGATAAGGACCTAAGAGACCCCTTATAGAATTATTAGTTAAATTAAACCTATTTTAAGTATATTCCTTTATTATAGATAATTTTATATTATTCTTACCCTTATAATTTTATTATAAGTTAGTAATAAGAAAAGCCTACGCCTAAGCCGGCGTTATACGCTAAAGCCGTTACCCCGGTATTATTACTACCGGATTAACCTCGACCTTTTATTAAAGAACTAGAATCGTAGGCTTTTCTATTCCCGTAACTAGCCGCTTCGGGGGTAGCGCCGATCTTTATAGCGGAGGTAGCCTAGATAATAGCTACGATTAATAAACTAAAGGTCGTAATAGCGGAGTTAAAGGTAAAGGACGCCGAACGAATTACCCTAGCGCCTTAGCCGGAGCTAACCTCCGAACTAACTAATAAATCCCTCGTCGTATATTAATCCTAGGAATATAAGGTAGTTATAACGGATGCTCCGGAAATCGCGAACTTAGGAGTAGTTATACGTAATCCCCCGTAGTAAATAATGGATTTATATAAGTAGATAGGATAGGTATATTAAAGCCTAGTAATATTAGTTAACTAAGTCGACGTAGGATACCGATAAAATACGATCCTAAAGGAGTAGTACGAATAACTACGATAGCTTTATTAAACCGCTACGGTAATATAAGCTACCGGTATTTAAACTACGAAAATATAGATCTACGAGTTCTAGAAATAGGTTATAGAGTAGAGTACTTACTTCGCTTAGAACGTATAGGAAACCGTAGCTAAGTTTACCCGGTAGGATGAAGTACGAACGGCCGTAATAAACTAACTTCGAGACGCCGTATTATAAAACTAACGAGCCTTAACCTAGCTACGCGAGGAATATAATAAGTTAGTAACGGACGTTAGCTCCTAAGCTACGTAGAAGGATAAATAGATTAACGAAATCCTTAATAAAGAATACCTTACCCCCGGGGCTATAAAGGAAAAAACCTAACTAATTAAGAACGACCTTAAGGCTTACGCGGCTAATTTAATTAAGGAATATTAATAACGACGATTAAGTAATAAGTTAACGGATATTAAGTTTATTATCGTAAGAGCTAGCTAGAGGATAAGAACGCTTATTCCCGCGCCGGGTATCCGTATTACGATAGCGTTTACCGGGAGATATATTAATAGCGAGGTTAAAATAAAGGAGATTATTTCCGACGGCGTATTTTAAGACGCCGCGGCTAAACGTATCGCCGCGCGCGTAAGAACCTGTTTCTAGGATGCCGCGGTAGGCGCTTTTATATTAGGAGGAGCCGGGTAAGGACTACCGTAACCCCTACGGATCCCGCGGAATGCCTTAGGGGATTTAAAGGATTCCGACGACTCGGATAACTTAAAATCCGGGGATCCGTAAAGGCTACGACGCCCGCCCGGCGCTTTTAGAGAACCGTAGGAGCCTTTCGACCCGGCCGAGGAACGTATAATTAGGGCTTAAACTAAAGCTATGAATAATCGACGAAGTATTACGGTAACGATTAATTTAATATACCTTATTAAGCCTACGGCTTATAACGGTAAGGACTTAGCTAAGTTTCGATTATAATAAATTAAGGTTAAATCCTACCTCGAAACTTATAAAGAAAGCTTTACCCGGAACGTTTAGAAGATTAACTAGATAGGATCGATACTTACCGAAAAGGCCTAGCTCTAGCATTAGTAACGGTTAATCTAGGTAGAAAGGTTAATAGTCGTCGATATTTAGGCGGGATATTCCTAAGTACTTTAAGAACGGTTTAAAGATCCCGCCGAACGATATCGTAACTCTAAGAAAATATAGGAACTAAAGTATTAAAGAGATATCTCCTAGTATCTTACCGAGCTTATAGACTTTAACGATATCGTTTAATAATCCGGAACTACCTTCTAGAATTATATCGCCCGTACCTTACCCGACGAAATAACTAAGCTAATTTACTTACGACTAGGTAGTATTCCCGAGAGCGATGAAGCTTTCCTTAGAGTAATTAAGGAAGCCGGTTAAATCTACGAAAATATAATAGCTAACCTAGGGATCTCGGGAAAAGGAAGGTCCGCTTCGTAGAAGGAGTATACGAAAGCGGACTAGTAATAGCGGTAACCCGTAAAAGAAACTCGCTCCCGCTTAAGCTAACTAATAAACGAACGTAAGGAAAAGGATAGTAAAAAACCCGTACCGGCTAAGGACTTACGATAAATAGGTAATAAGGAGGCTTTAGTTAGGATTAACTAGGCCGCTATCGACTAGCGAAAAAAGGATAAGAAAGCCTGCCGGAAATACGGAAGGAATAATTACTAAATCCTAACCTACTTCGTAAAAAAGGACTTAGAAGGACGGGACTTACCGGCGCTACTTAAGAAAGTCTTATCGGGAAAAAGAGGAAGGAAGGAATCCGAGTTATTATTTAATAAAAGGGCTAGGATCGATATTATTATACGATAGGAGGAAATTCTTTCCCGTATTATAGAGCTATCCGACTTCGATAAAGAACGGGATTTTTAAATGCCCCCCCGTAAGCGTTAACGGGAAATAAAGGCGATAAAGATAACGTAAAGATTACGGCTATTAAACGGCCCGGAACGCTAGAAGTAATAGAAGCGGTATTAATAGCGAAGAAACTACGAATCCCTTAGCGTAACCCCGACGAACTAAGGTTAAGTAAACGGCTTATTTATACGATATAAATAAAATATTAGGGAAAGGAATATCCCTTACGAGTCTTCTTAGATACCGGTAGTAAGGTACCCTTAATTAACGCCGCTAAAGTCGAATAATTACGCTTTTTTATTAACTAACGCTCTAGGGCTAGAACCTTAGTAGGATTCGACGGCTCGGAAATCTCGTTAGGAGGACTTTAGTATATAAATAAAATAAAGCTCCGTAGCTACGACTATATCTACCGTATCGCTTAAGAAGTTAGTAAATTAAACGAAGAAGTCGATGCTATTTTACCCTAATAATAAATAAAGAAATACCCCTCTTAAGGATTATTTATAAACGGACGGCTATACTTTAACTCGCTACGATACTAGAATTATCGCCTACGGCTAGCTTATATAAGGATAGTACGAGAAGTAAAGGCTTTAGTATAAGTACCGGAATAATTTCGCGACTTCGTTCTTATTATAACTAAGGAAGCCGGATAACGATTCCTTAATCGGTAACCGTAGGACTACGTTATTAAGCTCCGACCGGGAACTACTCCTCCGTAGGGACCTTTATATGCTATAAGCGGACGATAGCTAGACGCTTTAAAACCTTAATTCGACGAAATAATAGCCATAGGGAGAATCTAAAAATCTAAGGCCCCTTACGGCGTATTTATAATATTTATAAATAAAAAGGACCTAGGTACCTTAAGACCGGTAGCGGATTACCGGGGGCTAAATAAGATTATAATACCCGTTCGATATCCGATTCCGTTAATTAACGAACTATAAAACCTATTCTAAACGGCGCGGTAGTTTACTAAGATTAATTTAAAATCTAGGTTTTATATAGTACGGATCAAGGAGAGTAATAAATAAAAAACCGCCTTTAGAACGCGATACGGGCTATACGAATATATAGTTATATTTATAGGATTAATTAACGCCCCCGTTACCTTCTAAGCCATAATAAACCATATTTTCCGCGACCTCCTAAACGCCGGGGTTATCGCTTACCTAGATAATGTCTTAATCTATATTAATACGTTAAAGGAATATAATAAACTAGTTAAAGAAGTCTTAAAACGGCTTATAAAGAACCATTTAGCGGTAGCCCTAAAGAAATATACCTAGCGAACGTAGGAAGTTAAATTCTTAGGATATAATATAAGCCCCCGAGGTATTACTATATCTAAAGATAAAATAGAAGCTATCCTTAACTAGCGTACCTTAGCTATACTTAAAGACTTATAAAGCTTTATTAGGTTCGCTAACTTTTACCGTAAATTTATACGTAATTTCTCGGGCATAGCTAGGCTAATTATTAGCGTAAATAAAGGAGACCGTAAGCTATAGAAATAAGAAATCGAGATAAAGAAGGCCTTCTAGGAATTAAAAGAAACCTTTACGAAGGCCCCGGTACTTATATATTTCGACCTTAACCGAGTCTTAATTATCGAAGCCGACGCCTTAGATTTCGTTATTTCCGCGGTTCTTTCCTAGAAAGATAATAAAGGGAGATTAAGACTAGTAGCCTTTTTCTTACGACGACTTACCCTAGCGGAAATAAATTATAAGATATATAATAAGGAACTATTAGTAATCGTCGACGCATTCGAGAAGTAGCGATATTATTTCGAAGGTACTTAGCATTAAATAGAAGTATATTCCGATTATTAAAACCTAACGTACTTTATTACGGTAAAGGTACTTAATCGACGCTAAGCCCGCTAAGCTTAATAGCTTTCCTCGTATTACTTTATAATATACTATCGCCTAGGAAAGCAAAATAAAAAGGCCGATATTTTATTTAGATTACTATAATATCGCCTTAAAAAAGGGGGAGCTAAGGACTAGCCGATAGCGACGGTCCTATAGGAAAAGCATTTTTTAAAAAATTTAGGCTTACCCGCGGTAATACTCTTTAGCGTACGACTAAGTAACATCTTAATACCCGCTTAAACTATAAAGTTCGTTAAATAGGTTAAAACGGTAGCTATATAGGACCTAAAGTACTAGGCCTAACTAATTAAATTACTCGGTAAGGAAATAAAGCTCTAGGAAGGCCTTCTCTATCGGCGAAACCGTTTCTAGATACCCTAGAACCTATAATAAGAAGTAATTAAATCGGAATACGATACTAAAGTAGCGGGGCATATGGGTATAAATAAAACCATGGAACTTATTATTCGTAACTTTTGGTAGCCTAACTTAGAAGTAATAGTTAGGGAATTCGTTAGAAAATACCGCGAGTATTAATAAAATAAGGTATCCCGATATACCCCGTTCGGATTATTATAACTTATGGAACTATATTATCGACTATAGTAAACGATCGCGATAAACTTTATTACGGACTTATTAATATCTAACGGCTACGATTCTATCTAGGTTATTATAAATTCCTTTATTAAGATAACGTACTTTATCCCGCTAAAAAAGGACGGTAAAAAGGCCGAAGACCTAATACTTATCTTTATACGTAATTATTAGCGGCTATATAAGATCCCCTTAGATATTATTTCCGACCGAGACTCGCGATTTATTTCCTATATATGAAAAGGCGTCTTAAAGCTCCTCGGCGTTAAGCCTAGAATAAGTACCGCTTTTTACCCCTAAACGGATAAATAAACGGAAAGACTTAACTAAATTCTAGAAGTATACTTACGCGTTTTCGTAAACTACGAGATAAGCGACTAGGAAAGCTTATTACCTACTACCGAATTTACTTATAATAATACCGCTTTAATAGCTACCGGTATATTACCCTTTTACGTTAATTATAAGTAGTACTTAGCCGCATATAACCCCCCTTTAGGTACCCCTAAGAATCTAGGAAGTAACCTCTATACTTACTAAATAACTCGGGTATATAACGAAGCTAAGTAGCATTTAGAAAAAATACGGTAGCGAATAAAAAAATAAGTAGATAGATACCGAAAGAAGGAACCCCCTTTAAAAGTCGGATAGCTCGTTATATTAAACGCCCGTAATATTAAAACCAAACGCCTTATAAAGAAGATAGATAAAAAGATGCTCGGTTCCTTTAAGATCTAAAAGGTCGTCTCCCTTACCGCCGTAATTCTAATACTCCCGAAAGGCTAGCGTATTTATAGTACCTTCTACGTATCCCTTATCGAACCCTACCGCGCTAGTAATTAGGAATTACCTAACCTTAACTAGGTCCTACGGGAGGTAGCCCCGATCGAAGTAAAAGACTACGAGGTAAATAAGGTACTAGATTCCGTAAGGACCGGAGAAGTTATTAAATACCTAGTAAAGTAGTAAGGATAGCTAGCTAAGCGCTACTAGACTTAGGAACCGTAGGAGTACTTTACTACCGAAGGAGCGAAGGAAGCCGTTAAGTTATTCTATCTATAGAACCCTAATAAACCTACTAACCATCGGGCCTAGGTATTACGCTTAGGAACGAGCTCCTCCGAAGAAGGAAGATAATATTATACGGGGATGGAACCCTACGCTAATAGATTAGGCTATAAAGGTTAGGAGGGTAATATCGGGTATTAAGGCCGTTACCTCGGCGACCTACTAAGGAAAGTCCTAGATAAGCTTCGGATAGTTTCGGTATTAAGGTATAAAGGTATAAAGGTATAAAGGGTACTTCCGGGTTATATTAAGACGAGAAAGGAACGTAGAACTTGGAAGAAGATAAGGACTTAAGAGACCCCCTATAGAATTATTAGTTGAATTGAACCTATTCTAAGCATATCCCCTTGTTATACCAACCACTTACGACCCCTCCCATCGGCGTCCTACCTAGCCTAGCCAGCTGCGGACGGTTCAGTGGAAGCGAACCGGCAGCAACATAGCTAGCCCGTCTGACATGGGAGTTCAGAAGCGTAGGATACGATGCCTTACCGGCATCGTACGTCCTCAAAGCAATTGATATGCAGTGCGAGGGAGAAGCCGCGGCTTTCGTTGACAGCGATCCTCGCGTACGAGGAGCTCTAGATGTCGCAAGGCATGGCGTCGCCACCCAGGCAGACCTAACGACAGTCGAGCAAATCCTACGAGATCGTTTCCCAGCTAAATTAGTTGGCCGGGCGGACTCTCGTCCGGTTCGGGAAACGATCAAGCTTTCGTAAAGGAAGGACGAGCGTCTTGTCAATTGCAATACCCCTGCTTAGGATGTTCTCAGACGAATCGGGGCTAGAGACTCCTTGTCTTAATGGGCCGGAAAACCTAACCATGTTGGAGTCTCATGTGCTTAGAACACTGATCAAATGCTTTGTAGGCGGACTGGAAGATTTCGATCTGCGGGAAGAGGCCTTGTACAAGTCTGCTTACGACGCACGAGCCCTTTAGGAGGCATACAACATCATACAGAACTGTCAAAGGATCGTAGATCGGAAGAGAGATTTCCTAAAGAAAGAGCAGCTTAAGGAGAGACAAGATCGGCTCGAGAGACTCGTGTACGAGATGACAGGGCTTTCAGTTGAAGAAGCCCTAGCAAAGAATGACCCTGCTTGGTCGTCCAAGCCACTTACCTCGCAAGCTGTTACGCAGATCCCGACCTCACACCCATCTTCACTCCCACCACACGTACAGGCCGCTGGAGCCAACGTCTCGTACGCAACAGCTCCGTCACCTTCCGGATACCCCTTCTATCCTCCTTCCTACCCTCCCTACTCTGCTGGAATCTGCAACTGCCGTAATGGAGGTGACTGAGGAGGCCGTGAAGTGGTTATTGAAAGGATTACTATTGCTGTTGCTTTGGGAGTGTTTCGGGTATTTTTGGAGTCGTAGGCGGGCGCCTACTTAACTGTATGTGACTAGAGCGGGGCGGTATCATTATTACATAAGTCTTCGTACTTAAGCAGGTATAAGAGCCTGAAATGCCCCGTATTCTCACAGAAGGGTTTAGATAGCTAAGGATTTCGAGAAGCACGTTTCGTGGCCATTCAAGCTCCCTCACACCGTGATCGGATACGCCAGAGAAGAGCTGAGACGTCTCCCTACTCGGAGCATGGCCGTTGTTGGTGTTCCCTAACAAAATCTCTAGTAAGACATCCGTTCGTGTACCAATTTACACCTACGTCCGCTTACTAGCATAAGCAAGAGCTGGTAAGTTGCTCCTCAATATCGACGAGTGTCCCGAGAGAGTCTGTCCAAGTACCTAAACCGGCACCATTCGTATCACATGGCGGCACAACCGGCACGACCAGCGTCCTGGGCGCCGCTGGAACCATCAACGCCATACGTCTCGGGACACCCCCTCGCCTCCCACTCCCGGAACCGGAGCCCCCGGGCCGCCGCCGGCATCCTCGCCACGAGGGGCACCTCGGCGTCGGGGAGGCCGGTCACCTCCTGCCTGTGGACGAGGCGCAGGTGCGACAGATGCTCGAAGCCGACGCTCTGGTAGAGCCCCAGCCCCGACGGCGACGCCTCCGTGTAGATGGGCACGCCGAACTGCTCCGCCACGTCGATCCCCCACTGCATCAACCGCCGCCCGACCCCTTGCCGCTGGTGCTCCGGGTGCACTGCGATGACGCTCAGGTCTTTCGGCCTCTTGACGTTAGCGCGGTGCTGCCGGTGCCGAATAGCGGCGCGTCGGCAGTATTACTGAAAACTCACAGATGTACTTGTGCCGCGCCCCGAAGAGCTTCTCCCGCATATCCCACATCCCGTTGAGGACGCCCTCGGCCCTCTCCTTTTCCTTCCCCTCGAGCCACGGTATGCCGGCGGGCCGCTCCCACCCGTTTCCTTCCCCGGGCCGGTGGAAGACGTCCCACGTGGCCATGCCCACGATTTTGCCCGTATCGGCGTTGAGACACTTGATCGTGTAGCTGATTCTATCGTGGCCCCACCACTGTGCCATGGCTTCTGTGTGCGCTTTCCGGTCTACCCCCCGAGGATAGAGAAACTTTAGTATGGGCTCGTCCTTGAACGCCTCGAAGTACACATCGTACACCGGCTCGATGTCGGCTATGTGAGCAGGCAATACAACGAAAGGCATTTTTTGGGAATGTCGGAAGGGTTGTCTGCTAAGAGGGTGGATATTGTCTGCTTCTTTCCATCTCCCCCCCCCTCACCCCTTACACTCGCCTTCACGCCCTACGGTATGATATCCTATATATACCTACTATATTTTACGGCTGGACGGCATTGTATCGGACAGTCATGGACTCCTCCCATGACGCGACAAGGAGTGCGTACGTAGCCGGCGGCAAAATCTGCGAGGAATATGGAAACACCTCTCGAATTTGCCTTCCGACTACCTTCCGGCACAGGTTAGGCCTCACCATACCATTACTACGCCGAGGGCGAGGGGTCGGCCGGTGCCGGCGAATGATCGCTTCAGATCGGCGCTCTGTCCGCTTGTGTTCTAGGGACTTTTAGTGTCTCCCTTGTCTAGCGCTTCTACGCGATGGGACCCGCGTGGAGCCCATTGCATTACGTACCTCCGCTATGTATGCGGGCACCGATCGATGCCCAGGTTGGATGCATCGCTGTGGTGTTAGAAGAAACATGGGAAGATGGGCGGCATGCCCAGGGTGATGACGAGACCGAAGCACACTAACCGAGAAAACTCGCCATCACTCTTTACCATGTGGAGACACGCTAAAGTATGACGAGAGCTTGGACTTTGGCTAGACTTTTCATATTCCCGGCTGCTCTGTATTTCCATATATACGCGTGAAGCGACTAAAACATACAGTGGTAGGTATACCAAGCCTCAACCCTCTTGAGGCTACGTTAGGATTTAGGATTCGGCATATACCGGGAGCGGAAACTAGGCCAGGGGTTAAAGAGGATCGGGAAGTGCTTGGCTCGATACATATACATCCCCCTTCCTTCGTATCCGCTACAAAGACTTGACAACGCTTACTTAGTCCCACTGCCGCCGGTCTAAGTCGCTCATCCACGCCAAACCGCTTCGATTACTGCAAAAAAATTCTGCGGGTTGGCCTTGACGGTAACCGTCTCAAACTTCTCATCGGCTTCGCGGAATATCTTGGCCCAAGCATCAACGGGGCGTTCTTTTCCGTTGAACAGTGCCATCAGTCGCAGATCGGTAGCCGTGCCCATCTGCTGGATGGAGCGGGGCAAGACCGGGCCTTCGGTCTCTCCCTGGTTACCGATATACTCGAACAGGATAACGCGAGCTCCCGGCTTCAGAGCCGGTTTCAACGCCCGCAGTATTCTAGAGGCTTCGTGGTCGGGCCAGTCGTGGAGGATCATCTTGAATATATAGATGTCCGCTTGAACGGGCTGCGGTTGGAAGAAGTCATGTTCTACGAACGACACGCGGTCTTTAACGTCCTCGGGGAGATTCGCGTCGAAGACAGGTTTCACCTTGGGCAGATCTTGAACGGTAATAGTGAGTTCGGGGAAGTTTCGTGCTAAGACAATAGCATCGTGGCCTGCCGAGCCACCGACCTAGTTCGCCATTAGTGGGTTATCAAACAACAGCTGTAGTAGCTGATAGATACTCACATCTACCACAGTTGCCTTGCCCGCTGACTTCCAGTCATGAGCGTCGAGTACTGCATCCAGTTAGACATTGAGACTCAATAAAAGCGAGGTATATATATAACAAAAGGGCGCGATATTTTTCTCGCAATCGCATGTACAAACTCGTTACGAGCTGAGGCGAGGGATGGAGTAAAAACTCACCGACACCTTCCAGGTGGAAGATCTCTTTGATATAGCGCATGAACTCTACAAAGTTCCTCTGCCGCCAGCCTTGCTTGTCGCCAGCGCCGTCGTTCTCCAGCAGGTCCCAAGAATTGCCGTGCTTCCCGAACTGCCCGCCGCTGTGGAATAGGGCGAAGGACGTCTCATTCATATCCTGCGTCAGGGCGGGCTTCCCGCGGCTGTACCGGTTGAGGGCCTCGTTCAAAACCATCGTCGGAGCGCCTGCGTCGTCGAGGATGGTAGAGACGAGGGCCTTGAGCCCCGACGAGCGCGCCAGGGCGGCCGACCGAGAATTGTGCTGGATGCGCGACGACGCCTTGCCGGGCTCCGTCTCGGAGAAGATGCGCAGGGTGACGGCGTGCTGGAGGACCCGCTTGGCGACGTCTTCCGGGAGGGAGACGCGCTGCGCGATCTCGGCGTACGAAGCGGACCCCTCAAGGGGCACCGCGGACCAGAAATCGAAGTAGTTCAACACGTTTAGAGCTGCGGCGTCGGGAATGCACTTTGCGAGCGGCGGCGGGTCAGAATCTGCACCGTTCGGTGACTTGGAGGATGGGTAAAACCGGAGTTCTTACGGTGTGGACGTAGTTGAAGATGCTCTCGCTCGGGCCCTGGGTCAGATACCACAAGTCCGTCAGGGCATCCAGCAATAGCTGGCGCGTGATGAATATCTCCGAGGACAGGCCGCTGTAGCTTGTCGGGCTATCCGCGGCAAAAGTGGGCTGCGGGACATTGTTCTCCTTGAGGAAGCGCGCAAAGGTGTCGGACAGCTCGGTGATCTTGGCCGCGAGGTCCTGGAGAGTCGGCTGCGATTCGGCCATTGTGCGAGCGTGTCGGCGTCTACCGTACTCGTAGAAATAAAGGCGAAAGGGTGCGGTTCGAAGGGGAGAGCAGAGAGGCGGATGGCTCGGGGGCCTACGGGAAGGGGATGCCTTTTGACGTCGTCGACCAGATAGGTAGTCGTGGGCTCTCCCTTAGGCCGCAGAGCTTCCGTAGCCGGAGAGGCCCAGCTCTATCCATGTCGGCGTGCGCATTAGCTTGGTAGGATACCTACGTTGGGCAATTCGGTCGGCCTACATGTGAAAAATGTCGCGCCTACTAAGCCAGCAAAAGGGAACGCTACCTAGAAGGCAGCTGTCCATCTGATTCCGGTCGGCGATCTGCCCCTCTCGGACCTGCCATACGCGACCCCTCGCGCCGATGCCAAGGTGGGTGGCCCACGGGGCTAGACCAAGGGTTCCGTCTGACGCATGCAGGGAGGGGAGGTAAATCTATCGGTACTGAATCAGATCCAACTGCCCTACTGCGGCATGGCAGAGGCAACAATACACCGACGACGCCAACCGGAAGTGCATAGGCAGCTGGTCTACATTTTCTTTGTCCGTGACATACCTTACCTAGGTAGGTGTGGAACATCGTTGTAGGTACCTACGAGATTTCATACCGGCGTGGTGGCTCGTATATACCTCACGGCGGGCCTCGCCTGTTCTGGGCACACTCGCCGTGGCACAAGTTTCGAGAACCCGGTCTGCAGGGCGACAATGCGGTACGTAATTGGAACTCGTTTACCTACCACGTTCGCGCATAGAACGACAGACTCGACGCTAGATGACGGGCATCTGCCGGTTCGAGCGAGACGCCTTTTCTCTTCACGGCTGAGCCAACGTTACGTATGCGCATATTCTAGCGGCTTGGCTACGACGAGGGGCTGCGTGGGTGGGAGCAAGCGTACGCAGCTACCGAGGCAGATTGATAAGATAATCTTATCTGATCGAGGGTGGCACAACATTACGGAGCACTATTAGTGGAGTATAGCCAACACCAGCCCAGCTTACGTGGAGGTACCTCCCAATCCCCTTGCCTTAGGTAGTCCTCTGTACTCATACCTTACAATCCCCACGTGACCAATACGTTCCGTGCCCCTATCTGTACCTGCCTAGGTTATTTACGATACCTACCTAGGTACCTAGGTAAATCGTGGCCACTTCACCTACCTTAGGTACTAATTGCGGCTTTCCAGATAGCTGACAGTTGGTTACACAGAGTATTAGACCTTTTGCATAGCGTGACAGCTATCCGTAGGTACTTCTGTCGAGGCTCCCAGTACGGTGCAGCCACCTAGTCGGGTTACTTTTGAGGGCTCGGATTTGGTCCGCAAATGGGGCAGTTCTTTTCGACTCCAAAGGGAGGTCGAGGCTACGGACTACGTTCGAAACCACACCTCGATTCCCATCCCTTCTATTCTTGAGGTCCATCTTGGCGACGCGTCGGGTTACAATGTTAACAGTTGGATCCTCATGCGAAGAATACCGTAACACCCAGCTTAGCTCCGCGTGGCCGGACGTGTGCGACGAGGCACGATCCGAAACGATTCGGCAGATCAGACTATATCTGCAGCAGCTGCATCAACTCCCCCCCCCCCGGTGCTGGATGGATCGGGTCGTGCTCCGGAGGCCCAGCTTACGATCATCGGCTGACCAACCTCTCCACTTGCGGACCTTTCGCTTCCGTCGCCGAATTTCACGACTATCTGGTTGCCCCCGTCCGGCAATGCCCGTGATCCGAATGGGTCGCGAAATATCGAAGTCAACTAATCGCCTGATACGTACGACATACATTTCGCCCACGCAGACCTTTCATGGGAGAAATGGGAGAATGTCCTGGTCGACCCTTCCACTGGAAACGTCAACGCGATTCTTGACTGGGAGATGGCGGGATTTTGGCCAGCATGGTGGACCGAAAGGCTATGTTTGGCTCACGGAGTCAACTATGGTGGTTTCAACTATTGAACGAAGTCATGACAGGGTACCCGAGAAAGACCGATCTTGATATGGAGCTAGAAATGTTCTAGATCGAAGGAGATTGAGCAGCGCCAACGTCACCGGTCCCTCTCTCATCACGTCTCCTTCAACCAATTTTTCACCGCCTCCGGAGTGAGATGATCGTACACAAATCCTTTCTCCTTCAACTTCGTGAACCCATCGAGGGCCCAATCCTGGCAGTTCCACCCAGAAGACTCAACAGAATCGATTCTCACATTCTCCAGGACCTCATGAACGCTGTCCAACAATGATCCGTCCACCTCCCCGACCTCAAGCTCTTCCTTGAGGTCTCCGGACTTTGAGAGATCTACATTTTCGGGACCCTTGTAGTAGAAGGAACCTGGCATTCCGTGGAGTTGGTGCGCAATGCCCTCGTTCGCTCCGTCTTCGAGCTTGATTTGGATGAAGTAAGACCAGTGGTATGGTTTGGTTTTGCCAGTTATCGGGTGCTGGCCCCGTTCGTGGGTGACCAGATACAGGGTGTGCTTTGGCATTGCTGGGTTTGCCTCTTCGAGACCTTGAGAGAGAATAAGTTAGGGTACCACTCTGCGGGCCACCCCTTGACGGACTGCAGGTATTTTATACTTGATAGGTAGTAAAAGCAATATTGTGTAAGGCGCTAAGAAGTAGGGGGGTAAACTTGTACCCTCTACCTTTTAAGACTCCTTAACTCCCCTGCAGCACCCTAAAGCGGGTCCCGCCACCGCCGCTACTACTGCTATCGCTACCACTGCCACCGTTATTACCACCACTGCCACCACGAGTCTCTAGGAGATCAGTAGGTAGTATACTTAACGAAGGATAGGTTCGATTCCTAACAGCGCTACTTGGTAGTCTTCGTTGTTTGGCTCATCTCTAGGTACCTATGTTGATACCGAATGCGTCGGGATGAGTACACGTACCAGTAGCTACTACATTAGGTACCTCTGCCCACAGGTACCTGGAGGAGTGCGCTTAACAGGGTAGGTACCTACCTAGATACTATACTTGAGGCAGAGGTATCATGCCACCGGGAATATTGCAGGGTATACCTAGGTACTTAAATAATAACAATAATAATACTCACAAGTACGTACGGGGTACCTCTGGAGAGAAAGGCAGCCACAACTCCGGATGAACTAATTATGTAAGCATGACGCCACAGTCGGCCAGGCCCGCGCACCTAGAAGAGAAGCTGTAGGTACCTAGAGTACTTTGTAGGCTCAACTGTTCCATCCCCTGCTCCATCAAACCACCCGTCACTCATCATCCATCATCCCGTCATCTTATTGCTTCACTGCGTCTCGCGGCTATACAGAACCCGTAATTCCTACAGCGAGAATGGGCCTCGTCGACTACTCCGACTCGGAGTCCGATTCCGAACCCGTCACGAAGCCTGCGCCACCACCGCCACAACCGGCCGCAACACCAGCACCAGCGGCATCAGCGCCGAGCGGCAAGAAGGCCTTCCAGAAGGTAGTCGACCGGTCAAAGCCGGGCAAGATCCTTGTGAATCTCCCCCAGAGCTCGAGCCTCAAAGCAAGCGAAGACGATAAGAGCGATGAACCGCTAGCGAAGCGCGCAAGGGCGGCAGCCGGCCGAGGAGGCGGCGCGTTCGGCGGCTTCAACGCGCTTCTCCCGCCCCCGAAGAACACCAGAAATCCTGCCCCGACGAGCAGCACGAGCAGTAGCAATAAATTGGCACCGCGCCCCGGAGTTCACCTGAGGACCAGCGCCGCACCGGGTTTCAGCAGGCGGCCCGATGGCGACGGCGACGGCGACGGCGACGTAGAGGCGTCCGACACCGCGATAGGGAACACGCACTCGCCATCCATACCCGCCGAGCAGAAGCCCGCCGAAGAAGTGAAACTAGTAGGCAAGCCGCTCATGTTCAAGCCACTGTCGGTGTCGAGGAAGCCGGCGAAGAAGAAGAAGAGCGCATCGAGCTCTGCCACGCCGGCGTCAAAAGCCGCCGGGGCGAGTCCCGCAGCGCCGAAATCCCAAACGAACCTACTACACGAACCCTCGCCGGCGGGAGACGGCGCGTCGCAGCCCCCGGCGAAGAAGCAGAAACTGTCGCTCTTCTCGATCCCCGACGAGCCCCCCGAGGAAACACCCGACCACACCAGCCCCAGCGGGAGCGGCATCTACGAGCCCATGTTCGGCGGCGACGGAGAAGAGCCGGCCGCCTCGGACGACTTCGCGGCCTACGACGCGCAGTACGCCGCGCAGTCGGCGGGCGGCGGCGGCGCCGATGTCGCCCCCGGCGCCGACGCGGACTCGCTGGACGCGATCGCGGCGTCGATGAACCTGTCGGCGGCGGCGCGGCGGGAGCTGTTCGGGCGCGGGGGGCGGCCGGAGGCCGGGGGCGGCGCCGTGCTCAGCTTCGACACGGAGCGCGAGTACGCGCACAACGAGCGGCTGCGCGCGTCGGGCGAGCTCGACGCCCAGGCGCACAACCCGCTGCGCGCCGTCGCCACCGGCGGCAAGCACAGCCTGCGCCAGCTCGTCGCCCGCGCCCAGGGCCAGCGCGCGGCCCTCGAGGAGAGCTTCGCCCGCGGCCGGACCAACCGCCAGGACGCCGGGTCCCGCTACGGGTGGCGCTGACGGGCCGCGGTCGCGGGCTTGGTTGTTTGGTGTTGTCGGGTCTACGTCGGCGCTGATTCTAGCGTGCCCCTGTACAACTAGCCGCGAGGAGACGGGCGGAGGCATTGTATGTAGGTTCGTAGCACGGCATAACGCAGCGCGGGGAGTCACGATGTTGTTTGTCTTGCGGCGCTCGAAAGGGAAGCATCGAAATAGGATGGATGATATGCACGAGTTTTCCACTCTGTCGCTTGGCCTATGTAACAAGGAGCATCGCTCACCCACCCAGTGCTAAAAACGCACGTTCTGCCCCCCGAGGCTAGGCATCCTCGCCTTTCTGCCGCCCCCGTTTTGCACGCTGGCCATGCTTCCTTTTTTGCCCTCTTGCGCCGGTGACCGATTCGCCGTGTCCGCACCCGTAGATATATATATATACACACATACATGTACACATGCTGCCTCCCCCCTTCCCCCCTAGATATACAGTCCACACCTGGGTATACAAGATGATCATTCCTTTCTGCCGCACTCGCTCAGCACGTCTCGACGGCCGCGGTGCGGCCCTGCATCTTCCAGCCGTCGCCCTTGAACAGGAAGCCCCACTCGCCGCGCGTCACGGGCGAGATGTCGTCGTAGCCGTTGGGCGTCGCGGGGCCGAGGGCGTCGTGCGTCTGCGAGCCCCGGTCGCCGCCGCACGACGTCGGCGACGACAGCACCATCTGGTCGAGCGACGACGACGCCCCGCCGCCGCCGCCCCACAGCGCCGACAGCGGCGGCGCCAGCGTGGGGGTCGTCGGCGTCGGCAGCGCCGGGAACGAGTAGAACGCCGACGCCGACGCCGACGCCGACGGCACCACCGTCGACGGCGGCCGCGCCGTCCGGTCCCCGTCTTCTTCGCCCTCTGCTTCTGCCGCGGGGCTGGCCCTCGGGCCCGAGGCGTTCGCGTGCGCGCGCCGCAGGCTCTCGATCGCGCTCTCGAGCCCCGCGCCCAGCTCGGCGGCGGCTGCGTGGGGCGGCGGCGCGGCCGCCAGCGCCGCGGCGCTCTTGCTGCGCCGCAGCTCCGTGTTCAGGCGGAGCGTTGGCGTCGTCTGGCGCCGCGGCAGGGGCCGCCTCGGCTCGGGCGGCACGGCGGGCGGCAGGGGCAGCGGCGGCAGGGGGCCAAGCTTGACCGTGGCGCGGCGCTGCGGCGGCTGGTGTTCGCGGTCCTCCCAGGCCGCGGCGGCCAGCGACGGCGCCTCGAACGCGCCGCTGCGCTCCGGCCCCCCGTACGCCCGGCGGTACATGCGCTCGACGTCGGCGAGCGCGCGCGCGTGCACGCCGAGCCAGTCGTAGCTGCGGTGCAGGTCGGCGCGCGACACGGGCCGCCCCGCGTTGGCGAGGACGAGGCGGCGGAGGGAGTCGACGGCGTCCTCGAGGCGGACGTGGCTGTTGCCGGTGCCGCCGAGGCTGCCGGCGCCGTACGCGGCGCGCGCGTACGCCGCCAGCGCCGACTTGAAGGTGTACATGCGGTCGAGGCCGAGCAGGGTGAGGCCCTCGGACGAGAAGAGCACCTCGTTCTGCAGGATGCTGCGCCGCACGAGGTCCGCGTTGAGGCCGCAGGCCGGCGCCTCCGTCGCCGGCGCCAGCCACCCCGTGCCCACGCCGAACTTGCGCTCCGCCTTGAGGATCGTCGACCGCAGCGCCTCCTCGGCGCGCGGCGACAGCACGTCCGCGTGCACCAGCCGGATGCCGAACTCGTTAGGCCCCTGAGCCGGCCCGGCGGGCAGGAAGGACGAGGACGAGCAGGCCGACGAGGCCGACGACGAGGCCGTGGCGACGCTCGACGGCGTGTGCGGAGTCGTAGGCGGGCTGCCCGGCGTCGGGGGCAGGATCCAGCGGCGCGGGCTCGAGGATTTGGGTCCCGGCGTCGGGAGAGGAGGAGAGGGCGAGGAAGATACCGAGGACTTGCTGCTAGAGATGCCTTCCAAGGCTGCGGGCCTGCGTAGGCGGGTTCCCCTCCTGATGAGTCGCTTTAGCCCGGCGACGGGGGTTGAGAAGCGAGGGGGAGATGCGATGCCCGGTGTAAGCGGGGGCGAGGCCGGCGTCGGAACCGGCGGCATCACGCTCGGGAGTTGGTATTCCTTCCGGACGACGACGAGGGTGACGTGCAGCGCTTTCCCCGCGAGACGCTTAGACGCGTACTCCAGCGCCTCCGTCAGGTGGGACGGCAGGTTGTAGTCGTCGAGGATCGACGGACCGGCCTCCAAGGGCGAGGAGATGCGCTGCTTCGATAGTGACATGGCGACGGACTGACGAAAAGGCAGCGAAAGTAGAAGATAGGCACCGGCTGCAGACGATGGCGGACAGGTGAGACCGTAGAGACGTCAGGTAGACGAGGTACCCGGTATATTCCTCTCGGCGGGGAATGGGAGGAATCGATGCTGAGACGCGCTGCTTGTCTCCCGACAGCGACGGGTTCGAATCAGATCTTGGGGCGACGATTGTGGGGGTCCATCGATGAAGTCTTAGAAAGCGAGGACGGAGTCGAAGATCTATTATATGGGTACCACGGGGGGGTTGAGAGGTCGAAACAGATCTCAGGAAGGGGAAAATGTGCCGGAGCTGCACACCGGCACGTGGTGATGGCTATAAAAAGCCGGGCGCTTCAAAAGATGAAACAACGAAATGCCGAAACGGCAAGATGGCGAGCAGGGTTGACATCTCGCTCGACTCCCCCCCTGCGATCCTGACACCAGCCCCTCCTCTCCCTCCCCTGGAGGCGTTCGTGCTGTAGCGTTATTTGCGCGCTCCCATGTTTATTTGGCTGCCTGGCCGCGTCCCTCCAGTCCCTGAGAGATCACCATCGTGTTTACTAAGCCCTTGATACCGGACTGGTGGTTGGTGGCTGGCCGGGGGGGCGTGGGAGAGAGGGTGAGTGGAGCGGGAGAGCGAGTGGTGGGCGTGTTTGTGAGGGTGGTAGTCAGTGTGGGTGGGTGGAAGGGAGTCTCAGGAAGCCGAGGAGAAGATGAAAGGCCCAAAAATACCCGAAGAAATCCACGCGATTCGTCGACGCCGCTAAGCTACATAGATCTCACATGTGCACCCGACGCCGACTTACTGCGTGGTGCTGGTAGAGCCCGTGAGTAGGGGTAAGCAGGGAAGAGGGAAGAAAGGGAGGAAGAGGCCAGGAAGCGGCCAGGAAGCGGCCAGGAAGCGGCCAGGAAGCGACCAGGAAGAGGCCAGGAAGAATCCAGGAAGAACCCAGGAAGAGGCACGGCCAGTGGCGTCTCCCCTCTAGGAGAAAAGCAGAACAGCCGGTGCGGTGCTACGCCGTAGGCGAGGGTGTGATAGTGACCGTTTGGGACTGGGGGACCTGCAGCTCGCAATCCGGATGTCGACGCCGAGCCCGAATCCTCGCAGCCGTTGGCCAACCACAAGCCATCGCCAACCCTCTCCGCACCCTGCATCGGCGGTTACAACGACACAATCACCCAGAGGCCAACCGAATCCGCCAGATAGCGGACGCCTTGGGACCAGATGTGCCAAATATAGTCCTTCATCCCGCCCTCTCCTGCGCTAGTTGGACTGCTATCACCACACGCACTGTCGCTAACCCACCACCGCACACACACACGCTACGCGCACAACTAACCTCTACCCATACAAGTCACATACCTACTTATCCACCGAGATGCGCCGGTGGGCCCCGCGAGCCCGGTCCCGAACCGGTCACCCAGCGGTCCCAAAAATAGAATACACTCCCTCTTCCATCCCCTACCTACCTGCTACCTAGTAAGTAGATGCTTACCTCGTGGCCAGATGGAGAGGAAAGAAGAGAGAGAGAGAGAGAACTGCTGCACTTCGCAACTCCATGGGTAATCCAAGCCAACCATTTTTCATAATGCAAATAGCGGTCATATTGCCAAGTTGCTCCCTTCCTTGCTTTCCGACTCTGATTCAGCCCACTACCCACTACCCACTACTACTACTACTACTACTACCACCACTGTAGAATACGCCGCGCCGAGGAGCATCCGCGTTGAGAAAAAAAAAAAAAGCAGCCCTCCGCGAAAACAGTGACTCTATGCGTAACCTTCTCCCTTTCTCTCCCTCTCTCTAATCTGTTAGACCTGTCCCTTCCTGCCCCTCCTATGAGAACCGTGAGGTGGCGAGACGTAAAACGATGCCGATTGCCGGCTACCAGTCAGTCGTCTCGTCTCAGGCAATGCCGAAAGAACGCTGCCCTCAAATATTACCATGTGTCCGTTTCCTCAAGACGCCGGTCGCTCCAGTACCATGCATTGTCCCTCCCTGGTTTACCCTTCCATCTAATCCGACCGACCTAGTAAGGACCTTTCTCGTATCAGTCGTATGCATTACATGCTGATCACATTTTGCGTCAGCTGGTACCACCGCGAATTTGGCGATGATAACCCCGGGGGCGGGCACTAGTTTCGTGTAGTTTAGAGCGTCTTCTCTCTTTCCTTGCTTTTGTTCCTTTTTTTTTTCTTTCTCCTACACCAGATCGCGATCGATTTGCATGCTGAGATCCGTTAGGCTATCCATCTGTTCCGAAGAGCCGACTGACTGCTCCCAATCTTGGCCTTTGTCAGTCATAGTCTATCGTGGCGGTGGTTGAGTCGCTCCACATACCGGAACCGTCCTCTTCAATCTCGTCGACCGTGAGTCTGTCCATCGGCTCCATGACGGCTGCCACCATGTCAGTACACATATATTTTATTGATTGGACCGCCTCATTCCCGCGGAAGTTCCTTACTTTGGCAGAGCTCTAGGTACTGTGCTCCTAGACCGTCATCCATATCCTCGTCGGGTATGAAGTACGCCTCGCACCTCTTGATGACTCGGTCCAGAGGAATTACCGTGTATCTGGCCGCCTGCGTTGAACGAATGACATAAGTATCCCGTAGATACTCGAGACACGAGATCGCTAGTCGCCGAGCTGCCGAGTGCATCGCCCGGGACCTTTCCATTCCGCCGTTGCTTTCAGCAAATACGGGCGAGGGCCCATACTTGAATAGCTTCTCTTGCAGGAAGTTGTCCACGTCGTCACTAACTGAGTGGTCGATGTATCCTAGCAAACCCGGCGCCCATTTCGGGAGATTCTCGAGGCTCTGTATCTGGATAGTCGCGTCTGTCTCGCCCGTGTTCCTTGCCCCGTCGAAAAGGTCCCGCTGGAATTCGTAAAAGGATCGACCCTCGGCATTCTGTAGGTTCTTGCATTGGTTATTGATGTGGTTTATCAGGCGGTGGACGTTGTCGCGGTTGATACTTGAGCGGCAATACGTCACCGCGACGCGTAGAAACGGTGAAATCATGTTTGAGGACAGGTCCCCGGTTATGTCAAGTCTCAGGGTAACGAATACCTTATAGTCCATCGTCGGGCTAAATCCCATGAGGCGCTTGACTATGGAATCGGTGGCCAAAGGATTCTGGTTCAGATGAATCAGCTTTTCCACAAATATATTCGCCTGGCCCCTGACCCAGTCACGGTGCAGTATATTCACTTCGTGGTTTGTGAAGGGGACTGTCTCGTGTTGTAGCGGGAGTGACGATCGGCCGTGGGGACCATCGAGAAAGTTGACTTGGCCTATTACCGGGTCGATCGCTGCCAGGAGCTCATCGATCAAAGAGATGATGTTTTCGTAACTGGGCGGCCTCGGCCGTCTCGAGACGGTGGTGAGCAACCTGGTATACTGAGGCGGAAGCTCGAGAGCTTGGTCAATCGCCACCACCATAAGAAGCTTGACCAAGAAATCTCTATCCAGGAATGTCAGTGCTTCGTAACGCCCGAGTCGGGCGAATTCCAGCATTGCTCCGAAGCATTCGGGCCAAGAATTAAGGCGTGTATGAAAGGTTTCCCAGATATGTTGGAAAAGATCCAACGCCATATCCAGCACGCTTGAATTCCGGCCTCCGACGCTGGGTATTACCTCCTCATCGCCGGCGAACGGGCCATAATTCTCTGGGTACATACTTTTGAGAGTACGCAAAACGAACACCAGAGTTTTCCCCGTATCCTGGCGCACGCTGGCGTCCGAGTTCCTCTGCAGGAGCATGCGCAAGGCGTCTTTGTGGTTATTGAAGTAGTCGAAGAAGGCTAAACAGCACACAGGGCAGCGCTGGCAGACTTTACCAACCAGGGTTCGAAGTTGGTCGTAGTCGGGGAGGTCTTTAGCCCGCGATGCGACCTGATCCAGGTGGCCCAGTGCAGCTTGCATTGCTAGATTTTCTCTCCTGTGGTCCTTAGAACATTTCGCGCCCCACGTGCTCGCTAGCATCTCGTAAACGAAAGGCATATGGGCAGGGTCGTAAAGACAATGCCGCTGAACGATGGCCCAATTGTCTTCCTTGATCTGGGCCTCCAGCGCACCCGGAACCGCAGACCGGAAAGGGCCCGTCTGGCCTGATGATTTCAACATTTCTTCCTCCTTTCGTAGGGAGGAGGATCGCTGGTAGAATAGCATGTACGCGCTGTAGACCTTCTCGTAGGCGGCGCCAGTCTCGTATTGTGGCCGGTAGTCCGGCCCTCCGAAACAGGCGTTCTCCATCTGCGAAGGGTCCCACGACGCAACAGACTCGTCGTTGAATTCAACCCATGACGGCGTAGCATCGACAGTCGGCCGCTCTCGGATATAAGAGTAGTAATGACCAGACTCTGCGGTCCCAGAATGCACGAGGATGCCTACCAGTTCAAACATATCCGGCTTAGCACTCTGCGAAGAGTCGCTGAGGTGCTCGACGGTATAGGGCTGCATGTTGATCACGGGGGGGAACGGGAAGTAGTCGTTGATTTTGCTACGCGTCAAAGTCCTCAGGTTGAAATCGAACCTCTTCAGATGGAAAATCAAGTTATCGGGGAGATCCTTGAGGCATGTTCTGGTCGCACAATTAGTATTATTGCTATTTTGCAGAAATTATTCTCAACTTGCCTCTTCACTGCGTCCACGTGTCGGTCGCAATCGGAGCACTTGTACTTGTTATCTGCACAGGTGTGTCAGCATTGCCGAACGTACCATAGGCATGAAGAGAAATATATACCTCCTTCCAGAATTTCGCCATCCACATAGGCTTGCAGACTTTCTTCGAGGCTCGCCTTGCCCTTTATATCGCACTGTATAGCGGAGAAGGGTTCAAGGCGCTCCGATATATGCTCGCATTCCTGCGATTTCACCTGTTGGACCAGTTCGCCGCCGTATATTGATCTCAGCATCTTCTTTTCGCTCTCAGAGAGCAGCTGCGCTTCCCATCGGTCAAAAAGAAGACTATAAAATTCGTCCACATCCATCTGATTGTGAATGTCGATAGGGGTGTCGTCGTACGTCATGATCTGCCCGATGCAAGCTTGCGGCTCAACAAATCGCCGCCGACTATCTTGCAAAAACGCAAAAAGTACCTGCGTCTCATGAAGTAACTGGTGCGTGTGCGGATTGCGGACTCGCGCACCGAGCATGAAACGGCGGAATCCAATGTTCATAAACAGTTGCGTGAAGAGTGAGTTCAAATAACAAGTGTTGGAGAGATTTCGCAGCCCAGAATATCCGCAAGGTGACCTGATAGCATTCGATCTTTCAAAAAGTTGTGGGAGGTCATACTTGTATACTTCAGACCCGTCTTCCAGCAAACGATGTGATGTGAGCGCGTTCAGGTCGTGAAGCAATCGGGTCAGAAGCGACGGGTCCTCTTTAACCAAGACGAATATGATATCGTAAAGCATGGTCCGGGAAGGGGTATGTAGAATTACTTGCGGGACAAGCGGCCCGTCCTCATCCTCGGGCGGAAAGAGATGCTGCGAGAACAGTCTCGTGACGAAGTCAGGGGGGAGTACGACTCTCTCCTTCCTCGCTAGTGCCTCCTTAATTCCCATACTCAATATTGTGATAAGTCCATGTGCCACGACGTCCTTGCCTGGATGCGCGATGTCCTCTGTAGCCGTGTGAGACAGCAAGAGTTTCCCGCACTCCTCGATGCAAGCGTAGAGGTCAACCGCCGTCGAGTTCTCGTCGTTCAGTTTATGGAGTAACTGAAACGAGAGACTGAACATCTCTTCACAGTTACTCGGCATCGTGGCAGCTCGAGGTACCAACTGGAAGACGATGGGCCAGAACAGCTCAGCAAAATCTAGCGCGCGTACTCCGGCGGGGCCACAACCGTAAAGCACCTTGGCGCTGATTAGTCTAGCGACGTTCTTTCTCACGATAGGGCGCGAATCGTGAAGAAGAAGAGTCTGGACAACGTTTTGTACGGCCGGTTGGTTCCGAAAGCCGACCCAGAATTGACTGCTCTTCGCGCAAGACTGGAGCAAGGCCTCAAAGGACCGATTGATTAGTTCGATGCTGACCTGGTTCGTTCGTGCGGCGGCGGCGCCGATGAGTATCGTCGACAGCCTTTTCTGGAGATCTATATCGAGGAGCTTCGCCATGGTTTCCAAGTCGACAGCTTCTTCATCCTGTCAGTCGTTACCGCATGTGGAACTGGACGATGAACATCATACCTTTCAAGAGCTGGACAAAATTGTCCACTAGATCGAGACTGAGCTGGAGCTGCAAGGCTTCGCTCGAACCTAGCTCGACAACCTCTGGGTCGCAGATGGCCGCGACAATTAGAGACATGGCCCTGGCTAAGGCATCTTGCCGGTCGGTTGTCGACCTTAATTGGCTGTCGTGGTCCTGTGAAGAGACCTGCATGACATTGCTCTTGAGGCGTCGAGTATTGAGGTACTCGCGCAACGCGTGTAGGGCATACAACGACTTAAAAGGCTGCCCAAGAGGGAATATGTCTCGATAAGAAGTCTCCGGGTCCTCGAACGCAGCTAGCATCGAATCGTCGGCCGGGAGGGATGCCAGGAACTGGTAAATCTTCACGGCACACGTCAGCATTTTTCTCGAAACGCGAAATGATAAAAGTTCTTACCTCTCGCGCCAGGTCCTCTTCCATACTCAGATACTCCCAGAGATCTTTGAAGTGACTCAAGATTTCGATGTCCAATAGCGATGCTCCTGGCTTGATACGCCCGGGGGGAGACGTGATCCCAGTTTCCTTCTTCACAAGAATCAGGCCGCTCACTACACCAAGCTCCTCTATGGACTTGCATATGTCACTTTCCAGCGGGGCCAGAGGCTGCCCGCGATAGTATAATCGGTAGTTTTCGAAGCCGGTGGCTTCGCGCAGGCTGGCTAAGAGCGACGCAGCAGTGTTCTTCAGCCCAACACGAAGCGGCCTTACTTCGGTTTGGTCGTCGCCGTCGAACGATTGATACTTCAGATCCGCGGGGTCGCCTTCAACCGGACTAGGCGTTTGCAGCATGAGAGATCGCAAATCCGGTGCTGCAAAATGGGGCCTTGTCTGTAATGTCTTAAGCAACCTTATCAGCACCTGGAGAGATCTAGTGAACTGCAGCTCTTGTTGGCGGTAAGGCTCGTCACTTGCGGCTGCCATCGTCGTTAGCTGGCTATCCCCGCTCGACATGTCATCGCTGAAACGCTTCAGCTTGTGCGCGGCGTCCTTGAGCTGCTGTAAGCACCTCTGTACGAGGGCGAAATGGACCTTCCGTGCACGGTAAAGAGGATACGATATTATCGACTTGCTGTCGACGTATATGTCGTCGACTAGCGTAGAAATGGCCGTTTCCTCGATCGTGTGACTCGGGGCTGTCAGGATCATTTGCCAGAGCAGTTCCAGGCCAGCCGATCTAACGCTTTCCTCGTCATCTAGAACCATACCGTTAATATCGTTCGCGAGAGGAATAATAGCCTCCCGAACGAACGCTAGCGACCCCGCGCAGTAACAGGCAGGCGGCAATGTCGGCAAATAATCTCGCAGACAAGCATTAAGGAAGGGATTGTCAAGCCGCGTTCGCTTAAGCGCTAAGTTGAGGTCATCCCAAGCGGCTTTCCTATCCTCCAGACACACAGCGCCATCCCCGACCAGGAGATCCCATAGACATCGACCGAGCTCCGAATCGATGGTCGGTCCGTGATTCACGATGACGGTGGAGATAAGCCTTCGACGAGCATGGCCGATAGGATTGGCATAGACCGGGGAGAACCCGACAGCCTTCGCATGAGCAATTGTGGATTCCAGCTCTTCAACGAGAAGCTTCGTCAAATTATGCTCGGATATCAGCATCTGTAGCGCCGGGGCATTGCCCGTGAGCGTGCTCAGAACTTGGAGGCTCCCAGAAGTCGTCCGAGATCTTGCCGCGATATCCTGCACGCAGCCTATCCATATTTCTTGACGCCCCGTCTGGTCCGGGCCCGAGTGTAAGAGGGTGCCAAATTTTGCGAGAGCAAATTGCTGAATCTCGGGAAACGCTATAGAATTCTGCGGCACGTAAACGGAGGACTCTTGCAATAAGCGGACGCATGTCTTGTATGGCGCGAGAGGGACAAGATTGTAGGGCATTATCTTTTCCTGCATTTGCTTCGTCACGTGATCGAAGAAATCTCGCATGGAAGAGGAGAACGACTCGATCGACAAGTCACCAAACTTCTCGCACATATAGCAGAGACTCTCCGAGTCGAGCAGACCAACCACCTTAGACATCATCCGGACGATAGCATCGGAAATCCGAGGATCTTGGGTGCTAGTCAGGGTTTGCCAAAGGAGATCTGTCTGCGCGGTGGTATAGGTCTTCGTAACGGCCAAGAACCCCACAATGTTGAAACTTGCTTGAGTAATCTCCGGATGACACGTTGGACCAAGGAGATAGTTAACGATTCCGGTGCGGACGAGGTAACCGGACAAGTACCGCAAGTAGGCCAGACTGGGGTTCTCCTCCCCTATCTCCTGACGGTCGATGTACGCCCTCCACTGGAGAACTAGATCTTCGCACAACGACGATGCTGCCGCAACCCTCAGCTGCATCTGACGTGATCGCACCAGCTTGCAAAATACGCCAATCCGCCACTCTGTAGGAATTGTCTCGAGCGTGAATCGATCCAGAACTTCGGGGTGCTGTTGGCGGTGATCTTGTACCAGTTGATTGGCCTCGATGCTATCGCCGTGGAGACTATACTTAAGAATTGTAGTTAAGCTAGAGATGAGAGTCGTCGCGGTCTCGGCAGCCAGGTTGTTGATTGATTTCTCAATAACAACGTCCATAGCATTAGAGACGGTTGCAAAAAAATTGAGACCCTGGGCCATGTTTGCCCTCGACCGGTCGACGCTAGCCGGCGAGTAATTGGCAGGGTATGATAGCTTTTTGCAGCTGTCACGCATATAGCTCTCCACGAGCCAAGAAACCCCGGCGAGGTTGTCCACGACTTTTTTAGGGGATCGCAGCAGATTGCTGGTAAGTAAACTAGTCAGACGGCTCATCTCGCCAAAAAGTCCATCATGACTTGCTTGGAGCACATCGAGTGTCTCCGATAATCCCAGGCTGGTTGCGAAATGACATCCGTTAGGGGGCTGTTCGCTATCCTTGAAGGCTATGTTGCTAAACATTCGGAAAAACATGGGAGATATCAGGTCGAAATCCCTCCCCTCGTTACTTGCGACTTGCGTCAGCGTCCGGCAATCAATCGCAAGCAGGAATCCGGTCAATCTGGCGACTTGCACAAACACCTGGCCGACGATAATTCGGATATCTCTGGATTTTGCGTATCCATGCCTGGTGGGAAGACGCCGGTTAGCGGAGCCCGGAAATCAAGACGCAGGCACGAAGCCGACTTACCGATGAGCAATAGCGCAAAACAAATCGGGTAGAGCCTGCCAAAAAGACTTATTCTCGTGATAGAGCTCTAATACGATAGGGTGGAACTCGACGTGCGCATACGACAGGTACCGCTCCAGCCACAGGTTGAGGCTCTGCAAGACCTCTTCGATATGCGCGGGTTCTGGGAGGTGATTAGCATAGCGACGGGATAAGATGAAGGCATTTTCCGACTTACGCTGCCGAAAGTAGTCTATAAGGCGAACGACGGTGTCGTAGTACGACTCGGTATCGTTGTGGTAGGGGAACTCGAGCACAGCAGCATTAAAGCTCGAAGCCGTCTCGTCCGCCAAGAGCGCTAGACTAGGCTCGGTAGCAGGAAACGCGAGGTCTGCCCCGACTTCTTCAAAAGACACCGCGGGAACTTCGGGGCTGTCGAGCTCGGACGAAGACGACGACGTGTCTTCGACCGGGAGCGCATGTGTTATATTCACCTCCGGCTCTTCCACGCTGATTTTGATGCTGCCTCTTCGAACACGCGAGGGCGTGGGGGAGGATGGGGACGGGGAGACAGCCTCGAGGCTGTCCACGTTTCGTAAGTTGATGGTAACCTTGCTCGAGACGGGTTCGGTGGTAGGTTCTGAGCGAGCGGGAGTGCTCGGCGGGACGGGCTCTGGGGTATCGACCTTCATGTTGCTTGGATCGGAAGCAGCGGTGACGGCGTCGGCGTCGGCGGGGTCCTCCCTAGATGGCAGCGTCTCGACGGATGTGCTCCGGGAACCGGAAAGAGAGGTCCTGCGACGTTTTCGGGCAGAGAGATCCCCGTCGTCGAAGGGGTTGGGTCGGGTCGAGCAAGGCTCAGAAGAGACGGCACGTTCTCTCGGCTCGGACGATCCTGACTCTTGATCCATCTGGGCCTGGCTGACACGATGGGGGAAGCGAAAAATGGTGGAGCTCCAAACGAAGCTTGAGGCGCTCGCGCGAGAAGGCTCGGCGGTAGCTGACAAAACTCCAGAATTAGCATGTGGGTGATATGAAGGGAGAAGAAGCAGGCGGAGTACGGCGGCCGAGCATTAAAAAGAGTAAGAAAAGATAGAATCGGCAATGGGAGAAGGGGAAAAGAAGAAAAGGGTAAAGAGGGAAAAAAAACGACGACGACAACTGAAGGTGTACAAGGGGTATCGAGGGACGCGATAGAGAGGACGAGAAAGGTGGTATTGTTTCTTGCAGCTCTTGAGGATCCCCTTGTGGGGAGGGAGAGGAACGATGGGTAGGTTGCTTAGGGGTGGGCAGCTGGGGTTAGGGAGGTAGCGGACCGCGAGGATGGATTTTGGAGAAGCTCAACCCGGTTGCTCTTTTTTTTCCTTTCTCCTTTTGGGTGGGTTGGTAACAGAAGGGCGTCGGGCGATTGGGAGGGGGATGGGGAGGGAGGGGGGAGAGAAAGGCCGGGTAGAGGCGTCAGTTGGGCAAGCTAATGGTGGGGGAGGGGCAGGTGGAGAACGGGTAGTGTAGGCAGCCCCGGTGGGCTCTGGGAGTGGAAGAAGCAGTGGAAGCGGTGGAAGCTGTGCAGCAGGTCAGCTAGCAATAGCCGCGTCCCTAATGAGCTTAGGTACCCTCCTTGGAATTCCCGTACCATTAGGTACCTAGGTACTTGAGGTACCTAAGGGAGCTGCCTTGGGTACCTGCCACTGGGCAAAGACGGGTCGGATATGTAGGTAGATGTAGGTATCGTACATACATTACCTTAGGTCAGGTACCTAGGCTGGCTTAGGAGGGATGTGTACCTTAGCTTAGGTACCTACCTGTCTCCGGTGGGAGGTGGGCAACTTGGGGGATGAGGCTGTCTGCTAGGTACTCAGAGAAGTACCTAGCCAGGCATCCACCAGCTGCCCGCCTGCTTCTCCTTCGTTCTTCGTCGTCTTCCCCTGGGCAATCCCAGTCAAATGGCGGCAGACTCCGGTGCAGAGAGAGGCTCGGTGACGACAGTTATGGTGATGGGCATAAAACTGGTAGGCAACCTCTGCTTGGCTCCCACGCCTTCTTCGGACTTGGTCGCACGTGTGGTGACGGGAGTAATGGCAAATGCCGTCAACAAATGGTTGGGAGTTGCCTCGCAAGCAAGTTAAGTCAATCTGCAGTTAATGGTGGGTAGACGATGGATGGGTGGATGGAGCCTTGGATGGGTGATGGGAGGGGATGGGGATGGGTGGATGGCGTACGGGTCTGATCACCACAGTAATCAAGAGCAAAATAATCAACTAGGCATTCGGTGAAAACAGCTGGATGTTAAGACGTAACAGCCTGCCCAGCCTAGCAGGTAATGCGGGCTGGGAGATGGGTAGACAATTTATAGAGTAGGCCGGTGCTTCCAATGATAAGGCTGCGCGTGTGCAGTGCTGTGCACGGATGTATCAACTCTAGTGCAAGTTGGTCTCTCGAGTAAAGATCACCGTACTTAGGCTTTCTTAGAATAGCTTAATGTTGGTCCTCGAAGGCCGGGCGGTTCCTGTATTTGTGAAACAGATCTAGGAGCAGGCATTTTTTTTGTTTAGAGAAATACCATGATTGATTCCTGATTCTCAACTTTGGCCGTCTTATTTGATGATCAGATGCAAAAGGCTGGAAGATGATGGTGAGTACAAGGCAGGTAGGTACCTACCTCTGCAATCCGGGAAGCACCCGAGGTGGGTGTGCACTTGAGGGATATGTACCTATATTCCTCAGTGATGAGGCAAGGTATAGGTATATTTTAGGTACCTACTTTCCGGTAGCTGTAACCTAGGCCTTACTAAGGCTTTCATGGAAGATAGGAGGCACTCAATGGACCGCTTTAGGTATTGTTTAATAGAGGTAGGTACCTATAGGTAGGTATATCTAGGTAGGCAGGCAGATATCTAACTGGAGTTATAATTACCTCTGAGTATAGCTGGGTAGGCCATGAGTTAAGGCGCCCTAAGCTTACCTAGATTCTCAGCTTCAAATGCCGCTGCCACACCCACCTAAGTACCTAGGTACCTACCCTACCCAGGTAAGAGGTATCTACTACCATTGCAAACATCACGTGCACCGTAGGTAACAAAACTCTGTTTAGCTAAGGTTTAATTCGGGATCTGCTCCAGCATATACAGGTACCTAAGGTTTACCTATGTACCTATCATTACGTGGCAGATTAAGTACCTAGGTATGTCTATCCTGGATGCCTAGTAGATGAGGTACTTAACAAGCCCCGGCACCGGGTGAATATGCACAATATCTATTATACGCGCGTATCAAGAGGGGTGGGGTTGTCATCTGCATTAAATGCTTAAGCTGCCTGGTTCAATTCAATAGGAGATACTCGGGATTGAGGCCGGTGGGCGATAGGATCGCGCTCTTGATAGGTACCTGCGGAGGATTTTAGATCTTGGGCACTAGGCACAGATCTGCCCACTTACCAACTACTTCACACCTGGACTATAGAGGTACTCTATCGACAAGTTTTAGGAACTTAGGAGAAGGTGGGTAGGCAGGTAGGTAGGCAGGTAGATCTCCTTCCCGCTGGGGCAACATCAATACAACATTCTACTGCTAAATCCTCTTCTCACGCGTCGCTTGAGGCTTATACTGTGGGACTGACCTCACTCCCGTATCGTATGCCTACCTCTAGGCACATGTGCACATAGCACGCTGGCACAGGAGGCGAGGCGAATATGCAGGGTACCAACAGAAATGGGGCATTACCTAAGTACCTAGGTCCGCCGCCTCCTCGTCCGTGTTGGCTACTTACATACCTACCTCCAGGACGGAGCTGCGAGTGCAATACCTAACGTCCATATACTACTTGGCCGAAACAAGGCTCGGAGGTTCCATGGAAGAGACAGGAATAACAGGTAACACGATAGAGGCAACCGGCCGGTACAGGTTAACTGCCCACGCTTAAGGACGGGAGTTTAGTCGTGTCAAAGGAAATAAAGACCTCCGTCAGGTATCTTAAACGCTCACCTGTCACGGGCGGCTCCGCCGCATCTAATGCATGCCCTCTCTCAAATTCTTATATTCGTCCAATATTTTAAGAATTTAATTTGAAATAAAATAAACCAAAATATCGACAACTATACACTCATACCCAGTCGGAAGTGGAATTAGCAGAGCAAAGCACGTACTTGCATACGAATCAGCGTGGCTCGGAGGTTCCATACGGAGGATTGACACCCATGATCTGCCGTATAGCCGTATTACCTGGCGGTTCCAGCTAGGGGGAGCGAAGATAAAATGACAGACAAAGCACTCTCCCCTATGGACAGGGTTGTAAAAAAAAGTTTTTAAGTTAAGTTTTAACGAAACTTAACTTAACTTAACTTAAGTTTCTAAAAATGAAAACTTAACTTAACTTAAAAAAGTTTTTGAAAAGAGAAACTTAACTTAACTTAAAATTTTTTTTTAAAAACTTAACTTAACTTAACTTAACTTAAAAAAACTTAACTTAATTTAAAAAAACTTAAAAAAACTTAAAAAACTTCAAAAAATTGTAAAAAAAACTTAAAAAACTTAAAAAAACTTAAAAAAACTTAAAAAACTTAAAAAACTTAAAATTTTCTCGGTAGAATTATAGAAATTCTATAGCAGTAGAAGGAGTTAATAACGTTATAATAACTAAGTTAAAATCTGTAAAAAAAAGGAGATTTAAATAATATACTTTGAATAAATCTTACTAAAGATATAATAAAGATATAAGTATTTGAAAAAAGAGAAATCTAAATCTTTTATACTGAATAGGAGTAGCGTAGGTACGCTGTAATGGAGGCACGAAAAGGGCTACCTAACTACCAATAACTAGCCTAGTGCCGATTAACCAAGATTATAGCTATAAACAGCTATAATCGGTTAATCGGCTAGCTGAAAACGGTAGCTAGGAAAGGGGACTAGAAACGGCAAAGGAGGATAGCTAGAAGGGCATGGTAAGAAACGAGTAAATAGCTATAGGCTATAATGTTTATAGGTCTAAGTCTAGCTAATGAAAATATAAGTACGCGACCTATATAAATATATATCGAAAAGGCTACGTAGCTTAGATCTACCGTACTACTATAGCCTTCCTAGTTTAATTAATCCGTAAGGAGTAATTAAACTCCTAATAATAAGTACGGTAGCTTTCGTTTCCTATTAAACCTAATTAACTACTAATTAACCTAATTCCGATTAACCTTAATTAATTAAAAGCTAGCTAATTTAATTAAAGGCTAATAGGATAAGTTAGGAAGAAACAGGGTAATCCTAATAACTAAGAACGATTATAATAGTAATAAATAGGTAGTAGGATAGGTAACTAACTATAGCCGTACCTAATCCTAAACCTAAACCTAATTAATCCTAAACCTAATCGGCACCGTAGCTAATTAGGAGCTAAGCTAATTTACTCTAAAGGCCATTAAGAAATAATAGAAAAGATCTAATAATAAGAATAACTAGGCTAGCGGAGCTATAACCTATAAACTAACCTAATTAACCTATTCCTAATTAATCCTAATTAACTAAGAACGAGCTAGGTCCATTAAGGCCATTAAGAAATAATAGGGATTAATAGTTAGGAAATAGGAACTATAACGGATAAGTAAAATAAGCGTAGCTCCCGTAAGAAACGAAAGAAATAATCCCATACGATATAACGTAATCCCGTCCTTCTCGTTTATAACTAGCTTTACCGATCCTTTTAATTAATCCTAATCTTATAAACTAATTAATATATCCTATTCATACCCGACTATTCTCGTTTCTAATTATTATTCGTCCGGTAGTATCTACCGGGCTTCCCTTAACCCTTAATCCCTCCCTTATACGTAATTCTAGGGGCTTTAGCTCTTCCTATTAACTATATATCGGTAAAGGCGATAAGAAAGATCTCCGGGTATTAACTTATAACTCGTTTCTTTTCTATAGCTATTTCTAGGCTTTCTTATTTAATATCTTATTTATTTCGTATCGCGGTATCGTCTATATAAGTCTTTCGCGCTAATCGGTAGGTCCCGATTAAGTTCGTAGGTATAAGGTATGTCGGTATTTTCTTAGTAATTAAAGGTATCGTAATATCTATCGGTTAGGAAGGAGAAACCTTCCTAGGTACCGTAACTAGCTAAAAGGAATAAAACAAAGGCGATTAAAATAATAAGCCTCTTACGGTTAAAATAAATCGATCGGTAAAGAACGGATACCTTTAAGCGCGTATTATAAAAAAGAGTAGTAGCGGTAACTTAGTTAGATTAACTAAGGGCGAAAAACTGCCATCTAGGTACTAGTAAAAAACGACGGAAGTAAAACCGGGTAAAAACGGGTATAGCTCCTTTAAAAGAAATAATTAAGAAACGAGAATAAGGATTCCTATTAATCGGCGAACGAGCTTTTAGGTAAGTTAATTAAAAGCTAATGGGAGGGCGTAGTTATTAATAGTCGCTATGATTATCTATCCTTCCGTTAATCCTAACCTAAAAAGGCTTAATCCGAAAGCTACGAAAAACGGCTCTGGAGCTACGAAAATAGCTCCTGATTAACTAAAAAATAGGGAATCTCTTAATCGTCGTATCCTAAACCTAATAACTATAAAAACGGTCGCAAAAGGTTACTCCTAAGATAAGGTAAGGACGAGCTATTAGGTAGTCGCTACTAAACAGAAGTAACGTAAGTACGCTAATAGAGGTACGAAAAGGGCTACCTAACTATTAATAACTAGCCTAGTACCGATTAACCTAAGATTATAGCTATAAATAGCTATAATCGGTTAATCGGCTAGCTAAAAATAACAGCTAGGAAAGGAGACTAGAAAAGGGCAAAAGAGGATAGCTAGAAGGGTATGGCAAGAAACGAATAAATAGCTATAGGCTATAATATCTATAGGTCTAAGTCTAGCTAATGAAAATATAAGTACGCGACCCATATAAATATACATCGAAAAGGTTACGTAGCCTAGATCTACCGCACTACTATAATACTTATACGTATATATATATATTTCTTTTTTATTTTATTAAAACCATATTCCGACGTTAATATTAAACCCGATAAAAAAGCCTAATTAAAGTTTAAGGATCGAAGGATCGAAGGATTAAATGATTAAAGAATTAAAGAATTTAATAATTTTAAAATCTAAGGTTTTAAAATTAAAAGATTAAAGAATTTTACATTTTAAAATCTAAGGTTTTAAAAATTTAAGAGCTGAAAAGAAATATTTATTAATAATATAATCTTTATTAAATTTTAAATATTTATAAAATTATATTTAAAGTACTAAAATATTAATATATAAGAATTATTTCATTAAATATAACATATAAAAGTTTTAGAACTTCAAGAGGAAAAACTTAAAAAAACTTAAAAAAACTTAAAAAAAACTTAAAACTTAACTTAAACTTAACTTAACTTAAACTATTAAAAACTTAACTTAACTTAAAAATTTTTTTCAAAAACTTAACTTAACTTAACTTAACTTAAGTTTTTGAAAAAAAAAACTTAACTTAACTTAACTTAAAAAAACTTAACTTAACTTAAAAACTTAAACTTTTTTTTTCAACCCTGCCTATGGATACCATCACCTCTCCACACGTACCTTGCACACCTCATCCACCAATACCAACGTTTTACCCACCGCTTATATGTAGCAGATAGCACCCGGCATCCCACACCAATCGAGATAACCACTTCTCAACCCTCTCCACGATGGGATTTGATGTCCTGTTAAAGCTGAAAGATGCCGGAGCCGCCACAGAAGAATATCTAAAGGGGAAATGGTAGGTACTGTTGGCCCTGTCTCTTCTCTCTTTCTTTTCCTCCCTCCGCCCTTTCTTGCCGCCTGCCCTCCACGCAGCCGTGAAGTGATCCTCCCTATTCCACTATCGCACGACTTGTCGGCATAACTATGCGTCTAACCAGACGTCTTCGACAGGGACAAGAGGAAGCAGCGGGATGCGCAAGCCAGAGCCGATGCGGAAGAGAGGCGGCGCCAGGAAGAGAAGAATGCCTTTCTCGGGTTGATCATAACGAAGCTTACGGGCGAGTCGGCCGTAGAGATGCCACGGTTGGAATGGGACCCGACGATGTTGCACAGGGCGGTCTTCCTAGTCACCATACCCATCGAATTTGGCATATTTGAACTGTCCAAGAACAGCTACAACCTGCTTGCCAAACATGTCGGCATGAGCCGAAACAGCGTGAGCCATTGGGCATTGTGCGTGGTCGACCGTAGCTTCAACCCATCTTATAGTTACGACCTAATGAGCGACCAGCTGGCACTCAATGCGCTCGGCAAGAATCAATTCCGCGTAGCAGAAGTCACTCCTGCGTACGTCGAGACTTGGACTTCGTGTTATTACCTCGGCGAGACGACGAAATCCCACGACGAGATCCGAGCGTTGGGTGAGTCGGCCTCTATTGCTACCTACGTCAAACTCACCTCGTCGCTGACGCATGCGTGACTATACTATACACACAGGGATACATCACATGGAGCTCAACCCTCGCTACCACCTTCTGACGAACAATTGTCAGAACATGGTGGAAAGCATGGTCAGGCAGGTGTGCGACGGCAAAATCATAAGTCAGACCAAATTAAATGAAGAGCTTGCCCTGGCGTCGCCCAAGATCGCCCTCGACCTCATGGTCGCCAGGCTACGGTCGAAAATAGAGAAATTTGAAGAACACGAAGAGAGCGACGGCGTCAAGGAGGACGTGGATATCATCAAGGGCCTATGGCATAAGATCCATCATTAACGGCCCGTCAGCACACCGAAGTTCTCTGGAAACCCACGGCTCGCGTTCTTTCGAAGGTACGGGCACTTGTTAAAAAAAGAAAAAAAAAACAGAAAAAGAAAAAGAATAACGATCTCGCATTCCTGGCGTTTCTGAGAAATTCGGCGTTAATCGTCATTGATTTATCTAGGTATTTCTAGAGGGGGTAAGACAAGCGTCATTTAACCCGCTTTCCCTCGCACTCCCCCCCCACGCTAAGTAACCCAATGGAGGGGACAAGGAGGATGACAAATCCATAGCAACGCTGGTTTTTTTTCCCTTCTTTCAGCGATGAATTCATCGGGTCTACAGTCTTACCCATTCAGGCGCATCAGTTAACCACGTTTTTCTTATCTTAGCAGCGCTTAAGGCGTTCTGATATATGCAACGCCTACCCAGCCCAAGGCTCTGCATGCAGTACCTAGGTTACTTGCTTGCGTTTCAGCCTGGGCTCTAGTATTACCTCTAGTAAAATAAGGCCCGAATTATTCTGCTTCGCAGAATAATTCGGGCTTATTTTTAACGTAAACGCTAAAAATAATAACCTATCCGGAGGATAGAGAGATATAGAAAGTATACTTAGTTTATTTAATAACGATTTTTAGAACTACGAACTTTATTTATTATAGAAAACCTAGAAAACGTAAGAAATTATATATAGAAAACTTATAGTTCATTCGAAATTATCTTTTATAAATTCGAAACTAGTTTAAATTTTTACGTTAACGTATATTATATTAAGCAGAGCGTATATTATTTACGATAAAAAACGTATATAGTAAAACGAATTTAAGAAGAATAAAATATAAAAGAAATTTAGTATAGAAAAATTTTTTTAAAGTTAAAATTACGTAGGTACGTAATTTCTATATTAAAAAAGGGCGCTATATCTAATAAAATTACGAAACCCTTAAACTTATATCTTTATTACTTCTTTTTACGTTTCTTTTCTGCTTTTTTTTACGTACCCGTATTTTTTTCTCGTAATATACGTAGGATTTCTCGTAATAATTCGTTACTAGAAAGAGCGTTAATATTTAATCCTTATTACTTTATAACCCGCTCTTCCGCCTTCCGGATTGCCTTTCTAGTTTTCTTATAGACTTTATTAAAAGCCTACTTTAAATTAGAATTTCTACGCTAGCGTACTTTATTACGTATTAACGTACCTTTTTATTAATTTTTTTAGAATCGAAAGCTTTTTTTAATTCCATAAATTTAGCGAGCTTTAGCTCGGCCTCCTAAGATACCTTAGCGTAAGCGTAGTAGCCCTTATAGTAATAATAATAGCGATTATCTTTTATACTTATTAATTATCGCGTATACGTAACTTTTCGCGTTTTCTACGCTATTTTATATACCGGTTTTTTTTACGTAAGCGTTCGCTTATAATCGACTAATTCGTTTAAAGCATACCTTATAAGGTAACGCTCTTTCTTCGTCGCCGTTATCGTCGCTACCGTCGTCGCTATCGTCGTCGCTACCGTCGTCGTCGTCGTCGTCGTCGTTATTAATAAAGGGGCGGACTCGGTTTATAGGTAAATTCTATATAGTAAAATTAACGCCTACGTATATTATTATTTAATCGCGTACTTTTTTTTATACTATAAAGTTCGTAAAGCATAACTTACTTTATAAGGTATACTAGGGGAGGAAGGATCGCTACCGCCGCCGGCGGCCGCTAGGCCGTTAGTACTACCTATCGTAATATTAATACTAGCTACGCGGCGGGCGTCGCTAGCCGATAGCTAATCGAAGCCTAGGTTAGTAAGCTCGGTAGTCGAAATCTTAGATATTACTTTAATTAATTAAATCTATCGCGCGCGTATTAAATTTCTTACTTTTTTTAACTACTTTAATTTTATTTCATTAAATAAAAGATTACGAAATATCGTTAGCGTTCGTTTTAAGCTTAATTAGCTATATACGAAGATTTAAACTTACGTAGTTATAAGAAGGATAGGAGGCGTAAAGAAAAAGGAAAGGAAATAATAAAAGTAATTAATAATAAGAAATAAGTTATTTTATTTCGTAAATAAGGAAGCGTTATAAGAAGTCGCGATTAAAGGAAGGTACGGCGTTAGTTACTAAAGAAGTCGCGATATTTTTATACGTTAGGAAGGAGCGGCGTATTTTAGGAGACGCTCCGTAATTAAAGTAAAAGAAACGTATTCTTATATAGAAAATGGTATATCTACGTTACTTTTATACCCGTACTTTTTACTTTTACGTAGTTTAGCTATATAGAGATTAATTAAAGTATTATAAACTATATTCGCTCGATAGAATTAACGTATATACGTTACTTTTATTTATTATTTATAGCGCTAGAGTACGTTATTTATAAGGATATCGTAATAGGTATAGAGGTTAAGTAAATAACTATATACGTAAACGGAGATTTCTATCTTTTAACTTAGCTTTTATGCCTACGAAATATATGTTAGCTTAAATATTAACGAACGTAAAAAGAAACTTACTATTTATTAGTTCCTTATATATCGTATTCCTATAAAACGGCTCGTCGAATATTAGGCCTTATAACGAGGTAATCCTAGAATAAGCGACGTAATTTAACCCTAACGCGAATTCCTTTTCTATAATTCTAACGATAGCGTAAAGAATAATAATACCTTACGCTTTATGGACGGTTATTACGTATGAAATAATTAGGGGGAATTATTTTCGTATATAAGAGATATCCTTATAGTCGAACTCCTAGCGCTCGCGTAGTATTAGTACTACCTTTTTCCCTCGAGAATCGCGTAGCTTATTTTCTTAAGTATTTTTAAATCCGGGCCTATCGTAATCGTCGAAAGCTACTATAACTACTATTAGCGGCTCGCGTTTAGGATTAGCGCTTTACGCTTAACTTATATCGTAAATAAAGCCTTAGGAGTTATTTATAAGCCGTATTTCGGAAGAGATATTACGTAATAATATTACTCGAGCGCCTATATAAAATAATAGCTTAGAGAAGAGGTTACCGGCTAAGTCGCTAGGCGCGTTTAACGTTCCTCGGCCGTAATGGATGACGTATATTTAAATAACTAGCGAATTAAGCGTTACGAAATAGTTAAAATTATACTAAAGTACCTCTTTACGCGTAGAGTATATACGTACCGCTTTTTTAAAGCCGAAACGATCCTACTTAGTTAATATCGCGGTTATTTTCGTAGATAGGAGCTAGAACGACTCGGCGGAAACTTACGCTAAGCGTAATTCGTTTAGCGCTTTTCGAAAAAGCGCTTAATCCTCGCCTACCTAGCGCTAAACTACCGATAGAAATACCGATTTAAAAAAAGCTCTATACGTATTATAGCCGACGAGTTCGTTTACCGAAAGATACGTCGAATTAAGAGTATAGATAAGCTTTAATAATACTAAAGGTAATTAAAAGAAGTCGCCGATTAAGATTATATTTACGCTACTAAAAACCCGCGAGCTACGCGGGAATATTTACCGTAAACGGCGGTTAATAAACCTAAGTATACGTAGCCTTAATATACTCTTTTCGTCGATAATTAAATAGCGAAGGTTAATAAGGCGTCGTTATACTTTAGCGAGAGCGTTATTAAAAAGCGGCTTAAAGCTACGCTTTACGGATAAACGAAGGAAAGAATATATCGTCCTCTTGCGAATGTTATTATTCGTAGCGTTAATTAAGGTAGTAAGGGCTACCGAGTCTTAAGTAAGAGCCTAGCGAACGTAAGAGGCTAAAATCTTAATTAGATACGATTTTTTAGTACCGTTACTACCGTCGATTTAAAATAGGAGCTAGTTTTAGTTACGACTTTATACGTAGCCGAGAACGGTATCGTAAATTAGCCTTTATTTTGGATTTAACGTATTACGGATATCTAAGGGGACGATTTCTTATTCCGGCGTATCCGTAGTACTTATTATTTCGCGTTAATAGGTAGAATCGTAAAAGTAAAGATACTTATATCGGGTTACGTATATAACTTAATCGTAGTTTACGTCGATATCTTTATTCCTAAGTACGTTAAATATTTCTTACGTAGGCGCTTAGTTCGGGAGTAAACGCGTTAATTTAACTTAATCTTCTTCGTTTAAAGCCTGCTTTTCTTCCTTTAAGAGCTCGAACTCCTTTTCGTTAGGTCCGGGAAGGTCGTCGTAATAGTTATTCTCGTATTAATAGGTTATTTAATATCGCGCATATATTAATATATACGTTAGAAATTAAATACCGTTAATTAAAAGTAGTTCGTTTTCGTTAATATACGGATAATTTAATATAAGCTTAACGTAATAAAACGATTCTAGCTCGTTAAGGCCTTTATTTACGCGGTAAATAAGGTAATAATTAAGTATACGTTTTTTTACGTTACGTTAGAAAGGGCGTTAATCGCGAGCGTATAGCTTATTAAAATTCTAAATCGATACGAAGCGAAAAAAGCTTAATTTAATAACCTTTAATACCTTTAAATCGCGCTAGAGATACTTCTTATAAGTATTACGCCCGTTAGAAACGTCGCTAAAGCCGAGTTCGAAGCTATAGTCTTATTCCGTTAAAGGCCGGTAATTTACGTTACGTATAATACGCGAATTAGCTTATAAGGATAGCCTATATAATATATAATAAACCTCTTACGTAAAGTAATTTCGTTTTCCGATTAGTTTATTTATTAACTTCGATATAAAAAAAAGAAGAGGATTTACGCTAGAGACCTTTAGGAGGATCTACTTAGTAAGGACGCTATAACTATCGGTTTTAATTTCCGCTTTAAAGTAATACTTCGTTACGTAATTTATAATAGCTTTTACGTTAGTATAAAGCGAAATATTAATATTAGCTAGCTAAGTAAAGGTAATTATTCGATTATATTAATTTAATTATTCGTCGTTACGTTACGCTTTAAATGATTACTAGGTTTTATACGGCCGTATAATAATCTCGGCGTAAGCGCGGTACGGCCGCGGGAAAAGAAATCGATATTCTAGAGGTAGTAAAACGTTATTACCTTATTTTACTTTTCGCGTTTTACGCTTATTAATACGGAGGTAATATACGGGGGAATATTTATAGCGTTAGTAACGATTAATAATTTAAGAGAGCTAACGAAACGACGGCCGCGCGTTTAAAGGCCGTAGTACGAGCGGATTATCCTTATTTTAATTTAAGCGCCGGCGCGGCTCTGGGTTAACCGTAAAGGCGTAGTAGCTTTAAATGCGAGCGTAGTTTTAGCGCTATTCGAAAGAAGTTATATTAAGTAACGGACTACCTTCGAATTAAAATAGCCCGTAGTAATACGTACTTTTACGCCTTTAAAATTCGTATCGATATTAATAATCGCGTAAGCCGAACTTCTTAACTAAGACGATATTACGGAAGAGCTAATTCCGAGCGTAAAAATGCTACGCGGTAATATAGGGATTAGTTTTTAATAGCTCGCGGAATAAGCGTATGCGTTAGATTTTAAGGGAGGAGAATTATTCTTAAAAGCGTAGTATATATTAAAAAAGGTTCCGCTAATAAAGATTAATAAGGCTTAAGGTAAGAAAAGCGCTAGGAATCCCGAGGTACTTAGTAAAAGTAACGTACTCGCGTTTTCGTTTAAATTAAAAAGGCCGCGTATTCTTTAAATGAATTATAGCGCGCGTAATACTTCTTAATAACGCATTAGCCTCGGTATTCTTAAGGTTTTTTAACGCTTACTCGAGATCCTACCGCGTAATTTATTATTACTAGGCGCCTTTTCTTCTTACGAAATATTTACTTATTACTATCGCTTATTAACGTATAAGTATATTAAGCGCGATAAAGCGGAAAGTAGGGTATTACGCGAATCGATTATCGCGTTAACGTATAGCGTATTATATTTAATCGTCGAAATCGATCTTACGTTACTTTAGATATATAAATTTAGCTTCTTTACGCGGAAATAAGGTAGGAAACGCTAGTAAAAATAACGTAATTAAACGTATAAATTCGTTAATAAAGGTCTAGCAAATAAAAGGCATGAATAAATAATAAGTACTTATAAGCTTAACGGGATAACCTTTAAAAATAAGCGTCCCCTTTAATTCTAACTTTAAACGCTTTATTTTAATTTACTTTAACGTAACGTTTAGTATAATAGATTTATCGTATTAAGCTTCTAATCCTTTTAAGTCGCCTTCCGTAATTAGGCTAGTTTAAAGCGCTTAACCGTTATCGACGAAGTTTTAAATATTAAGCTACTTAAAAACATTATCGTCGTTAGGTAGTTCTTTTAACGCGGCGCGATTTTATTTAAAGTCTTTATAACCCGGGTAATTATATTTTAAATACTTAAGCTATATTTCGATAACGCGCCGGCGTACTTTAAACTTAGTTCGAAACTAGGTTATTTACTTAAGATTTTACGCTAGCTCGCGTAGGCGTAATAAAACGATATTAAGATACTAAGGGAGGAGGGGAAGATGGTCGTATACTTTATTAACGTTACGTATAAAATATACGACGTAACCGCGATATTTATATTATTAGCCGCGGATTATAAGTATATTTATTACTACGTAAACCCGCGTAATAAGTAATTCTTCGATTATTATTAGCTCTAATAGTAAATTAAAAAAAGGAAGGATACCAAAGTTAAGATAGTTATCTACGCTAAAAAAAAAGGGCTTATTTACGCGCCTCTTTTAGTCTTTATTACGATAACGCTTATAAATACTTACGGTATTTAAATCCATATTAAATTAATATTCCCCGTAACGACTATAGTATTTACGTCGTTCCTACTTTAGCGCTAATTAAAACCGTATTAGAATCGCGTAATCGATATCGCTAACCGCGTTAACGTCGAGGTTTCTTTCCTACCGTAGCGGCTTAATTATAAACGAGCTTTAACGATTAAAAACGTTATTAAGTTCTTAAGAGCGAGCGGTATTTAAGGGGGAGGTTTAATTAAAAGGTCGGCCTAGGCGCGGTTACTTTCGCGTTAGTTTTAACGTAAACGCGCGTAGAGGTCGGCCTCGACGAATTAACTCTCGCGTTTATTTTAAAGCAGGCGTACGTAAAGGTCGGCTTCGACGAGCTAACTCTCGCGTAAGTGCTCGAGGAGGTCGCCCTCGGGGCGCTAGTTCTAGCGTTATCGTTAAATTCGCTAGTTATAATTATACTATTAATAAAGAAAGTAAAGAAGTAGGAGAAGGATTACCGTTATTACGTCGGGTTATCTTATACCGTCTTCGAATTTACTATCGTAATACGTTACCTACGCGTAAAGCTACTTCTTTAGCGCTTAAACTATATACCCGAGGTTACGCGGTAGTAAAATATAATCGATAATAGATAACATTTAGTCGCGGAACCGGTTAAAGCGTTTTAAGCGTAGGATAAGATCGGAAATCCTATGTAAAATTAACGGTAGAATATAAACTATTAATAAAAAATATTAACCTAAGTAGGACGGCGTATATTTTCGCGGTAAGAGAGATAATTTTTTATAGATATAACGTAATTTCGTAGATTAATAAATTACTCGATGGCTTAAATTCGTTCGTATATACGACATTCTTTAACTTAAAGCGACTTTATCTTAATTAAACTAAAGATAGATTATAAGGATAAATTATAAGATACGGAAAAGAGTAAAAATTATATAAATAGGAGTAGAAACATATAAATAAACGCGTTAGTAAATATACGTAAGGATCTTAAGAGGTAATAAGGATATGCTAAATAAGAAAAACTCTATTTATCCCGCCGTTTTTATTAGGTATACGTATTTTTAGGGACCCATAGCGCGTTTTTTAGCTAGTAAAAATAGAGTTTCCCCTAAATGATACCCCTTTATAGGGGTATTTATAGGGGTATTTAACTCCGTAATTAATCAATATAACAGGGGGTTATGCGTATTATAACTATCCTCCGGATAGGATTACCTTTAGTATTACCGTGCCGGCACTGGATCGATACTGTGACGCATAGCCTACTAATCAACTACCTCCTTTCCATGTGCACTCGAACATAGTGGCCTTGCCTCCATTCGGATTAATCCCGCGATTCTCTCTCGATACGAAAAACATCAGTGCGAGCCTCCCAGCACGAGTATCCCAGCACAACTCATAAATCCAACAACCAAGCATCGTCAAGGAAGATAAGCCGGTCAAGGTTCCCCGTTTGTTTCAGGGGACGATACGAGAAGTCTTGCTATTCTTCGCGCCGGCCTTGCGAGGATGGACAAGAAGAAAATTGTCTACCAACTAGACACCCCTTATTCGGTGGTACAATGGTATAGACGCCTCCCCCACAGCCTGGCTTAGTAGAAGGGACAACGATACTAATCGATAGGTGATAGGCCCCACGTGGCGCTCGAACATCAAGAGACAATTTTAGAGCTTCTATGCGCGTGCGTCGCCACAGGGAATGGGTTCCCAACACGTGAACCCTTCTAGACCCGTCCAACGGCAGCTTCCACGTAGCTCACCATACTAACGGCTCGGGCTAGTCTCCTTACACCTCTCGGCGAGTATCGCGCAGAGCACACCCAGCCATCGAAGGGCAGACGCGATAGAAAGCGGAAACGCCGCGCTCCATCCTCTCGTCCCCAGGATCTGCCTCCTCCTCCCATACCGGAGATCAAGTCCTATATAGATGTCGGCCTGTCAGCCGTCACGCGCTCTTTACAGGAGAGCGCCTCGAGGGGACCGGATGTGGAGTTAAGCCCGCCGCCCGAACCTCGGGACCAAGGCCCAGCTAGCCGCCCTTATTCGGCCATCTTCGTGGCCCGGTCAGGACAACCGACCGTGCTGAACGGTCATCTCCCTCAGATGGTCGCCGCCGCCTGCGAGGCGCAGCAGGGGCAAGCGCCCATCCGGCTCGTCGGCCTGTCGAAGGCGTGTGGGGATCGGCTGTCCGAGTCCCTGGGTGTGCCTCGCGTTTCCTGCATCGGCCTGCGCGAGGAGGCGCCCAAGTCGAAGGCGCTGGTCGAGTTTACGAGAAGGCATGTCCCTGTCGTCGAGGCACAGTGGCTAGAGGAGGCGAGGCAAGGCGAGCACAAGGGAACGAATATCAACGCGGTGGAGACATGCATAGGTCGTAAGAAGCAACCAAACCGGGGGCCGCCCAAGTCATAATGCAGAATAACAGGGCCCACCGAAGCTGATCGAGGCTTTGGATTCTCTCTCCCTCGAAGGTGGTTGCTCGTCAGCGCCCCGCCCAGGGTTTCGGTGCTGGGAAGGAAGAAGCATAAGGGTTGATTTGTAGCATGCTACAGAGAGTCTTGTCAGGTCTAGCTAGATCTATGTAGCCTTAGCGGAGAGGGCTGATAGAAATCCCCGTGGTGGGCAATCTTGCCGACAACTTTGTTTGCGTGCGGGTGATTGCCTACCCCTGGGCTCTATTTTTCTTTGCCTTTCCCTTTTAGAGAAGCAGAGAAACATCTCATGTTCGCCTTTGTCTCCTTGTAGCACTCTATGGATATAACTGTTCCTACACAAGCTGCTAGTTACACGATAGGGTTAGGAAAGAGAGAGAGTTGTTACGTGGTAATTTAATCACACATATAGAAGGAAACCATTCTGCCTCTCAGCCGTAATGCTATACTCTGTTCGAAGTATCTCAGCTAACCCCGTCGCCTCCAGATCTAGTCGGTTGCCTGGTGAATGAGGAGGCCGGGGGAAACTGCTCCCCTTGGCGATATACAAGGAAGGAACAACGTTTTCAGTACTGTGGGAAGTTGCTCAGGTGATGTGCAGTTTCCAGATATGTAATCCAGGCGCCTGGCTATAAAATCCCACCAATTCTCCTGAGGACTTAACGTATTGTCCTCCAGTTTTCTCCTCCCCATCGACGTCGGACAGCTCTCTCAACCATCTGTCCAGCCGGTATTCTTCTCTCTCCAGTTCCTGCCATCGAAGACGCCCACCCGTTTATCTCATCTATCTGTCTCCGACCCTCCAGTGGTCAGGTATAGAGAACGTGGGTTGGCATAAGCGTTTGGTTTCTCCCCTGTCGCCTTTCTAACTGTCAAACAGGGTGTGTCTAGCCTGTTATCAAGCCGGGCAATTCGCCTTAACCCCTGAAGGCGGTGCCGTGCTAGGCGTAATAAGCAAAAAGCTAGACGATAGCAGTTTTCATATTGTCTACTCAGGTTGATCTCGAGGAAGAGGCAGACAAGCGCAGTTCCAGCAAGGGAGGCCGCCAAACCCGGGTTGATGATTTGAAGAGCTACATACCGTTGTGTGGTTTACGTTTTCGCTGAACCCCTAAGATCGAAGGGATTCCTTTCCCCTTTAGTTGACCTCACCAACACATAAACCACATCACAGAAATGTTTGGGCAAGGAAATCTGGAGGATGCGAAGCAGTTGCGGGCCACCTTCTCCCGAACCAGACCGGGAAAAGGCAGCCAGGGGCACAGTAGGGGTGTTGGTGGAAATACTGGATTAGGAAGCAGTACCCAGAGCCATTCTAACCCCAATCAGCCATCGCAACCTCGACAGAACATAGTACAGAGACACCTACAAAGACCATCCCAACCCCCAATTAGCCAACTATCAAAGGAACCCGGAGCGCCTTGTACCACCCGAGAGGGCCAACCTACCATACCCACCCTAAACCAACACCCCCCTTCTACACATCCTAGGAACACACGGTCATCTGGCCCAGCCCAGGAAGGCGTTCGAGAGGCAGTAAAGGACCCGTCTAGAGACCCTAAGGGCAAAAATGGTACTGGAAATTCAGTTTCAACCAGCCATGCTACGCCAGCACCCTCGCCTTCGGAGATGCCACAACGACAGCAGGCGGCATCACGGCCGGTCAGTGCTGATCTCCTCGGTCTTGAGTTTCTCTCGCTAGAGAATCACCTCGTGGCCCCTGAGCCTAAGATCTCACAACGGGGCCAAGTTTCACTCCTCGATTCTGATAACGATAATGGAAGCATCAATGTACCCGTACTAGAAGTTGCGAACCTGGAAAACCCTCAACAGGTCGAACAAGCCAAGGCCCCCGAAGCCGAGGTCTCCCAGATGGGTTCCGAGAAGACCGCCCCCAGCCGGAGGTCCTGTGGCACAGTCAAGTTCCCTGGCCTCAGCGCCTCGAGATGGAACACTAACGACCCTGAACCTAATGTTTATTCCGCACCAGCCGGGGGAGGACAAGGACTAGGCCTCAGTGGCGGTTCCAATCGTAGTCGTGGACATTTCGCAGGCGATATCGTGACAAGCGGTACCTCAAGCGGACCAGGTCTGTCCAGCTCCCGATGGGCATCTTAGACATTACATATTCAGGCCATAATAACGCAACAGGCGTCAATGTCAATGTTGGCATTGTTGGGCCCTCTCTGCTCCTCCTGTGACACCTCGGGAGCAGAGAAGCTGGGCGAACTCCTGAGAACATGGGAAACGTGATCGTTACTTGACTAAAGCTATGAGTTACCTATGTGTCCGGCCAACGCAAGTATTCCCTCCCTGCTTCCTCTTCAATACGGTGCGCCGGTCTATGGATCTGCGCTTGAGAGTTCCCCTATTAACCCTGGGGCGTCTAGGGAGCATCGCCCCTAGATCGATGTCTTGCATTTTCTCCCGTCGTACCTGCTGTCGTGGCTTGTCTTGTTTCATCAGCATGCCACGGTATCCAAGGATTACCGGTCAATCTGACTGCCTTAACAATATGGGTACGTAGTCCCCGTCCCTACGTTGATTGCTCCTTTCCTTTTCTCTTTCCATTTCTTCTTCAAAAAAGTGACGACGACCTGTTCCGCAGGTGTCAGTCCTGTTCCCTAGCTGATTTCTGCGTGCGACTACATGGTGATAGTCTAATACCCTGAACAGACCTCGAAACCGGCATATGCACAAGGGTCTCACCTCGACACTCGGTGTCGCCAACTCGGCCCTTGCCATCTCTCTCGCCTTGCTCACTTTCCTCACCGCTACCCTGTGCGACAGAGATCTGTGGAAATAACCCATCTCGGGGAGAGGGGTGACACGGTCCTAGAATACCCTTCTTTTCTGCACTTCGCTTCTTCTCACCTGCCACCAGGTTCCATGCCGTGGTTTTTCTGCTATACGCAGTTGTACTGGAGGATAGGGTAGCGAACCCGGGAACGACGACGGCTTATGCATGCGCTGTCTCGGGAACGTAGGTAGACAGAAGATGGTATGGAAAATGCGATCAAGGTTGTAGATATTGCCAAGTGCGGTAGTAGGGGTTGATGCTTGTGCCCTACGAGATGATTTGCTATATTTTGGTTGTCGCTATTGTGGGTATCCATCTATCTACGTATATGCATAAGCCAGACACGTAATAGATAAGCCATTCATACAATTCCCTCCTCCCCCTTTTCTCTCCAGAGCGCATCTTCCTCCCTCGTCTCCCACCGTCGTGACTTGTAAGCCTCTCACCTCTCGGACACGATCCCCTCGATGATCCGCAGCCCCTCGCGGACGTGGGGGCAGTAGTGGCGACGGAGGATCTCGCCCTCCCACACGGTGGCGGCGAAGGGATTGCTGCCCTCGACGGTGGCGCTGCGGGGGTTGTAGGTGCCGTCGCCGCGGCGCTCGTCCGTGTTCCACAGGGCGGCGAGGGTGCCGCCGGTGCGGCGATGGGCGGCGCCGGACGAGGAGAAGGAGGAGTGGGCGTTGGCGACGTCGGCGACGAGCCCGAGGACCGCCCGCGCCGACTTCTCGGGCAGCTGGAGCGACGCCGTGGCGAGCTGCTTCGCGAACGCGGCGAGCCGCGACGGCGGCACCGACCGCGCGTTCCACCGCGGCAGCAGCACCGCCGTCAGGCTGCGGATCAGCAGCACTGTCGTCGTCTGCAGGTTGACGACGCGGTCCCTGCTGCTCGCCGACGGGCGCGAGTCCGGGTCCGGCAGGCGCAGCGACCGCGCGCCGAGCTCGAGGTCCGGGTTCAGGCAGAGCGGGAGCAGCGCCTGGTACAGGTGCGTCGTGAAGAAGGAAAGGTCGAGGTGCAGGTCCGCGCGCGCGTTATGCGCGTCCTGGCCCTCGAGCAGGGCGAAGGCGGTTGTGGTACAGAGGAGAGCCTCGCGGGTGGGGTTGCGGCCGGTGCCGTCGTCATCGTCGCCGTCTTCCTCCTCTTCCTCACCCCGGTCTTCTTTCTGAACCTCGTCTCCGTTCTCGTCGTCCTCCTCAAGCGCGTTTTCGCTGTGCCGGATGAGGTCCTTGAGCGCCTCGAGAAGGTCGCCGAAGAAGTCCTGGTTGATGAGGTGCGCGTACTTGGCCAGGCCCTCGAGGACGACGCCCATGAGGTGCGGCACGCGCTGTTTCAGGATGCGGAAGTACGTCGCGAAGACGAGCTTTAGGGTCTCGCCCTCCATCCTCTCCCGCTCCTCGTGGCTGACGAGCGCATCTGCCTGCTCCATGTCCTTCTGCAACGCCTTCTGCTCTTTGATGTGCTTGCGCTCTCGTTTCGTCCGGAACACCTTCTTAAACTTGGGTTTCTTGGTCTTGGGACCGTCCGTAGAGCGGTCCACGGCGTCCGTGGACGCTTTCCCCGAGAACTCGGAGAGGATACGGAGATGTAGGAAGAGCGAGAGGACGCTTTCATCGACCTGGTACTCCCTGACCTTCATCATCTTAGAGAGGAGCGAGACGACTTCCATAGAAGGCCTTCCTTCCTCATCCTCCTTGAAGAGTGTTTCGATGGCCCTAAGACATTTACTAAAGTCGTCGTCGACATGTCTCCTGCCAAAGAAAGCTAGCTTTCCGACGAGGATTTTGATAAGCTCGCCTCGGAAGTTGAAATGCGGCACGGCCGTCAGTAGTGTACAAGCACAGGTTATGGCGAGACTCGCGATGTCGTCTCCACCCGCCCGATAACGTCCCGCCTTCGCGTACTTGGCGAGGTCGTTTATGTAGGCCTGGTAGCCCGAAACTAGAGCCTGTTCGAATGTCCGCAGCGTCTTCACATCTTTGGATAATTTCTCCCCCGGTGGAGCCTCCGAAGCAGGTCGTATCCTGTAGCCCGGTATAACATCCTTATATACGGCTAGTTGGGTAGCCAGTGTGAGTTTCCGAATAGCAGGAATCTTGGACTGGCCAATCCTGGATAGAGCTTTGAATGCGCCGGCGTTCTCCTCGGGGTTTTCGTTGAGCAGAAGAGCTATCTTCGCCAGCTCCTCCTTCGCTTCGAGTATCTGTTGACGCTCGGGTATCTTAGGCTTTTCCTCAGCTTGCCTTCTCCTCTTTCCTTCCTCGTCGTCGTCGTTAGACCCATTCTCCGCACCTTCGAGCCAGTCATCGTCGCTCTCAACGGATTTCAGATCGTCCACAGGTGCGGAAACATGCTGTATGCGCCCGTCCGGAAGTTTGAGCGGGAGGCGGTTGTTCTCCTTCTCCTTCTTCTTGGACTTGCGCGCCCTCGCCTCATAGTTTTGTTCCAGGTTCCAGCTGGCTGCATTCGTCAGAAATGCCTTTTGGATTTTCGCGTTGGATTTTTTGTGACGCGGGCCCTCGTCTTCGTCCGACTGGGGTGGGGTCAGCCTCCTCTTTTTCGAAGGTCGTGAAGCCATTATCACGATCTTATATGGTATGGGGGGATGGCAATGGAGTCGTTATCGTCAAGACCGATCCGGGACAGGTTGAGCTCTCGTAAATTTCAAGAAACCATGGAGACACTTATCTTATCAGACCCATTTGTATGCGATTAGCCAATCGGAATATGTATCCAGCGGGTAAAACTGTACCTAGGTACCCAGTACTTTTCTCACCGCCAAAATTTACCACCGGCAGAATTTTCTCGATCTTGTCGCGAAGCGCAAAAAAAAAGGCCCCTCCATCTCTACTACTGCTACATAACTGCAGGTACAACTGTTCTCTGAACAAGTCAATCTCGAGAAATCTACGTCCTCGGAAGGCGACAACGACGGAGGCGAAAGCCACAGACACCACCAGCGATGCGGCCCCTAACGGAGCAGGAGACGAAGGTCCTCTTTGAGAAGTTGGCAAACTACACGGGCAGCTCCCTCAAGAACTTGATCGCCCCCCTCGACGACTCGCCCGACGCAGACCGATACGTCTTCCGCCTCAACCGAGACAGGGTATACTATGTGTTGCTCTCCGTCGCGAACCTAGCCACGTCGGTAGCGCGGGATAACCTCGCCTCTCTGGGCATCTGCCTCGGTATGCTCCCCGTCTGCTCTTCGGCGCAGGTCGAAGGAGGACCCCAATAGCCGAGAGGGAGGGACAGACTGGGCCTAACCATTCTCTACAACAGGCAAGTTCACCAAGTCGGGCAAGTTCCGGCTGCATATCACGGCGCTGCCCATCCTGGCGGAGCACGCGCGGTACAAGCTGTGGATCAAGCCGAACGGCGAGATGCCGTTCCTGTACGGCGGCCACGTTGTCAAGGCCCACGTCGGACGCTGGTCCGATGACTGCCCCGCCCACCAAGGCGTCGTCGTCTACAGCATGACCGACGCCCCCCTAGGCTTCGGCGTCACCGCCCGCTCCACCGCCGAGGCCCGCCGCCTCGACCCAACCGCCGTCGTCTGCTTCCGCCAGGCTGACTGCGGCGAGTATCTCCGCGATGAGGATACCTTGTTCGCCGGTTAGACCTCGATCAAGACTGAGAGGAGGAGAGGGGAGGATAATAGAGGAAGCAGGGGAGTGAGGGGGGGGTCCAATCGCCGATAATTCTTCCCTTCTAATGTTTGATACGTATCTAAGTGCAGAGTACGGTGCCCCCGGTTGCGGGTGTATGAAAAAAAGGAAAGGTGTAGCGGGAATGACGGACAAAACACGGCCTTTGAACCTGAAAACAGGGAAAGGCGAGGAGTTTTGGAATCGGCTCGAGTCTATATGCATTTTGGGAGGCGTTTGGTGTGATCTATAAATGGATATTTTATCTACACAACATGAAGTCTTTTCTCCTACGAGACGGCGCACTCTCCCGCCAATTACGGAATCTCTTACCCCTTTTGAAAGTCAGGGGCCATCAAACTTATTTTCCCTTCACTTATACCGAAATCCCGTAACCGTGTGTTCTCAGCCCCGTTCGTCTTTTCTCAAAGCCGTGTTAGCTTCGTGGTCTAGTTCTCATCGCTCATCTGCTGAATGGCCGGCGGCCCCTCGGTCCTCATCTGCTGTACCGTGCACAGGTGTGACAGGCCGGCTTTCTCTACGCAGTAAGCTAATATTCTCGCGGTCGGCCACGTATTCGCTATCGGCGTAGCCTAGGAGCGATCCGATCTGGGTGCTCCGGTGCCCCTTGATCCGAATGATCTCGGGTGCTGAATAGTTGACCAACGCGCGCCCCACCTCGACCGGCGTACCGCCCCAGACCTTTCCGTCCGGGCCAGGCTCCGATAGCCTCTCGACGACAACGAGGCGCACGGCTTCTTGCTGGGCGAAGTTCCCCTCCACGTCGAGCACACCGACTGGAAGGAGTCCGGCCTTGTCCGAGAGCGCGTGGTGGGCGCCGACGTCGATGTAAATCGTACCGTGAGGTGCGAGACCGTGAAGGATCCAGAAGTACCGATCTCGGATGGGTTGCGGGAGCGGAAGGAATCGGGTATGCAGCGGCGGCTTCTCCAGTGCATCGAGGGCTAGCGACGCCGTCGATCGCGATAGCGGATCCTCCACCTCGTCTCCCGTCACAGGGGTGTGTTGTAACGAGCCATACAACTTGAGAGCTTGAAGGTACCGGACAATTTTGATGATGTTACCGGGCGACGAGGACCGGGTGATGATAGTGGTGACACCTGCTGACGTTGCCAGCCGAGCAGCGACAATCTTAGTGCTCATGCCACCAGTCCCCAGAGCCGACCCGGCGCTAGACACTAAATCCAGGTTAGTTCTACGGTTTACCAGGTTTCCTGCTGGTTAGACTACTCACCATCTGCGCGGATCGTGCTAATATCCTCGACTTCTTCGATGGGTTGAGCGTCGGGATTCGTTCGCGGGTTCTTGTCGTACAAGCAGTCCACGTCTGTCATGAGAAACAGGAAGTTGGCGTGCACCATGGCTGCAGTGATGGCCGAAAGCGTGTCATTGTCGCCAAACTTGATCTCGGCAACAGCCAGGGTGTCGTTCTCATTCACAATAGGTATGACACCCATCTCCAGGAGCTCCATGATGGTGTTTTGGGCGTTTAGGTATCTCGTCCGCTGCGGTAAGTTAGCTATTAGCAGAAGCATCTCGGGGCCCTAAACTGGAAATCCTCTCGACTCACATCCGCGATATCAGTTCTCGTCAGAAGAATTTGTGAGATAGGCTGGCGGAGATGTCCAAAGAGGCTATCCCAAAGACTCATCAAGCGGCACTGGCCGATTGCCGCCAGAGCTTGCAGCTTAGACAAGTGCTTGGGTCTCTTCTCGACATCCATACGCCTCAGGCCGACGCCAATGGCGCCGGACGACACAATAATGACCTTGTGTCCATCCTTGCGCAGCTTGACGGCCGTCTCGACGATCAGCGACAAGATTGACAAGAGTGGCTCATGGGTTTTCTCATCGACTATGGAACTGGTTCCTGTGCACGTTAGCTTGGCTCTGATAGCCCACGCATACAAATAGTTGCAGGTAGGAAAGACTGGGGGGTGATTCGGTGCCCGACATACCTAACTTAATGACGACAACGAGAGGCTTGGGGCTCTTCATGTCTGCGATGGCGCCGACGACATCAGTAACACGACCTACAGGAACGCAAAGGAAGCAGCCCCTTTTCAACCAGTGGAATTGTCACGTACAGGGCGTCGCACGCCCCGAATCTGTCATGGCGTGGTTTACACACAGGGCGTGCCCATCGCTCCAGGGATGGTTGCGGGTGTCCGTATTGCTGAGTCCCCTGACTGAACAAGGAAGGGATTGCTAAGAAATGAAACCCTCTCATTGGCTATCGGCCGAGTTCGGAACCTGATCTGTAGCGTAGCGTGGGATATCGGCATACAGGGGTGCCGCCGAGTACATTAGGCCAGTTTATTCTCTTAAAGAACATGCATTAATCAGGTATCTTATGTAAGTTATCTCCGAGATACGTTCACCGCCTTGGACCGACCAAGCCGTAAGCGTCTTCCGCTCTACAACGGCCCGCCCGCGGTGACAAGAAAAGACCAATTCTTACCAGGGGGATTGACAAGACCCGGCAGACCGTCCGAGTGGATATGCTTCCTTGCAACGCCTGACACGGGCTACTAACACATCCAACTACAATATTTCGAAAGCGGATGCGCACGTGGATCTTCGTTATACCTATCTAAGAGTCTCCCCCTCAGCTGGGCCACCCTCGTCCACGCCCGACTCGAAAGCGGCAGCTCCCCGGTACTAGATAGCCAGCGCCACACCCTCGTTCAGGTCGCTCAGCTCCGCCCGTCATGTCGTCGCAATCCGAGACGCCTGCGAGCCCGCCGCCCGCCCCCTCGTCCTCTTCCTCGCCGTCCCCGTCCGCGCCGGGGTCTTCCCCCGGCCCGTCCTTCCCGCAGATCGTCAAGAACGACCCGGCGCGGACCGGCTTCGACCCGAAGACGTCGTGGTGGATCAACTACTTCAAGATCCTGACGGGCAACATGACGACCGAGGGCGCGTTCCACTTCCGGGAAGAGCACTACCGCGCGCGCGAGGCGGAAGACTGCCAGCGGTGCGAGCAGTACCGCGACTGGACGTTCGCGCACTCGCCGATCGTGCGGTTCATGCGCGAGAAGGTGGCCGAGCTCGACGGCGAGCTCAACGCCCGCAACGTCGTCTGCCGCCGCTGCCCCGCCCGCCTCACCGAAGACGGCCAGGTGCACCGCGCCGGCGGCGGCTTTAGCCCCGACCACGGCATCCTCATCTGCGCCAACGAGATGCGCAACCGCAACCACTTCGAGGACACCGTCGCCCACGAGATGGTCCACGCCTGGGACCACCTCCGCTGGAAGGTCGACTGGGCCGGCGACAAGGACCTCAAGCACGCTGCTTGCACCGAGGTACGTCATTGCACCCCAACTCGCTGACCGTATGCATGTACGGAGGGATGTTGCTAACACGAGGACATGACAGATCCGCGCTTCCATGCTCAGCGGCGAGTGCAGGTGGACGAGGGAGACCTTCACGAGGGGCAACTGGACACTTACGGAGCAGTTCCAGCGCTGCGTACGCCGGCGCGCGGTGCAGTCCGTACTAGCGCGGCCGCGATGCAAGGACGAAGCCCAGGCGCTCAAGGTCGTCAACCAGGTCTGGGATTCGTGCTTCTCCGACACGCGGCCGTTCGATGAGGTCTACCGATGAGGAGAGAATATTTGAAAAAGATGTACAGAAAAACGCGGAAATAAGAGACAATCCAGGAAAATAGACGCTTACGGGGCGGTTCGCTCGAATGAGCTCTGTATTTTTAGCTGTAGCCCTGCATCGCCACAAGCATTGTCCTGATCACATCCTACCATACACCCTTTCAGGTGTAGATAGGGGTCGCTGTACCCATACCCAAGCGAATTGGCAATTGACACCAGGTTCAACCTAGGCAGAGCGAGGCGAGGCGAGAAGGTCATGTGTGAATGCATATATTCTGCTGTCATAGGACCTAGAAACGGCAAGAAACGCAACGGCAACGATAAAAAGAGCCCGACCCCCTTTGCTCCGATGATGCATAACCCCCCCTTACGAAACCAGATGTGCCAAAAGTCCGTACGCTTGCTCTCCTGCCTTCTCTGTCTGCGCATCTGTGTCTGTCCGATCTGTCTCCTGCTCTCCCTTCCTCGCTCCTTCACCCACTGCCGCTCTCTATGCAAGTTATTTTGAAGTGTAATATGCGGCGCCGCGTCACCGGCCTCGTATCGCGTCTCCCGATTAGTGGTAGCATCCCTCATCGGCTCATCAATGCGATCTCTCGCGGTTGGCCGCCCGCTCCCCCTTGACACAGTGCTTGATGATCCAGGGGTGCGTCTGCACCTGATCCAGCGGGATCCTCTTCTCGGGATCGAGAACCAATAGCTGAGCCGCACGTCAGCGAGGCGTTCTAGGTACGAAAACAAAAGAGAGAGCCTTCCTAGGCTACATAGATATAGACGCAGGTATGCGTGTTTTGCAAACTCACCTTCTTGATAAGGTCCCGCGCCTCGGGGCTGACGAACGAGGGGATGGTCATGTCGGCCTTCGTGATCCGCCTCTGGGTCATGACGGGCGTGTCCTCGAAGGGGGCCTCGCCGACGAGGAACTCGTACGCGAGGACGCCGAGGCTCCAGAGGTCGACCTTCTCATTGTACCAGTTGTCGGAACCGCCAGAACGCAACATCTCCGGCGGAAGGTAGTCGAGGGTGCCGCACATGGTCTGGCGGCGGCTGTTGGGCGCGTGGACGCTCCAGCCGAAGTCAGAGATCTTGAGCTCGCCGTGAATGCCCATGAGTATGTTCTCGGGCTTAATGTCACGGTGGATGACGTGTTTACGGTGCAGATACCGCAGGGCGCTCGCCATTTGCGCGATATACTGCGAGGCCTTCCACTCGGGGAACCGGCTCTCCTTGCGCAAGTGCTTGTATAGCTCGCCCTTGCAAGCGAACTCGAGGATTAAGAAGACTCGCTTGCTGTCGTGGAAGTGTCCGAATAGCTGCAGGATATTGGGGTGCCGCAGGTTGCTCTGGATCTCGATCTCGCGCCGCACTTGCTTCTCGACCCGCCCCTGTTGCAGCTCGCTCTTATGCAGCACCTTGAGTGCGCAGATGAATCCGCTCGTCCGCTCCCGCGCTAGGTAGACTCTCCCAAACTTTCCTTTGCCCAGCGGCCGTCCAATCTCGAACATGCCGAGGTGGAATTGCTTAGGCTGGTATACGAACTGCTCGACGGCAGCCTGCGTCTGTTCCTCAGACGTCCATGACGACGACGACGACGAGCTGGCCCCTGGGAGGGGTTTTCTGGCAGGAGAACCCGGCTGGGCAGCAGCCGTAGCAGAAGCAGCGCCCTTACGTTGTGCAGCCTGTGACGGGAGAGTGACAGCGGTGACGGTGTTGCTGCTCTGTGTTTGCAAGGCGACCTTGAACAGATTCGGCCGACTTGCGCTCTGCGAGAGCTGGGTTGTTGCCTGTGTACACACACGAAAATGAGCTCACCCCTCTAGTAGAAACCTCGGCTGGCAATACTCAATGCTCTACCGACTCGACGCACTTTTGATTTCTGAGATGGGTATTCATTCTCATCGTTAACAGACATACGCTCGAGACGAGCCTCGAGAGTTCGGGTTGCCATGGCCTTTCTGTATCGTGCCTATTCGATGATTGGATTGGATAGGTCTAGTAGTGATCTGGTCTCGATGTGATCGGTGGGGGGTATATACCACGTAGACCGTTGTTGCGGTGTGGTATTTTTTGGGGGAGAAGAATGAGTTAAGGTACCTACATGGAGGAGAGAGGATTTGTGTTGTGTTTAGGTGTCCCCGGCCTGTTGCACGGCAACCACTGAGCTCCAGATCTTGGGCTTGGCATACTAAGTAGCTGGTACGCATAGGGCTTAGCTTCAATTGGAGAGGCTGGGCCATTTTGCGGGGCGCTGAGCATGTAGTAGGTACCTCCCCCTTAGATGGACATTTTTCATATGCGGTCTCTAGCCCGGGTGCGTTCCTAGACCTACCTAGGGTCTTGAGATCAATATTACCACCAGCAGGAGAAGGGTAGGAATGCTCAAAATGTCAGCGCGCATGGCGTATGCAGGCACCAGTATTACTAAGAAGCCTACCTCGTGCTCCGGTTCCTCGACGCTAGGGCGGGCGTGGTCCAAGGAGCGCGGCTGTGCAGCATGGGCGGACCGGTTCGCTCGTCGCAAAGCCTGTTCTCATCTCACGGCAACCGAGGAAGTCTCTGAAGGCATGGGAGATCTAGGTCTACCTTATCTCTTCAGATTTGTCCTCTCCCCGCCCGCCCTTCCTCCTACCCTGCCTGCCATATGCTCGCTGCGCAAGGTACAGGTACGGTAGGCAAGCCGGTAAACGCGAGCGGTTGAACAGTGTCCAGAGAAGGTTCGCCGTCGTGCTCTCTACCCTCGTACTCATATGTCCCCGGGGTACGGTTACCGGCAAGGCCGGCTCGCCGTTGGGACGCGGTGCAGGAGAGGGAAGTCAAGCTAGGTAGTTTGAAACCGCAGGACGTTTATGTGAAATTGGAGTGGCCTTAGGTACCTCTCTTAACTCACGGATTCCTGTGGCGGTTTTGCACCTTGATGAGGACTACCTAGGTACCTGCGTCACCTACCAACCTGGGAAGACAGGACGTGGTACCCACGTGCTAGACGATGTACCTGCGTGGCCAGAGCAGAGTGCCAACTTCACTTACTACGCAGGTTCGAAGACGACGGTTGAGGCTCCGCAGGATACAGTAGGAACAGAGCCCCCAGTTTCAACCCAAAATAACAATGCATGGCAACGCTGCACCCTCGCCTGCCACCTGAGAAGCTCAAAGCCGCATCCTCAGATGATCAGCTTCCTCCTACATCTCGCCGTCGTCGTTGCCGCTGCCTCCAACCTACCGTACCTGAACCGGGTCCGCGCGCATAGGAACCTTCTGCCTCTGTTCGTCCTTGTTCCTGTATGATCAATTCGCGCTGCTTCGTCCTCGCAACGGCTCGGGTTTGCGTTTATAGCTTGGACCGAGTCGAGGTTATCAGCTCGTTGCGCGTCGTCGTCGGCATGGCCGCAGATTCGACCGCCAGGTTAAGAATTGCCGGTACCAACAGCTGTGACGAGCGGCAGATAGATAGTCGTGATGTCAGAGACGTCCAAACCTAGCCGTTGCCGTGTTTGAAACAACCCGAGCAGGAGGCCCTTGCTGGGCCGAGCCAAACCTGCGATTGGCGCCGAATCCATCGCCATCCTTCAGCGACAAGCAACGCACGAGGCTATCCCGCACTGCAGCAGAGAGCGATGGCTCCGCCACGTCCGTAGTCTCCTCGACGATGCTCTGTCTACGTTTTATATATATGTGCGTGCGCGGACGTTAGAGATAGCTTTAATGATCCTGCAAGCAATCAACTGTCTGGATTTGCACGTCGTTCACCTGATCTCAACAGCCGTCGATCCAAGTGTAGACTTTTCCACCCCAATCTTAAGATGCGAGCCTCGAGCAGCAACCCGATGAACTGGTGGGCGATAGTCCACCTCCTGAACATAGTCGCCCAGATCGGCGTATGTACCACCGGGACGGCAACCTACATCTTGAGTCCACCGAGTAGAGTTGACGACTCTATGCCTTCCTTTGCTGAATTCTGGAGCGATTCGGAGACCAACAGAAGTTTCCCCTGGATCTCCGGAGCGGTGGTGAGCGGCGACTGCCTCCCCTTCAGGGCTGTGAGATCAGATCTAAACCATCTCTTAGGGTGCCTTCGCCACATTTCTCAACATTATTTTGCTCGTCCTGCTATGGAAAACCTACACCATGAACCCACCGCATCTGCCTGTCCAGAACAATTCGTTCAGGAATCTGGTCCTGGTCGGTTCCGTCCTCATTGCGTTAATCGCCGGCGTCGATATCACTCTCGCGGTCAAGGCCTTTCTAACCGGTCGATTCGTCATCGGCGCCGCTGCCGGCATTGCCGGGTCCGTATTTCCCCTACATTACCTTTCTACCCCCTCCACCTCGGACTTGTGTGGAGGTGATGCAACTGTCCTGAACCTAGAACTGACTTGACGAGCCTACAGTATTCTCTCTCTTCTGACAATATTCATCTATCAAATCAAGCTGCAGAACATACGCCGACAACGAAAGGAAAACTACGTTCTGGAACTTGCCGGGGAGGGGACATCGGTGCACGCCATCGCGCCTCCTTCGTATACGTCGGTAGTCGGAATTGCTAAATGAACAAAAGGGAGCGGAGTTTGGGAAAGGATACGGTACAGCCCCGGGTACGGGCATGGTTATGGGCAAGGGCAAGGTCAGGCGTATGTATAGTATAATTCGTGGGATATACACAGCCATTGCTGTGTTGATGAGAGACTTGGACGAGTCTTACATCGACCAAGGGGGCTTGTGATAGACGGTGGTACCTAGGACAGGACCTTCGATTCATCGGTTGGGATAGGATGGGACAGCAAATGATACCAATACTAAAGATTTTACGTAAAATCAGCCCGCCTCCTACCTGTTGTTCTGCTCCGGATAATGGCAAAGGCTGAACTCGCCATATTTGTGAGCGGCAGCATATCCTACTAATAGTTTCGTGCTTTCAAGCCTTCTCTAAGCGGAACTCAGGGCTGTTCACCTGTGGCTTAAGCGGTATCGCGGGTCACTGTGGCTGTGGGTAGGCACTCACTAATGCCGGAATTGGTAGATAGCTGATTCCCGTAACTATCTACATAGCTTAGCGTAAGCCGCAAACACCGAGAGATAACAGTGACAAGAGTGGAAGCTAAACGGCAAGATAAGGATAGGTATACAGGATGCCAAGAATACTACTAACAAGTTGAGCTGTCTACTAGGTTATCCGATTGCTACCTAATAGAAATCCCGAGTCGTTTATCGTGTGTTGGTCAGAGCGGGTTACAACATTCCCGCACAAATTCATCTCTGCCAATTCAGCCCGTGTTCCACATAATTCCACCCGTCAAGCCTGGACACAACCCTGCCTACCTATGTATGCCAGGCCTGACCCTCTCGTTGGGATGGATGGAAGACAAGCAGAATATGTTGCTACAGGAGGTACCTAGGTACTTAATGTATGTAATGTGACATTACTAAGAGAAGCTTGACTTAGGTACCTGAGTACCCACTAAAGTGTAGTGGGTGAAATGAATATGAGAGCTTCAACTTTTTTTTTTTTCACAAGCTTCAACTTGCGTACCACTCCAACCACGGATCTACTACCCGCGCCTACGCCTGTTTAACGGTTTGCCGCCAATCCCACTCGGCCCAGGAATCAAGAAGAGAAAACCCTCGGCGGGACAGGAAGACACCGCCAACATGGATTCCGAATCGATCAAGTCCGAGGTCATCAAGCAGGTGAAGACCCAGTACGTCATGGACAACGCGCGGCAGCTGATCGAGGTATGTACCAACGCCCACCAACGAACGACGCGCCGGGCCAGGATGCGCGCGCGGGGTCCCCAGGCTCTGCCGACCTCACTAACCTCTTTCTCCCCTTCGCTGCCGTGCAGAAAATCAACGAGCACTGCTTCGAGAAGTGCGTGCCAAAGCCCGGCACCTCGCTCTCCAGCGGCGAGCAGACCTGCTTTACCCAGTGCATGGAGAAGTACATGTCCGCGTGGAACCAAGTCAGCTCGACCTACATCAGCCGGTTGCAGCGCGAGCAATGAGCCCGAGCGCGCGGAGCCGCTGGCTACACGAACGCACGCCTGTCCCGACCGACCGACCGACCCGTTCGAGGCCGCCCACCACAAACGCTACTTACGCACCCACCCACCCATACACATATATAAATGGGTATATTCATCCACGCCTGGCTCGGTGTATAGTCCGCAAACGAGCATCCTATAGGGAGGCGGGAATAGGAAGCAGGATAAAAGCAGGAGGAAGAAGGGGAGGACGTTCTCACGGCGGCGTATTTGGGACAACAGGCGCATAGATATGTACATTTACAAAGGTGTCTCTCTCTCTGTCTCTCTATCCTTCTGGTTCCCTCTCCGAACAGACACCGGGGACGATCTAGCTGGAGAAGGATGTCTAATATTGGTAGACTGGCGGGAACGGGCGTATAGATTCCCCTCATGACTTTCCCTCCTCCTCGGGGGCCCCGCTCTCCTCCTTCTTCTTTCTCTTGGCCTCCTCGGCCTCCCGCTTGCGTGCCAGGTACCTCTCGCGCGCGCTCGAGACGTCCGACTCGGTCTTGCGGCTCTTAGCCGCGCGCTCGACCTCCCGCCGCTCCGCCTCCTCCTCCTCGAGGGACCGCTTCAGCGCCTGCTCCAGCTGCGCCTCGAGCATGCGCGTCTGCCGCTCGCGCATCGCCTGCTTGCCCCCGGCGCCGACGAACCCGCGCGCCCGGTCCCGGTCGTCCCGCCGCTCCGCCCCCCGCCCCGCCTCCTCCGCGCGCCGCCCCTGCTTCCGCGCCGCGCTCAGGTTCAGCCCCCCCCGCAGCAGCTCGCGCTTGTCCACCACCTGCCCGTCTTCGTTGATCGCGACGGAGCCGCCCTGGGCGTTGATCTCCCGCGCCACGTCCGCGTCGGTCTTGGCCTTCTCCTCGTCCCCCCCCCCGCGCTCCGCCTGCTCGCCGGGGCCGGCCTTCGCCCGCGCCTCCGCCGCCTTGACCACCTCGGCGTGCTGTCGGTCGCCCCTCTCCAGCAGGTCCTTGTAGAAGGCCGTCATGCCGCCCGTCTTGTTCTTCCGCGCCTCCTCCTCCTCGCGCCGCCGCTCCTCCTCCTCGATCCGCCGGTTCTCCGCCTGCTGCCGCTTGTACGCCTCCGTGACGAACTTCTCCTTGTCCGCGTACTCTTCGCCCTCCTCCGCGCGCTCGCGCGCGATCTTCTTCTCTTCCGCGATCAGCGCGTCGCGCTTCCGCGTCGCGGCCGACGCCATCAGGCTCTTCATGTACTTCGGCTTCCTCTCCGCGTCGTCCGCGTCCTTCTTCTTCTCCGGCTTCAGCGAATCGTAGACGGCGTCGTAGTCGTATATCGAAGGGTCCAGCTCTTCCGCAGCATCCTTGTATTTCCGCGACTCCAGCGAGCTCGATAGGTCCCCGTACATCGAGATTTGGGGTTTCTTGCTCTTGCTGCCCGGGGGGGGTCGCGTGGGTGGGCCGGTTTTCGATTTCTGCCCCGACTTCTTGTCCGACGTATTAGACGATAGCGTCGGAAGATCGTCGAGCTCGGCTACTGTAGTCGCACGAGGCCCGTTGGCCGAGCCGTTTACATCGTCGTCTGAGCCGTCGTCGTCGCCGAACATCGGTTTCCTTTTGGGGGGTGCGGGTTTCGAAGCGCCAGGCTTCTTGGTCAAATTCAGACCGAAAGATAGGCCTGGTTTGCTCATATTTCGTAGCTGTGTCGATCAAAGCGCAGTGAAGCCAGAATCCAATTATTATAATTAGAAGTCGTCCGGCAAGTTATATTTGTTGAAAGAGAGCAGCGTAAGACGCGTTGATTCTGGAAGCTTAGTTTGGCGGAGAGTAGCTTGTACTGAGGATTGCAGCTCGACCGCGCGGTGCATGAGACAGGCCTGCGATAAGAGATAAGAGATAAGATTAAGCTGATGTTCTTATCTTATCGACTGTATCTACCTACTAAGGTAGGTAGGTACCTAAGTTAGGTACCTCCTAGTACGCAATTGTGTCAAATCTATCCCACCTTCGACTTCCTCTCTTCCCTTTTCCATTGATTATATTCTTCAAACCGTCCACTCACACTATCCTCCCTAACCCTTTACATCTAGGGAGAGGTTACGCAACATGTACATACGATAGCTATGGATGCGCCGTTGCCCAAGAGGCGACATATCCTCTCCTCTATCAACCCAGAGCACGCTGCAATCTCACCCGAGCCGGAAAATGATCCAGTAGCTCCGGGCGCTTCGCCTCGAGGGGAACCACCCGACCCAGAGAAATCCGCGGGAGATACCTCGGAGGCAAGAGAAAGGAAGACGACTAAATTTCGCTTCAAATCGAAGAACTCGCGCTCTCACCGCTCCTCCCGACACGATGACCGAGACCGCGACCGGGGCCGAGACCGGGATCGAGAACGAGAACGAGACGGGAATAGTGTCGACGAGGGAGGGTCTTCAAGTCACCGGCACCACCGTCGCCGCCACCACCACCATCACCGACGGCACAAGCGGCGACGCACGCGCTCGCCGACACCACCCAACCCGTACGACCCACCGCCCCTAGACCCGGACGCGGCGTTCCGGGAGGCGCTCTTCGACGCGATGGCGGACGACGAGGGGGCCGCGTACTGGGAGCACGTGTACGGGCAGCCGCTGCACATCTACGGGCGGGCGGGCGGTGGCGGCGGCAGCGACGCCCACGACAACACGGACGGCGGCGGCGAAGACGGGAAGCCCCGGCCGCTCGAGCAGATGGACGACGAGGAGTACGCGGCGTTCGTGCGGCGCAAGATGTGGGAGAAGACGCACGAGGGCCTGCTGGAGGAGCGGGCGCGGCGCGAGCAGCGCCGCCGCGAGGACGAGGAGCGCCGCGCCGAGGAGGCCCGGCTCGCGCGCGACGTCGAGCGCAGCCTGCGGCGCGGCGAGGAGCGGCGGCGGCGCCGCGCCTGGCGCACCCGCTGGGACGAGTACGTGGCGGCGTGGGCGGCGTGGGACGGGGCGCCCGCCGGCGTGCCGTGGCCGGTGCGCAGCGGGCGCCGCGACGACGTCTTAGCCGACGACGCGGCGGCCGCCGTCCAGGACTTCTACGTGCTCGGCGCCGGGCCCCCATCCGGGGACGAGCCGGAGAGCGCCGAGGACGCGAGGGACCTCCTGGCTACGCTCAAGGAGGAGCGCGTGCGCTGGCACCCCGACAAGATGCAGCAGCGGTTCGGGGGCAAGGCCGACGACGAGGTCATGCGCGGCGTTACCGCCGTCTTCCAGGTCGTGGATAGATTGTGGTCGGATACCCGGGCTAAGAAGCAGTAGCAGACGGCCCACGCGAGGGCACTTCATTTTGTCGAGCAGACGGGCTACGCGTATGAAAGGTTCGGCTTTATTGCTTTTTTTTAGCGTCTGCATATCTACTACGTAGTATGTAGAGTGCAACGTGGATATTGTGGTGAGGGGATAACAATCACGCATAGTTAGAGCATCTCTCGAGTGTCGACAGCAATCTGGCTATACAGATGCGTCAGACTCCTTACAAGGTAATTCGGTCTCGCCCGGATCTTGAACTATGATACTTTTAAGACTCGTAGCATTTCTACTTCGTGAACTAGACTCCACGGGTCTAAAGCTCTTTCTCGCACTCTTCAGCCTAAGGTTTACAGAGCAAGTGTCTAGGAGGGGAGATCGTGCTCAGACCCCGATTTAAGGCCGTACTAATGACAGAGCCAGAGCATCAGGTCCCGTCCCCGAGCACGGGGGAGACGTATATATTACATATCTCGTAGTACTACCCGAATGGGGGTGGGTGTCGCGCGACGGTGACGGGCGATTCAGCGTCGCGTCGCGGCGTTATGAGTCAACGTCGAAGTTAGCCACGACACCGTAGTGGTCGCTGATCCAGGGCTTCTCGTAGCCTTGGTCGAGGATGTAGCTCTGCTGCATCGGGTTCCAGAGCTGGATGTCGATGCCGAACCTCTCGAAGCTGCGCGGAGTGAGGGGGCCGGTGAAGAGGACCTTGTCCATGCGGACGGCGGGGTGGCGCGTCTTGAGGGCGGTCTGGGCCTGGGGGCCCCAGGTGTGGCTGTCGGGGGCGTCCTCGCGGCCGCCGAGCTCGAGGTAGGCGTCGCGGAGGCGGTTCTCGGAGTGCAGCGTGCGGTCGTAGGCTTCCGTGGCGTTGAAGTCGCCGGCGACGACGCCGGCGCCGACGGCGGGCGACCGCAGGTGCTGCGCGATGAGCCACACCTGGCGCGGGCGGTAGGGCGGCAGGACGGACAACGCGTCGAGGTGGGTGTTGCAGAGGCGGACGGTCAGGGGGGCGGCGCCTCCGGCCCCGAGCTCCACGTCGACGAAGCAGGCGTCGCGCATCAGGCGCGACTTGCTGTAGTACACGCGGAAGCACGAGGCGATGCGCAGGCGGCGGTCGACCAGCGCGGTCGTGCCGAACTCCAGCTGGCCCCACGCGCCGCTGTCGAGGTCGGTGACGTGGAAGCGCTCCCGGATCCACCCCCGGTCGCGGATCCCGTCCAGGCTCAGCTCGACGCACTCCTGCAGGAAGATGACGACGGCCACGGTAGGCGGCAGCTTGCTCGCCAGCTCCTCGATGTGGTGCAGCGCGGCGTCCATCCGGGCCTGGGGGAAGCGCGGCCGCGCGTCGACGTTCCAGCTGTACAGGGCGAGACGGCGGAGGTCGAGCGCAGGCTCGACCCCGGCCGGGACCTTCTTGCCAGGGCCGGCCTCGAACCGCATCCACTTGTGTGTGTTGTCGTCATAGGAGTAGTAGGGCTGAGGGTACGGCTGATCGAGCTTTCGCAAGGACTCGTCGAACGGCTTCCGTATCCCGCTCGGCGCGAGCCAACCCTGGCTCGGCCGGGAACTTGGGAAGACGGCGCCGCGTACGCCGCCCTGTCTTTTGAACGACCGGCTTAACAGTGCTCGGAACATCTGAACACGAGCACAGGCATAGCTGGGCGGGGTTGCGGTTGAGCGATGCAGCGGCAGGAAGGCCAGGATTTCACCACGACGAGCACGAGAAACAGATTGGAGTTGTTGTGCTGCCGGATAGAAGGGGGAATTGGACGGCTGGTGAAGTTTTCTGTCGCGTTGAAGATGATGGGTGGGAGGGCGAGGTTCAAGAGTATTTTCTACGCAGCAATCTCTCTCTCTACGGATACAGTCCGAATTTTGGTTGCGTATTACCCTAGTGAGACTTGTGGATATACCTACCTACCTGGGTAACGTCTCCATTTACCCACCCCTAGGTACCTTAGGTACCTCGGACCCAGTGATGTAGGTACGTAGTAGTTCCGCCCGCCTCTATCCTAATCGTTCCCCCTTTTACTTATTGGTATGAGGTAATTTTCGTCTCATGAAGTCCTCATCACATTTACTGCCTGAACTTCCCATATCCGGGGAGAGAAATAGCAGTGAGGAGTTTGGCATGTACCGAAGGTAGACAATACCAAACCGGGCGCCATAGAGTGCCTACCTACCTACCTACCTAGGTAGTAAGAAGATAGGTACTTATTGGCATTTTGTCTTTGGAATTGCTAAGGCTGAGGGTATCTAAATACGACCAGAAAGGGGTTTAAAACCGTAGAGAAGGGCGAGTCAGATTCTCGTCGGCGATCCTTCTTAAGGCATCGTTGAGGTAATCTACAAAGCTCTCTCGTATCCTCCCAGGGCCCATGTTGCCCACCCCTTCGAGGCCGATACCGCCCCTATTCAGCCCCATGTACGCCCTCCGTAGACGCTGCAGTTGAGGCAGCCCGACCTTCCTGCCGGCTGGTAGCTCCACGACCAGTTGCTCTCCCTCACCGTCGTTAGCCTCACCCCTGGGGATATTGACCTCGTCGCCGCCGTCGTTGCCCTGTTGATCTAGGATCCGCTTGACCACGTCTTGCGTTTCGCGGTCGAGCACGTACAGGTAGTCCCCGCCGGCGTCCCGGCTCCGCTGCACCGTCGCCTGGTTCGGCTTCACCGGCTTCCGGGCCGCGCCCGCGACCGCGTCCCAGATGCTGTCGAAGACCTGCCTCGTCTGCGCCTCGTCGTCGTCCCATATCAGCGTGAACAGCGGGCTGTCCCACCGCGTCATCGCGTTCGGCTCCTCGTACCGGAACACGAGGTTCTCCCAGTTGTCGGGCTCGTATGCGCCCTCCTCCGCCTCCTCCACCCTACTATCTTGTCCATCTTCCTCCCCGTCCTGCCTTACCCCCCCTCCCCCTCCCCCTCCCCCTTCCCCAGCCGCTGCGCCGCCCTCGCGCCGCCGGCGCCTGCGCGCCAGCCTCTCCTCGTTGACGCGGCGCGCGCGCTCGCGCTCGCAGCCGACCTGCAACACGCAGCTCGGCGTGCGCGCGGCCTTCGCCTCGCAGAAGAGCTGGTACCGCCAGCCCTTGATGTAGTTGAGGCCGTCGAGCACGACTATGTCGCGGTCGCTCAGCACGCGCTTCACCGCGCCGTAGACGCTCGCGCGCGCATCCTTCTCGTCTGCGTTTGCCGACCGCGTGTGCGCCCCCGGCGCCGCCGACAGGTCGTACGCGGTCCGCGGAATCGACAGCGTCTGGTCTGAGATTAGGTGTAGGCGGTACTTGGGCGCGCTAGATTTCTCGTCCTTCTCGGGGGCGAGGGCGGGGGCCGGACCGGCGGGGCTGGCGCCGGTCGAGGGCGTAGGGGTGGATGTTGTCGTCGTCTCTCGAATGCGCTCCGAGAGGTAGTCGCGCAGCTGCTTCGCGCGCGTCGTCTTGCCGGACGTCGGGAGGCCCGTGATGATGATGAGCTGATTGGCAGTAGTACGCAGTTAGCATATGTATATGTATGCCTGGCCAGCTGGTTGTATACCTATGGAAGTGGGCAAATGCACATTGAGAAAATACTTACAGGCATTTTTCGTTGGTGGGTATGTCAAGGTAAAGGAGTTTGGCAGCTTAGGGTGGGCGAAGCTGGATAGGCTTGGACGAAACTTCCCAAGATCCCCGCGGCAGAACTACAGCGCCTATAAACGGAGGCAGATGCACTGAGGTCACCTTGGCAAAACCCGGCGGCATGGAACTATCAGTTATGAGTATATTTCTCTTTATGTGCATACCTATCTACCCAGGTTAAAACTAAAACACCCACATAGAACTGAATTCTATGCCCCCCGACTTGTCTGGCAAAAACCCCACCCGCTCTCAACTAATCGGTTTGCCAAGGTATCCGGCCTACACGTATTCCTGCACGCTTCTAAGCCGCTGCCGCAATACTCCCGTCGCCTAGGTGGGTAATTTCCGTCAACTTCTGTTCATCTCGAAATCTGCCCACCTCTGTTCAGAGGGCTGCTGGTAGCTAGTCGTCAGGGTCGCGCCGACGCCCTCGACGACGGCGACCACGACCATCTCCATCACCACCCCCATGCCGAGCAGGATGCTAGGGTCGCCCAGCGTCGGGTTGAACTCCGGGCGGTTGCCGAACGTCGCCTCGGCCGAGTAGGCCAGCCGCACGAGGAGGAAGGGCAGCGCCGCGCCCACCGCCAGGACGAGCCGCCGCGAGCCCGGCGCGACGCGCGAGATGCGCGCCGCCACCAGCGCCGCCGCCAGCGCGAGCAGCACGTACGCCGCCGCCATGAGGCCCACGCCGGCCTTCGACAGGCCCGACGCCTCGTATCTGCCGGTCCCGCCGAGCGCCTCCGGGGCCTGGGCGCCGCCGACAGCGCCGAGGATGAGGCCCGCGAGCGCGACGAGCTGGACGAGACGCAGGTGCCTCTCGGTCACGAGCGGGGGCGCCGCGGCGGATTTCGGGCCTGGGCCGCTGCTGGTGGTTGCGGCGGCGGCGGCGCGGCCGACGAGCGCCAGCTGTACCATGATGAGCGGCGACAGGCCGACGTTGCGCAGCGTCGCGGCCCCGACGTACAGGCTCGCGTTCCGCGGGTCCGTGAGCGTCCCGAGCTGCAGCGCCGCGCCGAGGACGCGGGCGACCGCGAACACGATCAGGTAGAGCCACCCGGCGTTGCGGCCGAATCCGTGGCGGGCGGCGAGCCACCCGGCGACGGCCAGCGCCGGCACGTAGACGGCGATCTCGGCGATCGAGATGTTGTCCCGCTCAGTGAGGGCCATCTGAAGGGGAAGAGTACGATGGCCTGGGGATGTCTGCGTGTTGATGTCGTAGTAGGCAAGCGCTTATTGGTATAGGATGATCACTTCGCGACGTCGAAAATCTGTCCAGAGAAACTTGGTGTTTATTGTTTCGGATCGATGAGGTTGACACTCCTGGCAAGCAGAACTCTCACGCCTAGTCTCTATCTCATTATATACCTATCTGCCTAGGTACGCACACATCGTCCTCAGCCGTGCCGTTGCGTTGCTATCGAGGCTTGTGCTAAAACTCATTGACCCAGAAGGCCTCCACTGTCTCTCTTAGGCGAATGCGAGTGCGATCCCTGGATCGGCGCTCAGATTCGGGGACGCGCCGCTTATTGGCTTGCGAATGGAGCTAGATCGCCAAGCCCCTGTCAAGCTTCGCCAAGCCGGGTGAGGCTGTGGAGTTTCCAGGGAGTGGGACAATGGGGTTTCTCGACATAGCACGCTCTGGTTGGCGCCACGACGGCTTAGATGAGCAGCCTTGGTTTCGCATTGGACTGGCAAGGCCTAATCTCCTATTACCCGCACCCACGGGTGCTTCCTTATACGCAAATTCGTACAAGACCTAGCATCCCGAGGATTAAGCCACGGGTTTTCGCGAGCGTGTTAGAAAGCACGACTCCACCGCAGGCTTCGGGCTTAAAACGGGTTGCTCGCCGGCTTACGTTGGCGGAGACGCCGTGGAGCTGGATATAAGCATACTGTCGTCGCTCTAAAGCACCTAGGTACGTCGTACGGATCGGTCCCGGGCCCCTTAAGTCGATGCGCCCCGTGTCCACTAGACAGACAATGTCGACCACTGTGCCGCTATGATAGGCCATATATATCGTTCGGCGCGGATTGCCGTCTGGCTTAGACTAGAGGAAGAGGGCAGCAGTCACGCTGTGAATCTAGTGTACTATGTCGAGTCTGAGTTCGAGGTGGATTTGGTAGGTACTTCGGAAACCACCGTAGGTTAAGAGTATATATGTGCATATAAGCCTTGTCTCCGATGGCCTCCTCAAGGGTGATTATACTCCACAATATATAGCACACTATCACGTCTCGTGTGGCTAGTCTACGTGTGCACACGCATGGACGCAAGTACGCATCCTCGGTGCCCTTCCTACTGATCTATCCAACTAGACCTTTCAGACGCTTCAACCCCTAGATCAGGCCATCGCCTTTAGTACTCGTCGATGAATAACTACTTAAATCTCTTGTGTAATGGGCCCAATGTCATGCTATTATAGCTATCCCCCCCCCTATATTTCAAAACTGTGTATAATAACAGAGTCGCTAAAAATAGGTATTATCAATATTGTCTCGCCCATTGAGCCTCACCCTGGGTATCGCCAGACGCCGTGCAATGCAATGCGGTTCTGTACTCTTCAGTATCTCTTCCCAACCAGCCCTTCTCACCAACTATCGAAGTTGCCGAACCCGCCCACCTTAGCTTTCTTCTTGGCGGGCGCCTCCCACGTGTCGACGTCGTCGACGTCCTCCTCGACGACCCCGTCATCCGCAGCGCCCTGCCGCTGCTGTTGCTGTTGCCTCATCGCGGCCTTAAGGTACTTCCCGACGCCCTCCTCGCCTCCGTCGCCGTCGCCGCGGTCGACCGTGCCGTCGCGCCTGACGCGCTTGCCCGTCCACGTGAGGCGGTCGTCCTCGGTGCCGCCGGTGCGCCGGACTTCGGCCTGGGCCTCGGCCGCGCGGTCGCGCTCGGCCTTCTGCCGCAGGAACTCGTCGAACGGGTCGACGTAGACGACGACGTCGCGGATCGCGATCTTGTTGAGCGGCCGGTCCGAGCCGTCCGTCGGCGCCGCCTCCATCTTGGCGAGCACGTCGGCGCCGCCCACCACCTTCCCGAAGATCGTGTGCTTCCGGTCGAGGTGCTTCACCGGCCGGTACGTGATGAAGAACTGGCTCGAGTTCGTGTTCTTCCCCTTGTTCGCCATGCTGACGATGCCCCGCGCGTCGTGCGTCAGCGGCCCGTCGAACTCGTCCTGGAAGTTCTTGCCCCAAACGCTGGTGCCGCCGCGCCCGGTGCCCGACGGGTCGCCGCCCTGGATCATGAAGTTCTTGATGTTGCGGTGGAAGTTGACGCCCTTGTAGTAGCCGTTCTGAGCTAGCCGGGTGAAATTCCAAACCGCTCTTGGCGCGTACTCGGTCTGCAGTTCGATGTTCAAATCCCCGAGGTTCGTCTCGATCCGCGCGTAGCCTTTTATCTTGACCCTCTTCGGCTTTAGCATGTATTCCTCGTCTGTGAGGGTGGCTCGCTCGCCGCTCGTTTCGGGAGTCAACCCGGTACTCGTGAAGCTAGCTGCGGCTTTGCCGGTAGTGTACGCCGCCGCATTGTAGGCCAGTTTTCTATCCTGGATCATGGACGGTCGGACACTATTGCCCGGTGCGGCCTTAGTCACGGCCTTGGACGAGCGGTTGACATCGCCAGCGGCCTCGCGTTCTCTTCTTGCCTTTTCGACAGCCTCCTTCGCCCTCAACACCTTGTCGCCCACCCTGCCCAGAGCATTGATGTTTACATTGCCCTCTTTCCTCTCTTCCTCCTGCTCTCTCGTCAAGAGCGCATCGCCACCGTCCTTGAGATGCTTGAATTGGCTCAAATCTCTGGCGGCGGCATTCTGCGGGTCCTGGAGGGTGATGATATCGGAACGGCCGAACTCTACATCGTCCACCAGGTCCCGCCACATCTTGGCCTTGATGTTCATGCGCTCAACCGTCTCCCAGGCAAAGACGTTGGCGTAGGTCCCATGCCGGATCGCTACGATGTGCGTATTATCGGTGAAGACTTTGAAGGTAACCGGGTCGATCAGGTCTCCCTTTCCGTCACTGTCCCCCGTACTGGCACCCTTAGAATCGACATCGCCGTTGCGGGCAAAGTTGAGCTTGATGAGGTCGCGCGCTGCGAGGGGTTTCCCGTCGACGGGATTGGTCTGGTGGTTCTCAAGCCATTTCGATATGACCTCGACATCAAATATGGTTCCGTCGGCGGTACAGACGGGGTTCTTGAACGGCTGGAGGCTGGCGGCGCAGAAGTTGAAGGGCAGGCGTTTAAAAGAGGCACCGTTGGGGCCGGTTCGCGAGCCGGTGCTAGGCGAGAAGGCGTCGGAGGAAGACCACTCGGAATGGGTAATGTATAACTTATCAGTTCCCTTCCCCATGGTTGGCGTAGGTGGGCGATTCGCAGTGTTCGAGGCGGTAGAAGAGGAAGGGTTTAGAGGGTGCCGGCTGAGAAGCGGAATGGAGTTGGTCGCGACGACTGCGAATTTCAAGGCGAGTATACGCGACGTACCTGGGTACCTATTTGCGCGTATATTACGTTAAGGTGCAGCACCCACGGTGGATAGCGAGTCCTAATCCTTATCCTTATCGATAGATGCTAAGCCTCCGACGCTTACATGAGGTTGGGAGTTTCGACCTCAAAGTAGTCGGTACTTTCTACCTCCCCCGGTTACAGATTATAGACATGTACTATGTAAGTACCTATATACTTGCAGGCAAGGTTAAAAAAAAGTTTAAGTTTTTAAGTTGTTAAGTTCCATACCGGGAGGGGGGGGTCTACGGACAGTATGTCAGCAATAGAGTCGGGGTACGGACACGGTAACTAAATCTGGTAAGGGTTACCTATTCTTTCGAAAGAGCTAAAAGAATTATAGCAAGGGTCACGGTACCGACCTTATTACCTTCCCTTCTTATAATTTCAGGATGGTTTTTATAACTACGTAGGAACCAATGTCCAGACGAATATAATGTCTATATATTCCATAGGTACCTACCTACCTACCTACTTACCCTTCCTACCTACCTAGACCACCTACCTACCTAGACCTATTATCTTTATCTTTTTTCTACAAACACTATGATCTACTACCTATCTACAAACCTATCTTCGAACCTATCTACGAACCTATCTGCGAACCTATGGGAGCTAGTTCGCACGTAGAATCTATCTATCTTCGAACCTATCTTAAAACCTATCTACGAACCTATCTGCGAACCTATGGGAGCTAGTTCGCACGTAGAATCTATCTATCTTCGAACCTATCTACGAACCTATCTGCGAACCTATCTGCGAACCTATAGGAGCTAGTTCGCACGTAGAATCTATCTATCTTCGAACCTATCTACGAACCTATAGGAGCTAGTTTGCGTGCGTGGAATCTATCTATCTACGAACCTATCTACGAACCTATCTACGAACCTATCTACGAACCTATCTACGAACCTATCTACGAACCTATAGGAGCCAGTTCGCGCGCGTGGAATCTATCTACCTATCTTCGAACCTATGGAAGCTAGTTCGCGCGCGTGGAATCTATCTATCTTCGAACCTATGGAAGAGAGGTAGAAGGTAGGTAACAGACGTAAAAGATACAAAGGTACAAAGGTACGTACTTAGTAACCTAGAGGTAACCGGGTAATCCTATGGAATGTATCTTTTTTTAAAATAAAGATATTATATCCGGATGGTAACTATGTCGGGAAATGGTAATAATATCAGCCTAAAGTTTAACTCCTTCTTATCACGAGGCAGATACTATGTCCAGTCATAGAAAGGGTTGCTGACATAGTATCAATAGACCCCCCCCTCCCTGTATGGTTTTTAATCATTAAAGTCAAGTTTAAGTTAAGTTTATATTTTAAACCCCCTTTTTACATTAAGTTTTCATTTTTTAAACTTTTTTTTTAGCCACCCTGCTTGCAGGCGGTCGGCTCCACGTCGGTGCTGTGCGGGAAGTTTAGTGACTGGCTGTACCTCATAGTGGAGATAGATGAGGTAGGTTAGGTACCTCGCACACGCCGGCTCTCCGGTACTTAGGTAGCTCGGTACATGACCTGCCTAGGACCTCAGGCAACTGCTTACGGGGCATGTTAGGTACCCCCTCTATCATATGTACGTAACGTAGTGGCCCCAGCCGGAACGTGTGGAATGGAAATTCCACGAAAGCTGGCTCCAATCTACGTAGACTGGACGTGCGAGTGGATTCCCTCTTTTCCCGAACCAGCTCTCGTCGCTGAAACAACATCTACCAAATCTACAGCAGCACGAAGCCAAGCTAGGAGTCCCGACAGCCCTGGCTTTTCTTCCTTTCTTTTTCGACAGCTCGTCTTCCCTCTGCGAGCTATCTCTGCGCCGCCTCCAAGGTCTGATCTCGTCTTTCGTCGTGACGCATATTAAATAGGCAGAGCCTAGGCTGGGTTTTACCTGTCGAGGCTGCCTTGCGCGCCGAGGACCCCGAGTCGACGAAACGAACATGAAGTTATGGTCATCTGCTCTGGTTCTCCTGGGTCTGTCCCTGCGGACGGCCCAGGCATTGGAAGTTCAGATAGTATGGGGACTTCGCCCTCTCGTCGCCGTAGCTATGAGCTAATACTTCTCTCGCAGGACGATAGCGAGGAAAATCACCAACAATGCGCTGGTGCGTTCCCAACTCGTAGCCGCCTCCCAGACTGACCGAGATCGCCTTGGCTCACCAACCACGATTAGGCATGTATAGCAGAAGCTCCTGGGGCGGTCCGGTAGATCCTTTCATCCAGGCTATATTCCCTAATAGGGCCATCGAAGGCGACGAGGACCCCATCGTCAGCTTGATTATATTCGAGTGGAAAGACCAGGACCTGATCGGAGTCTGGCCCAAAAACGAAGCTCTCCCGGTACGCACGCTGCCATCGAAAGCGCCTCCTGTGTCCCTTGCTGAGATGCGAACTACGGGCTGACCGCATAACTAGAAGCAGTTGATTTGCGACGAGGAAAATGTCAGCGGCGGCGTGTGTGAAAAGTCAGATATCGGCAAATGGATCCTGTCTCCTAACGCAACCGAGAATTCAGAGAACTTGATCTACACCGAGGCCGTACACCTCAAGTCTGCGTTGCCTATCAACTATCCCATCAAGAAAACGGGCTATTACTGCATCGCTTCCTACGGCTTCAACACCAAAGACTATATGGGCGTTGTCGAGTTCCGGGAAGCGTACGGAGAGCTTCCCGCAACTCAGATCCCCAAGCTTCCCTTCTACGGAGGAATCACGATTCTCTACGCCGTGATCGTTGTGTACGTTTCCGAAACAGAACTCTCTATCGGACTCTCTACTGACGGCCATCAGGTTCTGGGGATTTCTTTACTACCAGCACAGATACGATATTTGTATGTGCCCTCACACCTGCTGCTGTCCCGGTCTGAGTCTAACCCGTTTGCAGTACCCGTGCAGAACTACATCACAGCCATCCTCATATTCCTCGTGATAGAGATGTTAATGACCTGGGGATTCTACGGTAACTCAATCGATCGGCCTCACACCGGCCAGCCTCGCTAACCAGCTTGACATAGACTATCTGAATAGGAACGGTTCCAACGTCGGCGCCAAGGTTCTGTTAGTCGTCGTGGGCATCTTAAATGCCTTCCGCAACTCGTTCTCGTTCTTCTTACTTCTGATCGTGTGTATGGGGTATGGCGTCGTGAAGCCCTCTCTAGGAAAGACGATGGTATATGTCAGGTGGCTAGCAATTGCGCATTTTGTCTTCGGACTCGTTTATGCCATCACCAGTCTGCTGATTTCTCCGGATACCGCAGGTACGGCCCTATGAACTTGCGAATGCTCAGGGAGCCGGGGAGCGCTAACTCGAATTCTTAGGACCCTTCGTCCTTCTCATCGTGCTTCCGTTAGCAGGTACCTTAACCGCCTTTTATGTGTGGACGCTTAACTCGCTCAACTTCACGCTTAAGGATCTGCGTGAGCGCAAGCAGTCGGTTAAAGAGGGCATGTACAAGAAGCTTTGGTGGTGCATTCTGATTAGCATCCTCGTCATCTTTGGCTTCTTCTTCTTCAACTCCTTCTCGTTCGCCTCGGCGTCCGACCCGGACTACGTTCCCTTCCACTGGAAAACGCGGTGGTTTATACTCGACGGATGGCTCAACCTCGTCTACTTCGCCGACGTGGCTTGGATCGCGTACGTGTGGCGGCCTACCGCGAACAACAGGAGATTCGCGATGAGCGACGAGATCGCCCAGGACGAGGACGGGGGCTTCGAATTCGCCGACGTCGGCGCTCCAGACGACTCAGACGAGGATGAGGAAGCGCACATCGGCGCCAAGGTCATCAACACGAAATCCGGAGCAGCGACAAGCACTACCACGCCTGGTAACGCCGCCGCGCCGTCGCAGCCCCCACAGAATAGAGCGCCGGCCAAACCGGACACGCCGCGGGAATCATTTGACGGCGAGACGATATTCGCCGTGGGCGAGGACGGTGATAGGTTCAGCGACGATGATGACGACGACGACGACGACGACGATGATGATGACACCAATCGCGGCGAAGGGTCTAAGCTGGTTACTAAGAAGAAATAGTGAATAGGTCACGAACTACGTGAAAAGGAAGGGGTGAACGAAGCCGGAGAGGTAAGGGTGATGCCGACGACATGCATTTGGGGCTATGCGGTTTCCCTTGCTGTACTATTAGAGGTATCCCATGCGCGGCGTTGGATGCTTAGCTTATCCTAGTCAGGCATGTTCCACGTTTTCACGTACATGGTGGGCATGCGTTGGTCAGTCGAAATTGGCTGTCCTCGAAGCAATCGTGGTGATGGCGGCCCGGCCCGGTCCGTCCCGCGCGGTGCGTGTACAGTAAGATCCCTACATGTTGCGGTAATGACGGAGAGAAAGAAAGCAATGGAACGAGAAAAAAGGTGGCGGTTCTCGGCTTATCACCTACTACCTATGAGCGGGATACAGTCCCCATCGTTTCCTTCTAGTGAGATGAGCGTGAGCATTGGTGGCTCGTATTATCGAACCTCCCGACTTGTATTGTCATCGTCGTACTATGCCCATATACCTACGACCGTGCGTTACTTTTCTTCTTCATTATCCCCAGTCCGCTGCTGCCTTGTTCTTGTGCCGTGCCCGGAGGCCCGCGATCCAGTGTCCACGTCGCCGCCGAAGCCGACGGGCCGGCGCTCCCCGTTGTGCTCAGGCAGGATGGCGAAGACCTTATAGACCTTGCCCATGCCGCCGGGCCCGCGGTCGAGGAGGCGGTTCAAGGAGCGGTCGATGCGCTCCCTGTGGGTATGGGCGGCCTTCTCGTCTATGCCGCCAGCAGCGGCGACGGCTTCCCCCGCGAGGGCGGCCGCGCGATGGCGCACGCCCATGGCCTCGAGGAAGTGCGCCTGGTCGACGGGGCCGTGACACTCGACGCCGGGACTCGCGCGGGTAGCTGCCTCAGCGAGCGCCATGAAGTCGACGTCGGCGCTAAGGTCGACGCGGCCCGGCGCCGCGAAGGGCGACACGCGCCGGTGGCGGCTGATGCCGCGCAGCGAGTTCGCGGGCACGGTGTCGCTGGGGCCGTAGTCGATGATGAGAGCGGCGCCCGACGGGCGGGGTTTTATAGGCACGGCGGCTGCTGCGGCCGCCGCCGCCGTAGATTGGGGAGAGGAGGAGGAGGCGGGAGGGCGAGGAGGGGGAAAGCCGCCGCCGATGCGCTGCGCAAAGTCGGATACGTACAGCGCGGCGTCGGGACACACCTCAATAATGGCGCCTGGCGTCGACTTCAGCGCGCGGTATCGCGGCGAGCTCTCAGGTAGGTACTGCGAGTGGCGCGTCATGGCCGGGCTGAGCGTCAGCTGGAACTCGGACACGGGTTCGTGGCGCTGCGCTGGGGGCGTGCCGAGATCGTCGTGCGTCATGAGCGGAGGCGTGCGAGTGACGACCATCTCGCGCCAGTGGTACCCCGGGGACGTCTTCGGAGCAGAAGTAGCGGTGGTGGCGGCAGACGAGGCGGGGTCTAGGCTAACCGTGGTTTGCGCTTGCTGCTGGCCCGGCGAGACCTTGACTAGCTGGAAGGCGTGGATGGGCAGCGCGTCGAAGAACTCGTGCGCCACGATGAAAGGCGTCTTGGTCGGGTCCTGGGGGATGGCCTTGATAGCGTCGGTCCAGACGATGGGCAGCCCGGCGTACTTAGAGGTGGCGTGCCAGCCCATCTTCGACTCCGTCATCACGGCGTCCTCGCCGCAGAGGAGGTTTTTCTGCGCGAGCCGTAACTCGGCGCTAGCTTCGACCAAGTAGACCGCTTCTATGTTCGCGGCCATCTCCTTGAAATTGTTCATAGTCTTGCAGGGAGGTAGCGGGCCAGGGCATATTAGCTCGACGAGGCCTGCTGCCGATCTGCAGATGGATGAATATACTCACACGTAGCATGTCATCCATCAGCGTCCCCTTCCCGGGGCCGACCTCGATGAGATGCACGCCCTGCTTCGGAGACCCCTGGGATATCCATTCGGCCACGAACCAGATGCCGACAAGCTCGCCGAAGATCTGGGATATCTCGGGGGACGTGATAAAATCGCCCTCTTCGCTGAACTGGTCTCGACCCTTCTCGGCCCCTCCGGTGTAGTACCCTCCAACGTCGGATGTGAGACACATGCGCATATAGCTGGCCAGGGGTATAGGCCCCGTTATCTAGACCCGTCAACCGTAAGTACAAGTACGAAGCGTGCCTCGACGTTCTACTTGTCTCACTTTAATAGCCTCTGTCAGCTGTTTAGCCAGCGGGGTGGACCATTGCTTTTCTTTGCACGCCGGCGTTGCTGCGAAGTTCCTAGAGCCCCAGACACTAGGAACAGAAGATGCTGGCTGCCGCAGTAGGTTGGATTCGACCCTCCAGCAGGCCGAGGCAGGCCTTAACAGATTTGGCCGCATCTTTGGCAGGGGGATAGCGGTATATATCGGTATGGCTAAACTGTCAATGCATCGTGAAAAGGCAGGGTGGTGGCAGCATCTGTTGAGTGTTGATAGTTGCAGAAGGGCGCCTGTCTATGAGTTGGTTTGCCGTATGGTTGGATCAAGGACCTTCTCGTGAGCACTCGAGGTATCCTGTACTTGGTGCGTAATAGAGACGCCCACCTATGTCTGCGTATATATACAAAGGGTGTGGTACAGGTACCTACCTTAGGTACACCTAGACATATATAGGTATGCCTTTGAAGCATAGAAATGCGTTGAAGTCCAGAAGTGCTTCCCTCATTTAGAATTTGTGCCTGGAGTACAAAGTGCCGGACAAAAAAGAGGGGCCCTGATTGGCCGGTGTCAAGTATCCGCCCATCTCGAAATGTCCGAATTACGTAGCTCCAGGGTCCATCCGTCCAACCTAACCAATCTCTCTTCTTCTGCCTTCATACTGTAACCGCCGTCCGTCCACCACCAATTTTCAGATGCCAGTGTCAATTGGGAGCATCCCGCCGACCCTCCGCTACCTTCGTTACTAGATCACCCATCCCGCAGCCCTTCTGAAGCATGGCACGGTGAATTGTTACTTTACCCTCTTCTCCTGCCCCCACGGCCTTACCGCTACACCACAGCAGGTAGCCACCTCCCCCTGCCTTGCCGGCCTGCCAACCTAGCCCATCCCCCCAACACAGAATACACCACCATGGCGAGCAAGTCCCGCTGGGCAGACACGGAGGAGGATACCGCACTTGAAGCTAAGCTTAGGCTCGAGAAAGAAGAGAAGAAACGTCTCAAGGCTGAGAAGGCGCGGAAGGCCGAAGAAGAGCAACGCGCCCGCGCGGCCACCGAGGCGGCTAAGCAACGAGCCACCTACGAGCAACAGAACCGAGACCTAGATGACCCCAACGATATACCACCCGCGAAGAGACGAAAATTAACACCGGAATTAAGCCAAGGTCGAGAGGCAACTGGAATACCGAAGCAAGTCATTCTCAGAAACGGAAGCGATGATGATAGCACGGAGGGCGGTGCGAAACTCTTACGCTTCGAGAGCGGCGGCTGGAGCAAGTCCCGTAGCGTCGAGAACTACGAGAAGCTAAACGACATCGAGGAGGGTGCCTACGGCTTGGTATCGCGCGCGAGAGAGTCGAAGACAGGCAAGGTGGTGGCCCTCAAGCGCCTCAAGCTCGACTCGATCGACCGCAACGGCTTTCCCGAGACCGCCTTGCGCGAAATCCAGATCCTCAAAGACTGCTCACACCGCAACATCGTCAATCTACACGAGGTCGTTGTCAGCGAAAGTAGCGACGACGACAATAATTACAACAGCAAGAATGCACCGACGCGCCACCACCCCCGACGCCGACCCGGCCTTAAAAACGTCTTCCTAGTGCTCGAGTTCCTCGAGCACGACCTCATGTCCGTCCTCGGGGACATGCCCGAACCCTTCCTAATCTCCGAGATCAAGGCGCTGCTGCACCAGCTCGCTTCGGGCGTCGGCTACCTGCACGACCACTGGATCCTGCACCGCGACCTCAAGACGTCGAACCTACTGCTCAACAACCGTGGCCAGCTCAAGATCGCCGACTTCGGCATGGCCCGCTACGTCGGGGACCCGCCGCCCCATCTCACCCAGCTCGTCGTCACGCTCTGGTACCGCGCGCCGGAGCTGCTGCTCGGCGCTCGCGAGTACGGCAGCGCCGTCGACATGTGGAGCGTCGGCTGCATCTTCGCCGAGCTGATCACGCGGGAGCCGCTGCTCCAGGGTAAGAACGAGGTTGACGAACTCTCCCGCATCTTCGAGCTCTGCGGCCTGCCGACCGAAGACACGTGGCCCGGCTTCCGCCGGCTGCCGAACGCGCGGTCGCTGCGCCTGCCCAAGACCACGGCCGCCAACACTGGCTCCGTCGTGCGCGCCCGCTTCCCGACCCTCACCAACGCCGGCGCCGCGCTCCTCGCCGCCCTGCTCTCCCTCGACCCGGACCGCCGCCCCTCGGCCCGCCAGGTCCTCGACCATGAGTTCTTCCGCCAGGACCCCAAGCCCAAGCACGAGGACATGTTCCCCACCTTCCCCTCCAAGGCCGGCCAGGAGCGCCGCCGTAGGAGGTCGACGCCCAACGCACCCGGCCGCGGCCAGCAGGCTGTCGACCTCGGCCCCGTCGACCTCAGCGGCATCTTCGCCGCCCGCGAGAGAGAGGAGAGAGGCGCCGGCTTCTCCCTGCGCATGGTGTGACCGGCCCCGCGCCCCTAGGTAAAATAAACAAACTGTAAATTACCCACCGATACTACGATCGCCCAGCGGGACACGAGCACAAGGCAGGCTCGGAGGCGCGCGGTTGGGAAGAGACATGCACACAAAGATCACTCCGAGTACCACGACGACCTAACGAGGCTGCTGGCATTAATTCGAGCTATGTAGCTGTGTTGATGTAGATACCCCATTTCCCAAGATGCCGTAGATTTCTATGAAGGCTTCGGCTCGCCTGTTTTATTCTCCATCCGTGCCAAAGGATTGCGCGCGCTCGTCGAAAATTTCAAACAGAACGCCATTACATGAGTTACATCCATCCCGTATTTCTCCGCGATTACCGTACATGCCGCGCGTACATACAACTTGCAAAAAAATGCGGCTGCCTTCGCGATGCCATCTCATTATATCTCCGCAAAAGATAATCTATGTGCAGTCGGCTCAAAACAGAGAGGGAATTATCACATCGTCTCGCCCGGTCCTACGGCACCTGGTTGTTCCCCCTTCGTGTGCTTCTCCGGTTAAACAATTGATACGAGGCCCCGGGCTACTACAATAACCCGGCGAAGCCCGTCACGTACCACGTGAAGCTGAAGATGGTGATGAGAGTCATGGAGATGGCGAAGCTGAGGGCCTGGCGGTCGAGGTCGCCCAGGGCGCCGCTGCACGTCGCGCACTTCCACTCGTCGAGGTCCTGATAGGGCCGGGCGGTGTACAGGGCGAAGCGGTAGTTGTTGAACGGCGCCAGGTACCCGGCCTCGGCGACGGCGTCGACCGACGATTCGGCGTCGTGGATCAGCAGGGTGTACTGCTCGACCAGCAGCGGGCTGGCGACGGCGCTCTGCGAGTACTTGAGCGTGTCCCAGGTGAAGGTGGCGGTCGGCTCGAAGGTCATGTTCTGCGTCAGGGTCCAGGTCGCGCTGGCGGCGGAGCACGAGACGAGCACGTTGATGCCGCTCGGAGTGCCCTGGAGAGAAGTGTAATTCCAGACCCACGTGATGGGCGTCGGGTCGCCGATTCTGTAAAGCGTGGATCCCGCGATCGGAGCCGGGGTAAGCATGTTCACACCACCTGGGGGGTCCATCGCGTTGAAGGTTCTATGGGTAGTTTGAGAAGTGCTATTGCCCGTGGCGGTGGGATTTCCGTCGTTGCTGGTCGGGCTAACTCTGCCGGTGTTAAGATTAAGGTTACTTGTCGACTCGCTGGTAGGTCTGGACTGCCTTGCTTCGGTCGATGTTGGCGTGGGCCTGGATGCTGCACCTCTTGTTAGTATTTTTCCCTTCATTCTCGCACGCGATGAACGAGACAGAACCCATCGCGCCGCGGTGACATACAGGACGAGCCGTCATCTTGCCGGACGACGAGAGCATCTACGTCCGGAAGCCAGCTTGGCCATGCCGACGCCAGAGGGGCCAAAGCCAGGGCAGCAGTCAAAAATTGACCAAGGCTCCTAGCTCCCTGCATCTTCCTGTCTTAATCGATAGAGCGTGGGGATGGATATTTTGACCGCGGCGGGTTTATGACTCGGAAAGGGGGTCGAGTGCGAAACGCGGCTAGTAATCGCTCGAGTCCGACGTCAATATTTGGGTTGCCCTCTTAAGGTTTCGTTGCTGTCGGTCGTCCGTACTCTTCCCGTCCGTACTATTCTCGCCCCTTTTCGCTTTCCGCTTCGGCTGGTGGTGGGTGTTGGTGGTCGTACGAATGCCGAGAAAACAACAAAACGCCAGGCAGTGAATGGGCAACTCGGACTGCTCTAGCAATATCGTAGACGGGGCCTAACTTCAGAACCAAGCGAGTGTTGTCGTGTGCAGATAGGCAGGGTATCCAAGCGAATGACGGATTACACGATGAAGAGCATCAGGTCTTCGAGAGGGTTCACTGACCGAGAGAGGGGAGAAAAGAAGGGAACGAAGGAGAAGCAGAAAAGACGGGAGGATGGGCTCACCCTCCAGGTACGTGACATTTTCCACGACACCCTGGGTCGGTACCCGCGTACCCGCCGGGTACCGACCTGTGCACACAGCAGAGCAGAGGCTGCCATTGGCCCAGGGCGAAGGAGCAGGACCAGGAACACGAAGTGCTGGCTTGTCGTATTACGGAACCCGCCGCCAGAAGCGGTTAGAGCGGCTCGGCTGGTGCGGTACATGGGGTCGCGCTGGTGATCTCAGCGCCCCCCCCTCGAGCGGCCAAGTGGTTGCTGTTGAGATCCGCAATCGTGGCTTAGTACGAGGAGCCTAGAACACACCCGTTTGGGTATTTGATTTTATTTCTATGTATACCGGTGTCTATTGATTTTCCGACCCCCCCTCTCCTCTATCGTCCATGAGTAGGCATCTAGATACCTACCTACATGCTTACCTTGGGCAGGTACTTATCCATTAGCATGGACGCTATGCGTTGGGTAGTTTCACCACCATCCTTACCCACAGTAGGTACCTTACGATACACTCGCGCACCCATCCATCACCCCACCAGCCGGCGGCAATCCCCAGCGGGAGGCAGATGTGTCTCGCGTCGCTTGCGTTCTCCTTCAATCTCGATAGTTAACACCGGTGGGTGCATGTAGGTAGGTATGTATGCCTCCCGGGCGCATCCGTCAGTTACCAACCCTAAAAATAAGACGGCGTCTTTTTTCTTACCTACATACCTGCCCGCATGCACCACGCCCACACAGCAGAACATCAATGACACGACACGACAACGTCGCATCCCTAAACCTACTTGCGACTACGCAGGAGCGCACAAATACCCGGTCAGCTCCCGCGTGGGGAGCGGTGTTACAAGTAATACCGGATCACGTCCTCGCCATCGCCCTCAGTCGTCAGGCTTCACCTTCCTGGCCCATACACCATTTACCTCTTTACCTGACATACCTATACAACTGCAATGCCAATTTATCCCTCCTTCAAAATCCTTTCCATCTCGTTCGGCTAGACGCCAGAACCTGATAGGACGACAGGCAGCCCTACACAATTCACTTATCAACTGGCACACCGGGCTCTTCACCCCAATATGCATGCTGTCGTATACGTCATCCTAAGAAAGTGCACTCCGTACATAGGTAGGTACACACAATAGACAATATGAGCGAGACACCCCAATCTATACCTCCTAATCAACATATATATATATATGTATGTGTGTATGTTGTGTGGAGAGAGAGAAAGAGAGAGAGAGAGAGAGAGAGAGAACGCATACAGCCCTCATCCCCGCCACCAACATGTCTTCAGGTGCCAACGCCCAAGTTGATACTCTTTGCTAGAAGTGGGATGGTTTCGGTTACTGATTGGTGCCGATATAAGACTCGGTATATTGAAGGACTCGTATCCCGTATTTCGCCGTCGAGGGGCATCTATTTGGCTTCTCGGGTGATAAGCAATATGTGGCAGGCAGCTGTCCGAAGTTCGGCACCATACATACAGCTCATACGAAGATACATAGATGCCCAAGGTACCTGCCAGTACGCATGGCGGTATCGACACCACATTGATATATTATCACGTGAACATGTGGACGCCGCCTCTTCTTCATTGGATTATGAAGCGTTACGCTGGGCAGGTTTCGGTGCGACATGCATGGTAAGATAGGTATACCACATAATATAGGGTTAGATACCTATGAAGAGAACCCGACGAGGAACGAGCGAAGGTCTTTGAGGGTTACATGGCCGGCTCGAGCTCTGGGAATTTCCTCCCAGACATGAAATACCTACCTCCTAAGGTAACAGCTCACAATGTTGGCAGCAGTAGATATCTACCTTGGTAGATCTGTAAACTGGGAAAGTGACAGAATTGGCTACCTCGCTGTATTACACTAAGATATCATAAGAAGAGGTAGATAAAAGGGACCTGCTTCCCTCCTCCTCCCGGCTCCCGTCGTCACCTAATCGAAGGGGATAGCATGGCAGGTTACCTAAGATAGCAATATCGCAGTAGCCTATGGAAACTCGCATGCCAGGTACCGAATACCCAACGCACTAAGCCGGAGTCCCGCGCCCAGCCCATCCGAGCACTAATCTGAAGAGATGCCCATGTGGGATCATGTACCTATACCACGCACCTCGAGTTGCGCATTTGATAAGATGCCAAGGTACCTGACGTTGGGCTGCGTGCCTTTAGTCACGGGCAGCATCGATGCCCGCCGACATACGGATACATACGACCTCTCCCTTCGATCGGCCTGGCCTGGTCCTCTGAGCTGCCCGGGTACGGCATGCCCTGTGCCGCTGGGCCAGGCCAATTTTAGTGTTTCCGGGGTTCCCCTACGACGAGGCTAACCCATTCCAGGCGGTGCCAACATTCGGCGTGGGACAGAGATTTTTAATGGTTGACAATCCCTATCGCGTCCGGACGGCCTTCGACGGAGCAAGTGAGGGCGGTTGCCCGTCCAGCAGTCGATGTCATTCCCTTCTTCTCACGTAGGTAGGTACATAGGCAGGTTCCTAGCCGCACACCTAACTCGATTGCAGTTTCCGACTTAATTCAGTCGTCTCTTCCGCCCCCTCCCTCCCCCTCCCTCCCTTCTTCTACCCGCCCCCAGACGCCCACTCAGGGAGGAGTAGCGCAGACAAGATGACAACAACCAGAGATGCCTCAGTTATGGTTGGCCGCGAGTATCTCGAGACTATTTTGCAACGGTAAGTCCAAGGAGAGCCGGGGCCCCACCCGGAACGTACCTATTTACGGATCTACTCTAGTAGCAATGCTGACCGGGCTCCCTCTCCCTCTCAACCCTACAGAGCAAACATTGTACGTTCCAAGTCAGCATATACACCGCGAAGTCCCAGTGATCTGACCTAGCCGCCTAGGTTCATGATAGCCGATGCCGGAACGACCTGCACTCGAGCCAAGCAGACTCGGTCGTGTGCCTCCCCAGGGACGAGTACGAGGAGCTTCTTCTTGCCAAGGCCCAATACGGTAGGTAAATCACGATCCAATCGCACTGATTCGGTCCGTTTAAGGCAAACACTGATCGGCATCTTCCCAGAAAATATCACACGCAATCTCTTGGGTGCAGGCGTAACTGCGGATTCCATCGAGGCAAGTATTCCGCTGATAGTATCTCCCTTAGTCATCTGGGCGCCTTTTCTAACTGCAAGAGCGTTTCTTGTAACGGACTTGTAGGCTCTAAGCCAAGGTGGTCCTCTTCCCCTGCAAACTAGCAACGCCCCAAAGCCTCCCTCTTGTAATAAGGAGGAGCCCAACAAGGGAAGCGCAGGGCCGAGGCCAGTCCCACGTGCGCCCGTGAAAAGCCACGAGAGTCTCGAAGAACCCCCCGACGCCGATGTTAGGAAGCGCTTCGCCCAGCCGGATAAGCGCCCGGACTGGGTCGACCCGGATCCGGATGGCCCAGACAACTCGCCCTCTTATTCGGCGGATACCACTCTAGTGCCCGAGCCGAATATCGACGGCGAGAAACGACCGCCTTATGTTCGTGTATGCCAAAGAACGATTCTGCTGTGGGGCTTGCCTGAGAAAACCACTTACTGGGATGTGACGACTATCATCTCTGGTGGCGTGCTGGTGGATATATTTCTACGGGCCACCGAACGGTTGGCTTATGTATCCTTCCTTCACGAGGAAGATGCTGTCCGATTCTACGAGCACACGTTGGTGCATAACATCTATATCAAGGGCAAGAGAGTGGGTTGCCTTGATTTCCACTTTCTCTTTAGCCATCTGATCGAATGCTAGGTTTTGACTCGATGGGCAGATCGCCAGTTTCAGCTCAACACACACGTAGTCGGCAAGGTTCGGATCGGCGCAACCCGCAACCTGGTAATCCATAATTGCAATGCCGGTATCACCGAGAATACTATCCGGGACGACCTGGAGCACATCCACAACTTGGCTGTTATCAGGGTTGACTTCATGGGCCGCAGATGCCACATCAAGACCAACTCGGTATACAACGCCTCGTTTGCCAAGATGTGTATGATCAGTCGAGCGTAAGCTTGGCCTCCTGACATCCTAGGGAAAGGGTATCTAATCGTGACGTTGCAGGAAATACAAAGGCTCCAAGGTCGAATGGGACGTAGACGAATGCGAGCGCCCCATCGACGTCGTCCCGCAGGCGCAGCCCAAGCAGCCCAAGCAGCCGAAAGCCAAGCCAGCCCCGAAGGCAGCAGTTGCCATGCCTAACCGTTTTGCGACTCTCCGCCTTGACGATGATGACAACATCGACAGCGCCGAGGAAGCCGACGATGAGCCCGGTACCCCTTCAGGGTCTCTAGGCGTAGTTAGCGTCAGTTCGTAATCCTCTACGCGTGGGTTGACGCCAGTCTCGGTCTCGTTTCGTCGGTAACGCTTCCACCCGTGCGTCTACCCTGGGCGAAGTTGCGGGTTCGTAATCCAATGATTCATCGAGACTGGTATGCCGGTGTGATCGATACCTCGACGGGAATGGGAAAGCCGATCCCCCATCAAGAGAATGAGAATCTGGAGAAGGGAGACTTATCTGACAATATTGCGATGCGTCCACGGGGGATTTGTTCATCGCCAACAGTAGCAATATACCCAGACATGTACCTGTGCTTTTACAGACTGTACCGTAGCTAGCTACCTATCTAGTTATTGCGGACGACGCGGCGTTAGTTACCGAGCTAATATGGCGTGCTGTGTGTGGTGAAGGAAGTCCTACGTAAGATGCTCCAGATCAGGGTCGTACATAGATACCCAGGTAATACAGGTTTAGAGCTAGGACAACCTTCACCTCAGTCATGGACCATCTCGGAGCTGACAAGCTCGCCCCTGCATCCCCACCTTTGGCCCGAAACCGCGGTACTGGGTCTCGCTTACGGCTTTTAAACCCCATATGTATGTACCTATGTACATAGGATAAGAAAAAGAGAACTATTTTTAGGTCCAACACATGGTTGAAGTGTGGGTTTAAGGTTGCTGGCCACAAGACATATCGACCCTTTTCGTGTGTAGACACTAGGGCCTGGCTTAGGCTAGAGCCAAACCGAGGAGGGTTTTCAAGAATATCTGCAGTGTACTCATATGTATGTCTTGTTGCAGCCGATAATTCTTTCCACCATTCATATGGAGGATCGAGGTTGCAACAAACTGGAGGGGTAGCGCACTACATAGATCCATGCCTTGATACGTCGATTCTCCTGCCTATAATCTTATGGGTAGATCCCTTATTAGGTGCTTGAGATACGACAAGAAAAAAAAATGAAATTCTGACGGGCAGGGTTAAATTATAACAAATACCCTACGCATTGACGCGGATGACAAGAGTCTACAGACGCCGGAACGGAGAGACCAGTAGGCCAGCGTTCGTCAAGGTACTATTTCCTAGCCCCTCCTAACTCGGGGTATGCGACATGCACTCCGTCGATCTCGCCACTGCATATTGGGTAGCCATCCTTTCTGGGTCTTTTATGTCTGCTGTTTATATAGATATCAGGTACCTGGGCGTAGATATCAAACCCTTTGCTCCTGCATTGCCTGTATTACCTGAGTACTAAAGGGGGTAAGGCAGCTTAGGGATCTTGACCAGTGCCTATAGCACCTCTCTAGCTGAGGTCCTAATCGGCGGTGAGAATATCGATATCCATATTGATTCTGCTGTAAAGGATGTACCTAAGGTACGTGGGTACGTAGGTAGGTACATCTCCCAATGTAGCATAGGGAACGTACCCGAGTACTTGGCATAAAGCCCAAGCCACATGGTGCAGATATGCGATGTTAGGTCTGCACGCACCATCAGCCACTGGCCGACGCCTCGCAGCGGCCCGGCAAGGCTCCTGGCCCCCACGTCGGCAGATCCCAGGTCGCACGTTGACCGATTTGGCCAGTGCTTCCATGCCCAACCAACGCGAACCCGTCAAACAAATACACGCACGCATCCATGCCTCCTACCTACCTACCTACCTATGCTTGGCCTTCTAGCCTTTCCATCCGTCTCGTCATCTCCCTTATCTACCTGCCTACCTGGTGAAGCCGTCGTCCGGCCTTCTAGAAAAAGACACCAGGTCCGCTCTCTCAACTCCTCTCGGTCCTGTGGTCCTCATCGCCCAAGCCTCAGTCACACGTAGGTACCCATGTCCGGCGGCAAATCGCCTCAGCCGTACCTACAAAGCTTATGAAGTATCGCACCCCCCTTGCCCTCTGCCACAAGTCGTTTCAAGCTGGGAGAGCTTGTCGCCAAACCCCGCCCTGACAAAGCTGCGTCGTGTGGTCCCGCCATCGGCCGGTCTGCCAGCTCGACCACAATACCCCTCCCCTCCTTCTCCCCTCCCGCTCCCATCCCTGCCTGAAATCATCCGTCGTTGTCATGCGAATAAGCCTAGTCCAACATGGCGCAAGGAAACATGACATTACAAGACTGTACGTGAAATGCCTCAGCCGTTCTCCCGTACGAGAGCCTGCCAGCACGGCAGGCTGCCTCAATTGACAGAGAGCTAACAACCTGGTTCCCCCCTCTCTTCTCTGTTCTCTTAGGGCTGGACGACCTCTGCGTTAGATTCATCATCAATCTCCCCCGAGAAGATCTGTCCTCCGTCGCCCGCATCTGCTTCCAAATTGAAGAGGCACAATGGTTCTACGAAGATTTTATCCGGCCGCTAGACCCGAGCCTGCCATCCATGGGCTTGCGGACTTTCAGCCTCAAGATGTTTCAGCACTGCCCGCTACTCGCCTCCTTCTCCGCCGAAAGCCATATCCGTGCCTTCGAGGAGTTCATTGCCTACAAGCAGAGAGTCCCGGTCCGGGGTGCCATCATGCTCAACGACGCCATGGATGCCGTCGTTCTCGTTCGCGGTTACAAGAAGGGCTCGCGCTGGAGTTTCCCGCGGGGCAAGATCAACAAGGACGAAGATGACCTGGACTGTGCCGTTCGTGAGGTTTACGAAGAGACTGGCTATGATCTTCGGGAGGCGGGCCTAATCGATAGGAACGAACCGCTCGCTCCCCTCCAGGTCACCATGCGAGACCAGCACATACAGCTCTTCGTGTTTCGCGGCATACCCGAGGACACCGTCTTCAAGACGAGGACCAGGAAGGAGATTGGCGACATCAAGTGGTACGGGGTTTCGGAGCTTCCAGCCTACCGCAAGAAGGGCGCCGGGAAGAACAATGGTGCCGACGGTCTTTCTAATGATAAGTTCCATCTGGTTGCGCCCTTTATGGTTCAGCTGCGGCAGTGGGTCTTGAAGCAGAGAAGGCTGGACTCTCAAAAGGCCAACGAGTCAAGCAGCCACCATCGCCCACAGGCGTTGTACGAGGACACCTTGACGGACGACAACGCATTTCATGAGCCAGCTCAAACGTCGCCCGCTCGGGAATCAAACTCGGATTTCATCGACAGCGCGACGAAGGAGCTGCAGCGGCTGCTCAAGGTCAGGCCGCCGACGCAGGGCTTGCAGATTCCTTCCGCGACGACCAACCTCCACGCTGGCCAGGCGCTCCTGTCTCTCTTGCAGCCTCGGGTGGCAGGCGATGAGCAGGCACCTAGCCAGTCTCGCGGAGTTCCTCGCGCGCCGTCTGAACACACGTTCGCGGAAGCTTCTCAACCACCCCCTTCTCACCATCAGCACACTCCGCAGCGGGTGTCCGTTTCTGGTTATGGGCTTACGCCGTCATCCTCGCTCGGGGCGAACCCAGGCGTAGGTTACCAGCAACCCCGAGCCCGGCCACATGTGGATATCCCCACGGAGGTTCCTCACCCATCCATGTACTCGGAGCAAACCCACCAGTTCCGCAGCCAACCCCCAGTGCAGCTCGTACATCCACAACCGCTACCACCCCAAGTTCAGAAAGCAATGCTTCTTCATGGCATGGCCTCGACCCCTCAGGCTGCGGAGCCTACTACGAACCGACCGTGGCCGACCGGGTTGCCTCAAGGAAATCCACACATCAACCAAGGCACCCAATTCCTCCATGGCACGCAGAATCCCCCCTCGGAGAAGAAACCCTCTTCGCTGCTGTCTGAACATTCGGCGAGCCTGCTTAACGCCCTTAAAAGCAGCGCAATTCAGTCCAACTCGGGCCAGCAACCTAAGCCGATATCTTCACAGCAAGGCGCATACATCCCAGTCGACCACCAAAGCCATCCACAGCCTATCCCGCCACCGAAAAATGGGTATACTGGCCAGTATAGCCACTCCTCGACCTTGGCTTCGAGTTTCAATTCGATGACAACGAATCACGCCCAACCGGGTTCGACGAGCTCTGATTTACGGCCCCTGCACCCGACCGACAAACACCGCGCGGGTTTACTTGATATGTTTAAGACCACCGACTCCTCGCAGAGTGCGCTCGACGAAGACGGCGCAGCTCGTCGTTCCTCCCAACCTGACGAGGCCGAGAGGAAGCGGCAGTGGGCCGACCAATCCCCTTCGGCCGCCAACACGCTAAGATCAGCCGCGTACGAGAACGGTCGCCTGGTACAGATGAATCCGGAGACCAACTTACCATTCCGAGCACTTGGCATTTTATCTCGTCCTCGGGGAAACCAGTCGCCAGGCGACGTCGGACAGCAGCTTCCTGACGCCTCTCGATATTCGGCGGTTGGATCACAGGGCAGCCGCAAGTCATCGTTCACGAAGGCGTCGCCGCGGCCTCATCAACACTCACAGCCGAAGCCGCAGCCGCAGCCGATGGCGCCGACATCACGCAGCGATTACCAAAGTTCGACGCAGTCCTATCCCTACGGCCCTCCCCAAGGAGCTGGGCCGAACTCGCTCGGGATGTATTCGAACCCCCCTCCTACGTCGGCACTGCCGGTCCCTAGCGGTGTCCAGTTCCAGAAAGACTCGACGGCCGAGCAGAAGAATACACTCCTATCGCTATTCGGAAAACCTAGGCCTGGTCCGGAGCAGGACAAGGGTAAAGAACCAGCAACAAGCGATCAGTTCGGGCCCGGCGGCGTTCCGCGGTCCCGGCTGGGCTCGGTTACCTCTAGCGAAGGGAAATCGGCGCTGCGCGGGGGCGGGTCGAGGCGGGAGAGCCAGACAGCTCTGTCGTCAGCAGATAGAAATTTCTTGTTGAACTTCTTGGAGAACGCGTCCGGCAACGCTAGGCGTTGACGGAGATGTCGGCGCAACCGGACGGGAGAGGTTGGTCCCATGGTGTCGGGGCAAATACTACGCAGTATAGGGGGGAGATGATTGGGGGAGGGTGATGGACACAAGTTCGCTAAACAGTTGGGGCAGTTGGGTTAGGGAGGAGTTGTCTACGATCGATGGTATACCCCTTGTATCTTAAACCAGGAAGCTATAGCGCGTGCTAACATGGGCTTTGATTTTCTGGGACATTGTTATAGGCACGTGCCCGAAGTCAATACGGGTTACAGCCGGTACGTAGTATATAAGACCTGTAGTGGGAGCAGTATAGTATAGTATAGTATAGTATAGGGCGAGGCGCCTAACGACCTGCCTATAGGTGCTAGCGTGCGCGCGCGGTAAGTTGTTACAATTGTTGGCCAACGTGGACATTGGTTGGGAATTAGGGGGCATGGGAACGAATATCTACCATTATGCGTATGTCGTTAGGCAGTATAGGCGTCTAGAGGAGGTACTTGATCTCATGTACCTGTACATAGACTATGTACATACCTGCCTGGGACGGTGCTCACCTCCACTTGGTACCCCGCCAACAAGGAAGGTCCTCTCCCAAATGCAACTTCCAGGTAGGAATGTACTCATAGCCTCAACCTCTTCCAGACCAGAGAAGTCCCCGTCTTTACTCTACGACACGCCTGCGGCCCTGTGCCTATTCCCAATTCCCCTGCCTACCAACTTCATCATTTCCTATCTTAACCCCAAGAGTAGACAGCGGCGTCATATCGTCGAGAACAAGCTGCAACCACCGCGATAGCAACAACGCCAGGCTACGACGGAACCGCGCAAGCAATCCATCATGGCGCGACTGACGCAAGCGCCCATCACGCCCAGCCGGAACGTGTCCAACTCAGATTCCCTCGAGGACCTCGACCGCCTGCTCGCCCGCTTGCAGAGCAACATACTGCACGCCGACGCCGAGCGAGAGAAGCGGCTGCGTACGAGCGAGTACGAGCGCAGCAGAGTCAACGTCGTACGTCATCTACATTCATCCCGCGCCCTACTCCTTCTCCTGCCCTCTCTACCTCATGCTACCTCCACGCTTTCTCCCCTACCTCCCGGCCTGCCCCAAGAGAAGATAAAGCTACTAACCGGCGAGGGGCGCCGCGCCTCCGACAACAGAACCTCGAGTACGCACAGACACTCCTAGCGAAGCTAGAGCGGGACGCGGCGGGCGTCAAGGCGCACGCGCGGCGACAAGAGCTTCAGGCCGACCTGGGCCGGAAGCGCGAGGCGCTCGAGCAAGTGGCCGAGCGGCTGCGCGAGATCGAGGACATTAGCGTGTACAGCGACGAGGACAGCTCTGAGGGCGAGGACGTACTCGGCGGCATCGACACTCCGAGTGAGAGCGTAAAGTCAGTCCCGTCCGGCGCCGCCGCCGCTGCAGATTGGGGGGAGGCAGAGGGCGACGACGACGAAGGAGACGACGAAGAGGAGGCGGGCGAGGAAGTATACGAGTCGGCCGCCCTCCCCGAACTTCGACAACCAGATCCGCCCAATCTCCCGGCTCTCAGCACTGCTACCTCGACAACACAGCAGCCGCAACCGACGACGTCGACGTCAGCTACCTCCGCGCCAGCGCCGGCCGCAACCGAAACCGCAACAACGACAACCCAAACCCTGCGCGCCCGCGGTCCCGCCTCCCAGCCGCAGCACGCCACCGCGCTCCCCGACACGGCCGAGACGACCGCGCTCCGCGCGCGGCTCTTCGGCGACCGGAACACCGCGGACGCGTCCGCAGCGACGACGACGGCGACGGCGGAGGCCATCCTCGACCGCCACCGCGCGGAGCAGGAGGACCTGACGTCGTCGATGGTGGCGATGGCGCGGTCGCTCAAGGCGTCGACGCACCGGTTCTCGTCGGCGCTGCTCGAGGACGCGGACGCGCTGGCCGCCGCCGGCCGCGGGCTCGACGCCGGCGGGCGCGGGCTCGACACGGTCGCGGGCCGCGTCGGCGTGCTGCGCCGCGCCACCGAGGGCAAGGGCTGGTGGGGCCGCGTCCTGCTGTACGTCTGGATCGCCGGCCTCGCCCTCTTCGCCGTCCTCCTGGTCTTCGTGTTCCCGAAGCTGAGGTTCTGAGCGGATGGGGAGGAGAGAGAGGGAGAAGGACCGCACGGCAGGTGCTTCCCTTCGAGAGCCCCTCGGCCCGGGGGGGGGGGCTCCGGGGCGCTGGCCGTAGCTTACGGTCTGCCTGCGGCTCCGGCCCGAGAGAGAGAGGGGGGGAGAGAAACGGATGTCCTGAGTGGCGTGAGACGGCCCGAGTCCGGGCCTGGAGGCAACGACGGCACGATAGCTCCACATCAGCGCGCGCTTTAGGCGTGGGATAGTATAGTTCCCTTGAGCGATGTGAGGGAGTAGAACGGATAGAGAAAAGAAAAAGAAGGGAGGCAAGACCCCGGGGGGTGAGGTAACGGCGGCTACTATTGTCCTTTTTTTTTTTTTGTCTGCGAGGCGTTCCGTGTCGAGATAGCCGGCTGCTATGTATGAATATTAAAAGTCTTTACCAAACCTGAGCGAGAAAGAGAGAGTGAGAGAGAGAATACCCCCCGTTGCCCGCCGGAAACGGGCGTTTAGAGATCCGTCAACTCGAGCCAGCGAGCGTCTACATCTGCACCCGGTTGTCAACGTGGGTAATTCAAACATGCACAAGGCCCCAATACGCGCTCACGGCCTCAGTCACGAGTTCGGTAAATCTGGCGGGTATCATTAAAATCACGTTTACGTAGTCCTGGGAACGCCCCTCGCCATACACACATAAGCCCCATTTCGTGTTTCTTTCTTTCCTTCCCTCCTTCTTCCCTGCCCCCCCCCCTCTCCCCCGGCCCTCCCGCTCCTCCGGCGTATCAGAACAGGGTGCTCTTCTTACTCTGGATCTTCCTGATCCTGTCGCTGTCGGCGCTGCCGACCCTCCTGCGGCCGTGCTGCTGCTGCGGCGGTGGGGGCCCGGCCATGGGGCCGAGGCCGTGGAACCAGGTGCCGAAGCCGCCGCGGCCGTGCGGCTGCGGCCCCGCGCTGACGGGCCGCGCGGGCGGCACGGGGACCTGGAGCTGGGGCGCGAACGGCTGGCCCGGCGCCGCCGGGGACCGGGGCGGCAGCCTGGGCGCCGGGCCGAAGCTCTGGCCCGCCAGCCCGAACTCGCGCCGCAGCCGCTCCGTCTCCCGCGCCACCTCGGCGTCGCGGCGCCGCTGCTGCTCCCGCGCCTCCGCCTCGAGCATCCGGCGGGTGCGCGCCTCCTCCTCGCGCTCCCGCGCCTCGCGCTCGCGCTCTTCTTGCTGCACCAGCGCTTGCAGGCGCTTCGTCTCGGCGTCCAGCCCCGCGTCTCTCGGCGGCGTGGTGGGGGAGGCGACCCCCCCCGGAGGCGCGATGCCCAGCGCGCCGGTCATGACGTGGGCCGGCGAGGCCGAGGGGGCCGCGGCCGGGCGCGAGTTCCGGCGCCGGTTCGCGGCGCCGCCGCCGCCGCCGCCGCCGATGTTGAAGGAGTCCCGGCTGGGCGACAGGTAGATCTCCCGGATCACCTCGGCGCTGAGCAGCAGCACGATCTCCAGGCCTTTCCGGTCTTCCACGTCTACCCTCTGCAGATTCGGCTCGTAGATCGTCAGCCCGGGCTCCCGGCCGTGCTTGTAGAACGCGATCGTGATGTCCGGGTCCTTGCTCTTCTTGCCGCCCACCGACGTGCCGGTCATGTAGCACGTCATGTCTCTGGAGAACTTGCTGTCCCTCTTCCACTTGAACAGCACCTTGGGGGTGAGGCTGCTCGCGACCGGGTCGTTCTGCTGGCGATCGAGCTGCGAGGCAGAAGGCCTGCGAAAACTCTGCTGGGGTATCTCGAACTCCCACGACTCCTTTCCGGTCCAGGTGCTCTTCTCTCCCCTCATGGCGACCTGCTGTTCGGGATTGTAGAGCTGTATGGTGAAGCCGTCCGGTATCAGAGGCACAGGAGGCGGGGGGGCAGCGTTCGGCTGCCTGGCCTCGGCTGCGGAGAGAGCAGGCCGCTGAAATTCGGGCTCTATCAAAACCTCGGCAAAGATGACATCCTGGATGGCCGCGTCGCCTAAGGCCACCGCATACTTACCCCTGGACTCGGGCAGGGCTGGATTTATCTTCCGGATAGAGTACTCTGGCGCAGGCTCGGAGCCGTTTTGGGAGAAATAAAGGATGCTCAGGAGTGGATTGTTAGACGACTGTCTAAAAGTGAAGGCAGGTAGGTTCTCGTCCAACATGTTGATGGTTGCTTTCACGTCTTCGTGCGCAGCCAAGTCGTGCTTCGTTTGCCTAGCGCAGCCTGTTGCCGAAACGGGTGGTTCAGAAGAAGGCAATTCGGTTCGGCGGAAGGGGTTGGGATGAACAAAGCATAGGACAGGTAAAATGTATCGAGACGGAAGAAAGGCGATTAAATGCGCCGGGATTTGCTGCGCAGCCGACTTCACATACGTACGCTGTGGGTAAAGGCAGGGGACGAGGGTGACGACAGCACCGAACTAAGCGCGGGACTGCACAGCGGGCGACGTTGGCGAGGAGGATCCAGCAGTGAGGCTGAGCGAGTCGCGAAAAAGAACTACAATCGAGGGCACGCCAAGAGCCGCCAGACTCGTAAGGACCGTACATACATACGCAGCTAGGTACGTAAGGCGGACGATGACAAGAAGGCTGGCTGGATCGTCGACGGGTACTATTTTCATCCCCGTCAGCAACGCGTAGCTAATATGGATCGCAAAGTATACATGGGTAGTAGGTATAGGGATAGATAAGTATGTATGAGGGTGCGCGGGCAGGTAGAAGTTGAGACGAAAAAAAATATATATATGCGAATTAGCACATAAATGTAAACCGGCAGAGGAGAAACGAAGGTGGAAGAGGTCTCATTGTCATCATGTGCCTGTTTGTCTCTTCGCCCCGTCCATCTCATCGTCGCTCCACGCCCACAACGCCCACAGCCCACAGCCCACAGCTTGAAGGGGGGGGGGGCGCAAGGACTTCGGAGTGGGAACGCCCGGGGTACGCCACGAGGCTCACCTATGTACCAATATGTACCCACATATACCCACATGTACCTACCTGCCTAGGCAGGTACACCTGCCCACTCAAGATAGGTGCCTTCTAGTTCTTATGTGCACGTGGTAAGGTATCTATGTGGGCAGGGTACCTAAGGTACGAGGTGCCTACCTGAGGGTACTCCCATCGTCTTTTTACATGCCTCATTTGCAGCTCAGGGCTATGAGTCCGCCTATAGGCTTTAATTGCAGGCGCTCGCCTTAGGTACCTGCACGGGCACCTACCTCCTACAGGTAGAGGTACCTAGGTAAGCACCTAAGGTTAGGTACCTTCTAACCTCCTAACCTAACATAGAAGATGTGATATATAAGGGCGTGAGATATCCCCTATTTACATATGCGATCTTACCTATTATGAGGCACCGAGAACGGCGAGCTTAGTATATACCTTAGGTAGGCTGGTAGGTAGATACGAATCCCACCTGATTACTTGCTATGCTGGCTGGAGAGAGACCGAGTCGGCTCGGCTTAGGTAGTTTCACCACCCGGTTACGTAAATCATGGCCTCGCCGAACCAGAGCTTCATCATCAACGCGCGTTCCCACCCCCCTTTTCCAGATTCCACAGCCAGACAAGCATATATGGATGCATACCTGCCTTTCTATCTGTACGGTAAAGAACCACCTCGATTCGTCCTAATGCACGTGCGTGTAGACCCTGTGGATCCAAGTACGCCTAGCATCCAGAAATGAGGGAGAAAGTCCCGTCACGGTATTAATATCATCTGCCCCCTATCTCTAGCTCCGCCGCTTTCCCTCTATATCCTCCAGCCCCAGTATATGAAAAGGGAAAAGAAAAATACATGGTATATCGAATGTCAGAGAACGGAATTCCGACCGGTACACCTGGGCAAGGCACGGCGTTCCGCTCGAGGATACGACTGCAGCGTACGTAGGTAGATAGGTAAGGTTATATAGTATATGTACACATACAACGCATATGTAACAGAGATTGGCTGGCGTGAGGATGAGCCGCGACGGGCGTGCTCCTCCCAAGGTAAACTGTCGCACCGCTGCGCATCACGACTCCACGTCCGAGCCTGGCTAGCTTAAAAGAAAAAAGACTCCCTCGTGGGGATGGAAAAGTAAGCGTAGGGCTAAAAGCGAATTCTCCTGTGGGAAAGTTTATGTCTTTTTTTCTGTCTTGTAATATTACGTGGCATGGTAGCCCTCTTTTGTCACCGGTACATGGTGGATCGGGTCATGCTCAACTCGCCCGGGATCGCCGGCATGACCGGCACCTCACCACGCTCCCGCGCTCGAGAGCGCGCCCTCTTTGCTCGTCCCGCCTGCTGATTTACCCAGCTTCCTATAGAGCGAAATCGGGCTGGACGATCCTCGCTCGTCGTCGTGTAGATCGTTTCCCTCCTGCTCTCCCTCCTACTCTGTCTCCGGTCCCCGTCCCGACTCACCCAGGAATCTCTAGGAGCCGGCTTCTCCGGACCATCTGCGCCGCCCGCACTATCTGCCAGCGGAACGGGTGCGGGCATGGGCATGGACATGCTTAGATTCTGGGGTACGATAATATCGCCATCGCCAAACCCGGAAGAGATCGACGATATTTCGCTGGTTCGGTTCGACCGTCTCGCCGGGAGATACGCTTCCGGCGGCTGTTGAGCAACATCAGATTGGTTGTAGTAAGGGTCGGGCGCCTGAGATCTCATCGTTAAGTTGGCATTGGCATTGCCTGCTTCGTAGTGATCGGCGATACCGAGGTGTACCGGGTTGACATTTAGTGGTTGCGGGAGTGTCCCCGCCTCGGAATTCCGGGCGATTGGGCGAGCGACGCCACCCGGGGCGTAGTAGGCCGGCATGGTGCCGTACTCGCCCTTCTCATATATAGGAGGCGCCTCGTTGGCCCCGCGCACCGGGGTACCGTTCCAGGTGCCCTCCACCGGCCCCTTCCGCTTCCAGGGGAATTTATCGATGAACCCCATGCCACTAGGACCGCCGAAGCTCTGGCCTCTGGATCTCTTGAAAACCCTGTAGATGATCCAAGAAATGAAGCAGAATAGGATGAAGGCGCCTAGATCACATTAGTCACCTGTTTTGATTGCGAATCGAGGTCCCATCTACCTATTGACCCGACGGCAATGAGAACATGTTCCGCTGTGGGATCTAGCTGCCGTCCGGGCAGGTCCCTGTCACCTTCCACCCGCCATTTAACCCAAATGCCGTCATTGTCATCGTCGTCCATACTAAATTCGCTGCTGGGGGTTTGGCCTATTGCCGAGGTGGTCGCTGTCTGTAGCTGAGAAGATGCCGGCGTCGAAGTCGATAAAACCTCCGTATTGATAGACGGCAGTATGGTGGTATCTGGCCCAGCCCCCTCTCTCAACACGGTCGAGGGTAGAAGGATGAGACCTGGATTGACCGGATCGACAGGGGCCTGTGAGTCGATTAGTCCAAAATACCTCCACACTATATCAGTATATGAGCATACCAGCAAGGCCGGGGGGGTTGGGGAGGGAGATGGCCGTCGTAATGATGGACTATTTATGCTCTCCGGCCCATTAGTAGCTTGACTCGGAGGTAGCGCCGTCAAAGTAAGGATAGATCTAGAAGAGCTCGTCGATGTCGGTATTATGATTCGGTCGGGAATGTATTCATCGATCTCGCTATCGTCAAAGCCGTCCGACCCATCGAAGCTGTCCGCGTCGCTTTCGCTATCCCGATCTCCGACGAGTCCAAGCCTATCGTCCGGACCGTCATCGTCGATTTGCCGCCTGACAAAATTGGCATCACCCCGTTTCTTGTGTAAGCTCCTGACGCGGAAAGAATCGCCGCTATCATCGCTTTGTTCCGAATTCTCGCGCGACGCTAATGTTGACCGTCGATCCATTTGTGGTGATCTCGTCCATGATCGGGTATTCGGGGACCGTCGCCTCTCGTATGATGGCGGCATATTATCACTCGCGAACTGTCCTGGCGCACTAGAATGCTCTGCATTTAAGCACCAACTTCGATTTCCACTATGACATGACCGGCAGGTGGGAAGGCGCGCGAACGAATGACTGGTGATATTATTTTGAACCGTTCGAGATACGTTCAATGGGGGAGAATAGATAACAAGAGATCGAAGGAAACGAAAACAGAACAAAATTCCCAAGCCAGGGGGAGTTGAAAAATCGAATGACAATAAGGCCTGCCTTAGTGAGTAGAGAGAGCGAAGGGGGGGAGAGGAGGAAAAGAGAGCGGGAGAGAGAGGGAAGAAGAGCCTACGAGGTTGAGGGTACTGAGCAACGGGAACAGAAAGAAATTCGAGAAGGCGTCTCAAATTCGGCAAGGTCTGCCCGCCTGGTGAGGTCCGAGAGACCTTAGCCCCAGTACAAGGCGTCTCAAGGACGGAATGGGTGGCCCTCTTTCGACGACCCCCATCGACCCTTGCTCGAACACGGTTCTTCAACGCGTGCCCAGTTGCAGAGTTAGCAGAGGTATGTGTACATGCATATGTACCTACATATATACGCACCTACTGCGTCTAGAGGCAGGCATTGCAGACGAGGCCGCAGACCAGTTCATTCTCCCTGGGTCCCCACAATGCCAGCAGAACGGCGAGAGCGGGGAGGGCATCGCGGTTTTCGACTTGCCGTCACATTGCAAGTGAATGCCATTGTCGGCCCCTACCTATCTCGATTGAGCTTAGCGAGGCACAAGGACGGTCTTGGAGGTATGATCTACAAGACGAAGCCATTCAGACGAGCAGGAGGGTACGAGAGTATCGGCCGCGCGTAGAAGCCCCTAAGACCCGGGACGGGGCACCAAGCTACTGTACTCATAGACGAATAGCCACGCGCGAACGTCAACCTATACAAATTTACGAGTCGCTTCTTGTTTGAGCCTCGACATGCCGGTGGCAAGAAAGGCGGCTATAGAGGGTGTCGGAGGACAGCGACGCGTATCCTTTGACGACGGCAATCGAATGAAGCCCAGGTGCGCGAGAGCAGTCAGGACGCAGGCATACCCGTAGGGGTTAGGGGTGTAGAAGAAAAGGGAGACGATAGCGAGCAGGCCACGGGCTTGGTTGGTATTGTGACGAAGACGACCAGGGCGTCCCGTCTCAGACAGGGGCGGCTTGCGGGGACCGCCAGGTTTCAAGCCAGGGGTTTCGACCAGCGGCGCCCAACTTGATACCGGATCGGCGTCTTGCCTCGCATCTCGCACGGGCTCTGCCTACATATGAGTATTCCACACCACCATGCAATCAGGTATCGGCTGCTTTCGCGGTCGGCAACGCGGCAGTCTAGCGTCCTTTGAGCCGCCCACGACGAGCTGGCGCCCTCTAACGGCTAGACGGGGATACCTTCAAGCTAGCAGGGTTACGGTGCAATTACATCCAGGGCACAATTTGGAGACGGTAAAGAGGGACGACGGGGTGCGTATATGTAGGGTGTGTGCGTGTGTGCGTGTGTGTGTGTGTTGTATGTGTGTATGTGTGTATGTGTGTGTGTGTGCGTGTGCGTGTGCGTGTGTACGCGAGAGAGTGTGTGTGAGGAGGAGGGGGTGGGTGTGTGTGGGAGGTGTACGTTAGGGGGAAAAGGAAAAGGAGAAGCCCAGTCTCCCTCATACCACCTGGTAGGGCCAAGCTATCTCGATAGCAGCCCACCAACTCATACATGCACACGAGCTCAGGGGCAGTAAACTCTAGGCGACTACTCGTACGCTGCCCTAGCCCGGGGGTGTAATTAGCAGAGGGCGTTGGAGGGCCAAGGCACGCTAAACAGCTCGGCGTCAAGGTGAGCAAAGCCGTCGTAAGCTCCGGGCCGACGGCAGGAAGACGAATGCAGATTCGCGTCTGGCCGTTATAACAGCTGTCGTATAGCCTGCCGCCGATCTCCGCTCGCTGGTCCGGACGGCCGTCGATTGCTTGCATGCCCGCTTGCATGCCTGCAAGCATGTGTCGGTCGATGGGGAGAGATTGGCGGCCCTGAACGGCCCGGGGCAGGTTTGACACCCGCCATGTCGGCGGCAGCGGTAGAAGAGCAGCAAGACGTCACCTCCCCTCCCCAACAGTGGGAACTCGAAGTTAAGATGGGCAGCACAGCCAATTGGCGTCGGGCTGTCGTCGCCGTCGAAATCCAGAACGTCGAAAGGGGGGGCACGACCCGCATGAGTCGCCTTAGAAGAAGGAGCGGGATAAGCAGTGGGATACGGGGAGTGGGACTCCTTCCTCTCCTGGAGGCCTGAGTACCACGTACTGGGCGTCATGCTGACATCGCACCCGGCCTTTCCCCGGGCCACCACTCAGGGGAACCGCGAGAGACGGCCTCGGCGGGACAGACAATATGCACCTACCTCTCTCTACATACCTACCTACCTCCTATCCGCGGTGCCTGAGACATGTACCTGTAGGCTATCGGGAGCCGAAGCAGGTTGGAAGTAGCCGGTAATAGCTTATGTAGTACGTAGGTACCTACATCCTCGTGTCCTCTCTTCCCCCCTCCCTCCCTCTCTCTCTCTCTCTCTTCCTCCCCCCGAAGAAAACGGCAACGTTGCCGAGAATCCAACCTCGCCCGTCAACCCCAGGTCGCGTCGCCTCTCCGCAGCACCGCCGCCCAACTTGCCCGACTATCTGAGGGAGACGAGCTCTTAGGCCAATCTCCTCTTCTCCAGCCGGCCCAGTCTCCCCGAGCCAGCTACCCGCATACATACTACTACCTCACGTACTGGGGAATGTAGGAATGGTAGCGTCTGCAAGTAGTACTGGATCTCCTCGCGCCGACTATCGAAAACGAACGCTACTCCTCGTCCTCTCCGCCCCAGACTCGGGAGATTTCGCCCAATCGGATCGTCGTCGTCATGGCTATCATCGTCTCCCCCATGACCGAGGCCGACATTCCAGGCGCCGTATCCGCAATACAGTAAGTGTGCGCGTGTGCCTCTCGTGCTGTATTCCTGCCTCGCAGTCCCCTCGCAATCGATGCGGCCGGATTCTCGATACGGTTTGTTACACATGCATACCTACCTATGAGTACATATATGTCGTGGCCGGGAGACGACGGCCGAGTCTGTACCTCCGCGCCGTCTCCGTCAGCCCTCTTCTGCCACTCCAGCTAACCGGGAATCCCTACTCGTAAGACAGGCCTTTGCCGACGACCCTTACAACAACTGGGTCTTCGACAAGTCCACGGTACGTAGCCATATTCTGCTCTTCTGCAAGATTTTGCGCGTTGTTGCGATTTGCCTGTAATCTCACGTCTGCGCCGATGCCAAGGACCGTTTCAAGGGCCCGGAGAATGAAGAGATGCAGCAGGTCCATAAGAACTTCGTATGTTTTAATATTCGGCATACCACCCAGCCAACCAACCCGTAACCGTGACACACACGCGAGCGCCCCCCTCCCTATAATAATGGCCATCGTCGGCTGATTGGTTCGTCTCTGCGGCCTCGGCTCGAGCTGGACGGCGGCGGTCTCTGTGTAACACGACATACCTACTAACCACACTACTTGCCAGTTCAATGCCCAGCGTAACGCGGTATCCCTCGCCATCCGATGCCGATGGGGCATACGCAACGGCATCTACCATGTTGCTAAGGAGCAGGGTAGCGACGAGGTGCTCGGCGTTGCGTGTTGGTTGAAACCTCACAGGGCAGGCCAGCCGCAGGACTGGAACGATTGGCTAGAAAGCTGGCGTCTGTGGATCAACCAGGTCGGAATGAACCTCTACTATGGCCGGGGCGGCCTCAACGTCAAGGTGAGTCGGTCTTCGGCCAACCACGAAGGCATAGGAGAGAGAAACAAGCCTTTTATTGCCGACTTGGCTACACGCTACGGTTACCCCAATACCACCACGGCTGGTAGGGGAGTCATGATGCTGAGATGGGGGAAACCCCTTCCCGCCTCGCCCCCTTTACACATGGCTCGTTTCACCCCTTGTATCAGCTGTGCGACGCGGAGCCAAGGCTCGGGTGCCCGACATCTTCAATCTCAAGGCTTAGATGCTCCCGGAAAAGAGGCCGCTAACCCACATTCCCCCCGTCTAGCGTTACTACATATGGAAAGACGCCCAAGCCAAGGTGCAGTCTGCTGTCTGGACTGACCCGAGGGGCTACTATTTCTTGAATATCATGGTAGTTCGGCCCAAGGCGCAGGGCAAGGGGATCGCGCGGCTCATGATGAAGGCCGTGACCGACCGAGCTGACGCCGAGGCGATGAACTGCTACCTCGAATCCAGCCGGGACAAGCCCAACATGCAGATATACGGCCGTCTCGGCTTCCGGTTCGCACAAAAGCTCGAGTGCGACGATAACGGAACGGCCATCACGCTTTATACCATGGTCAGGGAGCCCAATGCGGGCCCGCAGACAAATTAATCCCACACACATACACACACACAGAGAGAGAGAGAGAGATAGACATATATATGCGTGTGTGCATATATTACACGCAATATATACACGCGTGCGTACGTACACACACTCATGCCCTTTGAACCTGGACTGTCGATTGGTGGGCTGGGCCAGATTATAGCTGGTGTGAGACCTGTCCCGGTCTTGTCGGCACGTGTAAAATACCTATAATGAGGGGAGAGCTGCGCCGATCGTTTCAACCTCGGCCGTGCGTTTTAAGGCAAATGGAGCCCCGGTTCTCGATCTCTGTAGACACAATGCTCTCGTCCTCGCTCAGGCAATATACCCGTCGACGTACCTCAATCCGACCCCCCAGTCCAGCCCGGAATGCACTGTTCACGCGTTGCGTTGTCTACTCTCTTATCTCAACGATACGACCGGCGTGGCGGCGTCTGGCTGACCGTGATGGCACGTAACCACCAAGCTCGATCTTGGATGAGATATTTATCTAGCTGTTCCCATCTACCTTATCTTGGTTCCTTTAGGGTGGGGGACGTGGGAACTGCTTATTACGCATACGAGCGGGACCGCTGCCAGCTACAGGACTTCCCAGAGTAACACCCGCGAGGAAGAAGAAACCCCCGATCTGGGCTGACGTGGTTCCGAGAATCTCCCCCTCCATCGCAGGTCTATATTGGTAGAGGTAGGTAGGTCGATGTATAGGTGGATTGTCTATCCCGCGTGTCCACGAACGCTCCCACCGCATTGCCGGCCAGATTTCCCGCCGCTTTTCCCTACCCGCTTTCTATAGGCATGTCCCGTCTAGAACGTCTCTTACAACTCGACGACAATGAAACAAACCGAGGGGGGAAAAAGAAAAAAGGTACACTGCACTCAACGAGAGGAGGATACAAGAGTAAAAAAAAGAGTAGATGAGTAGTTAATTGGCCAAGGCGGTCGGATGCCGTCCCGGTATCACGAATTAGGTAGGTAGTAATATGGTAGTTTTGATGGCGTCTACTCCCGAGAAACGTCCCGCCCGTAGACCTTGGCCTTGACCCAATCGAGGGCTACGAGAACCCGGTTACGTGCTGTAAATAAGAACGAGATCGCGTTAGCGTCGTGCGCTTCAAAGATGGGGGGAAGGGGGAAGTTGGTAAGCGGGTAGACGTACTGCTGAAGCACATGCTCAGGTACGCGCTTCTCCAGAAGTAGTAGGTGAGCTTGCCGCCGGAGGCGACGTTGCCGTTGAGCCAGGCGACGTCGGCGACGGCCTTCTCGCTGCCGATGTAGGCCAGGCTGCCCTGGTGGGAGTAGTAGAAGGGCTTGATGTCCCTGAGGCGGCGCAGCTGCCGCTCGAGGTCCTCGATCTCCTGGGTCTCGGCCGCGGTGTCGCCGGGCTTGAGGTTCAGGCCGGAGCTGAGGTCGCGGATCTCCTGCTCGAGCGCCTCGGTCTTGGCCATGTTGTTGAACAGCCGCGCGAGGAAGGCGCCCTCCTGGGAGGCCACCTGCGCCGTCGGCGCGTACCCGGCCACGGCGCAGTCGCCCACCGCCCAGACGTCCCGCGTGCCCTGCACGACGAGGTACTCGTTCACGGCGAGGCCCCGCCTCGAGTCCTTCTGCGCCGCGATCTGGGCCGTGAGGTCCCGGACGACCGGGCGCACCGTGTTGCCGGTGGCCCACACGAGCAGGCCGAACGGGATGGTGACGAGCGACTTCTTGCCGTCGGGACCGGTGACTTCGGCTTCGACCGTCCTATCGGTCACCTTCTTAACCATCGTCTTGGTCATGATCGTGATGTGCTCCTCCTTGAAGGTGCTCTCGGTGTAGTCGATGAGCTGCTTGCTGAACATGGGCAGCACGTTGGGCAGGGCCTCGATGAGCGTCACCCTGAACCGCGGGGCGATCTCGGGGATCAGCTTCTGGATATCCTCGTCGAAGAAATCTCGCAGCTCCCCGGCGAACTCGACGCCGGTGGGGCCGCCGCCGACGACGACCATGTGGAGCAGGCGGTCGACCTCCTCCGGCTCCTGGTCCTTGAAGGCGGCGGTCTCGACGCAATCCATGATCTTGGTGCGGATCGCCTGGGCGTCGCGGATCTCCTTGAGGAAGCAGCTGTGCTCGCGGACGCCGGGGATGCCGAAGGTGGCGTTCTCGGCGCCGACGCCGATGACGAGCATGTCGTAGGGGACCTCGGTCTCGTGGACCCTGCCCTTGATGTCGCTGTTGTCGGTGATTTTCACGACCTTCTTGTCGACGTCGATGTGGGTGGCCTCGGCTTCGTAGAACTTGACGGCGGCTCGCTTGTGGCGCAGGATCTGGCGCACGGGCTCCATGATGGACCGGTGCTCGATGTTTCCGGTGGTGCACGACGGCAGCAGGGGGGTGAAGAGGAAGTAGTTGCGCGGCGAGATGACGATGACATTGTAGTTGGCGGTGTCCAGCTTCTTGAGCAGAGCGATAGAGCCCCAGCCGGTGCCTACGATAGCGAAGCAGTTAGCGAGGGTGGAGGAATCCTGAGAGGCGAGCGCCCAGCAATGGTGGCTCACCCAATATCACCAGCGTCTTCTTGTTAGGATCGGGAACGAATTGCTCGTCGGGATGCCGGTCTAAGTAGCCATCGTAGATAACGAGGCCGCAGCCAGCCAGGATGGACAGGTAGGTAGCGCGCCATAACCACTTGATGGTAGTCCGTATCCGGCGGGGCTTCCGGGTCGGCCGCGGGGAGGCATCGGCAAACCGTCTCGCCGTATAGCGGGAGGAGGGCAGCCCTGGCCCGGACGACACGGTCCGGAGGACGGGGTTGAGGGCGTTTATGGATTGTCGGGGGCGCGGGATGGTGCTAAAGCTGATGGCCGGCGCAGGCGCATGCGCATGCGCGGGCAGCCGTCCGGACGGGCCGGCGAGTCGGGCCAAGGCCCGCGAGGACGAAGCCATCGAATCGTATCCGGCGGCAGCAGAGCTGCTATCGGCGAGGCGGCGGACGCGAGCGAGGGGGGGGAGAAGGGAGGGGAGGGAAGGGGAGGTGCGGGTGAGCAGAGAGAGTGGTGGGAGGGGAGGGGAGGGAAATTGACTCTGTCGCGCAGCAGCGCCCAGGTATTTAAAGGATCGACGAGGATGCTGCGCACAAGGAGGGGAGCCAGGACTCGTCGGTCCAGCGGATTGACATGCACGTCGAAAAAAAAGAAATGAGGATTTTTTTGGGTGAATTTTGTTGGTGGATCAGGTCAAGCAGGCCGGAGTGCGTCGAGTTGGGATGGCCAAGCAGCTCTAGTTAGTCACGCTCTGTCCTTTTTTTTTTCTCGTTCGTCTCGTTTTTATTTCTCTTATTTTCCATTCCTCTCGCTGTGCCTTTTTTTTTTCATCTCTTTTTTCTTCCCTCCCCCCTTCCCTCTCTCTTTTTTTATTTTTTTTTTTTATTTCTAAATTTTTTTTTTTTTAAATTTCCCCCTTCCTTTTTCTTTTGAAAACCTCTTCTTCTTCGTCTTACCCGTCCAGCAAAGTACTGCTACCTGCCTCCCCCCCCCGTGGATTGCCCACCGAAGGTACGGTACCTAAACCTAGCTTCGTTTGGGTGACGTTAGGGTCCGACGCCGCTTGTGGGTCCAGCGCAGAGTCCGTGCCAGTGCCAGGGCCCTCTCCAGCTGTGCTAGTACCGGCATGCCAAACGGGACCCAGGAGCTCGGGAGTAGAAAAGTCTTTTTTCTGTCCTGTCTTGCTGCGTAGTGCTGGGTTTTTATCAGACGGCCTACGCCAGTCGATACAACTAGCTTCCTCTTCTCCCTTCTTTACCTCTCTCTCATTTTCTCTCTCTCTCTCCACATCGGTAGCAAAGCTCTCCTCCGTTTTCGCCCAGAAATCTTGCTGATATTCCTTATCGCGCATGGTCTCCACCCCGCAGTTGCACATGCATGCCTCCCCATCAGCCATTCGCTACATGCGCTGATAACAATCCAATGACGCACTCCATTTTCTTCGCGGCACGTGTTGGGCAGAAGAGGATGCATTCAGCAGCTCGCTTACCATTCGATAAGCCTGCCGCGCAGAGCTTTAGAGCTTTGGGATTCCCGGATGTGCTCAAGGGCTAGGTATAGATACCTAGTAAGAGTTGTATGGGTATCCTAAGAATTCACCTCACTTCTAGGTCCACATCCTAGGTAAATCAAGCCCACACCCCCTTATCCGCCACTACATGTACCTAATGACCTTGCTGAAACGGGGATATATGTTGCGATAGTATTTCAATGATGAGACATACATATAAATATAGGACATTCGGAGAAGCCATTCGGATAAAACTACCTAACATATCCTGCCCACGTACGAAATACCTAGCTCACCCCGCCCCTCCCATAACCGGATCTCCAACGGTAAGGCACGGGCAGAAACCATCACCGCTGAGACATAAAGCTCGCAAGTCGTGAGCACACCCCACCAGCTCAGTAGTCCTCCAGTTTGATGACGTGGTAGGCGGGCTCCTCGTACGGATGGGCCCTGGGGCGGCGGGACCGCCGTCAGCGGGGGAGAGACAAGCATATGCGCGCGCGCGTGCGCGGAGAACGAGAAGAGGGAAAAAAAAAAAAAAAGCAAAGGCGACAAGGTAGGTAGACCGGCAAAACGTACCCCTTGAGCGCCGAGACCACCTCCCGCACGACCTCCTCGCCGACGCACAGCGTCTCGACGCGCACCTCGGGCGTCTCCTCGAGCGCGCCGACCGTGCCGATGTGCGGCCTCGCCGCGTCGCCGGGCCGGAACTGGCCCGTCCCCGCCGTCGACCAGCAGCACCTGCGCGCGTGCGCGCGTCAGCCGGGGCGAGAGAGAAAAGAAGGAGGAGGACAGGGGGAGGGGAGGCCGAGCGCGCGAACAAACCTACTTACTCCGTGTAGTTCCCCGGCCCCGGGTACCGCCCCGCGCCCGCGGCGAAGATGGCCGCCTTGCACGCCGCCACCGCCCCCGGCGGCGCGTAGAACACCAGGCTGAAGCGCTTGGCCACCACCGTCGCTGCCATTCTCTTTTCTTTCTTTCCTTTTTTGTCTATGTGCCTAGACTCGCCTCGGGCAAGTAAGTCAGTTCAATATCTCTCTGTCTGTCTGTCTGTCTCTCCCCGGGTGTATATAGATAGGTATGTAGTGGGAAGAGGGGGGAGTGAGCGAGAGACGGAGGGTCCGGGAAACCTAATTTGGCCCTGTTTCCCCCCGTCGCTCGCGCGTAGGTGATGCAGCTTGAGAGCTACCTACCTGTCTGCGCTATAGCGCCGAGTCGGATTAAAGGCGTCGATGCGGCAGCTGGTACGAGGGAGCGCTAGCTAGCGAACCAACGCGCCGTAGAGATTGCGGTTCTGCTCCAGTTCGCTGTGCAGCTAGCAAGGGAAGGCTGGCGAAGAAGACGGAGAGGGGCAGAATGCAGAATGGATCAAGGGAGCTAGCTGGCGTGGGGCAACGATGGGTGGATGGAATGGAGACTTGCCCGGTCGCGCTCCCACTACTCCGATACGATCCCGTTTTATTGGCTGCCCGGAGGAGCAGCACGACGTTGCCACGACTTCTTCAATGACAATAGGCTAAGCAGAGCGAACCCAGGTAGCTCGGGTTGCTGAACATCTAACAACAACATGTTGAGCGAGTCCCCCCATTCATCTCCACTTCTTCCCAGTTCCTCCTCGGGCTGATGGGAACGCGAAATGCCCAATTAGTCAATGTACACGTGCATATTCGTGACCCCCTACAGATATACAGGTAAAGTAGGCTTTGCCCTGCCAGGTTCTGAGCCGCAGGGCCATCGTTTAGTAGGACCGCGGACATTAGTGCGATCGACGGCACCCCCAAGGGAAGAATGAAAAAAAGAAAACGCCTAACTCATCACCAGCAGCCCTTGCTGATCTATTTCTTTTACAACGCTACCTATCACGACCAAGATTTGAGATTCGTGGTAATCATGTCGCCTGACCGCGATCAATAGCCGGGGCCTACCCCCTATAAACTACCTGCCCGGTGTCGACGCCGGCATCTCGCCGTATCTTCCCCTGTGTCTCGTTGTATCGTAAGCATTTATCACCCGCGTCTGGCTTTCGTCCGCTTGCGAGAAAGCGTAGCCGCGTTGCTTCCGCATCCGCTGTACCTGGCGGACCTTTCGGATCGCCTTCTGGAACTGCTCCATCCTGTACCCCTTTTGTTAGCTATCGCAAACGTGGGATGGCTATGTGGTATCACGGCTGGGGAAACTTACCTCGGACGGTAATCCTGAATGTTGTACTTCTGGATCTCCTGTATGTGGTGATATGTCTGCGGGTAGTACATTCTCTTGGAGTACTTCCATGCGATGTCTCGAAGGAGGCATAGGATGGGTAGGGCCACAGTCTGAAGCCAGAAGACGGGATTGGAGAAGAGCTTGGGTACCAGCCCGTCGTATTCCTGGGAGAACCCGAGCCTGGGAGCGACCAACCCGTAGACGACGACGAACACGTACCAGATAACCATACTGCCCGGGATGGCCATGACGTGGTACTTCGTCCAATTACTGGTTACCAGGGCAGCCTTCCCGAGAACGGTGGCCAGGGTAGACGCATACAGCGCCGTACCCCAAACCCAGTGGCCTGCCATCGTGCCGTCGACCAGCTTGAGATCGCTGTACCAGATGAGCTCGGCGAAGATGTACAGGATGATCGAGTGGTAGACAGCGTTCGCGATCCATGCGGAGAAAGTGCCGATCTTGAAGAACTGGTTCTTCTGTCCCAGGGTGTAGAGCTGCGGATATCGGTCAAGCAGCCGTGCCGAGATGAACTGATCCAAGATACCCATGACGAGAGGCGGTAGCACGGTGTAAAAGACATTGTAGAAGGATAGTGTCCAAGATTCGTAAATGATCGCGCCGGAGAATACGTTTTGGAATGTGTACTACTTGCATATTAGCATCGCGGTCGTGGCCATCGTAGGTTAGGAGTGCCAGGTCAAGAGCGCGCGCTGGGGGGTTAAGCATAACAAGAGGCCCCAGCTGGGGGAAGGGTAAAACCTTACCCAGAATTGCGTCATATAGAGAGTGATATTCTTATAAAACGAGAAGAGAATCGTTTTACTGATACGGTGGTAGCTCCAGGCGCCATGGACGAGAGTAAGCTTGCGGAGGAATCGGAACTGGGCGATCGAGATATCGGCGGATCGAGCCGCCTGGAGACCCTCCACGCCCGAAATACCGACGCCGATATGGGCGGCCTGGATCATAGAGACATCGTTGGCTCCGTCGCCAATGGCGAGGAGAATCTCGGGCGAAAATTTCTTCACCATCTTTACCACCAAGGCCTTCTGCAGCGGCGAGACACGGCAACAGATGACCGCCTTGCACATCACTGCCAAGTCGTAGAAGATCTTCTCCATTTCTGGCTCCAAGGCGTAGGTAAGGGATTTACCATCAATGACGAGAGCTAGCGTGTCCATCTCGACGGACCCTTCCGCGTTGTTCCGGATCGCGTCGAGCTTCTTCTGGATGTTGTCGCGGGTCGCTGCAGCGTCCTCTTCGTTGATGATCAGAAGCATCATGTCTTCGCTTAGCAGCTTAGAGCTCATGCCGATGTTGATGGCCGTTTCTTGTCGATCTCCGGTCAAAACCCACACCTTGATATTCGCTTGCTGCAGTGTGTGAATAGTCTCGGGCACGCCATCCTGGAGGCGGTCCTCGATGGCAGTTGCGCCGAGCAAGTAAAAGTCGTGTTCGATGAGCTCTGCCGCCTTGTCCAACTCCTCGGACCGGTTACCGCCGACGGTAGTCTGGGCCTTCTCGAAAATACTATTCCACTCTTGAAACTCTTGCTCGGGCACTTCGCGCATCGCCAGGCAGAGAGTACGCAGACCCTCAGACGCATACTCCTCGAGGTGTACCAGAGTTTGCTCGACATGGGGGTTGTCCTCGTTCAGGCGCTCGAGGATAACAGTATCTGCACCCTTGCAGTACACTCGAATCTTCCCATCGGGGCATCGATATATCGCGGACATTCGCTTCCTCGTGGAATTGAACTCGCAAACCGCCAGAAGCTCGTATTCGTACTCCTTGCCTTCGACCTCGATAATGACCGATCGTGGCTTGCGGGCGACGAACGTATATCCCATGGTCACAGCGCCCTGAACTAGAGCGCCTTCGTCGGGCGACGCGGCCTGGTACTTTATCTTACCCCCCTTCTCTTCTTCCCGTTCGGGAATCACGGTGTGGCAGGTGGCGAGAAGGGCCAAGAAGTGGTGAATCGCCTCGGCGCTCGCATCCGATTTCTTATTCTCGTTCAATCGCTTGAAGTCGTGGATGCCGACTTCCACGCCATCCTGAACGGTAGCTCTCCGATCCTCCGGGACCTCGTCCGCATACTGTATCCCGCTAATCGTGCATTGCTTGAACTCCATCATATTGCAAGTCAATGTCCCGGTCTTATCCGAAAATACGAAGCCGACCATGCCCAATTCTTCGACCAAGCTCGAGGTCCGACAGTTCGCCGGCGTGTCTGTCTTGTCGTAGTAGATATCCAGGTCATCGTTAATTAGTATGCCATGCCAGTACTTGACCATCTCGACAGTCACGAAGAGCGAGATGGGGACCAACGACGAGAACAAGACCCAGTACGTGACGAGGTCTTTGAATATCGCCTGCACCACCAGATTGGCCGAGCCGAGATCCTCTAGCATGAGGTAAGGAATCGTGTCTGACCGAACCGACCGGAAAACCAATTCCCCCACAGTACATACGACGCTGAGAACCAGCAGTATGCCGACCAGTGCGAGAACTAGTATGTTTAGCTGCCGTTCGACCTTGGTCCGCTTGATGGGAGTGGCGGTCGCGTTACGCATCAGCTTCGTCTCGTGACCGGTGAAGACCACTATCCCGTGAATCCATGGAGTATTCCTAAGGGTGGCGCCACGCAACAACAGCTGTTCCGGGTTGAGAGGCAGTTCCTTCTCACCTCCACCAGCCTGCATCGTGAGGGTCGCCTCGTACGTATACAAACTACTATTGGGCTGCTCGGATCGGACCCTGCCCCCTAGTCTACTCAGCTCCGCCGGACTGACCATGGTAGACGTCTCGGGCAAGGCCTGCTTAATCTTCAGGTTCGTCTCGCCATCGAGGTTAGCGGTCTCGATATAGCACAGGCCCTCGGGTTCGGAGCTTGCCAGCAAGACGATGTCGGCCGGGAAGGGTTCTTCCGACTGGACCCTCACGATGTCGCCCACCGCCACGTTGATCCATTTCGTTTCCTCGAAGGTGGACCCCCGCAAGACCCTCGCCTTCGAGTTGTTGAGGGAACTGTCGGCTTGCTTCCTCCTGTAATCCTCGACTAGTTCCTTGCCTGCGGATACCAGCAGCACGACGATGAGAGGACCGATAGTGGTGTAGCGGTTCGTCGGGGATAGATTCGGGATTTGTTGTAGCGCCGCGGTGAATAAGAAGAAAAGGTTGGCAAACTTAGAGAACTGCTCGACGATGAACTTAGGCAGGAAGGTGGCGATGTTGTATTTGGCGGTAGAGACGTGGTTATCGATGTATTTGTTTGCGGAATTCGCCGGGGGGTTGTTCAAGAAGATGATTCGGGGGCCGAGGGTCGAGGGGTCCGGCTTGCCTCTACCGAAGCCAAACCTGAAGTTCTTCAACTCGAATTTCTTGTTTTGCTTGGGCTGCTGCTCGCGGCTCGAATCCACCTGCCCATGGCTAGGCTCCGTCAAAGGTAGATCCATCTCCGAATAGCCTTTCTGCCCCATCCCGAGCATGCTCTTAGCTCTCCCTAAGAAGCCGCCGCCCAACCCGAGCACACTGTTGCGGCTCCGCGCATTGGCACGACCCGCCGAGTCGCCGCCCGCGTTCCCCCCGTGTTGGTAGTATGATTGGCCGTCATCGGGGTAATCGTCGAAGTCATCTGCGTACCTCTGATAGTTGTCCAGACCGGAAGTCTGGCTGTACTGCCTATCAGAATCGACGAGGTACGGCGGTCGAGGACCGGAGATGCCGGCTCCTGGTGGTGGATTTTTGGCGGTAGGATGGGTCGTCTGGCTTCCACCCACGAAGTCGTCATAGGACACGGAGGGACGGGAGGTAGGATCATCGTTCACGGGCCTATGTGCGCCATAGGGAGCTTGGTCGTCGAGATCGAGGAGGAGGTCGTCTCCGGGATTTGAGGGCCCGCCGGGAGGCGGCCTTCCAGCCATGTCGCGAAGGGAATAGAGGTTATAGAAAGAGAAGGAGCGTAGACATGCGGGCGTCCAATGAAGGGGGTATCGGTGGGGAAGCGACTCAATTTACAATTGCATTCGTCGATCCAAGGCTAGAGGCTTCGTTCGCAATGATCAAGAGGAGGGTTTCTTCGCTACGGGACCGAAGGATGAGGATGGTGTTTTGGGTCGTCCCTGGTGCGCTGTACGGCGTAGCAGTAGTGACAGGAGGAGGAGTAGGAGCAAAGGTTTGTGCAATATGAAATGGCTCAGCTCATAGACGACGGGAAGGGGGGGGGACCAACGACCGGGCCAGGGCCGGTGATGAAAGAAATCCCGGACGGCGATGGGAGGGAAGGGAGGCGCAAAAGACGAGTGAGCGAACGAGTAGGTTTGCGAGGAGAAGAGCAAGGAAGGATAGGGAGGAAGAGAAATCGAGAGAGAGAGAGAGTGTGTGTGTGTGGATGCTGACGGTTGGGGCTATCGTGGTTACGACGTAAGGCGATGCGGAATGGAGTCAATCCAGTTTCTTTTGGTCCCGGCAGGTCGAAACGTAGAAATGCAGAAGGGTAGCATTTCCAAGGACGCCCAAGCCCAAGTCAATATCATTATGGGCGGGTCTGCAGACTCCTTGTGTTCGCGTACGACTGTATCTTTTTCTCGCATAGCCCACCTTCGACCCGGCAGCAGCAACAGCACGCGGCTGCTAGTACGGCGGGCGGTGCCTCACGTAGGTACCTAAGATACCTGAGGTACATGCATGCTTCCGGTACGCGAAGAAATACGAAAAGAACATGTACTCATATGCTGGAGCGCAACCACGGCTGGGAGGCCAGGCACCTAACCTTTCTTATACGATAGACGGACTACCTGCGCCTCCTCTAGCGAGATACGTCTCTGGGCAAATGCCCACCTCCTATAGAACACCCTGCTGAAGCCTGGTGAAGCCGCCGCCTCTAAGTACCTAACATACCTACCTCTATAAGGTCCATGGCCACCTACTATAGGTACCCAACCTACCTCTTAAGGTGGTAAGTCCTTGTACCCCTACCTGCCTATATACCTAGGTAGTCCACGAAGCCAGGTATATTAGCATTAGATTCTCTGTTACGTGTTGCCTACTGCGCAGGTTTGGTAGTGTAGCAGGTGGTTTAGCCGTGCCTAATGCGTAGAGCCAACGAAGGGCCCTTCACTTCGACCAGCCAGTGGCCGCTCCACGACAGCCCATGAGGGCGTTGGGAAAGGGGGCGTGGGGACCAGGAAGTCGAACGGACGGGCAGAGCACCAACGAACCAATTAAGGGCCCTTCCTGGTGCCAGCCACGACGGGGATCTTAGCCTAGACCAGCTATTTAGGTAGGTATTGCCTAGGTAGGTACCTAAAGCCGACTGACAGAAAATGCCAGTGTGGCTAGCCACCTGGCAAGGGTCTCGATGAGCGGGGCGCGAAGACTCCGTATTGCACCTAGGTAATACTCATACAGAAGAGAAGCGTTCGACAGGTCGCATTCCATGTGCGTATTTCCGTACTTACCTAAACATAGGTACCTAGGTACGAAGCCTCCCCGCTCCGTCAAAAGTACCTGCCTGCCTGAGGTCCTCATGTAGGTACCTCTCCTATCAGGTACGCATTACAGGCAAGTAAGTGTGCGCACAGGATCTGATTGCTAACCTAACGCCTCTTACTTCATAGGTACCTCTCCTAACCTCCTCACCCGACGCGAAACGTCTCGGCCACATTGGACTTGTCCAACTGACCTCCCATCTCGCCCCCTATGACTGCTTCTCTATTCCTGTGGCTGCTTCTACGACCTGCCATGTCGCGCTCGTCGAGAGGGATACGCTCTGCAGAATGCTCGCTGTTTCAGGCACATAGCTCGCAGACTCTCTCTCTCGCGAAGCCATGCCTGATGCGTCTGCGTACATGCGTACGCTTGAGATGCTGAGATCTGCCAAGGATGCAGTGGAGGAACGAACGACTCCGGATGCTCGGGCGTGCATAGCAGGCATACCTAGGTACCTTGTCTCCGGCGTAGCATGCGCTATACCCAACGCATTTCGGCCGAGGTACCTACCTGTATGTCTTGTGTAATGACGCATGATGAGGGAGGTAGGTAGGTAGGTAGATATCCCCTTCGTCTTCGTGTTTAAAAATGCATCTATTCAGGGGGTGACGATGTTTTCTGCTGTGGCGTTGTGGTCGCAGCCCCGACCTGTTGCGCGCCTATCAACGGCGCGGAATCAGGACGTGAATCCCGCTCGGGTAGTTTTTGTCTCGGAGAGGATCTTCGTTCAATGGCTATGAATTCTTCCGCCGTCCTGTCGACGCCTGCCTATCATCGGTCACCTATACATGCTACTTGCACAGGTGTGTGCGCATACAATCTCCCCCAGGAATCCCGCCGGGTTACATTTGGAGGCTGAGTCCGTTGACCATTACGCGTCGCACAATAACCAGACTCTATCGAGCAGCAGCACCAAGCTAATATCGTCAGCCTCTACGTCTCTGCCTGATCGGTAGCTGGTCTAATTCTGCCTACACTTAAAAGAGGCTAGGCAGAGAGCGAACGTGTGAGAGCGAGGGAGGGTATATGTAGCAAGGCGTTATTTTTTTATATAAAAAAAGCCCCTCATTTTGTTCATTTTCGTCGTGGTGGTGAGAAGTCCTACATATATAAGCATATGCGGATGGTAACTAATCACCTCCTAGCTGATGCACCATCGTTTCCCACCTCGCCGGCTCGCCGTCGGGTCCGAGCCCAGAGGTTCACAGCGCGGCTTTGAGCTCCTCTCCTAGCACCGTCTCAACGAAATCCCCGATATAGTCGTTGACCTCTTTGGGGAAGGTAACCTGGACCCAGTGGTTGCTCTCGGGGATCAGCTCGGATTTCAACCCGGCCGCGAAGTACTTGTCCTGGCCCTCGGCGAGGTGCGGCGGCAGCGCCTGGTCGCGCCCGGCCATTACCAACATGGCCGGTATCTTGAACTGGAATGACGGGTCCTTCGCGAGCTCCAAGTCGTCCTCGCCGTTGAGGTCGCGTGTGCGATACCAGTTACACGGCCCGTGCAGCCCGTTCCGCGAGTACTCCTGCACGTAGAAGTCGGCGATCTTCTGGTCGATGAGCTTGGACGGCAGGATCTTCTCCACGTTCTCCTCGATGACGCCGATCTGGGTGCTGAACATGGGTTTGCCGTCCGCCGTGACGCCGCCGAACGCGCCGTTGATGAAACCGCGCAGGCTCTCCGGCGACTTGTTGACGATGTTCTCCGCCACCGGGCTCGCGAGCTGGAGCTGGTATCGGAAGTTGGGCATCCGCTGCACCGCTTCCTCCAGCGAAACCTTGACTGGCGATGGCGGCCAGTAAGGCACGCAGAGGCTGAAAACGCCCCGGATGATTTCCGGATACCACCTCGCCATGCGCCTATCATAGGTAAAGGGGTTAGCGCACGTCAACTATCCCGAGCGTTTCCGAGTCCGGCGGCCGGGTCTGTTTATGGTTGCCGAGAGTCCGCTTGGGCCGGTTGGGCAGAAATGAAAAAAGGGGGGTCGAATAAGGGAGGTGATCAACAACTTGATGGCGCAGAGGGCGGAAGCAGGGAGGTACTGACCAGACGAAGAACCCGCCCCAGTCGTGGCCGCCGAGGATGATGGGCTGATCGGTGTTCTCTTTAACGATGCCGACCATGTGGGCGCTGATCTTCTTCATAGTATACTCCTCGACAGCGTCCGGGGCGGAAGTCTGCCCATATCCCAACATGTCTGGGACGATAACCTGCAAGTTCAGGGACAAGAGGTAGGGAACCTGGTATCGCCATCCCATGCCGAGGTCCGGCCTGCCGTCATAGTTCAGCCATTTCTGCTCCAACTAGATGGCGTGTCGGGGTACGAACCAACCATGGATGAGGAGAACGGTGGCGGCCGGCTTGCCTGCCGGTTTGGCCAGCATGTAGTGGTATCTGATGTCCCCAAAAGAGGTGAACTTGTCCTCGACTCGAGGGTCGTTGGGGACCAACGCGTCTACCGACATATTGGCTTCCTATCCGGCGGGGTCTGTTGTGTAGGATGATGCGGTGGCGCCTCTAGATGATGGAGATAGCTAATTACCTCCTCCTGAAAACACGCGCTCGCCCTTTTGACAGAACAATGAGAAGTAAGGGAAGGGTGGTTGGCAGCAAGCGCCGGGGCACCCAGATCCTTTTTATACCCACAAACTAGCTTAGCCGTCTGTTGGGATGCAGATCCCCCGAGGTTCTCACGCAGTCTCCCAGCACATGTGCTTCATGTAACCCTCCCTACATGCCTACGTAAACGAGGACCGGGATAGTGGCTGGCCTAGGCTCAGAGCCTTAATTGGACAGGTATCCTACTGCTACTCCATGATGCTCCAGGCATGCGTGCCGTGACGGGAGCTAGCAGTCGGAGCTCTCGAATGATCGGACGGTAGCGATTCTCCTTGTCGTGGGCCTGGGTTCGCCAATCGATGGGCCTGTGGGACCCAGGACGCAAGTAGTAAACAAGCGGAGACGGGCCTACTTTCCTAACGTGAGGCGAGTCTAGCGGCTTGGATGCCCAAACCGGACGCGAGTATTTCATGCGGGCAGCTTTGTTAACGCGAACCGGGGAGTCGATAATGTCAGGAGTTCCGACATCCAATGGCATCCTACGGCATCCGTCTTCGAGACAAAGATTTACGGGGACTCGCTCTGTTGCGGGGTATATCGGTGTCTATCCATGCAAATCCAGGGCATGGAGAATACGCCGTCAAGGGCGCTGGTCCTCGGCTCGGCCATGCCCAGACGACTGCCTGCTTACCAGCTGCCGAGGCATCACTTTCGCGACATGGTAATATAATCCATCCAGAGACGCATAGAGGACGACAGTTTGGATTGATTTGTTATCCTACCTGCCCCGCATGCCTGGTATTGCCGCGCAGGGCAGTCCCACCCTCGTATAGCGATTTGACCCTTCAGAAGCTATCCGCGGTGTTGGAGGCCGGCATCCACGGATGGCCCGTAAAGGATCGCCAAGGACACGCGAAGCAGCGCAGCTGACTCAAGTCTCTCACACCGGTATGAGGATCGGTTAAACCATATTATTATCATCGCCTCGCCTGGGAAACCCGCTCATCCCCGATCGCAGTGATTACCAAGCACATAGAGAACTCACTATCAGTTTGACGATGAATTAGTTCCGAGAACTCGAAACTTACGGCGATGCCCCCTTTAGTCGTATATCCGTCTCATATCACAACAGACTCGTAGTTTCGCCCGCCTCCCCTGCCCTGGAGAGGTAGACTAAAATAGAATAGGATGAAAAAAAAGAGAGAGAGAGAGAGACTAAAAAAACAATGTGAGAACGTAGAAAACATTAATAAATTACCGTGTCCTCCACCTCCTCCTCGATCATAGCATCGTCTGCCCTGTCAGGCTCTTTCTCAGGGCCGGGTTTGTGTGTACGTGAAGGGGGGCGGTCATTAGGATCGGAATGTGCATGGTCAGTAAGACGCTCATTATCAGGTTTGCTACCCACTGTATCCTTAGGAATTGGCGTAGGTGGCTCGGGCACCACGGCGATGCCCAGTGCCTTTAGCTTCTGCTCTCTGCGTTCCTTGAACTCGGCTAGTTCTTTGCTGATAATTTCTTCGACGTGCCGCATCTTGCCCTTGATGGTGTTCTCTTGCGCGTCCGTACGGTCCCAGGGTAAATAATACTGCCATCCTAAGTCAGCCCTACTGCACGGCTCACCCTTGGAGGTGCACCCACTATTTTAGGGGTGCTCTTGGTTTCCAAGAAACGCGCTGTCGCGAGCATATTCGAGTGTCTCGATTGCATCTGGCCACCTGGTCAGCTTCGTGGTACTGGCCGTGATAAAGAAGTAGGGAAAGAATTCAGGGGTGGCGTACGACTCGCTCGTCAAACTTGAGCTGCTCGGCCTCGCGTACGCCTCTCAGCTTGGCCAGCTTCTCCTCTTTTTGCTTGTCGTCTTCGACCTTCTGCTGATGAGCCTTTGCCTGCTGTCGTCGCTCAATTTCTTGGCGTCTTTTCTGCTGAGAGCTAGAAGTGGTTTGACTTAGTGTGCTTAGCAAACCACCGAATAACCGCTTTCCGCGCCTCTTTTCCTCCTGCAGCGCGCTGTCTCGGCGGTCTGGGTCAGGCGCATTCCGAGCCGGCAATGCTCGAGCAGACGGGCTCTCGCTTTTGGCATCGTCGTCCAATCTGGTCCTCTTTGGCGACTGGCTAGGCTCGATCCTATCTTGTGGGGGCGACGAAGCCTTGCGCTTGTGGGCGCTGCCCCGATCGCCGTCCTCGTCGGCGGTGGTCTCGCGCTCCTGGCTACGACCGTTTAGGGAGCTGCTTCTATGATTAGCCAGCGGCAACCAATAGAATCGGAATGGAGAGCATGTCCGTCTCACCTCTCGTTGGCTGACATCACGTCGAGCCTTGGCTAGGCAAATATCTCGGGGATGCGAAATTCGGGAGCGATATTGCCACGGTGGGCGACGGGTTAAGCTATACCATACTTGCCGCGGGAGTTGTGGTGGGCAGGTTGAAGAAGGATGAGTTTATCACGAGGCTGAGGGCGGCCTGGTGAATGGGCGGCGGGTCGGAGCGCGAAAGTGCGACATCCAAGGCAGGTGCAGGTGTGCTACTACCTACGTAGTACCTTAAAGTAGCAGCCAAGCACCAAACCCAGTAAGAGGTACCGTAGATCCCGTACCTTCCTACCACCTAACTGCATACCTACCACGGAGAGTGAGTAGGTACAGGCAAGTAGGTGGGTCAGGTACCTACCTTGTACGAACGTACTCGTTGTACCGCATTGGCTACCTTAGGTACCTAAGGTAGGTGCCCTGTTACCTACACGTAAGGTTAATAGGTACCTACTAGGTACCTCTGCCGTGTGATCCTTACGCAATATGTCAGATAGCGATCTGCGATATGTAAGGTACCTAGGTACCCAAGCCGAACCTCGGGAGTTTTGGCAAGGAATACCTACCGCTACCTCTTCTATCTGGCCAAGCTTCCAAACGTCCAGCTAAGCAAATCCCCAGAAACATCCTTCTTACCTTCGGTACCTCTTACCAAAGTTGGCAAGGCTGAGAAAAGCGTAGCAATATTTCGTCGGGAGCTACCCACTATAGGTACTACTCTAGGCCCATCCCTTCAAAACCACCCCCCGACAAGTCAACACCACCCATCAACCAACTCCCATCTCGTCTTCCAAACCACCTCTTTATACCTGTCCGCGCTCGATCTCTCCCTCCCTTTCGTATCGTATATATCGCGTTAGGTCTCTTTCGCTCGCCCGCCATGTCTCGACATCACCCGTAAGTACTCGCCACCACCACCACCACCACCACTAGCTAACCGTCCGCGTCCGCAGCGACCTCGTCATGTGCCGCAAGCAATCCGGCATCGCCATCGGCCGCCTCTGCGACAAGTGCGACGGCAAGTGCCCCGTGTGCGACTCGTACGTCCGCCCGACCACCCTCGTCCGCATCTGCGACGAGTGCAGCTTCGGCAACTACCAGAACAAGTGCGTCGTGTGCGGCGGCGAGGGCATCTCCGACGCCTTCTACTGCTTCGAGTGCACCCGCCTCGAGAAGGACCGCGACGGCTGCCCCAAGATCATAAATCTCGGCAGCTCCCGGACAGACGTACGTGATTCGTCCCCCCCCCCCCCTCCTCCCCTCTCCGCCTCTGCCTGGTTCTGTCTGCCCTCGCGGCTCCAGGGCTGGTTCTTCATCCCGTGTGCTGACAAATTTGTCGCCGTGCAGTTGTTTTACCAAAAGAAAACGAATCGGACGGGGTACTAGCCTTGACGACGCCCGGGTTGGGCTTCCGCTGGTTGAGGTTCTCGACGCGTACGACGAAACGGAGGTTGCTGGCGCTGTACTTGTCTCAGTAGGAAAGAAGTGGCACGATTGCTACCGGCATCTAGAGCGGCGTTCTGAGGTTATGGCTAACCGTCACACAAACCAAAAATTGACTGGGAGTTCTGTGTATTTAGGATGTGTTGATTCCTTATTAGAACACCTTATGACCTAATGCGATATGCTACGTAAAGGATGCTAGTCGTTACTCTCAGGTCTTGTTAAAAATTACACTGCCCACAATGATACACAGTATTTATAGTCTCGAATTCCTGCCCGCCTGCCCCCAACTATATATAACTGACCTTGACGCCCATACCCGCAGTCGACTTGACCTTGTTCCAGCCCGCCCCCAGGATGCGTTGAACTCGCTCCCGCATGCTTCTCTTGCTAAGAATGACGAGCACGCCGACGATAAAAGCCAAAAATCTCATGAGGAGCCTTGGGTTCGCTTTGAAGGAAGCCCCCATCTGGTCGACGACCTTGCGAAGGTTCATTATCACAGCCACTGCTCGTGCTCCGAGACTCGGCGCTGCCGCCGTCTTCTTTCCTTGGGATGCATGTGCTTTGGTCGACCTCGATAACGCCGAGCCATTCGTGGCTTGCCGAGGTTTATTCCTGCGTACAGAGGAAGCCGGCGTGTCCTCGATGCCGTAGTCGACCTCGTTGCCCTTTCGCTTGGCTCTCTCTTCATCCAGCCGTCGCCGTTCCCTAGCTTCGTTCTCTGCCCTCAGCCTCCTCGCCTCTTCTAAATCGCGTTGAAGTTGTTCTTCCTGACTTTTCTTCTCCTCAAGCTCTGTCCGTTCTGCCTCCTGCTGCTCCTCCTGGAGACTTTGGAGAGCTTGTAAGAAGGCGTCCTTCCGTTCCTCGTCTAATACCGTGTTGATGCTGATAAATTCCCGAGCATAGTCCCACTCGTTATTGCGTAATAAGACGTGCAGAGTATATAACTCCAAGATCTTTACCCGAGCACCAAGATCACGGGGTGTATCCGCACCATTAGCCCCCTTGGATGTCGATCTTCGATGTCTCGACGTTGACGGCAATCTCGAGGTGCTGCTCGACTCGAGCTGCTTAGATATATCAAGGTTTGGCGTGTTCGTTGCGGCTAGGTAATTCTCTAGCCGTCTCTGGTTCTCTACCTGCGACTTGGCATGCGAGAGGAGGAGAGTTGCTCTGTAACATGTCAGCTCCCGCCAATCCGTACAGTAGAAATGTGGCCCAGTGCGATGGGTAGAGGGAGAGTATCGTCTGCTCAACACCGCCGCCGCCCGCTAAAGGTTGCTGAGGCCGTTAAGCAGTTGAGAAGACAACCGGGTGAAGGCGGATTCTGTAAGAGTGCCAACTCTTCCAGGACCGAACTTACAAATTTATGACCACGTCGGCATCGACTTCTCCCTCAACACCGTGATATCCGGACTGGACAACCTCTTCCCAGACATCGCCATCCCGGACCTTCTTGCCCAGCGCACGCCACTCCTGAGCGCCGAAAGCATCCTTCCCCTCGTCGGGTTCCAGCTCCAGTATGGCATTCAAGACCGTCAGATACAAACTCCACACTTTGATCCTTGTCGACCTCGAGGCTCGAGCGACAGGTGCGGGTTCGGTTAGGCCATTAGCGTCGGCATTTTCGGTCGAGGGGGTTATCAAGGGGAGAACGGTCGACAGAGCCTCGGGCAGTCGACGCGTGAGGAATAACTGGGCGGCCTGCCGGTAGGTCCTGGAGATGTTCGACGGCGAGGGGCGGGATGCGGGCGAGGATGTCAGTGATGATATGGAATTGGAGAGGACATGCGACCCGAAGCTCTCGGAGAAGGTTGGGCTCAACGTCGTGGTGTTGGACCCGTCGAATGACATGTTGGCGGATAAGCAGACAGCTCGGGTGGTAGGGATGGGTCCGAACACTGGCGTAGACGCGATGACAGGCACCAGCGGCAACGGAGTTGCGGGTTAGCAAGCAGGTAAGCCGGATGCGGATATCAACATAGCATGGCGATGGAAGGAGGCGTTGTCGAGAGAATTGCCTGTAGTATTAGTAGCCGTTAGAGGGAGAGACAGGGAATAACATGAAGCGTGTGGGACCCAATGAAGCCGAACTGGGCTCGTGGCGTGCAACATTTGAGGGAGGAAGGTTGGGGGAGACAGACAGGAACAAAAATATGTAGGTACGGTATACATCCAGCCTAGCAACAGGCCTCACATTCTCCGCCTCCAGGTGATTTGATGGAATGTTATGCCTCGGTCCATCGGCGGCAGGTGCGCATAAAGTTAGCCCGACCACCATCCAGGGAAGGTTGTTCCTATTTGTACCTACCTAGGTAGGTACCATACCACCTCCTACCTTAGGTACGTTTGGTAGGTACTTACGCGGCACACGGCTAGATACAGCCTCAGGCAGGTACCTAATGTACATAAGCTAGGTACCGGGGCAGCCAGCAAGTAACCTCCATATCTTCTAGATGTACATCCACGTATACAGTGCCTTAGGTAGGTACCTCTCCTACGACAAGGCAGTGGTACCCAGCAAAGGGCAGGTTACCTACGGAGGGAATGAGGCTATCTCCAACTTGAGATGCGACCACCACATACCAGAATTTCCTTCCGATCGAAGCAGGTGTAGGCATGCATCTATGGGTACCTATTGCTTCGGTCAGGTCATGTACCTGGACGATCTCCTACTGCGCCCATCCCAGTACGTATACCTACACAGCGCTGAGAAGCGACGTCGAGTACCCCCTTTGTAGGGGCCTCCTTTATAGGGTCGTAAGCCCACCCCGTCACGTCCACCTAGAACACATCCACCGCCCCAGATCCAACACAACATCAGAAGACCTACACCACGATGCTTTCTATCTCTCCCCTATCTGCACTACGTACCTATTGCTTCCAGCATGCGTGTATAAAGTAGCCACCATAAGTGGACATGTGCTCTGCAGTAAAAAGTGGTGGGTTATGCACAGCCAACTGGGTACCTAGATCAAAAGGCGTCTCAAGAGCCCCATCGGCGGCGATCAATAAGAATATGAAAAGTGGCTTTCCCAACACTCACTGTCACGCCAGGAAACATGCGTTGATGTGTAGCATCTCCGGATTCTACTACAGTTGCCACTTCACTCCCGCAGTCCTCTCCCTCATCTTCCGATATGTAGCCTCCACTCGGCCACAGATAGTGCACGGAAGGGGAAGTCAAGGCACACGTTATCATACCTAACTTGCTGCAACAACCTGTAGCACATTGCCAGGAAACAGGAATTGTAACGTCGAGTTTCGGTCAGGGGCCTCACGCTGGATATGTTACAAAACCACTTAGCAGGTGCATTACTCATATACAACTCACAGCGAGAATCCCCCCCGTAAGACCCCAGGGATAACACCTGCTGGCGTGAAAGGCCCTCCCTCCATGGTTCTAATAGATAAAGCTGCTAAAACATAGGCTTGTAGCTAACCCTAATGCTGCTTTCACCAGGAGGGCATCGAATTAATCAAATAATTAGAGGTGGTTAGGCCAAGATCAGATCTAATACTATTGTACCTACTTCTAGCAACCCGTCTACATATCCCCTCGTTTGTTTGCTCCTGTCTCCCGGGCTCTCCATCCAGACAGATCTACAGTCCCAGTCGATTAATTAATAAACCGAGAGAGAGAGAGATCAATGGAGGGGAAGTCCTCGACAATGAAGGATCAACTTGATAAAAAAAAAGTCATGCCCGTATTCTCTGGGCATAACCTATTCCATCTTCTCTCCCTTATTTTCAAGATGCGCAACAGGGTGCCTATGGGAAATGGGCATCGTACGCCGCTACGCCTACAGTACCTAAGTGCCAAGTAGCCTTACGGGCTTGTAATAGAAGTCGCTTACATCACTAACCTCGATTGCTCCTAGACCCGAACTCTGCATGTCGCCCTCGCTTGCACCCGAGAGGGGGCGGGAGGTGGACGTGGGATGCGAACACGACACCCCCCATTTCAGCTACCGGAGCACCTAAAACCGGAGCCCCGGCTGGGCTGGTTTCCGCTATATCGCGGATAGGCCTGGGCCAGGGACGAGAACGAGTCCTTAAGCCGCCTCACGAGGCGTGCCTATACGGCGAAGGCTGCGGCGACGACTTCGGCTCCTGTCCCGCTCCACCCCGCCCTTCTCCAGAGAAGGGAATGGACGGAGCGAGACAGGAGAGGCTTTCAACTTAGCGTGGAGCAAGATCTTCCTAGCTCGAATCCGGAGGTGGCGGCTGCGAAATGACCAATACAGCTAGATACCATTACTGGCCCCTTCACCCCCTTTCTGTCCTCGCAACTGCACGAGGAGGTCTCAGCCGACTCTCGCCGCGGCTGCACGAAGGCGACCGGAGACTTCCTACGATGTGTGGTCATGGAAGGCGTCGGCAAGGGAGCGTGCGTAAGCTGCTACTGTGGCAGCGGAGCACCCGACACCTCCTTTCGGAAGCTGGAGGAGGAGAACGCCCCCCCAGCAGCTGTAAGTCTGATCCGAGAATAACTCCAGCTGGCCTGTACTAATCCCTAGGAAACAGCCGACGCTGGTGTGGGACGCCCCAGGCGCATATCACCAGAGGGCATACGTTTCCTTGATCGCTGACGCGGGGCACAGCAAGCCTCTCGCTGCCGGGCAGGGTGCTAACATGTCCTCCCTCACACTTGGTTGCCCGCCCACACCTCTACCTCGAAACCACGTCGATCCCACCCCGGAGCCATCCACCGTGGTGGGTGACGGGAGTGGAGAACACCATGACGTGTTGCCGTCTATTTGGGGCCCCCGAGGGGAGAGACACCTGTGCTTCTAAGTGGCTGATGCTGATGTGGGCGTCGGACAAGTATTTGCACCATCTCTATAGTGCGAACGGAGAACGCAAGACAATGATATCGTCCAACCCGACTCGGACTCCTCCGAGTGCCGTCGCGGAGGCGTTCCATCGTGTCCCTCTCTTATTCCTAGGAAGAAAAATCGAAAAGCCGCTGCGTCGAGAGTTAGATGACTGGCACTTTTCGCAAGATAATTACGAAGATCCGTAGTAGCTTGTAACCTATACTTGTGCATGGCACCTATGCTTCTCCGTACCGGCTCGAAGGGGAGGTGACTTATAGGTATCTACGGCTCTTTTATAAAGGAAGCAATGAAACGCACGGGCGAGTTAGTCGGGACGGTAGGTGAATCTCGGCCCCGTTCGCGGATGAGGCCTAGTTAGTATAGCACCCTCTAGGTAGTTAGTATAGTACATTGTGTTTTTATTTACAATGGTGGCTCTCCAACCCCAGCCGTCCCCAAGTCATCGCAACTCTGGACACGTTGCTCTCCTACCGATCCGCCATCACGTTCCTCACAGAGTGGAAATAGTCGTAGGGTAGTTTCTTTCGCAGCTCTTCCTTCGTAAGCCAATTAAAGTCCTCGAGCCCGTACCTGTTTTTCTTCAGATCAGCTTGGCCGGCCATAATCCGCCCCTTGAGGAAGAATATTTTCTCAGCTCGCTTTTTGACCGAAGAGTCCTCGTTGAGCTCAGGTTTTATGATAATGTGAGCGACGGGTGCCCGCCCGACTATCCAAGTGTTCATGTTGACGCCTGCCGAGTATTCCAAGGCCCTGGCGGCGGTCTGTCAAGGAAGTCAGTAGCTGGACCCTCCACGGCGCAGCCGAGAAACGGCGGAGAGAGCGGGGAGGGGATTGACGAACGCCATGAAGACTGTCATCTGTGGTCACGTCGTCGGTTGGGAAGTGCCAGCTCCCGTCGCTTCTCTTCACAATCAGGTATAACGTCTGGTCGAGTTTGCGGTCTAACCGCCTTATGTCATTCGTCTTATCCGCCTCGGTTATCCGGTCCATCGGGCGCTCGACAGGCACGATCTCGTCCGGGTCGGCCACGTCTCCGTCTTCGGTCACCCGGCTCTCGGCATCCTTGAGCAAGATCTCCCGTAGCCGGTCCTGGTCGCTCAGCGTACTGCCCACCAGCAGCTCGTCGTTCCACGCGTTGCGACCCCGGGCATAGTATCTGCCCAGCTCCTTCGCCACTACCTGGCCCCGCTCCTCAAACTTGATCCTCCAGTCCAGGTCGGGCGCGGTGTCCTTCTTGAAGAAGAGGGTGTGGCGGAAAGGGAGCGTCAGCCGCTCGTTCAAGCGCTTCTGGTAGAAGTAGAATGCGTTCTCGAAGGGGGTAAGACGGCGGGTGAGCAGCGGCGGTCGGGACAGGATAAGGCCTGATTTTATACGGTATTTCACCTCTCGGGGCTCCGCAGTGGGCGGTTGCGGCTCTGACTCGGCCGGTTCGGGAGGAGGGGCCTGGGCGGTCGCAGCAGCAGAAGCAGCGGCAGAGTAGGAGCGGAATTGGGCGTTTCTACAGCTCGCACATATGCTGGGTTGCGATCCTAAGCGTTCTTAGCATATCGTGGCCGGCATTGTACGCAGGTGGGGGTTTCCTGAGCTTCGTCGAGCCGGGCTCACTTCGTAACAATGCAGCAGCAGCGCTGCCGCCTCTTCTGGAGGCCGTCATATTTGGCAGAAGCTGCTGCGACACCTTTGCCGGGGTCAATGGCTGAGGTTCTGCGGCGTCTGAGAAACTGCCCGCTCTCCTCTCTGTATGGTGGGTAGGGTTGGTGTATTGGCGCATTCCCTACCGTATCGCGGGTCGAACTTTTTGTGTGGCTTTTCCCTGTCCGGTTGCGGGCCAGTTGCGGCGGTGCGCCTCTTCGCAGAGCACATTACCTACCTACCCGCTCGTAACCTAGGTACCTACCTCGTAACCTCGATATCACCACAATAGGTAGGTACGTTACCTACCTAGGTACCTACCTATCCATACACGTAGGTAATAGGGACTTGGGTACATACCTCGTCATCGGCCTTGCACCTCCTGTTAGGTGTCTACCTGTTTAGGTACTTAAGATGTGCCGTCTAGTGTACTGTAGAGTATGTACCTTAAATACCGAACCTATCAGTGGGACGTGGGGCCTGCAGCGAACGGTAACGGCAGTCGTCATTCTTTCCGGGGGGTCCTTCAGCTTGTGAACGTGACTTCGTTCCACCGATTTCCTGATCGCTCTCGTCGATCTCTCTTCCTCCGTCTCTCTCTTTCCCTCTCCCTCGTACAAACGGACCAGGCCATCCTACGCTCAACCCTCCTCCTATGATCCCCTCGGATGTATCCATTACTCGCTGACGAGAAACATCTGTCGACCGCTACTCCTACAGACTAACATGCTATGACTGCCAGATTGGCGCGCTAAAGGCAGTCATTCCGAGCCGACCGAACGAGATTTCGCGATGGGAACCTCCGATTGTTTTGACGACCTATGCATGGCTCCGGGGCTGGCCAGGCCGTCTACTTTCTCCATAGCCCTGTCCCTGGCGCCCCTTGCGATCACATTTATACTTGTCTCTGCCCTGGTCTCGCAGAAGATCTTCCCACACCTGGCCCGCGTTCAGAACTCCCGCGACGGCGAAGACCACTTCCTACCTTCCGATGCCCCTCCGTCCCTACAGCAAGCCCATGCCGAGCATGGCACCAAGTCCATACGAAGGCGAGTCGCCGCCGGCGCCTTTTCTACGACAGTTGGGTTGGCCGCTGTCCTGGCCGAGCTGATCCTCTGTGAGATATCAGAGTTGGTCGATCCTTACGCGCGGTCGATGGCCCTGCGGATCACCGTTCCCACCCTCTTGTTCCTCCTCATCGTGCTCATCCCATTTCTCGAACTCCAATCTCTGCTCTCCGGGTCGGGATGGTCGTTCCAGCGTACATCGAAGGGGCGCATACCTAGGGCCGCTTGGGTACTTCAATTCGGCATTTTCGGGATTTGGTTGTTCGCATTCTGGTCGCTTGGGAATCTTGTCCCCGTCGGTAGCGAGGTGATGCGCACCAGCGCCACGATCAAGAAGCACATTCAAATCGAATCAGAGCTCTCCGCCAGCCTAGCCCGCGCCTGTCTCGAGCGAATCGGTGTCATTGGCATCTCGCTTATGGCACTGCTGTCTGGGTTCGCCTCGGTCTCTTCACCGTGGCACACATTTGGTAGCCGCGCATCGCGGCGCCCCGTCACCGAAGCCGACGTCGCCCGCAAGCAAGCGGGCCTAGATGCGACAAACGAGATGCTGCTCACTAAGCGACACCGTTTACAGAGTCTGCAGCGCAAGGTGGCTGAGACCTCATCAGAAAAGCACGGTTTTGTGACTAAGGTCATCGGCTCCATCCGCAGTGGGGGCGACGCGTCGGAGATACGCACTTTGCGTCTCGAGATTGCCGGCCTGGAGGCGATGGAGGCAAACCTTTCGTCGTCCCTATCTATGCTCCGTTCCCGACAAGCTATTTCGGCCCGGACCGCAACGCTTTCCGGAAAGCTTCTACTAATACCCCCATACGCGTTCAGCGTGTACTGTGTGTATCGCATCGTTGCCACGACCCTAACTACGCTGCGACGCCTATACTACCCGGCAGCCTCGTTTTCGTCTTCGGATCCGATCAATCGGTTCCTCGGCCTGCTGGCTAAGCATTGGGACCCGAAGCTCGACCAGATCGCCTGGGCGAGACAGATCTCGTTCTTATTGTCCGGCGTCATACTCGCCGCGAGCGCGAACAGCGCCTTACAAACATTCCACCTCTTCGCCAAGTGGACTCCGGGGCTCCTCTACCAGGCCCAGGCCAACTTAGCCCTCCTGATTGGGCAGATCAGCGCTATCTACGTAATTTCCGCTGCGTTGCTCTTGCGAAGCAACCTTCCCAAGGAGGTAGGTAGCGCTGTAGCCGACGCGCTCGAGAGCGCCCTAGAGCCGGGTTTCGTAGACCGATGGTTTGAGGGCTGGTTCCTATTAGCAAGCATCGTGACGGCGGGAGGTATCTGGGTAGGCACTAAGATCGGCGAGCTGAGCGAGGAATGGGACGATATCGGCGCCGAAGAGATGGGCCAGAAGCGATCGTGAGGAGACGCGAGGCCTAACCAAATCAAATCGAAGAAGACCTAAATAATGCGAGGTTTGAGGACCTTCTCTATTCCCGGGTGGCGAGATTGTTTCGCATACCGTATACCAATGCCCTCCGAGCTGGCGTAAGACTATATGATACCCATTCAATCCGTCTTCGGGGCGTTCCGTCGCGTTCTGTGTCTAATTTCTAACATCATCGGCAGTCCGGCGCGGCTAGCCTGGTGGTCTTGGGCGCAGTGAATGGGGGGATGGGCCACGATGGGCATAATGCAGTATGAAATATAATGATAATCATGTACAGACTAGTCTTATTCAACACTCGAGCTCCCCAACCTTGCAACCCTTTTATAACCCAAGGCCTTCCGACGACGGACTGTAGCTGCGCTGCTAGCCCGTATAGCACCTAATGCTTTCTGCGCGCTTCATGCCAGACCCAGGAGAAGCCCACGCCCACCAGGATGGTGACAGACGGGTGCAGGTCGACCAGTCGGAGACATGCCGTACAAACCGACTGAGGACGACCCTGCGTGGCCAGCCAACTCGAAAAAAGATATTGGGGACAATCTCGAGGGGGCTAGAACACACACGCGCGTACAGTAGGTAGGCCGGCGTGGAAAGGCCTCCCGTCCGCCGAGGCAACGCGTCTGGTAGATACGACGTTGCATTTCGACTCCTTGCCTTTGCTGCGTAAAGAGAGGACGTGTATATATGCGCGGTTGCGCCCCTAATCGCGCAGGCCCCGCGTTCCCGGCAAAACAGGTGAAAAGAGACTTTAGATATTACCAGTATGACCAACAGCCCGCCCTTCCTTCCTTCCTTCCTTGCACGCGATCGATCCCCCGCGTCTCTGTCCCGATTACACATTCCCGCCCGCGCCGCCATCTCCTCCTCCATCTTCTGCGCGTGCATGCGGCTCTCTCTCTCTCTCTCTCTCTCTCTCTCTCTCTCTCTCTCTGTCGTTGCTTCCTCCGACAAGCACAGTCCTCCCCCCCCCCCCCCTCGCGCAAGGACCCGCGGGGCCGGCCTTTACTCGGCGGTCCGGGCCCACAGGTCGCGGATCTGGATGACGCCGGGGACGCAGGCGAGGCTGGCGACGGCCATCTCGCCGAGCAGGCCGGCCTCGGAGCCCCAGTGCAGGGTCAGCGGGGCCCAGGCGAGGTTGCGGGCGACGGCGCGGCGCCAGCCGGCGGCCCACTCGGCCTCGTCGCGCTCGACCTCGGCGGCGGTCTTCGCGGCGGCGCCGGTGCCGAAGCGCTCGGCCCGCGTGCGCCGCGCCCGCCGCGACGCCTCACGCGCCAGCCGCGCCAGCTCGAGCCCGACGAACGCGGCCCAGAAGCGCGCGCCCCACAGCGCGGCGCGGCCCTGCGCGCCCGCCGGCCAGCCGAGCACGCCCTTGGCCGACAGGAACGCGCCGTTCTCGAGCGTCTGGAAGACGAGGCAGGCGGCGAGCTGGGCCCAGGAGATGGCGGTCTCGACGGGGTCGTCGTCGGCGGCGGCGGGCCGGGCCTTCTCGGCCCGGCTGGCGGCCCGCTGGGCGCGCCACTTCGCGACGAGGCGCCGCAGCCAGAAGTAGAGGCCGAGCAGGCTCCAGAGGCGCATGAAGGTGCGGCCCTCGGTGAGGGCGAGGCTGAGGGCGCGCAGGCGGGCGGCGAGGGCGAGGGCGAGGGCGGCGCCGCGCGACGGCAGCGCCTTGGCGCTGAAGACGAGCGTCGCCGACGGCGGCAGCGCCGCCGCCAGCGCCAGCAGCCGCTCCGCGCTCCGCTGGATCGCCGGCCGCGCCGCCGACTCGAGCACCGCCGCCCCCAGCCGCGACGCGTAGCACGCGAACAGCAGCGTGCTGTCGATCCCCGCCGGCGTCTGCAGGCACCGCTGCAGGTGCGCCAGGAAGGCGTCCGCGCGCGAGGGCGCCGCCGCCAGCGCCGCGCCGAGGGGCGACAGCAGCGCCTTCTTCTTCGCCTGCGGCTGCGGCTGCGGCGCCGCCGGAGGCAGGGGCAGCGGGGCCGGCGGCGGCAGCTCCGTTAGCGGCCCCTCCGGCTCGCCCGCAGGCACGTCCGAGATCGCGGTCACGGTCACGGCGATCGCGTCGGCGGAGGACGAGTCGACGGCGGTGGAGCTCATGTTTGCCGTGTTTCCTATTACGCGTTCGTGTTGAGTGTTGGGTGTGCTGTAGAGTTGTTGGCTCTAGTTTATTGTGCTTTCGGACGGGATTCGATGCAAAAGTGTCGTCCCGTCTGCTACCGTGTGCTACTATAAGTATGTCGGAAGATGGAGCTGCTGAGGTGGTTCTCTCGATGCGTGCAGATGCCCACGTGTGGCCCCAACAGAAATGTCGGTTGCAAGGGGGAAAACGAGGAGGGGAAGGGGGAGAGGGAGATTTGCACTACGTAAGATACGGCCAAGGTTCGGCTGGGGGTGCTCTTGGTAGGTATTATTTATTCGAAGCTGGTTGCCGAGTACCGCGGTTCCAAACTTGGAGGGCGACGGGAGGCAAGAAACGCTGCCCGGTACGAACGACGACGGCTGCCTTCGCCCAGGAAGCAGAGAAAAAAAGAAATAAGGGGGTAATGCGACGAAGAGAAGGATGACGTTGAAGTTGTAGTCAGCCTGGGAGCGGAAAGACAGGCGAAAGCGAAGAGGAAGAGGAAGAAACAGACAACGGATGGGCGAATGGATGGGTGGGCGGATTGATCGATTGATGAATTGTCTGGCGACCGGACGGCAGAGCACACTATTACATCGCCCGAGTCAGCCCAGTTAGCAGTTCCTGGCTCGATACGACTTCAGTCCCAAGACGCCAGCGCTGCCGCATTAAATGCCTGGAGCCACTCGGGTCTACGATTCGGTGTATCCAGCTTAGCCCTGGGCGTCCAGCTGCTAGCAGCTCGTCGCCAGGGGGCCCTCCTACCTCGGCACTCCGGTTCGGAGCAGCGTCGCAACCAATGATTCCCGCGCCTTTTTCGACCTGACTATGGGGAAATGCCACCACCGTCTTGCTTTCTGCCGAATGCCTCCACTCCGCATGCCAAATTGCTCCTCTATGAGTATATATGCACTAAGAGAGTAGCCAGGGTGCCTATACCTTCTAGCAGGTCGCCACGCACTTCACAGATGCACCACAATGCGACGATAATACTTCGCGTAGCATTTCTCATAGGTAAGTAGCTAGCTAGCTCGGATAATTTATACATGATACTGTACAGAGCCATGCGGCCCGGGTCCATCCACCCATCCAATAGCCCTCCGTGGTATAACACCCCGTCCTAGCCTCCCACGCGTCTTGCCCAGAGCGCCGGAATAAATATACCCCAGTACCAAGGCTGCCCCAGACTTCCCATGCGGGGATCTCAACCCGTCCCCGTCCGATCGCTTACGCAGCACACCCCAACCTGCGCAATAGGGTTACTCTGCCCGAGGCACCGCTCCCCGGAAAGGCCCTAGACCAGACGACGCCTCGCAGTCCGCGAGCTCCCGCCCTTGTTTAAACATTACGAATGGTTTTACACGCTCGAAAAGCTTCCAATACGTGGGTTAAACACGCGACAACCCCATCCGCCCCTACCGTAGCATGAGGATGGCGGCAGCTAGCGCGCCTACAAAGGCACTCGTGCCGTACCCCGAGTATGCATACGCGCCTCGGTTCTGGATGGGGGCCGGGTCAAACGGGCTCCCGCCGACGAAAGGTTCCGATTCCTGGTCCGTATTGTCCGGCGGTGGCGACTGCGCCGGTTGATCCGTCACGGTGGACTGCGGCGCGTTTTGAATCGACGTAGTGTCGATAGACGGACTTGACGTTCGTGATGAAGTGACAGGGCTACCTCGGTCTGCACTTTCTGTGGTGGATTGCCTCGTCGCCGATAGGCTGCTACTGGATGCAGTCGTCGTAGTCGCGGTGGATGTAGACTTCGTAGTCGTGGCTTTGTCGGTGGTGCTGGTTCTGTCCCGCGTAGTTGTTGGTGCTGGTGGCGGAACTAAGGTTATAAACCCATTTGTAGAGGAAGTTCGCGCAGTCGAGGTCGTCGTGACCGAATCGAGTCCGGGGCAGAGCGTGTTAACCAAACGGCCGGACAACACAATGCCCAGCAACGACTGCTCGGTGACCCGAAGGTCACCACAGGCATCGTCGATGAGGGACGCCGTTTCTTCCAACCCCTTTACGCATTTTGACGAGCATTGATTTCCATTCGAGAAGTCTTTGACTGCGCAGCCGTCGATCTCAGACTGGTAGGCGCGGATGCAACGTTTCGGTATTTGGTCGGATACAATGATCTGAAATTGAGAGAGGTTGAGAGCGGAAGAGGTCGAGGCCACGGCTAATAACAGCGTTAAATCGAGAAGTCGCCGCCGCGACCGCTGCCGACGAAGCGTCATCCTCGGCACAGAAGCTCTTTCTAGCAGGCTGCCCTTCCAATAGTTAATGTATCTTTTGAAAGGTACCGCACGCAACAATATCTTGCTTCAGATGACCTCGTTATGATTATGAGTGAGAGGCGGCGGCGGCGGTAAATTTGCCCCGAGCCTAAATTAATGGCTTCTATACAGCCACTTATCTTCACTTCTTAGAAGAAAAATAAGAAATGATCGACGTGTAGAGTTGTTATATGTCTAGCCAGATAGAGGGAAATCGATGCGCCGAAACGTATGTTGTGTCAAGAGGCCGTGAGAGGTTCCGCTATAGGTGCAACGGCGCTCGAGTATGCTCGGACCTTCCGGGATCTCTCCGTCGCAAGGAGCTGGGTTGAAAAAGGTAATGAGGCTTCGACGGGTAGATATCTCGGACCTAAACCAGCGGGGGATGAGTCCTAATTCTCTCTCTTTCTCTCTCTCAGAGCTTGACCACTATCCCCTGTTTCTAAGATGGCACGATGCGCGAGTATTGTAGCCGCCGGATTCGCGGGGGTAGCGGGCGGGATTTGTCCAATTCGCCGCAGGGCCAAGTTTTCTCGTTCGCGTAATCGGATGTTGGTGGTAATTGTCTTGTCTCGCTGCTGAGCAACGTTGGTATGCAACGAGACGCGAATGTCGAACACGGGTGGGAGCGGATAGAGCGACCCAATGAGCGGCCACTGGGGGCCAATTAATTCGGGATGGAAGTGAAGAAAGGGAAAATGGCGCAATAAACGAAATGAGTTGATAGGCGGTGGTGATCTAGTTCCGGGGTGGGCAGAAACGAGAACGCGGCCGACGCAGTCACTGCCGTCGTGGCGGTGGGCGGGAAAAGGCGAGGAAAAAGAAACGAAGCGCAGCTTCTCCGGGGACTAGGAGCTGTGGGCGCTTGAAGTAGCAGCAGCATTCGTCTGCAGAGCAGAATTCAAGCCATGTCGACAGCGGCGAGGGCATCCGAGATCCAGGATGCTCGGAAACAAAGTGAGGCGGCGGGTGGGTGGTGAAGGGGTGGATCAGGTAGAAAGAAGAAGAAACACGACGGGAAACGCTTTATGGGGAACACACTAGAAGAGGCCCGGGGGGGACGAGAAGTCGATCTGCTAGCGAGGGCCAGGTCCAGGCAAGCGGGCGCAGCCCGGGCGTGGTGGAGGTTTAGGGTGCCTATAGGTAGGAGGGTACCTACAGGCAGGGTACCTGCAGGTATATTGGGTCAGTCGACGGCAACGATCTGCGAATCTCAGCCCATGCCGGGGGAGTGTGCCTTGCAGGGAGGAGCCCTAGGCCTCTGCTGTAGACCGTTAGGTAGTTATTCATTGGGTACATGCACCGTACCTATTACCTGCCTACCTGCAAGAAGGACGTCTACACGTTACGTCGAAGGCATCGCCTTCACGTCACAGCATGCCAATTGCTGTTGTTGGTTCGCGGGATAGCACGAGCCAAGAAACGACCCCTTGCAGGATGGCAGCCAGGAGGAGCGAGCCAATGGCAAAGGAGGCGCCATGTCCCAGGGAGGAAACGAAACGCCTTGGGCGTTTGAGGCGCCGGTCGTCTGCACCCCCTTCCCGCGCCCTGATTGGCTCGCTGCGTGCCTTCGGAAAGTAGCCAGATGAGGCCCTGCACGCGGCAAACGAGATGCCAAGTACCGAATGTGTGTGTGCGTGCACCGTAAGGTACCTCCTCTAGGTAGCCTGGGCGTGTATTGGTCTATGTGTAGTAGGCAGACTTTACATACCTTAGGTGCCTAGTAAGTGGTATATAGGTGCCAATGCTGTGCCATAATAACGCTAATACAACGTCTGCCTACCTAGTATTAGGAGGTAGGTACCTAACCACAACTGCTCTACGTGTATAGTACTAACCCACACTCGCGTTTGTTACCGATTACGGCTAGGCCGCTGCTATTAATGCGGGAAAAGGGCTGTGCCACCTGAGGCGTCGGCATCCGTCGCACTCCATCATCATCATCGCGGATCTTTCCCCCCCGGCTTCTCTATATATGGGTTCCCGACACCACGTGAATGACGTTGGGTGCGTGCAGATTCGGTTCGCCGGCCGGCCGGGAATACATCGTCGCACACACGCTGCATCCCCCCACCCTCCTCCCTCCTCTATTCGGTTAGGGTTGCGACAGCGAGGGGCAGAAGCACACGGGCACGTCCCATGATGGACAGTGGAAGGCTCCCGGGTCGGGGCATCACTTACTAGGAGAAATCGTAGGTGGCAATGCCGGCAACGTCTTATGAGTAATTCCTACACCGTTAGGCCGTCCACGACTTTCGACACGGCCGCAACCCGCGCCACCCCGGTCGAGGCTTGGGGGGATGCGACAGCCCTCAGGAAGCCCGGGTCGGCTGCTCTAGAGGCTACATTACACAGGTACAATTCCAAGCTTCGAGTTGTCGCCGTTGCCTTGCCTTGCCTTGCGTACGCGACAGAGCTACAGGAATAGCGGGCAGGTCGACGAGAACCCGGAAACAGCATCGTCTTAAAGACGATGGAGAACGAGTGCGTCGGGGGGGAGAAAGCCTTGTGGAGGGGGGCTTCGAGGCTTGGGCGGATGGGCTGCATAACAAGCAGAGACAGGTAAGGAGCTTGGCTGCTGCCAATAAAGGTGTGTAGTTCCTAGGACACACAACCAGTCTCTCATGACTGCTCGCCCCCAGCCAGACAGTTCCGAGCCATCCTTAGCGACCCCGAGCCCATCTTCAAGGGGATTGGGGATGACGAGAACAGATTCCCGGTTACCCATCGGGAGTCCTGGTCTGAGAAGTGAGCATAACAATCCTACAACGAGGTATTGGTCCGTCATTATGCAAGCCTCCTCGTATTTATCGTCCGTGTTCGCCGAGGAGCGGACATGTTGATCTTGATAGCCAACGAAGAGGTGAAGCAGCCGGTAGTGCCTTACCTCGACGCAGACCTCATGGCCAGGCACTATCAGAGAAGTACCCCCGGTGGCCTGCAGGCGGTCTAGGGGTTTCTAGACGGGCGTGATGCAGTGGGCGGCGCCTTCACCCTTCGCACAGTAATTCAGGTGGACGCTCACCTCGTCTCCCCTCTTGCTCTAAAGTACGCAGGAACACATGTAAAACTACGAACGTTAGAAGGAACACCGGCGCTAGTTCGAAGGGAGTGACCTCGTCCTCTTATCCAGCAGGATCGAGCGAAGCGACGGTGAACCGCGAGCACCCACACAAAGCTTCGGGCGGTTGTAGAAAGCCGCTTCATTTTTGTGCTTGAACAACTCGGGCCGGTACCGTGTGTCCATATTGGAAATGTCAATTTAGCGGTCCCGCGGCTTACGAGGAGCCGCAACTGCAGGCACAGCTGGAGAGGGGCATGCTTCTCGTCACCCTTGCCGGCTCTACTTACAAATTACCCCCGAATACTCGGTACTCGAACATTTGAGGTTGGGCCCTCTTGTCCGCGATTCTCCTCCCCTAGGCCACCTTCACATCTAGACACAATCAGCACCCCAGCAAGCCACTCGCGACGGGAAACACGATCGCCTATTTTTTCGAAAGACTAGGAGGGTGGCACAATCCCATAAGCAGGAGCGACAACGCATGTAGATCTGCCGGGCCGGTCATAAATTGCACGAAACCGAGATGTGGCTATCTTCCTTCCTCCAGCGCAGAGAACCATCCTCAATCAGTCCGTTGTCAGTATATTCGGCATGAAACGTGGGGATCCCCAGCTCCTCAGGGATTGAGCAAAACATAGGCCGAGCAGCCTAAAAGGAACAATCATGAGGGAATTCGTAGGCGGCATGGTGGGTCGATATAGAAAAGGGGGAGCCAGCGGCTATCCATCCTAGGTGGAACCTGTTAGCTCCAAGCTACCCTCATACTGGTGAACGCCTCGGATGTTTATAGCCGTGTTAACGGGGGAGCGTGGATTGCAATGCCTCTTGTCTTTAACATAGGTACAGACGGACAAGGTAAAAAGGAGGTAGGTATGGGTTTGTATGTGTGTAACTACGTGCGCTAAGCTACGTCTATGTGTCTAAAGAGGCGCCCAGGTATCTAAGATAAGAGGGTAGGAGGTAGGTACCTACATAGGTCAGATCAGTGCCTCGGTCAACTAAAGGTATCTGCTATATAGCGACCTAATAGGCACCTGCAGGTACCCAACTTGTCTCAAGTGCCTAAGTTCCCGCCTGCCTCTAACCCAACCCATTAGGTGCATACTTACCATTGAAGGGATTCTCTCTTAGCTAGATGCCTACCTACTAGAATAGCCTCTGTAGTCAGAAGCGCCACCACGTGATTCCTCCGAGTTGATACCAATGGGGTTGGTTTTACCATCCAGTGCCACCCCTCCACCATTGATTCACCATATCCGATTATATGACCCATCTGCGATGCTGTAACCAACCCTCGTCTCCTTGACAAAGTTCGCACAACCAACTCAACGAGAAAAACAAGCATACATCGGGAATCCCCCCCCCTTCTCGGGCCTTTGCATCTAGGAAACGGTACTATCGCCCTTACCAACGGCACCCGTGCTAGGAGTCCGCAATACGCAGTTACCTACCTACTGGCGAAGCCGAGCCATGACAACCACAGCGGCCGCACCCGCGCCGGCGACAGGGGTCTCTAGCCGCCGGCCCTGCAACCGGTGCAGGGAGCGCGAGGCCACCACGGACCTGCGAGGCGCCGAGCAAGTGTGCGAGTAGGCATCGCATTCTCCCGCCCCCCGCCTCTCTCTATTTATAACATATCGGCCCCCTAGTACGAGTGCTGACACCCCTCCGACACAAGCCCCTGCTTCGCGTACTACGTCTCGAGCAAAGCCGTCAAGCGGCTCGAGGCGCTGCAGCGCGAGACCGCCGGCGGCGGCAGCAGCAGCAGCAAGCCCGGCCGGCGGCCGCGGCGCTACCTGGTCGGGCTGTCGCGCGGCGCGTCGTCGGCGGCGCTGCTGCACGTGCTGACGGAGAACGCGCGGGCGCAGCGGGCCCGCGGCGGCCGCGCCACGGCCCGGCACGAGTTCGTCGCCGTGCACGTGGTCGACGATACGCTGTCGCCGTCGGGGGCGGCGGATCACGCCAGCGGCAGCGGCGACGACGGCGACGACACCCCGCTCGCCGCCTACCGCGCGCGGTTCCCCGACGTCGAGTTCGTCTGCGTGCCGCTGAGCTCGGCGCTCGACCTGCCCGCCTCCGTCGTCGACTGGGCGGCGCTGCCCTCCTCCGCCTCCGCCTCGTCGTCGCCGCCGCCGCCGCCCCGGCAACCGCCCGCGCACCGCCTGTGCGCCGTCCTCTCCCGCCTCCCCTCGCCGACCTCGCGCGCCGACCTCCGCCGCCTCCTGACGCGGCATCTTCTCGTCGGGGCCGCCGCGGCCCGGCGCTGCGACGCCCTGCTGCTGGGCCACAACGCGACGTCGCTGGCGGCGCTCGCGCTCGCCGAGACCGCCAAGGGCCGCGGCCTCGGGCTGCCGGCGCTCGTCAACGACGGCGTCGTCCGCGCCACCCCGACGCCCGCCCCGTCTGACAGCAGTTGGGGTGGCGACAATGATGGTGGCGGCGGCGGCGACGACGCGGCACCGCTCCCCACCTCGCTCCCCGTGTACAGCCCGCTGCGGGAGCTCTTCCGCAAGGAGCTCCTGACGTACCTCTCGCAGGCGGCGCCGCCGCTGACGGACCTGGTCTGGGCGGCCGAGGCCGAGGCCGAGACCGGCGCGGTGGTGTCGCACCGCGACCTGAGCATCGACGACGTGCTGTCGCGCTACTTCGCCGAGGTCGAGGCGAGCTACCCTTCCGTCGTCGCCAACGTGGTGCGCACGGCGGGCAAGCTGCTGCCGCGCCCCGACCACGACCACGGCTGCGCCGACGGCGGGCCGGTGAACGGGAACGGTGGGAGCGCCAACGGACGCACCCGCGACCGCGACCCCGCGTGCGCCGTCTGCGGCGCCGCCCTCGACGCGCTGGGCGACGAGCGGTGGTGGGGCGAGATTGGCCGGGGGAAGGAGAGGGGGGAGGGCGGAGGGGGGAGCCAGGAGCAGCAGGAGGAGGAGGAGGAGGAGGAGGAGGAGGAGGAGGGGGAGAAGTCGAGGACCGCACGCCCGAGGCCCAAGCCGAAGCTGTGCTACGGCTGCGAGAGGTCGGTCGGCGGGTAGCGTGGCGCGGCGCGATAGTAGTAGTAGTAGTAACGGGAATAGTAATAATAATAAATGTAGGTACCTATTACCGAGAGAGGGAGAGGAAGAAAAAGCCAGATACCATTTGCTCCGGACGCGCCCAGCTTCGTCGCTCCTGGCATCCCCGCCCCTTTCTATCACCCTTCAACACCCCGACGCTAATCTATTCCGACCCGTGCCTCCCCTCGGGCTTGCATTTGGCGGGCGCCATCTCTCGCCCGCTCGGCACGTGTCGAGTCGTCTCCCCCAACGGCCAGTCGAGCTACATCACCCAGTATGCATCCACCTCAACTCGCCTCTGCCGCGCGGCCCGCCCGGCTTCGTCTGCTCCGCCCACACTTCTTCTCTCCGCGGGATAGGTGCTTGGCCGATGTGTACGCCCTGCGTGCGTGCGTGCACCGCGGTTTAGCTTCTTTCGCTATTCAAAGAGCCGGGGAAAAAAAAATAAATGAGTAAAAAGGACAGCGGGAGTAGGCCACGCGATTCGTCCGTAGATACTAGGTCTGTAACCGCTCCTGGCAAAGGGGCACACGCGTCGAATGCGCCGAGGACTCTATCCCCCCCCCCCCCCCCCCCCCCCAAAAAAAAATACCTGCCTTTTCCCCTTCCCCATCCCTCTCGTGTGAGCTAAAACCTGCTGTTTTGTTTTGGGGCGGCCCGCGAGCTATGTATACCTGCATCATAGCCGTCTCGTCTAAATGTCCTTGTCCTACCCAAGTGGAAGACGCACGCTAGCACTGTTCTTCGATCTGCGATCCTCTCTGCGCGATGGTCCAGGGCCATCTTCTATCTAATACGACCTGTGTACTTCTCCGGGGTTCTTCCTAGACGCCCCCCCCCCGCCTTTTCCCTTCCAAAATATTACCGCTTCGGTGTTTTGACTACGCTTTGCCGAGCGTCGAGGCCGGCAGTATCCTCTGCTCGATCCTGCGCACGAACTTGTTCGTCTGCTCCGCGAGGCTCAGCGTGAGGATGGTGTGCGGCAGGATGCGCGCCAGGTGCGGCAGGAAGCCCTTGTAGATGGCCAGGAAGCCCTCGGTCCGGATCGTCTTCCCCAGGCAGTCGAACACGCCCGTGTACAGGTTCCCGTTCTGGTTGTACATCCGGGACATGATCGTATCTGCGTCGAGGCCCGGGGTTAGCACGCTTGTTACCTAGGCCGTATAAAGTAGATACAGATATATAGATATATCCTCTGCACTCTTGTTTCCCTTCTATTGTCCGCTACGTGTGAATAATGTTGGGAGTGGTGATAACAGCGATACTAATCCTTCTCATACTGCTGCTGCTGCTGCTGCTGCTGCTAGAGTGGCGCGGAGATGAGGTCGGCTAGTATACAGACACGTAGGACTTACCGGGCGGGTGCATGAAGCAGCAGACGACGAAGCCGGAGATGGTGCTGCTCGCGAGGTGCAGCGGGGCGCCCTCCTCCATGCCGAGATGCCGGACGAGCCGCCTCTTGGCGAAGAAGTAGGTGGGCAGCTGGACGGAGCTGCCGAAGCCGGTGCGGATCATGGCGGCGTCGACGCCGCGGTACAGGCCGCGGAGCCCCTCGGCCTTGTAGACCTGGGAGATGCCGTCGAAGGCGTTGCGGTAGTTGTGCTGGGTGCCGACGGGCAGGAAAGGAGAGTAGCTCTGCAACCGCGTCTTGATGAGAAAGAACGGGCTGCCGGCGGCGGCGCCGATGATGCCCGAGCTCGCGCCGCAGAACATGTTGATGCCGAGGTTCTGCTTGGTGCTGTCGCGCAGCAGCAGCGTCGCGAGGCCGTGGCGCATCGGCTCGTAGAAGCCTAGCCGGCACCCGTTGAGCAGGACCTGGTAGACGTAGGCGCACCCGATGCCGCGGTAGATGCCCCGTAGCCCCTCGTTCCGCACGATGACGCCGACGCCGTGGAAGGGACCGCGGTAGTGGTGCGGCTGGTGCCCTTTCGTCTGGAGCTCGCCCTGGAGCTGCATTCTGCATAGCGAGAGGAGGAGGATGGTGTTAGCGGAGCCCAGACGTCCTGATGAGGCACGACAACTCCCGGCGACATGGTGGTCAAGCCCATCCAACCGAGAAGCGGGAGCCGAAGGTGACGGGTGGTATGCATACCGAATCTTGACCGTCTCAAAGGGGTGCGTCGCGGTGACGGCACCACAGGCGGCTATGCCGCCTGATAAGAAGGCCCTGTAGTCGTCGGCATTAGATGGCGAAGCACCGGCAGACGCGCGCAGCTCTAGTTCCGTACCCAGCAGTAGTGGACATGGCGTCGCCCCGAGCGGACCGCTCACCGCGCGCGCAATGGCTTTCTGGAGGCGGGACCTGGCGAAGATATTGTTGCACAAGCAGCCAGTGGCCCGGACGGCGCGGATGCGATCAGGGGGGGCGGACACGCTCTCGGTAGGTGTTGCCGCATAAGTGATAGGCGATGAGCGGCAAAGAGAGAGACAGATGCCAAATATCGTCGTGGCCGGGCGGTGTTTTAAGTGCTGAGCGGGCTCAATGGAAGGGGTAGACGGTGGCGATGAAAGATAAAGAAGACCGGGGAAAGGGGGAACAGCAAAAAGAGAGAGATCCGAGTTCACGCTCCCATCTTCGGTCTATGGCGGCCAGAGCAGGAAGGAGTAGTAAGTAGCAGCAGGTAGGTATATTCTCAACTAGAGAGCCCCCCACCCACGAAGCCCGACGGCCTGGCAGAGTATCTGACAGGCTCGGTCCGGACGTCGAGGGATTGCGCAGTGACGAGAGAGCGGAGTGGCGACGAAACGGGCCAAGGCTGTGTTTTATTTGGTATGGATCGAGGTTTTCGGCGATTTTCCCGCTGTGCTATTTTCTGTTCTTTTCTTGTTCTGCCGTTCGCTCCGAGCTCGCAACGAAGGGGTCAGGTTGTCGAATCCGAATCCCGACTGAGATCCCTACCGATGCTAAGTACCTGCAGGTGCCTGCCTATAGGCAACCTGTTACCTAGGTAGGTACCTAGGTAACCTGCCTACGCAGGTACATCCTCGCTATACTGTGCACAAGAAGCACCTAGATGAGTGGTACCTAAGGTAGGTAGTTTCACCACCTAGGTACCTAGCTCCTGCTGAGTAAACCTGACAGACGATGCGTGCTGACCGACGGTACCCGCAACCCACCTACCTTAGGTACCTTCTCTAGGTAGGTATGTAGGCACATTGCCTTAGGTACCTCCTAACCTAAGGTACCTAACCTCTTAGCCTCTATGATCTGCCTCCTCCTAGAGGTCCCTAGGTACCCAAGGCAGCCAGCCTGGCCTAACCAAAAGACTCCAGGCACCTCACATACCTGCCCAACATCTCGTATCACTTCCTGCGCCCGTGTTATCGCCGCGTCCCGTCACCGAGGTAAGGTTGGTTGTCGGGATAGGTACGTGCCTGGTACCCAACCCGTAGGCATCTGGATACTTGCCTCTACTCGGCCTGTGCTATACAGCGTACACGGGGCCCGGCCTGTAGATGTTAGGGGGCTCGGGACCGAGTGGAAAAAACGCAGCCCTCCTGATTGGATACCTATCAGCAGGTAAGTCCGGGGTAAACCAAATCGATCCCTGCATGCATGGAGTACCTGGGTACACACAATACCTAAGGTATACCTACCTCCTACCCTTACCCAACGTCCTGCTAACCTTCAATACGTAGTAGGAATATCCTGCTGAGTCTGGTCAAAAAAGTGTCACTCCTTGTTGGCCCGCCGGCTAAGGTGTAGCTGCGAACGATTCCCGTCTGGGGCCGGTTCCGCGCAGTTCGTGCTATGTTCTGTAACGCGCCGCCGGCTCTATACATACATATTGTACTTGAACACCCCCATATATAGATGCATGTGATCATACGAGGCCTGGTGTGCCGTAGAGCCAAAAAAAAAAAGACGGAGAGAAAGAGACATGGGGAACCCGAGGGACAGCCCTGGCACAGATAAATAAACCCGACGGGAGAGGAACTCGAGTGCTTGAAAATCTACCATATCCTTCGCCGTCTCGACAATAAACCTCACCAGGCCCTGCCGCCGGACCAGCCCGAGGCCAGGCTACCTGCTACCTAGCCGATCCCAGTCCCGAGGAGCCTTCCTGATTCTTGACGCCAGCGGCGCCGCCGCCCCATCCTTACTTGATTCTCTCCGGACATGCCTCCACCTCCCAACCGCAGCGTAATCCCCCACCCACGGGGCACTGGACGTGCATCATATTAACCGCGTCCCCTCTCCCTCCGGTACGCCTGTTCCTATGCTCGCTATGCCTGGGAGAGATTCGATGCGGTGCGTAAGCCGCCTTTGTTGATAGCCACCTCGGACGCCGATGTCGAGTATTTCTCTACCAGGCCGCGGCGTATCCCTCGTATATATATATATATTATATATATCCTTTGGCTATATTTAGGATTGCGCAGAGGCAATCCTACCAGCCTATACGCCCAAACTCTCGCTTCTCCCTGGCCGCTGACGAGGAAGGACAGGACATGCCCGCTCACAGCACCGAGGTGTTGACATAGAACAGAATTTGAGCAGTACCCTACGATCTATCGATTCCGGCGGCGGCGGCGGCGTCTAGGCTGCTCATGCCGTTCTGCCTCGCACTCTCCTGACTTGTCCGCGACGGGTTGCCATCAAAAACCCACGGGCCCGCGTCGTTGCGCGGCGTGATCGGGCCTTCGTGATTGCTCGCCAGAGGGTGATTCGGCGACGGGGTTCGATTGGCGCTCGCACGCGCCGTTGCATTCGGTATCGGGACCGGCTCTGTTACGGTATGTCTCAGCGCAGGATGCTGGGCCGACGGGCTGGCATCGAGATGCATCGTCATGTCCCCGATGTCAAGATGGTCGTGTGCCAGCTGGGCTGTGTTGCTGTTGCCATTCGGCGGCGCTTGAATCGGCCCGACCTCGTCTACCGGTTGAGATGCCGGCTCCGTCGGCAGCCTCTCTTCCTGGACGTCGTCGACGCCCGAGTCTAGTTGCTGCCATTCGTCAGATGGCTCGTCCACCTCGGCATCTAGGTCGGCCGTGGCCCGGCAGTTCGGGCATATGAATATCGGCGACGACGGTCCCGACAGCATCTCACGGATGCATTTGAAATGCCAAGTATGGGAGCAAGGAGCGACGAAGAGAGATTGGCAGGGCTTCCGAGGCAAATACGCATTAGTCACGAGCAGGTGGGTGGGTTGGCTGGACGTACCGCGATGGCATTCAAGCAGATGGAGCAATCCTGCGCATGGGCCGCCGAGGACGCCGTTGTCGAGGTCAAATCTCGCAACCGCTTGTGCGTCGCCATGCTGCCAGCTTGTTAGCCATCTTTATACGTCCTGGGACGGACGCAGGATCCGGGCGAGCCGTAAGAAACAGGCCTTACTTGAAGGTGTTGGGCTTCGACTGCCAGCCTCGGTTTAGCTCGATGCGCATCTTTACGCATCGGTAAATCATCTCCTCGCCCCCCTTGAAGTCTATCCCTAGCTGGACTATGTCGCCATCGTTAATGGGGAAGGGCTTGGATTCGGTACCGGGGGCGCTGAGGCGGATGTGGTTGAGGAACGTGCCAGATGAGCTCTTGACGTCCTTGATGTACCACTTCCCCTTCTCGTACCAGAACTCGCAGTGGCGACGGCTTACGACCTTGCTCTTAAACCCGACCGGGGCCGCCGACGGTGTGTTGATGGGTATGGGAGCGTGGTTCTCTCGCTCCGAGTACCGGCCGACCTTGATGATCTCCTTGCCCGTGGGTAGGGTGCGTGAGACGGGACTGAAGGATAGAGATGGGCGATTCGATCGCGTATCGTAGAAGGCCGAGAAGCGTATGGTGGGTAGCATATCGTGGGTTAGGTCGCCCGTTGTCGCTGATCGCGTCCGCGTCATGTCGGGTGCGTCGGATGGCTGTTCGGCCGCGTCAGTCTGGGTGTTGGACTCTATCCTCGAGTTCAGGAGAGCCTCAGAAGCCGCTTCAGAGAATCTGCTGGTGCGGCGACGGTGAGTCCTGCTCAAATCGTTGTTTGGGTCGGATGTTGTGGTATGTGGATCCGACTCGGCCTCATGGGGAGCCGCAGACGTCGACGTCTGGGCTGCGGTGGGCGAGGCAGTGGGCCGTGCGGCGAGTAGTGTGGGTGTGGATGTGGTGGCGACGGGTGCTTCGTGGGCAGCCGGCCGGTTCTGGTGGGCGAGGCTGGTGGAGTCGCGAGACAAGAGATGAAGATGGATCAAGCCGCGTAACCTGCTACCCCGGCCGGGAGAGGAAGCAGTCGCGGTAGAGGCGGTTGTAGTAGTGGGTGCGAGAGGCGGGAAGAAGCCTGGGGATGGCGGCGTAGGTTGCGTGAACATTGATTACGGCGGTTTAGGTGGGTGCGCAGGAGGGGGGGAAGGGGAGCAAATGATTTATCTCTGGGGCTATGAGGGATTCTCCGACTGGATGTGGAGTCGCGGTTGGGCGTGCGGTCGATGGGGATGAAAGTACTGGTGCTGCTGTTTTCTGCGGATTGGCAAGCCGCAGCCCGTCATTTAATTGGGACAAGTGACGAATCAAAGTACCAGCGGAATCAGATGTCTTTTTCCCTCTTCTGTTCGGTCTTCCCGTCTTACTCTTCGTCGCTTTCGTCTTACTCTTTATACTTCTTCCCTTTCGGTTCGTTTATAGGGACAGTGGGAGGGTCGAGAGATGAGAGATAGAGGGGAAATCGAGAAGAGGAGGAGGAGGAGTAGGAGGAGGAGGAGAGAGAGAGACGGACAGATAGATAGGCAGACAGGCTAGCTAGGGAAATATAGGGGAATACGCCCCAATCAAGGAGTTGCTACTAACTGGGTGTTGAAAGACCCTTAACAGCAGCCGGACGAGCCTGTCTCGGGGAATGTGGGTTTTTTTTCCCTTCCCTCTCTTCGTCTTCTTAGCGTCCGCCGAGGGGTCTAGCGGTGGATGTATGTATGCAACATGGGAAGTCCTGTGGCAGAGGGCGAGCAGGTCTCGACGAATTGGCCCCGAGGTAAGATGCGGAGTCGGCTGATCAGTTGATTGATCTCACCACGGGATCTAGGCCTGGTTGGACGTGGACCCAGGTAATTGCTCGCATGGACGCAGATCGTCTATCACGGCTAGCAGCGTAGGCAGGCGACAGCACAAGTCAGTCGGACCGTGGTTAGAATCGCTATCGCCGCGAAGGCGCGGAGGTATGCATTTATACGTGCGTGTAGAGTATCTCGTAGAGAGAGGGAGAGAGGGAGAGAGGGGAGAGGGCAAGTAAATGCTGATGGTTAGGCAAGGCAGGGGGCGGGTAGCTCAGTTGCTAATCCGGATCCGCGACGATGGACAGAACGGGACGATCGAGGAGTGAAAAGGAGAGAAGAAGAAAAGGGATCGAAACACGGAGCCATGACACGAAGACAATGCGTATTATAATTACTGTCTCTTGGGAATTCAGTAGCGTAATATATGGTACGTAGGTATACTCATATGTCGGCTTCTTGCCTCGAACATCCTTTACCTGAGGAGGTGGCAGAGGTACTGAGGTTGATGTAGGCATGTATCGATGTAGAGAGAGGCATGTATCTGTCTAGGTACCCCCAGGTAGGTAGACCCCAACCATGGATGTCAAGCGAGTATTAGAGGGAGAAAAAAAAGGGGGGGCACTCTTTTTCCCCATCTTCCTTCGTCCCTTTACTGCCCGAGTACCTACCTACCTACCTAGGGTACCCAAGGAGGTAAGTGTGTACTTCCATCCCCTGCCACAACCATCCTCTCCATATCTCCGGGAAATCGTGGGTAACTGACGACATCTCACATGGCGCCATTGAGCAGAGCCTTAGCAGTCTAGCCCAGTACGTGCCTAGCTTACGCTAGTAGGGAGGGATACCTCCCTCCTATCTGCCTATATGATTCATATACATAGACGTATCTAATATTTAGCCAGGTATACAGATCTGTACGCGCGATGTGCTATGTAGGACCCGTTGTGTAAATGGGCCACAGCATCACTGCTGAGATTCCCGCACTTTAGGTTCCGGCGCCTCTCCTGGAGACCAGGTACCTCTGGCAGGAGAGGTGCGACTGTAACCTTGTGGCCGAAGCTATAGCCTGTCGGTACCCGCCCATTCCATCCGATAAGATCAAACATGGGTATATACGTTGGGCAGGCATCACTTCGCTATGTCGCCTATACCTAAGTTAAGATTGGTTAATTCTCCTTCATGAATATTTTCCCCGTTGTATCGGAATCGAGTTCAGCCATGCATAATACTGTCTTGGGCACCTTTTAACGACTACCTGAGGTTGATGACCTAGGCAGGCGGAAAGGGATGTCCACCTACTGTTTATCATATGGAATTTTGACCCAGACTAGAAGACGGAAAACAGGTACGTTCGACGCCATCCCTTGTTCTCGGGTCAAGTCTATAACACACACACACACACACACACACACACACACACACACACACACACGCATGCATGCATGCATATAAACGGTGGGGACTACTCTGTGTGTATGTATAGACAGTATAGAACTTCCCCAGCTTGTGACGGGTCACATCCCATCTTTGCTTGATGGTGGCCGTTCTTATCCTCCCCCCCAATAAGTAGGAACATGAGCGATAAAGCTGAGGGTATATGAAAATGCTTGGAGATTCATAGCCGTGAGGTAGCATGTGCGGTGAGCGTGTGCGAAGAGCGAGTGGCGTCGAGCGAATAGGTTCGCCAGCTTAGCCGGTGTGGATGTGAGAGCACTGGGAATGCAACTAGAATGCACCAAGCATTCGGCGCTGGGGCGCGTAATACTGGGGGTTAAGCGTCGCATTTCATATCGAATTAAGCATCACACTCTAGAAGACCGCCTTGCCAGACAGATTCAACTCTGTCATGAGTTTTCCTGTACTGGCAACGCGCCGATAACAAGCAGCGGGTTAGGCTGCGGAGTTCCAGATCTGCAAGTCTCGTAGCCGAATAACGGTGCAAAACTTCCGTGTAGCCCAGCAAAGCAATCAAATAATCCTAACGCCGATACTGCCATCCCTACTGCTAGCCGTTGAAATCATTCCGCGAGAGGCCGGGCATATGCCATAATGCTTTAGACAGGAGAGACGGATAGGCGAGCCTTATTTGCCGGTCTTCTGCTTCTTGGGCTTGGGCTTTTGGTCCTCGTCGTCCTCGTCCGCCATGTCATCATCTTCGCCACCCATCCCACCGTCGACGTCACTCTCCGCACTGCCGGTACCCGACGACTCGTGGGCCGAATCGTATTCCTCGGCAACGTCGCTTTCGCTTTCGGCCTGGAAGTCCTCGTCCACGCTCTCTTCGTCCTCGTCGGCCGAGCCGCGGTCTGCTCTAGGGCCGACCACCTCCTCCTCGGATTCGTCCATCACCTCCTCGCGGAGGGCGGCAGCAAGGAGGTTGGCATCTTCGTCAATCTCATTCTTGACGCGCAGACCCTTGAGTTTGAAAAACCCCTCGAGGGCTTTCAGATCCTCCCTGTTGATGTTGCTGAACTGATGAGAGGGACCGCCGCTCTTCATATGGACTGCGATATCAAAGGTTGACAGGGCAGACACCGCACCGCTAACACGGGAAAAGGTAATGGAGGACGTCTGGTCGTATGACACGTACGTGGCAGGCTTCGGCACGAACATGAAAGCTTTCTCGAGGCAGTAGAGGAATCCTTCTGCCGCTTTGATCGAGCACTTGATGCCGAACTGGTTCCGGTGCGTCAGGAAGTCTTTCGCCGGAGAGGTGATCTTCTTGTTAGCTAGGCCCTTGAAAATGTACGTAATGACCTGGTGCAGAGGTTGTTCGTAATGCGGTTGGAGTCTGTCCTTGTACTGCTCATTCAACTGCTCTTCGGTGAGGTTGAGATCGATAGTAACCTCCTCATCCTTCTTAGCCTGCATGACTATGAACGGGTAGCGCGTCTGTCCTTGACGTAACGGTGGATCTAAACCGATACATAGCATGAAATGCAAGTCGTCCGGCTTCGGCAAGACCATGAACTTCTTGATGGCCTCGTACTGGATCTTGTAATCATACGTCTTGCCGCGGAGGCGGAACGACGCTTCATACATGTCGATATCAAACCGGCCGCTGCGGCCTCGTAAGAAACGTGCACATCCCGGGTATCTGGAGAGGTAGGGGAGTAAACTAACCGAGGCGTAAGGTGGAGGACTTCCAAGAAAGTAGCGATTGCATCGCCGGCGGTTTCGCCGATCTCGGCCTTGTCCATGAGAGTCTCGTAGAAGAGGGTAGCAGCGTTCTTCTCTTCTTCTCCGCCGCTTCCCGCATCCTCGCCCTCCGTCTCCTTGCGAGTAGTAGTGCCCGGGATGTAGAAGCGCATCTCGACGAGCTGATCCTTGCCAGCGCCCGACTTTTTGCCACGACCTCGCGCTCCGCCGAGGTGTCCATTGGTACCGGTGTCGTTCTCATTCGATGCTGCGAACTCGACTGCGACCTCGTTGCGACCGGCTAGGTTGGTGTTGGAGATCTCGGAGTAGGGTATCTCGAAGGAAGGTTTATTCTGGACGTTAAAGACGATCTCGGCCTTGCTGAATTCCGTCTTACCCCAGTTCCAGCCTCGCAGGGCGTGTTCCTTGGGATCGAGATTGATGCTGTACCAATTCTTGAATATCTTGGTCAAGCGTTCCGCATCCTGCATAGGCGAAGATGGTTAGGGGGGATGCAGCGTGATCGCGACAAGGACGTCGGCTGTTCTCTCACCTCTTGCTGAAAGCCATCTAGATGTACAAGCTCTGAGGACCGCTTAAGAATTTTAACCTCGTAGCCCTTCGCAGCGCGGCTCCACTGGGCGCTGGCAATGTCGCCTCGATCGAGAGTAAAGGTGTTGCCGCCGGTAGAGGGCTTCCAGCCCAATCCGTTCTCAGCGAATCGGCACTTTCCGGGCTCCCTAGACAAGTCCAGGAAGATGTTGTCGAAGTTCTCACTGTTCGACATCCTCGTTAGGAAGCAGCATCGCGAGAGGTAAGGAGACGATGATCGACTTACAAAGCTGCCATGTCTAATGATAAGGATGGCAGAATGTGAAGAGGATGGATTTGTTGCAGGTGAGGTTGAGGGGTTGGGGTGCGGCAACGGGAGGAACCACCTCTTGATAAAACGGCGTTCCTGGTGTATAGAGGCAGAGACTAGCCACAGTCGCGTTCAGACGCGCTAGAGCTAAAAATTCCAGCAAGGTCCCTCTCCGGTGTATGAGCAAATCGGGGTCCATCACGTGATTGCGCACCTAAGCTAATCATCCCGATTACGTAGGATGTATGAGTGGTGCCCCTACACGTACATCGACGTGGGTTTCAGCAGGCACTTTAGGCTTTCACCGCCACCCGCATAGGCTACCTACCTCCTAAGGTAGCTCCTAAGGTAGGTACATTAGCGGTGCACTCCCAGAAGAAATGCGTTAGTCTCATGTACCTAACTTAGCTCAAGCGTACAGACCGCTTAGGTACCTGCCCCTAAAATTAAGGGACCGGTACCTACCTACATGCAGTTTTGCTAACCGACCCGAGTACAGACTACGTCGTATACAATTCCGAGTCTATTGAAATATGATAACAGGCACCTTAGTTTTTCAAGTGCGTAAACAATTAATATACGATAATATTACCATGTCGTAATAAAAGGCAACGCTTCCAGTGCCCTTCTCAAGGGCTTTCCGCTACACCACTGCTCCTATAGTACCACCTTCTCCTCCGGTGCCGGGGTTAGCGGGCCTTCCCCGTTCAAAGAAAGGCATGCACCCACATGTGGCTGGAATATTTCAAATAATACGCAGCACCTGTTACCACGGTGCAGCGGGTACCCAGAGAAGTACCTGCCTAACGCAATACATAGGGGACCGGTACCTGACTGAGGCAGCAGCAGCTACAGGTTGTGAATCGTTGCAGACCCCACCCACCCCCGAAATTCTCGTCGCCGAGGGCTCAGGAGACTCCAGTACTATGCAAGTACACATTATGTATGTAAGTACACGACATACGCACAATGTATGAGCTGCAGAGGAAGTACTCGGATACCTTCAAGGTTAGGTACCTTAGCTCGAGGGCCACATAATCGATGTACCTACATAGTTTCATCAGTCCTTTGATCCATCAACCGATCAACCCATCTACCAACCTACTAATATCTCTATTGCTTCATTCTCCCCTATTGCCAAACTTCCCTCTCTCGCTCTCCTCCCCTAGCCCTCAACATCGTCTGCGTCGTATGTTGGCTAGTTGAAATCCCATTCTCTCCCCGACTTCATCTCCTCTCCCACCACCCAGTAACCAACCATGGCTGGTCGCTTTGTTCGGGCGTCCAAATACCGTACGTTGCTTGGCCGCCTCCTACCTACCTACACCATACCCTACCTGCTCGGATAGCTTGCGGTCGTAGCAACCCGACTAACCTCGACGTAGGGCACGTCTTCGGTAAATCGACGCGGAAGGAGTTCTGCTACGACAACCTACGCATCAGCCGAAATGCTTGGGATACCAACCTGGTCAAGGTCTGAACCCCCCTTCCGCTCTTTGTTGTCTCGTAAGCGGGAGAGCTGACAGCTTGTCGCAACAGGCCAATCCAGACTACCTTGCCGTCAATTGGGAGGCTAGTGGTGGAGGTGCATTTGCTGTCATTCCTCTGAATGAGAAGGGAAAGCTACCCGACGTGATCCCTCTGTTCCGTGGTCACACTGCCGCCGTTCTCGATACCGACTGGTGCGCACGCGACCCCTCGAGTAACTGGTCCCCTATTCCGAAGACCCTCACCTAATATTGCTCAAGGAACCCTTTCAACGACCGCCTAATCGCGTCAGCTTCCGATGATGGCAAAGTGATGCTGTGGGAGGTGCCCAAGGACTTCACCCTGTTAGGAGATGCCGAAGAACCCGCCGACGTCTACCCCGTCGCCAAGTTGAGCGCACATTCGAGGAAGGTTGGACAGGTCCTGTTCAACCCCGCTGCCGAGAACATACTAGCATCCGCATCCGGCGACCTCACGATCAAAGTCTGGGATGTTGGTGCTGGATCCGCCGCTCTTACCTTGAAGCACCCCGATGTTGTGCAAAGTCTGTCTTGGAGTGCTAGCGGTACATTTCTGGTGACGACCTCGAGGGATAAGAAGCTTCGTGTATGGGATGTTCGACAGGAACGACCTGCGCATGAAGGTCCAGGCCACGAGGGGGCCAAGAACAGCCGTGCGGTCTGGCTGGGTGAGCAGAACAGATTTGCCACTACCGGCTTCTCGAAGATGAGTGATCGTCAACTCGCTCTTTGGGAACCTGGCAACAACACACCCATTGGGGGGTTTAATAACCTTGATAGTATCTCGGGTGTTTGCATGCCTTTCTGGGGTAAGGTTGCCTGCCGCATATGCGTCTCTGGGATATCGCTGACTTTGGCATAAGACGATAGCTGCAATTGCTTGTACCTTGCTGGAAAGGGGTAAGTTCTCTTATTGATTCCGGCCTGTACGGCGGCAGTTCCTAGCTAATCGGGGTCGATCGGTTAGTGATGGCAATATCCGCTACTTCGAGTATGAGAACGACAAGTTTGAATTCCTTTCAGAGTATAAGTCCCCTGAACCTCAACGGGGTATTGCTTTCCTCCCCAAGCGCGGCGTCAACGTGAGTTCTAAGTAGTTTTTTTTTTGTAATGTATAACCGGGCTAACACCTGCAAAGGTTCATGAGAATGAAGTCATGAGGGCGTTCAAGACTGTCAACGATGCGTACATTGAGCCCATCTCCTTTACGGTGCCTCGGCGGGCTGAGACATTCCAGTCGGATATTTATCCGCCGGCCGTTGGCCTCAAGGCTGGTGTCAGCGCCGGCGAGTGGCTGTCGGGGAAAACGGGTCTGCCACCAAAAATCGACTTTGAAAGCGTCTATGATGGCGGCGCACCTGTTGAGGTTCCGGCTAACTACAGGCCCTCTGCTCCCCTGGCAAGCCCTTCTCTGCCCAAGCCCACCCCAAAGAAAGAGCCAGAGCCGGCGCCGGCTACACCGCGGTCTCCGCCTACTACGACAAAAGAGCAAACCCGCTCCATAGCCGCAATAGCCTCGAAGTATGATGACGACGGCGTGGATGATGACACCTCGAGTTTCGAAGAGGTATCTAAACCGCTTCAGCGGAGCGCGCTGCCTCCCTCTCCGACCAAGACTACGTCGGCACCGGCTCCGAGGGCAGCGTCGCCAGTCAAATCGCCTACGTACGCATCGGCCCCAGCTGCGGCAATCTCTGCCCCGCCACCGACGGGCGGTTCTGCGGGCGGCCCGAGGGTCGAGTCGACACTCGAGCAGATCAAACAGCTCATAGAAACGCAGACGCAGATGATCACCGCGCAAGGCCAGCAAATCAACCACCTGACGAGCGAGGTTGACGGCCTCAAGAAGCGAGTGGGATCCGGGTCGCAGGATCAGAGAGAGCGCATCCGGCAGCTAGAACTCGAGCTGGAAGAGCTAAGGTCATGAGACGAGAAAAGTGCCGGCGATGTCGTAGCAGCGCCCGCGTGTTGGAGGTAAGATGGAGTAAGAAGAGACCGGGTCGAGCTCACCAGATAATGGATAACGATCGTGATGAAGCCTGTTACTTACCATCGATGGACAGCATTTGTTTGGTGCATTCAGGATGTGTTGTGTTTTTTTGTTTCCCGCCCTGCATGTGCTCCTCCACGAGCCTGCTTTTGTATCCATACATGTGTGGGATTATTATGAAAGCTTCCTCATTCGTGCGGGCACGGCGTCATTGTCGATTCTCCGTCATTTCGGTGGGGGAGCTTTTGGAGGGCGGAAGAGAGAGGGGGGGAAGAAGGTAGGGATATTTCGGAGGCACGCTCTCCCGATAAAACATAATCTTAGGTAGTTGATATTCTTAAGGCTAGCAACCTCTCAATATTCTACAATCATCCTTGCTATTCACTATTCTTCTTCCCCTCTTTTTGTTTTCACAAGCATAATCGGGCCCCTACTATTGATGGCTGCCTCCCTCGCTCGCCACCTTTACCCCCCCCAGTTCCTGTTCCTGTTCCGCGTTCCACGCGACGCAGTCGTCGAACTTGACGCCGGTGCCGCCGAAGCAGTCGAGCGCGCTGCCGATGGTGAGGTCGACCCTGCCGCGGCTCAGCCGCTTCACCAGCTCCAGGTCGCCGAGGCTCCTGCCGCCGCCGGCGTAGGTGACGGGGATGGAGCACCAGTCGGCGAGGCTCGCGACGAGGCTCTCGTCGACGCCCTTCTGCAGGCCCTCGTTGTCGGCGGCGTGGACGAGGAACTCGGAGCAGTAGGGCTCGAGGGATCGTATGGAGTCTGCCGCGGCACCGTTAGACGACGCTTCGCGAGAGCTCTCGGGCCCTCCCATCGAGGGGGAAAGGGGGCGGTTGCGAGCTCGGCCGGGCGCGCGCGAAAAGGGGGGGGAGGGGGGGGGGGACCTACCCTGGTTCACCTCCATGTCGGTGACGGTCTGCCACTTGTTCGTGGCGACGAACCAGCGGCCGTCGCCCCGCCGCCGGCAGCTCAGGTCGACGACCAGCCGGTCCTTCTGCCCGCCGAGCGCCGCCAGCACGGCGTCGAGCCGCGCCTGGCTGAACCGGCCGCCGGGGAACAGGAACGACGTGACGATGACCTACTGGAGCGGGTTTGCCCGGTCAGCGATGCCGGCCCGCGCGCGCGATGGGGTTTGCCTCGATCGCCAGCCCGTCTACCGCCTGCGCCCGCGGTCTTCTCAGACCGCGGCTAGAGCGAGCGGGCGGCAAGCCACGGCCTCTGTCGGTCTCACCTTGCTCGCGCCGCGCCGGATCCAGTCGGCGGCGTTCTGGTCGTCGACGCCGCCGCCGACCTGGAGGTGGCCGGGCCAGGCGGCGACGGCGGCGGCGGCGGCGTCCCGGTTGCCGGGGCCCAGCATGATGACGTGGGCGCCCTCGAGGCGGCGGTCGCGGTACAGGCGGGCGAAGTGGTCGGCGGGGTGGCGCGAGACGTGGTTCGTCTGGAGCTCCGAGGTGGAGCTGTCGAGCGTGCCGCCGACGATCTGCTTGACCTGCCCCGCGTGCAGGTCGATGCACGGTCTGAAGCGCGTCATCGCGCCTCGCGTTCCGCCCTACGAATACCGGGGGGAGAGGGCAGGGGGCGAACCTATCTGGAGAATAGGATGGGAGCGAAGGGAGTGGGAGAAGGGAGGAAAGGGGGGTTGACGAGAAGGACCTCGACGAGCTTAGAGCGAATGGGGTGTTTGCATGGTTACAGAATTGGGAAAATCTGATAAGGTGCGTATATTCGATTATCAGGTGTAGGGCATTGTCGGTTATATGGAATATGATGAGGTACCAACTAATTCGGCGTAGCCGTTCATCAGTGGTGGGGTGGTCGTCGTTGAGTGGTACTCCCACCTGTAGGTCTGGGTAGGTACCTGACCTAGGAGGAGGCAGGTATCTCTGTTGTCCCGGTACCTAACGGAGGTACATCAGACAACTTTGTGATCTCATCGCGAGGCTGCGGCAGGGTCATTTTTAGCCCAACCCAAATATCTCCTTTGATTGGCTCCCGGGAATAGTTGAACAAGGCTTTGTAGCCACCCTTAAGTATTTTTCGGTAAGGGGTTTTATTGATTCGTCGTCTCCTGTCCTCCTATAAACACCCTTCAACCTATCATTCATCATCCACCTCGCAGCTTCACACACTACACCTTCTGAACCGGCACCAGGCGCAAAATGGCCACGGCTCTCGGAAAGCGCAAGTTGCGCGCCCAGGAACAGGAACCAGCGGTGTCGCAGGAGGAAGCCCAAGCTATTTTCCGCCGGCACTTCGAGGCCCAATTCGCGCCCCTAGAGGTGTCAAGCCCGATCGCCCTGCGGAAAGAAACCGGGCCAGTACCAGAAGTCGAAGACCTGCGCTCAGATTCCGACTCGGACAACGATTCGTGGGCGGGCGTCTCCGGCCCCGAATCTGACGCGGGGTCATCGGCGACGACCAAGGCCGAGATAATCGAAGTCGTCTCGCACACGCGCTCGCCGCGCCCGCTTCTCAGCGACGTTCTATCGAAGCGCGAAAGCAAGGCCTACCTGTCCTCGCGCCCGCCGCCCCCGTCGACCGAAACAGGCTCTGCTGCCACCGCGACGGCGGCGAAGCGCAAAGCCGGCGCCGCGACGATGGACGAGGACGCGCCGTCGCTGCTGAGGAACGACCTCGAGCTGCAGCGCCTGCTCTCGGAGTCGCACCTCTTCTCGTCGCTGTCGCCCGGCGACGGCGCCGGGGCGATGGAGCACACGGGCCGCAACCGCCACCTGGCGACGGACCTGCGGCTCGCCGCGCTCGGCTCCAAGGCCAGCATCTACAGGCAGGCCAAGATGCCCATGGCGCACCGCAAGGGCATCGTCGCGGCCGCGGGCGCGCGCGAGGCCAGACGGCGGAGGGAGGCGCGCGAGAACGGCATCGTGCTCGAGCGGCCGGCGAAGGGGGGCCGGGCGGCGGCGGCGGGCCGTAAGCGGGCCGGCGGCCGAGCTCCGAAGAGGCAGCGGCCCGTCGACGCGCCCGCCGTCGGCACGTTGCGGAACGGCATGCTGAAGCTGAGCCGCAAGGACATCAGCGCCGTCCAGAGCGACGGACTGCGAGCTGGGGCCAGAGGCGGGAAGAAGAGGAGAAGGTGAGGGGCCGGGGCAGTCTAAGAGGAGAAGGTGCTGGATTCGGTCGATCTTCGTCCAAGGCTAGGCCGCACGATCGTCCATCCAGGCCGCACCACTCCAAGACGACCCGTCACGAGCATAGGCAGCCGTTAGGAGCTATCGAGCGGTGAGGGATCATTAAGAGTCAAGGATGTAGGTGAAGCGTGTACACCATCCACTCTCCGTCCCCTCCCCCCCTCCGGGACCAACAGCCCGTGGAGTTCGGCACCTCGGCCACGTGAACCTTACGTTGAGTTCGGACTGAGTCCGGCCAGACAACGTGGCAGAGCATAGGAAGGATCCAGACCCCCGAGGACAAACGCCAGCTGCCCGCCAGCCCGACACCGAGAATCTCGCGAATACCAAGGAACCGAGTACGCGCAGAGGTGCAGCCAGATAAACAACAAGTTAGCGCTCCACACTGATAGTCCCAGCCTCTCCATATCTGTCCGGGTCGTCGGCGTATCGTATGGGTCAAAGGTGTATCGCGCAAACTTAGGCGGCATGTTTACGGCCTCTATTCAGCGCCTCTCTATACTCTACGACAACGCCGTCCCATGACGGAAAGGGGGGGAGAGGGGAGGGATCCCAGCGAGAAAAACCCGGCTGGGAGTTGTGCTGCCTCCATCTCCTATTAGTCTTCCCAGTAGACAATCAACGCACTTGAGACACGTATCTCGAGATGGCTATCTACTACCGCCCAGACGTGTATGAGTACATATATACATCACGTCCACAATAAGCCGGTGGAGGGGGGAGAATATACTCAGGGACGTACGCACAACGTCGATACGGAGCAGCTAGCACGCGGATATAGTTATATAGAACATTTCTACGTAAAAGGGGATATCTGTTGACAAGGCAAAAGAAATGAAAAATCCACAAGTGACAGAAGCGAACTTCAGATATCGCGCCAGCGCCCCTCCCGCAGAGGTCAACGTCCGCAGATACAGGCACAAACAAACCTCCCCCCATCGGAATTTTACGCCCGCCCTCGCGCTGCCCTGTCCGAACATGATGCTATTGGGACACCAAGAACCTTGCCTCATTCACGTGCAACATGGACCTGTTTCTCGTCCTCCGAGTTTACCCAAGCCAGGAAAAGAAGAGAGACAAAAGAAAAAGAAATCACCGGCTAATGTTACATGAAAATTTATTGTATTGCAAAAAGGTTTGTACGACCTCGTCTTCCATGTGACTCCTCTTCAACACGTCGAAGACCAATCCCAATCCGAATACCTGGTATCATCTTCCATAGGCTCCCCTATCGCTGCCACGAATGTCGAGTGACGCAAGTGAAAATAAAAAAAAAGTTGAAGAAATGAAGAAGGGAAAATGAAGTAAAAGAAAACATATATACAAGTTTGCTGTCCCTTCCGACCACCTGTGCCAGGGAGAGCCTATCTCCCTTACACAAGGCGACTGGAAACCCTTTCATCGGCCACCAGGTCTATGGAATGCATTGAATTTTTTGGTATCCCTCGTTGTCAATAGAAATGAAATATCGCTAGCGTGCGGCGACAGACTCGACAACTCCAAAGCCCCATTAGCCACAAACAACCCCCAGTCTAGAAGCATTACGTGACATGAAATCGCAAAACTCGACGTGACTAGACCAATACGACAGCGGCACCTCGCCGGAATGCAAATCATCGAGACGACAGGGCGCGGTTACATCGCCCCTGTCGGTGCGCTCATCGTCATCGGCATGCTCAGCGTTTGCAAGGGATTGTAAGACGAATGAGCCGCCCCGGCGGCGAGACTGTTGCTCGCCGACGTCGACGTTGCAATCGAGTTCATCGACACCGGAACGTAGCCCGCATCCGAGTTGGGCGACGCCTCCTCGAGCGAACCGAGCTGATCCTCGCCCGAGTATTCTTCTTCTTCCTCGCCGGACAAGGTCAGTCCGTTCTCAGCCCCCTCGCCGCGATCATGGGTGCGCTTGTGCCTGCAGCCATACCGTTAGTCTCGGCTGTCTCGTCACACTTGTCGCTCCTGATGATGATGAAGTGATGTAGGCATCGCTGTCCGCTTCTCGTAGTGTCGGTCGAAGGCATATCGCACAAACATCGCTTCTCATCACAGGATCTTCAAGCTGACAAAGGAAATGTGTTAAGGGAAATCGGGGTCATACTGTGCTAGGTTGTCGGATCTTGAGAACGCTTTGCTACAATAGGGGCAGATGTAGGGTCTTTCTTGGGTGTGCGTTCTCACGTGTCTAGATATTTGGTCAGATACACAACGGCGCACCACACGAGATATATGACAGAAGAAAATAATTGATCTTACCGCTTCAGGTGCTCGAGGCGCTTGAAGAGACGGCCGCACGTAGGAATCGGGCACGAGTGAGATTTTTGCGGGTAGGGGCCGAGCTCCATGACGGTAGCCGAGCGAGCTCGGCGTACCACGTTGGGGCCAGCCTGCATCATCCGCTGCTCGCTTATCGAGCCGTCCCCCGTCAGCTCGTCGCCAGGGAATTGAACCATATCTTGTCGCTGCAGAGACATAGGGTTGAGGGCCGGGCTGCCTTCTACCGTCGACAGTGGCGTGCCATGCCTCGACATGTCCATGTGCTGCTGGTTGGATAGGGAGATGCTAGAGTTGGTGTACGTGAGGCCGGGAGGTGAGTTGCCCTGAGACTCGTCGCCTTCGGCCACTGGGCCAACCGACACCGACACCGATCGTCGGAGGTCCGATGGCCGGTGAGCGCCGGTCTGAATGGCGCCAGCCGCGATGGCCGTTATCGAAGGAGGGATGGACGAACGCCGCCTTCTCTGCTTGTACGTCGGCGATCCTTCAATTACCGAGTAGACGTTGTTGGCTCCGTAGGGGCGCGGGAACTGAGGCCCGGCAAGGTTGGAGGGTGGCAGTTGCATAATTCCATTCAACCCGTTCACACCGCCCATAGGGTCAGGGATGGCCGAGTATAGACCTGTATCCTCGTTGGCCACGTAAGTGGGTTCCGGTCCGATTGCGAGAGCTTGCTGAGGAGGAGTGAGCGGCTCGTAAGACATGCCCCGGTTGCTGTAGTCTTCGTAGTGGGAAGACGCAAAGGATGGCGCTGGCGAATATTCGAGGCCGTATGGCGGCATGGAGGCGTGTCGCTGGTGGTTGTGGGCCATGGTCACGGGCACGCCATTTTGGGTGTACTGGACACGGCTGAAATCGGGCTCCCTCTTAACCATTTGGGGGACCTGTTGAGGAATAGGAGCCATCGCCGTCATGGTGCCGTACGGCATCATGGGGTCCATCCCATCTCCTAAAGGGGCCATGGACTGGGGGATCATTTGCGGCGGGGGCATGGGGTCCATCGCCCGCATCACTGGAGACGGGGCCTGGGACTGGGAATAAGAGACCTGGGCATTGAAAGACGACGAGTTGGCCTGTTGGGCTTTCGTCAATTGCTCGTAGAGCGATTGCGAGGAGTCGTACTGGAAGGAAAGGGCAGGCTCGCTCACGGCCATGGTGGTGGCCTCCTGCCCCATCTTTTCCCTCTTAAGATCCCGTTCCAGAGCATCTAGGAAGAGACGGTCGTGCGGTACGCTATACCAATAAAACACCTTCTGCTTCTTCTGCGTGCGGATGCAGTTGTTCTTGTAGAGAAAATCTAAGAATGGGCTCTTGGGTTCTTCCAAGGACGCATCGGTGCCAGACTTCAGATTTCGTAGATCGGAGAAAATGCCCTCCTCGAACTTTTTCGAGTTCTTAACGGGGCGGCCAAAGGCCTGGAATCGAAACGAAAGGCACCGCACAATGTCGGTGCCCGAGATGTGGAACAAATTGTTCCACAACACGCACGATACATATTCGCCAGTCGGTAATAGGAAGCGTCGGATATACTGCTCTGGTTGCCAGTCGACCGGCGCCGAGATAAGAAAGTACTTCACTGCGACCAAGGGTAAGCTGCGAGCCTCGGACGGGTCTGAATCCGGGATGGACACTTACAATTATCAACCTGCTGCAATGCCACTTGTGCATCGTGTGGTAACGCCTGCTGCGCTTCTGTGCTCAACATAAAGGTTTCGGGCTTCTGAGGCGCCGCCGCGCCCATGGCCGATTGTTGTGAATACATGATATATATACACTTTGATTGTAAAGACGATTTTTCCTCGTCCCTTGCCGTCACCAGCCACTGGTAGTGGCTCTAGCTGTTAATGATGAGGGTCGTGAGATCGTCCGTATTCACTTGCATGGGCAAAAAGTAGATTCCGAGCGTAAATGCCTAGCGGGGGGTGGCCCTGAAGTGCTACTACGCACGACAGACTTGTCGTGTATATGTCGTCGGATTGTCAGTGAGTCGAGGCCAGCCCGCACAAAACCTGATGTGTCCGTTGCAAAAATTATACCAGCAATTGCCACAGGCGAATTGATAGGCGTTCGGGTTCTAAATCGGAGGATCAAGACCACGGTACGAAAGGTGTCGTTTGATTCTGTTTCGAGCGCTGACTCCAGTAGTCCTTGGTCGCTAGCGTGAAAACCGCGTATATGGCGTGAGCCCGGTACACCGTATAGAGGTTCTCGAGGAATGGATCGAATTATATATAGTTCTGGCCGCCTGCAAGGCCGTATGATGTTAGAGTTGAGAAGCCACCGAGGCGATGCGGGAGTTGTTTGGCGAACGCGAAATGGAGATAACTCTTTTTTTAAGCAATAGGTGAAACAGAGAGAGAAAGGCAATTCAGCAAGATGCTTCCGAGGATCAGACGGGGTTGACCAAAGACAAGCAAGCAGGCTATAAGCATGCGCGCTCAACTGCGTCTAGGTGGTGGACTACGGTCGTGCCGGACAGTCGGGCGTACGCTCGAATCAATGAGAAGCGAAACGTCCCGCGATCGCGGAGTGGTTAAAAAAGTTCAGAAAAGGAGACGAGTTCGGCTTCGTGTACCGGGTCGCTCCAGGAGGGAGACGACGGAAGTGAGGGAGGGGTGGTAAGTAGATGTGTTATGGCCTGCAACACGAGAGACGGGCGAGGCGGGAAAGAAGGGAGAAGGGAAAGAAAAAGAGAGAGGGGAAGGGGTTCCGAATAGAACAACTGATCTTGCGAAGAAGATTCAAGCAGGTAAGGGTTCAAGAAAAAAAACGGGAGGAGTTCGGGGGGTTTAATGATTTCTGCAGGCTGGGGGGGTGAAGGTTTTCTCGCTCTCTGCCGCTCCCACTCCCTCTCGCTCGCTCGCTCTCCCTCTCTCTTTTCGCTCTCGCGCGCACTCGATTTACCTTTGCCTCCTACCACGTAGGCTTGGCCTGAGGTCTGCTAGGTCAGGGCCCTGGTAGGCCCTGCAGGCCCGGTCGGTGCAGTCGGGTAGGAGAGAAGAGATTTCGAGTGGAGTGGGAAATACGGACAGGCCCTGCTCCAAACGGGCTAATAGGAACGCACCAATTCGACCACGCTAGCCTCTTCGGGAAGGGCACTCGCGCTACACCGGCACGCTTAACCGTATACGGAAGTATTTCTTCGGCAGGGAATCCAGGAGCGAGATTGGGCACGACATTTGCGCTAGCTCTCGACAGGACACATTATTTCAACGGCAGCGGCTGCATGTATCGAGGTACCCGAATACCACCTTGGGTACCTAGAGGTAGGTGGAGGTGATCAGGCAGGTAGGTACCTAGGTACCTTGACGCTACCTACCGAGGTACCTACGTATGTACATACTCATACGTAGGCGGGCAGCTACTCGTCGGGCACGCCTATGCCTTGGTCCATGCACTAACGGAACGGACGACTGACGTGTATGCGTATGCACGCATATGCAAGTATGCATGTTGCATGCCTCCCAGGTCGCTCCGCGATACCAGAGGTGCCGATTCCCGTACCGAACAGGTATATTATATACATACATCTCGCGAACCTACTATACGTACACGTATACCGAGGGGGGGGGGGTAGCCGGCCCGGGCCCGACAAGTACCTTCAAGGTAGCCAGCAGGTTGAAGCTGGGAGAAGAAGAGAGAAAAGCCACATTCTTATTTCCTATGGTATGGAGCCCGCTCCTACCTCTTACCTCAGTTGGTACCCAGGTACCTATTTCCGGCCACGGCCAGGAAGCACCCGCTCTGACATTACCTCATGTACTGCCTACCCGCTTCAAGCTTGTCCTCTCCTCTCCAAGCACCCGAGGTCGGGTTCCACCCAGCAGGTACATAGATATCCTAGCGAACATAAGTATATGAAGAATGCATGTACGCTGCTGGTGCGTCTATTCTCGTCCGTCGGCAAGGTACCTATCATGACACAGCTACATCGAAAGCAAGGTACCTACTTCCTACATCCCTCCAGTCCTCCCATCCATCCATCCATCCATCCATCTACCATGCCTACTGAGTACACAACGCCCACACCACTGGCTGTGCTTCCTACTCGCATACCTCCTACCTCAAAGAGACCAGGCAGATAGGGAGTTCCCCCCCCGTCCACAATCGCGCACGCACATCTCAGCCATCCCCCCCCCATCCATCCCATCCATCCCATCCACCAACCGCTCCATTCGCCCACACACTTCACATTACCCCCATCGCTCACGAGGACGAGAGATGTGGCTGCGTAGAGAAGCTGGCAAAGTCTTGACGGGAACCGCAGGCCTAATCTTATACCATCTATGTGTAGAGCCGGGCTTGAGCACCGTATCAATCCTTATGATTGTCCAGCCGAGGGAGGATCCTATAACGAGAGGGGAGCAAGAAAGCCCCTCCCTCCCTTCTCAGTACCTAGAAAGAGCATGCACGGACCGCAGAGCAGGGGGAACGCGACCGAGATGTACACACATACTTTTACCATCTACTGAGTAGATGTGTGCAGCATCGTGAGCATAACTACCTTGGGTGGGTACGTGGGGAGGTATCCTGTGTAGATATGGGTGTGTTATAGGCATACCTATACGGTAGCTCTATTCCGGAGATGGGGTTCAGCCAGCTAAAATAATAACAATAACATGGATAGTGACGATTGTTAACCGGCTAAGGTAGGAGGCTGCCAGGAACGAGTCCTAGACTGTAAGCTACACCTATCTCTGTTCGGATCCTCAGTAGCTCGACTTACGGCAAGCTCACCACAGGAATTAGCGCATCAACATCGCATTCCATCGGGTATTCCTACCATAATGCAAATACCTAAGGGCAGAGGTAAGATGAGGTACCTACCTAGTGTAGAGCCGTGTATATATAGACAGGTATATATGCGCGTACCTATATATATACAGATCGCTGTAGGATATATCCATATCTGCCTACATACATACGCATTACATGTACCTAAGGTAGGTAGGCATGTACGTGTATACAGGCTGCATATGTACATACATTAGGTAGGTACCTATATTAAGGATATAGAGCTAGATAGGTACAGGTATGTAGGTAGCTTATTACCACTAGACGCTGCCCGGCTTTAGACAGCAAGCTCCTTGAAGGGTGCTATGCACGTACTAGAAATGGACCTGCTATAGTATGCACATATGTACGTATGAGAGGTAGGTAGTTATGGATTATGTACATACTCGTGTGTTATGTCAGCATCCTAGGTAATATTATTGCTGAAGTTGTCTTATAGGATTCTGGAATCTCTTGTCAGCTGTTTTCTTTTTCTCACTTCAACATATATATAGAGTATACTACGTACCTGAGTACAGTTCCCGTCCACGTATATGCGTTGAAGAATAATGGAGAGAAGATCTCGTGCAACCTCACTTGCCTCACGCAAGCCCGTCTCTCCCTTCCTTCTCTCTCGCAGCTCGGGGGGGGGACGTCCTAGGTACCCAGGAGATAGACAGGGGTGCTTCTGGATGGGCGGGCGAGTGCTACTATGAGGTAGGTAGGAAGTACACAATACTGTTCATCCTTGAAAATCGCAAGCAAGGATCTATTTTTTTATTGAAAAAAAATGTAAACCCACCACCTCACGGCCCTTACTACAATGGAATCCATCCACCCGTACATACCCATTATGTAGGTGCATATATCCATATCTACCTACCTACATATGCCACCCCTTGCTTAGGGTTCCTCAGCTGTGCTAGTAACGGATATACGCACATACGTATTCGCCAACCTGCCCAGCCTGGTTTGCGCGGGTGTGGACAACTAAGGGAGGGTCAAATTAATGGTGGTTAATATACCTACACAAATATGATCTATCTCTTTTCGAAGCTTTTCCACTGCCATACATACACACACGGATAATAAATCATAGGTGCCTACACAATATGTAGGCATGCACAGTGTTCGCTGTGCCTTGATCGGATATATGTTTAGGAGTGCCCAGCACAGGCAAATGATCTTGAAATAAGCGCGTACTAGTTGCGTAGTGCTGAAATGTTGTCGTTGCTTCGAGGGTGCCAATCTCCCAGGTCCTAAACCAAAATAGGGGCTCACCAAAGTTAGGGCAGCAAGTCCCACAGGTAAACCCCTCTCTTGAGGGCAGAGTGGCATGGCACCCTGCCGCGCTTTATTATTAGGCCGCGAGCGTGCTCGGCATGTTCGCGAAATCACACCTACCTACAAACACATACTACCTGGCGGTCGTGGCCCCGCTGAAAACACGCCTGATCTTATTCATATAGCTTTCAGCATACGTAGATACCTCGGGCACCTCCTACCTACTACACAATACACATATCGACAGGTTCTAAGCTGGAACATACTCCTATTGAGTATAGCTGTAGTGTGGTCCGTGGAGGAAGGTCTGCTTTCGTTGGTCGCCTCCCACGTGCGATCACAAGTGGGCGCAGCAAGGAACGGTGGTAGTATTACATATATGCACGTACATATCTTGGTGTAAAAGACACCAGCCTGCTCGACAACTTGGTCTCTCTCGGTATATGCGCCTACATACCTCTCCTACCTACATATGTACCTAGTGTGTGTGTGTGCATGTGTGTGTGCTCATATGTATGGACCCGTAGTCTAAGACAACGGGGCAATGGGTCAGCAGGTAATCTCCGTATGCTAGTGCACTGCGGGTGGTCAAAGAGCAAGGAATCCAAGCAGGGGGCGGCAAAGCGAAGAGAGGCGACCACTGCCCATTGCAACTGACAGCCCAGTATTATGTACTTACGTACGTGCACGTATTCTGGGAAGCGTTGCCAAGAGCTTCCGCTGTCGTTAATTGATTTCCCAGGTCTTATTTCCCTTTTCCCCGTCAACCACAAGGACGAAGTTATGAGACGCCGAAACGTCCCGAATTCTCATAGAAACCAGATAGCAGGTATACCAGGAAGAGAGCTGCTTAAGTTTCAATGACGAATACTCATAAAACATTATCCGGGCTAGAAACAAATAGTATGCAAGTTAGTAGTATATTAGGTAGACTTCCGTATTTTAGTACCGCATGTGACCCCTTCCCGCTCCCCCCCCCCCGAGTTTAAACTACCTACCTCCGACGCAGGCAGGTGACGAAGAGGCAGAGAGCATGAGT